TGATGATGTGCCTGGTGGAGAGTGTCACCCCCTGGTATTCTGATTTTGATAATTATCTTGTGGGCCAGCAGCTGCCCAAGGGGATGACAAATCACGCCAAGAGGAAGTTCTTCTCCGACCTGAAGTACTACTTCTGGGATGACCCCCATCTCTTCAGGATCGGAGCCGACGGGATCATCCGTCGATGTGTTATGGAGAGTGAGATGGAGGGCATTCTATCTCACTATCATGACGGACCTGCTGGCGGTCACCACGGAGGAAACCGCACAGCGAGGAAGGTGCTCCAGTCGGGCTTCTACTGTCCACGCTCTTCAAGGACGCAGACGCCTTCGCACGCAGGTGCGACCGATGCCAGAGGTTAGGTAACATCTCTGCCCGTGATGAGATGCCCCAGAATGTGTTTATTACTTGTGAGATTTTTGATGTCTGGGGTATCGACTTCATGGGCCCCTTCCCTCCATCCTTTGGTAATACATATATCCTCGTTGCTGTTGACTACGTCTCTAGGTGGGCTGAGGCGCAAGCTTTGCCCACTAATGATGCTAGACGTGTTTGTGGTTTTCTGAAGCAGCTATTCTCCCGATTCGGGACACCTAGAGCCATCATAAGCGACCGCGGTACCCATTTCCAGGGTCAATTCGATAAATTGTTGTCTCGCTATGGTGTAACTCATAAGGTGTCTGTGGCCTACCATCCTCAAACCAGTGGCCAGACCGAGCTGACGAACCGGGAGCTCAAGCGGATCTTGGAGAAGACGGTGAATCTATCCCGCAAGGATTGGTCCACCAAGCTCGATGATGCTCTGTGGGCATATCGCACTGCCTACAAGACTCCCATTGGTACCTCACCGTACCGGCTTGTCTATGGAAAGGCATGCCATTTGCCCGTGGAGCTAGAGCACAAGGCCTTCTGGGCCCTTAAGCTGCTAAACTTGGATGTTAGTGTTGCAGGTGATGAGCGAAAAATGCAGATGTTGGAGCTGGAAGAGTGGCGTTATCACGCCTATGAGAACACCAAGCTGTACAAGGAGCGCACGAAACGCCTCCACGATGCACGGTTGCGAGGTCCGAAAGAGTTCCAGGTTGGTGATCGAGTTCTCCTTTATAACTCTCGCCTGAAACTCTTTCCCGGAAAACTCCGTTCCCGGTGGTCTGGACCGTACACGGTCACACAGGTGTTCCCGTATGGCACGATTGAGATTGCTAACCCGCAAACTGAGCCGTTTAAAGTGAATGGACATTGTCTCAAGCTCTACCTGGGAGACGAGGTCGAACGTGCGGAGTTAGCAGTGGAACTCGCGGACCCTTAGTTCCGCAATTGGCGTCCAGCTAAAAGACGGTAAAGAAGCGCTTGTGGGGAGGCAACCCCACCACGGTTTGCATTTCTACCTTTGTTTTTATTTATTTATTTCATCTTTGTCGTTTTTTTTTAGTCTTTGCGTCAGTTTGGAGTCAGTTTGGAAAGTTTTTCGTGCCTCGGGCGGTTCGTTTTGATGTGTGATTGGGTAAATTTTAGAGCCGGGGCACGAATGAATCTTGGTGGTTTGAGATTGGAAATTGAAAAAATTGCATTTCAGGCTCGGCAGTGAAAACACGGGCAGCTCAGGGCCAAAACACGGCCGTGTTTCGCCCTGAGCCAGCCCGTGTTTTGCTTTATGCTCTCGGCATAAAAAGCACGGGCTGAGGGCTCTGAAAACACGGTCGTGTTTCGCCCAGAGCCCGCCCGTGCTTTGATGGGGGAAAACACGGGCGCGGAGCACCCGAAACACGACCGTGTAATGCCCCGCCCGTGTTTCGGCCTCCCCCCTATAAAATCGAATTTTTTCAGCCCAAAAATCAGATCAGTCATTTTTTCAAAAACCCCCAGCCCCCCTCGCCGGAAAATCGCCCCTTTCACCTTCTCCCTCGATTTTCCGGCCATAACTTCCTCTCCCGACCTCCAAATCACAAACCGCGAGCGCCCCCACGCTCCTGGCGTCGAGGAGCACATTCCCCAAAGCTTTGGGCTGGTTTGGCTGAGGTTGGGTCGCCGGCGGTGAGTTTTCCGGCGAGTCTCCGGTGTGTTTTCCGGCGACTTTGGGTGCTTCTTTCCACTTTCTTCACCTCTCTCGTGGTCTCTTCTTGAGTCTCCAGGTGTGTTCTCCTTGTCTTTTCTTATATTTTTTGTAGAATCGATACCTAGAGTTAGGTGAAGAACTTTTGATTGTGGAATGTATGGTTTGGGAATCTTTTAGGTTTGGGGGATGATTGGGCTGATTGCATGTTGAATGGCCTGCGTGAATTGTGATTTTTCTGTGATGCCTCGACTGGTGCTATTTAGGGCAGTTGTGGTATGCTTGTTTCACCGGGGGCCTAGTCCACTGTCCAAATCGCTCGATTTGAGGGTCCCCGGTGTATTTTGCTGGTATTTCTCGTATGATGGGTATGTTTATGTCGCCGGGAGTCTAGTCCACTGTCCATATCTTTCGATATGAGGGCTCCCGGTGTGGGTTTGGCCTAACATTGACCCCGTTTTGCTTGTGCACACTTTGTCCTTCATTGTGTTTTGCAGGATCATGGAGACTTACCTCGACCAGCTGAACATCGTCCAGCGCCACAAGCTGCGGAACCTCCGTACCCGCAGCATCGCCGAGCACCATCACCTCGATTGGGAGGTGTTCGGAGAGCTTCATGCCAGGCCACAGATGGAGGCCGCGGTCCGCTCCCCTGCTTGGCGGCGTCTTCTCACCCTTGCCGAGCTAACCTACAAGGAGCTAGTCTTGGAGTTCTACGCCACCTTCAACCACAACTCGAGGGGGAACTCCGACCATTCTAATGCAGTCCAGTTCACACTCGGCTGGGTGGAGCACTCCCTCAGCTATTGGGAGTTCGCCAATGCCCTTCGTCTAAATTCCCGGACAGCAGGCGGGCCTCCTCTCCGCTTGGATCTCTCTGATCCCACGGACTTCGCTTCCCAGGCGTACTTCCAGACCATTTGCCTGCCAGACAGTGTGGATGAAGAGTACGTGGCCAGCCAGACGCGGGTTGCTCTCCTCCGTCCGGAGTGGCGGATCCTCAACCACCTCATGTGCACTTCTTACACACCCAGCGCCGGCTCGTCCAACCGGGTTACACTCCGAACTCTCTGGTTGATGCATGCGATGGGTCGCTCCGAGGACACCATCCAGCTGGGATCTGTGCTTGCCCGGACGTTCACTAAGCCAGCCATCAGCACGTCTCGCGCCCTCGTTTGTGGCCCGGTGATCACCGCCTTGGCCCGCAACTACGGAGTGGACTTCACAGAGATGACATTGGTCCGCGGGCCGAGCCCACTCAGCGAGGCTAATCTTCGCCACCAACACTTGATTGCGTAACACGGGCGTGTGCGCTGGATCGAGGGCCTTCCTCAGCCACCTATACCTGCAGAGGGCGACCAGGCCGAGTCGAGCGCCGCTGGTGGACGCCGAGTTCGTCGCGTTCCTCGTCGTGCCCAGGCTCCCGCGAGCCCCTCTCCTGCTCCCCGGTCTCCATCTGCAGGACCACCTCCTCCGGTGGTGGTCCCCATCTTCGACCAGTTGGCGGCGATCTCGCAGCAGAATGAGCGCATCCTGGCCGGCCAGGAGAGCATCCACGCCCGCCTTGATCGTGAGCGAGACCGAGGGCGTCGTCTCATGTCGGGGCAGCACTACATCATGTCCTACTTGGGCTTGGACCCGAACGCGGTCCACTACCCGTTTGTGCAGTCCCCCGGGTTCGAGGATGAGTACCCTCCACCCACCGACGATGGTGGTGATGCCTTCTAGAGCGGGTTTTGTGTTTTATTTGTTTTCCAGACTGAGACTCTGTGTTTTGTGATTTCGTTTTGTTTTGTTTCTATCTTGGATTGTAGACTTGGTACTCTGACGCCTATCACCCAGTGTGTGTTTTGTTGTCTCTAGCTCTGTGCCCCTTCTTTTAACTAGTCTGCCATCCAGTCAACGTTCCTGACCACTGTTTCACGGTAACATCGTTCCCCTTCCCTCTGCTCCATTGAGGACATTGTCGCGTTTAAGTGTGGGGGCTTCTTTGTATGAATTGGAACGTATATGTGTGCTTGGAGCCTAGTCCACTGTCTAAATCGCTCGATTTGAGGGCTCCAAGCACGGCTGTTTGCTTGATGATTGATCGTATTGGCACTGTGGATGTGATTAGTGAACTGAATGGCTTTTGACTTGATACATGACAACTTGAGTGTGACTTAGACAACTTATTGTGATGACTGAGATGTGCAGTAGAATTGTGTAGGGGTTCAGTTTCTCAACTGTCTGCCCACCAAATGTGACTGGGTTTGATCACTTGCTTTTGACAGTCAGTTATGCATCTAGTTCAGGGAATCAGAACGAGAGATAGAGCATATAGGTAGCCATGTGAGATTTGAGCCTGCTCGTTTCTTTCTTGTGCGGTAGTTTCCTCTTTCATGATGTGCAGCATTCACGTTGTCATTAGCTAAGATGATGGAGGCATAGGATTAACCCGCGACCAAATTGACTGTCCTGGTGTGTCATACCCCTAGTCAGCCCCTTTGAGCCGTGTGTTTTCCTTTCTTTCGGTCTTCAATGAAAAGTCACCCTTTTGCTTCTTTTAGAAGGTTCCACAGAGTGATTTTTACATGTTCTCTGCTGTTTCTGCTAAATGTAAAGTGAGGGTTGGAGGTAGTGCTTAAAAGTTGGGCAGGTGTTTGAAAATGTGCAGAGGTGGTGGTTCTCTTAAGAAATGAAAAATAATGAAAGAAAATCAAAGAAAAATAATGAAAGCAAAAGAGAGCCACCACCAAAAATCTGTATAATGCCCGTGTAGTAGTGTTTCTTAGCAGTCTGGCTTAGAAATACTAGCATTTATGTAACCTCCTTAGCTCTTGTGCTTTGAACTTGAGTAATGCAGAATAGCAGAAAGAAAGTTATTGGTTCGATTGATTGTGAATCTGTTGGGTTTGGAAATGTGGAACCTTGTGCTGTATAAATACTTCCACCACCTAAAAGGCCTTTTCCCCATGTCCAAGACCCTAGCCAGTCATCTGAACCTGTGTCTAAGACCTCCGGATTAGTTAGTGATGACACCCCATATGTGAACTCTAGCACTTAGAGGTTGCATTCATGGTGAAGAGATGTTAGGGATTGAGAGATTAAGCATGCGCATTTTTCGCATCATATTGTCCTGACCCCACTGGTCGAGAGTGAGCGATTCATTTTCTCTTATTCTCTATACTCTTTATCCCGGTGAGGACCTAGATTGCTCGGTCTTAATTCTGATATCTTGAACTTTGTGCATGATGTGACTGTTTTGAACAAGTGGTTGAGTCAAGTCTATGTTGGTTGGTGAACAGAAGGGAGACTCTTCCTTTGCTCAATTTTACTGCATTCGAATGTCATCTGTGGTGGTTGTCTAGGTTGTCATTGAAGTTGTCCATGTGTTACTGATCGAGCCAATATGATCCACGTGTTTTGTGCCGATATATCATGCCTTGTTGTTTTGAGCTTACCTTGTGTCTGACTTGGTTTGCTTGGGGACAAGCAAACGGTTAAGTGTGGGGGAATTTGATAACGATGTAATTGCATGTATTTGCACCCCTAATTCTTATCCGTTTGAGAGGCATAGTCGTGTATTTTGGCCTATTTTACGCCGGGTTGTGCTATTTTGTCATATTTCAGGTCCCAGGCGTCAAAGGAAAGGCTAAGCACGAGTTTCGGGGCATTCGGAGGTCATTTCGTCAAGCTGGAGCCAAAACACGGGCAGACCTAAAACAGAACACGGTCGTGTTCTGTGGCCGTGTTTTTACTGCCGAGAGCAAATTCAAGTGGGGCAAACATTGGCTAAAAACACGGGCAGAAGCACGACCGTGTCCATTCAAAGCACGGCCGTGCCCACCACCAAACACGCCCGTGTTTCGGCCAATGCACAGGCCGTGTAATTAACCCTAGCCAAAACACGGGCGGGCTGAGGCATTACACGGCCGTGCCCTCGACCATGTTTTGGCCTCTGATGCCTTTTTAAGCAGATTTTCAGCCAAAGAGAAGGGGATTCGAGTTTTTGAGAGAGAGAACGATTCCTAGAGAGAGAAAGCGACGAACAAGAGTCTCCAAGCGCCCTAGCTTGATCTTCAACACCATTGGAGGCCAGTTTGAGCTTGGAGAAGTGCCGATCAACGTCCAGGAGCAGGAATCCATCCTTCACAGTATGAATTCCGCGTCTGATTCTGCTTTTGCTTCTTTCTCCATGGAGTAGTTCTCCCATTCATCTGGGTATGGAGAACCCTAGATTTGTATGTTAGGCTTTGATTGTATGAACCCAAGTACTGATTCTATGATTTGATTATATTCAATTGATGTTTGAATGATTGAATGGCATGAATCCTGATCAAATTCCTGTTGTTTCTGCTTTAACCTAGAATGAGAATATCTGCCTAGGTTGATAGAGCATCCTTGATTGAAGGTAGGGAGTTGGTGACTTTAGTCGAGGAGCCAACTCACTATTCTGTACCGGATTTACTCCGGTAGTGGAGGTTTTGTTTGTTAAGGCCTCAATCTGTTTACTCCGGTGGAGGTTAGTCGCCCGCTAGAGACTCAGATTGAGAGGGTCTGAAGACCTTTAGTCGAGACTTCAGGCTGTTTAAGAACCTTCCGCAGTATAACTATCATAGAAACTGAACTTGGTAATTACAATCCGGTTTAACTGCAGTCTAGGGGGAACCATATCCGGGTGACCTCTCTTAACTTGAATACAACCGTTTGTTTGCTTTGTTAGTTTGTTAGTTTAGACTTGCATTAAAGTTTCATTGCTAGATAACAAGAATTCACTGAGTAGTCATCAAATCTAGGACCCGGGTTGATAATTAAACCCAAACCCGCTATACTACGCTTTAGGAAGTGGTTTCACTTGGCCAATTCTGGTGAATAAGAATATTTCTGCCTGGTGCCGTGGACTAGTCCCAACAATCAAACGTTGGGGAAACCACGTAAATCTCGTCTTCCACGAAGGCTGAGTACAGGTCTATGAGTGAAGTGACCTCTGAGATAGTTTGGTTGCATCGTCTGTTGACTGAGCTTGGTGTTCAGTGTCCGCTCCCTGCACGGTTGTATGCCGATAACACCAGTGCGATCAAGATTGCTACTAATCCCGTCCTCCATGACCGGACGAAGCACATTGAGGTACATGTTCATTATATCAGGCAGTTGGTGGCTGACGGTTCGGTGGCATTATCGTACATTACTTCGGAGGATCAGACGACATATCTTCTAACAAAAGCAGTTTCATCATCTCGGCATTGGTTTCTGGCTCACAAATTGATGTTGCGTCAGCATCATCAATTTGAGGGAGGGTGTTAGAAGATCAAGTATCAAATTGTAATTAGCCGTGATATTAAGGAGTTAGTATGTTAATTGCCGTTTAACCTAGCATGGTCTGTACATATATATGTGTATTAGGGCAGCCGATCTTGGTACTTTTCTGGTGAATAAGAATATTTCTGCCTGGTGCCGTGGATTAGTCCCAACAATCAAACGTTGGGGAAACCACGTACATCTCATCTTGTTCTTCCGTTCTTGATTATATTTGACATAAGAAGGATCGACGATGGAAATCGGGACAATGGTGTAAGAGATAAGATGACAAGCAAATGAAATGAGCGAGGTCAAATGACGATTTTGGGGGAAGACAATGAAATAAGGCGATGGTACGCGACCTATGATTTTTCTCTTGTCTCAGCTCCATGTTGATTGAGCATTTGAGTGTATTGAACCCCTTGATTAGTAATTGAAATTTCAAGCAAATGAAATTAGCGAGGTCAGAAGTTCTGTTGCCACATCACAAAAAAAAAACTGACGGACGGAGTTAAATGAAGTCCAACGTAGACTGATGATCGGTGACTAATGATGAAACGATTTGTAAAGATAGTGATGAATAAAAACGAAAAGTAATTCGAACGACAGACAAACGTGAAAAGCTTTTATGTAATTTGAGTGACTGATTTATCCGAATCTCATTGTGACTATCCATCCCATGCAAGGTTGTCAACCCGCGGGTTGACTCACTTTGACACTAACCCAGTGAGAAAAAACGGTCGCACGCACCCGCCGGGTCAACCGCTACAAGGTACCTGGTTGGAGGTCAAATTGTGTCATTTTGCGAAATGCGCCTATTTAACGATTTTTCTTTTCGCCTGACTCAATCTTTGGAATCCTTAGTTGAACATTTGAATATTGATGTTATTAGTTATTACTCATATGTTAGATGAGATTTGATATAATTTATTACGATAAGTACAATATAATATAATGACTTTTTCTATATTTCCAGTCTAAAACGAGCTAAAACGGGTGACCCGTCAACTCTTGACACACTAACTCGACCGGGTCCGAGTCAACCCACTGGTTAGACAACCTTAATCCCATGTGTGTACTCGAGTTCATCAGGCTTTGAATTTTTTTTTTTGGTATTCAAACCGTGGGAAATCTGCCATTTGCATTTCATTTCCCCGTTACAAAAACAAACTCCGACACAATCTGTAAACGAAGATGATGATGAATCTAGGATTTAAAAAAGTATCTCTTCTTAACATATACAAAGATCAGTTCTCAAATGTAAGATTATAAAAATGGCGGATCCCAAATCTGCCACGCCCAGAAGAAGGCCATGCATAGTACCACACTCGCAGCTACTGCTACTGGTCGCAGCTCTTTACTCCGCAGTTCACACCCTCCTCTCCCAAAGTTTGAGACCCCAAAAGAAAAAGATTAGATAAAGCAAAAACAAACAAACAAACGTTCTTCCCTTCCTTTCATTGCCCTCTTTAATTCTCCCAACCGCCACCAATCAGTCTCCCCCAATTCCTCCATCTTCTCCACTCCACTGTTCCCTTCTCCACAGTTTTTCAACCTGAACCATCCATCCATCCATCCATCTCCATTTCCCCCTTTCCCTTCCCTCCAATTTGCTCCAGCAATGGTTCCCCATCTCCTTCTCTTCCTTCTCCTCATCTCCACTTCTTCCCTCTCGGGTATTCTGCAGCTTCAATTTCTACTCCCCTCCCCCAAATTTAGCGAGCCAGCTTCTTTTAATTCTCCGCAGCACCCTAACCCCCTTCTCTCTGTTTTTTTTGCAGGAATTGAATCAGCAGCAGCTACTCTCAAGCTCACCAACCGCTGCAGCCAAACAATCTGGCCGGAAATCCTCCCCGGCGCCAGCTCCCCACTCCCGCCCGGGAAATCCAGGACGATCCCCATCCCAAAGGGTTGGTCCGGCCGCATTTGGGGTCGGACCCTCTGCGAGACATCCGCCGCAGATTGCGGCAGCGCCGGGAAGGTGGAGCTCAGTCTCGACGGCGCCAACGCGCCGGCCACTTCAGTGGAGCTCGCTCTCGACGGCGCCGGCGGTCTGGAGTATTCTTACGGCGTGAGCTCGGTCGACGGGAGCGACATCCCCGTGGCGGTGTTGCCGAATAAAGTAGGTCCGGCCCGCGGGGGTTGCGGGCGCGCGGTTGACCCGAACCCCGATGATGTAAATGCGACGGCGGCGCGTGAGGAGGGGGATGTCGCGTGTAATGACACCGGCAGCATTACTACTACTACCCATACCGACCATGTCGTCGTATTCTGCCCCAAGCCGTATTCCAGGTAAAATGCCCAAAATAGCCCCCCTCTCGTTCAATTTTCCATATGTTGCTCTCATAGCTTTATGGTAAGCCGCAAATGTTGCCTGCCTGCCTGGCCATGATCCAGAACTCTGTGGCGTCTTTATTAGCAGTGGGGAATGGCCAATGGGGATGGTGGGGGAAAGAAAGCTGTATGATTGTTGTGCTGATAGCGAAATGTCATGGTGGGCTAGTAGTAAATAGTAATCGAGTATTGGGTTCTAGAAAGAAGGGACCTTTCAGTACTCAACAGTAAACAGTGAATGTTTGCTCAATTCTGGTTATGAATAAAGAATACCCTTTGCTCCCAGGTACTAGAACAGTAATTGCTTGGAAACTACGTTATCTAGCTTCTTACCATGCATTAGGAGCCATCTGTGTTACGGGGAAGGATTGACTAAGGATTAAGGAATAGTATTATGTCTTTGAACAATATGCTCGTGATCTGAGTGCTTAAAATGTACAGAGTTCTGTAAAGCTGTGGACTTTGTGATTAAGCATTGTTGTGGAATATAGATGTTCTTCGAGCTAATCTGCTCTTGCCTTCTTGGATGCATTGAACTCGTGGTGCAGCGGGGAAGTTGTGGGAAGGAGGAGAGGCAGGAGGGCACCATTGTCACTGGTTAACAAGACGACAACGACAACGACAACAGCCTGGCCAAGCAGGCATCCGAATGGTGCTCTCTCTTCAGGTCTGTTAATTAGATTGCCGCAGCTCGAATATGAATGCCAATTCTCTTCACAGCCACTTATCCATCCTCTATCTTTGTTTCCACTCTCAGCTGCTGACATCAACGTGGATTTCACCGAAGCAGCCACCACATCGAGCCCAGCTGATCATCAAGTGAGTGTTTAATTACTTTAGAAGATATATATATGCCTACACGCTATGATTTGCTTATAAAGATCTTAACTTGTTAACCTTGCTGAATCTCGGTTCTTGGAAATGGAGGAGTCAAACGGGAGAGGTAATGAGATGATGACGCCGAAGATGGTAATGGAGCCGGTGAAGGTGGTGGAGATGAGAATGATGCTGAATGACCAGAGGAGGAGGCTCAACAGCTTCCAGATGTGTGCATTGTGCACTTGCTGTGGCGGCGGAAGTGGTGGTTCCAAACATTACTGCCTGCTCTCTCCATGTTGCTATGCAATCAACTGCAACATTCCAAACAAGCCCTTCGGTTTCTGCTCTTTCACTCCCAGGGCCTGCAATTGCTTTGGATGCCATGTCTAGCTAGCTTAGCAAGCTTGCCCCTCTTTCATTTTGTTTTATCTTATATTTTAGGTCATTATTATAGTGGTATTATAATGTGGAGGGATGGATTAAGGAAGAATATCTGTTGTTTGATTAGATTAGATTGATTTGTTTATAGATTTTGATTTGTTTAGAGTATTAATCAAATAATAATTGCCTGTTTCTGCGCAAACTCTGCAGGGGACACCTAGAAAGGCATATGCAAGAAAGAAGATTAGTAATTAAGTGCAATGTGGGACTAATACTCCTTTAATTAGCCTTTTTACGGGTATGTGTGTGCATCCTTTTGTTAATTGATATGATTACAGTAGTGCTGTGGTAATCCAAGTGGGTTTGTTTTCTTTCTTTCTTTCCCCCCATTGTTCTGTCTGTTTCAGAGCAAGAATAAAGAACGTTCATGGTTGTTGCTTGTGAGCAGAAGAGATACATGTCTAGTTTAATCATTTGCTTCTCGGTTTATAAACCAGTCTGAAAGGGGTGGGTTGGCTTAAACTCAATGTAAGGGTTACTACTTGGAGTTCCAAGGATAAAAAGCAAAATGGTCAACCGGTTAATTGATCTTTTGACGTTCGGGCTGACCCTTATTAGACGCATAGAAACACAGTTTCGACTTCTATGTTGATACCATCAATTAAAACGAGTCGATTAGGACGACGATGAGGCCAACTGTTATAAGCGACATGAAGGATGTTACATATTTTCATTTGGTTGACCAAATCAGTGGAATAGTCGACTGAATGTGTTTGCTAGACTCCAAATTACTATTACTTGGAGTTAATCCAAGAGACCATAATAGAGTTACCTTTGTACGATATTATTAAAAGTATGCTATGACTACTTTGAGAAAGGTAAAAGTCAGACATACGGTGTCAAATGTTTGTTCTGAGGTCCTTTTTTGAATTTAAGTTATCATATGTATAGCCATAAAGTGTTACCGTCCATTCAGTTATTGTAATACTCTATATAGTTTGATTGACGTCCTAACACCTTTTGCCAGAAAATTCTTCAACGTGTTTGATGGGTTGGGTACTCTCTGTGCCATGAAGGTGTCTCGGTTGACGGCTTGTCCTGATACTCTACTTGGCATGTTTTACTTTGGTTCCTGTTGACTTGATGAAATGTGACCGTGTTCGTGATGGCTACCTAGCTGAGTGTCGAGTTACGGTAATAAGTTATAGATATCAAAGGAAAACAAGTCCAAGCTAGAGATGTCAAGGATAAGTTCAATCCCTTCAAATGATAAACGAAAATGAAAAGAGAACGAGCTCTCTTATTTTCCATTGACATATTTCTGAAATGAAAATAGAAAACAGGATCACTATTACACTAATAAGTTTATTCGCACTTCAAACACACATCTTAAGTACATATTAGAAACTCTCAAGTCTTGCAAAATAAAAAAATAAACACTCTCAAATCACATACGCAAGTCGATCTGCCCATTTATATCTACTACAAAGTTATCTAGAACCAAGCTTTGCATCCACCGTGAAATTGTTGACACAAACTTGTAGAGTTGTAACTGATCAATTGCGGTCATTATCGAGACGATCGTGATGTCCGATGCCACGATGACCATAACTCGGATTCTCTCCGGCGGCGGAAGCAACGAGATTGTATCTATTGCTTTGAACCGAACCATGTGGACGACGATCACCACCTCGATCAAGCTCGTCTTTGCTCAAGCTGCTGCTGCTGCCGCTGCTTAAACCAGCAAAACCGCACTTGTTAGTTTCAGTCGTTCTCACAGATTGAGAGGCGGAAAAACGATAGGCGGCGGCAACTGTTGAAGTAACCAGCTGGGCTGATGCAGCAATGGCGATAATCATCATCATTATCAGCAGAGCTGGGGAGCAAGTGGATTTCAGTAGCGTCCTCATGTTTGTGGAAAGCTAGCTACTGGTGGTATAGATTTTGGAGTTGCTTTTTGGTTGTTTATGATATGTATAAAGCTAGTATTTATATGGATCATACCAATTAGGGGACAAAAACCAATGCGTAGGAATAGCTCCGAGTTTTTTCATAAGGACAAATTTGGTCATCCCGTGTGACATAACCATCATTTTTGAATAATTAGTATTATTGATTGGACAAACGAAAAATCGATTCTTGTCCACTGGCCTTCTTTCTGGCCAAATTAACTTGAGCTGCCTCGAGTTGAAAATTCACCGCAGCAATAGTGGCCACAAACCCTCAAACAAATCATCGACTCAGTCGAAAACAGACTACTTAAGCATTTCCTGTCAATAGAAGTTTGTGCATGCGTTTCGTTCGTCATATTTGAGCACATTAGTTAATGTCATGAGTCATCCTAGCTAGCCATTTCCACATAGTGCTGCTTCTTCCACTTCAGCTGAGCTTGTCTTGTAATAGCTAGGTGATTGTATTCCGAAATGCGAATAAATGAAACCAAACAAAAGCATTAGCCAAGCAGCTAGGTGTTACACAGATTTTGGTCACAATATACTTTTGTTTGCTGTGACATGGCGTTTTTTGGACCCAACCATTATTGTACTTTCATTTTCTGGCGTCTTGCAAAGGAAATGGTCAACGAAGAGTCGAAGACTGCACTTCGAATTTTGTGGTACATAGTTAATTAGTTATCATGTTTTCATTCAACCAACCATTGAGCCCAACACGAAGTTTTTTTTCAAGCACATTTCTAATCTAACCATCGATTCGATCAATAATGCGGGTACAGAGTAACGTTTCTACAAATAATAATGATTTTGTCGATTTGAACTGGTAAAATTCATAGAATAATTTAAATAATTTGAGTGACATCACTCCGTTGCATTATCGTAAGAAACTGTTCAACACTTTGATCATTCATATCACCAGAGGGTCATAATTATCTCTTAAAAGAAGAAAAAAGGCTCATTTATCCTTCACTTTTTTAAAACTATGTCTTAATAAAACTTTAAAATAACAACATCTTTCTAAGAAATAATTCACTTAATATAATTTTTTTTTTATATATATGAGTATTTGGAGATGGTACATATGGGTTTTCTCCCAAAAAAAAGTTAAGTAAGATTTTGGCATTGGTGCCTGTGTTGGTTCGATCAGGTGCTTAAGGGAAAATCGGTTATTTTTTTACGAGTTAGATGGCAGACAACGCAAACTCAACAAAATCCTTGAATAAAAATCAACGAAAGCGACCATTATGTTATAAAGTAAAAATGAAATGACTATTCGATTATAGTTTCAAAATTACGTACATTTGAACAAAGCAGAAGCTCTACAAAGCTGCATCCATTTTGTACAAATATCAAATCTAATTTGTAGTTGCTTTATATGAACAATCGCATCACATGTGTAAGTTAAACCAAAACACAACTCACAATCCTCTTTTAAGTACTCCGAGTAGATCAACTACCACGTTCTCTTCTTTAAATCCGCCGACTCGACAAACAAAACTTTAAAAGTTGCTCCAAATGCTCAATTGTAAACTTTTCAACACAGTCATTAGATTAATCCTAAGCAAAATGTTCACATACGGATTACCTTCTAACGAAAGAAACAACAATCGAAAAAATCACTACAGAACTGGCATTTACATTTTCACCTCCGGTTAATCAAACTAGGGGGGAAAAAAACAGAAACAAGAGAAAAACAGAGACGAGCGATGAATCAAACCGCAGAGATCCAGCCAGCCTAGGCCTGTCAATCCGGTTTCGGGTTTTCGGGTTAACCCAAACCCAAACCGGTTTTTCCATTCTCGGTTTCGGTTTTTTGGGTTCAACCCAATATCTATAGTATCGGTTTCGGGTTACTGAAACCCGCAAAACCGAAAAGCAACCCGCAAAACCGAAAATTGATACTCGGGCAGTGGGACTTCACGCTGTCGTTTTGGGAAGGAGAGGAAAAAAAAGAATGTACAAAAATGGCTGCGTTGACTTTCTTCTCACTGGAGCTGATAACAGAGGCGGCTTCGAATTCGACGCTGGCCTTCTTCTTCTGCAATCTGATCATCATCACCATCCTCGTCGCCTCGAAACCTCCCCCCGGCGGCGGAAGCCGAATTCGCCGCGTGTCAATGCTGGAAACCTCGTACGTCGCCGTCAATCGGCAGGAGGAGAAGGTCGTCGTCGTCGGCCGTGCTCTGCCGCCAAGCGATGAAAACAGAGCATCGCCGCTGTCGGAAACTAAGGTCGAGATGGTGATCAGTATCCACCAACAAGAACAAGAAAAAGAATTTGATGACAAATGCGGCAGCAAAGTGAAGAATGGAAATGAAGAAGAAGAAGAAGAAGATGATGATGACGAATTGAGAAGGAGATTCGAAGAGTTTATAGAGAAGAATAACAAGGAATGGAGGGCAGAATTGCTCAGAACATCGCGGCAGCTGTAGACAAAGATTATAATCTGGGTCTTCAAGCTCGTTGATTGCGTTGACAAATTCTGTCATTGGGTCGAACCAAACTAAACCCGCCAGCATCAATTTCGGGTTCCAGTACCCGAAACCCACAAAAGTGCAGTCCGGGTTCGGTTTCGGGTCGTGTGGGCGTGGGTTCGGTTGTTTTCGGTTTTTGGGTTCGGTTATCCGACCCGAACCGAACCGACAGGCCTAAGCCAGCCAGGTCTACAATCTGCGAAAGAAGAGGTCATAAATCCCCGAAACGATCCCCAAAGTGCTGAACAACACAACCAAATAGTAAATCACAATGTACGGATCCTCTTCATCACCACCAGAAGAAGAATCAGCTGTCGAAGGGCCGGCGGTGGTGGAGGAGGAAACAGCTCCGCCGCCGCGACGTATGGCAGCCGGAGATGACATGGTGAGATCGAAGGAGAGGTTGATTATCATCGCGGACAACGTAAATGCCTGCAGAAGAAACAGACAACGACGACGAAGAACAACATCTTCCTCCACTCCCCCGCCGCCCTCCTGCTTTTCTTCTCCACCCTCCATTTTTCCCCCCTTCCTCTGTTTTTCCCCCCAAAGCTGACGAGTGTATACAGACTCAGCTAGGTATAAAATCCATTTCTCCTCCATCACTTGTTCTTTATATATAATCCATTTCTGACTTCTAACTGCACCTGGAGGTTTGGATAAGGTGGGCACAGTACTAGACGTAAGCACGTGTTTACATCGTTGGATCGTGAGTTCTTGTATTCTTAGTCATTGGATGTATGTGGCCGTCGCGAAAAATTGTCACACTGAATGCACTGAAATCTCCAATGGTTGGATCTGGCAAGACCCACGATCCAACGATGTAAATACGTGTTTACGCCAAGCCTTGGTGACGCATGGGATGCTAACCCGGGCGATTGCTGGAAATGTAGTCCGGTTTTCTTGAAACCAAAACAGAGTGCACCTAAAAACGTAATAGCAATAAGTGACTTGTTGCTTGAAAGAGTAAGAAGTGCTTTCCCCAAGTTGGGGGGAGGATGCAGAGAGGGTAAGCTAGCTAGAGATGGAAATGTGGTTGGTTGTGGCTTGGGCGCTTGGCTCTGGCTGTTTGCGTCAAACGGTAACTTTCGTAGTAAATAATGAGCCCTCGTGAAGGACAGATGGGTAGGAAACCTGACAACACAAACAGACGCACTAAAGAGTGTAAGAAGGTTTCAATTTGGTTTGGTTTGGTTTGGTTAACCAAACCATTAAGTATGAAAAATCAAAAACCAAAAATCAAATTCCAAAAACCAAAAAACCAACACGTACTCATACACTCATATTTATTCCCATTTTTCTTTTTTTATTGAACAAACGTCATAATAATGGTAAATGACCATTACAAATTATTGGTTGGCATGCGTGTCAAAAGAAAAAAAAAATATTTGTTGATAAATAATTTTATTCTTATTGATTTCTTAATGGTTTCTATTGGTTTTTCGCTTTTAACAAACCAAAATCATTAAGTTGCTTATTGGTTTAAAACCGAAAAACTGAAACCATTAGTTTTCCAATTGGTTTGGTTTCGGTTGAAACCAAATGGACAGCCCTAGTTGTGAGTCGTTCACTTTAGCACCTTAAGTTTCATGGATTGACATGAAACTTTACCTCTAAAGCACTTCTACCTTTCTTTAAATCATTGGAAAACAAATTGAAGTTGTGCCATAATCTTATAGGTACAAGTTAAGGTTGTACCATAAGGGAACATGCACCTTTATGAGTTGTTCGTAACATAAAGTACAAATTTAATTTGTACCATAATTGAATTGGTACAAAAGGGTATAAGTAGAACCTGAATTTGTACCATAATATTAAAGGTAAGATTTCAATTTGTACCATATAGAAAAACATACTAAAGCACCAATACTTTAAAGTATTGTAAAATTCCTCTACCTCTGGAGCTAACCTAAGGTCTAAAATGAAATATAGTCTTTTAGCCTCGTTGAAAACTAAAATAGCTGCAAACCTGATTTTAATTGGTCTTATAATTCCTTGTTTATTAAATCTAAATTATGAATACTTGAACTTACATTTTGAAATTTAATTGGTCTTGTTCATGATCTATAAAATATATAAAGACTTTTCCAATATCCACCTTCACCGTTTCCAAAATCCAGCCCTCCTACGCATCCACATCAGCACCCTTTCCACCAATCAGATTTTTTCTTAACTTCCCTTTCCACCAATCAGATGTTTTCGTAACTTCTTTTTTTCTTTTCATTATAATTTTTCTTTGTAGTTATTCTGTACTCCAATTAGATTGTGCTACTTAACACACACTCTCTCTCTTATTTTTCAATCACCATACTATTCTTATTCGATCCACATTTTTTCCGCTTCAACTCCGAATTTAAATATTGTTGCGCAAAAAAATCAGATTTTATGTGATCTACTCAATGATACCCATTTTGATATAAGTTGCATTTTTTTTCTTTCAAAAACATTATCACAATCATATATTCACCAGTCACTCTCATATTCGATAGTTGCTAAACTATATCAATATCATTCAATTCTACCATCCTAAAACAAATTTCTTATTCTAATCTGTTACTAAATTATATCAATGTTTAATTTTGTACTATCATAATAATAATGCACAACAATTTCATGGGTGTTAAAATATTGTCGTGTGATACAAACTAAATTACCTTAAAGAAAAATCACTTCCGGCCAACTGATCAAGCTCAAAGGTACACATGATTTGGGATGACAGACAACAATAATAGTCTGAACAAAATAGACAATGTAGGAGAAAAAATATTTCAATAAGAATTTCAATAAGAATTATTATGGTCTTTTAGCCCAAGGTTGTGAACAACCTAAGTCACAAAATTTTTAAGAGTTGCATGGATCCCTAACAATGTCTACGGCCCATAAGTTCGGACCTCGAGCCCAACCCATTTTCACTCAACAATAACCAGTCAACTAAGTACTAACGAGCCCAAGCAAGTGACATGAATTTGACTGAATGATTTGTGATGGTAAACAGGGGTGGCTATACGGTCCGGTCCGGTTAAATTGGACCAAATTGATCCGGTCTAGTCCGGTCTTTTCGGGAATATAAGGACTAAAGATTGGATTGGATACAGTCCGGTCTTGATCCCGTCCAGTCTTGATCCGGTCCAGTGTTGACTCGGTCTGGTCCCAATTTTATCTTGATTTTTGGTGTAGGGGTCTTTTATCCGGTCTTTATCCGATTTTTTTACCTCAAATCTAAGCCCGAATATGAGATTGCATTGTTTGCTTTCCGGTCCCAATCCAATCACGATCCGGATTATACGGTCCGATTTCGAGTAAAACCAAACAATCCGGGACCAAATAACCCGCACTAATTGTAAATACCGTAGTTCCATTCTTCCCACTTCCCAGTATGCAATCCAACTGGCAACTACCCCACCCAAATAAGGTAAACTTGATTAGTGATTAGCATCACGGGGCTACCACCGTCAGCTCACTACTCTCACTCTCAATTCTCAAGTCTCAATCGATCTATATCTTGTCTCTCTACCTGTACCATTACCAATTTACCATCCACCTCCATTACCTTCCTTCTATATTTCATATTCACACTGCTCGTCTTATGATGTCGCAGTTAAGTCTCTAACCAAAAGTTCGATAAACCCACCTTTTTCCAGGTAATTTTAGACAGCCCATCATTAAAGAACCAGATGCTCAGCTACCCAAAAGCCCACCATTATGGCACAATGAGTATACTAGTATAGTTTAGGGTATTGACTTGTGGAGCCATGACTGTCTGAGTTGCTGGCAGACTGGATTGCGGTTTGCTGCTCAGTTCACCCCCTCTTCAAAAAAGTTGGAATTGGACAAAACCCGAAAAAAAAGCAGCCGAGAAAGATCGAAACCTCTTCCCACTTTAGCTCTCTTTCTCCCCACCGCAAAGCAATTTGTCGGTCTCTTCCCAATTCATCTCTTCTTGTGCTCTGCCAACCCGTTTCGCCTTTAACAATGGATCCCCATCTCCTTCTCTTCCTTCTTCTCTCAACATCTTCCCTCTCAGGTTCTCCCTTTCCCAGTACCCCAAATTTAGTTCCCTTTCTCGAGGACCTTCTAATCCTGGGTTCCAATTTTGTTTCCTTTTTTTTTTCTGTTGTTGCAGGAATTGAGTCGGCGGCTACTTTCAAGCTCACAAACCTCTGCCGCCAAACAATCTGGCCGGGGCTGCTCTCCGGCGCCAACACCGCCCAGCTCCCCACCACCGGTTTCGCCCTCCGCCCGGGGAAATCCAGAGCAATTTCCATCCCCTCCGGCTGGTCCGGCCGCATATGGGGGCGGACCCTCTGCGGGACCGCCGACGGGAAATTCTCCTGCCTCACGGCCGATTGCGGCTCCGGGAAGGTCGAGTGCGGCGGGAGCGGGGCCAAGCCGCCGGCGACCCTAGTCGAATTTACCCTCAACGGCGCCGACGGGCTGGACTTCTACGACGTCAGCTTGGTCGACGGCTACAACCTCCCGATGCTGGTTTTCCCGCAGAAGGTGACCCGCGGGGGTTGCGGCGCCACCGGGTGCTTGATTGACCTCAACGGCGCGTGCCCCAAGGAGCTGAAGGTGGTGGCGCGTGATAAGGGTAGGGTCGGCGGTGTCGCGTGCAGGAGCGCGTGTGAGGCGTTTGGGGATCCCAGGTTTTGCTGCGCTGATGCCTACTCCACGCCGGAGACTTGCTCGCCGTCGGTGTATTCGCTGTTTTTCAAGTACGCTTGCCCGCGATCGTATAGCTACGCGTATGACGACAAGACCAGTACGTATACCTGTGCCAATACGGACTACACCATCGTATTCTGCCCCCGGCCGTACACCAGGTAAGAAATTTGATGAGCTGATTAGCAATAAGTGCGCGCCATTGGATCAGTAATCAAGTAATTACTAATTAGTCCAAAGATGTCACCTTTGACTTGAGTACTTAAACATTGATGGATGTTCTGATAATTCTGCCTGTTATCTGTTGTTTTGCTGCATAAGATTGAAAATTCAATACTATGAAAGTAGGCTAATTTAATTTCCATGCCTAGCTAAGTGATACAGAACCAGACTTCACATGCTATATTGCTATGGATCGGTATTATTAGTGCCAACTGCCAAGAACAGGTGTAACTGTAATGGTGAATGTAGTGGTGATAGGATATTAAGGATTGTGTGTGGCCTAGTTGGCTGTGTTAGGAAGGTTTCCTCTGGCTCGCTAGGGCTTGCAGTAGCGTCAGTGGTCGCGTCTTGACATGGTTGTGATATGAGAAGGAAGCAAGCATCGAAATCGTTCATGAAAGTGTGTCGTTCTTACTTAGGCTCCCAGGGTTGAACTGGGAAATATGAATATTTTCTGTGTCGGGGAGGATTGATGCAGGCAGCACTTAGCTTCTTCATGTAGGGTTGTTATGGTTTTTCGATTCACTTGCTAATTGCAATTGGCTAATTGCTTGTTCTCTGGCGTTATGTTTTGCAGCCAGGAAGTTCTGGGAAGAAGGAAAGATGGGGCATCCCTGCCACTGGTTAACAAGACGTCCATGTACTGGCCAAGCAGACATCCCAATGGTGCTTTCTCTTCAGGTCTGTTTGCGAATTCGCGCCCCCTTCCACACTTTATACTCTGTTTCTGCCTCTCTTACATTACTAACATAAGCCAATATGCTTGACACTTCCAGTGAGATAGCAGTGTAGACGAGGTGCAGCAGCTGACGAGAGTATAGAAGTACGACAACACGTTCCAACGATCTGCTGCGATCCTGGCTGATACTCCCTGAGCATGACGTAGGTTCTGTAAACAGACATGAAGTGAGGAGGCGATCGAAGTGCAGCACGCCAACCTAAATTCCACGACGAAATTTTGTGCAATTCCATACGCCTTAACTAACTACGATACACTAACTTTCAGCATTCAGCAACAATGAAGAATGAGGAAGGGGATACAATTGGGTTTCAGTTCAATCCCTACTGTTCAGTTCATTCTGAATGTCAATGTATTCTCTAATTACTTCATCATTGGACTGCGCATAACTGTTGTGAGTTTTCTTGTTGAAGTCATGTTTGGAAAACCATACAATATCAAATTCGGTTCGGTTCAGCATTTCACACAAGACCGCATTTCACACAAGACCGAATTTGTGAGAATACTTGTATCTTCTTCATTTTAAATTATTTTTCAACCCTAATGGCTAATGTAAACAATAAATATACAATTATATGCATTATCATTGATAAAATCAAACATTTCAACACATAAGCCTAAAACACTAACATGATTCAAATATTTAAGTCTCAAAATAGGTACAAACATAAAAATCTATCATTTGGAGCTTGCAATTATAGTAATTCGACTTTGAAATTTCGGTTCAGTTGAAAGAATCCTGATTTTCGAAATATTCATATTCCCTTCCGAATTTCTAACCAAATAACATCATTTCAATTTTGGTTCGGTTTAATTCGGTTTCGATTCAAGTTTACCGAACCGGTTGCCCACCCCTAACCTGCTTGGCTAATGGGCTGGACTGGACATCTTTCTCCCATGAAGATAAACCGGCGGTTCGATCTGGTGTGGCAGTTCAGCTCCTTGAAAACGCAGCGTTTAGTTAAGTAAGCTAGGAAAAAAGAAATCTTGGTTCTGGATCTTCTTCTTCCAAAAATCACGTTCCATCCCCCGCAACCTACCATACTTCCTCACCTCTCTCGTCGCCAGTTCCTCAGCCACCACAGCCGCGCTCACGACGACCAGACTTTCACGGCAAGGCCACGGAGGAGCGGCTGGCCGATTTTCCCTCCGGTCAGATTCAGGCGCGCAGTAGGCTGATACCCTTTGGGCCTTTTCCCGTTGATTGCTCGTCGATTTCCGCATGACAGGTTGGAGTTCTGCATCTTTATGTTGATTCAGATTTCCCCACCAAGATGAACGCGTTCTGAATTTTCAGTTTTTGATTGATCTCTGAGGGATCTCGATAGGCTTCTATCGAGAATTCGCAAGGAGTAGTTGGTTTAGTTGTAAGTTGTACCAGGCAGGCTATGCAATAGGAGTGTGTTGTGTAGCTTAAGTTGATGTGAATTATGAGTTAGCAGATTTCAGTTTCAGCTTCCAATAACTTCCTGTTTCGGAAGTGATGCTAAACTTGGCTTTGGGTTTTCCTGACCTCCAATATTCTTCCTTTTATTTCACGTCTTCTCGGTTTGGCATTTTGATCTCCTCGAATTGGCTGTTTCTTTCTACAGATTTGGTCGAGTAACCCTTCTTGGTCTATTCAAGCTCTAGTCTTTCTCCATCCTCAGAACGGTAATTTCTCTTTAATTCCATCTTGATGATTCAGTACCACCAGCTTATGTGGAAGTTAGAACCCCATTCAGCTTCAGAATCTGCACTTTCATCGAGTTGAAGGCACTCGTTAATCTCATTTTTTCGATTGAGTTGTTTGATTTTGGCCTTGTGGCCGGGCCAGCATTTATGATTCGTTGTTGTTTTCATTTGGTACTTGTAGTGGTGGAACAGTGAATCTGCACAAAGACTTGCACTGCCTGAAATCTGCAATGCTAGCAAAGGGCACATTTTCCTCGCCCAGTTCAACACTGCTTCCCCTTAGTATACCACGCGGTTCATCACGCTCGGATTCTTTAACATGTTGGCTACAGGGGAAGCAACAAAGAAAGATCATTTGTGCATGTGTGGCGCCTCCTCTAAATATAGGCAGCGATGGAATTCCAGAAACTGCAAACAATGTAAAATCTTTGACACCTGATGTCTAGAATTTTTGAAGTGAGTTTAAAGTTGTTGGGTTCGTTTCTTTGGCAGGAGAGTGTCTAATATCCTGCTTTAGTTAAGATGATTTTTGAAGTTCTCGTTTCCTTGTGCTTTTCATCGTTATTGGAGACTTACATCTCAGATCCATGTTAAATTTGGCTTGTTGGGTGGACTGTTTATACCCTTCGATCACTTGGTAGGGAGAAATTGCTGAACTTCTAGGAACTTAATTTACCTAAATTATCTCCATAACCCCCTCCCAGCCATTTTCATATTTTCCTAATGGGGATTTGTCTCAATATTGAATCAGCATATAAACAAATCAGAGAAATCGGAGACGTTGCACCCAATATCGGAGCCAGAGGATGATTCTGACGTCCTTATTGAATGTAAAGATGTGTACAAGTCATTTGGTGAGAAGCATATATTACGAGGTGTGAGCTTCAAGGTGAATCTTGTCTCTAGTTAGTTTGGTATTGGATTGCTAATTCCATGAATAATACAGTCTATTGATCAAGGGGTTACAATATTCTTTTGCGTGCATGTGTACCTTTTGAAGTACCATTGAAGTTCGCTTATGCCAATATGTTAATATTACCCTTGTGCTTCCTTTTCTTCCTGGAATTTTACTGTAGATCAGACATGGTGAGGCAGTTGGAATAATTGGACCTTCGGGCACTGGCAAATCTACAATATTGAAAATAATGGCTGGACTTCTTGCTCCAGACAAGGTTGGAATCATGCGTAATGTTCCAATCTCGGCCTAGTTATAGTCTGTAGCTTGTTTACGTGATTTTTTCTTGGCTACATTTATGTTTATTTAAATGGTTGGATGAGCAGGGCGAGGTTTACATTCGAGGTAGGAAACGAGATGGGTTAATTAGCGACAATGAGATCACTGGCTTGCGAATTGGATTGGTGAGTTAGTCTCATTTTGTAGATGATATTCAAATATATATATTGCCATTGACCTTCTCATAGTGATTTTACTTCCAAACATAGGTGTTCCAAAGTGCAGCGCTGTTTGATTCTTTAACAGTTCGTGAAAATGTCGGTTTCCTGCTGTAAGAGAATCTGATTTTCCCTGTGTAGCTGCAGAAGTTAGCACTCTTTTACTACCATTTTTGCCCTTCTCTCTATTCAAATGCATGCTTGAATTGCTTGGTGTTTTCTGCTTTTCAGGTACGAAAATTCTACAATGCCAGAGGAGCAAATCTCAGAGCTTGTGACAGAAACATTGGCTGCCGTTGGTTTAAAGGTACGCCATCTATTCAATACAGCTGTTTCCTAACATTTTTTACTTCTCTCAGTTTGTGTGCTAATCTCCTCATTTCCATAAGTTAGAGAATGGCGGTCATGTTTTTGCAGTATTATTGCAATATAATGTAGATAGATTACTTCGAACCTTCATTCCCAAATCTGATACCTCAATAGAAGTCTTGAAACTTCCCGTCCACACTTTTTTACTAATACTATTCTATCAATTTAATTTGCTCACATACCTAAAATGTCTGTCCAGGGAGTTGAGGAGCGGCTGCCTTCTGAGCTATCTGGCGGAATGAAAAAAAGAGTTGCTTTAGCTCGATCTATAGTTTTTGACGCTACCAAGGCCACCATTGAGCCAGAGGTACATCCACTAAGATGGCCATTCTGCCAACTAGTTTTTGAATGTTGATACTTCAAGTCATCATTTTTGTGACAAATGAGCATGCTTGATACTCTTGTGGTACCAGTGATTAGAGCGTTAATGTGATCTTTGAATAGGTGGTTTTGTATGATGAACCAACAGCTGGACTTGATCCGATTGCGTCAACTGTGGTAGAAGATCTCATTCGCTCTGTCCATATGACGGGGGAGGACACAGTCGGCAAACCTGGCAAGATTGCTTCCTATGTTGTGGTTACTCATCAACACAGTACCATTAGAAGGGCTGTCGACAGGTTAACCTGAGATTATAGACTAATGTCTATATATTGCCCAAAGTAGGAGGAGAATTATGCTTGTATGTCTTGTCTCACAACAACGTTCTTATACATGCAGGTTACTGTTTCTTCATAACGGGAAGGTCGTGTGGCAAGGAATGACTCATGAATTCACTACATCAACCAATCCTATTGTTCAGCAGGTACTTAACAAGTGAAAGTTAACCATCTGTCGATAAAAAAATGTACATAGTAGCTCCGATAAGGTTATTTGATACCCTTTTTCATCTGTGTGTGTTCCAGTTTGCATCAGGCAGCCTTGATGGTCCGATTAAATATTAGAGGACACCATCTTTGTTTGAGCCGATGGCTCCTATAGTCTTATCAATAACAGAAAATAGGTGCTGACGATGGTACAATTCCTAGTTGTTTGTATCCTTCCTCCCGGATCTGGACTCATTGTGGACGGAACATCTTAGTACCAAGAGCATCTCTTAGCTCAGCTGTACAAGGTTCGCTGAGTTTTGTTGGTTGCCATTTTTGTGCAGTATGTGGGAAGGAAGAATGGTGGTAGTTTGCAGGTTTGATGCTATTATTGTTGCTAATTCTTGTTTACTAAATTGAACGAAAAATGAGACCAATTCATGTTTAGGCCTCGTGCCTTTCTGGAAGGGGACTGCATTTCGAAATGCCAGGTCGTTTGGTTCCTCTTTGTAAACTTTGTTGTATAAGGTTGATTGCCCGCGTTTATCGATCAATCAATAAAGCTTCTACGCGATGGCTTCGAATGAGAGTAGAATGTGATTGTTAAACACCTAACAAGTGAAATGCTATCAGGATGCAAACTTGTCTTGCATACACCGCGCAGCCTACTTACTGCATCACTGTTCTTGATCTCATTTTTAAGTACTATGCAATAGTTCACAGGCTTGTAACACTTTCGATTTCTGAAATGAAGAAGATTTTCATTGTGCAGAAAAAGAAGAAGCAACAACACTTTGCATACATACTACTCAGCGATTGCATCAAACATTACATCAAGCCATTGCTATGGCTACATAATACATACAAACCATAAGCTAGTTTTACAATATCCAATTAGCAGACTGCAATTTACTTGCAAACACAGCATGAACCTTTTGTGTGGAAGATGTACCTTCTGGTTTTCGCCGAACAGAACAGAACCATAAGACTAGAATAGCAACTAACTACAGCACTCAAGCAGAAAACCCATGCCAATATCGGCCCTTCATCATTCGTTCCACGAAATGACCTTCCGGGAATTGCCAGCTGGCTCGCACCATCATCACATCCTTCCTCCACCAAGCACAAATGTGGGTTCCCAGCAAATGCTCCCGGGAACCTCTTGTAACTCTCATTCTTTGGTACGGACCCAGAAAAACTGTTGAACGACAAGTTCAAAACTGCTAGGTCACGAAGACTCGAAATGTTCTGTGGAATCTCCCCAGAAAGAGCATTGTGCGCCAGATCGAGAGCTCTCAAACTCCACATCTTCTCCAGATTTGGAATCTCACCGTTGAGAGAGTTGTAGGATAAGTTCAGGTACTCCAAACCTCGTAGGGCAAATATGGTGTCTGGAATCTCACCACGTAGCAAGTTATCAGATAGATCAATAACAACTGTTGATGGTAGTTGGTAACTGAATGTTAACTCGTTGATGCCAACAACCGCAACAGATATCTGTATCTCAGGTGATTCCATTGGAAGTCTCGTCCCATTGTAGCTTGCATTGTTGAAATCGAAGCTCACGTTCAGGTTACCATCTGGGATAAAGCCGGAGAATTTGTTCCCCGACAAGTCCATTATTTGGATTGCTTGAAAAGAGAACAACCAACTAGGTAGATTTCCGGTGAACTTGTTCCGAGCAAGCGAGATATACTTGAGATTCAGCCATTTGGTAATTGCATCGTTGATACTGCCCGAGAGATTGTTGGAACTGAAATCCACAACCTCAAGGGACTTGCATCCAGCTAAAGTCAAAGGAATCTCACCTGAGATCGTATTGTTGCTTATATCAAGTATCTTCAAGCTGTCCAATGCATCTAGCTCAGGCTGAATCTCACCAGAGAGATTGTTGTTGTTAAGCACCAGGGCCAGCAGTTGAAAACACCCAACAATCGTCAAAGGTATTGAGCCTGACAATGTGTTGTGCGAGAGATCTATCACTTGGAGGTAGGTCAAATTTCCAACCCTTGCAGGGATTTCACCAGTAAGCAAATTGTGAGAAAGAAACAAAGCTTGCAAGCTTTTCAGCTCCGTCATCTTTAATGGGATAGAGCCAGAGAAACGGTTGTGAGATAGGTCGAGAAGAAGAAGCCCTGATTTATCCGTCGTTGTTGCAATCTTAGCTGGAAGTGGACCGAAGAGATCGTTGAAGCTCAAGTCCAGCACAAGAAGCTTCTCATAGAAAATGAGTCTAGGGGATATAGAGTTCAACTGGTTAAGTGATAAATTGAGATGAGTCAATTCCGCCAGTGAAGCAATGCACGTAGGAATCCCTCCAACAATGGAATTGTTAGCCAAATTTAGAACCTTGAGGGAATGAGCAGCAGCAGAGTAACATGGTAAAGTACCCGAAAAAGAATTAGACCCGAGATTGAGGAACATCAAAGGCTGAGAGAACTCAGCAATGGTACCTGATAAATGATTGCTTTCAAAATCCAAGTACTTCAACGACCTGGACTGAAACAAGCTATCAGGCATTTGGCCGTGGAATGAACTGAAACCCAAGTCCAGTTTTTCCAAACTGGTTGAGAAATTGCCAAGCCAAGATGGAATAGCACCACCCAGATCCAGATTCCCACGCAGTACAAGTTCTCTCAGCTGACCAAGCCTCATCAGACTATCAGGCAAAACACCATGGAATTTGTTGTGGCTCAGGTCAAGGGTTCTGAGGTTCTTCAACCAACCAAAGCATGCTGGGACTTGACCAAAAAAGCTATTCGTCGAAAGAATCAAGGACTCGAGATCGACAAGCTTGCACATGCTAGGATGAATTCGACCTGAAAGATTCATGGTGGTGAAATCAATTGAGATAACTCGGCCTGTGTGGTTGTAGCTAGGGATGGCAACCAAACCCGAACCCACGGGTACCCATCCGACCTAACCCGGTCAACGCGGGTAAAATCCGTGTTGACGGATTTTGGGTCGAGTTTGGGTTTAAACCCGTTCACTATTCACCGAGTTGGGTTGGGTTTGGGTTTTGGTAAACCCGACCCGTGGGTACCCGCCCACACATATAATTAATTTTCTCGGTGTATTTAATATATTAAACAACTAATCTTATTTATGTTTGTGGAGACATGTCTAATTTTTTCTTTCTAATTGTGTAGAATGAAGTTTGTGTTATCGAGTGGAGAGTGAAAAAAATTAATTGAAATGAAGAAGCCTTCAATTAATCATGTTATTTATGGATAATTTATGATTTACTTCAATTTTCTTGAGTTTTCTAGATTGGTGTTGAACAATTTGTATAGTTAATTTGTGATTTGCTTGAATTTTCTATAATGGTGTTTTAAATATGGATAATTTGTATTGAGAGATTGATATTTGACTTTAACTTTGATAGGAAGTTGTTATTGTAAATTTTTTACGACAAAAGCCCGTGGGTACCCATGAACCCGCGGATACCCAGCGGGTTGGGTTGGGTTTGAGTTTTTCAAACCCAGTGGGTTTTACCCCGAATTTTTTTTCACGGATAAACCCATGGGTTTGGGTTTGGCAAAACCCGACCCAACCCGACCCATTGCCATCCCCAGTTGTAGCATCCAATCCCCGTCCAATTCGTGCAGTTGGAGCCAACCCAGCTTGACAATGAGTGGTTTGGGTCATCATCAATCCACGAGCGAATCAGTAACAGGGAAGCCTTTTCTTGTGGGTTGAGATCAACAGATAGACATTGCCATGAACACAGCATACACAATACCAGCCACGGCAGCAGATTCACTTTCAGGGTTTTAAAGAGGAAACAAGCTGAAACCCATTTCACTTCCATGGCCGTACAACATCCCAACTTATCAGCCTATGCGTCAAATGGCAGCTAATTGAGCAACTACTGTGAATTGGGATACCAGAGAGCAATACCACCGAGTTTCGGCTGATAGCCTGAGTTTTTCAGCATCCTCCTCCCTGTTTCATTTCACTCGCATTCTCCAGCCGCCGATCAGTAGCTATCGGCGAAAGTAGCGTTGGGTGGTGGTTGCGCCGCCACCGCAGAAACTGTCCGGTGAAATTCCTCAAGGCCGACGGCCGATTCTCTCAGCTGCAGAACCAGTTAACTGTTAAGCTATAGGCGTCGTCTCGTTCTCCGACGCTTTTACTCCAGCGGCGATCATCTCAACTCACTTTACCAATTTACCCGCTCATTTATATGGGCCTTAACAAAACGAGTTACTCCGGGCTGAAGAGTTTGGGCCTCCGCATGCAAGCCGTATCCATTGGTGAAGGATTAGGCCCATAAATGAAAAATGGGCCAACTTCGTCATGCTTTTTGGATGCCATACCCAACGCCAAGTTTCCTTCAATTCTTCATGCTCTATTTGTGATGCCAGCCATGGCGATTCTCGTATCAGCTCTACTGTATATAAAGAGATGTTTCGCACTTCGTATTTTCGCAAGAGAGAAAATGTGAGGAAAGGTATGATCAAGAGAAACCCTCCGCAGCTAGTAAATGTTCTATTTCAACCATTTCTTTTACCTAGTTTGCCGGGATTTACTCTCTCTCTCAACTCCACTAGTTTGCCAGGATTTTGGAGGATCGAATGGGGGCGATAGGAGGTCTACTTATAATGGTTTTTGTCATGCCAAGTGGTCGGAGGCATGTTGTTTGGTGCAAACATCATTCGCGATAAGAGCATATTAATGAAAGTACAACAGTACCTGCGAGCATATATTTACTATATATATATATAGATCAAGAGTCGAAAGATGTGCCAAACATCATGCCGCAAAACATAACAAAATTGAAGTGTTGTTCAATCTGGTTCGGGTTCTTCATCAATGCTACTTCTTAATGGATATAAAAATGTACCTTATTAGTCAGAAAGATTAGCGTATTGACAATCTAGTCAAGGAAGATTAAGTAGTTACTAGGCGGTATTTAATTATTTCCAGTCATTTTTTCCAATTTGTTGGGCTCCATGATGATGTGTGTGAGTGTGATTGTGTGTAACGAAAACTGTCACTTGAGCTCAGGATGAGTACTAATGTTACTTGCTTAGAACTGATCATGTGCGATTTGATCCTACCAGTTGCATATAATTTTTTTTTTATACTTTGGTATGCAAACCGTTGGATTAAATTATTAGTGTATAGTGGATGATTTCAGTACTCGTGCATAATTGGGTATTACTACAATTCGATGGAAAACAAAAACTTAAACATTGATTTAGTCGTGGTTCAACCATTTTCTACAGCTAAAGTCATCAATTGGTTTGGATTCGTTATCCAGTATTTCCTGTCCGACCATATGGTTTTAAAACATTAAATAATGAAAGACAAGAAGACATATTGGTGGAAGGGAATAAAAAGAGACATGGGATGGGATTAACAGAAAAAAAGGAACAAATTGGAATGAATTCCAAAATGAAAATAATAGAGATGCAGTAGGGCCAAATTAGCAAAGAGTAGCAGTTAAAACTTAAAACAGGGGTTTCTTTCTTTCTGTCTCTGTGTCTTGTCAGGGAGATACGACGCCGTTTCTCTCAATGAGCAAATTCCAAAACGGCGTAGTATCCTATCAGCACCGGCAACGACACGATCATCCCAAATATCACCCTGCATCCCAATCGAACATGCATGAAACCAACTAATTAGCCTTTTAATTACATGCATTTATGCATGGTAATTAATTAAAACAATTAAGAGTCAAAGTACTTACGCTGTGCTTAGGACCTCCGCGTGGAGGCCGTACTCCTTGGCGAAGATGAACGACGTGATCGATTGCGGCAGCGCCGCCTGGATGATGGCGACGCGCAGGACGTCGCCGTGGAGGCCGACGACGATGGATGCGATGGCCATGGCGGCGGGGCCGGCGACGAAGCGCAGGACCATTCCGACGACGGTGAGGGTGGCTCCGCAGGCGATCAACTTCTCCTGCATAGCCATGAAGATCCCTGCGCATCGTTTCATTCCATATATACTTCCATTAGTAAAAAAAAAGGGGGAAAGCACGTTACGTAAGAAAGAAGCAAGGTTTTTAATTTTGTGCGGTTTGATTAATTACGTACCCATGCTGAACATGGCGGTGCCGGTTCCGGCTTTGGCCATGATGGAGACTGATCCATCAACTATGCTTGGCATCTCGATATGCCACCTGCAAGCGTAATAATGGCCCATTATTATTATTATTATTATTCCATCAAAACAATTAAGCATAAAAACTTTAATCGTTTCATGGCTACGTAATGCCTTTGTTTCGTTTTTATTAAATTCGTGATGTGATTAGCTACGTGACAAAACCCAATGAGGGGGAAAAAAGGAATGAGAATATGTTAATGTGTGTGTGCCATTTGATGTAAAGTTTTTATTTATTTATTTACATAATTGTAAGCGTAATATAAGTTTACTTTTACGGAGTCAGGTGTTATGGATATGATATAATTTTTTTACGCGTTTGATAAATTTATATTTGAGAAAATATATAAATAAGTAATACAATTAAGGTGATATATAGTGTTGTGAGGGGTGGTTTGTATGAACTAGTTACCAATATGGCATTTGTAGTGTTAAATAACTTATTAATTTTTTTCTACGTGGTATTTCAATAACAATTCAGTTGTAATTTTGTTAGGCAGCTGAACCTTTGCAGTTAAAAGCACGGTTTTATTGTAGATACCCTTTGATAACCTAGAAAAATAAAAAAAATAAAAACAGTAAACTTTTGAGCTTTTAAAATGCGATTTTGCCTGCATAAAATAAGAAAACCTTTTAAACATGCATGTAAAATGCGATTTTGACTACATTAGACCGACCCATTAACATGTGCCATTTGACAATAACAAAAGGAAAAAAGCCTAGTTATTTCTAAACAACTGATGAACTGTTGTCTCGAACATACCTGTTAGAGACAAAGGCCCAAGCAAGCCCGATAATACAGGCGTACGAATTCGGGTTCGACGCAAGCTTCACCCACACCACCTTCATCAACCCCCAAAACGGCGGCCGCCCCACCACCACCACCGCCATCTCCACCTCCTCGCCGGCCACACCACCACCGTCAACATCCCCCCCGCCTTCCAAATCCTTCCCACCTTTCGCCGGAACAACCACAACACCACCACCACAATCAAGCCCCGTCCGCCTAAACTCCAACACGAACAACAACAACGTCAGCCAAACAATGGCCTGGACCACCGAGCCTTGGACCACAATATCCACCCCGACCGGCCCGTACATGGCCCGCATGAGCGGGACCCCGACCACCAGCGAGTTGGTCAGGGTGGAGAGCGAGTAGCTGGTGATGGACCAGCTGTAGCGGCTGGTTCCATCCTCCTCCTTGGGCCTGGACCTGGCCCACAGGCCCAGAACCAGGACGATGATGAGCTTCGAGACGGCGTCGGCCGCCACGAAGCGGTAGTTCATGTGGAACGGGTCGATGTGGGCGGTGAACTCGAAGGCGAAGAGCGGGAGGGTGAAGTAGCAGACGAGGCGGTTGATGGCGCCGCACTGCTCCGTGGTGAACACGCACCACCAACGGACCGAGCCGTAGCCGAGGATTAGGGCCACGTAGAGCGGGACCATGGCGACGATCACTTTGTACACGTCGTCCCACCCTATCATTTCTTTGTTTTGTTTGTGAATGAGAGAGAGGAGAGGAGGAGGAGGGTTAGTGATTAGGAATGGAGGATTTGATATGGGGAGATAGGGAGTGTATTTATAATGGTAGAATGGACTATGGTGATGGAACACTAACTATTCACTACGCCATGCAAAAACAAGGTGCGTTGGTTTCTTTTGCATAATGTTGTTGTTGGTATGGTGACGGGGGGAGAGGGTTTTGGTGGAACTATTACGTGGGGAATTATATTCCATTATTATTCTTGATGGAGTAGTGATGAAATTTTCACTTGAAGAGGTGATGTTTGATTACTTTGTGGTGGTTATCAGCATGAACAGAAAATCTCTCAGTCGTAGAAGGCTTTGATATCATGTAGGCGGTGTCCATTCGGGTTTGATTTTTCGGGTTTACCCAAAACGATTATATACATTTTTCGATTTTTCGGGTTCGGGTTCATTCCGGGGTTTTTGGTTTCGGGTTCGGTTTTGCTTATCGGGTTTTTGGGTTCCGGTCGAAAACCTCCAATGAATAGAACTCAACCCGTATTCTGAGGCATTCGGGTTTTCGGGTTTCGGTTTTGCTTTAACCGAACCCGAACCCGATAAGGAAAATTCAGGTTTCGAGTAACCGGAACCTGCAAGTCCTTATCGGGTTTGGTTTTAGTGATTTTCGGTTTCGGGTAACCGAACCCAACCCGAACTAACACCCCTAATATCATGTTAAGAACCACGGTTGTTGCGAATAACTCGAGTTGTTGGGAGATGTGCAATTATAGATCGTACACCACTTACTAACATCGTGTTAGGGTCGTTGGTCGGTCTAGTAACATGGTTGTCCATTCGGTGTGACGAAAAAAAAAAACATTTCCTTGTAACCTAGTTTAGTGGGTTGGGTTTGATAATACAGCTTGGTTTTCAATAGTTGAATTGAGCTCCTTGATCTTATTTTTACTCGTTAACCCCGAGTTGTCTATTGGGGGAAAAGATTATAATTTGTGGTGCATATATGTAGAAGAGATTTAGGGGTGTTCGATGGATATGGTGACTATATATTCCTTCCAAGTTCCAAACGTAGCTTCAATTGGCTAGCAACCTCATATATATGATGATAGTTTGAGTGATCATCTTCTTTTACTTTATGTCAATCAACAAGGTTGTCCGCATTTTCCTTGACAAATTAAAGGGGTGCAAAATCTTTTCTCAGATTTCACTCTGAGATTTATGCCACAACAAACCACCTTCTCACTCTAATAAAATGTTGTTTGAACGAATTTGAAAGAAAGTGCAGTTTCTTGTAGTGTCACTTACTCTTTGAAATCAATCAATTCGTGTACAAAAGAAAGAACCCTTAATTATTCGCGACGGCAAAATTTCTCCAAAAATAACTTAAAAGTAAACTTTATAGTTTGTTCTCTTTCAATATGATTGTCACTACTATTGGTTTTGGTTCTTGAGTATACGGTCAGCAATTGAGCAATGGGCGGGAGACTAGACCATAGAAATTTAGAATATTAATGGAATGAGGTCTCCAGCGTTTATTCCACAAACACATTCCTCTCTCAATGTGGGTTTCAATTTCATTTCATGTCGCACTTTGTTTATTATTCTTACACATTTGTGGCCATGAAGTGGAGCTTTCACCTAATAGCTGCGGGCAATAATATATACACACACACTCAGATTATGCAATTCCATGCTATATAATTAGTAGATTATATTTATAATTAAACCTAGCTTGCTTAATTGCTAGCTAGTTGGTTATTTGTAAGCAAGCATATATATCATCCCAATGTGATGAGTTTACATTAAGTTGTAGGACCTGGAAATTAAGAAAAAAGATCAGAGATTCATATAACTAAACAAGTTGGTCGTGTAACGCAGGATTAAATGACTTTCAAAGGACAAACTCAATCCTAATACAAAGAAACTGGATACAAACTTGTGATTTTAGATCTAACATGGTCAAACGAACCACATCGAGAGACATGTCAAACTCCAACTCCAACTGACCAATCCAACTAATACGAGACGAACCCAAAAAACCCAAGCGTTGCGCCGCCCAATTGCGTGCTAACCTAGTTGGTCAACTAATACAATATGGTGAAGATCGTGAAAATAGAAATCCGTTAAACAAAGTGTGTAATAACTTACCTGATTAATTAACTAGTCTCGAAAACGAACGATGCTTAATTAAGCGCGCAACCAACACTCGACCGTGGGGTGTTTAGAAAAGCACCAACTCAGTTTCACTATCGGAGGCACTAGCTAGCCAACCAAGTGTCAACAAGCTAAGCAAGGCAAAGTAAAGACACCAAAAACCGCCATCCCCACCATGCACTTAAGCCACGCCAAGTTTTGAGAAGGCCCGCAGTTGACATGGCAGCTACTCAGCTCCTTCTTACACTCTGCACTAGGATGACAATTTCGACCTGACTTGTTATACCCGACCTGTTTGGCTTGTTTTTGGGCGGGTCAGACCCGCCCCGTAGGCGGGGCGGGGCGGGCATGGGTAACTCTTTTCGACCCGACCTGCTCTGACCCGCCCCATTATCGATCCGTTCTTGCCCAAATTACATGTAACCTTAGTCAAATTACTTAGGATTTTCCTTTTATTATCACATATTTTAGCTATAAAAAGTTGTAAATAAGTGAAAACCTCAATTTCTCTAATAATTTGACTACATTTTATCATATTATGGTTTGTTACTTGGTCTTTTAATGAAATCAATGAATATTTCTAACATTTTTCACATAAAACACATACCCATTGGGTCGACCTGTCCCGTCCCGCGCCGCGTGAAAAATTACCCGATCTGGATCCGATCTGCCATGGGGTGAGTATGGATATCTAGATACCCGCCCCGGACCTGCCCATTGCCATTCCTACTCTGCACCACGACTAGCTAAGGGTTGCCACTCAACTATAAAATACTAATAATTTCTTTGTCATTTGCAAGTCGAAACAGTATGAAAACTCACCTAGTTTTGTAACATTCTATGATAGGGAATGACTTGCTTAATGCAATCTTCTAAAAGTATATCATCTTGCAACACTAATACACTACTGTTTTTTTTCCATTACTGATGGCGACGGTAGACCCAGTTTAGATCACCAATTCAATTAATTAATTAACATGCATATATGTAGTGCTCAGCTCAATGAACTGTTATATGATCACTGATGATCAGTAGCCCATTGGTCTCTTAATGGTGGAATTACAATTAATTAAAGAGCGTGTGATTAATTAGGTCTCAAGAGGCGTTTTTATTAATACATGGATACACTTTAAATGCACTAATCTGTGGCTGCCATTAGTTTGCTCTGTTATTGGAGCCTTTTCTTTATTCCTGATCAGGGGATAATTTTGTTGCTGGTTTCATTTCTTAATTTGTCAGTTTTTAAGTGTTGGGGCACAATATATAGTCTTATATTATTTTACTTTTTATGGCGTGCTCTTATATTGTAGGAGAGCCACCAGTCTATTATAGTGCATTGTAGGGGAAAAAAAACTAAGAAATTAAATCGAGTTTTGGTTGTTCAAATTATTAAACAATTTATGAAGTTATAAAGTGTTAATCACTCTCAATAACTTTAGTTGCATAGAAAGGTTTTCAGAATGAATTTTATACTGTTTTTTTATATGTCTCTCAAACGAAAGTCTACTGATGAATTTTAAGTGTAAACAAATCTATCATAAATTTTGTTTAAATCAACTATTAGTATTTGGAGGTCCTAATATTGTAAAACAAGAACTCTTAACCACCAATCGATTGACATGATACCATTTCAAAAGTTATTGAACTCATTAATTCTTGATACAAGAGTTCGAAGAAAAATATCTTTTAGTCAACCAGAGTCTGATTTCATGCTAATAATCAGTGGAATAACTAGTTATGAACATAATGGTTCAAACACAAGAGTCCCTCTTCATGATCAACCAAACTCTAATCTCATGCCAATTGTCAATCTTAGTACAATTACACAGTAGTGGCACTAAATAATGATGAGAGAATAGGATGACAGCTGGATGGGTAAGCTAGGTTGCCAAACCATGTTAATCATGAGTTGTAGTCCTTATTATTTGCCGTTGCAGACATTTTTCTCTCTCCATATTTAGGACAAATTTCGTACTATGTATACTACAACTCATGATTAGTATGGCGCTAACTTCTATAGTTAGCACAGTGGCGGATCCAGGGGTGGCCACCCCAGGCCCCGGCCCAGCCCTCCTCTGGATCCGTAGTTAGTATAGGCCTTATGAATTTTTCGATTTTAGATATTCGGGTCGTTGTTATTTTAAAATAAGATAGGGTATAATTAGAAAGATAATTCAGATGAACATATTCAAAATCACTACTCTAAATTTAGCTTATAAATTCTAACCCCAAAGGTTATTCGTCTAAAAAAACAATGAAACCTAAAAATTCAAAAAGTTTAAAACGTAAAAGACTAAAACATATATGAGGTTTGTTACCTTGGAAAATTTACTAGAGCAGCTGGTGGATATAGGGATGGAAACACAATGCAAATTGATTTGTAGATTGATTTATCTAGTGTTGATGCTGCTCGTTTCAACAGCTAATACGAATAGAACCTTTTCAACAACGAAACATGTGAAAATTGATTTGCGCAACAAAATGAGCGATGGATTTCTAGTCGATTGCTCAAGTATTTTATTTGAAACAGTGTATACTATTGGTATGGATGTGGACTCCATTATTAATACATTCGCTAAATTAAAATACCGTCGTGTACAATTTACATTGTAAAAAAATTATAATCATTATATTTTTTTACTATTCTAATTTTCTAATAAAATGCGGCTCAGTGCACTTCTATGTTCTGGATCCGCCGTTGAGTTAGCACAATATCTGATACTATATAGAAAATTTCTGAAGAGCTAGAGTTTAGAGGAAGAAGAAGATAAGGCGGTAGCTTTTCGATATAGTAATAAAGCTGTTGGTTTATCCAAGTGATTGTATGTTCGAATCTCCACGATTCCTCTATTCAAAAATTCATTAGATCAAAAGGGAGAAATTTGTGTGGCTGGCTGTTGATGTACGTACGTAATATGTGAGAGAAGCCATAGCTAGCATGCATGAAGAATAAGTTCCTTTTTCTCGACGTTGCTAGATCATCTCCCATTACTATGTGAAGAACTTATTCACCCTTATGCTTTGTCCTAAATGCACAAACACACAGTCAAGTAGAAAAGCGCATTGATACCCATAATCATAACTAGCTTTGCAACTCCTTCTTCATCATCTGCACACACACATGACTTGGATCGATCGAACCCTAGCTAGCTCCACTCAGTCTGTTATATATTCCTCATCGTTAATGTCTTGTCTGCCTTTAAAAGCTTGTTGATTGGAGGAAGAAGAGGACAAAACACATCATGATCCTGTCGTATGATTGCACGGATCTCTGCAGTGTGTGTGTTGGAGCCTGCGGATCAGAGTGATTGATGAGATTTTCGACCATATGAGTGGAATAGGGTTCCGAAAATGTGGTTGGTAATGCTTGAAAATTGAGTATATATATAGGTTCTTATATTCCTAGTTGAACAAAGAGTTGGTGATTAGGGTTTATACGATATTGCAGGAATTATGCTTGCCGTGGTCGTTGGATGTAATTAGATAACACTCGTGTTCGTGATCCTGTACGTATACAGTTTATGGTGATTTTGTAGGGCAACAAGTCTCGTTTCACTTGTCATCCTAATGGTGGGTCTTGTAAGTATTAGGTATGCACATATTGGCAGTGGCGGACCCAGGAATTTTATATAGGGGGTGTCCTCTTTAAAAAATACATAATAATAAAAGTAATAATTAATAATTCTTAAATAATTCTTAAATAAGAAAATAGCCAACTCGTACAAGTTAAAAAAAGTTCATAAGTATTTTCATATCCTGAAAAAATTGTGAAATACACTTGGTGTCTACACTGCTCAACAAAGTTGTCTCGGTATATCCTAGTAGACAATCATTCACGAACAAATGCATATTCGACTTCTAAATTTGTTCTTGATGTAACTCAAAGCTGAAAAGACACTTTCAACACTTGTCGTACATCCATAAATTAAGGGTAGCTTGTAATTAGATTAATTGTTAGGTTTTGAAAATAACTAAAGATAGAGACTAGGGTTTTTGAAGGAACTATGATTTTGCGTTAACTTGTTATTAACGTAGCTAGATAGATTAGAAAGAGATTTAGGAATTGAGAGAAATAATTAGGGATTTGAGAAGAATAATTGGGAAATTGAGATAGGAAGAATAGAATTGGAAATTATGGATTTGGAGAAGAAGAGGGATAAACTGAATAGGGTTTGATTACTGATTTCTGTCCAAATCCAATGTAATGACTCAAATACATATTTATAGGGAAATAAGCCCAAAAACCTAATGATACCCTACTAATCTACTTGTCACTAATCGGCTGCCTAACCCCCTAACCACCCCCAATATTTATGTTTCCTACAATTTTGCTATTACACAGTGTTTAGAATAGAACTACAAAAAAATTTGTAGCCTAATGAAAATTATATTTATTAATAGTAGTAGTGTCCCGAGTTTGAATTACCCTAACTACCACTTATATTCCCACGCGCAAACTACAAACGAGAGTAGTATAATGATTTTTTCAAATTTTAGGGTGTCCCGGACTGTTAATTATAATTTTTTTCTATACGTAAATTACCACCGGAAGTTGGATAATTATTTTTTCAAAATTTAGGGGTGTCCGGGGACACCCCCAAAACTCCCTGGGTCCGCCCCTACATATTGGATGAGTATCGTACAAATGAAAACTCTCATAATGGGTACTGGAAGAAAAAGAAAAGATAATCAACTACATGTAATATAATCGAGATCTGTTCCTACGCTCCTACAAATTTAATTGGAGAGAGAATATACCGGAGCGATCAGATAATTATAAGCAACACTGTGTAGATCGTCCAACTTAATTTCAATAAACAAAAATGTTTGCGATTCTATTTAAAAAAAACCAATTAATCACTATAACCAGAATTATTGAAAGAGGCGCAGTTATGAATTTTATACAATTTACTAATTTCAATTTAACTAGAAATGAATGAAAACTAAGAGTGAGGAGTTCCATTTTCAAATATTGTCCTATACTCAAAGGACCATCACAAATTAGAAGAACCTTCACTATTCAACAACCTCTGGGAAGAAGGGGAAAAACAACAATGAGTATCTTTGTTAGAATATGACACAAACACCATGATTGTCATCTAATTGTCTCTTTGTTTTGATTTATTTCTTCCCTCGCGGTGACATTATCATTGTAATTTGATTAACAAAGGAATTAAGTATTATGAAATCGAGGATTAATTAACAATGGAGGAGAAGAGAATGTTGGCGCCTGGCGAGTGGAAGAGAGAGAGATGGAGAGGGAAGACTTTGACTTGGTCGCACGTTTCCTGGCGCAACTTCCATTCCTCTCTCTCTCTCTCTCTCTCCTCCATAGCTCTCCCGCCAATCCCCGCAAGAAGAACACATCAGAGACGCCACATTTTTTATTTTATTTTTTTTGACGTCTCCATCCCCATTCCCGTCGTTTTCCGTCCTTTTTCTCCTGCGTTTTGATAGACAGGCAAGTTCCTTTCTTTACTCCACGAGCCTTTCCAATCGGAAGTAAAATTGTTAAGAAGAATTTTTTTTTTTAAGATGTACTAGCCTATAGCCCGGCCCGTTGACCGCATTTGTTTAAGAAAATGGAGTTACAATATCTATAATGATAGTGTCGAGAAATGAGTCTTGTTTTATATTATCATAAGATTGTTGCAATTTTGCAATTCGTTGAAGACGAACATGTAATATGAATGAACATTCATAATAAGTTAGAAATACATTTGAAGATTAGCTAATCACAATAAAAATACTTACATGAAATTTTACTAATCACAAATCTAATCTAGTTGAGTATTACGACAAATAACATGCAAGTCCAAAATAAGAAAACTCAATACATTGTCTCATTGTTCATGACATGGTACTCAATTCAACAAAGGCAAAAATAATTTCACCAACACAAGTTCACAATAACCAAATGCATCGTTCCAGGGACCGACTGTGACCATGACTTCAAATGTCTGTTCTCCAAGCATGTTCAGAAGGGCCATATAGTCAGCATTGACAACATCTGCATGACTGAATACAGATTCAACAATCGTTCGTAACTGTGATGACGGGAAGACGATGTCAACACCAATGAATTCGTCCTCAATTGTGAGGTGGACGAAATGGATTCTGGATGCAGGGGACCAGGACGTCGTCAAATTCGTTACACGTCCGAATAACAAAAAAGAGGTGCCCTGATGTAAACACAGAAACGAATATTGTCAAAGCAAATCGATAAAATGCAGCATGCCACAAAAGGCGTACGATTAAAAAGAAATTTATTTGTTTAGTTACCTGATTTTCGACATCCACTTGCAACATAATGAGATCGATGGTGTCGGCACGCTCACAAATTTCAAGAGTATCATCATATTGCAGATTAGCAATAAAACCATGGGGAAGCTATATTGGACTGTAAGTTTTGGCATTAAGTAGTGAAAAAGAATCGAAATTACATGATGTAGTATTTGTTGGATGCATGAGCAGTACTTACTGATTGAATTGAGGCAGGCCCGCCATATTGAATGCAATTCGTACGGTCAATGGAACCGAAGTGTTTTGTATGGGAAGTAGTAAACAGAAATTGTAACATGAGAGAAAGTGGTATCTCCATTATATAAAGGAGAGAAAGTGATTCTACACACGTGATTTACTTGGCCGCATGCAGTGGAGTACGTGTGTGTGTGGAAAGTGGGATAGTGGGGGAGTGGAGAAGGTTGGCCATTTAGAGTTGAAGAGGCGGGTGTGTCACAGAACTCACGACCCACCTTTTTTTTTTTTTTTTTTTGAGGGGAACGACCCACCTTCTTAAAATCAAACATGCGCCTTCCTTTTATTTTGTTGCAATTAAAAATTCAAAAACAAAAGAAGGTAAGTACAGAATAAAATATAAAGAGAAGAAAAATCAGTTCACTTTTCCCAAAAAAGACCTAGCAGCCGCCCAAATTATGCTTTTTCAGTTTTAATAATTCTCACTTTATTCTTTTATCTCTAATAAGTGAAACAATAATTGTAAAAGAAAATAATTGTTAAGTCTACCAAGTAAGTCAACACCGGTTTATGATCGGTTTTTAATATCGATTAACCACCGGTTATTTGATAAACCTTGAACCCTTTACTAATCCGGATCGATGTCCGGTTCCGTTTTAACAACATTGCTAATTGCGACTGTGTCAACAATTCTTGTCCAAAATTGCCTCTCAAAGTTGCTAATTATTATTTGATGCGCCAACCCGGCCGGCCCGGCCCACACCACCACTAATTAACATGAAATGAAAATCATAATGAATGTATTTAATAAAGAAATAATGGCTTGGAATGCGGCAGCCTTCACCTCATAGAAGATCCCAAAAAATCGGATACTGGGCAGTAGAGGAGGTGGGGGAGTGGGGGAGTGGAGAAGGATCCGCCCAAGGTAGTGTAGGTTGGCCTTTTTTTTATGGGAATAGGTTGGCCATTTAGTTTCAACAAATCCGGCTGGGCATTCCCTCTCTAACTATATTTTATTTAACTGAACCATGCTTAGGTTGTTTTGTGGGCTGGGTTGTGGTGTTAATTTAGTTTAGTTCAGTTGCGACTATGGAAGTTCTTCTTCGTATTGCAATATAACGGTCACACTCGCATACCCTTCGGTAGAGTAAATTGAGGTACAATTAAATATAAAGTAGTGTGCATAAATCACATTTCATATAATTGGCTGTTAAAAACAGGAAAATAATTTGGACAAATTGAGAACTCAAGATTCAAATTGTAACGACCCGATAAATTTGACAGTCTTAGTCCTCAAATCGAATAAAACATAATACATCAATAAACCACTACTCAAAAATCTCAGTGAACACAATGTTCTGCATAGTCTTCACCGGTTTACCTTGAGAGTCACAGCTAAGAATCTTGAGTCCCCTTTCCGACGTAACTCGAGACATAGCAACATACAACTGTCCATGAGAAAATACTTGTCTTTGCAAGCAGATGCCAACGTGATTTAATGTTTGACCTTGACTCTTGTTAATTGTCATTGCATATGACAGTGCAATTGGATATTGCCTTCGAACCAGAGTGAAATTTAAGCTCTTGTAGTGGACCGATAGACTTAGGCGTGGTAAGAAAACTGTATCACCAACATGTGTCCCGGTCAAAATTTGGACCTCAATAAACCACTTACCTAATCTCTTAACGATCATCCGAGTTCCATTGCAAAGCCCAGTACTCTGATCCAGATTTCGAAGTAGAATAACAGGGCACCCCAACTTCAATTTCAACTCATGTTCCGGAATATTCCCAATCTTTAAAGAGTTCAAGAATTCAACTGTGTAGTCCCCTTCTTCAACATGAAGATTCTTGGCATCAATCTCTAGCGAATCCGAACTAAAATAAGAAACTTCTTCACCAGGAAATAGACCCAATACATAATTGTTAATGGCCGCAACAGTGTCATTATGAGGGGCTAAGATAGCTCGCTCAACCAAATAGGTTGACATATTTTCAGTGGAGAGTAACTGACCATATATTTCAGCAACAATATCAGGAATTGGATCACTGCGACGGGGAACACAAATGTGTAGAGGTATCGGGATAATTGATTCTCCAAAAATATTACTATTTGTACCATCACCAATTTCCAAAAGCCATTTGCTAAAATTTGAGATTGCTAACCTGGTCGATGCTTCAGAATGAGGCAATTTTAATCGCATGTTCTCGGTTAGCTTCTATACTGTCATAGACCGCCACAAATAAGATCTCTTTATGGAAGAATTAACAATTTCAGTCTGTGTACCCTTCGTGATGATAGGTAACGTCTGTCGGCAATCACCTCCAAACACAATAGTCATACCTCCAAAAGGCTTCAACTCAGAATCAACATGCTTAACTCGGAAAATATCCCTCAATGTCCTATCTAGGGCCTCTATGTTGTGTTTATGAGCCATCGGTGCCTCATCCCAGATAATAAGTGAAGCATTGAGAATCAATTCAGCTACCTCAGAACCTTGCTCAATATTGCAAGTTGATTTTGTATCACAATCCAGGGGAATGTGAAATCTTGAGTGTGCAGTTCTTCCACCGACCATGAACAGTGCAGCAATACCAGATGAAGCAACACATAATACTATCCTCTTCTCAAATCTTAATTGCTCACAAATTGCTCGCCACAGAAATGTCTTACCAGTACCCCCAAATCCATCCACAAAAAAGCAATTACCCTCATTGGTATAAACAGAATGTAATACCATATCGTAAGCGATTTGTTGTTCTCCATTCAACGGTCTACTATGTCGATCCTCAGAACAGTCTAAGTCATCGGGTCCATAATTCATCTCCATATCTATCAGCCTGTTTACCTTATGTGAACGCAAACACTGATCGGGAACAGGCAACCCAGGGAAATCTGCTAATGACTTCGAAAATCTCTCCATCAATTTGTCAATATGAATAAGGCACAACTCCTTAATTTCATCCTCCGACAAATTCAACTGGGGTAAATTCAGATCTCTACGTCGTGAATGTAAAATGCCTTCACTTAGTAATTCCCAATTCTTTAACCAAAAAGAAGTCACATCAGCCACCTGACAATGAATAAGAATTGTGACAAAAAGTTTTCTAAGTTTATAACCAGAAGCCCAGTGCGAAGCTTCTTGGACACAATCATTCCATTCAGAATCTCCTGATAACAGTCCCCGAGCATAACATGCTTTTTGGAATGTTTCATATACCACCCCATTCACTGTTCTAATATCATCATAAGAACAAAAACCCCTAACAACATGCTATAGCATTCGTAAATAGTATCGCTCCTTTGCGGATGGGTAGTAGTAATATAATCTAGCAATGCAGGTACCTTTTTTGCGCTGCTGCCACTTCTTGTATTTTTTATTCCATACATAATATTGTGGCATCTCCGCAAAGGTATATTTCAGTGCATCCATTGACTGAAGATTGAGATCCATCCATGCTAACAACATTGAGGTTTGGGAACTGCTAGACTCAACCACTTCCTCCACGTTAGAATCAACATTTGAATACACTGTATTCTCACCAGGCAAATGACAGGACATACGCAGTACTGTTGGCGAGTGAGTGTATATATCAAACCTAAAAATTCTCCAACATGCTTCTCCCGATGTGATGTAACGGGCATCCATGAATGCCTTTATCTCATCGATTTGCACAACCGTAGTTCCACGATTCCGACCATCCATAGCCGAAGCTGTTTGTTGTGCAGCTACAGTGACCATTGCACGATCCTCGGGTTTGTTGATGTACTTAAGCAAATATTTCACAGCCCTATAGAAACATCAAATAAAACCAAGTTGTAGATGTTAGATAGGGAAGTAGGAAAAAGTTGTATTACATTTTTTCTTAAATGTGACTTGTATTAAATAAGAAATCAAAGTACAGAGAACAAAAGGCAACAAATGGATCACAATAGCTTATCCAAGGGGCAAAAAAAAAATGAAGGAAAACACACCAAAAAATATTACAAAAATTACAGAGTTGCGGCAAGAAGTCACACCAATAAGATAACACTGGGTTTATAAAATAACTAAAAAAAAGAGAAATCGCAAAAATATTGGTTTGGTTTTTATTCATCTTTGGAAATTAAATCATAATTCATATGCATGCATAAAGTTAATAATGAGTGTAGCATATAAATATACATATAGCCTGTCATTAAGAATCTGAGTTTGGTAATATAATAAAGGAAACAACAACGTCATATAGATAAATACGATTTACTTCAGCCATACCTTGTCTTGTTACAATATTCAATATTGATATGCGCTCCAAATCGTAGTAACAAATATCGATTGTAGGATACAACCCATCGATTATCCAGATCAACGCCGCCACAGTTGAAAATTTTACCATTGTTCCGCCGACGATATTTAGCAAACCCAGTTTCATCAATAGTTGTTTGAGAAGAGTATTCCTTGGGGTAATGCTTACTACATTTCCCATTCTTCATGCACACATTATTAGGACGTACTGTACCACACGGGCCATGCATCATTGAACTTGTGACAACTGCATACAGTTCAGGATCAAGATCAGGATCCGGAATTTCAGCACATATTATGGAATCAATAGCCGCATGACCATGGAATTTATTCTCCGAGGCCAAAAAAAGCAATATGTGTGCATGAGGGAGACCCCGCTTTTGCCATTCAATTGCTTTGACATCTGTATAGCAAGATGCAAATAGTGGAAAAGGAATATTAGTTCAATAAGGTAAGAGAGTAATGGATGAACATTAATAGATAAATAACGAATGAATAAGCACACATACATGCATTGATTTTCCCAAATATTTGTTTCTTGCGAATCTCTAACATAAACTCATCAAGCTTGATTTTGAAAACTCTGGCGGTGATGTCAGCCCGGTCAGGATCTTTGCCACTGTACCTTCTAATCAAATCAACCATTAACTGTATCTCTGGCCAGTTAGAATTGCAAGTGAATGTTATAAACAAATCAGGATAACCAATCCACTTGCAAATAGCCATCGCATCCTGAAAATTCTCATACTTGTATCTTGGACTACCAGTGTGTGAGGCAGCTAAAATAACTGGCTTCCCAGAAAGCTTGATATCACTATCCCCTTGCAAATAAGAATTCAACAAATCCTTGTAGTAGTGTCCTCTTAGCTTCGACTGATGGGTACGCATCCAGTCTAAGCGTTCAGCCTCAATTAACGCAAATGCTCACCATATATTGTTGAAACAATTTACCAGATAATAACAGAGAATTCGACTCCTGGAGACGGGTTTGAAGACGATATGCATAGAAATCACACTGGGTTATCATTTTATCTCCAACACTGATATTAGAGCTACTGTGACTATAGCTAATGCAGGGATGCCACCCATCCTCGCCATATGGGAATAAAATTGGATATTGTAATGCCATCAGACTTGGATGGTATACGCTAATCCTTTCCATTTCTGAACCCTTCTGTTGAACAATTATATCTGGAGAAAATGATTGCTCTCCTGTTTCATCTACAATCAATGTTGCAATCTCATTCGCAGAGGGCAAATCATATTCTCTACTATTAATTTCACGCTTAGCCAATAGTTTCAGTTGAAGCTCCTGGACACCAGAGTTTTGTATCCTATCTCGCGCAGAACGAAATGTACGTACCAGGATATTATTGTCATCATACATATGCTGGAGGCCTTCAACAATACACTGGCGCAACGGATTCTTGGCAGGATCAGTGGAGTAAAAGTCCATACGATTCTGCACCTCGTTATCTGAATCGTGAATGTAAAGCTGTGCAAATTTTGGACTATCCCCATCACCAGGAACCAAACATCCTATTCGATGATAAATCTGACCACCGATTGAATATACATAAACTCCACGACCATCATTAATAGAGTGATTGACTTTACCTCCGAGAGAAATAAAGCAAAAAACCCCATTATAGGCTCTGATGTTAGTACGAAAGTGACGCGCTAATGGTGTATCCCCTTCAAGTAGAGTTTTAAGAAATTCGGGCACATCTCTGCGGGGAGGCAATTTCACTTTACCATGTTTGCAACATAAAGGAAATGCAGGCAACACATCATTCCGTGTAGATAAAGTACTCTCGAACCGCCACATAACTGCTCCACAATGTTGACACGTACATGAAGGTGGACCAATATCAAAAAATTCAACCAACGGAAGACCTAGTGAAATAGATAAGTAATATTAATAAATTTTTGTCACAGTAATTCATAAATTGAATGAGATTGAGAAACTGTGAAGCCGATTTAGGCGCGCTACAGTAAACACAATTATTAAAATAAATGTTCTCAACGCAAGATAGATTGGTATACCGCTCATTTTAAGTAAGAATAAGTCAAATTTCAGGAAACACCAAAGTTTGTTCATAACACACAAATTTACCGTTGACACATCAACATCTAAAAACAATCCACTATTTGCATAAGGTGACATGAAGCGTACATCACTAAATTATATGCATGGCATAAATGGGTACATTATATGTTCTAAAACCAAAATAGGAAACAAAATATGTTGACCAGAACACAAAAACATATATCCAATGTACAAAAACTAAACCAAAATAGAGATGAACCATTTCATGTATAATAGTGGCCATTAGAATCCACATACTTTGATTGACTTCTGTAGGAAAGAAACTTCGGCCACGTCTCTTTCTATGCAGATGAATACGTCGAAGTAATCGACTTTGCTTTTGTAATAGAAATCTAAACTCCGGCTCCAAAACTATGAACAACACCAAAACACATACGATATTAAAGAAATAAATAAAGATTCAACAATCTAGAATAGCCTAATTTGTAAGACTTGCTACAAAATTTAGCAAACAACAACCTTGGTGTTCAAAAGGCAAGCCCCTCCTATGAACCTTCTGTTTCAAAATATGATGTCTTCTCTTACGGGCGACTTGGGATAGTATTCGCCGAAGTTGAGAGAGTTGGAATTGTAAGGCAGCTTCTTCTGCAGAATTTAAATATAAAACCATGTATTACTCATTGAATAGATGAACTAATTAGAAAAATTAAAACACAGATAACACACCTCTCTCAAATGCTTCTTCCTCTTCAGCAGATAAAACACAGCGTTGGTACTGATCTTCAGGATGAATAAACACTGCTCGACGTTTCCCTAAACAAATGAGATTCAAGGGAAAATATTAATGTCAGTTTGCATTGAAGCAATTGCATGCTAAACCATGACACTCACATGGTACAGACGATCGATAAATCTGTGGTTGGGCAGATGGGATGACATTTGCACTATCCATATTAAATTCTCCAATAACCTGATGCAATCTGAAATAGAGGTCGTGGTAAATGATGCACCCGTTCCAGTAAATTTTGCAGCTGCCATTCATATAAATTAATTAATTGTTACAACAGAAGTTGAACTCCTCACCAATTATAAGTTTGTGCGAGTTAATGACACATACAACACACCACACAAACATAACAGTCGAAGAAAAATATAACTATATAAGGCATAATTTAAATTGATGAACAAAACACATATAACAGAATGGCTTCCAAGCTTGGGGATGCAAAGGAAGAGCGAGAAGGACAACAATGTTATGGCCAACACAAATATAATTCAAAGGCATCCATAAAAACCATATCCAAAGAGAAGTTTGAAAAAGAAGCAAGCTGGCAATAAGAAAAGCACTATAAGTGCTTACCAATTCTAGTTCTTCTAACTATACCAAGCTTATCCCTTCTTTCAATTATGCAGTTTACGCTTTGTACTTTTAGCACAAATGGATTCCAACTCTAATGTCACAATACAAATACAATGCAAATGAAGTTGAAGAACAATAAAACAAACTAATGGAGTGAGATAAAACTGTCCAATGATCTTATGTAATAACGGGAAAAAAGCATGGTGGAACCAATACACTAACCAGTGGAGCATGCTTATCAATACCGCCTACTTTATACTTCTTTAGTGATTAGAGCTGAAAGTACATTATCAGATCATAGCCAGTCCCATTAGATTAATTAACCTAGAAACATATGAGAGAAAACCTTACTGATCAAGTTGGATTTCGACATTTACCTGCAACAGAGTTAACATCAGAAAGTAAATTGATTATGTCTCATACGTGGTGGCGGGTGGGGGACGGCGCGCCAAATTTCGTCGGCGATGGGCTGGTTCTGGACTCAAGTAGGCTGGGCCTCTGAAGTATGGGCTGGCGAGAGAAATGGATCCCCGAGGCCTTATGGTTTACGCTTTCCTTTTCCCCCGCCAAGCCAACGGTAGTTTATTGCCGGCCCTTCAGTTTACAGACCCGGAAAACGACTCGGACGAAGTACCTGGCTGCCGCCGCCGAACGTCTCTTTCTTTCCTCTTCTTTCTCTGCGGCCCGGAAAAACTCAGCTCAAAATCGGCAGTCGGCTGCTCTCTGGAAGACAGTCTAAGCGAAGTGGAATTTAAAGTAAGCAGCTTTGTTACTTTCAAGAGAAAGGGAAAAATCAAAAATCCCCTTTTGATCTCTAGAGAATCCAATCAACAGAATGAAGCGAGGAAGGTAAGAGAGAATAAAGAAAACGGAATGAACCAAAGGTAAGGGAGATGAATCTTTGCAACCGAATCCCTGAAAAAAAAACCCAGAACCCGAATCCCTAAAACTTAAAAGCAGCGACAACAACAAACAGAAATCTGAAAGAGGAAGAATAGCTTACGGCAAAACCAATACCGATCTAACGCTTAGAGAACGGAAATCAAAGGTAGATGCAAGCACATAAAAGAACCAGATGATTGAGTCAAGGTTTGGTTTTCTGAAGGCCAAGAAACTTATTCGAATGAGGTGAAAGAGTGGAAGGAAGGGAAATCGGAAATAAAAAATACAAATTAATATAAATTAAATGAGAACGTGGGCATGGAAGGAGAAAAAAGTGGGTAGTGTAGAGTTTTTTATACAAATTAAATGAGAACGTGGGCCTGGAAGGAGAAAAAAGTGGATAGTGGAGAGTTTTTTGGCGGGACTCTTTTTTCCCCGCTTAACACTCTGCCACATCAGCTTCCTAAAATCACTCTATGGGCAGGAAATTTTGAATGGGGGTTGCAGTTTTACTTTTCAGCTATAAATTATACTGTTGATTTGAGAAGAAATTAAGTTGTTAAGGAAATAAAATTAAGCAAGGTTCAAAAAGGCGTTAGGCGTAAGGTGGGCGTTGAGCCTTTGCCTTGTGCCTAGCTCGCCTAAGCGTTGACTAAGCGTGCCTAGGCGTTGGAAGAAAATAGTTATTCGCAGTACATGATGAATGAAATAATAATCTACAACACTTCCTCACTTCGGTTAAAATGATTAATAACTTACTCAACACTTAATGACGGGAATATAGCTTAGGAGTTCATAGAATCATAGCTAAATAGTTCACAAAGTTCTTGAGCTATTGAAAATATTGCAATAGAAACTTGATTTCATAGTTGATGTTAATTTTGGTATTTAATATTGGCTTCTTAGCTCCATCTAGTAATGTTTAGGAGAGACTTATATGTCGCCGTACTCCATTAACGTGTTCCAGTATCTAATTAGGCGCGAAATCCCTAGGCGAGGCGTTTTGTCATTGCCTTGCGCCTAGGCGTGCCTAAGCGTAAGATTAAGCGTGCCTTTTTGAACCATGAAATTAAGACAATTCAATAAATAATTAGTACTACGAATTTACATGGACGTGAGAGAGAGTGGGGAAGTTGTTTTTTTTTCTTCTTCTTCTTTAAATGATTCGGAGTTGCGTTTTCTGCGCCGCTTTCGATTCTCTCTGAAAGACTTCTCTCTTCTTCATCTTCTTCTGTGTATCTACTTCTTCCTCACATCCGTAACTGAACAATCACATCACTGTCTCTCAGTTGTATTTTATTGATTGATTTCTCCTGTCATATTCTCCTTCCTGGCAAAATTTAATTATTGCCTCTGTTTTTTACTAATTACTAAAAAAAACAGAGTCCACCTTCATCCATTGTTTGTTTTTCCTATTCCTGACAACGAGACGACGCCCAAGCGTGTACTTTCTGGAAAAAAATCATCACATTGATGGCGCCATAATCGAGGAATTAAGGAAAGGCGGAAGAGAGAACCAACCTTCGGAAACGAAATACCCAAATTGCAGAGGAACTCCCCTCCCAGCCTTCTCCCCTCTGGTTTCCATGTTTTCTGCAACTAATATCTCCCTGTGAGCGCTTCTTCTTCTTCTTCTTCCTCTTGGCTTTCTCCGATTCTTCTTTCCGTTTCATTCCCCCCTTCTGCCGATTCCTTATTAAGTTTGATTTTCTGCCCCCCCTCTCTCAGATTCGAAAATTTTCAGGCAACGTCAGACGTTCCAGCGCGCAGGTTATCCCAGAATCATGCTCAAGGTTCGACCACCAGCTGCAAATTTCAATCCTTTCCTGTTCAATTCTGAAAGTTTTGTCTGCAGGGGAACAGGATCATGAATTCTGCTTTCTGGGTAGGGCATGAATATTCATGTTTGGGCTTATATCTGTCTGTCCTGTTCTTTGCTGTGTGTGTTTGGCTGCAGATATCAATACCAGTTGATGCCAAAACCAGATCATGCCTCTGCAGCGGCGTTTTCCCGGCTGCTTCCGTCATTCTGCTAGTCTTCTTCATCGGCACCTCCGTTCTAGTTCCTGACCACAAACAGGTAAATGAATCAACCCACTAAACCCTAATCAAGCTTTTGCACAATCAGAATCAGGACCACAAATGTAGAAAATTCTGAAACGAAGGGGAAAAAAAACCCTGTTCTGCTTTGTCCTGTGCAGTCTGAATTGCAGGCATTGGCTAGATCAGATGCTGTAGGTAGTTTCAGCAATGTCAATTCCACCTGCAATTGCGAGGAAAGGGAGATAGCGCCGCGAAGTAAGGTACAGGAAATCATGCCTCAGGAAGGTGTGATACTGCCCCAAAGCAAGGACCAGGAAATGCCTCAGGAAACTGAGACATTGCCCCAAAGAAAGGATCAAGAAAAGCGTCAGGGAACCGAGACACTACCCGAAAGCATTGTCAGTTCCAACGATCTGAATTCAATCAATTGCCAGGTGGGTTGGTGTCTGTTCTTCTCGTTCTCCTACTCCGGTTCTGTAATTCGAATGCTTGTTTGAGTTGGTGTTCTTCTGTGTGACATTCAGGATCGAGAAACGCCTCAGGGAAGCGAGACATTGCCCCGAGGTATCGTCCAGAAGACATCGAATCTGCAGATGAGACCCCTATGGGGAAACGTTGCGAAGAGGAAACCGAACGAGAGGGCCAACTTGTTTGCAGCAGCTGTGGGTGTGAAGCAGAAAGAACTGGTGAACAAAATGGTGACCAAGTTTCTTTCCAGCGGGTTCACGGTGATGTTGTTCCACTACGACGACAATGTGGACGAGTGGCGGGAGTTCGATTGGAACTCCAATGTCATTCATGTCTCTGCACACAATCAAACCAAATGGCAAGTGTTCTATTTCCCACTTCTTCAATTCGATGTTTGCCTTCTGTACAAAGGAACACAATCTCTGAACATAACAACATGTGTTTCATCAGGTGGTTTGCAAAGCGGTTTATGCATCCTGACATAGTCGCGGAGTACGATTACTTATTCCTGTGGGATGAAGACATCGGAGTCGATAGTTTCGATCCTGCCAGGTACCTGTCGATCGTCGCGAGTGAAGGTCTCGAGATATCGCAACCAGCACTGGACGTGCGGAAGTCAGAGATTCATCAGCAGATTACTGCTCGGACCAAGTCTACAGTCCACAGGTCCAGAAATGTTTCACCCTCTCTCTCTCTCTCTCTGTTTATCGACTCTGCCTCATTTCCTCCTTTACAGTTTCTAGGTCCCTGAACTCTCAGCACGACCTAAATTTCTGTGGTTATGCAGACGAATATACAAGACGGGATCTTGCGATGGAAGCAGCACTAAACCTCCATGCACTGCGTGGGTGGAGATGATGGCGCCTGTGTTCTCGCGAGACGCCTGGCGCTGTGCTTGGCACATGATCCAGGTGAATTTTCGGGTCTTGCCATAGGATTTAGAGTCAGGGGAAGACAGGCTGATGGTCGTCTAGAAGAAGGCTAGACGTCGCTCTGACTCTGCAGTATGCAATAATATGCTCAGTGATTTTCAGTTTTTTGGTGTGGATTTTGCAATTGCAGAATGACTTGATCCATGCTTGGGGGCTGGATTATCGGCTAGGCTACTGTGCTCAAGGGGACCGAACCCAGAAGATGGGAATTGTAGATGCAGAGTATGTTGTACATCACGGCAAGCCTACACTAGGTGCACCAAAGGTGATTTGATTGTTTGATCGATTTTTTTTTTCCGCGGCAAATGATATGGTTCGTCATGTGTAGAAAAAAATCGATCAAGGATGAATATTGAGAAATGTTTTTGCAGGATTCTGGTCCACAGCAGCCTTTTAATCCCCGCAAATTCAACCCTAGAGTGGAAGTAAGTAGTACTTGTTCCATGGTGAACCATATTTTTCACTAGTTCTTGTTTCGTGACAAACTGGAATTCGACGCACACTCATTCCCGTGTATATAACACGGCTACAAATTGTGACTGTGTCTGGTTTTCGTGTTACGAGAGACCATTAGCGTATAATGCGCGAAAATTGATTGAATTCGTTGTTGGGTTGGTCGGGACAGGTGAGAAGGCAGTCGTGGAATGAGTACAAAACCTTCAAACGAAGATGGGCAAAGGCAGCTGAGGATGATAAATGTTGGATAGACCCTTACAAGGATGACGAACCCCACAGAAAATAGTGTACTAGAGAGCCCATTTTGTTTCTTTCACCTTTTTTTTTTGGGGTACAGACTTCAGAATCTCTTGGACTAGAGTGGCATGCATTGAATCTCGGGGGAGTGATTCGTAAATAGTTTTCGTGTAAATTCATAGGGCGGGAGATTGGATTCTTGTATTCATTTGTGAGGCGGAAAAAAGGAAATTGAGGAGAGGAGCATATAGGAAACCAGAAGACTATTTATTTTGAATTAGCGATAAAATGGAGCGATACAGATTAGATTTATTTTGGATTACAGAAGAAAGGGGGAAGCAAGAATCAATGGAGGGTTCTCTTTGGAGACGGTAAAGACGATTATATGCTCTTATGCTATGAATTTTGACATAGAATTTGCTTCTTTCTGCCACTTGATTAGTTTTTGTTCTTCTCTAACTTTACTTGAACCAGTTCATTAATTTCTTTTGAGCTCTTGAAGTGATCAGTATAATGTGACATTGTTAAACATTGCATTTCTTGATGAATGTCGATCTCATATATCTGGATCATAGCATCGCTATCCCTTTCATTATTCATCACAGCCTACCAAAATGCATCTTAATGCCTATTCATCAAACCAGGTACTCAGCTAGTCAAGCACAAAAGAGTATAGTATGTGCATCCAAATACTCGAAAGTGACTAACAGTGGGTTTCATTATCTGTAACTTCTCAATCGATCAAATAGATCCTAGCCTTGGTTAGAAAAGTTGGTAGATTTAGTGCATCTAACAACAAGCGGAACTTTAAATTTTGGCACACAAGATCTCACGACACGCGCGTATTTGAAAGACGTTGATTCTTCTTTGAAACAACTCCATTTTATTATGGAGCATCATGCATGACATGTCGACTCTTAAAAATTGTGGCCGTGTGTATTACGGTATTCTCCTCAATTGGCACTACAACCTCTCGACCAACTTGACTTTTAGCCCATTGCTCGAGTTACTTACCTATATGTTTATAATCTCTCCTTCGTATGGAATAATCATTAATGAATTTTATCATGTTCGTTATTTTATTTTAAGAAAATGTAGCAACTCCAGTGATTTCTTGCCTCTAAATTTCGAGTCCTCGTCTCGCAATGGATGTGTTTTTTTTTTGTAAGATTTTAGATAAAAAGAGATGGATTTTTTTATTTAATTCAAAATTTATAGTTGGAAATGGATGGAAGAAAAAAATAGATGCAAATTAAACAATTGTTGTATACCCCTATCAACAACAAAAACTTGTCAAGAACCAATAAAATAAGCAAAAACAACTTGCCAAAGACTGTTAGTCAAAACAACAAAATCAACACAAGGGCAGTGTTTTTTTTCTTCTTCTGACAACTAAAATATGGCAACCATAAACAAGTTATTATGTCAAGAACAAACCTTCAAAGTTCAAACCCGCATCGCATATTGAAACTGAAGGATGATGATAGGAACAAAAACAAATCGAACAACTTCATTTGTATCTAACAAATCCGAATCGATTCGCATACTGGAATTCCATCACCGCTACTATATAAGAAGAAGAATTCGCCACAAAGAGAAAAATGAGAAGAAAAAAAGCACTCAAAAGGGCTAAATCGCGCGACTTTTCTCATCCACCACATTCTAAGTTCTGACGTTGAACGCCATCAATTCTCTAGAAAGAAACGACGAAGAAGAAGAACACAAGAATGGAGAAAATGATGAGGGTGGGGATTCTACTGTTCATAGCAGTGATTACAATCCTGTGCTGGAATCCAAAAGGGATCGTGGTGGAAGCAGAGGACATGTTTTGCTGCATTCAGCTTTACAATGGTCTGATTCAGACCGGGACCTGCTGCGAGACCGGGGTTCCCCTAGATCTTATCAAACAAATAATGGATTAATTAATTTCTTAACCTAATTCTTCGTTCTTAACATATCAAATGTCAAACTTGTGTACATGAAGTGATTTTTTTTTATAATTATATACATTGCCCTGCCATTCATGAGTGAGTGAATTACCTTGTGTGTCTATACAATTTATCATTTGATATCCGATTAAATCGATACGAGTATTAAACACGTCGATATTCCTTTCTTTTGCACCATCACATGGTGCTGATGACGTTTATACGAAGAGGTCTGCAATTGGAGAAAACACCCTTTTGGTATTCCTTACCGACACCACACAAAAATTAACCGATGTCAAAACCAACAACAACAAAAAAAAAAAAAAAACAGTTCGTCTTTATCTTTTGCCACGATGTATTGTCTTTTTAGCGACCATAAATTTTTTTTTTGTACAAAACACTTTCCTCGGTTGAAAATTCAAAACCAACTCCATCGAGATCCGCAGGAAAAAATCAAATCCAAAAAACATTCATATCGCCCTAGGTCTTACCCACTCCATCGAGAGCTGCAAGAGGATTTTTTTTTTCGTGAAGAGATAAGGACGTCTTTCATCGACATTATCAAAAGAAGAGGAAATGAGGAGGAAACAATTGCGGGTCAATTTATGATATATTTTTTTTACGTCGAATCGTGCACCGACAACCCTCTAGAAAGCGGCGAAGAAGAAGAAGAACAACAACAACAAAACAAAGGGAATATGAGGGTGGGAATCGTATTGTTCATCATAGCGATGATTGTGATGTTGTGGTGGGATGATAAGGGGATTGTGGTGAAAGCACAGAACGACCTGATGTGCTGCATTGAATTCTACGGTGGTCTGGTTCGGGCCGGGAGCTGCTGTGACACCGGAGTTGCCCTAGATCTTAGCAAACAAGTCTTGGGTTAATTATTACATGGTTAGAAATTTGTGCCTGCAAACCCAGTTCATATTCCAATCGATCTTCCAATGTGCTAGGCATCATGATCAATGCCATTCTGATTGTGCCAAAATAAAAGAATTTCCCAGTTTTTGATTGGAGGATGTATTCCATGTTCTAGTTTAGTCGTCTTTTGGTAATACTTCAAACGGTACGTCGTACATTGATTATTGATGTAAAGATTTAATTACCTTGTGATTTATGGAGGAGCATTTATTTTTCGTTTTATTTTGTCTCGTTGTTTGATTTTGATACGAGTATTATATATACATGTTTATGTTTCATTATTTTTTTTCCCGTTCGTCCATGTCGTGCATGAATTGATGCTAATGTTTAAGTCGATTGAAGTACCCACCGGAAATGCATAATCGGACACACTCGGCCACAGAGAATCCTGACTGCTTGCTCAAAATAATATTATAGCACCCTGTTTTTCTCCACAGCTGCGGGAACCATGCCCAGTTGTGAACAGAGACTACCGGCGGCGAATCATCGGAGAAAAGATTCAGCCTCGTCCCAAATAACAAAGTTAAACAGTGTAATTGGAGAAAAGATTCATGAGAATTGACTCGGCATGTCAAATCGGAGTGCTCAATTCGTACGATACTGTCCGCTTTGGGAAAAGGGGCTTACAAGCCGAAAGAATCCTTACATAAAAGATCCACAACAACGGCAGCTGGTCTATTTTCCTACAATAGGCGACCATTCAATTGCTTCAACCTCGTCCCAAATAACAAAGTTAAACAGTGTAATTGGAGAAAAGATTCATGAGAATTGACTTAACATGTCAAATCGGGGTGCTCAATTAATACGATAATGTCCGATTTGGGCCAAGCCCACACGATTTTACTCTTGGATGTCCTCTCCAAAAGGCCTCGTACTAATTTGGCTTGGTGGACACTAATATACAAGGATTCCTTCCCTTGTATTTACGATGTGGTACTTGGATTGGATTATCCCATAACAATGTATTTGACTCCAAATGCACGTCTCATTTGATCTGTTAAAGACATCCTCCAAAAAGACCCATATGGTGTGCGCCTTGCCAAGTTGACCAAAGTCTCAATTAATTCAGGCTTCGGTGAAACAAGTACTACAACTTGCTCATTTATAACCACAAAGACAATAAGGAACCACAAACGACCCAAACTATGGCACATTAGACAAACAGAACAATCCCAGCTCGTGACCAATAAACACAACCAATCATGGTTTATAAGTAAGAAATCATCTTTAACTAACAAGACGCGGTTTGTAGTGAGCTTGTGAGAATTTCGAAGTTGCTCACTGTAAGAACACTGCAAGAACGAGTGATCTTATGGGAAGTTACCTCTGACGTTTTAAATTACAAGCGAGAAAGAAGTTGTGGTAATGTAGTAGCGGTGGTGTTGCTTAGTACAATACTATCATCAGTAGTCAACAACCCTTTGAATCTCACCATCACGGCGGCCTCCAAGCAAATGGAGAACGACAGACCGTCGTCTCCATCCTTGGGTTTCGGCAGTATGAGACAGGACCCTTCCCACGAGCTCGCTGGCCGAAGGAAAATCGGGTCGCCCCACCCGAAATCCTGTCCGAACGGCAGCTGGGTCCAGCTGATGACCTTGAGGTGGGGCGACCCGGAAATCCCAGGAATTCGAACCGTGGACGCTCCAGCTAGCTCCAGACAGTCTATAGCCGATCTCATGTACTCATCGTCACTCCTCCTTATCGCCCTACGGATCCTCCCGGCCGTCCGCCGCAGCGACTCCGAAGCCAGCTCCGCCGTCGACGCCGGCACCACGGCGTGAAACAGGCAGTTGCCGAAGTAGCCGGGCGGCAGCATCGGCTCGAACCTCCTCCGGCCGTCGATGCTAACGTGGAGAGTGACTGGTTGGTTTCGATCGGCGAAGCTGCGGGCTACGGTCACGCACCGCCAGATGTGCGCCGTCAGTACCTCGAAGGTGGTGTAACGATGATTAACGTCGCCGTTAGTACTACTGTTGGCTTCCTCTTTCAAGCACGTGATTTGGTCGACGGACAAGTTTAGGATCCGGGTGGAAGTTGACAACGGAGACGGCGGCGGGGTTTGCTGCTCGTCGTCGATTGATTCGCAGTACTCGGGGTGCTGCCATGTGGGAGACGGCGGAGATCTTGAGCAGAGAATTGTTCGATCGAGGAAAGGCAGCAGGTTCGTGGCGACGGATAGGCCACGAGCTAGGCTAGACCATGCAGTCAGTAGATTATAGAATCCTTTACCGTCGGAGACAGCGTGATGATACCCGATCCCCAGGCAAACTCCGCCGCATCGGAATCTCGTCACCTGTGATGTGATAAAGAAATCGCTCAACTGTTAGTGCTGGGGTCATGGAGAGATGTGAACAACTGAACATACAGACATTACTCCATCAAGCGAGACAAGGTTGTCAACCCGCAGACTGACCCGGACGCGGTCGAGCTAGTGGGTCAAGGTTAAATGGGTCACCCGTTTTAGCCCGGTTGAGTCCGGAAATATTGAAAGAGTCATTATATTGTACTTATCCTAATAAATTATATCAAATCTCATCTAACATATGAGTTATAACATATAATATTACACCAAAATAACATGTTGTACTTAGATCTAACATATAGTGAAAATTCACACACACTTATATAATATCAATATTCAAATGTTGAACTTAGAATTCCAAATATTGAGTTAGGCGAATAGAAAAATAAAAAATAGGCGCATTTGGCAAACCAAAGAAAAAAATCACACAATTTGACCTCAAACCTGTGACCTTGCAACGGTCGACCCGACGGGTGCGTGCAGCCTATTTTTCTCACCGGGCCAGGGTCAAAATGGGTTGACCCGCGGGTTGACAACCTTGAGCGAGAGCTTTTGATAGTTTGTCATAATTAAACTAGTTTGTTCTAATTATTCTAGTTATTGGGAGAAAGTTAATTAAGGAGGAAGCAGTGCGTAGACTAGTGCATGAAATTTATTATCTGTCACCTGCACGAGAAGCAGCGGGAAGGAGGAAATGCCCTTGGAGAAGTCAACTTGCGGGACCAACTGCATCAACTCGGGAGCAGGCTGGAAATCGCCCAACTCGGAGATGGTGACGTCAGTTTCCGCCTCGACGAAAAGGACGCCTTGGCCGTTGCAGTCGATTTCAAACCGGCCGGTTCCGTCCTGGGCCTGGGCCAGCCTCCCGGCCACCGGGAAGAAGGTGATGAGGGCCTGGCTCAGGGACTCCTTCAGCACCCTGCAGTTGAAGAAACCGCGAGCAGCGCCGCCGCCGTCAGGGCGGCGCCAGCTGTAAGGTTGCAGCATCGGGACGTGAGCGGTTTTGGCGAAGAACTGGTCCAGGTTCGACAGCCACAGGCGCTGGCTCGGGGTTTGCCCGGCCGGTCGGACCATGCAGGTTTCCCTCACTGCAGCCTTCATCTTTTTTATCACTACTTCCGGTCTGGCTTGGGTTGGCGTCAGTGGAAGCGTGCGTTGCGGTATTTGTAGTCGGGACAATTTGAAAGAGTAGATATATGTTAGGTAATCTTTAAATAAGAGTCATTATAAGCTATCATATAAATGGCGAGTTGGGTCTGTTGCCAAAGTTGGGTACGTACCTTCTTGTGTTAAATTGGCCAAACAACAACAACGTCTAAGATGTCAGCTCCGAGTTCGTTGTGGGGCAGGCCTTCTTGTGTTGCTAGTCAACTGCGAGACGGTTCTCTTCAATTTGGTGGACTCTCTGCTTGTATATTCGTTTTTCTTTGAATCGCTAGAGTGTTGCGAAGGAAGAACGGATGAAAAGAGAAAACTAAATTTTCTCACTTCTTTCTCCCCACAAATCAAAACCACCAAAATACCTCCTTATTTCTTTTCTAAATAATTCAAAGAACCAAATTTCCTTCTTCTTTCTCTTCCCCAAAAGTTGAATACACCAACATTTCCCCTTCTTTTAAAAGCATCAAATTACCAAATACATTACTTTACTTTATTTATATGTAATTGATAATATTATTGAATAGTTTAATTAATTAAAATTTAATTTATATATTATATTAATAATGTCCATGATCTCAATTATTAATTCTTCATTATTAATATAGACATTGTGTTGATTTTATATTTACTTTTTTAATTTTTTTTTTTTAAAAACTTATCGTTCAAGTGACGTTCATGTTTCAGTTTTTGTAATTTTCTTAAAATACATAATATCACGTGAGTTTCATATTTTTTAAATTCATTATACGAAATGAAAAAATAATTTTACCTAAGTTTAGAATGAAAAACTTTATTTTGAAAACTATGTACTGTATAATATAATAATTATTCAAGTGGATTAGATGAAGTTCGGGTTGAGTCGGTCGGGTTACGAGCTAGTCGGGTTCGGATCAATCGGGTTCGGGTTAATCGAATTCGGGTTTAATCGGGTTGCGAGTCAGTCGGCTTGCGGGTTAGTTGGGTTGCGGATCAATCAGGTTGTGGGTCGAGCGGATTACGGGTTGTTGACTTTTAGTCAATTCGGGTTGCGGATCGGGTTAATCGAGCGGGTTAATCGAGTTGGGTTCTATTTTGACACCTATATTTTGAAGGCTAAAGATCACGGATTCGCCCTGAGGCTATTATGCAATGATGATTAAGTCCATTAAGCACTGGTTTATGCATATTTCTTTCAGGTCCATTTTTGGCACATTCTAACGGGGTCCCATCACAGATTTCGGGCGATCTATGCGAAATGCAATTTTCTTTCGATTTTGAAGGCTACAGATCACGGATTCCGTCCAAGGCTATTCTCCACTCATAATAAAGTCTATTGATCCGATTATCCACCGATGATTAAGTTCATTTAGCACCGATATGGTCAAATTCATTTTCGGATTGCATTTTCGTATTTTTTTGGGCTATTTTTTTCGAAAGACCATTTTCCTTATATTTTGAAGGCTACAGATCACGTATTCGTCTTGAGGTTATCCTTCAACGATGATTAAGTACATTAAGAACTGCTTTTGGCGAATTTCTTCCGGGTCCATTTTTGGTAGACTCCAAAGGGGTAACATCACAGATTTTGGGCGATTTTTCCGAAATGTTATTTTCTTTCGATTTTGAAGGCTACATATCACGGATTCTGCCCGAGGCTATTCTCCACCAATAATGAAGTCTATTGATCCTATTCTCCACCGATGATTAGGTCCATTAAACACCGATTTGGGCGTTCATTTTCGGATGACATTTTTGCAATTTTTTGGGTGCTTTTTACAAAAGGCCATTTTTCTTGGATTTTGAATGCTACATATAAGGGATTCAGCCTGAGACTATTCTTCAACGGTGATTAAGTCCATTAAGCATCGCTTTGGGTTGATTTTTTCCGGATCCATTTTTATCATATTCCAAAGCGCCATAATAAATTTCGGGCAATTTTTGCAAAATGTTATTTTTTCGAATTTAAAGGCTATAGGTCACGGATTTTGATGAAGGGAAGTAAAAGTCCAGGGAATAACATGCTAGATGGATGTTCTTTGACTGCTTTCACTTGTGATTGCTCTGCAGGAAGTTTTGGAGACTGTTTTTTGTGTTGTTTGAAATACCAACCTGCAGGGGAAAAGACTTTGATCGACAAGAACAACTCATCCAAGAGAAACGTGTGTTTTAGTTATAAGGCAGTGTTTTTTATTTACTGGAGACTTCAGCTTTGCGGTGGGCTTATAATCTTGGATTGTTTCATTTTGTCTGTAGGCATCTATCTATCTATAACTTATATCACTACAAAAAAGACGGTTATTAGTGATCAGAGTATTGCGTCAGTAAAGACCAGATTTCGTCGAAATTGTGCTTTTGCGACGCCATGCATCCGTCGCGGTTTAACCAAACTAAAGTTTATTCGGTTTGGTTAATTGGTTAACCAAAATAACTAACATAACACCACATTATCATTAAGTAAGAAAAAATTTCAGTTAGTGCATCAATTCGCAATTTATATAATGAACAACACATAACAATCCACACAATTGTAGTTAACCCTTAACATAAATACATGTAACAAATACAATTATCTTACATTTGACTCTTAAGTGGTTATGCAAAGTATTAAGTATGTGTATACAATATATATTAGATATATGACAAATTACTTAAATGGTTAATTTGGTTTGATTGGTTAGGAGTGCTTGAAACCAAACCAAACACCTAAACCAAACAAACTAATTTTTTAAACCAAACCAAACCAATTATCGAAATTAACCAAACTAAATTAGCCAAATACTACTGGTTAAAATGGTTACCACGGTAACCACACCGTTTGAAAACCCCTATGCCTAGCGAATCCTAAGTTGTGGTTGTTCTTCTACGGAGTCGTTTCTGAGAGTTTTGTGTACGTGGTATCATGTGAAACTCACTGACTAATTTGCACCAACTGATAACGTAGCGTTTTCGTAATTTTTCAAGCGATTTTTTTGAAACGACATTTTTATTGAATTTTGAGGGCTAAAGATTGCGGATTCAGCCTGAGCTTATTCTGCATTGATCATTAAGTCTATTTAAGCACCGATTTAGGCGGATTCTTTCCGAGTCAATTTTTGGCAGACTCCAAAGGTGTATTGATCACGAATTTTAGCGATTTTTCCGAAATGCCATTATCCTAGGATTTTGAAGGTTATTGATCAAGCATTCAGCCTGATGAGGATACTCTTCACCGATGATGAAGTATATTAAGCGCCCATTTTGGCAGATTTTTCTCGAAGGGTGTTTTCGTAATTTTCGTGCACTTTTTTTGAAAGGTCACTTTCCTTGGATTTAGAAGGCTAAAGATCATGGATTCTGACTGAGGCTATTTTGCACCTATGATTAAGTCTATTAATCACTGATTTGGACATATTTTTTTCGTGTCCATTTCTGCAGAATATAAAGGGCATAACATATTTCATGTCATTTTTTAAGGCAACTAATCACAAATTTGGCCTGAAGCTATTTTGCACCGATGATTAAGTCTACTAAGCACTAATTTGCGCGGATTTTTTCTAAGTCCATTTTTGGAAGATTCCAAAGCGATACCATCAAAGCGATACCATTTTCCTAGGCTTTTGAAGGCTACTTATCACGAATCCTGCCTGAGGCTAAAGATCAAGGATTCGGTCTGAGGCTATTATGCATCGATGATTAAGTCTATTAAGCACTGATTGGGTGGATTTTTTTCTGGTCCATTTTTTGCATATTTCAAAGGGGTTGCCATCACAAATTTCAGGGGATTTTTTTCAAAATGTCATTTTCTAAGAATTTTAGAGACTACTTATCACGAATTCGGTCTGACGATATTCTCCATCGATAATGAAGTCTATTAAGCGTGAATTTTGGCGGATTCATTTAGGATAGCGTTTCATAATTTTTTGGGCAATTTGTTTTTGAGAGGCCATTTTACTTGTTTTTTGGGCAAAGGACCGCTTACTTTACGCTTAGAATCATATTCAACGGATCATTTAATTTCCTGAGTATATTAAAGATACTTAGTTTCCATTTGCAGTGATGATCAGAGTTCATGTGCTATGTTTAATTTTGTAATATCATGTAATTCCTACCGTTACAAAGAGGACTATACGGTCGATTGATTTCATGAATTCGTAGTTCCTTATCTAAATAAATTCTATATATCAAAAGAACAAAAATTAGGTGTTTCCACCTTCGTTGTTGGCACCATACCACGACCTATATTTTCATACTTGATTAATTCAATTCCAACTTATTTTGGCATTCCAAAGGCTAAAAAACTTAAAAGGTTTGTACGACTTTAGAAACATTCATCACAGTCTAAGAATGAATGTTGTCAAAAGCGAACCGGAGTATGACCCAATAATGTGAACGACTTGGTTTTTAGCGGTCCAACCGACATTAAACCGTTTAAAAACCGTTAGAACTTAGAAAGCCGGATTCAATCTAAGCCTCTGGTGAGACAGGACAGCGGAGCAGCTACGAGAAGAAGGGACTGGCCGACTGGGGATGGCGAGCGGGGAGTGGTTTCAAGGACTGGGGATGGCGACGATGGCGACGGGACGGAAGCGCCGGAGCGGAGAGCTGCTTGCTACGGGAAGAGGGCACGGGGACAAGGACTGGAGATGGAGATGTGGTGGGCTGGTGGCGAGGTGACAGGGGATGGCGACGATGTCGTCGGGAAGCGTCGACGCCGGGACAAGAGGTGTTGACGACGGCAGAGTGGCGCCGCTCTTCTCCCTCTGTTCAAGGGTCGAAGACGAAGATGAAATGAATTAGAGTTATAGAGTTTTTTTTGGCTGCCCCAGACCCATAGTTTCCCTTGCCCTTCTCGATTTCAATTTTCAAAAAAAAAATTAGGTAAACAAAACGGTCGGAAGGTGGGAACCGCGCAACCGGCCGCTCTATAAAGCCATAGCGGTTAAATGATTGATCCGAGCCAATTTTACGGTCGGGTGGCGGCTTTGACGTTCCGGTCGGCCGGTTCGGCTTTAACAACAATGCTAAGAACAAATTCTTCTTCAAAGTTAATTAACTTATACATTTTCAACAATCCGATGCGAAGCGTGGGCCAATTATCTAGTTACCATCAGATGATCAGTATTAATCGGATGTGTTATACTATCAATAAATATCAACACTCCTATCAGCAGAAAAACGGAACCATAAGAAATCAGAAGAGGGATCGATTATCGTATTGAGACAACTCGCAACATGTTCACGTCTTGGCTTTTTAACCAAAACGTTACAATATTTTGCAGATTGTTGTTTTTATACAGTGCAACAGAGTATGAGAAATTGGGAGAGAGTTGAATCATTTTCTTCTGAATTTTTGGCATTATCAACTGGTGGCAATGGATGGAACTCTGTACATCTCCAACAGACCCCAAGGGAATGAATTTTTTTTTTTTTTTTTTTACAGTCAAAGCAGGCAAGCTTGTTTGTTCGCCATCTGCAGTATTCCAGAGCTGCTTATAATGATGCACTGCCGCCAGGGCAGTCTCAATCATCCGTCTGCATCAATGTTATGATCGTCACCGGAAGAAGTCATCTGTCTCGGCTCTGACAATGAGAGTCTCCTCTGCATTCCGGAGTTCGCTGTAGCTTCCACGAGACCTTCCGGGGATAGAGCTAGTGAAGCCGGTCCTGAAGATGACCCCAGGTAACGTCGAACAGGGGCATCAACAGCAGAAGATGATGATGCTGAGAGATTGTATGTGAAGATTCCCATGGGGTGGTCGAACTTGCAGCTCGGACCAAACTTGCAAATCCCGTATCGGGAGTAGAAGATACACAGCGGCTCTCCCTGTTGATTGATTAAAGCACCAGCTTCATCAATCATCATCAGACAGAAAGAAAGAAAGAAAGAAAGATGGTGTAGCAAGTTGCAACCCGGCATGTGAGAATCGGAGGAGAGAAAGGGTAGCTGAACTCACCGGACGTAAGGGGAGGCCTATAGGGCTCAATACACAGTCTGGAGCAGGGATGAGTCTTTCTCTTGGGTGATGAAATCTACAAACTGCACCAAACTTACAGTCACCGGTCTTCATATAATACTGGCATTCAGGTTGTCCAGGTCTCTCGGGAAACACATTGTCCCCCTGCAATGCATAAAATCCAACAGAGACTGAACCAGAACGGTATGGGTCGGTACTCGTCGTCTCATTCTGGAGGGAGTTACCGTATATCTGACTATTTCCACTTTGTTGCTGGCTATCAGGTGATGAAACTGAACCCACCTGACCCTACAATGAAACAACAAAAAGTAAAGTGTCCATAGAAGAATGTCTTTGGAGAATGTAAGAATAGATAGCAGCATTCAAATTTCAAGGAAAAATATTTTCTCAGTTTCCAGTATCCAGGAGAGAACATTCTATCTGCTACTGTATAATAAAAGAATGTCTATGGAGAATGCAGGGATACAAAAGAAGAAGCCATATTCTTAGGTTGAGATGCAAAAGATAAAGTAATAACCACACGAAATAACACATTCAATCTGCTGCTCCTAGTGCAACTTTGGCCTGCTTAGTCATTTGATTAAGTCTGGCTGCATGATCATTCTCAGCATGAAATGGTTAAAGATTCTTACACTGTATGAGTTCCAACCGGGAACAGAAACAACTCCCTGGGGTACGATTAAGGGTGTGTAACTGGAAGGAGCTTGCCAGCGTGGGCTGGTAATATAGGACGCCCTTGACCAGTTTGTAAGTCCAGCTGGGTAGGATTGCTGGCCAGGATTTGTTGGAGATTGAACAGTAGGATATATAGGAGAACCCCGTAATGGAAGCATTAAATTATTCGGTTGAGGATGATGAAATTTACATGTGCTCCCAAACTTGCATTGACCCGTTCTTAAATAGTAAGCACACTCAATCTCATTCTGCAACAAGCAAATGCACAACGAAAAACTGGTCAGAAATTGCAAAGATCATTAACTTGGCAAGCTAGACTTGGATATATAACATTATTACTACGCATTACACTGCAAGTTTCATGAAGCATAACCGCAAAATGAAATAGTAAAACAAAAAAGTATACGATCCGAAGTTGTGGAATCAGGCATAGGATCGCCAATAGAACTGTTTTTGTGCAGAGAGTGAATGAAGAAATCCATACTGGTCGAAGTGGGAAGCCGAGAATATTCAAGGAAACTCTTCCAGCTATCCCAGCCTTGTCTTTAGGATGATGAAACTTGCATGTTGCTCCAAATTTGCAAGTTCCAGTCTTCAGATAGTACTGGAAAGCAGTTAAAACATCAGGTTAGTATTTGAAGCTCGCATATACAGGGAAAACATAATATTTCACTCCAGCAAGTAAAAGTAGGAGTTCGGACCCTATCAGAGACTTGGAATGGGTGGGTGGGGAGGATGGCAGGGTATAGGGTTATCTGAAAACCTTAACGAGACCTAGAAATATGCACTGAACATAATGAAAAACTTTCATGCCATCTCCAAAAGCATGGAACCATCTACAGGAAGAAAGAAATTGCACATAAAAGTGAGGCAGTTCATATACCTGACACTCAGGCTGTCCAATCCTTTCTGGAAATTCACCTTTCATCCTTGCTGCAGCAATAGCCTAGACAGAGACCGGAAGGTAGTTCAGAGTGTCAATCACACAGGCTACAATGGTTCAAAATGCCACACGAAGTATGAACAATTTTCTTCTTCAATTAATAAAGTCATCACCACTACAAAAAAAAAAAAAAAATACCACACAAAATATGCAAATTTGCAAGCAAAAAAGGTGCTCCACATGCATCTCTGTATAATATTCTTATCGAGAGTAAGTCCAAGTCCAAGTATAGCCCCATCAGTACGAGTATGCCTTATCATGCAGATCCATGAGTGGGAAAGACAAAAATCTGCTGATCGGGGGAAAAAATGGGCTACACATCAGAGAAGCACAAGATAAACTTGTTTAACTAGTTGGCAAAGGGGGTACAACCTAATGGTCCTAATCAAACCAATGTTCAAGCTTAGGCTACCTATAATTCATAGACACTGTTTGTCAGGTGGAAAAGGGATGAAGAGGAATGGAGAAAGCCCAATTCTTTACTTATATAAAGCATAACACAGAAATTGTGTGATGGAAAAGAACCTTCTTGAGATCTTAAAAGTTTCAACAGACTTTGCAACCATATCAGAGAGTAAAATGCGAAAGTCCATACCAGCTTTCTGTTAGGAGGATGGTTAAATCGGCAAGTGGCCCCAAATCTACAGAGACCAGTTCTTATATAATAGGAACAATCCGGCTCGCCAGGGCGTTCAGGATATGGCCCGGCTTCCATTGCTTCACTAGATCTCAAGTTAACTTGCCACATTGAACCTGAAATTCCACCACACAAAGATAGAACCTTTCAGCATCCGGAAATAAAACAAAAAAGCCCACCCTATTTAAATGCAAAGAAACAAAGCTAGCCATTTCCCACAACCAGCTAAATACAAGAAACTAGAGAATTCAGACAATCCATTCCCCAGCTGTAAGAGATCATCCCTTTGAAACAGGAAAACATGAATACTGACTCAAGTTGCAGCGACAACCACGAGTAGACGCTGTTCGAGCCCGGAATGGCAAAATGGACAGGACAAAGGGGAGTGTAAACAACTCTTGTCATTGCCAATCAAAGATGTCAGGTGACCAATACAACTTCTTCAGGAGAAGTTCAGTTGTACTTGGAGCAACGTAACTACCATCAACCAATTTTCTATGCAGGGAAAAAAAACAGCAAGGCGCAACCACTGCTCTCATGGAACCATTCTTTCTGTGCAATCAGCAGGAAATCCAGGATTTGTGGGAAAGAAACAAACGAACGCGACCAAATGGAAGAATAAGATTCATATATCCGGAGAAAAGTAATCAAACAAGATAAAAACAGATAAGAATATAATAATCGAGAATCGGTTCAAGATGCTTGCATAAGAATTCATTTCATCGTGAATCACAACGTTGCAATCAGCACAAAACAGGCGATTCCCGAGCTTGAAAGCATCAAAAAACCGCCATGAACGAGCGAAACGAACATCTGATTCGAGCAAGCAGCAGTTACTACCAAACAAGCCAGCAAGCATTAAAATAATAATAATGGGGAAAGAAAGAAGACGAAAAAACGTGACCCAAACACACCATCCTCCCTTTCTCTTTTCTTATTTTATGCCTTTTTCTGACTTTTTCCCCCGGCTAAAAGCAGTGATGATCATTCATTCATTTCAGAGCTCAGAATTCATCGCAGCAGCGCGGAAAAAAGGAGGGAGCAGTGGCAGGGGCAGAAACGACAATTCCCGGGAAATTTGGGTATCAGGCAGCGCGACACGTCAGCTGCATTTTTTTTTTCTTTCTCACCCAAACAAACAGATACGTACGGAAGGGAGAGAGAGAGAGCGCATACGCCGACGGCCTTACGACGGAGCTCCGATTGCCATTCCTCGAAATTATTTAGAAAGAAAGAACGGAAAAAAAGGAAGAGGAAGGAAAAGAGACCTTCGTTCAAGGACGGCGAGAGAGAAGTTCCTTCGGCGGTCACAACCGACGAAGACGGAGCGACGACGACGACAGCTCGGGACATCGGAATTCCGGCGTCAAATTCCATATCGTAGAAGAAGCGAAACCGCGGCGATCTTCTCCCTCCATGTAAAAACAAAAAATCAACAAAGCAGCGCGTCGACTCTCCCCGCCGGAACCCCCATTCCCTTCCCCCTCTCTCTCTTCTCTCCCTCAATCAAAATCCTCAACCGTTATTCTTCTTCTTCCGCCCCTCCGGCAATTAATCGGAGCGAGAGACAGGCGCTCAGAGATTCGGTGAGTGGGCGAGGAGGAAGAGAGAGAGAGAGAGAGAAAGCAGCACCAAATTCCCGCAGTGCAACAGAGGAGGAAATAAATTAGAGAGAGAAAGTTGGGGGAAAAAGAGAGAGGAGGCAGTTTTTTTTTTTCGTTTTTTTTTTTTTTCCTCTCCCTCTCTGTGATTGTGCGTTTCTTTTTTGGGTGGGAGAGTCGGGAGAGAGAAAGCGTTGTCCACTCCGCTCCACAGAAACTGATCAAAGGGAAGGGATGGAAATGGAAGAAGGAAAGGAAAGGAGGATAAAATAAAAAAGCCAACCATCCGGAGAAGAAAACTACCAGACCAGACACTTGAGACTGTTTATCCCATTCCCCTTCCCTCCACCCACCCCTCATCTCTTCAACCTCACGCGCCTCCTTCCCTCCGTTTTCCCTACTCGCGCTCTTCCCCATTGTATTCATGCAAAAGCATGTAAACCCTTGTTTTGATTACTCACTCAACATGGAGGAGGACTTGGACCTATTCCTCAATAACCTACAATTCAAGATCTACCTCAATTGTTTTTTCTTGAGAAAGTTGTAGCTTTGCAATGAGGTTGGACACAGACCAGTCAAGCGTTGCAACGATTGAGAACCGACAATCACGCGAGCTTCCCACGAGTTCGATCGTTGTTGTTTTGTTAATCGAGCGTGTGCGCGTCTACTTTTTTAAAAATCATCGTTAGTCGCACTATGATTGATATGATCGACATGAGTTAGCTCAGATTCGATATGCAACTTCGTCAGCCAAGCACATCACACAGGCATCATGTTGTGACACTATTATTGCTAGCATTGATGAGACAACGGAATGCACTTCCCACATGTTTTGTCCAAACCAAAGATGTAGAACGAACTTTTTAGAACGGAACCGGAAAATCGACACCGCAAGAAAGTAAAGAGCACACGGTGCACCAGCACGATGCATTTTAGCTAGTTCACGAGTTTAAGAGACTGATTTTCACTATAGTTGAAGAAATGCGGGTTGTATAGATTAAAAAAGTAGCACATACTCAAGACGGTCTAACCCTAATCCAATCTAAAAAATAATAATTACGAAACAGACCGATTACAATAACAAACACGAATAAGCCAACACACAAAAACCCATCATCTTCCTCTCTAGCAAAATTTAGCGAGTTCGAACCCAAGCTCAAATCGAAAACATTTGTACACTTGAAATAGGCTTTGCCGAGATCGCCCCACATCACGGGTCGTATTTCACTACCAAAGAATTCACGATTGCTGGGACAGAGCAGAAGCTCTATTATCTAACACACGCCGACATCAGCTGTACAATTTTGGGATTTGCTTTCTCGTTAGGGTTGGTTCAATACTGCAGAATTTTGGAAAACGTTGCAGTTTTTCGGCCGACAAAGCCGATAAGTTAAAAGATCGGCACCCTACGATAAGCTTCATTCAGCATTTTCAAATTTACTGCGACTGACATGGATTTTACATAACGCAAGTAAAACCAGCTACAACACTCATGTAAGATATATGCTAATTATACAAAAAAATAGAATTAGGATTACAAGTCACTTGAAGTGGTAAGGACAAGGAAACTAGAGCAGAGGAAAATTGCAAGTGAAAGATGCTCTGCTGTGTTGCTCTTGGCGAGACAAAAGAATCGAGGATTAGCATACAGTTAGTTATAGAGGTGGGTAGAAATAAGAGGACAAGGAGAAACCCAGGAAGAGCAGCCCTCCAATGGTGGCAACCGTCTTCTGCGAGATCTTGGAAGCCAGCATACTCCCTCCTATAACTGCCACCGATGTGCAGATGGTGTGGCCTATCGTTGCGCCAACTGCGACGCCGACTGCATTCTTGTGGGTGGCCAACTGCAAAGTCCGAAACCAGGATAAGCCTTCACATCAAAGGAGGAGCAGGAAGAAAGCATCTAAGAGAGATCGATTTTTTGTTTTTTTAACTTACAGCAATTGTTGCAATCTGGCTACGGTCACCCCACTCGGCTAGGAAGGTCAAGATGAATGCCTGCAAGGGTAGAGGAAAAGTGAAGCCAGCCAGTTTAGAAGGTTGTTCCGACGACTCTGTTTATGTCATTGATTTAGAACATTGGGTGCGTCGATTGACGCATGGTTTAAGAACGGAGGATCTCAGATGATAAAAATGCCACAAGTGAAGAGCGTTAAGTATGCCAATAACCGTACCTCCAGAAATATAGGAGTGCAGAATCTAGAGAAGAAGCGGCGGAAGCTCGTTTTGCCTTGCCCGGATTCAAGCTTTTCTTCTACCTGAATATATGAGATCCCAATTTAACCTAAGAAGTAAGAACATAGCAACCAATGACCGATGCAGCGCAAGATATTACATGAAAACAAGAGAACAATGGAAGTATACAAGTGAGTTTCGGAATCTGAATTACTCAGAACAATGCAGCACCCCGTGCATTTTAAGACAAGCAACAAGCTGATAGCAGTCTGTTATAACACCTGGTTTGGCTAAATTTGGCAATCGTACAACTCACAATTATGTAATATTGAAAAACTACTTGTACCATAGGATTAGTATGATATTAATATTGGATAGTTAGTTAAGAATCAACTAAATAATATGGACAACACCATAGGACAAGTCAGGAAACTTATTAGACAAACATCCCTTCTAACACTTCCAACCCCTTGAAAACTGTTAATTACATCTAAACATACAAGGACCCATACTAGAACCAACAGCTATATAACATAGTTTGTACCAGAAGTAATGTGAGCAGGGAAAACACAACTGAAATCAGTATTAAAACAGTAAGTTGGTAGGGAACAAGCAGACATACTTCTTCCATTTCTTTCTTCTGTGATGATTTTGAATCGGATCTCCAGGCAATGTAAAGCAACCGCAATCCAAAGAATAGATACAGAACTATACAGGAAAAGGAATTTCAGTTAGGCTCATACTGACCAACTTTAGAAGAAGAAAAAATAATTAATCCATGCCGTAGATAATTCAGAAACTGATATTGCAAACTAAGACTTCTGCTTCGATGTTACTAAAGCTAGATAATTGTACCTGTAGCTGCACTATTGGTATGCTTCCTTGATATCAAGTTTGGCACAATCCTTCCAAGTCCAGTAGAAAGTACCTAATGGGAAGTTGAATGTAGAATAGCTTTTACGCTTCAGAGTATTGACAATAACAGAAGTGATTTTTTCATTTGCTGGAACCAACGCATTACAGTACGATGCAAATGCACTATTAGACCGTAAATATCAGGAAATAACAAAATCAAAATGAAGGCAAAAGAGAGATAACCAGATAAGGAAACTTACTGTCATAACAAACAATGCTGAAAGCGCCCCAGATAGAACTGTTGACTTTGGGTGGCGCATTGCCATGAGAGCTGCTATGATAAAAGTCTCATCTCCAATCTACAGCCGATCAAAGTGACACTAATCAGACAACCAATCTAGATACATAATTATAAGACTCAAGAATATGTGAAATAGCATTCAACTCATATGAACGATTCAAGATAGGCAAATGGGTAATGAAACCAGCAATGAGATGTGCATATAACGCGGTCTTTTCAGTACAGTGCTATCAACGAACTTGCACAGAGTTAATTGAATCCAAGCCCACAAACCTCACTAACGAGGATCATCGAGAAGCTGGCGAAGAATGCATCAAAAACTCCAAGACCCGTATCCAAAGAAACACCCAAACTAACAGAACTAATGTCGATGTCACTTCCTCCAATCTGCAGCCACAACACAACCATTTGAACAGTTAAGAACAGGTAACCAACGACTTTCCTCGATACATTGCAACACCATAACTAATACACGTTTTGGCTTTCCTCGTGTCAATGAAACAATAATGGAATCGTTACATATATGATCCACTTCCAAAGACCTTTCTGAAGAACAGCATGAGCATAAAATGACGGGCAGCAACGAAGAGAAACAAGCCACACTCACCATGCCACGCCGGCCAAGACTGTTGTATGCTGAATCATTCCATTCCTCTTTTTCATTGTTCACAGCAGCGTCCTAATTACAAGCAGAAGGAACAACAAATCGCATCTCGCGAATCAGGCAATTAAAAAGTCATAGCAAATTCCAAGCAAGCATCGGGAAACATACAATCAAGGCCATGGAATTGAACAGCGACGAACCTGAGCAGAGATACAGGAGAGAGACAACAGCACCAATCCGGAAACCAGGAGAATCCTAGGGTTTGAACGAAACCCCATGATGCGAACACAAATTGGTGAGGCCAGGGAGCCTCAACGAATAGAAGAAGGTGACGCCTGCGCGTCGGTGGAGACAGATCTGGATCAAGCGAATGAGGGATCGGAATGATGGAAGTGATTCCGATCCAAGAAGAACGGAATCGGGGAAACGAGGCAGAGAGAGATCTTGCTAGGAGCGAAGATATCCCAAAAGAAAGAAAGAAGGAACGGTAGACTGGCGCGTCGGCGAGAATTGTGTCTTCCTCTTCCCCCGCCTTCGGACCCGTGGCTGCGACTGCGAGGTAGCGCTTTATTTTTTAATTTTTTTCGGGGACCAGAATGAGATTTTTACAGGGTTGTCACGCCGGCCGCGTGCCACCGGTTGTACCTGGTTCAACCTGTATCGGTCATCAAACCGGTATGACACCACCGGTATGACCGGCATGATTGATATACGAATCTCTAAGTAAAATAACTTTTTTTAGTGACTTTAATTGTTAAAAATTATTTAATTATTTATTTTATGATTATAAATGTTAAATATTGATGTTATTTGTTGGATTCAAGTATAAATGTTTAGGTATTGACGTTAAATGTCATGTTTAAAATGAGTATTTATAATTTTATTTGTAATATTGACCGGCATGAACCGGCACAAATCGCTCTGTACCACCGGTCGAACCATTCCACTTGCTAAACCGAACACTGACATAAACCGGTTTGACAATTTTTACAGAGCCGCCGTATTTTCTATTTTGAAAATTTTTAAGATTAGCTAATCCGAAAATTTGGGCCCAGAACTTGGGCCGGTTCAATATTTTCTCTCCCGCCATTCCGTAAGCCACATTGCTTGTTAACACTTCTCGACCAGACGACCACCAGCATTTTCGTTTCCTCTAGAAAGTAGGAGAAAGAGAGTTATTTCAAACCAGAAGCTCCTTGCGAGACACAACGGCGAAATCGTTCGAGCATGTTGAGTCGCCGGTAAAATGAAATGGACTTTGCTGAGTAAGTCTCAGTATCCTGCTCTACTTACCACATTTCCCCACAAACTCCAATGGCTGCTCCATCTCCAGCTTCGCCAGTATCGAGACCAACCGGCAGCCGGTGGAGAATCCGTCGTCGAGACAAGACCGGGGGTCCTACATGCTCGGGATGTTAAAGGTGGTCCATTTTGCGTCAGTACTGATTCTTCGATCAACTATCTTTTGAGTCTTTACTCGAAGTCGGCAGATTTTACCAACGCACACAAGCTGTTCGATGAAATTCTCGATAGAGACTTGCGCACTTGGACCATCCTGATCTCGGGCATCGCTCGAAATGGAGCGCACAAGGATGTTATGGAACGATTTAGGAGAATGCAACTTGAGGGTGTAACGCCAAATCAATTTACTCTGTCGACCGTTTTGAAGTCCTGCTGTAGCTTGATCGAGCTAAGAACCGGGAAAGGAATTCATGGTTGGATTTTAAGAAATGGGATTGTCTTCGATGTCGTGTTGGCAAATTCAATTCTTGATCTCTACGTTAAATGTGGGGCTTTCAGCTACGCGGAAAGGTTGTTTGGGGTAATGGTGGGGAAAGATACTGTGTCGTGGAATATAATGATTGGTGCCTATTTGTATCTTGGAGATGCAAGCAAGTCTCTTGAATTGTTTGATGGTTTGCAGTCCAAGGATGTTGCAAGTTGGAATACCATTATAGATGGGCTAATAAGATGCGGGTGTGAAAGCATTGCCCTGGAAGTGCTTTATAGGATGGAAGGTAATGGACTTGAATTCAATGCCATAACATTCTCCATAGCGTTGAACTTGGCTTCTAGTTTGTCAGTTTTGCTACTGGGGAAGCAAATTCATGGCAAGGTTCTAAGACGTGGGATTGATGACAGTGGCTTCATAACGAGTTCGCTTATAGATATGTATTGCAAATGTGGGGAGTTGAGATTGGCGGACATGATATTTCAACAAATGTGCCAGGGTTTCCTCCCTGTAGATGCAATGGCGAGGAGAGTTTCATGGAGTTCAATGGTGTCTGGGTATGTAAAGCAGCGTGAGTACATCTGTGCCTTCAGAACATTTACGTCCATGTTTGAGAAAAATGAAGAGGTGGACATTTATACACTCACAAGCACCATTTCTGCGTGTGCTGAGACTGGCAATTTGGAGCTGGGGAGACAGATCGATGCCCGTGTTCAGAAAGTTGGGCATAAAGTGGATGCTCACTTAACTTCAGCATTCATCGACATGTACTCTAAATGTGGTTGTTTGAATGATGCTATAAACAAGTTCAACGAAAGCAATAATGATATGAATTTTGTGATCTGGACTTCTATGATATATGGGTTTGGATTACACGGATGTGGGACGGAAGCTGTTAGACTCTTCGACCTCATGTTAAAAGACGGTAGCATTGCTCCTAATCTGATTGCATTTCTTGGTGTATTGAATGCTTGCAGCCATGCTGGGTTGTTTGAAGAAGGTGTCAGATATTTCGAATCAATGCAAAATGTTCATGGCTTGAAGCCAACTGTTCAACACTATACTTGTATGGTCGATCTTTATGGTCGGGCAGGTCGTTTGGACGAGGCGAAGAGATTTATTGCTGAAAATGGCATCTCACATCTCACTGCAGTCTGGAAGTCACTTTTGTCATCCTGCAGGCTCCAGAAAAATGCCGAGATGGGAAAATGGGCCTGCGACAGACTACTCGAACTGGAGCCACTTGATCAAGGTTCTTATGTTCTTTGTTCAAACATTTTCTCTGCCGATGGCCACTGGGAAGAGGCGGCCGAAGCAAGGAGTTTGATGCTCCAGAGAACAGTTGACAAAGTCCCTGGTCAGTCTTGGCTCTAACTGAATCATCCACAGCCACAGTTTTGGTTGGTCTCAGTGTAGTACTTAATCAACGAGAAGGACGTGAAATAACATTAACGAGCAGCAGCTAAAAGGTACGTATATGTAGGCGAAAAGTGAAAAGCTTTGTTGACAGTTTTTTCCTGTGTAATATTGCTGCCCAGACTGCAGAGGAAGTCTTTTGCATTCATGATTGCCCCTCCTACTAACTGAAAACGCCATTTAATCCTTTTGATTATTACAGGTTACATATAATGAGAAGCTTAAAGATGGAGCTTGCTTGGTTTGGATGGGCAAAAGGGGGAGATGTGGGTTTTCCAGCTTGGTAGTGGATCGACCTCAACAAACCCACCATCGATGTCTTCACTGTTTCGCTGTTGAGAAGAAACCAAACATTCTAACGTAAGAAAGTTGGTGGCTTTTTTTGCTTCAACTGAGTTATTAGTGACTCACCATCATTCCTCATTACTAACCCCATACTGCGTGTCAAAAGGTTAGAGAAGAGATCACTTTCTATCCGATGATGCTCTGTTTTTTGTTGTTTAGCTATCCGATGATGCTCTGTTTTTGTTTGTTTGGTATTTTGGTCTATCATTCTTTTGGCCTTGAGAATCAAGGAAGTGGAGTCTGGTCTCCGTCCTCCCACTACCATAACTTCCAACGCACACCAATCCTCGTTTGGTATTTTGAGTCCAAATTAAGTAACCCTTTTACACATGCAGGACAAGGCACAGAAGAAATAAACACAAGGAAGAAGAATGGTGGAGCTGTGTATGAAAGTGGCGCCTTTGTGTACAAGAGAGACAAAGTAAGAAGGTGAAACCAACTCACTTCCCTCGCCTTTAACGAGAATTTCCACGAGGTAAATCTTCTTCTTCCTCCTCAATGTAACCGAGTTGAATTACATTATGTACCCATCAATCATCACCTCCCTTGCATCACAAAAGCATAGAAAGAGAGAAAAAAGGTGCACACGGACAAAGATCTACCCACTAACTATATATGCTTTCTTTCTTTCTTTCATTCTCTTTTTTGGGTGTCTACCGAACAAATCCATACATGTATCTTGGCTTGGTATACAAATCAAATGTGAAATCATAGTGACTTAGCTTGATTACAAAGGCATCCATCCACCATGTCCACCACCACCCGTCACTACTATATAGTCGCCCTCCAACCAACACCTCCGACATTATCCCTATAGCTACTAGCTTGATCTAACAAACCCAGTTACAACAGCGTATGTATGTCTCCCTCAACCACCCTATATAGCTAGTGCTAGCCTTTGCAATGCCTTCATATATCTCTATCGTCTCTCTCTTTTTCTCGTCCACGGCAACTGCTTGAAAGCTAATGAAGCTATAGTACTGTCTAGCCAACTTATCAGCCAGATCGACAGTACGTCGTAGAACATCCTCAACCATCAATCTGATAAGTTGATTCCTGGTTTCATCGTCTCTCAGTTTCTGTTTTGGGGGCATTCATTCCATATTTCCATAAATAGGCTGATAATATCTCATATCTGGAGGTAGAATGAGAATGAGGCCGGATAGAAGAATGGAGAGGCTGGTGCTGCTGCCATTCACCATGGGATGTGTCTCCGAGTCCAGCGTCGCCCTCGCTCACCACCACCACCACCACCCCATAAGAAGAAGATCATCATCGGCATCCACTGCGGCTGCCCCAACGGCCACCGCTCGCTCCAAAAGCAGGAGGAGAGAAATGGACGACGACGAGGAGAGCTTGTCCAGTACCGATAGCAGCGACTCCAAGAGCAGTACGACTTCCTCCTCGACATCTCCCTCTTCCAAGATATCCGCTCGCTTCCATCGGATTCTCAGGACTTTCAAGTCCACCTTCGGTCAGTCACTTTCTTTTATCGTTCATTTTTCAGTAGAAGTTGAATCTGTTTAGTAAATACGAAGTGAAGAAACTAACGTTTTGTATAATCGGTGGGATCTTCTGTACGTAGTGTACAAAGAAGAAGATGAGGAAGAAGAGGAGGAAATGGAGATCGGGGTGCCGACGGACGTGAAGCATGTCACCCACATTGGCTGGGACGACGACGTCGGAGCAGCAGCAGCAGCAGCAGTAACATCGGCGACGATCACCGCTACGACGACAACAACAACAACACGTGTCAATAACCCAATGGATTTTGAACAACACGATCAGAGCGGCAGCAGCGGCAGTTGGGGCAACAACGACAATCTGATCACCCACAGCCATTACCAACCTCGTCATCGCCGTGATCTTCAGCAGCTGATGTGTCACCATCATCGTCGTCCTTCTTCTTATGAGGGTGATATCGCCATTGGCGCCCTAGCTGCAGTTGATCCAGTACTCCCCCGCCGGCCGCTTTCCGTCATCTCTCCTTCCTCTGCCTGCACCTGATTCATCGTCGTCATCATGGATCGCCATTCCTCTGCCATATTATCTCAGCATTTCATCATCATTACTTGATATATATATACTCGTTAAGTTTTAGAAAGAAGAATCAGTCATATATGTCCTTACAAATGTGTTATCATTGGGATGTTTTGCATTTTTCCAAACTTTATATATGTACAACTTCACATGTTCTTGTTGTCTAGAGCTCATTCAATTTCGTTTATAGGGTCTAAATATTCAGTTCAGTTTATATGTTTTGTAATCAGATTATTTAATTAGTTCCCATATATGCAACTTACACTACACTACATAAGTCAAGAATTCCGATCGTCTAAGTAGAGTGATTTCCCGACAGAGGCTTGTTTATTGGAATTTCTTTCAACAAGATTTATGACATTAATGTTATGTTTTAAGTATTAAAAGGGTGTCCATCTCGTCTCGTGGCATAAAAATGCTCTCGTATTGATAGTTCGAATTCTGGTTGACTATTATTCTTATCCTATTTTATTTTGTAAATTGCATTATGACTATCTTCGTATCTATTGTTCTCATTCGGAATATTTTTGACAAAAGAAAAACTTATGCTACACTACTACAAGTTGTTCATTGAGAAAGAAAAAAAAGTCAAAGTTCTGGCACATGGCTAAGTTTTGGGATTATAATTCATTATCTAGACTCCTAGATTTCTATGGAGGTTAATTAGTCATCAAAGTATCGAACATTGGCTCTGAAATTCAACAACAATCAAATAAGATCTTAGTCCGTCCATATATAAAATCGTAGATTATTTTAATAATTTGTGAACTTACAAATCTAAATCATCTTATAATGTTCAAAATTACTATTCGAGAGTTTAGTATTGCCCGTAAAAAAAAAAATAACTACGCAACGAACAACATCCAACGTTCCAACAAGGTGAACTATTTTTACTCGAGAATGTGAAGAAGAAAAAAAAACAAAGCCAGTGTGGAACATTGGAATGGGAAAACCACCAATTGCTCAAACCGCAGCCTTCAAATTTTTCTGATTTGTTTATGTTCGTTGAATGTTGAACTAGTAACCCCTCACCCAAGGAAAGCAAACCGAAGCACACGTGGCGACATCGTAACGGACCGATAGAACATTCTAAATCGTACGAACTGAAATTGTTAAACGCCCATCGTTCTAGACTCTTACTTACGACGACTAATTCAATTCCACAACCCTAATCCAAATCCAATTTCTCGTTGACGATAAAATGAAATCAGTTTTGCCCTCCTTCTCGCCGGTTTCCCTCTCCCCCCCGGTTTCGCCTCTCTTCTTCGTTTATCCACTTGCTTTATTGATTTTCCTATAAATCACAAATTTATTTTTTTCCCTGGAAATTCAGAGCAAAAGAAAATTTAATTGGATTCCGAAAGGTTTTCGGGGAACCGGATTTTCACATTTCTCTACTGAATCTGCAATTTCCGCCGCCGGAGAATTGAGAGAGACAGAGAGCACTGCCGGCAGTTGTGTCCGATTCAGGTAAGGAATCCAGTTTTCCCCCAAGCGGCGGATTCCGGCGCCAACGCGACTCTCCTTCCCTCACTCTTTCTTTCACTCCATTTCCCCGCCGTTAAAACTCTTTTCTTTTTTCCTGTCCTCTCGCCAGAAAAAAAAAAAAAACTCTTTTCTGATCTGGCGTTTGTTTGTCCGTTGTAGAAGGAAAAGAACGAAATAAAAACCCCTTTCCCTGGAAAGGAAGAGGTCTCTGGATTTTCTTCAATCGAAGAAAACCAGGGGGAAGAAGAAACAGAAGGAGGAGGGAGAGGGAGGGCGGAAATGGGTTTGGTTATTGTTGAAGCGGAGAATGGCCTCGCCGCCGACGGTGGTGTTTTGAGCAATCTGGTCCCGCCGACGAATTTCTCGATGGTGGACGACGGCATTTTCAGATCTGGTCTCCCTGACGCTTCCAATTTCCGATTCCTCGAAACCCTAAATCTCCGCTCCATCATGTAAGTAGTGTGATCTTTTCTCTGTGATTATTCGCTAATGGAGGCCTGAAAGACGGCGAGGAAGAAAGGAAGGGGAAAAGATCGGCTCTTTCTAATGGTTAATGGAGCGAATAGCTTGCTTTGATTAATCATTAATGTCCTGAGGCCGTGTTTGGGATTTGTTAGGTTGCTGAGAAATTTGGTTTGGATTCCTTCTTGCTGAGAAACTTGATGATCTCAATTACTTGAAAATGGCCATTTGTTGACTTCTTGGAATGATTCCCATGTCTTCGTTTCCAGATACTTGTGCCCTGACCCGTACCCGCAGGAGAATGCAGAATTTCTCGCGGCTAATAACATCAAACTATTCCAGTTCGGAATCAACGGGAAGACGGTAATCAATTTTCGCCTTTCCTTCAATCCTCCTCTTCCACCATTGATGATTCCATTGCTTCATAATCATACCCTTTTTCTCCATCAATTTTCAGGAGCCTCCTGTCCCTATGCCTGAGGGAACCATCATTGAAGCTTTGAAAATCTTAATGGGTACGTACCCTACTCACTCCGTCCTCCATTATGTAACCTTCTGTCTTCACTGTGAAAAGTGCATTACCCTAATAGGGTTCGTTTGTTCTTTCTTTTCAGATGTAAGGAACCATCCCGTTTTGATTCATTGCAACCGAGGGAAGGCAAGTATTCTTACAAAGCTCTTGACTTTCCAAAGGTGGTGCCTTATTCATATCCTCTCCAACATTAGTCCCTAACCTAAAATTATCCCATCTTGTTTTGCTCTTTTGATTGCAGCATCGCACTGGTTGTCTTGTGGGCTGCTTCAGGAAGCTGCAGAACTGGTGTTTGTCCTCGGTCAAGGACGAGTACCGACATTTCGCTGGCGTGAAGTCGAGGACGACCGATCTGTGCTTCTTGGAGAGCTTCAGCGCGGTGAGCCTAAGGCAGTGTCTGTACCGTATCATCTTCCAGTACCATGCGTACAGCTCCAAGAGGCGCTTGCTATACAGAGAAGAGAGTGTACAGAAACCCCAAATCAAGTCCATGTAAAAGCTCAAGGCAGAGGCCAGGGCTTTCAGAGAAACCATACCCCCATTTTTCCACACTTCTTTGTACGATTCATTTTCCTTTTTCGAATGGATTCCAGGAACCTTGGTTTTAGTTTGGTTCCCCGCCTGAGAGTTCCACTGGATAGTTTTAGTTCTGACAAAGTAAAGAAGCATTTTACAACATACATCTGTTTTTGTGTTCCCATCCTTTTGCCCTGAAACCGTTTGTTGATCTTCTTCGTTGAGGCAGGGACTTACATCATCACTTCCTACTATTACCTTTGATTTTGCCTGCCCGTCTCAGCTCGAATGGGCCGCGCCTCTCCTGTTGTAGCTTTCATCTGTCAATTTGTACAAGAGTCCCTGCAACAACGCAGTAGAGAAGGGAACATTTGATTCAGGATACCACTGTGTTTCATCTATAGTTACTCCTACCATTTGCAAACGATGAAATGTACTGATAATAATATGAAGAAACACTGCAACCAAGACACTGTACACAGAAGAGAGCTGGTGGAAAGAAGGGGAGAGGTAGGATCGACGGCGAGAGAGAATGGGTGAAAGCCTGCTGACCTCCGAACGTATAAGGCCGTGGTTGGAGGGAACTAATGGATACGTTATGGATTCAAACATCATCAAATTTCTTGTAGGATTCAGGCATTCACCAACTATTAACGGCGAAGCTCGCTTAACGGCTAACCTGACCAAGCCACAAAAACTGGAACTTAACTTATTTTCTGAATCCTTGTTCGATTAGGATTACTACATTTCTGGCCTGATCTTCTTATAAACACTGGTTATGCTATTGATTGAGTGGTGTGCTTGCAAGATGTGTTTGATAAAGTGAAACGTCTTGTGAGCAGGCTGACCCAGCTCGTGTAACAGCAAAACATATCGTAAATAGCTATTTTGAGGTACAGTTTTGCTTTTGGTGATAATAAATTAAAATTTTCCGAGAATTGGAGGAAATTTAAGTGGAACGAACAACGATTTCTAGATAAAGTCTTTCGGAATAGTTATTATTAATTCTTATGGATAAACTTGTGATGGACGAAGAGATATGGTCATTCGTTCATAGTATGATCGAGGTCGAGGCTCATGCCCTCTTGGAAGCATATCTTTCTACGAAGAAGCTTCATCACTACCCGATTGAGATCTTCTGAGATTGCAAGACTCCGATGGAGGCTTTGAGTAGTGACTCGTCTACATGGTTATACCGATATTAGGGCTGGACAATCGGTTAGCGATTAGCAGTTAACCGACCGGTTAAAACCGAAACATGTCGGTTATCTACTCACCGAAAACCGAGATAACCGAAAGTCGGTCGGTGTTCGGAGGCGGGGCGAGATGGTTTTGATCTTGGGAGGCAGTTTAGTTAATCGAAAACATAGATAACCAAAGCCTTAAACCCTTTTTCGGTCAATGATCGGTAGGATTGAGAAGTGATTCGATTAACCGGTAACCGATCTTTCATTTTTCGATTATAACCGAACCAACGGCCCTCCCCTGACCGATGTTATGCTTATCTCTCGTCTATGATTCTCATCTTCAAGAATCTGATTGGATTCATGTCAAAAACATTGGATCATGGTAATAGATGGTCCGAGTCCGACCCGTATAAAACTTAACAAAGGACAAGAAAAAAAGCGGGTAAAATAAAATCCGGATTCTCCATCTATATAATCATCGAAAGAGGTGCTCCTATTTTCCTCTTTCCGCGTTTCCCCCAATCAATCATCGACAAATTCTAGGGTTTTCAGCCACCTAGGGTTTTCTCTTTTCTCCCCCCACAATCCGCAGCGGGCTCGCGCGCGCAATCGAACCATGACTGGGAAGGCGAAGCCGAAGAAGCACACGGCGAAGGAGATAGCAGCGAAGGCGGACGCCGCGCTAACCAACAGAGGCGGAGGCAAAGCCGGGCTGGTCGACAGGACGGGGCAAACCAAAGGAGGCCACGCCAAATACGAGTGCCCGCACTGCAAAGTCACGGCCCCTGATGTGAAATCGATGCAGATCCATCACGAGGCTCGCCACCCTAAGATCCCCTTCGAGGAAGATAAGATCCAAAATCTGCACGCCACCGCGCCTGCTGCTGTTGCCGATACCTCGGCCGGGAAACCACGTCCTGGCGTCAGGGGCAGCCTCAAGAAGTGATCTTTTGGAGGGTTCCGGTCAAGAAATATGAACGTCCTGCTACGTTTCGTTAACTTATGGTTTCTGGGTAATTTTGTTCCAGTCTTTCTGTGGTTTGGCTTATGTGTGGTTCACTGAATACTGCTCAGTCTGTGGTGTCTAATTTTACTTTTTTTATTATGGTTTGAATATGATCCATTACGGCGGGGGTTTGTTTCTGTAATCCATTCACCGCCTTGGCTTGCTGGTTTGGATTTGTGGAATGTACATGAAGCTCTGTTGTGATGACTATGGAATTGGTTCTTGTGCCATACGCCCTTGGCCAGAATCTGCTCCGTCTCTTGTTCCACTTAAAGATTAAAGCTTGCTCCTTTGTGGTTTGCATTGCAATATCTTTCCTGTTCATGTAATGACTGTCATGGTTGTGAGATTCTAGTTTTCGGATTCAATCTATCACTTTGGGATCAGTTGATCAACTCCTACTGCTGTTCCTCGCCTGCAGTTGGAGTAGCTCTGGTTTGGCTTATGTGTGGTGTGAAGCTACATTAAGACTCACTTGGAGAACCAAAGTAGTAATCTTTGGAATGCTTGTATTAATGTAAGTGGTGCAATCTGGTTCATAATCCATGCTGCGGCTGTCAATGCTGTTTAGGCTGCATAATGCCTGATATCTGGTAGGGTTCCTCAGTTTCGGGTGACCTTTCGAGCTCAGGTTGATGGTCCCCTACCCCAAAATGGGGGGCGAGAAACGGCATTTGCTTGTTAATGTAAGATGAATTCAGTACGTTTCACAGATTGCGGTATAAGGTGTCTCCACGAAGCTTGTGTTCCATCGTAACGAGCTGGTTGGGGCAACATAGTGATGGTTTAATATGTTCTTATGTTGTTCTGGTAAACCTTGAAGCGGAGTTGCTAAGCATTGTGTATTAGAAACACAGTTTTTGTTCCACATAAGAGAAATGCTACTGGAAGAGTAATGAGACGCACCAAATTATGTTGCCAAAGCTCATTCGATTGCTGATAAATATGAAACGAACCGAATACATTTGATAAGAACAAAAACACTGCTACCTATCATTCTTTCTTCTTCTTCTTTATCCTCTCTTGCCTCTATTTTCTTTCTTCTATAAATTCTTAAAACCTACCTTTCTACAGGTACCCAAGATACGAAAACCCAAGTCACAAACAAAAACCTACTGCGATTTCGCAGTGCAAAACGGAAGAGACTCCCTGTTCTCTCTATTCTTTCTTATCTTTACCCTTTCTTTTTTACTTTCTCTTTCTCCTACTCCTAACCTAAGCTTAGATGCATAGCACATCATCGTCTAAGATGGAAAATTCCCCATAATGCGTTGATAGACCTGGGGTTGAGATGCATTTACTTGACTAACTATGGAGGAGGTGGCGGCGCCAACATCATACAAATTATCATCCTTCAGCTCTTGTTTAGGCCTGATCATCTGCTGACCTGAGATGAAAGGCTGAATAACTTGAGGCATACCTTGTGGCACATGATTTGACAAGTCAACACCACCCAATGTGTGCAGACTCGAGGACAGTGACAATGGGAACTGCGGAACAAATGACCCCATGGAATCCGGGTGATGCATCGGTGTCCGTGCGGAGTTGAAACTGTAGGAGCCATGAGGGATACTGCTCTGGATGGTGGGGAACTTCATTGGATACATTGGGGGTCCCTCCAGCTTCATCTCACTAACGAAGTTCCCGGAGAAACCACCTCTCAGGTAATCACTGTTGTTATTAAACAGCGATCTTCGACCAAAACCAGGCACAAAATCATGCATCTGCGTTTCTTGTTTCGGACCTGAGGCTCCACCTCTAGGTAGCGTCAATCCAGGTTGTGCGTTGCCAGAAGCTTGGGACAAACAGTTGCCATTTGAGTTTGAACTACTGCTGTTTCTTGCTGCCGGCACCTCGTGATTGTGCTTGCCTTCGTATGTGGTGATAATGTATTTCAGATTGTGGGAAGCCCTCTCCACATGCTTCCTCACTGAACACCCGAGGCTTGTGCATTTGTAGTAACTCCTGTTGTTGCAGAAGCAAACTGAACTTTGTAAATGTACTGATAATCAAAATCAGAGCTCAATGGTTATGTGTTTGTTTCAGCTTTAAAAAAATGAGTTCAAATCTAAACAAACATATTTTTTCATTCTAAGAAATGGAGCCAACATAGGTCAAATATCAATACCTGGGGTTTGGATTGCCTTTGACAACTTTTTGACCATACTTCCTCCAGCGATATCCATCATCCAGGATGTCTACCTCACTCTCGATTTGGACGACAACTCTTGGCTCTCTGACAGCCCTGGATGTCATATTTGACTCACCCAAGCAGCTCTCTATCTTTCTGAAACCTCAATACAATAGATATTCAGAAATATTGTAATATGAAAGGAGTAATCATAAAGTTGCATGGCGCAGACAGATGAAATCAGCAAAAATAGAGTACCTCCTTTTGGAATCAGACTCTTCCTCACTGACTGATATGCTTCCCTGAGTTATCCCATCATCATCATCTTCCTCATGACTGGCAACTGCAGAAGAAAGCTCTGGTGTTTCAACAGATTCAAATGTCACCACAGATTTCCCTTGGTTTGTTGATAGAAGATCAGAAAGCTCAGTCACAACAGATGTAGAAGATGTTCTTTCCAGACCACCAGCCGCCCTCCATTCATTATCGGGTTCACTATTATCTTTTTTACCTAATTCTGCATTATTTACAAGGAGAGATCCTCTTTCAATCTTAACACAGTTTCGCCCATTGCCTTCATCAATCGCTGGCATGTCATCAGCGGTGGGGGATGATTCAAGCTGCCCTCCCCGGCGGACTTGATTAGGTTTGGGATGATTATGAGCATTTTTGTAGATTATCTCAGTTATTTGGCCATCAAGTGACCGCTCTATCTTTTTCTTCACCTGACAACTCGGGTTGGTGCACTTGTAGTAGCTTCTTGGATATTCACTACCTTTCACTTGCTTCTGTCCATACTTTCTCCAACTGTATCCATCTTCCGATGTTCTCCCACCTCCTCCTGTCCCGGTGAACATGCTTTTCTGGTCTTCCATAGGGTGGTGGATAACATCACCTTTACCATTTAAAGGTCTCCTTTGTATGGATGTTTGGTTTCTAGATGCAACGGAGTGACAAATCTGTGCATCAATGAAGTTGGATAGAACCATACTATTTACTGGTTTCGTATCATTGACTATATCTCCACTACAGCTATTTACAGTTGCCTCCTTTGAAAACTCTGCAGGAAATTCATAATCCATTGATGCTAAAGCAAGAGCCTGTGAGCCAACATTATATCCCTACAATGAGCACAAATAATAATATTAGTCATGACTATGCTTTGAAACATATAGACAATCTTAATTTTATATGAAGCCACTGCTGTTCACAAAGCCACTTCGAAGCCCAAGAAACAAATGTTTCCTAGCCATAGACCTTAAAGTACAACGCAAGCAAAGTTAAGAGCTCAATCTACTGAGTTGAGCAGTAATCATGCATCCCAAGTAATCCACTAGCTGCTGCATAGAATTACCAACCACAAGGTGATAGTTTCACCAGAATAAACCTTTCATCTATCACTATGCCGGGAATTCTATGTCAAACAGTTTCAAGACCGAGTCGAATTTCATCACCATGCCTCAAATTCATGACTGACCAGCCTGTTATGCATGCATGAACTCATTCTCAACTTACAGCTAGATCAGAAACAACCTAAGCCTGACCTGTAGGTTTCTTTCTAGGTGGACAGCTAAATGTTATCAGTTTGTCTACACTGTCAACCACCTCATTTATCTAAACTGCTACCATATATCAACAAAGTGAGTAACTTGGTCAACACAAACGTATGCAAAAGACAGGGAGGGAAAGCATATTGCCTGTTCTTCCCTTTAGACACTCCAAGTTCATATCCAGAGAAAATTGTAATGAATTAGAAGATAGATTTTGCTAATGACTAGAAACAGAAAAACACCCATTGTTAAGGCAATTGAACGATTCGAGTCTCAAGTTAAGAAGAACCTGGTTATTCATATTTGACAATCTTTGTTGGGAGTCATGATCTCCATGATGTTTGAGTCTGAAAGAGGATTCACCACTACCAACTAGGTCCATATCGCCATTGAGTGTCCCACTTTCATAAGTGAGAAGGGTTGTTGGAAAACTTCCAGTTGTTGGAGAAGGCTGCATTCACAAAAGAAAAGTTGAAAGCAAATGTAACTGTTCTGAGTCCTGTTGTTACGTAATGCTATGAATTCAATGATTAACCAAACAACTGAGGGAGGGAAAACAAGCATTAAAACCCTCCACACGAGTTCAGTCTCTCGTTTTGTTGTCCCAGCCAACATCCCATCCAAATTTCACTATGGAATGAGAGCCCAATAAAACTTATCACTCCAGATGGTGCTTGCTAAGCATCAACTAGCCAGTGAACAATTGAGCATAAAAAACAAACACTCACTATAATGGTTTACAAAAGGTCGAGAAGCTAAAAAAACCCAATCAGGCAAAGGCATAAAGAAACGTCAAATGGCTACCCTCTTCGCTCGAGAACGAAACCAACTCGAAAACAGCCACCACAGATAATTTTCCCAAATTTATATTTCTTGGATTACAAGTCTGACGCTAAAGTGAAAACCCTCATTCATTCCTCTCAGGTAAAGCTGATTCAGAGAAGAATGGAGATGAAAAGTACAATAGTGGGTTTCATGGAATCCGATTCAATCCCCGAATAACAGGGGAACACAAATAACCAGAATGACAACAGGGAAAGGAAAGCTGTACCTGCGAATTTGGGAGCAAAACTGGGGAATCAAGAAGGGCGGTGGGGCTAATACCGGCGGGAATGGTAATGCAAGGAGAGTGGGCGGCAGGGGAATCCAAGGGACTGGCGGTGGTGCGGAAGCGGGGAGAATTGATCCTCTCGGCTTTGAAGCCGCATGTGGCAGCCCTCCTCTCGGCAATGCTTCCTCTGCCGGACGAACCGGAGGCGGCGGCGGCGGTTGCAGCAGAAGCATTCGCATCGGCGGCGGCGGTGGGCGGAGGAAACCGCTGGTGGCGGTCCATGGCTGAGACAGGGCAACCGAAAATGGCGAAGAAGCAGAGCTGGGGGTGTGTGAAATGAAAAGGGTTAGCAGGTGGGAATAGAGTGACAATGGAGAAAGAAGGAAAGGGGTTTTCTTTTTTTTTTGGTTTCTCTGCAGGCAACTATCGCTTTTGTTTCGCCGTTCCCATTTTTTTCTTCTGTATGTGGTGACAAAGCTGAAACTGAAACTACCAGAGAGAACGCCGGAGAACGGATGGCTATTTGCTATTTGGGAACAGGGGAGCTGCAGATGTGGCTTTCACTTGCACTAAATCTGAAATTTCTCCCATATTTATATAACAGAAAACTCATTTTGAATTTTAAACCTGGAAAATTCATTTTTATGTTAATTAATTTGTTGCTAACTATTGTGCTTTTAGGATTTTGAGCCAGCTCTTATTGGTTGAGCAGATACGACCGTTGAGCTCGATTAAATCTGTTTCCATTTCTCAATATCAGTAATAAATACGTTGAAATCTTTAGTTGTTTTGTTAATAGACTTGTCTTATATGATAATCAGACTTTTTTTTATTCACGAACGGCTGAGATGATGAAGACGTGGAACTCGATTGAATGTATATTCTTTCTCTTGAACTATATCTAGTGTCATAACCGACTTCCGTTTCTATCGCTCCTAAGTTCGGATGTTTGGCCTTGATATTCGTGAAGGGTCTGCCCGGAACATTTTAAGTCAGCTTACCAAACGCACACCATGGGTGTGCACCAACTCGAGAGATAAATTGCAAACTCAATGTATCTCGTATTCGGTTTGCCCTTATCTATTTCAATACGTCATTCATTGTTCATCATATTCAACAACAACCTGTCTCTAACATCACGAATACGCCTTTCAATGGTCATCATATTCAACGATCCCTTTCGGAGTAAGAATTGCCCTCTTCAGTTTAGTAAGGACCTTCTACATAATCCTCGAGCCCCTTGAAATAAAACGAGGGTCCTTATAATATTAGACATTATAAAGAGGTATCTATACACATGGACTATATACTCTTGAGTATATGGTGAAATTGACTCAAGGTAGTGAGGTAAACTTAGATAGTCACTCCACTATCACTCATCATACTTCCATTCCATGGAGCATTAGTCTCCTAGACAAACCATATACACAATCAATAGTAATTGCTCCTATATTTGCTTCATAATTTATAGATATCAATGCACAATACTCGATTTTTTTTTCTCGCAATTTTTTTTTTTGGTGCATACAATCATTAAAACTAAAAATTTATGAATTTTAAATTTTGGTTTCACCACCACTCGACCAATATTAACATATAAAAGTTTTGTGGTAAAAAATGCATGATGAATAAAATTTAAATTTGTAAAAGGAAACGCCGCTTTTACTTTACATCTTGCGTTTAGTTTTGCAAGTACGGTGCCGTTTCGAGGCTGAAAAATAACAGGGATACGAAGCAAAAAGAATTGCGAGAAAGGTAAGAAAAAGGAGAGGAGAGGGGCGACGGCGCACAGAATTTGAAAGGGGAAGGTCGAGGAGGAGGCAGAAGGGAGTCTGCTGGTTTTTCTCCTCGCCGTCGCCGCCTCGCAGTCTCCACTGTCCAGCTACCACCGCCGTCTCAACAATTGTCAGGGGTGTTCAGCTGCCGCCGCTGCCACTGTGGAGCAAACCTTCACCATTGTCGGGGAACGGGCTGAGAGAAGATATCGGAAGGAGAGGAAGGAATCGGGAGATCGAGGCCTCGACTGTAATCTCACCGTCGCCGCTTTCAGCTACCGCTGAAATCATCTCCTCATTACCGGTCCACCGTTACTGCTGCCTTCTCGTGATCGTCCTTGCGGAACTGCCAGACCGTCCACTCCCGTTTGGAACCAGAAGAGGCCAAGTGAAGTTGCTGAGCTTCTTCCACTAAAATAAACAAAAGAGGAAGTTGCCGAGCCCCCAAAACTGGCTGAAGTTGGAGATGCTGCCTCTGGTTTTGCCCCAGGTTCTCAAGGTTTAGGTGTGTTTCTAGCCTCTAGTTTCGTTGCAAATCCCACTCAACAGCTCGGTACCTGCTGGCTTTCTGTTTAATTTTATATTGAAATCTAGGAAGAAAGGCTTGTGGCGAGAATCTGTTTACAATCGTGATATAGAATGCTTTTGATGATATTCAGTTTAAAATTGTGTAGTTCGTGCGAGTGGCTCACATTACTCAATCTCGGTGCTTGTGTGTAGTTCACGGTGACAACTTTGGTGGGAAAAGAATGAGGAAGCTTACACAGAGACGAGCGGTTGATTACACAAGTACCGCTGTCCGGTATATGCAGGTAATGCCTTCTGCTTCTGTCTGTGCTTTAACAATCTCTACAGTCCTGTGATGTCAAGTTTTGAGTGAATGTTAAGGACTTCAGTAAAAGGCATTGTCTAGTCACTTGGCATCTGTTGACCGTTTTGTTGATTGTGATGAATAAGATGGAGGCTTTCCTTGAGACTTCAATGGAACTGTTTTGATAGACACCTTTAGGAATATCATTATGCAATTCCCCCCCCCCCCCCCCCCCCCCCCCCCCCTTATTCTAGCAACAGGTTTTATAGATTCTCATCTTGCTCTATCCAAAGTTAAGGAGCGAATTTATATCTGAATGGGTTGTATGTCTTGCAATTCTTCATTTTGTTATTCGTCATTTTACTTCACAACGGTTTTCTTTTTCAGACCCGGATGTGGCAGCGGGATTGTAGGGATAGGACAGGATTGCAATCTACCCCTGGAGCAGCAATTGATGTGAGTAATGTTGTTTTGTGTGTATTAGACATGTTTGTCTTGTTCGTGATATGAATTTATTAATCTGTTTCCTTGGTTCATTTGACAGATGTTACCAACAGTTGCATATTCTGATAATCCATCAACAAGCTTCACTGCAAAGTTTGTTCATACATCTCTTAACAAGAACCGCTGTTCTATCAATTGTGTTTTGGTAAGTCAATAAGCATAACATACTGGAGCACGTTAATTCTGTTATATATTCTGAACTGTAAATTGTTATTATGTTATAACAATCATATTCTTTCAGTGAAACTAGACATGTCATATTATATTAAATTTTCGCGATTCCTCTGGATTTCCATGACTTTTGTAACTAGATTAACCTATCCAAATATATGCACCTTGTGTATATCAATCATAGTAGGATCCTAATGGCAAACATCTAATTCAGAAAGTGGAATTTACTGTTTTTAAGCTGAGGGAGTAAGGGGCTTAGAGCATTGTGGTTGAGTTTGTGCTATCTCAAAATTTCTTACCCTTTTATTCATCCATAGTGGACTCCTAATGGCAGACGTCTCATTACCGGATCTCAAAGTGGGGAGTTCACTCTGTGGAACGGACAATCATTCAACTTTGAAATGATACTCCAGGTAAATATTTGGTTCATTTCAACATTTAATGTATATTAAGCAATCATTACCGATGGATCCAAGTTGTTCTCTAATGATAAGGCTTTGTTCAAATGTAGGCCCATGACCAAGCAATTAGGTCTATGGTATGGAGTCACAACGACAACTGGATGGTCTCTGGTGACGATGGAGGGGCCATTAAGTAATATGTTCCCCACTTCCTTTTACTTGGTTAACATTTCTTATTTGGGCTAGTAAAAAGGATCGGTAGTAACAATCTGTTGCATGTCATCTGACACTACATTGGTCCTTCATTAGGTATTGGCAAAGCAATATGAATAATGTAAAGGCTAACAAATCCGCTCATAAGGAATCAGTTCGTGACTTAAGGTGAATAGTTTTTCTTCACACTCAGTTTTTTTCGCAACTCCTGTTATTAATTATTATTCTAACTTCTGAAGTACATACTTGGACAGTTTCTGTAGGACCGATTTGAAGTTCTGTTCATGCTCTGACGATACCACTGTTAAAGTGTGGGACTTTGCTCGGTGCCAAGAAGAGCGATCATTAACTGGTAATGTATTTTCTGTCTTCAGATCTTACAATAGTAACTTTTTTACCTTGTATGTTATAGTTGTGAGTTCATATTCATGTTTCAATTGCTCAAGATGAAATGTATCAGAGCTTTATGAAGCAATCTAGTCTTTTGAGTATATGTTTTTTTTTCATCTGCACATTCGTCTTGGCTTTTACCTATATTGTGCAATTATGTTTTTCAGTTCCTCAACTGAATGCTATCTCATTCGATTATATGTATTATGCATTGTCTTGAAAATAATATTAGAGTTCTCATCGTACCATTTTGAACTTTGGGCAGGCCATGGTTGGGATGTGAAGAGTGTTGATTGGCACCCTACAAAATCCTTGCTAGTTTCAGGTTTGATGATGCATGTTTTGCATACCTGAGGTTTCTACTTTGTTTTCTTATTAATTCCACTCTGTAATTGTTTTTCAAGGTGGGAAAGACAATCTTGTAAAGCTTTGGGATGCTAAAAGTGGGAAAGAGCTTAGTTCATTGTGAGTGTCCTGCTATGATGATGAGTAAGTATCCCATGGTTTGTTTTCTGGAGCTTATAATTAGCTTGAGAATCCTGTATTTGCAGTCATGGTCACAAAAATACAGTACTTTGTGTGAAGTGGAACCAAAACGGGAACTGGGTGCTAACTGCTGGAAAGGATCAAATTATCAAGGTTCAGAGTTTGTCTCTCACCAATCTTCTCAAACCTTTGAGCGTGATTGTTAATACCTGGTTTCTTGTCTTGCTCCTTGTTTCCTAACAAAATTTAGCCTGAATTTGCAGCTTTATGATATAAGAGCTATGAAGGAGCTGGAATCTTTCCGTGGACATAGGAAAGATGTGACTGGTTAGTAGAATTATGTAACTTTCTGGAATGATGTGGGAAAGTTTTTGTCAATCAGGACGGTGAAAAGCAAAAATGTAGAAAGCTGCAACCTGAATCTATTTGTTTGAGTATGAACTATGAACCCTGATTATGCATGAATGGTAAAAAAATCTTTCGACCAATTAAAGCGAGAACCGACATGAAGTTGTACAATTTTGAATAAAACATGACCTTGACTTGCTTAACCAAAAACGTGTGTAGCTGTGATCAAAAGAAACTCGACTGTTCTGTCTGCGATTTGTTTCTTATGTAGCATGTATGGCACATGTATAATGAACAACAGCTTGGATTCCTATATATCTCATTTCGTTCAAGTTTTGTTTATTTACAGTGTGGAAACCTTCATCCCTTAATAATCTTGACTACGTATTTATATAATCTCTTCATGTTCTTAGCATTGGCATGGCATCCATTCCATGAAGAGTACTTTGTCAGCGGGAGCTTTGATGGTTCTATGTTCCACTGGCTTGTCGGGTGAGCCTCATGCTTTCTCAGAAATTCACTTCTTTAGCTCCGTGTTTATTACCTACATTTAGTGTGTGAATTACTGCATTCAGTTGCAATAATTGGTCATATTATGAATATTAACGAGCCGGATGAAAGAATAAAGTAGACGCTGCACGAATATTACTTAGTGACGATCCTTCGTGCTTTAGTTGTCTGTTCAGAACTCAGTGGTAACGTGTTTGTTGTGCTGTGCAGACATGAGACCCCACAGATTGAAGTTCCTACAGCTCATGATAATAGTGTATGGGACCTTGCATGGCATCCTATTGGATATTTGCTTTGCAGGTAAGCTGCTGTGTTGATCTTTTCTTTTCTTTCAGTTGTTACTCTGATTTGAATGTCCCTTGCAGCTTGACAATATTTTCTTCATAGCCTAGATTTGTATTTTTTATACTGATTCCTAATATGTTGTAAACTTGACTCTGAAAATCCTCGAGGATGGCATGATTTTTAAAGTGCGTTTAGACTTCAGTTTTACTTTTGGTTTTAGACTCTGGTCAACCGAACCATAATTGCATCTAAAAACGTCAGGTTGCATGCTGATTCCTGTTTAAAAATCATTAGTTGTTAGGTGCTCCCCATGATGCAGGTACTAATTGTGGACAATTCTTCTGCAGTGGTAGCAATGATCACACCACGAAGTTTTGGTGCAGAAATAGGCCAGGGGATACTGCAAGGGACAAATTTAACATGAATCAGAATCAAGGTTATACTTCTGCTGACCGGATTGTTATATCACTGCTGTTAAACATAGGATTGATGATTTTGAAATCTAGCCAGTAATCGATGCTGAAGATTGCTTTGCATTTTGCTAGGTTATGGCGAGCACAACACCAATCTTGGAGGTCGCTTACCTGGCAATTTCCCAGTTTTCGACCAACCTTCGGGTCCAGGAGGACCTTTTGTACCTGGATTGACCCGAAACGAAGGGACCATTCCTGGTGTAGGAGCTGCAATGCCTTTGTCTCTCGATTCCCCGCTACATGGGGATCAGTCGCATTCTCTGCCACTATCCATGACTTTAGGAGCTCCTCCTCTTCCTCCGGGCCCTCATCCCTCCCTTCTTAACCCCAACCAGCAGCAGCATAGATATCAACAAAACTCTCAACAACAGCAAATGCCCCCATTACCTATGCCACCTCCAAATATGCAGCAGCTACAACCTCCACCCCATCTCCCCCTACTTCCACACCCTCATCTACCCCGCCCATCGCAAATGCCCCCTCATGGCATGTCGGGATCGTTGTCTAATCCTTCGATGCCCGGGTCACTCCCGCCTATGCCTGGCCAAAGGGTAATCAGTCAGTTATACAGTTTCTTCACATGTCGACGAGCTTCTTCCATTTTGTCTTCTGCAACTATGAAATCCCTATCATATATGCTTGTGGAATCGACCGAACCCTAACATTCTGAATGTCTCGTGCCAGATGGTCCCGCCACCAATGCCACAAGGCCCCTTCATGGGGATGAACCCTATGCACTCGGGTTCCATGCCCTCGAACGGTAGCCCTCAAGTTGGTGGTTTCCCAAATGGTATGCAGGGACAGTCGAATGCAACTGGAGGCCAAATGTATCCACAAGGCAGTCCGTTTAATCGACCACAGGGTGGGCAGATGCCGATGATGCCAGGCTACAATCCGTACCAGGTAAATCCAGTTCGATTCGAATCGAGATTCGTTCAGCCTTAACGCTGTAGGTTAAACAGTTAATGTGGTTTGCTTATTGTGCATTTGCAGTCTGGTAACCAATCGGGCGGTATGCCGCCGCCACTGCCACCTGGACCGCCGCCACACTCCCAGAACCCTCAGTAGCCATTCTCGTTCGTTGCATACTATGATGTTGTCCTGTGAAGGATGAAGAAAAGGGAGCCAGGTCTTGGAGCAGGATGTCACGTTTGGATGAACGTGATTGAATTTTGGAAATTAGTGAAATTTTGAATCTATGGAATTAGAATTGTTGGAATCATTATAATGTCATTTGTGTTTTGATAAATTGATAAATCCCACTTCGACGAGAGATTTGAGATTAGGAATTGCGTGCTAGAGAATCTGGAATTCCATGAATTCAAACGTCCTCATATGAACTGCTTTGCTTATCATTTCCTCTCATAAAAACAGGGGGGAAAACAATGTGATCACCACTGACAGATGTCACTCCCTGGTTTCCTCTGGATCCCACGTGTCAATACCTCCTTCCACCTGGAGCTCCCACAGTCTCCCACTGCCACTCCCTTCTGTTTCTTTTACTTCTATGCTATCCATCCAAATGCTGATGTCACATTTTATTCCCCTGTTTCCCCCTTCAGCAACTAGTCAGCCATGGCGGAGAAGGAAGAAGAAGAACAACAACAGAGCTACTACTACTACCACCTGGAAATCCCAGAACCAAATTGGCTCGCAAAACTACTCGCACTCCAATCGGAAATCATCTACAACTGCTTAGTCACCATTTTCTCCCCTTTCCTAACACTGTCCGCCATTGCCTCCGACTCCTACCGCCGGGCAGAGCTCACAGCCTCCGCCGCCGAATCAGCCATCCTCGCCGCCCCTCGCAAGCTCACTCGCAGCACCACCGCGATGATGACGAAGATCGGGCTCGGGATCCTCGGTGCGGTCCATGTGTGTGTTGTGCTCACCATGGTAATGGTGTTGTCTGTGGTTTTAGGGGTTGGCCTGGTGCGAATGTGGGCAGAGGAGCCCGTTTTCTCGACGCACAAGCTTCTCTTTGATTTCACCAATCCGAATCCTAGCGCCATTGTTCACTTGGGCAACAAGATGCCCATTGTGGGACTAACTACTACTGTTATCCCTGTTGGTCACACCTTTCATGTCTCCTTGGTGCTTCTCTTGCCGGAATCCGATTACAATCGGCAAATTGGCGTCTTCCAAGTAAGCAAGTAATCTGTTCGTTCTACTAATTCGAGTGGTTGGAAAAAGGTTCATGTTTGATCGTTTTCTTGCATGCCCATCAATGAAAGCCAGAGTCTTGAACTTGGAAGTTTGTACATACCGGATCATGCAACATATTGTAGCATTTCTCACCCAATTTCAATTTCTCATAATTCTGACATTTTCGAAAATGGTTTCCGATTCAGTTGAGTGCAGAAGTTTTGACGGCCAGCGGGGAAGTGACGGCGAGGTCGAGCCGGCCCTGTATGCTAAAATTCAGAAGCTTACCAGTGCGTCTGGCTCGAACCTTTATGATGGCAATCCCTTTGCTGTTGGGAATCTCCGATGAAACCCAGAAGATCTCCGTCGAGCTTTTAAACCAAAAGGAAGCGTACTATCCAAGAACAGGGGCAATCAGGGTGACATTGATTCCCAGGGCAGGGACTTCGTACCTTCCGCAGCTCTACGAGGCCGAAATGGTGATCAAATCCAAACTCCCATGGTCCAAGGAAGTGGTCCGCCGATGGAGATGGACTTTCTACGTGTGGACGTCGCTGTACATCTACGTTTCATCGGTCATCATTCTCGCCACTTGCTTTCGCCCGCTTCTGTTTCCTGTTCCGACTCGTCGCAGAACAGGGGAAGAAGCTGCAGGTGGCAATGGTGGTGGAGAATGGGAAGCAGAGGAAGATACGTCGACGTCGGACATGGTGAGGAAATGGCAGGTGCGCCGGAGGAAGAGGAAGGCGTCGAGCTTCTTGTATGGAGAGACTACTACCACAACGTCGGTTTCTAGTATGACGATGAGCAGTAGAGATGATGCGAGCAGTAGTGTTGTTGAAGAAGAGATTGGGGATTCTGAATCTGTTTGTTTTAGTGGTTAAATCAAAGCTCTGTTGCTATTCTGTCTTCCTCTTCCTGTTTTCCAGTGGCTGACCGTTTATCGGTTAACCGGAAACCGGTATAAAGTTGAAGCAATTCACCCTATATGAAACTTACGGCCTATAAGGAACGATCATTGAGCTTCAGTCAGGTTTGCAGCTTCTGGTTAACCATTAGAAGCTTATGGTTTCATGTATTGCAGCCAGTAGCGATTCCCCAGTTTGATTAAACGAGAGAAACCAGTTGGCCACACCTAGAATCTGATAGCGAGTAGAGCATCACAAGTAGCAAATCATTCAATTCATATCCACTGACATGGTTACTTGCTCAACTTAACACTAAACCGCGGCGAAAACTGGGTTTCGATTGATTTCGGCTCAAGGGTTTCACAACTGCACCTTGTGAGATTCAATCACAAAAGGGAAAGCAGAAATCTAGAGCTATAACACATTGACACTAAAGAATGTTGCAGCAGAGAAAACATCATCACACACTTGCCACATGAACTGGAAACCAGAAGATCATATAGAGATGTTTTGAGTACTACAAAAGACACCTTCGTCAGAGATCTTCTTCTTCTTCTTCTTCAGACGGACAACTCGGATTTAGAGACGAGGATACCATCAGTATCAGCATAGAGCCAATCGCCATCCGAGATCCGAGTCCCAGCAAACGAGACAGGAACATGCTTCTCCCCAATGCCCTTCTTGTTCGCCTTCATGGGATGAGAAGCCAGAGATCTGACACCAATGTCACACCCGTTGATCTCATCGACGTCGCGAATGCAGCCATTCACCACAATCCCAGCCCAGCCATTGTTCTGAGCCTGAACCACCGGGTTCCCACCGAGTATGGCGCACCTCAAGCTGCCACCACCGTCCACCACGAGGACCCTGCCGTTGCCTTTCTCCTCGAGGAATTCGCGGATCAGGACGTTGTCCTCGAACACCTTGAGGGTCACGACTGGACCGCTGAACACCTGGCGACGGCCGTATATCTGGAAGATGGGCTGCAGTGCTCTCAGCTCGCCGCTCACGATTAGCTGCGGGTTTGCATCGCAGACCTCAGCGGTTGTCACCAGTGCCATCTGTTCAAACCAAAAGGCAGCATGAGCATCATCATCATCATCGTAGATACAGAAGCATAAGTGAGTGATAGAATTTACAGAACATCAATAGCCTACTTATTGAGATGGGTAGAGTGTAAAAACAGAGGCTTTTAAGCGCTTGTGGCTGCGTTGATGCCAGATTTCAAAAGTTCGATTGGGTTTTTATTCGAGATTAGAAGGGAGGTGGGCAATCCCTAAAATGAAGAAGATCATGAAACAAGGGATGAGTAAAATGAAGTAATGAAGTAGTCAGAGATTCGATTCAATTATACATCATACAAGTGATCAGATCCATTGGAATAAACCATAAACCAGAGGGCAGAGAAATGAACTAGAGGAGATTCCCCTTTTCCAGTTTTCATTCTTCCCACCATCGTTATTCTCCCAGATTGATTCAGTGAGTCTGCGATTTGGGTTCATCAAGAAAGAAGAAAAAGTATCCGATTTGGGTGAAATGAACATCAGTTAAGACGAGGAAACGAGAGGAAGACCAATCTGGGGAAGAAACAGAGAGAACGGAAGGAGGAAGACGAAGAAACATACCAGCAATTTGACGAAGGATTCGGAAGACGAAGAAGGAAGAAGTAGGCGCAGGAGACCACGGAATCCCGATCGCCTTCTTCAGAGAGTAGATTTTATTTGAGCGTCGGAAACAGAATGCTTGCCTCTGTTGATCGATTGACAGGGACGAAGTGATAAGTTATGTATCCAGTGAAAGAGTGGGAAATGAAAGGGGAATCTGACTTTTTGTGGGTCGGACTTTTTCACTGCGGTGAGGTGTAAAGAAAAGGTTGTTGCTTTCTTCCTTTTTACAGCCTTTTGTTTCACTATTGGGTTAATATTTTTGTATGGCCTAAACTTTGACTAAAATAAACATTCTGATCAATCTTTTCGATCTATAACATCCTGGCCCGAACTATATACCAAAATAAACAATTTGGCCAGATCCGACTTTTGACCGTTAATTTGAACGGTCAAACGCGTTGACCGTTAGTCAACGGGCCATGTCACTGCCAAGTCAGCATAAAAAACGAAAAAATTAAATATTTATCAGATCTTCTGACTTGGCAGTGACGTGGCGCGTTGACCGTTAGTCAACGTGTTTGACCGTCCAAGTTAACGGTCAAACATCGGGTTTGGCCAAATTGTTTATTTTGGTGTATAGTTCGGGCCATGATGTTATAGATCGAAAAGATTGGCCAGGATGTTTATTTTGGTCAAAGTTCAGGCCATACGAAAATATTAACCCTTCACTATTTTATGAAAGTAACATTACCGGCAAAGGACGAGGGTAACTATTAAATATTTAGTTTGATATTCTTTTTTTTTTTTCCTCATCCGGACTCAAGTTATAAAATTGGATAATTAATTGATGAAATTTAAATTTGTATCCAAAATCTAAATACGAGGGAAAATAAGTTTTAGTGTACGAACTCGTCAACGTTGGAACATTCAATTACTAGTTATATTGGAGCACGATCTGTTGGTAAAATATGACGACAGACTATTGGATGATGAGACTTCGATACATACCAATAAAGGAAAACGTGGTGTAGCATGGTGTAAATGAAAACATAACTCTATTTCTCAAGTAAAACAAGTCGGTTGTTGAAAAAACATGCCGCAAAAGCATGATTCTCCTTGAAAGTAATCAATGGCGTTAAGAAACTCAACCACAATTAGACAGACTTCATTTATATACCATCGTGAGACAAATTTCATATGCTCTAATATGATTTATGAAATTTGAATTATCAATACGATACTAACACAAGAAACCACGGTTTAAAAAAAAAATTTGCAAAAAATCTAGATATTGAGACTAATTAGTTACTGACATCTACACAAGCCTAAAAGACAATAAGAAAAAGAGCAACATGAAAGAGTTATTAAATGGGAATCAGAGAGTAATCAACCTTTTCTCATTGGTGTGTGGAAGAAGTGTGATGAGATCCCAAATGACAGGTGTTTGATCAAAAGTTACAAAAGATCAACTTTAACAAGATGTTATAAGAAAAAAAACTCAGAGCCATATATTAAACCTACAGTAATACAAAGCATAAGTACCCTTTTAACTCAATTAACAATACATTAAGCTCCATCATGGCCACCAAGGAATCATATCACATGAGTCCTAGAGTAATTAAAGTCACCAAATCCTACAGTACACAAAAAGCCCCATACCACACAAAATCAAGTACACCAACTGAGATCCTGCCAGACTTATTGCGATAATGGAACTTGCAAATCTGGATAGAAATTTTTGAAGCTAAACCTTAAACTCAACTAGCCATGGCACCTCAAAATCTTCTCATTCAAGCTTGTGAATTTTCATGTCAGCTGCATCCTTGAGGGTTCCCTTCTCCACCTGATCCCACCACTTGAACAAGAAGTTGTCCACAACTAGCCTGAACCATGGCGACAGTTTCAAGCCTCCCTCGCCTGCATCTGCTTTCCTCAACAGCTCTCGCAGCTCCTCCCGATTCACGTACTTGATTTCCGCCACCTCATCTGGGTTCGGGTTCACGTTCACATCGCGAACAATGAAGAGCAGGTAATCAACTGCAAAGGAGAAAAGGAAGGGAAAAAAGACTCCTGCAATCAGCATAAGGTAAAATGTAAACAGAAGCAACAGGAGAGTAGTAAGTCGAACTGAAGAAAATTTTACGTTCATGCTCTCCCCACTTCCCATCAGAAGGGGCCTTGTACAGCATTCGTCCCAGGGGCATGAATTGATCCACCGGCACATCCTCAGCAGGAATACCGAGTTCATCCAGAAGCTTCCTTTGGGCAGCATTCCTCACACCTAAAAAAGGGGGTATTTGTAGAGTGAGACATGATTATACGGTTCTTTTATTCCAAGCTGGTGAAAGTAACTGGATACTAAACGTTTACATACCAAGAGATTCTTCATCCACGAGCTCGGACTCTCGATGCAAAGGGTGGCTGCAACAAGTGTTTGTCCAAACAAGGGGGAAAGTTACCTTTGTTGCCGATCGTTGCTGTCAAGTTGGAAAGAAAACAAAGACATCACTTTCCATGTCCGACCAATCCCACACATGCGTGTATGTTTACCAATTGAGCGCTTTCCCCACTTAGTTGATTCAATCCTATATTTTTATCTACTAATGGTGGACAATTGGCATAGACTACTAAATCATGCGTTGACTGCCGCAACTGTAAATCTAACACAGTTACTCATGAGCATAGTAATTCACAAACTATATTCTACGGGATAGTGATTGTTGTAAACCGCAATATGTATGCATAATGAAGTAAACCCTGACTGATTTCAGGTGCCTTTCCAGGTCCAGAAAACATAGCCTGAGGCTCTGAATGAGCTCTCTAGCCCTGACCACACCAACTCATTCTACAGTTTATATAACATACGCCATGAGCTTCTTTATAGTAAGACTATCGCCTACTGCTATTCTATTCCAATATCTAAAACTTCAAAGTACAATATGAAACAGAACTCACAACTAAAACTATAACCCTATTGAAGTAGCCATGCTTATGCATATGGCCGGGTATATGTGTCTACTTGTTTTTGAAAGCAACAAAAGTTCTCCACTGCACACCCCAATGAGCATAAGCACCATAGCACCTCATAGGACTTCAGCCCACCTCATGCATCTGATGACTACAGACTTAATATTGGTCTTGCTTATTGTTGCCACTCGACTCAAACAGATGCATAGAGGATTAACAAATAAAACTTCAGGTCTCAATTTCACAATAGCAATCCAATGAAACTGATTATATCCTTATTGATCTCAGCCTCTTAAGCAGTTTCTCATTCTATATATTTGTTCTGATGGTTATGCACTAGCACTCATCGAAATAGTTTGTCCTGAGCTACATTTAAGCTTGCTGCCCAGAGCAGCATTAAAAGGGTAACCAGGAACTACAAGAGTACTCAAAATTGCAGAGAGTCACAGACAATACAATATACTTTTAAGCTTTTCAAAGAAAGGAGCGTATACCTGAAGGAGCAGCTCATACTTGGAATTGAACAGAAACACACTAAAAGCTCTGTGCAATGCATTGCCCTTCTCGATATTTTCCCACAAATGACCTGCAAATTCGGTAGCAAAACAAATTATCCCCCACACTTCTGGCCAAGGCTTGCATAATGTAACTATGTAAGTATTTCATAACACATAGAAATATCAGATCAAGGAATCAACAGATCCAAGTATGCAACACAACCGGTCTATATCTACCCTCTTCGGACTAGAATTGACAAACCATAAACAAACAAAAACATTGGATTCCAAATACTACATGCTTCACTCAAACGCACAACTTCAAGAAATCACTCTCATCATTCAACTTCCAAACGGTAAGAACCAACCAAGCTCTTGACAATATCAAGGAACGATCTTTCACTTACAGTTATACTTGGAATCATGGCCCACAACCTTATCATCCTCATTCACCAAAATGCACCTGCAAAACAATTACAAAAGCCAAAAAGGCATCAGAACTTCATCAGAAAGCCATACAGGGTCCACAGATTACAGAGTTCCGTGCAATTGTCTCTCAACCAAAATCGCAAAGCGCCAGATGACTGGCTCAAAACGACCTGGATTGAAGTAAGAATACAGGCAAATCACGCAAGCTAACAAAAGCCACTCGATTGAATCCAAAGATATGTATAGAACCACTAAAACGAACTGAAGTGAAAACAGGAACCAACATATAACCCTGGAAATCCGACACAGAGGACTAAAAGAAGAATATCTAGAGCAAACCCTCCGTGAGTTAGTTATCCAAGATTCGAACTTTGACTAAAACTCATCAAGAAAAGCTTTGTCCATAAAGTAGTGACAGGGAGAGTAAAGGGATTTCCAATCAGAGCAAAGGGGAAGTTCATAAGCCGAAAAAGAAAAGAGGGGAAACGTACTCGTCTTCAAACATGAGACGTCGCTGGACAGCGTCCATGCCAGCATCGGGAGCGTCACCCATGGCGGTGGTTGCGCCGGCGGCGGAGGAAGAAAAGGCCCTTTGGAGAATCGCAGAGCGAGTGGATCGGAAGTAGAGGGACGCCGAAGGAAAGAATCGTGAATTCCGAGGGAAGGAAGAAGAAGAAGGGGAGGAGAAGGAGAAGGGGAGTGATGCAGAAAGGCGGATGGTGGTGGGTATGTAAAGGAACCGGCAACTCCACACTGACATTTTTTGGTTTGATCTGATTTTTTTTTTCTTGGTTTTTTGGCAGCTAATTGATGTCCCTTTAACAATTTCAATTCCATCCTCTGTTCGATTCCACGAACGATATAACTAATAAGTCGGTATTTGCCACCAACGACATTTCGCCAATCTGCAGTGAGCAGACTTCTGATTGTTTTTCTTGAAGGTTGTCAAACCGGTTTGTGCGCGTGTACCGGTTTAGCAAGTGAAATGGTTCGACCGGTGATACATACCGGTTTGTGCCGGTTCATGCCGGTTAATATTACAAATACTCATATTTAAGCACGACATTTAACGTCAATACCTAAATATTTGTACTTGAATCCAACAAATAAAATCAACATTTAACTTTTTAACACATAAAATAAATAATAAATTCTTTTTTATCAAATAAATTCACTAATATAAGATCATTGTACTTAGAGATTCGTATATCGATCATGCCGGTCATACCGGTGATGTCATACTAATTTTATGACCGATACAGATTAAACCAGATTAAACCAGTGGCACGCCAGCCGGCGTGACAACCATGTTTTTCTTACATATTATCCGTGTTTACGTTTTTACAGGCAAATTAATCATGCGATTTAGTTTTCGGATAAACTTACACGGTAAAGTATTTTTAAACATAGTTTGAATTAAGGCAAGCTTGTATTTCATTTGGTGGAAGTATTTAATCTTTAGTGGAAATATTTTGCATGGTCCATGGTCCATGAAACCGTATCGTACCGGCGGTTCAACCACGAAATACCAGTATTGGAGGCTAAATCGATAGGCGGTATTTAACGGTACAACGGTTGAACTACGGTTAAACCACGATTTTATCATAAAATACCCTACCGCTGACTTTGCCCGTATGGTCTCCGGTACGGTTTCATGGACCATGGTATTTTGTCCAAAAATCAATAAATAGGGCACAACACTTTGGACTATTAATAATTATCACTTTGAAAATGCACTTATAAATGAATTATAGTATTTGACATTATATTCTTACAACATTATCGTTTATTTAAAATAATATAAAATAATAATGTACAGCTAGTAGATCCACGTATGCTGACTGTAATGTTAGATGGAGGGTTAGTCCAAATTAAGTGACTAGAATGATGGATAAGGAATTTACGAAGGTGCAATGGGCCAGCTCAAGCCGATCCGTCTTCGAAGGATAGACAGGCCCATTTTCTCAAGTACGCGAGCCCAAATCATGCAATTTTAAGTGGGCAGCCCATAGTTTCTACCTTCCGCCGCAAACCAATCCCAACCTCTTCGTCACTCTTTGTTTTTCACCAACAAACAAATCGAGTAAAATACTTTTGGTACCACTAAAGTTTGATAATTGAGACAGACATACCACTTAAGTTTGAATAGGACGTTGAGTACCATTAAAGTCACCAAAATGTGCATCCGTCTAGTTTTCCATCCAACCCAAAATTTTAATTACCTTTTGATACCCAAAACTTTTAAAAACATCCAAAACTATATTTCAACACCTAATATAAAAATTAATAAAACCTTCTAAACATAATATTACTTAAATGACTAATCAAAATTTTCAATAAAATAGATAAGTTAGTAAAAGTAATAAACAAATATCAAGAAGAAGAATAAATATATAGAATATAATAATAAATATTCAAAATCAATATTAGAAGATCTATTTAAATCACTAATCCGATAAGAAGTACCATTAAAAATAATTAAAATAGAATCTAATCGATCATCAATACATCAAGACCAAAGAAAGATAAATGGAACATAGTCATAAAGAATTAAACATATTACAGTAACTAAAGAGAATTTAGAACGAAAATAGAACAAAAGTAACCAAGAAAATTATACAACATCCAGATGATGTACGAGATTTAAATATAACATCCTCATATTATTTATATCGATATAGAATTAATATGATATATTTGCTTAAGCAAATTATTCAATTATTATAACACATAATGGTAATTTAAATACTTATAATGATAATTGATTCTACATTTCCTATTAAAAATTGGTTTTGTATAAAAATCTTCAAAAAAAAAAAATAATAATTCAATTTTTAGAAAACATAATGATAATTGAAAATACTTATAATGATAATTGATTTTAAATTTTCTATTTAAAAATTAATTTGGTATCAAGTTTTCAAAAGAAGATACCAATTAAGTAATAAAAATTGATGTTTTTATAAGTCAAAATGATTTTTAACAATAAGAAAAGTAGAAAGACCAATTAAGGAATTTAGAAAATAGAATATTTCAAGAATATTCTGTTAACTTTAACGGAATACACTTAACATTAAACTTAAGTGGTACCGGGTGCACAAATAATAGAGTTCAGTAGTACCCGATTGCCTATTTTTCCCTCCTTCCGAAAAAAAACCTAGATCGACAACCGGCAAATCCGACTTCTTCGTCGGAGTGTGAAAATCAACCAGTTCCTCATTCGTAGCCGCCGCAAAATCAACGAGGACGAACTCCAAAGTCGCGTCTACCCCGAAAATCTTAACCCGGCTGATCTGAAATCGTGGTCGAAAAGCACGTACGACGAACATCTTCAACCCGCCAAACAGAGGCGAGGACTTCACATCCAGCAGCTCTCTTGAGCATCTCCGTTGTCCTTGATCGGAAACATGCAGCAGCAGTTTCTTCACAGTTTACACAGTCTGGCCAAAGTACAAAGGACGAACATACGACCCACCTAGGTACAAAGAAAAGAAAAAACGTGATGGTAGGTGAGTGTGGGTGGTAGATAGGCTGGCTATTTGGTCCCGGACTGTTTGGTTTTACCCGAAACCGGACCGTATAACCCGGACTAGACTGGGACCGGACAACAAACAATGCAATCTCATATTCAGGCTTAGATTTGAGGTAAAAAACGGATAAAGACCGGATAAAAGACCCCCCAACACCTAAAATCAAGATAAAATTGGGATTAGATCAAAACCGGACTGTATCCAATCCAATATTTGGTCCTAATATTCCCGAAAAAACCGGACTGAGACCGGATCAATTTGGTCCACTTTAACCGGATCGAACCGTATAGCCACCTTTAGTGGTAAATACATACAACACACCCAAATACTCAATGGTTTCCCCTGCCGACTCCAACTACCATCCGTATATCAGTCATTTCACACTCACATAGCATAAATGACAGTAAAAATAAAGAAGAGGACAAACTCCCTCTATCTCTCTGCTTTCTCTCCTCTCTCTGTTTTCTGTGGGCTCTGTTTTTATACATATATATGTGGACAAATTGCAGGTGGTAGATGGAGGATTCGCATCCAACCCTCATCACCACTAGCTAGTATAGGTACGTACCGTACATGGGTTCTCATCATCACCAACAACAGAGTGTGGTAGCAGCAGCTTGATGGAGGAGGATCATGGTGATGAGAAAATAAGGAAGATCAAGAACAGGGGGAGCTTGGAAGATGAAGATCGTGGGGATTCAGAGGAATTAACTTCTTCTTTCCAGCGACGAGGAGGAGGAGGAGGAAAAGAGGGAGGAGAGGAAGATGATCATGGTGAGAGGAGAGCTCGTCCATCTCACTGTCGAGGTTGTCGATCGAAGATAGTTCTTCCGTAGCTGGGTGCTTCAGCCTTTTCTGCTCTTATTTCTATGGTACGGGTGCATCTTTGCAGGTTTGGAGCAAGCCAATAAGCCTGGAAGAATGGGATCTGAATGGCTGCGAACGAGCCGTCTCATTTCATACTTAGCTGAAATGATGTATTTTGCAGGTTTGCTGCGGACTTTACTCTTGGACATTCTTGCTGCCCCTTTTGGACAAGGTTTTCATATCTTCATTTATCGGGCGAAAAATCAGTGTACTTCGACGTGGTTTACAAACCTTCAGCCTAGGGGTTCAATACCACTTTTTGATAATTGTTATGGCTTCTTGCTTGCCCATGAATATGTCTTTAGCTTATTGATCTGACATTGTCATAGACTCCAAATTTCCCACTTACTGGTTTTAGTCCCAATTCATTGAGGTGAAATGGATTACATAATAATACCAGATGCACCCTTCACGGATTAATGAAACTTGAACTTGATTGCATAAATTAGATCTCATATCATAAATCTTTCTCTAATTTGATGATGTTAAGTTGATCTATGGATACTTCTTTTGTTGCAGCTGAACTCTGGAATCACATTGGCAAGTTCAATACAGATGGGTGAAGATTCAATTCAATCAAGGGTAGTTAGCTGTGGAATTGAAGGGTGCTCTCTCTCTCTCTCTCTCTCTCTCTCTCCTCTACATTCACACTCCGCTAGCCACTATTATTGAAACAGAGGCAAACCTTTTATTACATTTAGGTAATGCAATCAGTTATAGGCAGAGGCTGCCAACAATAATAGGTTCTGCAGATTTTTTGTTTTTGGCTTTTTACTCTCTTATGCTGTTTTCTTACATTGCCCTTGTTATGGCTTCCTCTGCTTCCAATGAGAGAATGAAAGTGCTGATCAGGTGGTTACATCAATGAAGGAGAAGGATCAAATGAGTCTTCAAATCACAACATTGAAGCAAGAACTCGAATAAGACCAGAAAAGGGCACGGCGATGATACGGCTAGATTGATGAAGGAGAAAGACCAAATGAGTGTTCAGCATCGATTTGGAACGGTGAGTTACTACTGCATTCATCCACCTCGGATCAATTTTTTCCCTTTGTTGTGTTTATCAACTGCAACATACTCAGAAAACCATGATTATTCTATTGATGGAGAATGATATGATATTGGTTTCAGTTATGAAATATGAATCAATGTCATGTTCTTATAAGTGGCAGAACTAGAATCTCGACCTAATGGACCACACAACGGAGAAGATTGACAAGAGACGATGGAATCACAGCTACCGTTGGAATCGGGGATAGTGAATGGAGTGCGGGTTTAAGAACTTTCTGTCTGGTGAGTCGAACTTTCTCCTCGAATTGACATGGTGCTTAAGAACCTGTTTCTGAAAGTCGTTTAGAGTTGTTGTTTTCCCCCTTTTTCGTTACGCTTGATCGGAAATGCTAAGCTTGTAATGACACTACTTTTAATCGTTTTTCCATATGCGTGCTTGTTCTCTTTTCCATCTCTAACAGGTTTTTTCGTGAAAGAAAGAGGCTATTGTTTGTAGGACCTCAACAATTTAACGGGTAGGCTTTTTCTCATTCACGAATTGTTTGATTATTGCATCATTTTGATTTCATATCCTTTGAAAGGCATAAAATATGAAACTATTTGAGAAGGAAACAGGCCAGAGTGATGACGAGTTTTCATTCAAGTTAGCTATTCAAGTTAGTTAACCTGCTTCCGTATCCACGCAAGAATTACCCACCTCAATTCGTGCTTGATGCGGGGTGGATATGACTATTGAGGTATCCGTTCCCGCCTCATTGTCATCACTACGTATAACAAAACAATGACCCCTACACTAAATGAGAAGAGGAAGAAGAGAAGTATTTGTGGCATTCTCTCTTTCCACGGCCAAACAATGGCATGTGCGTTGAAGTGAATGGAAATATGGACAAGCCACACTTTCATTAGCTCATTGACAACATCTCTACCAAACTATGTACGAACCGTCTAACCCATCAACCAAACTCCCTTATCATCTACTTTCCGTTTCTTGTCATGTTCTACATTTCTTAAAATAACAAATGAGATAATTTGAAATTGATACACTTGTCTCAATTATGCTATCCTTTAGTCACAGCCATACCTACCAATTATCATATGATGAGTTGGTCACAAAAAAAAAAAACCATTGTGGAATATCCATCCCGCTTGCAATTGCCTATATAAACAACTCCCTCTGCAATTGCTTTGTTCACTACACCCAAGTAGCCATAACAATTAACAAACAACTACCTCCCCCCACAACCATTTTGTTCCCTCCGCCCAAGTAATCATAACAAACAACTTCCTCCATCCAAGTATCTATAACGAAAAGTAAAAGAAGAACTAAAACGGCCAAGTACTGTGTTTTCATTGAACTGGTGTTCCTTCTCCTTCTTTGTTATGTATGTCGAGAAACAACAGGAAGAAGCATGCCAGAGAACGAGTTACGAGTGAAAAAGAAGATCTCTGACTCATCAGAGAAGACAAGATGGTTTTCTAAATACTTTGAGCCCAAAGGCATGGTTTTCTTTAATACTCAGAGGTCTTCTTGATCACTCGTAACTCGTCCTCTGGCACGCTTCTTTCGGTTGCTTCCCGACATGCATAACAAAGAAGGAGAAGGAACCATAGTTCAATGAAAGCAGAGGATTTGGCCATTTTAGTTCCTTTATTTTTTTGTTATGGATACTTGGGTGGAGGAAGTTGTTTGTTATGGATACTTGGGTGGAGGGAACAAAGTGGTTGAGTAGGGATGGAGCTGTTTGTTATGGATACTTGGCTGGAGAGAACAAAGCAGTTGTAGAGGGAGCTATATAGGCAATCGCGGGGGGATGGATGTTCCACAATTGTTTTTTTTTATGTGGCCAACCCATCATATGATAATTGGTAGGCAAGCTCGTGACCAAAGGATAACATAATTGAGACAAGTGTATCAATTTCAAATGATTCCATTTATTGTTGTATTGTCATTTGAAGAACGTAGAAAATGACAAGAAACGGAAAGTAGATGATAAGGGAGTTGGTTGATGGGGGAAGAGGGTTCGTACATAGTTTGGTATAGAGGTTGTTAATGAACTAATGGAAGTGTGTCTTGTCCAATATTTCTATTCACGTTCAATGCACATGCAATTGTTTGGTAGTGAGAATGACACAGAGGCTTCACTACTTCTTCTTCTCATTTAGTGTAGGCGTTATTGCTTTGTTAAATGTAGTGATGACAATAAGGGCGAGACGAGTACCTCAATACTCATATTCGCGCCAACATCAAACACGAATTGAGACGGGTTAACTAACTAAAATAGCTAACTGGAATAAAATCTGGTGATCACTCTGGCCTGCTTCCTTGTCATATTGTTCATATTTTGTGCTTTTCAAAGGGTATGAAATAAAAATGATGCAATGATCAAAACATTTCTTAAATGGGAAAAAACCTACCCAAACAAATTGCATTAAAGACCGGATCCAACCCAACAAAGCTAAACTCAGCCTAGTCAAGCCACAAGTGAGCCCAAAATTCCTCCGCCTCCAAACCCAAAATGTGACTCCAACCCTAAAAGGGCCAACTCTCCATTCTTTTTTTTTTTTTTTTTTAAATCACGATCCGAAAGGTTAAAATCCGGAATGACAAGCTCATAAAAGAATTTATCACTCTTGGTCGTGTCGAGAATAATTTATCACTTCCTCTTCTTCCTGACGAAACAAAACGAACACAAACATTAGAGGATGTGGGCAAAAGGCTCGCATAACTAGAAACTTTTGAGTTGGCGCCTCAACTGGTGGATTAACGATTAAGGTTTCACTTGTTGTTTTTTTTTTTTTTTATCTCCTGGACATAGACTATTTTGTTGTTTTGCAGGGTAATCGTGAAGATGCAGATATGCAAATATTAGAGGGTGTGGGCAGGACACCCGTCTCTAGCAGCTTTTGGCCATTTTTATAGGGCTTGTGTGGCACATGCCTGTCTGTATTTTGTTTTGCAGGACAAGCGAAAGTTCCTCTCGTCTGGGCTTTTGGCGTAGTGGGCCATTACAATTGTCTCGATCAGTTCCTGGATATGTCATACTGAGGAGAGCTTAAGGCGGTGCGGTGATCCGGCGGAAGCTATATTCTTTTTATGATTTTTGGTGTTTTGTCACTTTATTCGTAAGAACTAACAGAACTGCTCATTTAGTAACAAAAATGGCTCTTTCATTGGCATTTCGGTTAGTATCAGACTGCCGTTTATTTTACCTACTATTGTAAACACGCTGTCTATTATTTCATCCGACTATGACATAAAAAAACGAACACAAACAGAGGAGAGAGATGCATGTGAGGCAAAGGCGGCAACGATGGCGGTGGCGGATCTCCATCCCGACGATCGCGGCGCGAGAAGGTAGATAAGAGACGACGGTTGTAGAACAGACGAGAACTAGAACCAGAGACCGACTAACGGAGATAGATCCGCCAGAGGCCGTGACGGATCGACGGTGACGCTGGGCGATGCAGCGGAAGTGGCGGCGCAATCCTTTGATTGAGGCGACGGGCGACAATTTGGGGAGTCACGGCTTGTTCTCGTGGCAACGACCGGTGATACCAGGGCCGGCCAAGAGGGTGTGCCGGCCCCGCCCTCCGGCACAGGGCCTCCGAATATTAGGGGCCTCCACTTAGATTCGTTAGTTACCGATCGAAAATTGCAGTTTGTTTTTTTAGTGTATGATTGATAGATTATGAATATGATGACGAATTTTATATATAATTTTAGCTATAATAACAATTGAAAAAGATCTCATGGAGAATACGAAAATCAGAGAGATAATAGATAATTTTAATTTAAACAATAAAAAAAGATATTACATTTTAAATAATGGTATTATAATCATTTTAGTTTTATCATAGTTAAAAGTCAATTTGGATCATGTCTCAATTTTGGAATAGGGCCTACACTATCCATTAGATAGACCCGCACCCACATCTCGATCAATTTATATTATTTTCATTTCTCCATTCAATTTTTGCTCTATATCCATTTTCTGTTCTCTCCAGATTTACTTTTCTCCCTCCCTGCTAGGAGTGAGAATTTGGTCTTGGTTTCTTGGTCAAACAGGAAGTGAGATTGTTTACTCATTTTGAAATCATTTTCTGAACTTATGTAATTTATAATTATTCAATAAATTTTATTTTTAATAAATTTATTGAGAAAAAAATTAGGAGCCACATGTTAAACTTTCGAACAGGGCGTCCAAATATCATGGGACGGCTATGGGCGATACAACGTGTGGGCAAGCAGCGGTTGTCTGGTGGTGACGAAGAGGATGCGCTGATCGTGTTTGGTGAGGAGAAAAGGGAAGGAAAAACGAGAGGGAGGAGCAGAGAGCAATTATAGTTTTGCCTTTTCAATTTCTATAAGGGAGATGAGAGACGGCGGTGGGAGGGAGCTCGCTTGCAGGGAGTAGAGAGATAGAGAGAACAAATAAAGAGAGAAAGTGAATGTGAGGGAGGATAGAGAGTCGGTAAGGGAGGGGTCAGGGAGAGAGAGAGCAAAAAAACTTGCGCTTTTTAGGGGGAAGTAAGATTTCTGATTTTAGTGTTAAAATCGGATCGAGATCGGTTCAAAATCAGACTATATCCAATTTTAAAATTTTAATCCTCATATTTTAAAAAAGATCGAACCGCTACAGAATCAATCCGTGCCAGTTTAACTGGACCAGTTCGTATAGCCACCCTATGCGAAGGGCAGCTCAAGTGGATCCGCATTCAAAGGATAGCCAGGGCCACGTTTTCAAATATGCTAGCCCAAATCATGCACCTTAAGTGGGTAGCCAATAGCTTTTCTCCCCTTTGCGTTGGTGCTTGAGCTTGCAGTTTGTCTAAGCCGTCCATCGGAGTAGGGATGGCAGCAAAACCCGAATCTATGGGTACCCTACCCTGTCAACATTGGTAAAACCCGTGTTGACTGGTTTTGAGTCGGGTTCGGGTTTAAACCTGCTACACTATTCACAGGTTGGGTTTGGTTTTAGGTATATCCGTCCCATGGGTACCCATATAATTAATTTTTCAGATATATTTAATATACTAAGCAATATATCTTCCTTAAACAACTAATCTTCTTTATGTTTGTGGGGAAAAAATCCCACTGTACACATGTTCTTAAAAAAAATTCCAAAATACATAAGTTATAAAAAAAAATTCAAAACTACACATGTTTGGAATTCACCGTTTTTGACAAACGCAGTGAAGATTATCACCGCGTTTGACAAACACGGTGAATATTTCACCATTTAAAAAAACGGTGATATATTCACCGCTTTAAACTAAAACGGTGAAGATATCACCAAAAAAAAACCTACACGAAGAGCCTTAGGGTCAAACTAAAAACACAAAAAATAAAAACACAAAAAAAACCTACACGAAGAGCCTCTTCGTCCATTTTTTGGCAGAAGTCGGACAGAGGTTTGACGAGTTCGGGTTTGTAAGGGACGGGGGCTTTAGGGTCAAACTCTAGTAATTTTTTCTGATGTGGAAGATCGGATTTATCCGCAACCACAAAGCATACTTAGAACGAGACTAGAGAGGATAGATTGAGGGAGAAAGGATTGTAAAAGTGGTGGTGTGATTTGGAGGGGGGGGGGGGGGGTTCTATTTATAGGGAAGGAGGGAGGGATCTGCGCAAATTGATGGGGAGCATTCACCGCATCCCTTAAAGGCGGTGAATGCATCGCCCTTTTCAAAATCGGCGACAGACGCGGATCGAGCCACGTGGCGTGCTATGAGGCGTCGGATCTGGGAAGAAAACCACGATCCGCGCCTCACCGCATCCAACAGCCACGGTGAGTGGGTCAGCGACGCGGATCGCTGACGCAAACAAACACGTGGTATTCACCGTGTTTGTCTAACGCGTTGAATACACCGCGTTTGTCCACGTCAGCGATCCGTGTCGCTTCATCGTGGCCTACAACAACGGTTTAAACTTCACCGCGTTTGAATAAAACGGTGATTGACTCGCTATTGGTGCACCGTTTTAGAGGAAAACGGTGAATACTTCACCGTTTTTTTAAATGGTGAAATATTCACCGTTTTTGTTAGGGGTGGTAATCGGTAAACCGGTATCGGTATCCGGTATACCGAATACCGTCGGTATCGGTATTCGAGGGCGTTATTTTACATTCGGTAATACCGGATAGGAGTCGGTAGATACCGACGGTATATCGGTATACCGTAATACCGATTATAAAAAAAAAAAAAAAAAGAGTAAAACGCGGTGCACTAAAGGTGAAGGGTTTTGGCGGATTGAGTTGTCAATACTCAATTCCTTTCACTCTCTGCCGCAGCCCGCAGCAACCCAACAACCCTAAAAAATTCGAGACCTGCCTGCCTGCCTCCATCCCTTTCGACTCTCGTCTTCCTCTGAGCAGTGAGCAGCCGCCAGCATCCCTCCCCGCCGGCACTAGCTGCGCTCCCCGCCGGCACCAGCTGCGCTCCCCGCCGCCGCCTCGAGCAGCCTCCCTCCCTCTCTTCTTCCTCTGAGCAGCCGCCAGCAGCCCTCCCCGCCGGCCCCAGCAGCTCTCCCCGCCGGCCCGAGCAGCTCTCCCCGCCGGCCCCAGTAGCTCTCCCCGCCGCCGCCTCCGCCTCCAGCAGCCTCCTCTTCCCTTCTCTCCATCCCGAAAGGCGAGACCCAACAGAGCTCCTGTCTTCCTCTTCTTTTCTCTTCACCAGCAGGCAGCAGCATAGTAGCATCTAGCATGTGAGAATCCATTTATTTGTGAGATTAGCATTTGTGAAAGTAGCAGAAAGATTAGCATTTGTGAGATAATTTCCTAATTCAGGCCAAGGTTGATTTGCTTTCGTGACCTGATTCTGTTGCTTTGAGAATTGAATGTTCGGTCTGATTACTGGGTTCATCTGGGTTTGACTTGGGTTTGAATTGGGCTCCAATTGCATCTGTTCTAGAAAGTCATTTCCTTTTGTATGGGTTGTTAACAAGATGGAACGTAGTAGTAGTGTATGATTAAACATTCATTATTATGCAACGGTTTACAACTTTTGTTTATGTTTGTTTATGCTTGAGTTTGATCATATATTCATATGTCTTTTGTAGGACAAAACCTTCTCGTGGTCGTTCTCGTGGAGGAGGTAATTCGAAGGGTGGATCCCTTCCTCCTCGTTCAACTTCTAAAAAAGGCGACACTTCCAAAAAAACACCTTCTACTGGTGTTACTAGGACTAATGTGGATCCTTCTCCATCCCCAACTGAAGCAAGTGCTGCAAATCCAGCACCTACCACAAGTGTGGCAAATCCAACCCCTACGGCTACCACAAATCCAACACCTACTGCAGGTGGTGAGCCAAAGGAAAATGTGAAGAAGAGAGGAGGAAGGAAGAAGACATCGAAGTGGTGGCCTTATTATGATCATGTGTTGGTGGACGGCTACCCAAATGCCAAATGCAAACAATGTGGTGCTTTGATCAAAGCACATTCCATCAACAATGGGACTAGTGGCTTGAAAACTCATCGCTTGGCATGCGAGAGGAAGAGGAAAGAAGCTGGTGGTCAGTCATTATTGAACTACCAACCCGGGGATGGTGAGGTAGGCTCTCTTACTCCATGGAAGTTCGATCAAAAGAAAGCTAGGACTGCATTAGCTACCATGATAATATTGGACGAGCTTCCATTTAGATTCGTTGAGCGTGAAGGGTTTAAGAGATTTATGGCTATAACACAACCTTTGTTTGTGATTCCTGGAAGACAAACAATAAGGGAAGATTGTTACATCATATTTCTTGAGAAGAAAGAGTTGTTAACTGAATTTTTCAAGATGAAGTGCAAAGGAAGGATTTCAATTACCACAGATACTTGGACTTCTGATAACAATCAGAATTTTATGTGTGTGACTGCTCATTTTATTGGGAGTGATTGGAAGTTGCAGAAGAGGATAATTAGTTTTGTTCCTATCACTAGTCACACAGGAAAAGATATTGCAGAAAAGTTGGCAGCATGTCTACAAGAATGGAAGGTGCATAATTTGTTCAGCATTACAATGGACAATGCCACTTCTAATGATGTCCTTGTTGAGTGCATGAGAACAAAGTTGAAAGAATGGGGATCAGATTTGATGAATGGGAAGTTCTTACAATTTCGATGTGTGGCACACATAATAAATTTGGTTGTTTCCGATGGGCTGAAGGAAGTTGGACTTGCTGTAGAGAGGGTTCGTGATTGTGTGAAATGGGTGAAGTCGTCACCAGCTCGGAGTGAAAAGTTCAAATCTACTATTTCATTTCTTGAAATGGATGGGAGAAAACTAGTGTCTTTGGATGTTCCAACTAGGTGGAACTCCACCTATTTGATGTTGGAATCTGCAGAACGGTTCGAGGTTGTGTTTAACTTCATGCATTCAAGTCCAAATGGTGCTTCTTTTCGAGATTATGTTGAATCGAAGAAGGGTCTACCAAGCAAAGAAGATTGGTGCAGTATCAGACGGCTGATGAAGTACCTGAAGTTCTTTTATGATCTAACCCTTCGTGTTTCGGGTATGTGAATATCAAATTGTCAAATCCATTACCATTCCTTTTGCTAATTTATATTATCTTAAAGTAAATAATCATGAGTTACAACTTATACTGTTATATCTACCTTGTATCAGAACATCATATGTGACTGCACATACATTCTTCAAGGCCATTGTTGATATTTTTGAAGTGATAACAACATTGAAGAATGATATGGATGAGCAGATACAACAAATGGCAAACAGAATTGAGGCTAAGGTACGCAAGTATTGGTTTGAACATGATGAGGAGGAGGAGGAAGAGAACCTAAAGATAAATAGACTAGTTTACATGGCATGTGTGTTGGATCCTAGGCGGAAACTTGCATATCTATCTTTTATGTTGGATGCTATGTATGGGAAGTCGAAAGGAGAAGCTTTGATAAAGGAAGTAACTGCAGACATGACTGATATGTTTGAGATTTACAAATTGAAGTGTTCATCTCCATCATCTGAGACCACTATTCATCCTACTCCTACTGTGAGTGATGCTAGTGTTGGTGCTACTGGTACTAGTGTTTTGGGAGGGAAATATGATGCTGAGTTCAGGAAGAGGAGAAAGGAGCAACTTCAAAAGGGGGTTCGAGGTTGTTCTGAATTGGACATCTATTTAAGAGATGTTGATGATGCTATTAACGAGGATGATGATGATAAGAAGTTCAACATTTTGAAGTGGTGGTCTCGGAACAGTGTTAGATATCCCGTCCTTTCAGAGATGGTTAGGGATATCCTGGCAGTTCCAATCTCCTCAGTTGCCTCAGAGTCTGCTTTCAGTTGTGGAGGTAGAGTGCTTAGTCCGTTTAGGTCTTCTTTGAACTCTAACGTTGTAGAGGCCTTGATTTGTGCCGAAGATTGGATACGGTATGAATGTGGTAAGAATTCAGGTCAAGTTGATGATAAAGAAGAAGATCAAGAACAGATTGATTTTGAAAGAGGTAATAGTTCTTATTTCTTTTTAGTTATTCACTCACTTTATTTCCAAGATAATTGATGAATTCTAACAATTTGCTTTTTCCCCTTAAATTTAGTCACTAGTACCTTTGAAGCTCGAATGGAAAGTGTAGGTGATATGCCAAGTGAAGGCAGAGAACATAATATACCCATTGTGGTTGAGGAGGAGGATGGTGATGAAGAAGAAGAAGAAGAAGAAGAAGAAGAAGAAGAAGAGGAGGAGGATGAAGCGGAGGATGAAGAGGAGGATGATAATGATGTTCTTCTCAACAATTTGAAGAAGCAAGGTTGTGCCGATGTTGGCGGTTCGCGCCAAATTAACGATGGAGGAGCTAGTGGTCAATCTTAGTGGTGTAGTTATGCTATCTTTTATGTTGGAGAATTTTATTTTAAGTTGGAACTTGTAAGTGTAACTTATGTTGTGAGAGTGAGACTATGTTGAATTGTTGATTGTTGGATGATGGAATTTGTGGAATATTTCATGTTTGAGACTTTGTACTTATGTAGTAGTAATGCTATATTTATCTACTAACTACTTGTGTAGAATGTAGTTGACATTAACAATGTCATTGCCTAATGGAGTATTGGACTATTGGTAAATCGTTCATTATAAGTGAGATGTACTTGTAAGATGTAAGGGTCTATTAGATAAACAACTAATTAACTAATTACTATTAACTAATAGTGAATTGTTGATTAATAAAACTTGCTAGACGATAGCAATACAATATAGTAATAATTAATAAACAAAAAAATTATTTACATCATTTAATTAAACAACATTCAGAAAAAAAAGGATTACTCCAAAAATCCCAAATCAGCCCACTCGGTATCGGTATTAAGTCGGTATACCGGCTCGAAAAAATAATCTCAATGGATTAACCGGTATTCGGTATACCGGTATTAATACCGGATATCGACTATTCGGTATCCGGTATACCGGATAATATTCGGTATCGGTATTCGGTGGTTACATGTCTGGTTCCGGTATACCGGATACCGACCGATTACCAGCCCTAGTTTTTGTTAAACGCGGTGATAATCTTCACTGCGTTTGTCAAAAACGGTGAATCCCAAATATGTGTAGTTTTGGAAAAAATTTATAACTTAAGTATTTTGGAAATTTTTTTTAACAACTAGTTTACTTTGGGATTTTTTCCTGTTTGTGGAGACATGTCTAATTTGTTCTTTCTAATTGTGTAGAATGAAGTGGAGTGGAGAGTGAAGAAGCTTAGTTGACTCTAGGAAGAAGCTTTCAATTAATTATGTTGTTTATAGATGTTTATCTTTAATTTTGAAAAATTTGTATTGATAATTTGTCGTTTGCTTGTATGGTCTAGATTGGTGTTTTTTGTATGGATAATTTGTACGAGAAAATTTATGTTAGACTTTCATATTGAAAAAAACTTGATATTGTAAATTTTTTATACAAAAAATCCACGAGTATTCATGAACTCGCGAATAATCAGCAAGTTGGGTTTGAAGTTTTTCAAATCCAACAAATTTTACCCCAAATTTTGTTGACGGATAAACTCATAGATTTGCCGTTCACAAAACCCGCCCAACCCATCGGAGTGGCATTCTAAGTTCGCAGGAGTAACTCGTATTTGCCTGCCTTTTGTCTCCGCGATCTTCATCCATTCAAGGAAGAGAGCCATAAGATGCCGAGAGAGACCAGCCCTGGCCTCAAAATCCTCTGGATATGGACCATTGGCACAGCAGCAGGTGCTTCGACGGCTTGTCAATTTCTTTCTTCCCTATTTCTCTGATTCCTGTATGCTCAAGCTTTAGTTTTGATCCATGGAGTTTTGTGTTTGCAGTGCTAGTTACTAGTGTGGTGAGGACGAGGATGAGAGACATGGAGCAGTTCATGAACACTGAGCAACAACCTCATCATAATCAGCAGCAGCAACAAGAGCCGAACGAAACCAGCTCCGGTGAGTCGATCGTTTTGGAAGACTCGCCACCGCCTCCCAGCGAAGGAATTGCTGAAGAAATCAAGTCAATGTAGGTTCTTAGTTTGGGTTTTCTCTATCCTAGGATTCTACTCTTCAATGGGTTTTTGTCCCGCAGTTTCCTACTGAAGGCTTGCCTTCTACCTGTTTGTTAAAATTCCTCAAAGAATATCCAGGCTGTCTGAAACGATGGTTATATCGTGTTCCATTCTTTTCTGGCCAGTAGAGGTTGTAAGTTCTTATTGTGGGAATCCAAAACCATGACCTGGTTGCAGATTCATGAACAATTGATCCCCATTTGAATACGTTTTGCTTCAAAAGAAAACACAACTAACATTGTATTCATCTTGGCCCATGTAAACAAGTCTTGTTATTATTATTGTCCATTCGGCTGTGTTCTTAGCATTGTAGAAACCCAGAATCTTATATTCCCACACCTGTACAATCCATCGGTAGGTTCAACAGTTTCATATTCTGTTCATCCTTGCTTATTCTGATACATATTTTGGGCTCCACTGATGGATTTCTTTTACTCCTGTCTCCTGCTTTGTCTTTTACTGCTTGGGGGCTGTTTTGCTTTCATGGTTGCAGCCGACGAATGCTCCAAAGCAGCTCCAAGGTTGTTTGAGGATGTATTATGACCTATTATCATTCAAGTAACGAGATTAGACATTGGGCTGTACTTTACATTGACAAAGTCGTCAGCTTGTTATTGCTTAGTGACATGTGCTTCTGATTTTTATTGTTCTCTGTAAAAAATAGTTGCAGTGATCGTAGAACTGTCTGAGTAATTGTTTCATGCTTCACCACTTTTTGCCTTTGATCGATGGATCCTGAACTATATCAAGCTGTGATCCTGGGAAATGACAAGTTTTTTGAGGATCTCAGCAACGCTGGCTTGTGCACTGTGCTCCAGGTTACATCTGGTCACAACAACACTATCCTCTACGTTGCAGCAAAATGTGGAGGGATACAGATAGCAGAGAAGATCATTGGTTTGTTTCCAGGCCTGCTTCATCAGACGAATTCCAAAGGTGACTCCCCATTACATGTTGCAGCGAGGTTAGGCCGCTTGGAAATGTTTCAGCTGTTGGTGAACTGTGCTAAACTTGTCAAAGTGGGGAAGGAGCTGCTGAGAGTGGAGAATGTGGAGTGTGGACAAGGACAAAGGCTCTTCATGTTGCCGTGAGAAATGGGCACTTTGAGTTTGTGAGTTTGTTAATCAGTGAAGATCCCGAGTTGACTTTAGTCCTGAATACTGCTGGAGAGTCTTCTCTTTTTCTGGCTGTGGATCGCAAGTTCTACGGGATTGCTCAGCAAATCCTTGAAACTGTTCCTTCATGTTGCTATGGAGGAAGGACTGACATGAATGCTCTACATGCAGCCATTATAAGAGCTTATCGGAGTAAGTAAGCCCCTGTTAGTTTCTTAATCCCTGGTTTACTAGAACATACACCTCTTCTAAAAACTCCCCAGTCTCAATCTAGTCTATTTTCAGATGCTGCTGTTGGGTTCTTAGTCTTCAATTAATATTCATGAATTCTTTTGAATATTTCCTAACCCCACTTATTGTTGATTATGGCTTGTAGGGTTTCTGCTCATGGATGCAGTGGCCAACATCATGAATTTCTGTTCTAGAGCTTTAATCATGTTCATTAACCGCTTCCTTCTGGCGGCTTTCAAGCTTGATTACTTGAATTTCAGACTGTCTTGCAGCTTCAGTTACATCGGTCCAGGTATATGCTTCATCATCTTTTAAGCATACCCCCTGTTCAAGAATCTAGCTTGCTGCTGAAGCATATGATCAACACTGCAAGATCAGGAAATGAAAATTTAAGTGGAACATCAAGAACTGAAATGAACCGCTCTTATTTTTCTATCGAATTAATTGATGTGCTCAATACAAATTGTACCATCTACCATTGAATAGAAAGATGGTTTCTTGTAATTGAATTTGCTAGAATCCATGGAAACGTAGATAGCTTGCTACATTCTTTACAATTATAAATGGTCAGCCTCCATTCTTCTTCTTCCTCTTAAATCTTCTGCATGCCTTCCTCTCTTTTCTCGGATGACCAAACGCGGGTATAAATACAGGATCAAGAATCTCATACTTCCAGTATACACAAGAAAGCCATGTTTTCGATATCTGTTTATTGATATCTTTAATTGGAATGGTATATGAAATCATATCCTTTTGCCGTCAAGGAATCGAGTATAGAAATCCAACGACTCCTGTGGCTTGTACTCCGGAACTGTATGCCCTGCACCCTGCATCCGATTTAATTGCATTTACAACACCATAGATTAGTAAATTTATAGCTCGGTGATTGTAGGTTTATCATGTTAGTTAATTATGTTATGTATACCTTAATTGTGAGGAAAGTGAGGTTGTGTTCATATCCTTGCAGGTACCTGAAATCACACACCACAGATTGGAAAGTGAAATCCAATGAAGCAATACATTGTAGTAGTAGTAGTAGTAATTCACTCGTTGAATCAATGTATATACCCGGCAACTTGGTGGTCGTCGCCGGAGATCCACGGCCTCCACTCGTCGGTGATGTTGTAACCCATGGAGCTAGTCCAGGCTTCTGTTCCGGTGTACGGCACGCACATATCGTGGTCTCCGCTGTAGATCAGGGCTCGATAGCCTTGGGAGGTCAGGTTTCGGTGGATGGGGATCATGCTCCCCGAATCGCCCTCGTAGTCTATTCGGTCCGAGCACAGTTCCCACTCACCCGCTGTGGATTTCTGTCGCACGTAGTGATCGATCATTCATAAGCTTACAACGAAATACGTACTTAATCGATAAGTACACAAAATAACGGTGTAAAATCTATCTTGAATACTCTTCATAAAACTCCGAATAAAATTCGTTACAATTATAAAGTTTGGCTGTTAACTTACTGGTGCGGCGTGAAGGGCTTTCCTCACAGATTCGTCATTCAGCCATGCAGTCGCCACCACATCATTCTGCAAACAGTAAGAACTGTTAATTTATTAAGTTGGAAATAAACTAATTACAACAGGAGTGAGGGTTAGGGAGAGAAAGGAACGGCGTCGTACGATACAATCAACCCCGCCAGACAGGCGTCCTAGTTGGGGCCAAAGAAGCATCTTATTGTCGGTTTTGTTGGGCCGGAAGTTATCGAAGTGTTGAGCCCAATGCGGCCAGGCCCGACCGAACATCCGCTTCCTGACCGGGAGAGCCTTCTCGGTCCGGCCCAATTTCTGGAAGCTTGGCGGCAGTTGGGTTTGCCTCTGCTGCTGTCCTTCTGGGTCGTGGTAGCATGGCTCCAGCACGTCGTAAACATTCAGGCCATCCAGCGCCTTCATCCCAAAACCGGAAAATAGGGAAGGAAAATTAAAAAAAAAAAACTGAATATCGTTAGTTAATGTAACAATCTTATATGCAATTATACTACCGTATGGATCATGTATTCATGTATGATTGTGTAACGTACTAGCGTTGATTATAAGTGACGAGTTTAATTCACAAACTTAAGTAGCTAACCGTGCCAAGTTTGTCGATAGCGTGGTAGCATTTACTGCTGTTGCTACTGAAATCGGGATTGCAAGCACTCGATGCTTCCTGAAATTGTGACAAAGAGAAATTGTCAAAACTAATAAACTTTATGAAATTCGAACACAACATCGTGATACAATTAAATACTAAGTGTTGTTAAAAAAATTGTAGCTATTATAATTGGTATATCACCTCAAACATGTGGTTGGAGATGAGGGCCATGCCGTGCACAAAATTGACAGCAGCACCAAGTCCATTTCCATCGTTAACCACTCCATTCCCAACAAGGTAACCCTAGATCATCATCATCACATACATTAATCACATTTAATTACTCCCTAACAAGTGATTAGACTATCTATGAACAATGATTTCTGATGATCATGATATGGCCATTAGAATTTAGAGTAGGTATTTTATATACCTTGAAGTTGATGGCTGGCTTGTCCCCTGATTCTATCCCTACAATACAATCATAACCATAACAGAGAATAAAAATTAGTGGTTTTGGAATTGTTAGCCTCATAATTAGGTTTTTATCTTAACTACCTTAATTACCATGAGCTTAATCAATTTTACCTTTAACAACTTCAGCTGCCAAAGTTGGGACATAAACTCCAGCATAAGACTCCCCGGAGATGAAAAATGGGTTGCGTCGGAATTCTGGATACAGTTCAAACCACTGCAACAATATTGCTAGCAGATTAATACCTTAGCTACGCGCCTGCAACCACTCCAACTATAAATCTAACTTGAAATACGTCGGTATTTGTTACCTTGAGAAGGAAGTTATGAGTATCAAGGGCGGTCTTATGGTCGTTGGTTAAGTAATTTGACGTGTTTGGAGAGTAAGAAAGACCGACCCCACAGGGAGAGTCCAGGTAGATAATATTAGAGACCTGCAACAACATATAGAATTGTATCGTTCCGATTATTCTAATAGAGAATTTTTAAGTTTTAAACATGATATATACATGGATGAAATGTAAGAGCATATGATCATAACCTTGGACCAGCTGTATGGATTGAGATGCATCTTTGGAAGACTTCCCTTGGGCCCTTGCTCAAAGTTGAATGGGCCTACATGAAGAAATGCCACTAATTATTAGGGTCCCCCACCACGAATGAAATCGAATATAATTCATACAGATAAAATAAAGCCAAATTCGCCGGAACGATCCCACCACGAGGAACCCATGACGCTAAAATCATGAAAGTTAAGCCCATGCCCCCCGCCGGCACGCACTGATTGCGCCGGCCGGCGGGCAAAGTAGTATACGGCCACATCTTCCAACAATTTCGACCTGACTCGTTTTACCCGATCTGTTGACCTGTTTTGGGGTGGGGCATGCATGGTTACTTCTCGTCGACCCGACCTGCCCTAACCCGTCCCATTCTCGACCCGTTTTGTCTAAACTACATGTAATCTTAATCAAATTACTTATAGTTTTCCTCATATTACCTCATATTTTAGCTATAATAAAGCTGTATATAAGTGGAAACCTCAATTTCTCAAATACTTTAACTACATTTTATCATATTATGGTTTATTCTTGGTATTTTAATGAATATTTTTTAAAAAAAAAAATTTCACATAAATTACATACTCATTGGGTCAACCTGTCCCAACCGCGTCCCATAATAAATTACCCGACCTATACCCAACCTGCCATGGGGCAGGTATGGGTATCGAAATACACGGACATGCCACATTGCCATTCCTATCTCCTACGTTGATAATTAGTACAAACCCTCACGAAGCAGTTATTATTATTATTATTTTTTTTTGAAGTAAAGAAAGTAACTAATTATTAACGTGCCTACTAATTACTTACCATGTTCGTAAACGAAACCGTCGAAGCTGGAGCAGCCGGGCCCGCCGTTGAGCCACAAAACGACGGGGTCTTCCGCCGGATTCCTTTCCGACGAGATGAAGTAGTAGAACAGATGCTTCTCCTCCTCCAGGCTCACGTACCCGGAGTAGTGCTTCGACGGGAAACTCCCGTTGAAACCGGGCAAGTAACTCACCAGTGACTCCGCCGGCGCTGCTTTCGTACTACTACTCATCATCATCGTCATCATAATAACCACCACCGTCATCGTCACGAGGACTCTGACGACGGCGGTGGCGCCGCTCCTTGATTCAACCATCGAATATTCTGATCTTGAATATAACTGATTAATTAGCAGCAATGGACAGGAGATCAAATCTTTCTCTCGATGAAACTTCACTCTCTACAACAGTTATGTTTTTTTTTTTTTTGGGGATTACTGTGCGGCCGTGGCCACTGAATTTATAGGCCAGGCCGGCATAAGGAGAGTATCTTGGGGGGAAAATTAAAAAAGGAAATTAAAACCAGCCACAATAAATAATGTCGAAATAAAAAAAAATACAACAATTGTTTGTCTTGATTAATTATTATCATTATATAATACTCAAATTATCTCAGTAAAATGATGAAATCAGAAGTAAATTGATTTCGCTCAAAGCTCCATTTGTCACTTACCCACGTCCCTCTATTATGGATCTCCCTTGATTGGAGTTAAAAAAAAACCATCCCGCCATTTCCCCACTTTAACTACTTTTGCTATTGTGGGTTGTCTAAGAGAAGGTTCCAGAAAGTTATACAAATGTCACACGACGGCATGGTGTCGACGCGCGTACGAAAAGAATGTACATTTAGTAATGTTATACTCGCTATCATTTGATAAACTAACGATTAGTATTGGAGTCGTTAAAACTCTAATACAATCAAGAAACAGTTGATTCTAATAGTTCAAGTTATTGATGAAGGTTGGCCATTCGCATTTGGGGGAATACATTCGTTCATCGCCGGCCAACGAAAAAGGTCCGACCAATTCTGTCGAGAAGGAAAAAGACGAAGAGGGAAGGGCTACGTGACGTGGGTTGGGGCGCGCGGAGGAGACGAAAGAACCGTCGTCCGGTCGATTCCTAAGGGTTTGCTCATATGGCGTCCAACAATTTAAGCATATAATAATACGGCGGCCTCTATTGCAGTTGTTGTGAAAAACCCCAATTTGTGGTAAATCCCATCAATTTAGCTATATTCTTCACAATTTATGAATGATACTTATTATTAGGGGTGAGTACGTGGGTGGTTAATCCGCGGATTGATATTGATCCACCCACAAATAACCCGACCCACATGTAATGGGTGATTAATGTGGGTGGATTGCGGATTGTTAAATCTCCCAACCAAACTTATGTGGGTGGATGGTGGGTGGATTGCGGGTCACCCGTATGACTCGCATCCTATTTTTACATGAAAAAATGTTGTTTCTTATAGTATCGTTCATCATATTTTCGAACTGCACGACAGTGTGACCATATACTGCAAAAGGTGGAGAATAAAAAAATAGTTTTGACTACTATTATTGGTTATTGTGTTGTGCAATATCCATTGACAATGGATATTGGTATGCAAATTATTGTTAATATCCATTAAATATTGTGATACAAACTATAAATAATTAATTGTATCGAAATCACAAATTATTGATACAATCTTACTAATGTGTTGTGAACTTATTATGAATGTTAGTCAATTTTCTTAATAGCTAGTTGGAGAATTGCTTTTGCGGGTTAACCCGCGACCCAACCGCACTCACCCGCCACCCACCGAACCCAACCCGCATAAGTATGAGGGTGGATTGCGAGTCACATATATCCCAATCCGCTAGCAAGTGGGTGGGTCAATTTTAGACCAAAATCCACCCAACTTGCCCATTGCAAACCCTACTTATTATCCTTCTTCTTCCATCTTCTGCCGTCTTCTCTTTCTTGGATTACCAGACGTCGGTATGAATACATGACCAAGAATATTGTCCTAAACCAGTATACACAAGAACTCGGATTTTGGTTCTCTTGTTTATTGATATATATATTTATGGAATTGTACATGAATGGTACTCATATTTATATTCGTTTCCCGTCAAGGAACCGAGTATAAAATTCCAACGACTCTCGTAGCTTGTATTTCGAAACCGTATGTCCTGCACCCTACACAATATAAATGACAATTCATTTACAACAACATTACCGGCAGTTATTATACCATCCAAATAAGAATAGCCCAATTCATAAGTACGGGGTGTGCAACTGTTCGGTCCACATTGGATCGCACCAGAACTAAATCAGCATTCAGACCATACAGTCTGATTCTCGTTTCCTATGAATTTCATCAAAAGTGTAAGGAAAAATAATAAACCGAATCTATGCTTGGACCGGACCAGCTCAAGCGGAATGTACTGATGATCCGATTGTGTGTTGCTCAAATTTCGTTTACTAACTGGACCGCGATTATCATGGTTCCGATTTCACCGACCTGAAAGTTGCACACCCGGATGTCGCATATATCATGTTAGTATACGCATACCTTAATTGTGAGAAAAGTGAGGTTGTGCTCATACCCTTGGACGTACAGTACAACCTCGCCAGCTTGGCGTGCTACTTGGGGCCAAAGAAGCAGCTTATTGTCAGTTGTGTTGGGCCGGAAGTTATCAAAGTGTTGAGCCCAAAGAGGCCAGGCCCGACCGAACATCCGCTTCCTGACTAGGAGTGGCTTTTCGATCTGGCCCAAGTTTTGGAAGCTGGGCGGCAGTTTGGTTTGCCTCTGTTGCTGTCCTTCTGGGTCGTGGTAACATGGTTCCAGCACGTCGTAAACATTCAGACCATCCAGCACCTTCAGCATAAAACCGAAAAATGAGAGAGAGAAAAACACACACATGTTCGCATTGACAAACGAAATTAATATGAATAATTGTTACAACAATATGTTATACAAAAGCGTTTTTTCGGTTTTTCAAAAGTAGAATTTTTAGAGTTATTTGGCTCTACTTCAGCTTTGAAATCGAAAAACACTTCTAAAAGTCGGGCCAAACATAGACATTATCAGTGAACAAATATATGTAGCTTACCGTGCTAATCTTGTCGATTGTGTGGTAGCATTTATTACTGTGGCCACTGAAATCGGGTTTGCAAGCAAGTGCTGCTTCCTGAAATTGCAGCAAGCAAAATAGCGAAATCAAAAGAAAGTTCAACACTTAATAGATCTTAAATTTATCAATATTGTTATCACACTATAAAATTAAAGAATGGTTAGTGAACTTATAAAACAAGATATAACTATTATAGTGTATAATTAAGGTATAGGGTTATGGTATGTCACGTACCTCAAGCATCTTGGTGGAAATCAGGGCCATCCCATGCACAAAATTGACAAAAGCACTAAGTCCACCTCCATTGTTAACAACTCCATTCCCAATTAGGTAACCCTAGATCATCATCAACCTTATCATCATTATCACATACATGATTCGTCACAAATATTATTCCCTAAACAATGATTACCCATCAATCATCCAACCCTAATAACCGATCGGGGAAACAAAGTTAGGTGACAATAATATTCTCTATATGAACAATTGTTTTGAAATGACGATATGGCCAAGACAGTAGGTACCTTGAAGTTGATGGCTGACTTGTCCCCTGCTTGTATCCCTACATAAGATCAGTCATAACCATAAGAGAAGAATATAACAAGTGGTTTGAAATTGTTAACCTCGTAATTAGGTTTGTCTTAATTACTATCATTACATGAGCTTAATGTGATTACCTCCATCTTAAAAGCCCGCAACTCTGTAGGACCATTGGAGACTTCTGTGGTAAATTTTTGGAGATTGATTGGGTATCTTGGCCCTCAACTTATGTCAGAATCAAAATCGAGACTCAGGGCGAGATTCCGGATGAGGTTCCAGTTCATTTTGGGGATGAGTTGTTCATTGTAAAGGTTAGACCCACCCCCTTCCTTGATCCGGCGGTTGATGTCGGCGGGAATCCCTTTCGTTCCGGCTCGAAGGCGAACAGCCGTGGCATGCAAATACCATTTCCCAAGGACGCGCGTGATGAGTCAGTGCCATGCGCATTGACACCTTTTGAGGACAACCCTGATTTGATTTCGGCCGGGGAAGCCGAATCGCCAACCCGTTCTAGAAAGGCTAGGAAGAAGGGCAAAAAGTCCAGGTCCTTTTCTGTTTGGGTTCGCAAAGCCGGGCCCATTCCAAATCCCTTCGTCACTTGCAGGCCTGATCTAGAACCCCCTTTCAGCCCTCAAAGCCAAAACTGGACCAGCGAGCCCATCGCATCGTCTTCGCAGCCCAAAACCGACTTGGTGTCTCCCTTATCCCATCTCCTAACCTTGACCCCTTCCTTTTCTCCTGATGCGTCCCACCAGCTTCTCGTCCTGCTTTCCCGATCAATATCGCCATCCCATCGAGTTCCAACCTTCCTTTCCACTTTAATTTCGCCAAACCTTGTAACCTTGACATTCTTTGCGCAACCCATTTGTTCGACTCTCATTGTATCGCCCTTTGATACACCACCTTCCTTTGATTCACCCACCTCTCCTTTAGAACTCCCCAATGTTCTGTTTCCCCAATTAACCACCATAGAATCTCCTAACTCCCAAGACTCCTCCAACTCCCCATCCCCGCCCGATTTCCCATCATATTTTGAGCCTGATAGCTATACTTCCAATCCTATTAATCCAGATGAGCGTGTTGAGTTCGATCCGGGCAAGTCACCCTTTGATCGTGATAGTCTCTCCAGTCGAAGTCTTCAGATGTGCAACGTGTTCGAGTTGGAGATTGATGGTAATAGCTTCGGCGACGTGGTTGCCCATGTGCATAAGAGTGTCGTTCTCACTCATGAGAGAAAAAAAAGGGTTCCTCGTTCAAAAGCAGAGATGGAGAAATATCGAATTGGTCCGGTGGTCAGCTATGTTGAAGGTCATAGAAGTAGGAAGAAGAGAGGTTTGGAAACACCTGCACCCTCATCATAATGGTGAAGTCGATTATTGCTTGGAACGTCAGGGGTCTTGGGTGTGAACAGAAAAGAGCAAGGATTAAGGGGATACTACGAAGAAGGAAGCCGCAGGTAGTGGGTCTTACTGAAACAAAATGGAATACGTGTGATCAAGCTCTTGTGAATTCGGTATGTGGTAGTAGAGATTCAGAATGGATTGCGAAAAATGCCATTGGCAGTAAGGGAGGCATTGTGATTTATTGGGATGGGTCATTTTTTAGAAAGCTTGACGAGCAGGAAGGTGATTTCTGGATGATGGTGCAGTTGGAAGACATTCAAGATAGGCAAGTGATCAGCTTCTTAATCGTCTATGGACCACAAGATAGAAGGGAGAAAGAAAGATTCATTGCTGAACTTAGGCATAAATGTCATAATATTTCTACCCCTCTGTGTGTTATAGGCGACTTTAATCTGGTTCGATCTCATGAAGATTATATAGGAGCTCCTCGAAGTGTTGAACTAATGGAAGATTTTAATTCGTTCATTGTTGAGTCAGATCTTATTGACCTCCCCATGGTAGGAGCATCTTTTACCTGGAGCAGAGGTGGTTCTTCTCCCTCAATGTCGAGAATAGATCGTTGCTTGATCTGTACTCAGTTAGATTCCTTACTTCAGAACTGCAGGCTTGTCGCTCTGGACAGGGTGATTTCGGATCATAACCCCTTGCAGCTCCTATGGGGCGAGGATGAGAGGATTCACAGGCCGTGGAAATTTGAAAACATGTGGCTCCTTGACATGTCTTTCAATGAGCATATGGAAGGTTGGTGGAATGCTCAACCTGCCGGTAGCGGGGATCTTTTCCTGGTAGGGTAGAAGTTTAAACACTTGAAAGGTTGCATCAAGGCTTGGAATAGAGATGAGTTTGGGAAGGTGGAAGTGAGGATTGCCGAAATCCTTGAGAAGATTAAAGACATAGATAGGAAGGAAGAGGATTTTGGTATCACCGAGGAAGAAATCCTTGCGAGGAGCAACCTCAAATGCAATTTGGATCAGGTTCTGATTATGGAAGAGATATCCTGGCGTCAAAAGTCCAAGGAGTTCTGGTTGAAGGTTGGCGACAAAAATACTAATTATTTTCACAAAGTCTCCAACTATAATAGGAGAAGAAATCTGGTCTCAAATATCAAAGTTAATGGCACGGTGGTTGAAGGACGTGAGGAGCTGAAAGGAGCTTTCGTTAGTCATTTCATCAATGCCTTTAAGGAAGACAGCCCAAAGCGCCCTTTCCCTGCCCAGTATGGATGTTACAAGGTCACTGATGAAGAGGGCGAAATGCTCTCTAGACCTTTTACGGAAGATGAAGTCTGGAATGTGATCAGGAGATGCAGAGGGGACAAGGCACCCGGTCCTGATGGGTTTTCTTTCGCCTTCTTCAAGAAACAGTGGGGGGTGATTAAAGATGATATCATGAAGGCCTTCAACGAATTTCACTCTAATGGAAACCTTCCCAGGTGCATTGCTCACTCTTTTGTATGTCTTATACCTAAGAAAGAAGCTGTTGAAGAAATCAAAGACTTTCGGCCTATCAGCCTCCTTGGTAGTATCAACAAACTGCTGTCCAAGACTATAACAGATCGAGTTAGACCGATCATGAGGAAGGCCATTTCTGGGAATCAGTTTGGAGGACTAAAAGGCAGACAAATCCACGAAGCTTCCTTAATAGCTAACGAACTGATTGATAGTAGAAGAAAAAGCGGCAAACCGGGCTTGGTCTTTAAGCTAGACATTGAGAAGGCTTTCGATAATGTGAATTGGAATTGTCTCTTCAAGATTTTTGACAGCTTTTGTTTCCCTTCAAAGACCAAGTTATGGATCAAAGGGCTGGTTACTTCCCCGATACTTTCGGTTCTTGTCAATGGGGAAGCTGCCGGGTTCTTTAAAATGCAGAAAGGTCTTCGCCAAGGCGACCCCTTGTCCCCTTTCCTCTTCCTCCTTGTTATGGATGTTTTGTCGGCTATGCTCGAGACACTTAGGGGTGAAGGCTGGCTTGCTGGTTTCTTTATGGATGAATCCAACTCGAGAGGTGAAGTAACTCATCTTCTGTACGCCGACGACACCATTATCTTTTGTGATGCTAATGAAGATCAAGTTTTGAATTTATTATCAACCTTGGTGTGTTTTTAAGCTGTCACTGGGTTGAGGATTAATGTCGAGAAGAGCAAGATGTTCCCTGTGGGTGATGTACAGAATCCTGAGACTCTTGCCGGAATTTTTGGGTGCGGCTGGAGCTACCTTCCAACCATCTACCTTGGCCTTCCCCTCGGTGCAAGCTCAAACTCATCGGCCATCTGGAACAATATTATGCTGAGATTTCAGTCAAGGCTTGATGGCTGGAGAAGTAAATTCTTATCCTTGGGCGGGCGCATCATCCTTTGTAAGAGCAGCATGTCGAGTCAGCCTTTGTATCAGTTCTCCTTAGTGAGAGCTCCCAAAACAGTCATTCACAAGATGGAGAAGATGCAGCGTAATTTTATTTGGTCGGGCACACAAGATAAGAGTAAGTTTCATTTAGTGCGTTGGAATATTTGTAAGGCATCAAAGGAGCGAGGTGGCCTTGGGGTGCTGGATCTCAATTGTATGAATTCTGCTCTTCTCGCAAAATGGTTTTGGAAATACGCGATGGAACCCACTTCGTGGTGGCGACAACTCATCAAGCTTAAATTCCCAAACCCATCATCTACCTGGAGAGCAGGATCAAGTGGGGGGCCCTTGGGCTGCTCGATGTGGAAGCAAATTATGAAGGAGGAAGCCTTATTTTGGAACTTCGCGTATGTCACTCCCGGGGGCGGAGCTTGGGTTTCATTCTGGAAAGACTGCTGGTTGCCGGGATTGATCTTGAAGGATGCTTACCCCAGAGTTGTTGCTGCCTCGTCGGTTCCAGAAGCTTGGGTGTCAGAATTAATATCCTTTGAAAATGAGAGTGTGGGGTGGGATTTGCATCTATCCTTGTCCTTGAGGGGTGGGGCTGAGAGAGAGAGGCTTGATTTGATTCAGAAATTGTTACTTTTACCCCCTGATTTGATCTCTGCAGGTCCTGCAAAGCTTATATGGAAACCAAGTATGAGCGGAGACTTCTCGGTGAAATCTATGTACACCGTATTCAGTCATGATAGACTTCCTGGTATCGTTGACTTCCCTCACAAAGTGGTGTGGGATTCCTTTGCTCCAACGAAGGTTAAAGCATTCCTTTGGCTTCTTAAGCATGGTCGAGTTCTCACCCACGAAAATCTGAAAAAAAGAGGATTGAGCCTTGCGAGCATGTGTATTATGTGCAAAGAGGCCGAGGAAAACATCAATCATCTCTTCTGGCTTTGTCCCTTCAGCAATAAAATATGGAATACTATTCAGCAGATGGTAGAGATCGTTGGGCCTTTTCCTGCTCATGTGGATGCTGTCATCGCTGGCTGGAATGTTGGAAGTCAGCTACCTTGGAAGAGTGGGTTCGTTCGGGGGCTCCTACATGCATACACATGGGAAATTTGGAAGGAGAGGAACTCCAGAATCTTTCAAGACAAGTCTGTGCAATGGCAAGTTATTTTCCATAAGATTTGCAGGTCTCTCCTCAACTGGGTTTTGGTAACTGGCACTCTGAATGAGGTTCATCGTGAGGAATGGTTGTCGTTGATGCAGTACGTTTGCCCTCTCCAAAGCTTGAGGATTGTTTCACAGTCTACTGTTTCGGGCTGACTTTGGGCTCCCTGTACTTGGTTCGTTTCCTTTTTTCTGGTTCCATTGTGTTGTTGCTGGCTTTTCGTCCGTTCTACCGGGTTGAGGCCTTTTCGGCGTCTTCTGTCTCTCGTCTTCCTTCCTGCAGGGGCGGTCTGGTCCGCCTTGTAGGCTTTGCCTTTCTTCTGGGCTGGGTTTTCTTTTACTATTGTTTTACTCGCTGGAACTATGTTTTTGGGGATCAATTCTCTTGATCCTTGTCTGCTTTAATAAAATCCATCACACTTATCAAAAAAAAAAAATTCCAGCATAAGACTCCCCGGAGATGTAAAATGGGTTGCGTTGGTATTCCGGATACGATTCAAACCACTGCAAACATTGCTAGATTAGTACCACTGATGGATGAATAAGAACCAAAGTGAATTCAACGCCAATCACTTCGAATATATCTAATTTGAAATCTACTGTTATTTGTTACCTTGAGAAGGAAGTTGTGTGTATCGATGGCGATCTTACGGTCGTTGGTAACGTAATTTGACATGTTTGGAGAGTAAGAAAGACCGACTCCACAAGGGGAATCCAAAAATAGATAATATTCAAGACCTGCAACAATAATGTGCATCATTATGGTTATTCTAGTGAAAGTTTTTAGTTCTAAACATGTCATTTTGTGTGCACAACAAGATATAGGTGAAATGTAAGAGCATATGATCATAACCTTGGACCAGCTGTATTGGATTGAGATGCATCTTTAGAAGACTTCCCTTGGGCCCTTGCTCAAAGTTGAATGGGCCTACATGATGAAGTGATTACCTTCTTATTCAATCATATAGTTGAAATGGTGAATATAAAATTAGATTAGATTTATAATGTACTTTTTCAGAAACATAAAATTATTCACGCAATTAATTGAGGTTTGGAGCCCATCACAAAAATCAAAACGGGACAAACTTATGAATAAGGGTAATGACTAATGAGAATGCCTAAAAAGTTTTTTTTTTTTTTCTCTCTTGGAGAGTATAGGGTATAAAAAGGGGGAAAGATACTACTATTTAGGGTTCCCCACCTAAAGTAAAAGTGAACAAAAACAAATAGATAAAAACATACAATAGGCCAAGTTTGCAGAAAACGATCCCACCACAAGAAACCAATAACGCCAAAATCCTGACAATTAAGCCCATGCCCCGCCGGCAATGACTCCGCCGGTGGGCAAGCTCACAAGCCTCTCCTTTGCAAAAACTATAGTCCGACAATATTCCTCAGTTACTAACACGGATTACGAATTTTACTATCGAATTGCTACGATGAACAATCATCACGTATTGATATCGTTATCATCACGTATTGATATCGTTAGATTGTTACGTGGTATGTTCTCAGCATATTTTTTTATTAGGCCATTAGTATATATATCCAATAATTGGTAAAACCCCGAATAAGTTGTTTCGAACTGAAGAAAAGAACTAATTACTTACCATGTTCATAAACGAAACCGTCGAAACTGGAGCAGCCAGGGCCGCCGTTGAGCCACAACACGACGGGGTCTTCCGCCGGGTTCCTTTCCGACGAGATGAAGTAGTAGAACAGATGCTTCTCCTTCTCCATGTCAAGTGGCCCAAATATGCCACCGTCATCCACATCCGTTAAGGCCCACTAGTAGAGGTGGCAATTTCAATCCAATCCACCAATTCAATCCATCAATCCATTAAAAATATCCACCTAATCCAATCCATTTAAATCCAATCCATTTAATCCAAATCCAATTGGATTGGTGGATTCATGGATTGGATCCATGGATCATTGGCAAATTACGGTTTAGTACCTATAATTTTTATTTTTTACATTTTGGTACCTAAAATTTAATTTTTATACGAAAAATATCATTGGAAAATTACGTTTTGGTACCTAAAATTTTTCATTATGACATTTTAGTACCTAAACTTTTTATATTTTACATATTGGTCCTTGGTTGAGGATGTCATTTGGATTCATGGATAATCCACAAATCCACTTGATCCAATCCATGAATCCACCAATCCATTAGATCCAATCCATTTGATCCATGGATCCATCAATCCACCAATCCAATCCATTTGCCACCGCTACCCACTAGACAGATCTGGAACCACCTTGGATCGATGAAAGGCCAACAACCGCTAGAGCATAAGCCTCGATCGCCTCGAATTAGATAGACAATTTTGATCTGATTTAAGCTGTGCTATCCGATTTTTTTGAACCTGTTTTGTGCCGGTTATACTCGTCTTGCAGATGAGGCGTGGCGGAATGTCAAATATGTCAAAATAAAAAACGAGAATTAATTCAAACTATTGTATGTGCATGTGTAATCAAGCCAGTTCGAATTGGACGATATTAAAAAAAAACTATGACCTCATTCACTGGTTCTACCAGATATTCTATTAAATTTGAGGCGGCCGCCGCGGAGGAGGAAGAAGCGGAAGCGGCGTTGTCAAGTTGATTCAGGCGTGCCTGCTAGCTGCCTCCCTCGTTTCTCTCTCAATTTCTCGCATTATCATTTGGCCGTGGAGGACACGCCTCATGACAATTGCATGCACAGTTATCATTAATTATTCTCAAATTAAGACGGTACGGTCCTTCCCCATGCAACCTCGAAACAAACAAATGGTCATGATTAATCTGTGAATAATACCACAGCGTAATCTCGACACAGTACTCAACCAAAAGCTCTAATTAGCCTTTCTTACACGCAAATACGTACCCAGAACTAAACGTCAAACAGAAGGAACCTAAAACGCTTTGAAACTAAGGGTCGTTTGGAAGTTGCGTATGTTAAATCTTTGTATTGTTATGAATCACTATGATATAAATGCATGTATTGATACAATAGATGTATTTTGAAATTACATTGTTTGGTTGTTAAGATTATAATTTATGAATTGATTGTTATAAAGTTACTTTATAAGAAAATGCCATATTTGTCCTCCACTTTTAATATAAAACAAAAAGAACCGTGGACATAATTGGAAAAAGTAAAGGTGCTCAATTATTAAACCAACAATCACAACAATCTCAACTTTGAGTTGAGATTGTACAATCCCTCATTTTTGTTGATTGTCGGTGGGACCCACACAAAACAATACATGCATTGTTTTGCAACTTGACACTTCCAAACGTTGTATTGTGAATAATACATGTATTTAACAAATACAACACTAACAATCGCAACTTCCAAACGAACCCTAAGAGACTGAGACTCGACTTGGACGCACATGACACAAAACAGAACTAAGAGACGACAAACATGAAAAACGAACCAACTAGACACTAAACAAAACCCCACACCAAACAAAACCCCCGCTTCTTGACTCCATGCTTTCCCCGCATCCTTCAAAATCGAACTTTGCTCACATCAATCAATTCACTGTAGGTCGATCTTCCACAGCTGATTGTCTCCTTCGTTCCAATCCCACAGCACGATGGTGTTTCCATCGTGGACCCCGCCGAGCTCCTCGATGCAGCGGAAAGCTTCCACATTCATGCGAATGTTCTTCGCCATCCTCATGGCTCGATACCCACCACCTTCGTCCCTGCCTAGGCTCCACATCACCGAGTGGTCGTCAACAACGTCATCGGGCTTGTTATTATAGGGTACCAGCTGCACCGGGTTTGTGTACCCACTCATCGCCTGAGACGTTGCCTGGTTGACCAAAGCAAAGCAAGGATACCCTTGCTCGTCTTTCATGCCATTATTCCCGTGCTCCTCGTCCTTGAACCAGTTCTGGCAGGGATCGCTAGGATCGGATGGAGCAAGCACCAGCTTGCCGTCACGAACGGTGAGGTGGAAGTCAGGATTGGCCTTGCAGTAAACCTTGGAAGTAGGCTTGCTGGCGAGATAGGCTTGGGTTGTTGTTTCCTCTTGGTGGGTCTTCGGCGGTGGCGGTGGCGGCGCTGAGGGAGGAGCCGGGTAATGATGAACCACTGCGAACTCGTTCTGACTGCCGAAAGGAGCGGGCTGCTGCTGCGGCGGCGGGTATACATTACCTGATAGCCGTTCGTCGTCGCTGTTGTAGTAGTGGTGGTGGTGGTGGTGGTAATGGTGGTGGACGTGGTGGTGGTTGGGGCCGCCGGGGAACTCCATCGCTTTAGAAATTTGGAGAAGGGGTGAGAGGTGAATGTGGGGAAGAAAGGTTGGCAGTGGAAGCGGTCGAGGGAAGTCCCAGCCCTAGCTGTGGTAGTCTCCATTTTATAGTCCGATCCGTCCAACCAAAAGAAACAAAAATTGAGTGAGTCACTCGATTTATTGATATTTTATATATTGGGTTAATAATATTTTATACTTTCTATCATCGCAAAATTAATTATAAACGTAACTTCTGCTAAATTTTTGCACGATATTAACCCTTAATGAAACTGTCATATACTCATATTAGTGAATTGTATAATAGTTTTATTTTTCTGAATCTTTTTCTTAAATATTATATTCATATACACTTAAACATAAAATAATAGGTGAGTCTCATGTGTAGAATTTTGAATTTTCTCGCTGCGGTCGAGAAAATTCATGCCCTTCAAAATAAATTTGCAATCTACGCAAAGAATAGTTTCTGCCTGGTATGTTCCCAAAGTAAAAAATTGTTGTGGACTGTGTCACGTAAAATAAAATAAAATTAAAGGATTTGAATAACCAACATATCCGACAATGAAACAATATTTAAGTGAAGATATTGACGATGATAAACGTGAAAAAGAAATCAATAATCTAAACCACGTGTAATTTAATTAGCCGATAATTAAATTTGAGCGCTTTACCAACCCAATCGAGTTGGATTCTGACACGATATCCGTATTTACGAGTAGTGTTTCTGCATCGGAGTAGGAAGAAGCGGAACCGACGTCGTTGGCAAGTTGATTGTTCGCGTGCCTGCTGCTGCTGCCTCCCTCTCCTTTCTCCATCAAATCTCGCATTACCATTGGTCTTGAACGACACGCCTCGTGACCATTGCATGCATATATAGTCATCGTTATTCTCAAACACGGTCCTTCCCCATGCAAACCTCGAACACAACAAAAATGTCATAATCTCTGATACGGATACCACAGCATGCATAATCTTCACACGTGTAATCCAGGCTTTCATGCACACGCAAAAATCAAATATCCAGAACCAAAAAGGAGGGAAACCGAAATCCGCTGCAGGTTAATTATATTGAATGCAAAAGTTGAGATTAAATACAAAACTAACAAATGTGGTCTCAAAACAGAACCAAATGACCACAAACATAAACGACCAGGGTTATCATATAATAATATTCACTGCGGGACGATCTTCCACTGCTGGTTTCTCCCTTGGTTCCACTGCCACAGAACGATGGTGGTTCCATCGCGGACCCCGCCGCACTCCTTGTTGCCACGGCATGCATCGACGTTCAGATGAATGTCGCTGGCCATCCTCATCGCCCGGAAACCACCGCCCTCGTCCCTGCCCAGGCTCCAGAGCACCGACTGGTCAACCACATCTGACTCATTGTAAGCTACCAGCTGGACACGGCTGGTGTCTCCAGAATGCTTCAAGGCCAGACCAGTGGCCTTGTTGACCAGAGAAAAGCAAGGATACCCTTGCTCGTCTTTCACCCTGGCGCTGTGCTTGTCGTCCTTGAACCAGTTCTGGCAAGGGTCGTTGGGGTCGGCACGAGCGAGCACCACCTCGCCGTCTCGAATGGCGAGGTGGAAATTAGGGTTGGCCTTGCAGTAAACCTTGTATGAAGGCTTGCTGCTGAGATCGTGGAATGTCTCCCCGCCGTGGGGGTGAAGAAGCGGCGGCGCCGAGGGAGGAGCCGGGTAATGCCCGAACTCATGACCGTAATTAGAAGCGGGCTGCGGCGGGTAGTAGTAGTAGTGGTGGTGGTAATGGTGGTGGTGGTGGCGGCAAGAAGGGGACGTCATCGCTACCTTTTTTCTTAAGGAAAACTTCATCGCTGAGAAAATTGAGAAGTTGAGAGAGGTGAATTTGGGAAGAAAGATTGGCAGTCGAAGCGGTCGGGGGAAAGTGCCAGCCCTAGCTTTGGTAGTCTCCATTTTATAGTCTCTCGAGTCTCGAATATATGGTTTTTTTTTATAGCATTCATTAGTCACTTGTTTTAATTCTCACTTAGCCGTTGATTCACACGATCATGCCAAATAACCGGACCAACAATTTATTGCTTCAGATGTGATTCTTGACATGTTTCACACATAACTTCTACTGGGTGGGAGTCTAATTTCACTAAACCAGCATTGAGTTCGAGTCTCATATATCTTAAGCAAATTTTTTCTTCTTTATATTATACCTCCAACCTCACCCTTCAAACTCTAGTCAGCCAACTATCTCCTCATTTTACGAGCCACGTCGCCATACTCCCTCCCTCTCTAAACTTCTTCCTCTCGAGAGGAAGGTCGACTACCACTCGCTGAGTTCAACATGAGCAATGCAGCAACACGTGAGATGATCGAGAAGCGTGATGAATTTGCTAATCAGATATCGAATGATATTCATGCATGTTTAGTATTTTTCTTGTAAGGAACATGATTGATGGTAAGTATGTTAACTTTTGAGGCTTTGCTTAATATCGAAAGCATCTCTCTTTTATGGATTAATTTAGCTTTTATAGTAGTAACTAAACGAATTTTTGTTTCTTGTTGTAAATTTTCATGATTTTTCAGATATATCGACTAAACATATTTGTCTATTTATTTTCTTGCTGTGGTTGTATATCTGTTTACACAACACCATTCCAACCACAACAACAACAAAAATGATACTAAACGAGGCCTTTGATGTTTTAAATTTGCTTAGTAGTAGTGCACTCATGGTTTAGTATGCACAAGGAGTTTGCAGTTACTTACAATATTTTTGTTATTAAGTACTGGTTCATTAACAAATTTTTAACGGTCTAATACCGATAGAGTTAGTAAAGTTTGAACCATTCATTATACATGTTCATTCTGATTCGGGTATGACGCGATTACGCGATTAGATGGTTCCCGCTCCGGTCAAGAAAATTCAAGCTCTTCAAGTTTACAATCTCCAAAGGAATAGTTCCGCCTAATTTGTTCCCATCTCAGCCAGTAAAAAAATATTATTTATTATCATTTTAATTTATACGACATACACTTAACGATGAGAAAATCATCGTTGACTGCCACATAAATTAAAATTAAAAGAATAAAATAGCCTATATTATAATCAACAATGAACCTATAATTAAAATGAGTGACTAAATACTAATGAGAAGAGAAAATATTTGCCCTAAGTAATCATCTAAACGACATGTAATTTAGCCGGCAACAAAAGTGCTTAGGGCCAGCAATGGGCCCGGCACTTATCCGAAAACCCAAGGCCCAGACAAGCCCAAAACCCCAAGAGATTATCGTCGTCGTCGACAGAAAATCGTGAGGAAGAGGATATTATTTGGAAAAGATCCATCCGTTTGAAAACACACCACCACCACACATGGTTTCAGAACTCGTAATGGAAAGAGATGACTACTGCTGCTGCCCCAGTCCCATCCCCCGCCGTCGCCGTTCACCACCGCCTCTCTCCCCACCAACACCGCCGTACCAGCACCACCATCCGCACTTCCTCCGTCGCAGCCTTCACCTCTTCCCGCGCAATCTCCCGGAGTAGGCTGAGAGGTAACTTAAAACTTTCTTCCTTCCATTTCCAGCGATCTCTCTCAAATTTACTTCCGATTCACCAAGATGCACGCAAATTGCAGTTAGCAATGGCGATTCTTCACCGGAAAGTGTCGCCGCCTCCGGTGAAGGGACGTCGGAGGCGGACAGGATCGTTGACGGGATGGATTTCGGGGAGCTGTGCAACGAGTTCGAATGCATAAGTAGTCCCCAGGTGGAATCCACGGCCAGACAGCTCGCCCGTGACATCTTTCAGCTCCGCCAGGGCAACCGTGCCCTTGGAACCTTTGCCGTCTCAGTCTCATACAAGGTAAAAATTCAATCAAATCCCTAGAAATAATCTGGAATTCCCGCCAACGCGTCTCTTCACCAATCGGGGCTTTTTCTTAGTGGATTTCAGGACCCAGTCAGAAGTTTCACTGGTCGAGACAAGTACAAGAGGCCTCTCTGGTTCACTGATGCCCTCCAAAACCCTACCCCGGTGAGTGTTGGTTCCAAGCTCGTATTGAAGATTAGTTCCATACTAGTCTGATACTAGTAGTTCCCCTGATTCTTAACGAGTATGTCATGTCCCAAGTAGCTATTAATGGTAGTTCCCCTGATTCTTAATGAATATGTCCCATGTATGGCTCTTCGGTTATACGGTCAAACATTTCGTTACAAATTTGTCGAATGTAGGATCCAACATTGCATAGTATGTCGAAGATAACTCGTATCTCGTTGTACTGATAGCATCTTGTTTGCAATTGATCCATCATTTGGGACTCATTTGGTCATGGAGCTAGACAAATTTTCAGCATAACTGACATGCCACTTTAGGGAGTGTTCACTGAGTCTGGTGAAAATATGTGTAGCTGAAATGATGCACTGCCCCATCCTCTCTCGATCTCTCTCCCTCCCCTTTTAATTGAATCGATGGCGCTGCTGTTTTTGGTTATGCAGAGCGTACAAGAAATGGTGATGCTGTCGACCAGCTTGCTGAGGATCAGGTGGACAGTCAGAGGGAAGCCGAAAGCTTTTGCCGGTGCTTTGTTTGCAGGAGAGCTGATCATCAAAGTCAACTCTGAGTTCACTCTGAACCAGATTAGTGGACAGGTAATCGAGCACCGAGAGTCCTGGGACCTATCAGCTTCATCCCCTCCTGGCCAGGCATTCTTCTGGGCGTCTCGTCGCCTTTTTGCCACCGTCGAAGCTGGCAAAGACTTGGGTGTTCTGTTCAAGGATCTGGGCAGCCGCATTTCAACCCAGAAGGATAGCTCTGACGATATTTATCCCGACCCCTCTGGTGATCCTACCAAAGTGAGAGATCTTCCAATTCTCATCCATTTTGCTAGTCTGTTATTGCAATTTTTGTTTGACCCTTTTGACTGTTTTGTATTCATTGGTTTGTTATTGTTCTCTGCAGTTCTTTCAAACGGACGATAGCTTTCAACGAGACGCATACCAGATCGCTCTGTTTCTAGCCGTTGTCTACCTGGTTTTCCAGTTCCTGAAGATAACCTTGTAAATTGTAATGCACGTAGAAAGCATATATTGATACTCTTGCTCCCCATGGTGCAAAATACTCTGGTGGTAAGCAGCATTGTGACTGTTTGCGTTTGCAATCCAAAAATTACCAAAATACTTTTCAATATTACATCTCAATCCTCTAACTGCTGACATGATTTTACTAGCCGAGAGTCGTTTCTATTCATTCGTGCTCGAATATGTGTTCATCTTCACCGAAACTTTCGCTCCTGACATGATCTATCATGTGGGGTTGCGAACGTCTTGAACAATCCTACTAAATAAGATAGGCTACGTACAGACTACAGTCAAGACAGTTACCAACAGGGATTGAGTGGTTCTTATCAGCTAAGAAATCTGCTGCATGATTTTGCTCTCCAAAGATATGCACCACTTTTTTCATTAGCCACTAAAGTGCGATTCAGGTTCGATCAAATAGTAAAAAAAAATACTTAACTTTGCTTTACATTACTCGAACAAATTACCATCGGTTCTGCAAAGAATCATAGGGGGAAAAGAACCTACCTCCAAAAGAGATGATTTTGAAATAAACAGCAACTTGGAAGAAAATAACAAAACGAGTAAGTTCTGTTTTGTTGGGGATCCTGCTGTATGATTTTACTTCTTTCTATACCAACAAAACCACACATCTCTTCAATGGATTCCTTCCTTTTTTCTCTCTTTCATGGTACAACAAAAACCAAAACCAAAGAATGCAGCTGTACCGTGCCCTCTTTCTCTTCCAGTAACTATTAGGATTCTCATCATACAAATCTATGCAAGACGGCTGATAGTAGCAAAAACAAAAATGTCAGCTGTCTTACTGGGTTCGTCAATCGGGGAGCTGGCGAGATATCCTTCGCGCTGACTTCATAGGCTGCTCCTGTCTTCTCGTCCTTGATTTTGATACTCGAAGAGCCTAAACATAGCAAGGACATATTTTCGGAACAGTTGGTTTCCATGAGGACAGTGGGAAATGGTTTCTTGAAGATCATGCATCAAAACACAACACAAGAGTTTGACTACACTCACAGTTGTAGTCTGTCCATCCAAGCACTTGGTTTTCAAGATCGTACACGACTACCTTGTTGGAGAGCACCAGATCTGCCATTGAGAGATATGACGGGGGAGTTGTCAGGGAAAAAGGATGGTATCGATAATTCCATTGGCTCCCAGACAAGAGACTACTTCTGAAGATGGGTTTCTAATATTGAATTCTGATTTATATGGCTAGCTATGTTCACAGGATGACCACTAAAAGCATGGATTTTGGATCATTTAATATCGCTGTCAATCTTACATTTATCGGATGATGGGATTGTATACCAGAATAGAGCCAACACTAAGATGAGATAGTCAAATGGGCATACCTCCTAACAGGAACATATCCTGGCCGTCTTTGGACTGTTGCCCGCTATCCTGCCACCCAAAGCACCACACGTTTTCCTACAGAATCGAACAAGGTACATTGTATGTATTAAACATCTAATGTGTTAAAGTGACTTGCTTTTATGGTTTCCACAACGGGATACACCTATTGCTGCCACACATCTGATTTTACAAAAGCTGGCTTACAAGTCAACAAAAGCATACCATTTCAACTATTGTAAAAATTAAGCATTGCCTTTGAAATTGTAACCAGGCGAAGTCTCAACAAAAGAATTTATCATCGACAGTGATCAACTTACACGAATTGCAAAGAGATAATCATGAGGATGCACTGCCAGATTGAGGTCATCTTCAAAATGTAGCTTCACCACAGGAAATCCATCATCGACTCTGCAAAAGGAAACTGAGAAGCCTGAGCAATATCTAATAGTAAATGCGAGATTTTACGGATATTTATGCATATTCGGAGGGGGAGATGCTAGATTATAATTTTGACCGAAATCCATGACACCACGAGAAACTAGGTTACAGAAGTTGAGAAGTAATAGCACTGTCGAGACAATAAATTATCCTGAAATGGCTTAACCACACGGAAACAACTAACACAAAGGCATTATTTTATGAGAGTATATGGCACTTAGCACCTTACTTTCCATTGTACTCAAAGCAAGTGAACTGCTCTTCAACAATGTGCGTCTTCAGTCCAGGCTGTCGAGCCATTATCTGACTCGCAATATAAAAGGAAAAGAAAACAAATTTGGGTGAGGCAGAATCAAGGTAATAAGCAGACTTTCAATCAGGAATTTTAGATAATAAAGTACCTTTGCCATCATTGGTTCAAAAACGATAGTCGGAACATATGCCAATGTTGTGCCACTGTCAATTATAGTTCCTTTCCTATCTCCAGTGTCAAAGATATCTGTTGGAAGGTCTAGCATTTCATTGCCCACTTCAACGTCCTTCAAACCCACATTGTAATGCGGCCTGCCAAAGGTTAGCAACAAATACAACTGTGAAGGGGGCAGTACAGAAGAAAAGGCAAACAGAGCATGGGCAACTTTGTTCCATTGGTACTTAGCACAACAATATAATTTATATAAGAAAACAACCTGTTGTATAGGATACTTTTCACCCTTTTCTTCCTTTCATTTTATTGTTTCTATCTAATCCTTCAGATTGCAAATATGGAACCAGAACTGGACTCACAATAGAAGGCTTACTTAAGGGGTATATATTATGGACAACATGGAGTGCAAACTGAAGACATGAACCGTCACATACTGGTTGGGTATTATGGGAGTTGTAGGAACTTTTGGTGAGACCACTTGACCAATTGCAAAAATGCCACCTCCTTTTACACTGTCCAGGCAATGTGAAAACACCTTCTTGACTTTTCCAGCAGCAGCAAGCTGAGAAAACACGGAAGAGTTTGCCTGTCCAAACCCAATTATCCCATCAAGCGCTTCACTAGATGTACCCAATTGACCAGATTGTTGCGATCCACACCTGGTCCAGATGCAAAAGGGAAAGGAAAAAACCACTTAACTGAGGTTCTAGGCAATGGAAGAAGAATTTGAATGCACAAAAAAGGCCTCACCACAGAAACAAATCAATTCATAGATATAAAAACAAGAACATCTTCAGACAATCATCAAACACATTGTCACCATATAATATCAGGATGGGCATTTTACTAGCAGAGAAAGGAAAAGGTAGTAACCTAGCAACAAATTTACCTTACCCGTTTTCTTATACCGTAAACCTGTAACAGCAGTGACTTATGCTCTCTTCATAGGACGATACCTAACGGACTTTCGAATTAAACAATGAGAAACACAGTCACATCACATGTCCTATTTTCAACATTTAAAGCTTGTTGTCATGATATGTAAGATAGTAAAAAGACTCATGTTGTAACAGCCACACATTACTGTTAATTTTAGAAGGTCACATGAGAGCACAGCACAATGATGCTTAGCCTATAGGGGATGGTACAGCTCATAAAGATATATGTCTGAACTGACTAGGGAATTTTCTCTGCCAACCTTCAAGAGTTCACAAGTTTATCCAGACATAGAGAAAGCACCATCCAAAAACCCCGTTTGAATCTGTCACTATTTGGCCCAAGGGAACCTTGGAAAATCTAACTGAGCAGGTTTCACAATACCAAGCAACAACAACACTTCTGTGATCTCATCATGTGGAAACCACATAACTACTAACATGTCGGTAGCAATGTAAAAATTAAATAGACTGTGTACGAAGAAATGAAAAATGACATTATATAGTGGAACTCACCCAAACACAACAGACCCATTCATGGTTCCAGTTTGAAGATTTCCAGTCACTTGATCAAGCTGCACATTGTCCTTGATATAAAATCCTGAAGTCTCACTCCCATCACCATATGTGATACTGTACTGACAGGGGAACTCTTTTTTACAGCCATCAATCATACGACCAAATGTGGCAATACAGAAGTCGTCGGCACAGGAAACCCTCGTTGCAGTAGAGGACTTGTCTGGTTCGAACAATGACAGCTTTACCTGTTGACAGAAAGAAAAAGTGAGACATCTGAAGTCACCATGTACACTTTCTAAAATGCTTCTCGCCTTATTTCCTAATTCAACAACACCAAAACTCAAGGACATAAAAAGAAAGACACCCTTCCTCTTTCAAAATCAAGAGAATGCCATGATGCCATACACATTTGCACATCCCATTCGAAAACTCCATACTTTCTGCAGCTTTCGGAAGAAAGAAAAAAATCTTTCACTCAATTCTCCAGTTTTCCAATTTTCACTTCCTAATCTAATTTACGGCTAAGCCTATTTAACCTTTGGAAGAACATCATTACCAATATCTCTCCAACCCCCAAGCAGATATAGTGGCTCAAAACACAACCAGGACGTTAGGGTGGAAGATTAATCTAACATGTTTGTCTACAAATTAACCTCTGCAATAAAGTTTTTGCACAAAAAACGCAGTTTCAAGAGCTGAAGACATACACCGAGATCGCTTTTTGTTGGACATTTCGTACAGCCTTGACAATTCACCCATAGAGTATCGCTTCCTGTGTCGACCTGCACGTAGAAGTCGTTTGGAGGCGTCCCGAGTCCAATTTTCGTGTAGTAGAGGCTGCATCAAAGGGTGAACAAACTTATTTGAGCTCCAAAATGCAGTATACATGGAACATATTAACGAATTGATTCCAAAGCATTATCAAATCCATCCCCCCAAAAAGTTCCTACATTCGGTTACTGTTGCATACAAATTGCCGAAAAACAACTACTTGAAGAAAGCAAATCCGAGAAAGATTCCAAATTTGCAAGCCAGAAATGTCCCCACACGAGTCAGAAATGTTGAAAAGAAACAGGATAACCCGTACAGAACAATGGAAGCGGATTGGTTGAAGGGTTCTCAAACAAAAACAAAAAAAATTGAGCGCGAAATCAACCATAATGTAACATCAGTAGGAGAATTGATCATGGAAACTTAAAGTAGACATGCTCGTACGAAAACCCACAAAACGAATCAACAATGGGATCCGTATTGTACAGGGAGTTCTCCCAACTAATCTGATCGATTGAATTTCTCAGCTTTATTTTCCTGACCACTTCCCCCAACGGCACGGCATTGAAGAAAAAAGTAGAAATGGGAAAGGAAACATACCCGGCCTCAACGGGAACGCCACTGCCACCGAGGGGAATCTCAACGGCGGCGAGGAAACGTCGGTGACGGTTGAGGTCATGGGCTCTGTAAGCGCTGAGCTGCCGCTCACGACCGGCGAACTTGTTGTGGACCTGGAAAACCAGGTTGGCAGAGGAGAAAGAGACGAAGAAGAACAACACAAATTGCAAGAAGAGCAGCCCCTTCAGATCCATCTCGGCCGTTAACTTGCCGTGCTCCTTGGGGAAGACAACAAAAGGAAAAAAAAGTACTTTTCTTTCGTTCACGTACTCTGCTCCCTTCGAATTAGAAACGAAAGCAAAAAAATTAGAGGCGGGGAGTCGTGGATATTAATAGCCTGCTTAATTTTGAAGAGAGGGTTGGGAATGGCGATTCACTATTCAGAGAGAAATAGTTTCAGAGCCCTCCGTTTTGGCCCTTCGGCGTAAATTGAAGAATGGAGATGGCGGAAGGCGAGGAAGGAGATTGGAGAAGGAAAAGCCAGGAATAGACCGACCCAACAGAAGACCGCATTTAGTTCGTTTCATTCCTTTTGGGAAGGGAGAATAGATAAAGTTAATTAATCATTAAGTATGAATTAGTCGTTTTAACGGCTGATTAGTGATGACACGTCTTAAGGATTCGAACCATGACCATTTTAAAGAAAGGCAAAGATCATAACCAATCACACTAAATACATTTGTTGTATCTTTTTAAATTAAAAACATATAATAGCAGGGTGGGAAAAACTCTTCCCATATTTCAAATTTCTTATTCCAGGAGCGTTTGTAGGAATGGTGGAATAGGGAGTGTCAATTTTTTTCTCTTTCCTCTGTGGAACGGGCCAACTTACCGTACACATGCGGATTTAAACGGGTCCAGGAGTGTCAATTTTTTTCTTTATACCCTTTTATTTCTCCGTGGTGATAAAATATATATGAAAAGGCAAAAATAATACTCCTTTTTATCATTAAAAATAAAAAATTTAACAATAAACTAATGCATGGTATCTAATGGGCTAACCGCTAACCATAAAACAAAAGAGTTGAATGAGCCTGACCTACATAGGATTTGGTCATCAAGTAAAACAAATGAACATCATTGGTTTGCCATTCTAAAACAAGCTATTTTCTCTGACATAATATATATTATGTTATTATTTTATATCTTAGTGGCTAAAATATAATGTATTTTAAAGTTATTCAATGGTTCAACCTCGACCAACCCAATTAGTCCAATTTTTATCATTTCAAATATATATTTTATAATTATTTGACATCATAATGATCAAATTATAGTGTATTTTATAGGGAATCGTTTGGTATTTGTTAGTAAAAAACTAAACATAAAGATCTATTTGGTTATTTTAAACATTAAAACGATCCTAAACATTTTCAGTTCCTTTTGAATTTATATGGTTTTATTCCCAAATAAGTGATGTGCAAATGGCGAATTGTAGTCGTCTCTTTTCTTTCACTATTTTTTATTTTCAAATAGAAAGTTTAAAAGTAAAGAATAATTAGAATTTGGCATGGGTCGGTCAAACAGGTTGAATTTCAAGTTTTGGCCTGTTTGTTTTATGCATTGCAAATTTATTAGCATGTTGATGGAAATGGCTTGGAAAAAAGACATATAAGTTGTACCTTTGTAGAAATGTCTTCAAATGTTTGAATGCTTTGTGAATCAGGTTCTGTGACTTTTGTGATGGTGTATGTGCTTGACGATTGCTCAATGTTGTAACTACTTAATTTGAGAGTAAATCTTTTGATTTTCCCTATGAGTTGTGATACCAGTTCTGGTGGTTGCAGCATGTTGTCGTTGTTGGCCTGTAAAAGTTGTTACGTCGTGATGCTAAATACCTTTCTTTCTTTTTTAACAAATTGTGTAGTAGTGCTATGAAACAGACCACCCATGAACGCTACGCTTATTATGGTCTGTTCTTACTTCTGGTGGTGAGAAATTGTGAATTGAGAATCATATTCGCCTACCGCACTATGTCTGGTTGGTGGCTACTTACTATGCTCTCTAGAGTTATGAAACAGACTACCCATGAACGTTACCCTTAAGAGTCCATAACTTTGCGAAAAACCAAATTTAGGCAATCAAAGGTGGTGGATGTTTGATGATTTTTTATGGCTTAATTGTTTGTGAATTGGATATCTGATCTTTGTATGATTAGAGGGGATGTTTGCTTAATAGAATAATCCATTTTAATTCATATTTATTTTTAACATGAACTTTAGTAACTCAAAACCTTCGAGACACATATCACCTACTGCATTGTATCATTTTGCCTGGGTACTTGCTGTGTTGTCAAACTTCTTTGCTGCTGCTGCATTTACACTAACAGGGGAGTTAAGAACCCATGAATGTTTCCGTTTGACACAAACAAGAGGACTTACTTCTAAATCGTGCACTAAAGATGATTGGAGGAAACATCTCTGTTGCAGTTGATACACTGGAGACCAGAACAAAAGCAACGTATAACATCAAAACCAACCATCTGAACTATTAGCATTGTTGCTTTACTCTTTTTTCGTGGTTGAGTATCCTTCAAAAAATTTAGTTTGATTTTAGAAAATTTTGCTTATGCAGTCCTGTCTTGCCTCCAACGCGTTCAATAGATGGAGATGGCAGAGGCGAATGCTATTTTTGTGTTGTTGCTGGTTTAGGGATCGGTTTGTGAAGAAGAGGGAGAAGAGAGGGGGAAAGGGAAATGCATGAGAGGGGGATAACTCTTTTCTCCGACAAAAATGGAGTGAAGAAAGGAATTATGATCAGTAAGGATATGGTTATCTTACATAACTGTGTCTATTCTGTTTGAATTGAGCTTGGGAGGTAGTGATAAGGACGAGCTGCAACCAATTCATAGTGATAAGAGTGCTATGAACTGTGATCATGTATTATTTCAAGTTAGAAGGTAGTTTCAGTATAAGGATTATTTAATTTGACAAGTTGTTTCGTCCATGATTTTTGGTAGTTTCAGTGCCATTCTAGCCATTGTTTAGTCTGTAATTTTTGAGAATTGATGTGCGAGTAATGACTTTCACTTAGCTTCAACTATTATGTGTGTATTTATTGGCATGTGATAGAATTCTCTTTTCCTTTTCTTTGATATCAGTTTCATACTCTAATTGTATCATTTGTACATAGGCAAATCATGCTCGAGATGACAACTCGCCGATATGGCTGGTGCAAGGAATGAAGCCATCATTAAAATTCGGACCGACAACTGGGAGGGATGCCTAGGACTAATTCAACGATGATTGATGATGGTATGATAAAAACTGCAGTCTGCATCAGCACCAAATTCTAGGACTAAGTAAAGTTATTCAACCCAGAACTCTGCTTAGCGCTAAAAATTGCCCTCACCCAACATTGATCATGTTTGACCCACTTCTGAAGAGTCAAGATATATTACTAATTCTCTCTGTTCGTATTTTCTTATTGACTCTTTCTGACCCTTTAGGTTGGGGCGGGTCGGGAAGAATCAGATTAGTGGGTCGGTCCTAATCAAGTGGAATCACAATCCCTTCACTCTCACTTGCTTTCTCTCCCATTCCACAAGTGGGTAACATACAGTAATCCGGCCAACGGGCCGGGTAATAAGCTAGTTTCTAGTAAACGCAGTAACCTTTCCGATTAAAACAAAATGATTAATCAAATAATAACCCTTGGAGTCTTGTTACGACTTTCTTGGCTCAAGATAGGGTGCATAACCATGGGTTATGCATCCATCAATAACCAAATCTGGACCCTTAATTTAGAAAATTTAGATCTAAGGATGGAGAATTAAAGATTATTTTTATTTTCTCTAGCTTTCTTAATCGGCTCATATCTTTTTCGTTTTAACTCGGATTGTTATTTTTTTTGCACAGGTGGAACGAGTTCATCGTGCTCTACAAAATGAGATCAATTTTCAATATTTTTTTAGAACAAAAAATTCTGGCGTCTCGGTACCAACTGCATACCATATGGTATTTTCTTCATTTTTAATTCGTTTTTGAAAACGTTTGCACAGAAGGGAAGAGTTCATCATGATCTATTGGATCTACAAATTTCTGGGTGAACAAATTACAGGACCAAAAAATACCACACAATACCATACAATACCATCCTGGTACGGGGTGGTATTGTATGGTATCTTCTTCGTTTTTAATTCGTTTTTGAAAATGTTTGCACAGAAGGGACGAGTTCATCATGATCTATTGGATCTACAAATTTATGGGTGAACAAATTACAGGACCAAAAAATACCATACATTACCACCCTGGTACGGGGTGGTTCTTGTTGTATACAATGTTAAAAGTCGTAAATGACAATTAATATATTTCTACTATCATGTATTCAACCATCCTACAGTCTTGGTTTGTTCATACTACCATGGTACTTTTTTCAAACCATAGGTATGCTTTTATTTCAATACCAGTCAATACCATATGGTATAGACTGGTAAAAAATTGCTCAATTTTTTTTGTTCGAAAAATATATTAAAGTGGATATTATTTTGAAGAGCACAATTAATCTGATCTAACTGTGCAAAAAAAATTAAATTTCGACTTAAAATGAGTGAGAAATCGTCTGTCAAAAATTAAAGAGGGGAAAATTAAAGGCTTTACAGGAGAGAGAACATGCTGATGTCATGCTGATGTGGACGGGTTACTCATGGTTACTCACCACAAGGTTACTCACCGGATCTGCTCCCGACTTTCTTCACCCATAGAATTACCCAAACCGAAACAGATAATTATGCCATTCTTTCATAACTAAAAACATATTTTAACTCAACACATTTTTTTTTGCCCGAGTAATATCAGAAAGAAAGTTAGAACAAACACTACCCAAACGCCCTCCCCACCCCGCTAACAAACCAACCTACAAAGTCAAAGGAAGCTAACTCTAGCCGAGACAGCAACAGGGCTTTACGCGCCACTCTATGGGCAGCCCAGTTGGCAGTCCGCGGAACCGCCCTAAATTCTATACAAAGAGACAAAGATCCAAGGATACTCCTACAATCTCTAAGAATGGGGCCACCCACGGAATCCTCCACTGCACCAAGGCTAAGCTGACGGATGACCACAGCCGCATCTCCCTCAATGATGACACGAGACAGATTTCTAGAAGCTGCAAGAGAGATCGCATCCCTTGCTGCAAGGAGCTCTGCAAGGTACGGGTCTGAAATCCTTGGATGCTGGAAACCTGAGGCAAGCAGAACATGACCGTCCGAGCCACGAACCACAAGACCAGACGAGCAACCAGAGGCATGAACAGCAGCATCAAAGTTGATCTTCAGAACATCTTCAGGAGGGCATTCCCAGGGCTGGCTTGGAGAGGCAGTCACACGAGGCTGAGCAGGCGGGGCAGGAAGACAGGAAGAGAGCACTTCACGGACTTGAAAGGAGAATTGGCGGGCAAGCGAACGGACATGAGGCTGGGTATTTTCAAATACCACTTTATTTCTTGATTTCCATATTCTCCACAAGAGACACACGATCTGGAGAATATGGGTTTGGGACTGCTCTGAAAGCATAACTTGACGCCACCATACACTAAAATTCATCGTTGGGGCCGAAAGCAGTATGTCACTTAATCCCACAAAGTACCATAACATATTGGCAAGGGGGCAATGAAAAAACAAATGTTCTATACTCTCTCGGCTCCTCCAGCAAACAGGACATCTCCTTAGACAATTAATCCCACGAGAACGAAGCGCTACTGTCGTTGGTAGGACTACTCTTAGGCACTGCCAAATGAAAAACCTTAGTTTAGGAGGGGTCTGAATGCCCCATGTCAGTTTCCACAAAGGAGGATCAATAATGAGAGCCAGGGCTTTTCTATTGGGAGCTAGAATGCCATCAAGAGCTAGATGATACCCTGTCTTGACTGAGTACTTGCCATTTTTGGTAAAATGCCATACTCTAGTATCTGGCTGCGTTGTCCGAGGAAGGGCCATTTTGCAAATTATATCCACCGAGCAGGGATCAAAATAATCTTGTAACCTCGAAATGTGCCATTCCCTTGTACTTTCCTCAATGAAAAAGGAGACTCTTAGAGATGAGTTAATATTGGCCAACTTAATCACCGGACTCTCTAGTTTAGCAGATGGGATCCATCGGTCATAAAAAGCATCAATATTATGACCATTCCCAACTTGCCATCGCATTCCTTGGAGGAGTAGATCCTTTCCGTAAAGTATGCTTCCAACCCCACGAGGGATTTGATCCTATCTGAGCCTCTAAGATGGTACTAGAGTTAAAATACCGACCTTTATAGATTTGACTAAGCAGAGAATCTGGATCTGCCCAAATGCGCCAACATTGCTTTGCTAGGAGAGCCTGGTTAAATGCCTCAAAATCCCTGAAACCCAATCCTCCTTGGAACTTGCTTTGGGAAATGCCCTTCCAAGAAACCCAATGTATAGGGTGGTCAGAGTTGCTAGAGGAGCCCCACCAGAATCTTGCCACCTCCCTATTTAATCGCCTACAGGTTTCCTTAGGAAATTTAAAGCAAGACATACCGTGTACAGGTATGTTAGTTGCAGAGATTCTTATCAAAGTATCTTTTCCAGCTCTTGAAATCACTCTCTGCTTCCAACCAGCAAGCTTCTTGCGAAACTTCTCCTCTATGGACAAAAAAGCATCCCTTTTAGACCTGGGTAGTAAGGAAGGCAGACCGAGATACGCATCTTGTTCTCCAATAGCACCCACACCTAGTTGGGTACCCATTGACAATGCCGCATCTGGAAGTGTATTCCGGCTAAAAAGAACTGCAGTCTTGGCTAGGTTAACCCTTTGTCCACTCAGCCCTTCATATACTTGTAGCAGGGATAGCAATCTGGTGCATGAGGCGGAGGAAGCTTCAAGGAATAAAAAGGAGTCATCCGCAAAGAAAAGATGGGAAACCATTGGGCATGATTGACGAACACGTACTCCTTCCAAAAATCCCATAGACACCGCCTGGCTAATCAGAGCCGAAAAACCTTCCGAGCAAATGGCAAAAAGTAGTGGAGAAAGAGGATCTCCTTGGCGGAGACCTCTAGTCGGCCGAAAATACTCAGAAGGATTTCCATTGACAATTACTGAATAGGATACTGTTGTAATACATTCTCTTACCCAAGAGACAAACTGGGGATGGAAACCCAACTCCTTCATCATCTCTAGCAGAAATTGCCACTCAACGCATTCAACACATTTGCTGCTAAACAATAAATTTTCTAGATCATCAAATGCATTTTATAATGTCTATAAAAATGTTAGTTTATTTGATTGTCTAACGAGTTTAGCTACCTCTCGAAATACCACTTTTTTCAATTATGGATTACACGAGAAGTAAGTTACACAATCGAATAATTGATAATAAATAGGGCTAATACCATTGGGAAACCCGAACTATTAACTTTGTGTCATTTGTGTCCTAAAGTATTCGATATGACATTTGTGTCCCAACCTAATATAGTTTTGTGTCATTTATGTCCTGACGATTTTGTTGACCATTATATATAACAGTTGACCAGACGGTGGTCAACTTGATGTTGACTTTTGCTGACGTGGCAAACACGTGGCAGCCACGTCACTGACACCTCATATTTTAAATTAAAAAAAATAATAATAAACATAATAGGAACAAAATACAAACTCTCACTATTAATTCATAAAAAAACTCTCACTATTACTCTCCATCCGCCGCCGAGACCTACTCTCCAGCCCAGATGCTCCTCCTTCCTCCGCTAGGTTCTCTATTTCTTCCTCTACCTTCGCTCCCGAATCTTCTTCTTCCTCCCTGATACCTTACCATCTCCACACCCACACTCGCCGCTCGAGACCATGGCCGCCGCTGACCTTACCATCTCCACACCCACACTCGCCGCTTCGATTTTTAATTTCCTCAACGAGATCGAGAACAGGGGAGAGAAGGAGGGGAAGGGGGTTTGTGATTGGGCGATGTCGGCGATGTTGGCGACGACGAATCCAGTCTTGGCGCAGTCTCTGTTTTTTCTCAAATCCCATATTTCGACCAGTTCACCGTGAATTGGGAGCAGGCTGAATTGCGACTAAATCACAAACAATGAAAACACAGCCAACGGCGACAACATCTTTAACGCCGACGGAGAAATCTGGAAGTCCCAGCGCCAACTCTCCAGCCACGAGTTCAACACCAAATCGCTCTGCAGGTTCCTCGAGACCGTCGTCGACACCGAGCTCTCCGCCCGCCTAATCCCAACCCTCTCCGCCGCGGCTGCAAACACAGTCGCCTCCACGCTCGACTTGCAGGACATTCTTCAGAGGTTCGCCTTCGACAACATCTGCAAAATCGCCTTCGGGTACGACTTGGGTTACCTGGCTACGACCTTGCCCGAGGCCCGATTCGCCACTGCGTTCGAGAACGCGGTGCGGATTATCAGCGGGCAGTTCAATTCCGGGGTTCCCCAAATCTGGAAGATTAAAAACTTTCTAGGGATTGGATCTGAGGCGGAGCTGAAGGAAGTGGTCTCGGAAGTTAGGGATTTCGCTAAGAAGATCGTCATAGAGAAGAAGGCAGAGCTAAAACAGAACGATTCGATCGACATTCTCTCTCAATTCTTGAGCTTCTTGTCGCCGGAGGAAGAGGTGGGTTAATCCAGTTTCGGATTGAAGAAGATAATGATTAATCGAGGAAGAGAAGGATTAATTGGGAAAAAATCCCACTGTACACACGTTCTTAAAAAAAATTCCCAAAATACATGAGTTATAAAAAAATTCCCCAAAGTACACATGTTTGAGCATCACCGTTTTAGACAAAAGCGGTGAAGGTCATCACCGCTTTTGACCAAAACGGTGAATACTTCATCGTCTTAAACAAAAACGGTGAAGTATTCACCGTTTCAAACTAAAACGGCTAAGTTTTCACCGCGTTAATTAACAACGGTGAACACATCACCGTTTTGGTCAAAAACGGTGAACCCATTCATCGTTGTTAATTAACGCGGTGATCATTTCCCACGTTTCCCACCCCTGGTAGGTCAAAATTAGGTCGCAGCTACCACCTATTCACCGTTTGAGACAAACGCGGTGATGGTGTTCACCGTTTTCGACAAAAACGGTGAATAGTAGGCAGATTTTCCTATAAATTGCACACCACCAGCAGTTGTAAAAACATAACCACTCCCCTTTCTTCAAATTTCAGCAGCCAAAATCGAGCATAATACACAGAACAGAAATTTTTCGGTATGTTGAGACTTTTCGTATTATAGTCTAATTATGTTTTTAGTAGTTATAGTATGATTTAATTTTCGTATTATGTTGTTGTTAGTTAGTTGAACTTATGTTCGTTAGTTATAGTATGATTTAATTTTCGTATTATGTTGTTGTTAGTTAGTTGAATTTATTTTCGTTAGTTATGGTATGATTTAATATTAGTTGTACAATATGATTTTGGTTAATTTTACTGTCTTTAAGCTAATAGATACTTATTGTAAATTGTAAATTGTAGATATGGGTAAATTCAAGAAGTCTCATCTTACTATTCGGTGGAATGGAAGGGTGACAAACTCTGACATAGGCATTGATTATGAGGACGGCGAATCCATTATGCTGAAAATTGATTCCCGATTCAATTTTCAAGAACTCTGTGATCTTTGTGCAGAAAGGGTTTGTACGAGCGGACAGACGAGACTTGGCAAAATTACTTACCGGTATCCAGACATGAGTGCTGGCGGGGTCGTGTTCCAAGAAGTTGTCATAAACGATGATGACGTGGTTATGATGATGTTACAGTTCCTAAGCGATAACCAAGTCCGGCTTGCAGAGGTGTATGTTGAGACCGAGGCGGTCGGTGAATCTCATTCTCACCAGTATTCTTATGATGATGGTTTTGCAGGAGGGTACGAATGGGGTGGTAGTTCGAGCAACTACCAAGGCGGTGGTTATACAGGAGGTTACGGGGAGGGTGGTGGTTCAATCAACTACGGTGGATCGAGTAGTGCAGGATGGGACAAATACTCGCAACCTCCTAAACCAGCCCCATTTGTTGAGGCCGATGGTGTTCAATGGCCTGCTTGGGGGCAAGAGTGGTATGGAATCGAGAATACCATGCGATCAGGGCGTACTTCACATGAGCGAGAGGACGATGTTGGTGATCGTGGTCATGTTGATCCTTCTAGCCCGAGCTATCCATTCGAGTCGAGCGACGAGGATACTGAGGAAGATTTGATATCAGTGAGCGAGGAGGAGGAAGATACTGATGATAATGAGGATGAGGCGGCATTTCGTGAGGCACCCACGCCATATTACACACAGGTTCCAACTCAATTTTTACATAGTCAGAATGATCCCCCCGACTTTGTCCCTATGCCAGTGTACAATCCGACGGCCAATTTGGAGGTGGGTATGGCGTTCACATCGAAAGACGCTGTGCAGGATGCTTTTACAGAAGAGGCGTTGAGGCGCAATTTCGAGTGGAAGGTAAAATATTCTGACAGTAAATAACTACATGTCATATGCAAGCATGATGCAGAGGGTTAAGAGACTCGCATCCCTTGGGCCATAATGGATATACAATCGAGGATCGTATATCTCGGCACCCATCTACAAAAAAGTAATGAAATCAGAGATTGTTTTGATTAAAAAAAATCAAATTGTTTCGATTAAAAAAAATCATAAACCAAAAACCTACACGAAGAGCCTCTTCGTCCATTATTGGCGGAAGCCGGACAGAGGTTCGACGGGTTTAGGTTTGTAAGGGACGGGAACTTAGCGGGACGGGGGCTTTAGGGTCAAACTCTAGTAATTCTTTCTGATGTGGAAGATCGGACTTAGCCGCAACCACAGAGCATACTTAGAACGAGACTAGAGCGGATAAATTGAGGGAGAAAGAAGTGAAATGTTTGTGGTGTGAGTTGAAAGTGAAAGGGGAAGGGTTATTTATAGTTGGGGGAAGGGGGGAAGGGATCTGCCGAGAATTGAATTCTCCCAGCCTTCACCGCGTCCGTCAGAAACGGTGAAGGCACCGCGTTTCTTGAACACGGTGATGAGGCGCGGATCGAGCGACGTGGCTCAGCGTGAGGCGTCGGATCTGGAAAGAAAACCACGATCCGCGCCTCACCGCATCCTACAGACACGGTGAACGCGCCAGCGACGCGGATCGCTGACGCAAACAAACACGGGTATTCACCGTGTTTGTCTAACGCGGTGAATACCCCGCGTTAGTCCACGTCAGCGCCTTCACCGTGGAAGTCTAAAACGGTGAAGGCTTCACCGTTTTTGTTTAAAACGGTGAGGTATTCACCGTTCTTAACAAACGCGGTGAACCCTTCACCGTTTTAGTTTTGAAACGGTGAATACATCACCGTTTTAGTTTAAAACGGTGAAGTATTCACCGTTTTGGTCAAAAGCGGTGATGACCTTCACCGCTTTTGTCTAAAACGGTGATGCTCAAACATGTGTACTTTTGGAATTTTTTTTATAACTTATGTATTTTGGTAATTTTTTTTAAGAACTAGTGTACTTTGGGATTTTTTCCGATTAATTGTGTCCAAAAAATAATCCACAAATCATATTTGTTTTTGTTTTTTTATTTTTGTAATTTTTTTATATGAAAAATAATTATAAATTAATAATAAAAGTTCCACGTCAGATGCCACATAAGCGCTGACTAGACTTTCTGTTAAAAACTAACGGTCAACGCTAGTCAACTCTAACGGAAAAATAGTTTAGGACACAAATGTCATATCGAATACTTTAGGACACAAATGACACAAAGTTAATAGTTCGGGTTTCCCAGTGGTATTAGCCCTAATAAATATGTGATTGAATATATCGAAAGAAATATACAATTGAATAAATATTACATAATTTATTCATAAATAGGACCCCATTGAGATTGAATCCTCACACCATCACTGAGTATGGGTATGAAGAGTCAACAACTTATTTAAGTTGAAGGTAGTTGGCGATATTCGTATCTTCATTACTTTCGTTAACGTCTTCCATGTCAAACGATTAAAAGTAAACCGGAAAATACACAAATGGAGAGAAAATGTAAGCTAGAAACGGAATAACGGATCCTAATTACTACATTGATGGAAGACATCAAACCCTAAACCTCATCACATGAGGCCTTCACTTCATTCTCCTAATCAAATTGGGTTTGACTTGACAAGGAAGCCACACTTAGGGCAGTCGCCTAATCGTCAGAAAATCATAATAGAGGAGCTTATTTGTTATTTATTTATTTATAGTACAAGGCTTGTTTAGCTGTTAATTAATCTTCGCTAGTAACGGCGAGAATACTTCCGAAGTTTCGTCGTGTCGTGTTCCATCTCCCCATTCCCTCCTTCACGAGATCAGGCAATTGAATGAAGCCGGCTTTCCCTTGCACCGCTTGATCGTAACTCGTAAGCTCTCCTCTCCGTTTCCTGGTTTCTCTCGAAGGAAGAAAAGCTTCTTGGGGTCGGTGGTTCTTCGCTGTCACAAGGAATTTTATTAGGGTTCGTAAGGTGACTGGAAAGTTGGAATTCCGAAGCTCCTTTCCATATCTTTGTTGACACCGTTGTTGACATTTCCTGGGCATTTTCTGCAGCAGAAGGGACAGTACAACATGGCTCTGAATCCGCAGCTTCTCCCGAACGGATTGCCCGTTCCATTCGTGAACGAGATGTTTGTGTTGGCTAGAGATGGCGTTGAGTTCGAAGTCGACAAGATTCCCGGGTCGGTCCTCTTTCTCCTGAATCTGTTTTCTTTTCTTCCCCCCCTGATGATCCATGTTCGGTATTGAATTGGGCTGATGGGTTTCTCTCCAATTTCCGCTTCTAGGATCATCCCGTAATTTGGGTCAGTTTCTAGTGTTTGGTCTAATTTCGTTTGCTTGTAGAATTAGTGATCAAGATGAGCTCAATCTCTTTGCTTTTCGTTCTTGCATTTCCTTCTATCAAGATGTATGTTTGAATGTTTCTTTGAAGGTTAGATTTAGTGGTGGTTGTATGTCTCTTCCGTGAATGTGGAAATGGAAGTGTTCCTTTTGCTGGCTTCTAGCATCAAAACCCAAGGCGGCAGCATATGGTTTTACTGCTGTTAGGTTAGCTGTTGTCAAAGTTAGGTGAAAACAGCTGCAAAGCATTCTGAAATATGCAATTTAGCTTTTGGCATGAATTCACTAAAGGCAATGACTTTAATTCAGTTTAGCTCATGGCATGGAGTCACTTGATATCGCCTTTAAGGTATGCACAAGTTAGCTTTTCACATGGAGTGACTTGGGTAATGCCTTTAGTATTTGTGGGTGATTCTTGAATGTGTTGAATTCTGCAGGTCTAGGTTAGGTATCCTGTCTATCGTACTGCACCCTTAGATCTTTTTTATAAGTATAATTTTATTTTGGATGAACGTAAATATAAATTCATTGTTGAAATCCGGATGCTTTAATTCTTTCCAATCCTTTCCCATGTTCCACTAGTTATTCACCCTAGTTGAAACCAAAGATTTTTGGTACGATGTGCTTTGATTAGATGTGATCATTAGGAAAATGGATAGCTTTAGTTTAAGATAGGGGCTTGGACCAGCTACTCAGGGGATTGCTAATGTGATACTGAGGATCATGTATCGTGCCCCTGAATTGATCTTCAGTTCTTTGAGGTTGGCATGAGGTTTAGAACTGGCAGTTTGTCTTCAACATGTTTGAAAATCGGGTCCACTTGCTCGGAGATAAAAACGGAACTCATAATAAGGGGAATAGGAGTGCTGCAGCAGCAGCCCACAGTTAGGCTGCCCTGTCTGGTCTGTTGTGAACTTTGAGAAGCGAGGACTTCAATTTTTAGGTGGAGATGCAGTAGTAATTGGTAAAGTTGTATAAAAGGTAGAGTTAGTGGTGTTGAAGGGTTTTTAAATAAAGACAACTGAGGAGAAACAGGTCTAGGATGAGATAGGATAATATTGTTTCCACTTTCTTGAATTGATTGGTGCATTGGCTATGACCGCATTTGATGAGCTCAAGTTTCCTAAGTCTGGATTATTGCTTGTAACTGCAGAAGTAATCAGGTCAAAGCTAGAGGAACTATATACTTGTCGAACGTACGTATGGTTTTTGTCGCAAATAATCCCACTGGAAGCTTGGCTGCTTTTGATATGCCCCTGGTATGTGCTCTTAATGCTAAGTCTCTAATGTGGGTTTATGATTGTTTTCGTTCGTATGTGTGAAGCAGTTCTCACTAGTTTCTCTTTGGCACTGTTAGTGGTTAGGCATAGCATTCATGGATTTTCTGTTGTATCTTTGTGCCTTTAGTTGGAAGGTCAAATGTATTATATATGTTGTTGTGAGATAAACTATGGACAAATACACAAATATGCACCTAAGTCAAGGTTTACTCTCACTTATTCATCCTTGTCAGGAGCTAAATTTTTTGCTTCTCATGGCTCATGAAATCAATTATATGATACTTCTGATAATTTACCCCTAACTCATTAAAATGGAACTACAACTCTACAAGGTGTGGGTGGTGCTTTACTATAAGTCATCCAAAAGTGAATATCCTCTGAAGTTATTGGTTCTGTTTTGGACCATGTTTCCACAGTTATGTGTGAAAATGTCTTCCTATTTGTTCTAATGGACCAGAAAACTAATTCCGAAATTGAGTCCAGTGAGGGGTAGAGAAGCGAAAAAGAAGATAATAACTCTGTGGTGTGGTGGTCGGGAAAATGTGTGGGGAATGAATGAGTTGCTTGTTGAGCATAGTTAGACTTAGTTGTACGAGCTTGTATGAGAAAGAAGATAATAACTCTGTGGTGAACCGACTAATCCTGGAACTTCGTTTTTTGTTGTTTGTTCATCTTGTTCACATTGATACTGGTTTAGGACCTAGCTGGTGGCTTCTTTGCTAAGTAGCTTACCAAATTGTATCCTGTTGATATTTAGATGCAGGGGAGTGTAAGAATTGTAGTTCATTAGGGGAAAACATTAACCAATGGATGGGATATACTTCTTGATGTCTTTTAACTCAAACAACAAAGACAGGTTGATGAAACATTTAAATGTTGGAAATTCATGCTCAGTAATGAAGGTTATCATTTTCCATGACCTCCAGACAAAGCACAAACTGCCATTCTGCAGTTCATTGCTGCAGAAGGATGCTTGATTTTAACCTTTAGTAATTTATTTTACTATGTTTGGTTCTTCTGAGATGATCCTATCATGTGCTTGAGAAGAACTCTTGGTTTTCTGTTATGGCATTTCTGACTTCCAAGCTAAATATTTCTGTGCAGCTTTATGTCCATGGTGAGAAATTTAACCAACCTGTATTTCACTGCAACAACATTTCTGGTCAGGTGGAACCGGTAAGTATAACTTTAAGATACATGGCACCTCTTGTTGAGATTGTTATCACATTTTTCTTTGAGCTGTGCATTTCATGTCCTAAGTTCTTCAATGATGACACTTTCAGGTTGTCCCAGAGAACGAGAACAGAGCTCTCTACTCAACTCACAATTTCAAGATCTTGTTCAAAGAGGGTGGATGTGGAACCTTCATCCCACTGTTCTTCAACTTGATAGCATCAGTTAGGCAGTTCAATCAGCAGCAGCAAAATTATGCAAGAAGCCCTGTTGTGGACCCGTTGCAGGCAGCCGAGACTCCAGCAGTTGATGAAATGATTAGACATGCGTAAGTGAAATCTAGCTCGGATAATGAATCAGAACATATAGATGGTGGGTGGGCGATGACGTGAAATTGTTTGGTTTTGTTTTTTGTTTTGTTTCGGCAGGTATGTTGATCCCAATGATCCAACAAAGATCTTCCTGCAGCAGCCAGCTCCAGGAACTGGACCAAGACGTCGTACATATCGGGCATCCGCACCAGATGCCATATGAAGATCCTGCTCATGAACGTGTACGTACGCATCAAATTGGAGTGGAACGATGATTAATCGCCTTGCTCTTGTGTGGGAGTCCTATGATATCAAACAGGGAAAGTCGACTTGCATAGTAATAAAAGTAAAAATGACCCGACTGATGTAAATGATGTTGCTTGAATAGTTTGTTTACCATCCTTTGTTTTACGAGTTAACAGACATTACTAGGGTGCCCCACTCTGCACTTTCGTCTGTGACTTTCAGTGTGGCTTTGGTAGATGTTAGATTGTGGTACCCGTATTGTTGGTTGGATTACAAAAATCGTTCATTTGTTATCCGGTTCGCTTGTGCGATACACATATATAGAATGTTATGTATCAGGCAGTTGAATGCAATCAGATCAAATCACTCATTCATGATGAACCTACAGGTCCTGCGTTTTCGAGTGGTATTACTGGTTGAATCATGTTTATACTCTTTCAATCATGTAATAAAGTAATTAACCTTCTCATAAGAGATAAATATGGGTATCGAGATATTCATTTGTTTGCCTGCTTGCAGAGTTACGTCGTGCGTACTGATATTTGCTTCTGTTTCATCGGCTAAATCTAGAGCCTGCATTTCGACTGTTTTCGAGGCTCCTCCGCTTGGAAGACGGATAACGTTACATGGGAATGCCCAAAACAGCTTCAGCAGACTTCACCTACATGTCATCTCTGAACAGTTTGTTAACCAAGCAGCCGAAAGAGAAAGCAAAAAGATGCAAGCAAAGGTGCTTTGGATCACGGGAAAAACAGAGCTCGCAGACGAACCCAAAATAGATTTGTAACTGAATCTTGTTACGTGACAGGTTCCACCATGACCCACTAAACTGCCCTATAAAAGGACGGCACCATTTCCAGCAATTCTCATCTCATCATCACATCCAAAAAAACATTACCCAAACAGCACAGTAAAAGAAAGCACTAATCAAAGCATCAAGAGACAAAGGAAAAATGAAGGGAGCCGCAGTCATTTCCATGGTGGTTCTTGTTCTGGCAATGGCTCAGCTCATTGCCAAGCCAGCCGATGCGGCCATAAGCTGCGGGCAAGTGGACTCAAACTTGGCTCCTTGCATTCCTTACTTGACCACAGGAACAGGGGAACCTGCCCCTAAATGCTGCGACGGAATCCGGAGCTTGAAGGCCAACACCGCCACCGTCGACGACAGGAGGGCTGCCTGTGCCTGTGTCAAGGCCGCCGCCGACCACTACCCGGTCAAGGAAGATGCTGCTTCCGCTCTCCCGACCAAGTGCCAAGTCGCTATCAGCATCCCCATTTCCAAGGCTATCAATTGCGAGACGTAATACATATACACACTCAGTTTTCTCTTTCCTCTGGTTTCCTCTGTTTTTGTTCTGTTCAATTTTTTGTTGAGTATTGATGTTAATTGGGAATGATCATCTCATCGTTTGTGTTTGTGTTTTCTTGTTGATTGCAGGATCAACTAAGTGAAGAAGATGAAGTGGGTGAAGTGTTTTGGCGGGTGATACTAAATAAAGCTTCCATGCATGGATGGAGCGAGTCATAATAATATTCACTATATATTTTTCAGGCTTCCTCTGCTTTCTTTCTCTGTTTATGCTCCTGGACTGTGTTTCTGTCTATGTTGAATTTGAATAAGACTACTTTTGGGTAGAGATAATAATTTTGTCACTCCAGCAACCTTTATACACTTACCAATTGGACTACCAGAATTCGAACACTAGGCAGTTCGATTTTAGACGACTTTGATACCATCTAAACAATCCGTTAATTTCAGTAACTCAGAATTATTGAAAGAAAAATTGAAAAATACAACTTATACTACATAGTAACGGCTACTCTGTCAGTCGACCTGGGCGGCGAATCAGCATCTAACAATATTCCGTTTCAGCCATGGCGGTCACCTCAGTATGCCCCTTCTCCAAGAGAAAAATCCATCCACAAGTGTTCTTCTTCGTTTGCTTGTGCAGTTGTGCGAGAGTGTGCTTTGGCGTCTTGTGCTTGCAGTGGTCAGCATTTTTTGCTAACCAATAACCACCACAGCCTCTCGTTCTATCCCTTTATTTTGACGGTACTGCCCCCCGAGATATAATAACACTCTTTCTGCCCATCTCCTCAGTCCTCACATCCTCCATTGCTGCAAGTTCAGCTTAGCAGACTCTCTTCTTCTTCTTCTTCTACTTCGACAGCTTGCATTTCGAACACTCTCGACTCTCCACCACAATCTAACTGTACAGTAGCTTCTCTAGCCATAAGGGTTCAGCTTCAACGATGGCTCTCATCCAATTATGCTCCACCTCGTCGTCCGGAATTCGACCGTCTCCGACTTCCTTCCCCAGCTGTTCTTCCGGCCTTCCCACCGTCAACAAGGACCCCTCCATTTCTTTCTCTGGCTTCGTGAATCCCGGCGCCGGAGTTGGGTCTTCTACAATGTCCACCAGGAGGAGGAAGGGTTCGGTTCTGACGGTGAGGTCAAGCATGGAGACGGTCGCCACCGTCGGACAGGTCACGGAGGTTACTAATGACACATTCTGGCCTATTGTTAACTCCGCCGGCGATAAGACCGTCGTTCTCGACATGTATACCCAGTGGTTGGTATTCAATTTAACTTCTTTCGCTCCTACAATTGCAAATTTTGGTGCTAAATAGAGACTGCTGATATAGAATTTTGCGTTAATTTTAGCAGTTAGGCAAGGTAGGAACTTTTAGTATAATCGAAATGGGGGCATCTTTCTTGCCATTGCTTGTTAGTGGGCAGTGGCTGTGCAGCCCTAAAGCAAAACAAAGTTAGTCTCTTTTCTCATATGGAGAAACTTGTGTTTGCAATGTTGACCATTCCAATGGCGTGCATTTGTCTTGAGAAATGTTGATGTAGGAATTAGGATACTAGTTATGTCCATTGCTTGAACGAATGTGTCGTCCTTGCGAGCTCAGCTTAAGGCCCTTGGTAGTGATCGGTTCTGTTATGAGATCTGAACGTTGTAGATTCTTGTCATTCCTCCTGCACTAGTGTAGATGAATGGTACAAGATTCCTACTTGGGCTCTTATCATGACTTGGGTTACCAGGACGAATGGGTTGTTGACACGGTATTAGCCTTTGAGCGAGATTTCTCTTCCAACAATTCGATTTATTGGGTCCAATCTCGACAACTGGTTTCTAGGCTGCAGCCTTATGGACTTTGTTATGGTCTTATGGACATGATTGATCATTGTTCTTGCCTAGGTGTGGCCCGTGCAAGGTGATGGCTCCCAAATACGAGGAGTTGTCGAAGAAGTACCTCGATGTGGTGTTTCTGAAGCTGGACTGCAACAAAGATAACAGGGTAAGTGGATCATATAAATTGCTCTTTTTCATTCTGGCCATTCGCACATTCTAAATACTTGCATGGCCTGTACTGGTTTGTGGGCAGCCATTGGCCAAGGAGCTTGGGCTTAAGGTGGTACCAACTTTCAAGATTCTCAAGGATAAGAAGATTGTAAAAGAAGTAACGGGTGCCAAATACGACAACCTTGTTCAGGCAATCGATACTGTTCGATCCGGTTAAAGCTACTGCACTAGAAAGTTAAGATGCATCGGCGGCTGAGTATTCGATTGGCTGGCTTTGCTATGATTTCTACCCTTGTTGCTGCATCTGTGTTTCTAACTCATTTATGTTTCGGCTGCAATGGAGTCCAACCTGTGATTCTATGCAAAGAAGCTGGGTGGGTGATAGAAGGGATGATCTGCAATCTGCATTGCGTGTATTGGTACTGAGAGGGAAACAATGTAAATGCGTACATTACTGTGATCCAATTGAATGAAGAAGAATGGGTATGATAAGGCTTTCCTGAGTTGTCAAGAAAAGAACTTTAAAGCAGTAAAAGGGAAGAGAATACCGTTAAAGTGGCTAGCGCGGGCAGTTGGTGCTTGCTTTCCTTTTGTTTCAAATAACTTTTTAATTAATTAATTCAATAAATAATGGTAAAATATTGACGATCGGATTTGTTTACAATTTACATACTCTGCTCTGCTTTGTGGATCGCCATCGCCGTGCAGAAAACAGGATAGGGAATTGGAAGAATCTCCGGTGAAGTGAAACTCCGATCACAGATCACAATTCAATACTCACAGCGGCCGCCGTCATCACCCCGCCGGACGGGTAGTTCGACAATGCCGCGACCACCACCGCTGCCGGCGTCCTCCGCCTAAAAGTCAATGGTCAAAGAAATCCCCCCCGCCAATCAGCCTTCTCCTTCCTAATTCCTTCTTCTTCCCCACAAAACCCCCCAAAAAAGTTTAAAAAGTAAGACCTTTGGCACTTTTTTTTGTTTGGGTTCTTCTGATTCCCTCTCTTGGTGCGTCTCTTTTCGCGATCCTCTGGAGAAAGGAGAGAGAGAGAGAGAGAGAGAGAGAGAGAGAATAAGATGTGTGGGATATTTGCGTATCTGAATTTCAATCTCCAGAAGGAGAGGAGTTACATACTCCAAGTACTATTCAATGGACTTCGGCGGCTGGAGTACAGAGGCTACGATTCTGCAGGCATCTCCATCGACAACTCCTCCTCCTCTCGCCCACTCGTCTTCCGCCAGGAGGGCAACATCGAGTCCCTCGTCAAATGTGTCTACCAAGGTACCCTTTCTTCCTTTTCTCTGATCATCAATGGCGGGTTCAGTTTATTGTTTATGCACATTCATTTCGATTATAATCCGTTCACTTCCTTCTGTTACGATTTTCCCTTGTAGTACCCATTGTTGGCCTAGCTTTTCTATTTTTACCTACTTACTGGACTGGTTTCTTAGCACCAACTTAGTTTTTTTTTTCTTGCTCAAGTTTTACTTTTTAACTTCATCTTGTGACAAGGCGAGTGGAACTAGCTTCCCTTCCTTCATTGTTATGGGCCTTCTTTCCATAATGATATTAGCATTCTGTCAATTTTTGCTTCACCAAGAAAGGAATGGGACAAGACACCTCTTACCACTCCCATTTGTGGCCAAAAGTTATCAACGTTGTTTGTTTACCTCTGTAGAGTAATAAAGGAGAAAAGTGGTCCAAATGAGGTTTTCCTTCTATGAATTGTTCTTAGTGCCACTTTCTGCTTCTGTTCCTGCTGTGTATCCCTCTGCTGCTTTGCCCTTTCTACTTACTGAGTGTAGCTTCTCACAATGGAATTTTTATATCTCTGACTGTTAGCTGCTGCTGTTAGATGATCACTTCTAAGGACCCTTTAAGTGAAAGCTAAAAAACTAACCAACATGCCAAAAGCGTTCAACATTGTCATTGTAGGATTATGGTTCTTCTGACATTTGTCTTAAAATATCTATACCAGCAGTATGAGTTTCCATGAAAGTGCAAGCTTATTGTAACGGTTAACAAAGTTGGTTTCCCCCTTGGTATGCGCTCTGTGTCGACAAGTTGGCTTGGGGTCTAGACCAGACTGATAAGTTTCTGTTATTGCAGAGGTTGCCAGCACAGACCTTAACTTGGAAGAATCATTTGTTGTCCATGCTGGAATAGCTCATACACGGTGGGCAACCCATGGAGTGCCAGCTCCAAGGAATAGTCATCCCCAGGCATCGGATTCTGGAAATGAGTTTTTGGTTGTCCACAATGGAGTGATAACAAATTATGAGGTTTGTTTATGATTTCAACTTCAAATACTTTTTTCTTTGTCCAAAGAAAAAACTTTTGTCATTAGTCTGTTGAGGTTTTGTTTTCTCTTTCATGTACAGGTGTTAAAAGAGACATTAGTTCGACATGGATTTACTTTCGAGTCCGAGACTGACACTGAAGTTATACCAAAGCTTGCCAAGTTTGTTTTTGACAAAGCAAATGAAGAAGAAGGTATGTTGTGATTGCCTGATCCAAAGTGCTTTGCCTGGCTCCTAGTTTTGTGAATCTGCTTTGATGAATTTTTAAGGGATGCTTCTCCCTTTTCTTGAGACACGAAAACTGTTGACCATTTTCCGTTTCACTGTTGACTAGTCACTTTCTCAGAATTATAGGCATATTAAAAGCAGGCATCACACAACCAAGATTTCACATGTCTAGTATTTTAAACTTTAGAAAAATCCTAATATGTTGTTTAGTAAGATGGAAGCTTCTGATAAAACATTGATATGGGCCAGGATTTGAATGATTTTGCAAGTCTGCCAGCTCACCATGGTTTAGGACTTTCTGGCTGTCTTCTAATGCACTGAGATGTAACAGATGCAGCTTACATGTTAATGTGTATCATCAAATGAGTATTTCACTGTATGTTTCACAGTGGCTGGCTGGCTGCTGCAGGATTGCAGCTTGTCTGACTGGTGGTTTATTTTGCTGATTCTAGAATGTGTTCCACTTTGCTTGTTTCATGTTGATTCGGAATGTTTATATACTGATAGATAGGAGTGTTTCATGGCATCTTTTGGCGGCTTCAGGGACCCAGACAGTTACATTTAGTCAGGTCGTTCTTGAAGTTATGAGGCACCTCGAAGGAGCTTATGCCCTCATTTTTAAGAGCAGACACTATCCAAATGAGTTGATTGCATGCAAACGTGGAAGTCCATTGTTGCTGGGTGTGAAGGTAAGTCACAGGATTATTGATAACCTATTTGATTGTGTCTTCTGATAGGGCTGTCAAATTCAAGGGATTCTCTGATGAATCACAGTAGTCATTAATGATTAAGTTTTTGTATCGATGCAGGAATTAGCTGAAGACAACAATAGTGGGCCAGCATTTCAGGATGCAAAATTCCTTTCAAAGGATGGGCGCCCAAAAGAATTTTTCTTGTCCAGTGATCCCAATGCTATTGTTGAGCACACCAAAAAGGTCTTGGTGATTGAGGATGGTGAAGTAGTCCACTTAAAGGTAGTTCTTCATTTTTCATCTCTTCACTTAAGCAGAATATCGTATTGGAAGTCTTTCTGGTTTCACTAGATATGTATATGCTTATGTGCCAGAATTTACATGTTCAAATATTGTGCCGTTCATTGTTGGCCAGCAGATCGCAGCTTAGGAATTTCTTCCTTAGGTTCTTTTCATGTTTGATATAACAGAAAGATGCTCGGGTTTTTTTCCGATTATACACGGACGGATGCCAGGTTAAATGTATATACAGATACGTCTAGCACAGCCTTTTTAGTGCCACTTGATCCTGGATTAACTTCTCAGTATTCTAGATCCACCTTAGTGGCTCAGTGCTAAATTTATTTAGCATGCGACATGGAAGATTTTGTTAAGAAGAAAAAAAGCAGTTAATTTGTGGAGTGAAATGAAGCTGGTTTGGTACTTGATACCAATGCAGTCAAAAGCGTGATTCTACCTAAAAGCGAAAAAGGGGTAAAATCGAAAAGCGGTGAATCAAAGCGTAAAAGCGTAAGTTTTTTATGCGTACTGTATAATAGTTAAAATTTTGTTAAGTATGACATAAACTATGTAAAATATAAGTGCACAAAGTTTAGATAAAAGAATAAATACCTGCAATTCATGTCTAAATTAGAATAAACTCATAACATCTTAACAATAACTTCATAAATATAAATCATAACCCGCATACGAGTTAAAAATACAAATTCTCACAACTAGTTTGAGTTTACATAATAACGTACGAGTTTAATAATCCAAGTTCTCGAAATCAAAGCACACAAATGTTATAAAGGATAGAAGGAAAACTACATCAATTCATCGGTTTCTATAATCTCCCATCATCAAAAGTTGTCATCCTTTTTCATATTATGAAAACTCAGCCATTGATTTGAGAAATTTAGATCGATGTAGGATCCAAGATGGAAACGAAGAGAAACCCCATTTCATTGAGCTTATACAAATTCGAAAAACAAAGAACCAAAGCTCCAATAAAAAAAGTATGGAAAAGCAAGGAATGGATCAGAACATTGGCTTGAATATCTCCATAGGAGATACATTTCGGACAGTATAATCAATTTCGATCATATAGGGAAAGTATCATCACATCCACAACGAAACACAACTACTCAAATTGATCCAAAATTTAGAAATCATCAAAAGTGGGGGTTGCAGTGAAAACCATCAGAAACCTAAAAAAGATTCCACAGAAGCAACATTGAAGCTGTTGTACGGTCTGCAACTCCGCATCATGGTTTGGGCACGATTTGGCCGCCCGCATCACCTATTGGACAACATTGAAGCTGATGTACGATCTGTACAATCCGACATTGGTGAAGTGGCGACGGGCTAGGACAAGGAAGAGAAGGAAACTAACCTGTTGTGGCACCGACGAGTTGCGATAGGCGATGACGAGTGCAACGGCTGCTGCCGCGTTGGAGGCTTGGAGGAGCTATCGAGTGCGACGTCTAGAGCTTTGCTGGCAAACTGGCGGCGACGGTTGTGGAGCCTTGTAGCAGCTTCGGATTCTTCGTTGGAGTCTGGAAGGCCTGCCTCGCGATGGCGGCAACATGCGGTGACAAGTGCGGGGCCTACCTCGTTGGAGTGCGTGAGATAGGAGACGAACGATTAGGGATTGTGGAAGATCTCAGACCAATATCCACCCCATTCTCTTTTTTTTTTTGTCCGAATTGATTGAAACGGCGCCGTTTTGGTTTGGTGGAGACAGTTTTCTCCTTTGCTTGGAATCGGGTAAAATCGGTGTGAAAACGCGTTTTTATCCGATTTCAACGATTTTAACGATTCTACTAACACTTTTGACCAATTTTGAGTGAAAAACGATTTTATTAGTGATTTGAAACGTTTTCCTACCCTAGAAACGTAAAATCGTACGTTTTTACGGTTTAAAGCGCGATTTTGACTACATTGCTTGATACTGCACTTTGGTTCATTAAAACTCCAACCCCAAATTCCTCATATGTATTAGTTATTTGATACATCTTAATTTACCAGGATGGAAATGTGTCAATCCTAAAGTTTCCTAATGATAAGGGGAGACATGGCGGCACCATCGCCAGACCAGCCTCGGTACAACGAGCATTGTCTGTTCTTGAAATGGAAGTTGAACAGATAAATAAAGGAGGGTATGAACATTACATGCAGAAAGAAATTCACGAACAGCCAGAATCTCTGACAACTACCATGAGGGGAAGGCTCATACAAGGAGGTTCCTGTAAAGCAAAGACTGTTCTTTTGGGTGGACTTAAGGATCATATGAAAACAATTCGAAGAAGCAGGCGCATTGTTTTTGTCGGATGTGGTACAAGTTATAATGCTGCTCTAGCTTCTAGACCAATCCTGGAGGAACTCTCTGGTGAGTGCTACTTTTTGATGCAGTAGTATTGCCATCTCAAAAACACCCATTAAAGTTATATCATAAGAATCCTTTCCCTATAATATATGCCATTCTATCAATTATCACAATCTTCCTTCCCTTCAATTCGTTTTTTTGAATCCCATGTTTGATCAACTCAACATTTTCTAACCCCTTACCAAATATACTTTTTCTTCCATTTTACTAGCACGCAAATAAAAATTTATTCCTTTTTTGTTGGGAAAAAATTTCTAGGTGTGCCTGTTACCATGGAAATTGCGAGTGATCTGGTGGACCGACAGGGACCAATATACAGAGAGGACACTGCAGTGTTTGTGAGTCAATCTGGTGAAACCGCAGATACATTGCTTGCACTGGAGTATGCTCTTGAAAATGGTGCATTATGTGTCGGCATAACAAACACAGTTGGCAGTGCAATTGCAAGAAAAACTCATTGTGGTGTTCACATAAATGCTGGTGCTGAAATTGGTGTAGCAAGTACAAAGGTAGGATGATCTATTTTTATTTCATTCTGCTGTTTTTTTCTTCTTCTGAGTGATGTTTTTTTATTCATTTCTCGCTTAGCTTTTGGCTTTTCTATTAACAGGCTTACACAAGCCAGATAGTCGTGATGGCTATACTTGCGCTAGCTGTTGGTGGCGATACGATTTCAAATCAAGCAAGAAGAGAGGCTATAGTTGATGGTTTATATGACTTGCCCAGTAAGTTAGTTTATTCAACATGGTTGGTTCCCCTCTGAGATTTGGTTTTCATATGTTCCTGTTCATTGTGAGTTCTTTCGTTTGTGTAGGCAAAGTTAGAGAGGTGCTAAAGCTTGACAATGAGATGAAGGATCTTGCAAAGCAATTAGTAGCAGAGCAATCGCTGTTAGTATTTGGAAGAGGATACAACTATGCAACGGCACTGGAGGGGGCATTAAAAGTGAAGGAAGTATCACTTATGCATAGTGAAGGGATGCTGGCCGGTGAGATGAAACATGGTCCCCTGGCTTTAGTTGATGAAAATCTTCCAATTATAGTCATTGCTACTCATGATGCCTGCTTCAGGTTAGTTATTTTTTTCTTCCATACTTTCTTCAGCTATTTTATCAATGCAAAGCTGTCTGTGGCACTAACATAGCAATTACTTGCTTGGTTTTACAGCAAGCAGCAGTCTGTTATTCAACAACTTCATGCCCGTAGAGGGCGCCTGATAGTGCTGTGTTCTAAAGGGGATGCCGCATCAGTATGCCCAGGGGACTCTTGTAGAGTGATTGAAGTCCCCCAAGTTGAGGATTGTCTTCAACCTGTAGTCAATATTGTTCCATTGCAGGTTAAATTAAAGCATTACGTTATGTTACTCCATGAGAATAATAGTAGCAGTTATCGAAGTTGCTTTATTGAACAGTGTAACCTGCATTGAAAGCTAGGTTTTTTACATTGACTAAGTTTTTTGTTTTTTGGCAAGCAGTTGTTGGCATATCATCTCACTGTTTTGAGGGGTCACAATGTTGACCAGCCTCGTAATCTGGCAAAGAGTGTGACGACACAGTAAAGAGAAAGATGAAGTTGGAAGTGACAGTGCAGTTATCTGTGGTTTTGCTCCATGCCAAAATGCTTCTAGAGAGGGGGAAGGCGGCATTTTAGTTGCTTAATCTTCCACCCAATGGAGAGCAATATTTTTAGATTGCTCCGAATCAGCAGCACTGGATCAAGGTCTGGTGTTTCGTCTTGGTAGAACGGCTAAACAGGGTTGTGATTAGAGAGATTGAGCGGTCTTGCTGACCCGACTGAGGGAAGTAAATTAATCAGTAGACTCCTAATGGCTGATGATTCTATTCTAGGATTCCTTCCTGCAAATGTTTGTTTGTTCAGGCAATCGGCTTGTAGTTGTGGACTTGTGGTACTTGGATGAGGCGTCAGGAATCGGTATAATCTGATGGTGTTATGGTTTTTACCCCAAGAGTTAGTATCAGCCAAAACTATTTTACAGGAAACCACACAAAGAAAACAGAGATCTAGTTCTATAACTATAAGCAACCAACGCTTAAACTTCCTTCCCAAGCAAGAAACAAAATTTGTTTGCAAAGGCTTATAACACCTCACAACATACAACCATAAAATGAACAGCTCCCATGGAATATGGTGGAAGGTGGTGTACTGGTGTCACAAATGTTTATGTCTGGTTGTTACATTACAGCAGAGATGCTCAAAATTTCAGAGAATGTCTTCGCTCACTGTTCTGGTGCCACTTCCTCGGTCACTTCAATTTCCTCTTTTTTGTCCTTGCCATTTAAGACCTTCGACTCTTTACCCTGGGCAATTATCTCTTTCATGCCCTCGTCGCGAACTGAAAGCCTTTCCAGTAGTTCCTGGCAGTCAATGGCCGTCACCATAACGCTCAGACTACCTCTGCCTTTCCAGCAACCGACTGCTATTGTCGATGCATCCACCTTCACTGTATCCAATGAATCTTGGTCGTAATCTGCACACAAGAAATGGCAAAGGCATTACAAACCTTTTGCCCAGGATACTTAGATTGACAACCCTACATAATATTAGATTCGTTCGCACCTTTTTTCAAAACTATCACACAGCAGCCCATCATTAGCTTCGATGCCTTCTCCCCAAAGCCAGCACCAACAAAATCGTGAAACTTGATGGTTTTATACTTCAGAATATGAATGAAGTCCACTGCTGTTGCGTTTAGGATTTGCTTGGTTATGTGAGGGAGTATCAAAGGAAGCCCTTCTGAAGAGATTCGGAACGAACATGAAGCATCTGTGCCTTCTCTTGATGTTTGTCGTTCCTTTGGGAACGTGCAAGTGGAAAGCGCAGTGATTATTATTTTATAACACAAGAAACCAAAATTAAGATTTTGAGACTCAGATCTCATGTCAGACAGGTAAGTGGTAAGTGGAAACCTAAGAAAGATATAGGGTGCATTTGCTTAGCCTACAAATTAAAGTTGAAGTACAAACTTTATCAATCCAAAATAGCAGGCCTCTGTGGTATTTGCTCAGCCTTATAAATTCTAGATTCAGGGCAAGCAAGCAGAAATTACTGAGACAAAGGGTTCTTGAAGACAGCTAACCAGGAGAAGAAAAGATTGAGATGAGAAAATACTTACAAACATTTTCAAGCCGACAGAGGCAATCTTGAGCTGCTGGCCAACGAGAATATTCAGCTCAAGAGCATCCTTCACCGACTTGGAGATGTAATAAATTCTCTTCACATGGTTACTATCACTGTTTCTGGATATGAGATGGCCCTTGAACGGAAATGACTCATCAATACCATAGAATGCAATTATACTGTTGATAGTAGGTTCATCGTTGAAGAAAAGTACAGGGTCCACTCCTTTCCATCTTCCTTGCATTTGCAATTTTCTCTTTCCAGTAGCCTTATCAGGATCGCTCTTCCCATTAACAGTCACTTGGGCATCTTCCAAAGCATTATCGATAGACACATCATATGGAGCAGCTTCCATGGGAACATCCTTTTCCTCTTGTTCATTATCTACCAAATCAATATCTGAAGCAGCTTCAGAAGCAGATTCCATGACGACGCTTTTTGATTCTTGCCCTTGTTCATCATTGTCTTCGACAGATGGAACTGAATTTTCTTCTTGAGTTTCATCCTTTTTAGCTATCGAAATCTTCTGCTTTTTAGGGTTTTCTGGAATTGCTGAGAAACAGGGATACATCAGTATATGAAATATATATATGGATATGCTTCGATGGATATATAGTTTGCAGCGTAGACAAAGAAAACCTGATAATTAGGGACGGATCTTAAACATTTTCCTAGCATTGAGACAGGGTCTGATACAGTAAACATTTAGGCTCCTGATAATTACATGCGATTTGGTAGTGTTTTACTCACCTGGTAAAGGAGAGAGCTTCTGAAGGACAGCGATGAAAAAGGCTCCACTATTCTGATCATGAGGCACTATTCTCATGCAGCGTTCTAAAGGCAAATCAGAAGTTTCTTCAACAAAATCCTCATTTGAAGTTTGCGATTCTGGGTTTGGCTCAGAATTGCCACCATTCTCATTTTTAATATCGTCCTCAGTTGGAGGAACATATGTCCTTCCAGAAGGAAACATGCCAGGAACAGCTCCGAAATGGCGATTTTTTATGACATCTTTGTGTGAAGCTAGCCAAACACCTCTATCACGCACCTGTAGGGAAAAAGAAAGGTGAAGCAATTTGAATTGTCAAGATAATAATATGACACGCCACAATTCAGCTGCAAGATGAAATTCCCTACACATAACATAGACTGGGATGAATCAGCTTTATAAAATAGCACCTAAAGAAACTTGAGGCTGAAAGAACTTACATAGTTTACAATCAAACAGAACTAATCTGAGGATCAATAAGACAGACTGAAGTCCCTAACTAAGTAGTGCCGGGAATTAACTCCAGGTACACTTTCCTTTTATTCATGCGAACAGAATGAAATCCCACAAGCATAGATTAAAATCAGAGGGAAACGTAACTAAGAATCCCTCAAAATCTAATAATACACAAGTTGGACTATTTGATTCTTTCAAATTGTGAAGTCCTCATAAAGCGACAACTACTCGGTTGTAGAAGTGCACAGCTTATACAGTATCGATCAAATGGAAAAATGCCTATCTAAACCATAAGAGCTAAAGGAAATACGAACCCCCGGAAAGATATGTTTAACCCTTAGCATAACAAACCATCCCCTTGGAATGGGAAGAGAGTCAACAGCAATCATATATTATGGAGAAGGATAAGCTGGAATAACAAACCTTCCATTTTCTTAGGCCAGGCCGGCGAACAAGATTAGGAAGTTCATTTGAAACATCAAGTAATTCAACAGAGCCTCCACATTTTCTTAGAATCTAGACAAATGAAAAAAGGATTATTAGTGGCAAAAGATCATCAAAGTTAATAGAACTCGTAGATTTCACTGCTCAACAAGCTTACTTCCGCGACAACAGCTTCATTCTCGACGGGATTCATTGAGCAAGTTGAGTATACCATTTTTCCACCAACTTTTAGCAAGGCAAGACCTATATCAATCAGGCAGAACATATAAGAGCCTAAGGGGGGTAGAGGCCCTGTCGCATACCGCAATCAAAGTACAATTGTAAGATCTAGACAAATATAAATTTGGCAAATGGCACATCACTCTACTCAGATGCATCTCTACCTAATCAGGTATGAAGTAAGAAAAAAGAAGATGAAACCTTACACTTCATATGAAAACCTAATGAAGTAAGGAATAGAAAGACGGCACATTACACTTCATCTGAAAACCGAAGGTATTAACAGACAGGCATAACCTAGACTAGGCACATTCAAAGTTCTGTTCCTAAGGACAATTTAGACACAATTGGTTGGTCGACTCAAATCTACTGCCATTTATGTATCAGAACATTCCCCTGCTAGTAAGAAATTTTTTTAACATCATCTTATTTGTTAAACAAGAGTTGTCATTATGGTTATAGTCCCAACTCCCAAGTACATTTCCCACTGTATTAGGCCTACCAAGAGATGCTTCCTTCTAGCTATCTGTAAACAATGCTGGCAAAAGACTCTAAAATCTTAATACACTACAGATACCAAACAGTCACCATCTTTATTCTCTTATTTCTTCTCCTAGCATTCTACCCTCTACAAGAAAAATATTATAAATCAAGGCTGAAGCCTTGTAAGTTGTAACGTCTATAAGACAAAAAGCCACCTAATACTTGTGCACCATAACACCACTTTGACCCAAACAGTGTCATCACAAGGATAACTTAATCAATTTGCTGACAAGAATAGTTCTGATGAAATCATGAGTAGAATGATTTAAGGTTTCTAGAGTTACCGCGCATAGCTATCTGAATTTGTAGGTTGTGAAGCCCATTGCCCATGCCTGGACTCCTGTATCAAGAGTAGAACTCTTGAGGATGAGGGCATTACACCAGAGAATAAAAAGCTAAGACAAAACAAATAGCAGATTATTCTAACCATTTCCTCCACAAATCTGGAGCCTTGCGGAGGGTGCCATCTCCACTGCAAGGAACATCGCACAGGACACGGTCAAAGAGCAGCTGACCCATACTTTGTTCAAGTTCTGGGCCAGAGTGTTTAGATAAGGCTTTGCTACGGCAACCAGGAAACTGTTGAGCCTCATTGTTTGTGACTATCAAGTTTGCAGTGCACATCCTCTTTGTTTGGTGAATGAGAAGATTACATCTTTGAACATCAAGATCATTTGCTATTACCTAAAGAAGACAGTACGACATACTTATAAGCCAATTCGTTACAACCTGAAGAATCCTGCTGAAAACTAGGACAAGTAAAAAGTTGACGAATGGGCTTGTTATAAATTATTTCAGAATATGGAGACTAATAAAGATCAAATTATACTAGAGGTAGCCTAAATACTATGTAACACTCACCATCCCTTCTGGAAGCAATCCTGGTTTTGTTGATTGGTATATGATCTCTAGCAGCTGAAATGTTTTTGAACCCGGTGCCGCGCACACTACATAAGTAGAAGGTAGTCAGAAACTCTGCGTTGGATCTGAAACTTCCAAATTCAACCCTTAAATATAGAACAGAAAGGTTGCATGAGAGATCAATTGTGCTCATTCAGAGAATATTGAGAAACATGAGGGGGTTGAGGTTCTAGGTAACAGAAAAGGAGGGTTACGGGAAGGGGAGAACATCCCCGTTCCTTGCACAAATGGGCCTTCAAATGAAAGGGAAGAAAAGAAGAGTAAGATTGAAGGAGGGAGGTGGTAAGAGAAATTTTACAAAGCTGCATTTATCGAGAGTATAACTCCTTAAAACAGAGATAATTCCAAGTCGGATATCTAAAAGATGAAGGGTCAATGACAGCATGTAGAAAACCAGTAAAAATAAATTTCTCAATGAGCTAATAATTTTCAGCAATAAGATGCTTACTGTCAAGGATAAAGTGTTCTGGACGTACATCAAGGAAAAGTGGTGGAACCTGCTCCAAAATTAAAATAATAATTGGAAAAGCTGATTAACTAGCCAAAAGGACATGCCAAACGCTCGTCTGACAGATATAGAGAATCAGGAAACAATCGTGTAAAATTTCCAAATGCTAGGCTCTCACCATGCTGACAGCCTCCTGTCTAGTGATGTTCCCAATTTCATTTTCCAGCTTCAAGAATTCATGAAACCTGAAAAGAATAGTAACTTGCATCAGTAACAGCTAATATGCTAATTTGCATACATCAATAGACAAATGAATGACAAATAAATAAATAAATAATGGATTCAAAAATCTCCACTGCGTTTTCAAAGTCAGTATGAGAATGCAACTCATAACAAAACCAGGTAAGTAGTATACCTAAATAGAAAAATGTTACTCTTAACACGAAGCGAACTGGATAAAGTGAATAGTGCAAAACTAAACGCCATTTAAGTATCAAATCCAAGGACAGAGCTACCATGTTCTACTATCATCAAATTCCCACCATTGTTCTAGCGGGCATCAAACTCCACCCATGACCCAGAAATGACAGTGCATAACCTGTGCTTCCCATATGTATAATAAGAGCTTTTGTATGCAGATTCTTCCGTTGGATCTTACGAATGATTGCATCATCATTTCTTCTAAATAAATAACCCAACGATGCTCAGTGTTTAAATTTGACTCACAAAATACCTCCCACTTTGAATCCCAGTGAGATATATAAAGCAAGCTTCACAAGTGTTCACAGACATATGTGCAACCCACAAATAAGTAGCTTGAGAGTAGCAAAATGGCATACCGCTCAAGGGTTTGATTTTTTCTCAGCTGCATGCGAGAATAGTTTGAATGCCAAGCAAGATTATCAGGGTACCAAGCCAATGGTCTGATAGCCTCTATCTCAACCCCATCAGCGCCCTAGAAGAAGAAGAAGAAAATGATACATTAAAAAACAAGCTATATTATCCATGGCAAGAAGAACTAATCATTGCTTCTGCAGTCTATTATTGATGTTAAAAAACTATGAGTTACCTCAGCTTGAAGACATTTCATGAAATCATTCTCTAACTGCTGCCTAATATCAGAGGAAAACTGACTACTGCAAAATGGAAGGCCAGAGTAGCATCAATCATCACTAGATACGAACAACCCAAAACAAAGAAATGCAACAAACTAAGTCGCGAAACAGCACTTCACCTGGAATTTATTCTAAAAGCAGCCGGCAACGGCGTGCGAAGGACCTCCATGAAAGTATCCCACTCTTCCGCCGACACAATTCCTTGCTCCTGAAGATCACCAACCAAGGAGAACAGAAAACAGTAGAAATCAATACAAACCCGCTAAAAACACAGACAGACGGACGGACTACTCGCCCTCCACTTTTACTGAGGGGGACACATGGGGGAGTTACCTTGTAGTACTCATCGAAGGCGGTGTTCTGAGTAGCGAAAGGCTTCCAGCTGCGATCCACGGCGGTGGCGGCGCTGTTGCCGTCGGCGGTAGGGTCGGACTTGGGGCGTTTCCAGGCATTCTCTCTCCCATCTCGGAAGTGCTTTCTCTGAGTTCTCGACCTGCTGCCTCGCCCTCGACCGCCGCCCATTTTTCGTTCTCCGACGCGGAGTTAGCCTTTCCCTGCTGCGAAGGTGCAATCAAACCTACTAGTGTTCTTCTTCTATTCTCTTTGTCCCAGCCAGGAAAAGAGCGTACGACCGGCGGAGAGATGGTTATATATAGAGAGAGAGCAGTCTGACGGCGGCAGTTTCCCCGTCCCCGTGCGGCGTGCACCAGTGCTCCACTCAGCGGACGCGAAAAGAGCGGCAGTGGGCTCGGTTGAGGCCGGCCCGTAGTCATGACCTGATGTTAAGCCTGTGTTTCGTGGGCCTTCAAAGTCCAACCCTTATGGGCCAACGATTGCTTGGTCTGCCTATTTCGCCTATCCATGTTGACCCTAACAAACGGTTGGATTCAGCTTCATTAGATATCCACGTCACAAATACTTACCCAAATACAACGAATTACTTCTATACGAAATTGATTGAAAATCATCTTATGCAAAATTTTCGTTAAATCATGTAAAACTAAATTTTAAACCAAAAACTTATTTTTGGTAAAAAAAATATGTGATGCTAAAAGGATGCCCCCTGCTTAGTACGTTATACCAGAACAAAGAACCGAGCATTGCTTGTCTTTTATCGTCCATAAAGAAAGCAAAAACCCTAATCTTTATTTTTTTTCCTACGTGGCAAAATTTAGAAATTTTTTATCCCATTTCGTAAAATTTCTTCTGATCCAAACAGAAAGGACAACAAAACCAGTCTCTGTCCACCAAGCCAGAAAGGTTCGTTTTTTAAATGCTGGGCCAGAAATAGGAATTTGGGCCGAGAGACAGACAGTAGAGTTGGTTGTCACGCCGGTCGGCGTGCCACCGGTTGTACCGGGTTCAACCGGTATCGGTCATAAAACCGGCATGACACTACCGGGATGACCGGCATGATCGATATACGAATCTCTAAGTAAAATTACATTATTTTAGAGAATTTAATTGATAAAAAATATTTTATTTTTTATTTTATGAGTATAAAAATTAAATATTAATGTTATTTGTTGGATTCAAGTATAAATGTTTAGCTATTGACGTTAAATGCCATGTTTAAATATGAGTATTTATAATTTTATTTGTAATATTGACCGGCATGAACCGGCACAAACCGGTATGTGCCACCGGTTGAACCATTCAACTTGCTAAACCGGCACACTGGCATAAACCGATTTCACAACCTTGAAGTAGACAGTTCGTTCCTTCTGCTCCTAATTTCGTTTTCCCCACCGTCTCCGTCGTCCTCCTCAAACTAAAACGTAAACAAAGTAACCGAACCAGGGGGAAAAAAAACAAGAAAAAAAAATAGAGAAACCAACCACTACCCAATTCGTCACCATTTCCCCCATTTCTTCAGCCAGGAGGAAACCCTCGCAAAGCCAGGGGGAAAAAAAAAATCCTTCCCACGCCATGGCCGCCCTGCGAAATCCTCCTACCACCACCACCACCAACAACAACAACAATTTCCCCTTGCTGCTCTGCCTCTTCCTCTCGATTACCACCGCCGCGGCGGCGGCGGCCAAAGCACCCACCATCTACGACTACCTCAACAGCAACGGCCTCCCGATCGGGCTCTTCCCGGAGGGGATAACGAACTTCTCCCTCGACTCGGCCACGGGCCGGTTCCAGATAAACCTCACCCAGCCTTGCAACGTCAAGCTGGAGAACCAGCTCCATTACGATTTCAACATCTCCGGCCTCCTGTCCCCGGGCAAGATCCAGGAGCTCTCCGGGATGTCGCAGCAGGAGCTCTTCCTCTGGTTCCCCGTGAAAGGGATCCGCGTCGACGACCCCAAGACCGGCTTGATTCACTTCGACGTCGGGGTGGTGGATAAGCAGTTCACTTTCTCTATGTTTGAGATCCCCGGCCAATGCATCGACGGCGGCGAGCAACCTTCTCAATCCTCCGATTCCTACTGGTTTCAGGTTCGCTCTCCGGTGAAATTCCTCTCCTTTTTCTCGTTTCCCCTCCGCTAGGGATTTGATCGAATTGTTTGTCTTGAGAAGCTCTGGCTGGCCAAATTTTGAAAAAAAACCTAGATTGGAAATGTGGGAGAGAACCAATTGGATCTTTGAGCAGGGCATTTCTAGGGATTTGCTGACTTTGTCAATTCATGCCCTTTGAATTGGTGGTTTGAAAGTTGAATTGGGAGAGTCCCAAGCCCCAGTCTAGTTGCTTACAGAGTTTCTTGTTCATGCAAGCTGAGATTGTTTGTTAATGGATGCAATTTTCTATGTGGGTTTCTTTCAGGAACGCTATGAGAATCAAGGGGTGTTGAGGGCGGATTCATAGACCACCACCATTGGAGGTGGGAGCAAGGGGATTTTGCTGCTGCTACTGCTGCTTGGCTTCTTGAGGGTGGAGAGAAACCAGATACTTGTTTGTAATCACAGATTTGCCCTGTCTTTGTGTTCTTTCAAGGTGTTGTTTGTTGCTTGCAGTGCGCCTTGCTTTGTTGTATAGAGAGGTTCTTCTATGTTGTGAAATATGTTGATGATGATGATGATGATGATGGAGGAATGAAAGCCAATGTCTTTGAAGAATGCAAGTACTGACAATCTTTATATCAATCAAGGATCATATCTGTATACATAGATTTTGTATGCAAACAATCAATTAGTGCCATTGCACCAGAAGGTCTGTTCATAGTTGAATGTTACTTTATGTTGGTGAACTCGCTCTACATATATATAATCTTATTATTATTACTTTTATTATTATGTAATTAATGTTTGATACCTATCAATAATGAAGCTGAAATTGTTAATAAACAGTGATCAAACACTCAACAGACGACACTGAAATTATGATTATCATTATTGACACTGAAATTATGATTATCATTATTAGTCAAATGATGGTTTTGTTCTTCTTTTTTCTTAGTGATATCAATGAGAAATAATAGTTAAGCTTGCAATTCTACCCAGTATCCCTAAAAGATTCTACATAAGTCACCCCCAAGAAATCAAAAGATTCTAGCTCTACAAGAGATAAAAGCAGTGCTTTACGCGCCACTATATGGGCAGTATACTGTTGGCAGATCTAAGTACCGCCTTAAACTCTATACAAACAGACAAAGAGTTAAGGATCTGAAGATACTCTCGTAACACCGGACCACCAATCGAGTCTTCTAAGACGCCTTGACGGACTTGGTTGACGACCACTTCGGAGTCGTCTTCGACTATCACGTGGGTCAAGGATCTTGAGGCTACAAAGGAGATAGCATCCCTGAAAGCTAGAAGTTCAGCAGATAAGAGTTGACTATTCCTTGATGCTGCAACCCGAAAGCCAACATCACATGCCCGTCTGAACCACGAATAACAAGACCAGACACACACCCGGAGGCACTAACAGCTGCGTCAACGTTGATGTATGTTAACTAATATTATGATTTGTTTAAAGCAACTTTTTTCATTATGATTCAGTAAGATAAATTGTGTATTTTAGTCAAATGACAGAGTAAGAAATCTAAATAAAGCGGCTAAAAATCTATATTTTTGAAGAATTTGAATTAATAAGGAACTAAAGTCTTACCAACTACTACTCTACCAAATTAATTTCAAACTTTACTTGTAAAAATTTGAGGGGGTCATAGCTTATCCTCATATCCTACCATCAATGTGCTCTGTCACTGTTCTAGTCTTCATGAAATCAATAACAACTAAAGAAATTTTATTTTTAATTTTCACTTTAAAACATTGTTTTATTCTGCAAGCCCAGCACCAACGCAACAGACACTTAAAAGCAAATATATATCCTGGGAAAACTTGTACAGTGCAACTATCTTCCTCGCTTGGTACAAATTAAAACAACTAAGTTCAACCTGCGGACGAGATATAACATTTAGCAGTCAGTCACTGCCACCTCTTCAACCAAAGGCCAACACAAACAAGAACATCAAGCCTTTCCCTCAAGAGTTCACTAACGGTCCTATGTAATATAACCAAATCAGGGAACTGATCTCTCCTGCAGCAGCGTGATAATCCTAGTACCGATCATGGCGCCTGTGACAAAAAGCCGATCGGTGAAACAGTTTAGTGATTGAAACTAGATCAAACTTGGATAGGTAATTGATGGGTAATGCATACTACCTGTTGCGGTCATAATCCCTAGAGCTCCGTTCCTTGGAACGAGATCGCGACCTTCTGCGACTTCTGTCATAATCCCTGTCACGCTCCCGATCACGGTCATATCCATGATGATCTCGATCGTGGTACCTGTCACGATCCCTGCTGCTTCTACTACGGTCGTAGTCCCTGCTGCCCCTATCACGGCTACTCGCCCTGTTGTCACGATCCCTACTCCGTTCTCTCTCAGGGTCCTTACGATCTTTGGACCTAGCAGGTAAACAAATTCGTTACAGTTATAGCAGTTGCAAAATGAAACGATGGATGAAAAATACTATTGTAACATGAAAAGGACAAAAATAGATTACCTGCGTTCCTCCGGACGCTCAACTTTCCGGATTTTGGTTTTCTCTTCCTGGCACATTAGTTATAGAAAAAAAACTACTGAAAACCACAACCTTAAATGACAAGCAACCACTTCGTAATAATAGAAATGGTTTGAAGTCACTGGAACTGGAGTAATTTGATAATCCATATTACTGGCAGCACTTATATTGTTCTAACCAAATGGTCGTTCCATCAGAATTAGAATGAATAAACTATACCAAGATAGAGCCATTTTATTTATCTTAAACGGTGCTCACTCAAAATTGAAAAATCCCAGTTTAGATTCCGCAATGAGAGAACATAATGTCCATAAAAGAGTGAGTAAGATAGGTTCAAAAATGGTATTATATGCCTGCTACAGCCATATTGATTTCCAACTGCAACGAAAATGTGTTCATATAAGTTTCAAGGAAAAGGAAGGAGTATTTCGATTCCGGAGTCAGAAAAACTCACAGATAGAATTCTAACCGAGTATCTCTACAGAAGAATGTGAAACATTATACCAGCACCTGAACCAACATACCCACAATACCGACTTAAGGACATGTTCAAGGCATGAATAGAAAGAAAAACCTATTTACCCCTTCATGAAAACTATGCAGCATATTTTAGGAGCAAATAACTTGCAAAATTTGTAGGAAATGAGCAAGTTACAATGGAAGGTGACATGAACATGACGATGAGCAAAATCACTAAGACAGGGAAAAAAACTTGCATGAAGTGAACTGTACTACTGATTTCATCTTTCTCGATTCTCATACCTGAAGCTCAGCAAGTTTTTCACGGATTTGCATATAGCCTAGATGTAGCTTGCCTCCAAAATGATCAGCTAAGCGCCGGTCACTGAAATTAGCAGGAAAAAATCAATATATCTCTCTTAACCCCAAATACTACATAAGAAACAAAATTTGAAGTATCCCCATCATTATCAAGCAACAATATGATCTACAAGCATATAAAAAACAGAAATAGACGCACATTCTTTAGCTGCATAAGTATGCCTCGTAAAACTGGGCCCAAAAGCCTGCTGGTAACAAGGAGGTATAATATTTGCGTCAAAAGCAGAACCACTTGAAACCCCAAATGCTAATTGCGTGTCTCCCTCAAAAGGATTTACCAAATCAAGTCATTTAAGGTGCGATAGATACAGCATACCTATCATAAACGCTCAAAAATGCTCCGCAAATGTCACAAACACGGAGTTTCTGATCAGTCTGATTAACAGATAAAAAGTGAACAAACACGGATCAGGAGACATAGCACATAGAAAGAGGCATATTCAGGGCATGAACATGTTCAGAAGTTATGCATGATAATAGCAACTTACAATGCGCACATCTGCAGCAGTATACTTGGAGCTGTCTACCGCAGGCTCCTGTCTGGCAGGCAGCTGAAAATGGAAAGAAGGATATGGTTATATACAAGGCCAAATAACAAATGAAAAGGTAATATCATTTGTAGTAAAGACAACTGGCTAAGAAAAATAGAATGCTTAAACTACAATGAAGTAGATGCAGTCTCATATAAGTAAAGTCAGGACTTTTAACCTTCTTCAGTGCTTCAGCCTCTTCCAATGCTTTCTGGGCCTCATCTACCATTCCCTGCTCACCTAAAAAATCCAGGTACAACATTAAAGATGTCCGTATGGAGAACATTCGACGATAACAGAACCAATATGATATCAAGTAAACAATGAACTTTGATGTCTCCAGCAAATATGGACGAGAAGAAAAAAATTATACATAAAATAAATCCTTTAGCAATAATTTCTGGATGATGCAACTCGAAGGATGAGCACATGTAATTGACTTGTGATGTTAGACCAAGAAAAGGCTGAAGTTGAGTGGCGCAAACGAATGAGAAATTCATAGCTGAACCTGATAATGATTACTAATTAAGACAATTCTGAGTAACTGGAATCTTACCAAGATCCTCGGCTTTCTTAAGCTTCTCGTTTATCATTTCTTGAGTACGTTGATCTGGAGCTGAAACAGGCATTGGAGGAGGTGGTGGCAGATTTGCTGTAGGCTGGGGTAGTAACGCCCTATCTTTATTAAATGCTTCCAGAAGAAGTGCAGACTGTCAACAAAAAGTATAATTTCTTTAATAAACACAGCTTAGGAAACAAAAAAACAATACTGAGACACCTAGACGTGCCATAATTATGAGTCAAATAAGATTCTGAAAGAACCGCAAACTACCTGCTTCTCTGCTCTTTCAGTTCTGAGTTTTTCAACTTCTTCTAGAGTTTGGATTTTGAAATCTGTCTTGCCTTCAAGATCTGCAAAAATAAAACAATAGAGTACGCTCATTACAGACAACAAGAGGCATGGCCAGAATCGAGTGATTAGCCTTCCGGAAGAACCATCATTCTGACACACACACAACATGATGTCAATGGCACCACATCCCAAGTGAGGGAAAGAAAAACCTTCATATCAAAATAAGAAACTGAGTTTAATTTTAGCTGAATTCCTCATATCATACCATATTTATCAACATCTTTAAGTTTTTCCTTGATCTGCTTAGACAACTCAATCAACTCTTCAGTCTGCAGTTCCAGGAAACAAAATTACTTCCACAAAAGCGCAAGAGTTCATGAAAGCAATTAGCCAACAAAACAAAAGAAAGTTCTACGACACCTGAGTAACCTCGGAAACTGATATTGCAATGGCAGCCTTTGCATCATCATCCTCCAGACGTTTGAGAGCTCTACCGATCTTCTTGTCACACTCAACAATGAGTCTATCTATTACATCCTCCAATTCTCTGTCATAACTATCAACACCCTTTGCCCTAGCTTCTTCATATCTAGAAATGAGTTAACGAATCACACCAACAACATGGATAAAAGAAACCAGAAAGTTGGGTCAAGAAACTTTAGCGCAATGTGTAGGGAAGGATACTCTTTCCGCAACTGCAACGAGTGGACTTTTGGGCAAGGACCCATATCCATTTTCTGAAAGGGAAGAGACGGAAACATTCAGACAAACACATTATCAGTAAAAATCATCCGCATATGAACTTAAGACATGCAAATCAACCACCATTACAGGTGTGAAAACCACGTCCTAATTCATAATGGTGGTGAACTCACAATTGCAACAAAATCAATATGTTCTACTATAGTTCTATCCAATTCCGATACCGCAGCCAAAAAGCACCCACATCGGGTCCCCTAAATTCGCCGCTCTCTCGACAGATGAGAGAAACCCAAGCTAACGAATTCAACTACAAAATGTCCAGAATTCCTAACGCTCTATTCAGCAAAACTACAGAGGAAGACTAGCAGGCTACTGATAGGGCCTACGGAAAATATGCATCAGCTGAAAGAAAGCTCACTAATGAGACTGAACTAGAGAAATCCCAGGAGCAAATTTACCGTCAGCTGGAAGAGCTCGTGAGGACAGAGGCCGACCAAGTACATCCGGCAAACATCACGATCGTAGTACTTGCGATTCACCTCTGTAACGTCGCCGTTCCGGTTGGCCCCCATGAGCACATCCAGCTGTTTCCTCATCGCATCCATCGCTGCCTCCTTCCTCTTCTCTTCTTCCGCCTACTTGGCCACGAGATCGACTCAAGCGAGTTTGGGGTTCGTTGATTATTGCAGATTTTCCCTTTCAATTCCCAATTTCTAGGGTTACCGAGAAACTAAAAGCAACAGAATGCCACTGTCGCTGCCAGTCTTAGGGGTCGTTTGCTTCATGGATTTAAAAATGAGGGTTTTGTAATTTAAAAACTCAAGGATTTATCAAGGATTTGAGGTATCATGGATTTGTAACAATTCTTTGTTTGTTGGGATGTTTTTATCATGGATTTAAAGGTGTGGGATTTACTACTTGAATTCAAAAATTACATTACTGCCATTTTCTATACGTTTGACATGTTTATGATATGTACACAAAACAAGGACAAAACTTCAAAATTACCTTACTATCATTTTCTATATGTTTGACATGTTTATAATATGTACACAAAACAAGGACAATACATACTAATAAGCATAATGTTGCCACATGGACAATAATAATAAACGAGAAAATTCCGTTTTAACTTTTAACGTAACATAATCAATTACCAATTCTTTGTCCTCCTTTTCAAAAGTGACATATAACAACATATATTAGAATCGGGAGAACAAAGAATTACACGTTCCATGAAAAGGTCAAAGAAAACTAGAACACAAGAAATGATATAAAAAATCTAACTCATGTTTGCACATTAATTGAACGTTTATATTATTCATTTATTGTTAATTATAATGTATAATAGTTAAATTTGAAGGCAACCTTGGAATATTAAAAGTGCATGAGGGTATATGGATAAAATCTCATCAAGGATTTATGCCATATTCCAAATCCCACATCAACATGTGGGATTTATAAGTCCGTGGGGTCCACGGATTTGGACCATTAAAATCCGTGGGCCCCACGGATTTGGTCTCCAAAAAAGTGCAAGCAAACAACGGATTGTACCTACATCCTTGATAGTTGGTTTTTTTGTACCAAATCCATGTACCAAATCCTTGAAGCAAACTACCCCTTAGGTGTGTCTCGACGGGGAAAGAGGAAGCAATTACAAAGGTAACTTAAAACAACATAACGCCAAGCTTATCCAAAAGCATTTAAGTAAACTTTACGGTAGTTGGGCCTAACTGTCCAATGGGTTAATGAGAACCGTTTGAGGCCCAGTCCAGCCCAGGCCCGAAACAACAATCTATAACAACAGCCGTCGTCCTCCCTCGTCAAAGTCATACTGGAAATCGGAAACTTTGCCGGCGAGACGATGGGGAGAAAGGTAGTGTTGCTGTTCTTGTTTACTCTGTTGTCCGTACTCTCTCTCTTTGCTCCGTCTCTCTCCGGGTTTCAGTCCGATGAGCTTCTCGTAGACGACGACGAGGTCGGCCAACCTCAATCTCACTCTCAGCAGAGCTCTTCGGTTACCAAATCAGATCAGACTGTCACTCCCTCTCCAACTCCTCGGAGGAAGTTCTCGGATTCCGATTCCGACTCCAAGATCCAATTCACCCTCGAGCATGCCTTCGGAGACTCTGATTTCTCACCCGCCGGCACCTTCTCCGCACGCCTCAAAACATCCGCTCACGGCGGCCAGGTTCCTTCCCTCTCTCTATCTCGCCCTTGCAATTGAGTTTTCGTTCCGATTATCCATAACTATCGCTCCATTGGGAGGTCTTGGATGTTCTACAAATGACGAATTTGCGTTTATTCATAGATTTGAGTTCTTAAAGATGGATCAGTTGGAGATTAGCTGATTGCCCCAATCAATCAAAACTTCATTCTGATATTCGTTTCTCTTTCGGCCTGATTTTAACGTTCATGGCTACTTCTTTGGAACAGACGCTCACAAAACTGAGATTCTCCCGCAATGCTTTTACGGATGCAGAGAAAGAGAGTTTCAAGGTGAATATCTGAACTTCCTGCAGGCATTTATGTTTCTCGGGCTTGCCTTTTTTAATCTGCTCAAGTAAACACAGTTTAATGCTTTAAAGTCGTTCGCAATTCCTGCAGAGCCTGGTTGAAGGTGATGATTTCTACAAGATAAGGCTGCCGTCTAATGTCTTGAGTCCTCCTGGCAAGGATTTCGTCGTCACGTCTGTGAAAGCGGTAAGTTGTTGGTAATGCGACTGTCTTTTTCACGTTTGAGTACTGCTGCTGCACTTACGGTATTCTATCTATGAGGTGCCATTGCATACTGTGCTAATGCTTGTTTTGTTACCCTCAACAGAGATGTATTTCGAGAGAGACTTTGGATGAGCACTTTGTGATACACACGGTAAGTTTTGCGTATTGCTGCTAGGCCTACTCGACTCTGTTAGGATTTTATCACTCTCATGTCCCTGTCATTGCCTTAAAAAACCAGCCTCACTGGATCAGTTGGCTAGTTATCCTAAAACATGTTTCAGCAACCTATCGTGATTTGAAATTACCTGGGCCAGTTCCAGTTAGAGACTTCTTGTCCTTGTTTTCATTCTTTCGATGGTTGATAAATTAATCTTTTAATTTCCTTGTGTTTTATTTGCTTCTTGTAAAGAAACTATGTCTATGGGGATTCACACCCATTGTTGTTCCCTGGCACTCTAAACCGTCATGTCATGTGAAAGAATAGGCAGTGAAATAATAGGGGAAATAAATTATAGATGTTCGGTCAATTGTCCATAAAACAGGCTTGGGATGGGCAGTGGTGGTGGTAAATGTAAAAGCTTTGTGTACTTAGACTTGTTTGGCTAGGCTGCTTTCGGTCTTCATAATGTTGCTTCAACTATTATTTCCCCCTTCCTGCAGGAAGGTGTCAACATCTTGGGTGTCAACTATGGTGCCCCAGCACCATGTTCTTATCCACGGCCAGCAAAACTTGTGAGTTGCAGTGTCCTTTTCTTCTTGCTCTTGGGTTCTTGTTTTCAACAAACTGAGTATAGGAACTTTTGAATTGCTAGATATTAATTATATATCAGAAAGCACTAGCAACAAAGTATTGTAAGATGTAACAAATCCTCAGAAAAGTTGTGAGCCCTAATTGTTGAATACATTGCTCGAGAAACCTACGGTCTTTGCTGTGTGCTGTTGAGGTAGGTGAGGACTTTATAGTGTCAAGAACCAGTTGATCTCAATAACTTGAGTTGTTGGGAGAGGTTCAATCGTGGATCGTATACCACACACTAACACGCCCCCTCAAACGAAAGTCATTCACAAGGGCTTGAAGTTGCACAGGTCTGAACACAAGAATACCATGTGCTTAACAAATGGGGGTCGCGGGGATTCAAATACAAGACCTCTCGATCACATAATGCTTTGATACCATGTCAAGAACCAGTTATTGGGACCAACTGGTTCTTGACATATAGCATGCGTCCAATCCCAATTCCATATTTTGATTGTGAACACTTCTTCTAGTGCACTGAGTTTCTGTTGCTTAAAAATGAGCTCCTTGTTTCTTCTACTTTCAACCCTACCAGTGGAAGCACGAAAACTGTGAGACAGCCTGATGAAATTTTACATGGTCCTGCAACAGTTGAGTCATTTTTATAATGAAAGACCGTAATCAAGATGATACTTTCTTTTTTAAAGAAAATCAACATTATATTGGATTAAACTTATTTGGTGATTTGTAAAGTTCAAGTTGTTAATTTGCAATCATGCAAGCAACTCTAACATGTGGTTTCAATACTTCCAGCCTTCGAAGTGGTTATTCAACTCTTACACAATTCTGAAGAATACTGAGCAGGCACCAAGGTATGGTATTTCTGCCTTCTTATTACCATTGGGACTTTAGCATTGGGGCTCTTTTGCTATTAAATTAGATACCTGCAAAACAACTGTGCAATTCTCTACACATGTGACTACTTCAGAAATAATGAGGCCACTATTAACTGCTCCCTTCTAAATCAAGCATCCAAACAATACCATTTTTCAAATCTACTACATCTTCCATCTCATTCATTCATCAGTCGCACGTCCATTTGCGCTTGAATGATTCTGCGAGACAAACTGAGGTGATTACTGTATGTGCAAATGCAAAATTGTTTTTTGTTCATCCTTAAATTCCAATATGTAAGTAGGTATTGGTAGAAGAAACCAACTAGGGTTTAATGACCTTCTGTTTATGGAAAGTCAATAGGCAACAAAGTAGGAACAGATTCAACTGTTCAAGGTGCCACTATCTACTGAATAATGAAAATTGAGCATCTTACCTCTGGATCCATCCGTGCTTGTCTGAATTTTGCACAAAAACACAGGTCAAAGAAGAAGGTTGCTGAAACAGAATAATAGTAGAAGTGATATACTCTGCTAGAGCTTCAGTTCCCTTGTTGGCTACTCCATAGTTTTGGTTGCTGAGTACTAAAATATCGATGCATACATTATGCCCTTTGCAACATCCAGTCTTGGTTGTGGTGCATTTTACATGAAGCATGATATCTGGAGTCCGAGTCTTGGAGCCCAATTTCCGTGGTTCTTACTTCCTGAAATAGTACCTCACTATATATAACCTTCCGTAATATATTGATCTGCGTATTGTGAATGATTAAGCGGCAAAAAAATCATGTGCTTCAATGCATGTGCCACCATATCACAAGGCCAGTCAGAATCTTAGTCTACTCTCCATGCCACTCGTTGCAGGACTCCACTATTTATTCAGGATGTGTTGAAGACTGGGGAAGAGGGCGAAGGTGAAGTGGTTGCACCACCAGAAAGGTCCTTCTGGGCTAAATACGTAAGTTTTCTGTTCAAATCCCTTATTGGTCTCTCCAGATAAGTACAGCATCACTAGAAATTTAATTACGGCAAAACAAAGTAGCACGCAAGCATTCATGCTAATAAATACCCCTTTTGACTTCCTCCCCAGTGGATGTACGTGATACCTTTGGGGCTCATAGTGATGAATGCCGTAACACAAGCCATGAACATGCCCGAGGAGCAAGCCCCCGGGCAGCCAGGCGGAGGAGCGCCTGCAGCACCAGGAGCAGTCCAGCGTGCTCCCAGCTCTGCCGCTAGGAGACGATAGAAAAGTCTGTGCACGACAGTACTGTAGAAGTCTTCGCCGAGCCTTGTCTAAGCGAGCTTTACCGGCCATATATGGCTCGCAAGTCGCATCCACATTAATTCGACTCTCGTGGATGGCCATTTCATAGGATACTCAGTGTTGTAGATGCTCTAGAACCCACGACACTATGTTCAGAATTTGCTATGGAGGGGCATGGCAGTTGCCTGGGGATTTTCTTTGTACTGTTTAAGTTTTCAGATCATAGATTTTGGTTCGATTGCCACAGCTCTTGATTTTCATCTTGTTTAAATTAAAAACCCTAATTCGCACGGAATCTACTCTCAAGATACAACTTTCAACCTTGGAAAGAAGCTGTCCAGATTTCCAAACAGAGGCCAAATGCAATTAGGGGTGTGGGTTCGGTTACCCAAACCGAAACCCGAAAAACCCCAAAACCGAAAATCACTAAAACCGAACCCGATAAGGACTTGCGGGTTTCGGGTACCGAAACTCGAAAATTCCTTATCGGGTTCGGGTCGGTTAAAGCAAAACCGAAACCCGAATGCCTAAAAATACTGGCTAGAGTTTTATTCATTGGAGGTTTTTAGCCGGAACCCGAAAAATCGATAAACAAAACCGAACCCAAAACCGAAAAACCCGAAACCCGAAACGAATCCGAAGCTGAAAAACTGAAAATGTATATAATCGGGTCGGTTTCGGGTAAACCCGAAAAACCGAACCCAAATTGACACCCCTAAATTGCAATAGGCAACCGTTTACCGGTTCAATTGACGGCCAATCCAGCTGCGGTAACAGAAGTGGCCTCCCGTGCAAGAAAAGAAACTTCGTCATTTCCTTGATTTATCTTTTCTTTTTTCATTTATTAACTTTCTCAGCTATCCAGGCTCTACCTCTTTCCCACAAAAACCCTACATTCCGAAGTAGCGGCGGCGATGGTGTCAAAGCCCTGACGGAGCCTGGACTCCGCTGTAAGTCTCCGTCGTATCGTACTCTCTTCACTCCTACATCTCAATCGGCACAAGCCGTCTAGTTTCTACCGAGCATCGCGTCCCTACAACATCACCAGATCGCCGCCGGAGCGAGGAAAGAGGCGCGAAGAAATTTTCAGATTCGTCAAATACTGATTTTAACAATGGCGGAAAGCGGCGAACCGAAGAGCAGCACTGCCGACGGCGCGCCGAGCACAGAAACGAAGATCGAGCCGTTCAGGATGCCGACGGTGGAGGAGATGCGAGCTCAGGAGGTGTGGAACAACTGCGCGATCCGGAGCGCCTTTAGCGGCGTGGTCGGAGGCGGGCTCGGGATCTTCATGGGATTCCTCCTCGGCGCGCTCGACAATCCGTTGATGCACGATCCGGACATGAGCGCCAAGAAGCAGTTCATCTTCACCGCCAAGCAGATGGGCAGCCGGAGTTGGAGCAACTGCAAGACCTTCGCCCTCATGGGCCTGGTCTTCTCCGCCGCCGAGTGCGTCATCGAGAAGGCCCGCGCCAAGCACGACGTCACCAACACCGCCGTCGCCGGCTGCGTCACGGGTGGCGCGATGTCCGCCAGAGCTGGCCCTCAGGCCGCGTGCTATGGATGCGCCGGTTTCGCTGCTTTCTCGGTACTAATTGAAAAATTCATCGATCGCCATACCTAGAGTTGGAGACTTCTGTGTGTTCCTTCGCGAGTTTTGCTGTAATTTTGGGATCATCTGTTATAGCCTTGGGGTGATAGTCCAGTGTGTTTTTTTATAGCTCAGATTAAGCAGTTTTTGAAGTACATTCGTTTACAAATCAACAGTTTCACATTGTCTCCTAAATAGTGAAATATCAACTTTCAATGATTGAAGGACTCGGTTGTTAGATGGTTTACATCACTGTTATTACAAGCTATTGCCATCTTCTGGAATCGAAAAACCGGGGGGTCTATGAACCCTAATCCGCGGATAGGGGGGAAGAAGTGTACAACAAGAATGGAAATAGCCACAATGCCTTTAAGTAAATGAAAGGCTGCTACAAGCGAAAACGTAACAAATAGTACTGCTGCTATTGAAACGCTGAAGCCCAGATTTGATCGCGCTGCTCAGGCTTTTAGCTATATCTCGAAACGGGAGACGATTTCCTTAGAGCTCATCCTGCAATTTCGGGATTGAAGCACAAGGTCAGAGCACTAATTGCAGGACAGATGGTTTATGTGAGCTTAAGGATATTGGTTCTACACTTCTACTTACATGGTAGTCATCCCAGTGATCGCGATGATTGCGCTGCAAGAAAGAATTTCAGTCCAGTAATTAGCTTACTATTAAGTTGGAGTTGATACCATCTGATGATGATGATGATGATGATGATGATGATGATGATGATGATGCTATATGTTCTTACTAACCTTCTTATATTTGTCTCTGTATCTGTCCCTGTGGTTTCTGTCATACCCACGCTCTTTTCGCCTTCTTTCACCTTCCTCCCTCGCTCGTTGAGCTTCCTGAACCATTCTTGAAATCGTTAGTAAGTTACATTTTGTCGAGCAAGAAATATGATAAGCGTCAAGACTACTAAAGAATTGCACAGCTGGTCTGAAGTAAAACAGACCTCTTCTTCTCGAGCTCTCCTAATCTTTTCTGCCTCCTCAAAGGCCTCCTTCTCAATCTGCAGCATTCACCACCACCATACGCAAGTAAACAATTGGATCTCAGTGTTGGATTTAGTTTGATAAATGGAAAATTGCTCAAGAGAAAGCACTGTTGTCCTACCTCTCTATTGGACAATATATCTTGTACAACTTCTTTGGCATAGTCTGGATCATCGCAAATCAATACGTTGTCAAAAACCGAACCAGCCTTCACCTGCAATAAGACCACCAGGTGATACATCCATCAGCTGTCTTCCCTTTAAAATTAGCTAGTCACTTGCTAAAGATGCTGCAGAATCTCATGACAACTATACCTGCCAAACTTCAATCCCCACGTACTTAATTGGCTTGAGCACGTAGATATCCGGATCATCTTCAAACTCTGGGGCATTGCAAGTAGACAGAATATGAAGGTACTGTCAATTTCTGAGTTAAGATTTGTTCAACTCTACTTGAGAATGAACGTCGGGAGATGCATGGTGACATTACCTGGATTATCAATGTAGGGAATTCTCCACTTTCCTTTGTAATTAGGGTTCTTGATCCTCTGAAACATTGAAAAAGGTATCGATTATTATTATCAGGAAAAAAGAAGTCAGAGAAAACAACAAGACAAGCTGAATCAACATTTCTGAAACTATCATATGCTAAATGTCCATACCTTGGGTTTCCACGGTCCTTTATATTTGGGATTCGGTATCTTTGGTGGTCTCCATATGCCATTATCTTCATCATCCCAATCTTCAGGCTAATCAGTAGCAAGAGTACAATTACCAGGTTATGTAAGATCTTTCCTCATCACGTCACTAAAATGCACTTTTTAGAGAGAAAACCCAAAAAAGGTGTTTATAATCTGACACTGTAAGCATGTATATAGACAATCAATGGCTCAAACATTCAAAACTGAGATGAACTTAGCTTCCATTCCCTAGTATAAGTAAAAGAAGTTCTTGTCCAGAAATGTAAGCAACTTACCTCCTTGGCGCTTGGATCAGGAATCTCTTTAGGAATTGAATCGTATCCCTGCATTATCAAAGGACACAGAATTTCTTAGTATGTGATGCTTACTGTAGAAAATCATGAACCAGCAATAATAACAAGGCTTAGACCAGAAAACTGCACCTTAGGTTTGACAGCATTAGGATCATCGATATATTCTCTATCATCCCAATCAGCAGGCTGCAAAAGATGACAAATGATTGAATTAGAATTTCATATCCTAGTTCACAGACATCAAATGTTGGCAGGAAAACCGGTTCTATGGTCAGCTGATATAAAAACAAAAGCAGTAACAACCTTCTTCGCGTTTGTAGCTCTAATTTTACGTGGAGGAAGAATATCCCAATCTGTGTACAAGCTTCCAGAATCCCTTTCACGACCATCAATCAAGATGCTATAAGAGGCATCGGGCCTCAGGACAAATGTGTAGAAATGAGTCAGCTTGTCAGTTTCACACTCCAACTCCTTCTTGATTGGGTAATTCTGTCCCTGGTAAGATACTATAAGATGCAGCTGTTTCTTTTGTGTGCCGCATAGGTCTGGTCCAAACATGATGCTGCAGAAAGAAAACAAAATTCAAGCATCAGAACACCATTGCAACTCAAGGTGATCAACACTGTAGCTAGCAGCTACTGCAAATTCCATCCCTTTAGAAAGCAAAAACCAAGGCTCAGCTGTTTTTGTTAGTTTCCTTCCTCTGTAGAAAATGAGAGATATTCTCACATTATCAACACTTGAAGCAGCAAAAAACTAATGTGATCCTATTTCTCCAGCTTAGGAGTTCCACTCCATCGATGTAGTTAACAAAGGTGAAAGGTTCCTGCCTCCAATAACCAAGAGAGGACACCAATTCACAACAAATGACTAAACAACGTCCTTACATTCATGTTCAGACTCACTTAGCCATCATTTGTTTAGCATACAAATACAGCTAGCGAGTTCCACTCAAGTAATTTCTCGATGTTGTAGTTCAGTTAAGCGACAAAGGGTTCCCAAAAATATCACAAGGCTGAAGCAGAAATGATCTAGCAAGATGATATAAACACCTAACCTGTAAGGAGTATCTCCACCAAACTTCTTCTGATTGACATAACCCGAGAGAAGCTTAATGTATCCCCCGCCGCACTCGATGTCCTGCTCTAATCTAATCGAGTACTGGAGAACCAGCGTCCTGTCCTTGTTGCTGAACTCAGGTATCTTTGCAGATATAGCAAAATGCTTGGCATCATTGGTCGTCTGGATACCTATCATCATCATCATCATCATCATAAAGTTAGTGATAGATAGAGCATAGCTTCTTCATTCTAGCTTTGATTAGTAATCCAATTTTGAGAGGAGAAAGGTAAATCACTTGAATAAATAAACTTGCCTTTGTCATCTGGATCGCCGGACCATTTCCCAGCTGTGTGTTTGAATGTTCCTGCTTTGCCTTCACTCCTCTTCCAATCCGACTTCACCCATCTGCCCTCCCAACCCTCTTCATTTTTTCCCAAGCAACAACAGAAAGAATCAACTCAGCAACCAGATCAATATATATTCATCCAACAGTCACAACTACAATTGGCAAAGTCAGCAGAAAGTCAACCCGACCGTTGCCGGAAAAAAAAAGAGATTAGATTCTTCTAATCTCTACTATTCGAAAGATAAAACTAACAGGCAAGCTACAAGCGAGGCCTAAGATCATCAATCTAGGTAAAGATCGAAGGCGGCGGCCGGCCGGCAGGGGAAGCAGAGCGTAAAATGGAGAGTGAAAAATTAAGGGGAAAGAGAGGAAGCATTTTCGTCGTCGCGCTTACCGTCGAATCTTTCTTCGAAGATGACCTCTGCGACACAGAGGTGGCCAGTCCCATAGAGCGAACGGAGAAGCAGCAGCAGCTGGAGTGTGAGGAAATGAATGGCAATGGAGTTGAGATGCTTCTTCTCCGCCATCGCGGTGAGAAATGAGAAGGTTCTACAGTGAATCTCACTCACTGCTGTTGCAGCTACAACAACAACATCAGTTCGAAACTAGCTCTTATTAATACATCACAGGTTGCGGAATTGCCCCTACATTCTTGCGCAATTTGCATTTCTAACCAAGTCAACGTCAACGGAATTGCAATTGTCGCATGCCACAAAATACCAAAACTCACTTTTTTGTTAGCAAGTCGAGTGATTTCGACCAGAATAATCCGGAATGAGTTATTTCAGTCGAAATAACTCATCTAAATGTTGCATCCAAACGATCCGTCCAATCGATATCATGAATCACTACTAAAATAAGAGATAATAACTCTTCAAGGTTCGGCTAAAATCGCATTTGAAAATTATTTTGTATGAAGAAAGAAAGAAAGAAAGAAAAAAGTGATTCAAATAGCACGAAAATCTCTCATAATGTAGATGGTTGTCGGATGCGCGTTGTCGTCCTGTTGCCTCCTTTCTTCCTTCCCTTAGCCAGGTAGAAGTGAAGTTCCTATTGAGGAAGAGATGTCTATTCTAATTCCATTATAGAGTCAGATTCATATGGAGTCTACCCTGTTTCAGTCCCACGGCTGACGATTCAATTCATATGCATACCGCTTATTCAACAACGGCTATTTAAACACCGCTTACTGTACCAGCGACCTGAAAAAGACATTTACTCTATGTGGTGTTTTTTTTAATACTGGATTATTTGTTTGATTTAATGAAAACAAACATAATTAAACGAAAATGACTTTCTTGATAGCATTCATATTAAATGAATAGAAAAGTTCCATATAAAATATTTTTCCTTACGCCAATGCATTTAACCAAACCCTAAAATCATTCCCAGAAAATAAAAAATAAAATAAAAAAAGCAAGGTCGTGCGTGACGTTTCACCACCACTCACCAGAGTGTTAAATACTTAGAATCCATACTTATTCCAAATTCAAAGTCTTTTCCCAAAAGTGCGCAGCGAAATTCCAAAGGCCCACCACCACAAAGATGAAGAAGGCCCAACATACGCGGATCAGCCCGCCGTAAGCCAATCAGAACGCAGCTCACTTCTCCACTGGCCAATCCCACCCCATACTGCACGCTGGCACTTCGATTCTCATTTCTCTTTCCCACATTTTCACACTCTTTCTTTCTTTCTAGCCAAGCTGCAACAGTCAAGATTCAAGAATGGATGATGCCGGCTCATTGGAAAACCTACTTAAAAAATTAAGTAATGGAGAGTTGATAACTCAAGTATTGTGGTTGACTCGCGACTCTTTCGCATTGCGATCATCGCTTTGTTCTGTTCTAGAATAGGAAAATGGATTTCGACATATATTTATTTATGTGGAGCCTCGCTTTGTTCTGTTCTAGAATAGGAAAATGGATTTCGACATATATTTATTTATTAGGAGAGGCTCCACGCAGACGGTTTTATGTGTGTCAAGTAAGAATCATTGATACCAACAAAACAAGGTGAAGATGTAAGGTTGTTCAAGACAAACGCAGCGTGTATGTGCCACTTTAGCTGACATGAGAGTCAAGTCATTCCCTGTCTCCTACTTGGTTGGAAAGGTAGCAATTGCAACTTATATACGTGAGATCAATCACCATATTGGTCATTAACCCACTTAACAACACTCGGGTCCTGGCAACAATGCACGAGGTCTCCTATATTTTGTATACCTAAAATGCACATAAATTTTGAAGCCAATGCCTGCTATAACGGAAACCCATCAGCCTTTCACGCCAATTTTATTGACATGGAGGATACAAAATGGCAAATGAACAACTAGTAATTCTGCTGATTACAGTTACACCATCACATATCCTCCAAAAGAAGCGCGGCACTTGACGTTTACAAGTACAGGAAGTAATCCGAGTTTTAACCTGAGTTCAGAAACAGCTGACCAGACTACTAAGCAATCTTCTTCGAAATAAGAAGAAGAAAAAAGAAAAGATGACTGAATAAAACCCTCTACCTCCAAAGACAAATAGGTTCGAAAACCACGAGCATTATAGCCGCGCGTAGGTGAAGAGTATTCATGGTTTCATTTGTTTCCTCTACTTAGCTTGAGGGTGCGAGGCTATGAAGTCAACAGCAAGGCTAATAGAATTGATCTTATCTGCTTCATTATCTGGTATCTCGAATCCAAACTCTTCTTCAAGAGCCATCACAATCTCCACTGTGTCTAAACTATCCAGGCCAAGGTCACTCTGGAAATGAGCATTTGTTGTCACCTGCATCATTGGAAAAGTTGTCAATCTGGAAACTGCACACTTTCTTCGCCCTAATAGAACAACCAAGACATAAAATTTTCTTAAATGGTAAAGCCACAAATCGCATTGGCAACTATCGATCAAATGGATTGGCAACCAAGCCCGGATAGCAAAAAAAATATGCAATTTACCAATTTAGGCTATTCTACAGGTCCATATATTAGCTACGAAATCTACCGAAAGCCAGCATAGAAGTTTCGCTTCCTGAAATAGATCTATCCCAAACTTAAAGCCATAAACATTTTATGTCAGCCAATGCAAACACTTCATGGTGGAACGTTTATATCAGCGGTACAGGCGAAGCACTATAAGAGTAGGATTTAATCGGGACCCCGAGAGAACAGTCCACAATTCTGTCATTCAAACAAACTACCAGTTACTTGCACACACACAAAAAAGATGTAGTAACTCAATCTCAAATTACCAACCAACAAACTCAACATTTGGGCTGTAGTTGAGCCTCTCCACTATTTAAGTACTTTCAAGTCAGCTCAACCATTATCATAGGCCATTCAAATCGAAAACATTCAATCAATTTCTTCCAAGTGAACCTAACCATCCAAAGTTTGCAGCACCTGATACTAATCATAGGTTGACACCCGACGGACATACTAAAAGCTCAATCTGAATCATTCGCAGTAATTATATGCTGCACCAAGTATTCAAACTACACCATAACTACTGAGTTTAACAATGTGGTCTGAATAGCTACCATACACAGGATATAACACCAACCCAATTAGTATTCTACAACGCCATGAGATTTAAAGAGCTTCAGCAAATCTCACTATCTTGGTGGTTGCCATACAGTGAAAGACCAATTTACCAAACAAGCAAACAATGCTAAATCTAAACTTAGAATAAAGGTGTTTCCATAATGAATCGCTTAAGAATGGTGCTGGCTTATGATTAATCGCAACGTTCGCAATTTATCCCTTCACAGAGTCATTCCGACAAACACCTAATAGATGTATATCATAAAAATTGATTCATTTCTCCATTTCCCAAACACATTCTACCTGAATCCGAAAAATTGGACGAGAATCCGAGAAATTACTCGTAGGGGAAAAAAAAACAAGCATTTGACAAAGCTACGAATGAGAACGAGATATTTACCTTGGAAGCCTCGACCTTCTGAAGGTTCTTGACACAATTGACGACGCGATCTGTGACCTCCGATTTGTCAAGGAAGGAGCCCCTAACCGCCTCGGAGAATTGGCGCAGAATCGCATTGAAAGAGAGACCGAAGAGCCCATTGTTGGGTTTAGGGTTTTGCGGGAACGCTTGCACATTCACTCGCAGGTGCTTCAGCAAAATTCCTCTCGCTCCCGCCATTGATACCGCCACTCCGCAGAATTTCCCGAGATGTTCCGCACGACGATGGTGGATGAATTGACGAGCTCTTCCGTCCGTCGATACTCCTCCCCACTGTGGCGATGTCTTTTGAGAAATAGCGACCAGGGCACTAGTGAGTAGTCACCAGTAAAAAGTTTAGAAAGTGCATCGTGGGCCTCTATCAATCACATTTAGCACTTGGGCTTCCTCATTTGGCCCGCAACTATAACGGATTTCCATTCTGGCCTTAACCACTTGAACTAACGGAAGTTTTTTGGGCTTTGTTTTGGCGAATTCTAATTATTTTTATAGATATTAGATTTTAATCATGAGTTTAATAAAAAATTTAACATATTAGGCTTTGACCATGTTTAATAATAAATCAAAATTCCAAAGGCTAAAAGAACGAATGCACCACATGAGAGAGGGATCTCGTTTCAATGCTGCAAGTTCATATTGGTTCCAAAAGAGCTGACGTTCATCGCTCAGCTGTTTGGCTGTGGAAATTATATATACATAGTCTTCTATTTCGACGATAAATTAATCCCGGTCCGTCTCTGCTGCTTTGCGTCTCTATGCACGTTGCTGAATTCAGAGAAACTTGCACGCAGTTTATTTGGACTGTTCCTTGAAATAAAGCTTCATACTCAAACAGTGGATTGCTGGATTGATGATGTCCACAGATAATGGAAGTTTGACTTGTTGGAGGAGTTCCTCCCTCCCCAGGTGATGCAACAGATATCAAGCACGCCGATAGGACCGGCTGATATAAAAGACTATTGGGCTTGGAGCTGTACAGAAGATGGTAAATTTACAGTCAAGTCAGCGTTCCATCATTTTCATGATCAGAGTAGGCGGGGGCAAGGATCTCCACTGCCACCAAATCTTCAGCATAAAGAAAGATGGAAATGGGTGTGGAACCTCTCACTCCCACCGAAGATGAAGTTCTTCCTTTGGAGGTGCTGTAGAGGTGATGAGTACACGTTTTTTGCCATCTAGGACATTAAGCTATTTTTCATTATTATTATTGTTATTGTTAATTTAGGATATTCCTTTGGTTATTTGGGATTATTATTTCTTGTTAAGGAAGTTATTGTTTAGGAGTTGGTCTAGGATTAGTTTACCTTATTCGGGAGGGAAAAGGTTTGTAGGATTATTCCTATAAATATGTACTTTGTCTCTACGTTTTATTGAGTCAAAGAAAAATAAATCAGTATTTCAGTTTATTTTAGTTTTAGTTCGTACGATTATGCGATGGACGAACCGATCGTCCATCAATTGGTATCAAAGCCTGGTTCGACGGAACCGAGCTCTTACCAGCTCCCAGGGCAGACATCGTCGACGTTCAACCACCAACGTCGGGAAGAGGTCCTGCGCGCAACCACGATCTGCAACGACAAGGTGGATGGATCGCCTACCGAGGCGCCACCACGAAGAAGCTAACCGTAGCTTCGCCATTCGAGATCCACGAACCGCCTGATGCCGAGATGTCGGTCACGGGTCTTACGGGAGTTTACAATGCTGCCATCATTCGCCTTGACGCCACCATCCATAAAAAACCTATGGCTACCCTAGCCGGTAGATCTTCGACCCACAATTTCATCAATACCGACATTGCTAAGGGTTTAGGCTTGCAAGCTAAACCAATCTCTCCGTTCAAGGTCAAGGTACGGACTGGGGAAATCTTGGTATGTGATCGATTTTACAAGGCCGTCCCGATTGACATACAAGGGGTACAGTTCGATGTGGACTTGTATGAATTGCCAGATTGCGGAATTGAAGTCGTCCTCGGCGTGCAGTGGTTCCGGCAACTAAGATATGCATGGATATATTGGGACAAGTCGATCGTGAGTTTCATGAATGAAGAGGTCGAGGTCAAGTTGCAGGACTCTCCCATGAAGAGGGTTATGGACTTCGGAAGGGCCCACCGAGAACAGGACGGGTGGAATCACCAAGGAAACTCGGTGAAGATCACGTCACCGGCAACCATGGCCGCCAAGGAAGACTTCAATCGTGAAGCCATTGCTGACGAGAAGCTAGCTCCAGAGCCTCCACGAGCGAAAATTGCGGAAGAGGATGCTGCCTTCTCATGCCGCAAGCCAGAGTTACCGGTCTCCCTATCATTCGCTAGTCATGGCTTGGTTGATGCCGCGTCCCACATCAAAGACGTTGCCGCCATCCGTCTTGAAGAGGGGAGGCGTTTCCCTCGAGGGAAGAATGAGGAAACTGAAGTTGGAGGAGTTAAAGGATTCGTTCACATCCCTGAGCCCAATTGGAAACGTCGTAAAAGAGCAGCCACTATCTTCGTTGTCGACAACAAGTGGGAAAGCTTCTTCGTCATCGATCCGGGCTGAGACATTGCTTGAACTTCGGGGACGAAGTTCTTCGAAGGGGGGAGGTTTGATGAGTACACGTTTTCGGCCACCTAGGACATTAAGCTATTTTCCATTATTATTATTGTTATTGTTAATTTAGGATATTCCTTTGGTTATTTGGGATTATTATTTCTTGTTCAGGAAGTTATTGTTTAGGAGTTGGTCTAGGATTAGTTTACCTTATTCGGGAGGGAAAGGGTTTGTAGGATTATTCCTATAAATATGTACTTTCTCTCTACGTTTTATTGAGTCAAAGAAGAATAAATCAGTATTTCAATTTATTTTAGTTTTAGTTCGTACGATTACGCGATGGACGAACCGATCGTCCATCAAGAGGAGCCCTTGCCACCAAGGATAACCTTCACTCTCGTCGATGCTCTCCTTCGAAGACCTGCCCGCTGTGCTCCTCGCCTGTGGAATCCATCCACCACTATCTGTTTGAATGGCCCAGGCTTCTTGTTCCCACTCAGTCCACTGACATCCTTGTTTGGATTTCTTCCTCTCGGGCAAAGGTACTCGATCCCATCAATCTAAAGAATCATTTAACTTTTGTGGCACACTTGGAAGGCAAGGAACGAGTTTATTTTCAGAAACAAAACGATGTGGCCTCCCGCTACAGTTGCAAGTGCACAAAGAAGCTATCATCAATGGAGGTCATGCCCGTTGATTAAGGTTTCCTCTCATCCCCTTTCACAGCCTAATCCACCACCGGAGCTCTCTACACCACCGCCAGGTACTCATGACTTTGAGATACACTGTGATGGGTCGTTCCTACACGACTCTTAGGAGGCGGCTTATGGCGTTGTCGTGACAAACAGCCATGGTCAAGTTTGCGATGGGAAGGCTGAGAAATTGCACTGCTATTCACCACTTGAGGCGGAAGCTAAGGCCCTCTCTGAGGGAACTCGACTAGCGGATACTTCTGGAGGTTCATGCCTCATCCGATCTGACTGTCTTCAGCTTATTAAAGCTGTCACAGGTCCCTCTACAGACTGGCCATGGAGGGCAGCAGCTTGGATTGGAAGGATCAAACAGCTCGATGAATCTCGCCCTTGGATCCGCTACGGGTTTTTTAGTCGGAAGCACAACTCAAAATCTAACTGGGTGGCACGATCCTGTGCAAAGAATCAATTTCCCCCATAATGGATTAATATTTTAGATGTTTTTGTTCCCCTGCTGTAATCCTTTTGGCTTCTGCCACAAGAAATGAAAAGCAAGTGTCCTACTGTAAAAAAAAAAAAAAATAGACCCAAACTAATCGTTTGATACGAGTCTGTCACAAAAGAATATTATCCAAATTTGACTGGACCATAATAAATTGGGTTTGCACAGGCCTAAAAATTTGAGTGTTTTATGAATCGCTATTTGCCGCCCGTAGTTACAAAACATATGACGAATTTGCCCCTTCTCTAATTTAACCCTAAACCTAATCTATCCCCAACCCAACCCTCTGCCCCCTCCCAAACTACCAAGCCTATCTTTTTATTTGTTTCCCACGTCGCTTCTTCCATCCCGCCATCACCCACCCCGCAGGCCGCAACCGCAATCAAGTCATCACGCCGACGATCGGAAGGTGGACTCAGTCAAAAGCCGACGAACAGACGGCGAGACAGGTTCCAAAGAAGGAGAACGCACAATGAGGCACGGTCCGACGCCGACCTGCGAACGGGGTCCGACGCCGACGTTCGAAGGGGTCCGACGCCGGACGGTCGCCGCTGGCGACTTTTTTTCCTTCAAAAAATCAATTATTATTTATTATAAGTTAATTAAATATTATGTTACATTATGATTTGTGATAATTGCTATTTACGCAATTATTTTGAAAGTTCTAAACATGGTAATTGTTTTCTATGTTTTGGGCGTTAATAATGTAACTAATAAAATAAACTTATATAATGGAAGATATTAACGGATTACCAATTCTAAGCTCAATACCCCGAGTAATTATATTTACATAATTAAAAAAGGAAACACTTAATTGCATGAGAAATTAGTGGTGCATGTAGGAATTAGTGGTTTGCAGTGTTATTATTTCCAATTCTATGCTATTTTCTTTTCTTTTATCACTATTTACATAGTAAACGATTAAGTTACGGTATGACTTTTACGGTATTTTCTTTCCTTTTATTGATATAATAATACCAATAATCCCCCATCTATCTCACTTAACGGAAGAATCCTAAACCATTATCATTTAACATAATAATAATATTAATCACTAAACCTATTTTCCTTATTTCACCTAGGATTTATGACTAGAATGTTGATTTCTTTAATTAACCTAATGGCAGACGTTCTAATTGCAATATTTTTTATTATTATTAATTTTCCTTTTTATTGCTACCAACAGAATTTGGTGAGGCTGGATTATAAACGTGAGTTGTGGAATTAATTGATTGCTACTTTAGATAAGTTTAATTTCCGTGTTTGTCTCACCAATAGAATTTTTAATTTAATTAAGGTAAGTATAGGTTATTCTTAATTTCTGTGTCTAACTCCATTAGGTTATTTTTAATTTAATTTCCCTGTCTCAACAACGGGTCCTTCATAAAAATAAAAATAAAAACAACGGGTCCGCCGACCGGCATCGGACGGGGTCCGCCGGCCAACGTCGGACGGGGTTCATCCGCTGGTGGTGGTAGTTTGGTGCTGGTGACGATGGTCTGATGCTGGCTGTGGTGGTCTGGCGGCGGTAGCGCCAATGGCAGTGGTATGTCCTCGGCGACGATGGTGTTGTGGTGAATTACAAAATTGAACAAAGGATAAAAATGACATTTCCATCAAAATTATGGGCGACAAATAGTAAAGACACTGGCGGCAAATAACACGCTTTTTTTTTTTTTTGTGCCGTCTGTCTCTGCGTCTTCGTTTTCTCGATCGTTACCGCAATAATTCAGAGCAACTTGCATACATAATTCAATTTGGAAACTTGCTATAACTAGAAAGCTTCATCCAACCGGCGCCAAAGTATAACATCCATGATTAATTTGGTTATATAATTATGTTGATAATTTAAAAAGATTTTCCTAGCTACTGGAAGCATTGAATTTGTGCATGCACTTATTGCAAACCCAACTTGTTTCTGCTATATGCTTTATGTACTACACTAAGTCCTGTCGGCGAAATGTCCAACCTCTAAATGAGACCCAGTCCAAGTAACATCTGTATTCAATTATGTATATGCATTAAATTAGAATTAGAGAGAAAACTAGAGATAATTATATATGGACTAATACCTCGACAACACTCCGAATTATCAACAGAATGTCACTCATGTCCTATTTTATTCAATATTCTAATCATGTCCCGTTAGAGATAACGATTGACTAGATGGTGATAAAAGAAATGCTGATTTTTGCTGACGTGGCAAAATACAAGGTTACCACATAAATGCCACGTCATTTAACACATAAGATTATTAATTTTTCTCCAAAATAAATATATTTAAAAAATAACAAAAAAAATTATATAAAAAAGTCTAAGCTGTCGTCGCTCTCCAAGAACCCCAATCCACACCACAGCTTCTTTGCTTTCTCTGTACAAAATCACTCAAGTCAAACCCACTCAAAATAGGACACAAGAAGCATTTTTTTTGGATAGTTCGATGTTGTGGTGTTATCAGCCCTACCATATGCTTATAGTCTGTATTTGGCCAGCTTTTCCTCGTCGAGAGGTTGTTAACTCCAAAAGTATAATTAAGTCGGATTGAAAATGAGAGATATCTGAAATATCATGATGAACCAGAGCGTGATGCTTTGAATTTTTTTTAATTGTATTGTTAAGAAAGGTTTAAAAAGGCGTTAATCGTTAGACATGAGGAGCGCACTGAGCTCTTGCTTAGGAGCCGTCTAAGCATGCCTAACTGTTTCAAGCAAACATATACCGTAGTTAGTATTAAATGATGAATGAAATAGCTCTTTTACAACACCTGTGTTTATGAATATACATATCTATAGTTTTGGGGTTATCTAATTCCAACGTCGCCTTTGGTCAGGCTATAGGCCAAATTAAGTGACGATCCTGTCCATTCATAGTAAATATCACTTTCAAAGTTTCAATCTTGTTCCCTGCGACTATTGCCATTTTTGGGGGCATGTTATGACTGAATATATGCGAATTATAATTAGTATACATTTCCACAAAATAAGAGGGCCCATATCGCGGATATTCTCCATGCAGCGTGTAGTCCAAGTTGACAAGTTCACTGGCCTCCTTTTTTGTGTTACCAGTGAGCGGCTACTTGATTGCTTGGAATTGTTGACTAACGATCAGGGACGGAGCCAAGATTTTTAATTAGGGGGGCCGGCGAATTTTTTTCCAACACATATATAGTGATGAAAAAATACGATCTGGGTTCCATTATAAAACTCCATCCCTGTAAAATCCTGCAAAACCCCGATCGTATCACGTATCACGACTTGTGTGATACAATGATACGACACGATAATACTTCGTATCATCGTATAGCAATGTCGTGATACGACCGGGTTTTATACAGTATTCGATCCCAAAACATACATATCAATATAACATCCAAAATTATTAACATTTTTTGAGTAAAAATCATTGAAAATATGTCAAAACTCTGAAAATCATGGCATATATTTATTTAAAAATAAATTAGTCAAACTATTTAAAATGGTAACTTGTTAGCCAATAAAAAAAGTAAAATGTGAAATTTTCAAATAAAAACATGTAGGAGATACTTGCCTTGAAAAATTGGGGAAAATTGTGAATTTTAAGAAAAATATGCCTAACATTAGGTGCCAGAACCACTGCGCTGTGAAGAACTTCCAGTCTATTCTACTACTTCGGGTTTATTTGTAACTTTAGGGGGGCCATGGCCCCTCCTTGTTACAAGCTGGCTCCGTCCCTGCTAATAATGGTGGAAGTTGCGATTGTTTGACAATATGTTTTAGAATGCATAATTTTTTTAGCAAACAAGATAAATGGATTGTCATGTTACAATTGACATACAATCAAGCATATCGAATTATGTATATTACAATGCATCAAACTTCCAAACGAACCCTTAACAAAATGGGATCAATGAGACCAAGGCCAGGGTTTTGCATCAAATTTTGGTGTTAATTAACATGGGTTCTCTTGGTTATGAACCAATTGTGCTCTCAAAATCTCGAGTTGTTAAGATATGATGTTAGAACATTTTGTGATCGAAAGTTCTTGTGTCTGAATTCCGGTGACCAATAATGCAGAATTTTCATTTCAATTTTCACGTAAAGAGGAGCTGCCAACAACTGCAGGAAAAAAAGGCAGATAGCAAGAGAGCACTGAAACATGAAAAAGCTCGATCGACCGATCATTAAAAACAAACAACAACATAAAGGATAGAACAACCTTATTCAAAACGAAAAAAAAAAAAAAAACACAACCCATACATTATTGATCACACCCTTACATCAGTATAACATAAACAGAGAAGCTCCTTCTAGGGATAAACTTCGATGAGAACTCGCAGCCCGCCAACCGGAGTGATCTTGTAGTTGTTGAAACCAGCATCGGAGAACAGCTTCGCCCACTGCTTCTCAGTCCTCAAACAACCCTCGAGAAACGACATGAATAACATGTCCACGACCAACGACGTTCCCATCGAACGGCTGTCGTTGCAGCTCTCATGCCCCAAAACATGGTCGGCGATCATCAGCTTCCCCTTGACGCCGTTCTTGGTCAACGCCTTCTTGCACTGCTTCAGCATCTTCAACACTGGCTCGTCCGGCCAGTCACATAGCACCCACTGCATGCATATTTTTTTCAAGACTGTAAGGAGGTGTACGTAAATGGATTATTGTACGTGCATGCATGCATGCATACTAGAAGAGTGAATACTATACCTTGAAGAGGATCGCATCAGCGTGAGGGAGATCGTCGGTGAACATGTTCCCGGCTTTGTAGTCGAGATTGGTGTGGGTCTGGTTCGGCTCTGATACCACGTGAGGGAGATCGAACACGGTGCATCGGATCCCAGGGAAGGCCTCGACGATGACCTTAGAGTTGTACCCGGTGCCTCCGCCAACGTCGACGAGCGAGGTCAGCCCTTCGAACGCGTCCCTGCACTTCGCCACCAGGGCCCTGCTGAACAGCCAGCTGTCCCCCGCCATGCCTTCGGAGAACAGCTGGCTGTAGTGAGGGTCCTGGGAACAGACCTCGTACACCTTCTTGCCCTCGTGGGCGAAGGCGAACGCGTTGGGGGCCGCGTCGACCTTGCTGCTGGTTCGCAGCCAGGCGCTCATCTGGCGCCAGGGGTCCACCAGGTGCTGGTGGACCGTGGCGAAGGTGAGCGACCTGGCGTTGAACGGGTTCTCCTTCAGCAGCAGCTGGGAGAGGGGCGCCCGCAGCCAGTACCGCCCCTCGAATTCTCCTTCTTCTCCTTCTGGTTTTACCTGGTGCTCGAAGTAGCCCAGGTGGACCAGCAAGCGCATGAGGCGCGAGAGGAACTGGGCCTTGGCCTCTGGGATCTGGAGGGCCATGGCCAGCTCGCCCAGGGAGATGGGCTGGCCGTGGCTCTGGATCACGTCCGCGATCTCCAGCTCGACCGCGCACTGGAGGGTCATTGCGTTGATGTAGCCCATGAAATGGTCCCACATTCGGGGCACGGAATCCAGGAGCTCGACTACAGTTGCTGCTTCCATTATTTTTTCTTCTTTTTTTTGTATGTTTCTCTTTGTTTTTTTGGTGTGCCCTTCTCAAGCTGTTGGCTGCTGCGTTATTTATAGCGGCCGGATGGAGGCTGAGCCGGTGAGTGTGATGTCATGTCATGGACGATAAGTAATATATTATAATAATAACGTTAGTCGTTACGTAGCCAATAATGTTGATTATTATTGTTATTGCTAGTAATAATATTATTATTATTATAATTCTTATGGTTTGTATGGAACCCATATGTGCCCGTCGTTGTTAAATTATCAAGAGTCAAAAGCACTGTGCTTAATAATTTGAGAGCAAGCCCACAATGGCGGCCGAAGGATAGATGGTGGATAAGGCTGAAGTATCCTATATCAGTTCAAGACTATCGAGATCCTCGGCAATATTTGGAAATTCATTGAAAATGGAAAACAAATTGAGACTTTGCAATTCAAGAGATTTCTTGTAAAAAGTAGATTGTGGAAATTGAACTTGTAAATATGTCGTGCCAACGGTTATTATATATTAGAAAATTTTGAAGGATGGTGACTTTAGTAAGTCAAGCAAATGAGGTCATTCGTATGAATATAAACTCTCAGTGTACAGTTGCAATGATAATGGTATCAGTGCAATGATAGTAAATTAATATGAGTTTTTAATTCACAAAAATTATTAAATATAACACGAGTTTAATATAAAAATAACTATAATTAATATGAGGTGTCATTTTTCCAACCCCTTAGAAGGGTTGTCAAGCTAACTGACCCCCTAAACTAAGAAAATAAAAGTGTATGTTTGCGAGTTCGATGATTTGCTAAATGTGTTACGTGAGACTTCTTTAATATAACTTTGATTTTTGGTTGATATTATGCCAATACTAATTAAGTAAATGGTAAATGCTTACTTAAGACTATTTTACTAATATTGTATACAATACTATTACGATGTTTACAAAATGACGATTATTTCTTAATGCAACCATTTTGTATGATAGAACTTTTTTTTGTTTGGGATTGTGTGATAGATCTATATGTACCATAACAAGCACAAAACTTCAAGTCATTAGTATTATAATTATCTATAGGCATGGTAATTGATCCCTCATTCTTTTCCATTGTTGGATATAGGGAGGCTGCTAGAGTGTGCACATCAAGGGAGCCACAGTTATATAATAAGACAAATGATAGGGCAAAAGCATAATGCCAATTCCTATCTTGTAGTAATCCGGAAAGTCCGGGTATCGTCTCTCAGGGACTGGTACAACCTTATGATTTATCAATTCTTTCGAGCAAACTATATGTGAAAATGTTTAAGAGATGAAATTATTAACTAAAAGCAAAATTAACTAAACAAATTAAGCAAGTGAAAACTGTCGGGTTTAATTCAATGGGAGAAAGCTCTGGGAGAAACACCGGGATTCACTACCTATCCTATCCAGATTAATTCACATACTCCAATCAATTTAATCCAACTCTCTACAGCCAGGATATCACGAATGTGCTAGCTATCCCTGTCGGGAATTACTACGTACTAAATAATCAATTCAAATCCTACTGTCGTAGCTCAATGAATTAACTATATAGTCTGAAGATCGATATCCTAATCAAGACCGCATAGTACCTTATTTAATCCACTGTCGCTTCGATAAGTTACTATGTCACATGAAATAGGCTCGGTTAATAGGGTTTCACTGTCACTAATAACCTAATCAACTACGATTCATTGTATTGGTGGCCAGTCAACACAAAGCATTAAGTAATTTCATGCAATAGAGATTGGAAGAAAAGAATCATGAATCAAGCCATCAAATCAAGAACTAGCTACATCCTATGGTGTTTCCCCCAGAAATTGGGGTTTAGTTCATGACGAAATTAAAACACATAATCAGGTTCATAATTATCATGTCACGAATCGAAACAAAAAGAAAAGAATACTGAATTTGTCGAACGATCCAGCTCCAATTCCTTTTTGTTCCGGTCACTGTGCTGCTTCTCCGCTCGATAGCTCGCTGCGTTGCTAGTCGCCCTCGTTCTGCGCGCTGCCTTTTTCCCCCTGGAGAATTTGGTTCCAATTAATTCCACTCCCCAGCAATTTTTTCCCCTCCTCCTGAAATCTCCCCGCCGTATATTGCTTTGGCCCCCCTCTGCTTTCAATTCTCCGGTCCAAGTTAATTGCCCAGCTCCCGTCCAAGAATTCTCCATGGCCCATTAATTCTGCCTTCCGCCAGCCCAAACCTCTTCTCCGTGTGCAATTAAAAATGGCCCCCTTGAAAATATAGTCCAGCCCAAATTATTGCTTCCTTTTCGAGGCTGTTGGGCCTTGAGCCCAAGTGAGAAGTCCAGCAGTAATTCGAGCCCGATTTATCGCTTATGTACTCGCTTCTTTTTTTGTGCTTTCTCCACCTGTAATATATCAAACTCATGGCACTAGGCAGTAATGGTTTTTCAACCATTCTCGGGTTAGCGAGTCCTAAAATAGCACCAATTGGCTAAAACATACCACGGATAATCACATAAAGTCCAAGAATCCGATATATTAAAGCCGAATATCACAACCCCACACTCAATTGTTGATTGTCCCTAAGCAACGACTCAACTAACACAAACACAAAATCATCCAAAACAATGACACATTACAGACTCAACAATCAAACACTCAAACAAAACAAAATTTTCCTTGTACTCTTGTTGTAATCAGTAGTTTCTTTCTCAAAAACAAGTTGTGCTTTAATGATCATATCTTTCACCCCACACTCAAGTTCTTTGCAACCATTACCATTGACTGACTCAAATCCACCAAAAACTCAAATAGCAGCACTCAATTTCGATCGTCGGTAGCGGATGATTAACAACTTATGGTGCAACAGTTATTAGGAGAATCTAACCACATCAGTGAGGTGCATATCTCGTGAAGACAATCTCGCTTACTCACACCAATCAAAAGCAATTAATTAAGCATGAGTCTCAAAAACTAATGGGGGAAGCTTTTCGCAAACATGATTTTACTTTAAGCACATCACTACCTTTTATGACAAGGAGAGGCTTTCTCTCTTTCTGCTTTTGCTTGCCGAGAAGTCGTATTTAGTACAAGTGGGATTTGTTTCTTACTATCGGTGACCGAGCAAGAGCAATTTCTGCTTCTTAGCACTCGCATAAGGGCTTCTTTTAACTCCTTATCCTCGGTCCGTGTGGAGGGTCATTTCACATCCTCAAATGGCACTTCACTCAACTGGGGATCGTACTTGATAAGCAACATCGTACGGTCGCGAACCGATTCTCAATTGAATCTTTCCTAATCCCCATGTGCAATGAGTGATTGCCTCACACAATTTTGGCATTTTTACCCACACTTTAATTGTTATGGCAACTTTCTTATATTTTACTTGTCAGGTAGTGTTTTCTTTTATAAAGATACAGTTCACCCCATCATAAAACATTCAAAACAGAGAAACTCGTTGCCAAATCAAAAGCTCACAATTGATGCAAGTAAGCACGATATCCAAACATGTCGAATGGTCAATGTTCGCCACCTAACTACTTCACCAAAAGTCATTACACTATCCTCACAAAAGAGAATGTTGCTAAAAGAGTTTGCTCATTCAAAGCATATCAAGTCAGTCAAAACATTCAAGCTCATCGTGAAGAACTTTGCAATTCAACACTAGTGGGGTGATTTTGATGATTTCATTCAAGCACAAACACATTTCACACGCATCACACTCATTTACATCATGTTACCACAAGAGTACAAGGTTTTGTTTTTAATTTTTTTGATTTTTAGGTGTTTTTTAGCCATTAGCTTTGCACAGGCAGACTGCTTTTTACACAGGCAAACTGCATGCAGTTTGGTTGTGCTCAACCTAATGGCAATTTTTTTGTTTTTTTTTTACCGACCACATGACAAAAGGAACAAACAAATTTTTTTTTTTTTTTGAACTTTTTTTTTTGTACTGACCACATGACAAAAGGAACAAACAAACACTAAGACTCGCCACCCCACACTCAGGATGGAACATTGTCCCTAATGTTCAACTCCTAATCTAAACATGCACGGGTTTGACACAACTAAAAATAAAAATAAAGAAAAGAAAACTTACCTTGGGTTGCCTCCCAAGAAGCGCTTGTTTAACGTCCTCAGCCTGACGTTTATGGAGCTTTCAACCAATGGGTATGGAAAGGTATCCAGAATACCCTCCCGAGCAATGATAGAACGCATAACCTCCATCCAGCATATGAGTCACCTCTGCAGGGCCAGGTGTGCGAAAATTGGGTATGACCTTCTTAGCTGGCATGTTAGACCCTTTAGTGAGGCGTAGGTGGTACTGCAGCGCCTCAAGCAGGTACTCTTCCTGTTTCAATGTCAGTGAAGAAGGAATAATAACAGGAATATTGAAATCCTTACCCAAATATCTATACTTGAGGTGACCTGGCAAGGATTTCTGCCCTTGCTTTGATTTCAGAATCTGAGCAGATAGGATAGGTGATAGTTCTTCGGATGGTCCACTATCACAAGAAGAGGGATTTTTCCTTTCTCGAGCTTCACTTTCAAATTCATCATGATTATGGTCAACTTGAAAGACATTAAAAATTTCCTCCTCCTTACCTACTCGGAATGTCAACTTGCCTCTCCCAACATCGATGAGTGCATCATCGGTTGCTAGAAAAGGTCTGCCGAGGATTAGAGGCACTCCCCGATCATCTTCCATCTCCAGGATTACAAAATCTGTTGGGAGAATAAACTTTCCCACCTTCACCAATACATTCTCCACCACTCCTTTTGGAATTTTCACTGATCGATCAGCCAATTGGAGAGTGATCCGAGTAGGCTTTAGAACATCTCCCAGTCCCAATTTCTTGTAGACTGAGTATGGCATCAAATTAATTCCTGCTCCAAGATCACAAAGTGATTTATTGAATTCTGTACCTCCAATGACACATGGAATGGTGAAGCTTCCTGGATCATCCCTCTTTTCTGGTAATTTATTCTGAATCACGGCACTACATTCAGAAGTAAGGGTTACCTTCTCTAGATCAGCCCATTTACGCTTCTTTGTCAGCAACTCCCTTAAGAATTTAGCATATGTAGGCATCTGTTCAAGTGCCTCCGCCAACGGTATGTTGATATGAAGTTGCTTGAAGATATTCACAAATTTCTTGAAGTTTGGGTCTTCCATGGGCTTCATTAACCTTTGAGGGAATGGTGCGGGAGGTTCATAAGGCTTTACCTCTTCATTCTTCAATTTTTCCACTTTTTGAGGTACACGGGCAGCATGCTTTTGCACAGGCAAACCGCTTTCATTTTGCCTGTGCAAGGCTGATTCTTCATTTTCTGCACAAGATCTTTCTCCCGGTGCTTCCTCTTCTGCCTCTGGTGCCTTTTTCGAGCTGCTAGGGTCTTCCAAGGCCTTTCCACTCCTCAATGTCACTGCTACAACCATGGCATCCTTCGGATTCCTCTCAGTATTTGCTGGTAATGTCCCAGGAATCCTGCCTTGCATATCTGCCAAAGTTTGAGCCATCTGTCCCATCTGCCTCTCCATAGCTAGCATAGACGATTGTAAATTATTGTTGATGGCTAGCTGTTGAGTGACAAATTGATCCAGACCCTTGAAATTATTATCTGTTTTCTGCATATGAGCCAAAATCAACTCCTCCAGCTGGGGCTTCTTCTCTGGTTGAGGCTGCTGCTGTTGAAAACCAGGAGGTGGGATGTTTCGAACACCAGCTGGATTATTATTTGACCATGACATATTGGGGTGATGTCTCCATTGAGGGTTATATGTATTTGAATACATACCACCCTGACCTTGACTTCGCGGATTATTGATATACTGAATATCTTCCAACTGAGCAGCTCCCAGCGGACACATATCCCTATGATGAGGACCCTCGCAAAGTTCACATGAAGCAACCTCCTCTTGTCTACCCAAAGCAATCTTGGCCAGCCTTCGTTCGAGTGCATCGAACTTGGAATCCAGTTTAGCATCAATCTTTGCTTCTAAACTTGCAACTCTGTCTATCTCATGCAAGCCTCCTCTCCTTCGAATACTGGTCTCACTACCCCATTCAGTGGCTTCTGAACAGATCTTCTCTACCAGTTCATATGCTGCTGGAGCCTCCATCCTTGTGAAACCATTTCGAGAAGCATTATTTAGGGCATCCCGAAACTCCCTTCTGATTCCATTGAATAAAATAATGATCACGTTCCAATCTTCAAGACCATGGCTTGGGCATCTCATCAACAGCCCCTTGTAGCGCTCCCATGCCTCAGTCAGACTCTCATCATCAGCCTGCTTAAAAGTAACAATCTCTTCTTGCCTCTTCATTGCCAAGGCAGGTGGGAAGTATTTATCCAAAAATACCTTCTCAAGCTGACCCCATGTCGTGATGGAATGTGGTGTTAAGTTCTGAAACCAGTGTGATGCATTCCCTAGCAGAGAAAATGAGAACATCCGAAGACGGATTGCATCATCAGACACGGTCGGGCTCTTCATAGTATCACAAATGCTCGCGAACCGGCGAAGATGCTCATGAGGATCCTCACTGCTAGCCCCGGAGAAAGTATACCCATTGGTGATCATATTGATGAAGGCTGGGGTAATCTCCATGTTTGCATCCCCAGCCGGAATGACAACACATGAAGCTCGGGCTCCAGTCCTTCGATTCAAGCGAGCCCTGATCGAACGATCCTGTTCAGCCATGATGACAGGCTCGATGACGCGCGGCGGTGGTGTAGGTGGTGTAGGGATGACAGGTGGAGTCACCTGCCTTCTCGGTTGACGATTCTGAGTTAGGGAAGGCCTAGGAGTTGTGGATGTGGTAGGCTGCTTCCCTAACTTGACCTGCTTCCTGTTCTGTCGGCAGGTCCTCTCGATCTCGGGATCTAGTGGCAGTAAATTGCCAGTCGTCCTCCTTGGCATGCACGAGGAGGATTAACCTGAAAAATTCACCTGCACACTAACACCCAGATCAAAACAGTTCACTCACAAAAATCAACAAAAATAAGGTATGGCAGTCCCCGGCAACGGCGCCAAAAACTTGATAGGGCAAAAGCGTAATGCCAATTCCTATCTTGTAGTAATCCGGAAAGTCCGGGTATCGTCTCTCAGGGACTGGTACAACCTTATGATTTATCAATTCTTTCGAGCAAACTATATGTGAAAATGTTTAAGAGATGAAATTATTAACTAAAAGCAAAATTAACTAAACAAATTAAGCAAGTGAAAACTGTCGGGTTTAATTCAATGGGAGAAAGCTCTGGGAGAAACACCGGGATTCACTACCTATCCTATCCAGATTAATTCACATACTCCAATCAATTTAATCCAACTCTCTACAGCCAGGATATCACGAATGTGCTAGCTATCCCTGTCGGGAATTACTACGTACTAAATAATCAATTCAAATCCTACTGTCGTAGCTCAATGAATTAACTATATAGTCTGAAGATCGATATCCTAATCAAGACCGCATAGTACCTTATTTAATCCACTGTCGCTTCGATAAGTTACTATGTCACATGAAATAGGCTCGGTTAATAGGGTTTCACTGTCACTAATAACCTAATCAACTACGATTCATTGTATTGGTGGCCAGTCAACACAAAGCATTAAGTAATTTCATGCAATAGAGATTGGAAGAAAAGAATCATGAATCAAGCCATCAAATCAAGAACTAGCTACATCCTATGGTGTTTCCCCCAGAAATTGGGGTTTAGTTCATGACGAAATTAAAACACATAATCAGGTTCATAATTATCATGTCACGAATCGAAACAAAAAGAAAAGAATACTGAATTTGTCGAACGATCCAGCTCCAATTCCTTTTTGTTCCGGTCACTGTGCTGCTTCTCCGCTCGATAGCTCGCTGCGTTGCTAGTCGCCCTCGTTCTGCGCGCTGCCTTTTTCCCCCTGGAGAATTTGGTTCCAATTAATTCCACTCCCCAGCAATTTTTTCCCCTCCTCCTGAAATCTCCCCGCCGTATATTGCTTTGGCCCCCCTCTGCTTTCAATTCTCCGGTCCAAGTTAATTGCCCAGCTCCCGTCCAAGAATTCTCCATGGCCCATTAATTCTGCCTTCCGCCAGCCCAAACCTCTTCTCCGTGTGCAATTAAAAATGGCCCCCTTGAAAATATAGTCCAGCCCAAATTATTGCTTCCTTTTCGAGGCTGTTGGGCCTTGAGCCCAAGTGAGAAGTCCAGCAGTAATTCGAGCCCGATTTATCGCTTATGTACTCGCTTCTTTTTTTGTGCTTTCTCCACCTGTAATATATCAAACTCATGGCACTAGGCAGTAATGGTTTTTCAACCATTCTCGGGTTAGCGAGTCCTAAAATAGCACCAATTGGCTAAAACATACCACGGATAATCACATAAAGTCCAAGAATCCGATATATTAAAGCCGAATATCAACAAACCAAATTAATTTTTTATTTAATGAAGCATCCAATCAGAGCATGCCGTGTGGCAGATTTTCTCTTGGTCAAATGTAGCCAGTACTACATTATTTTCCATAGTCTTTGCTACATACTATGAAGATGATTCTGAAGATTTCCACAACGCCATGATGTATCGAGACTTAAGGCAATTGATGATCTCACCTCCCACTGCATATTTGGTTTGGGGGTAAATTGCAAGGTTGGTCTGCTAAAAAATTCATATTTGGTTACTAAAAGTATTTTATTCCATTCATGGTTACTGAAAATGGTTAAAATTTCACGTTTGGTCACTCTTTGTTAGTATTCGTCAGCCTCCGTTAACACCGTCAGTTGTTGCTGACGTGGCTAACAGAAACGCCGATTCACCAAATTTTAACCGGCCACATCATAAAATCCGACCCGCCGTGTCATATAACCCGTCACATAAGACCCAATACATAAACCAACCTAATTCAATCCCCACCCGACCCAAGCCTCTCTTATTTTTCCTTGTTTCTCCTTCCTCTATGAACTGCTGCCTCTATTCCCACTTTGATTATTTGGGATTTCTGATTGAAGGAAGGACAAGACAGTGGAGAGCGCCAACGACGAGTTGCGAGAGGACGACAACTTTCGATCTCCCTCCTTCCAGCTTTATATCTCTCTCATCGACGGTGCTCCTCTGCTCTCACTGTGTCCTTCTGTCTCTCTATTGAGGTCGATCCATCACCGACTTTCCATTCGGAGAAAAAGATCGAATTAAAACTTCGCCTTGTCGCTCCACGAATCGCTGGAGATGAGAAGGTGAGACGACGATTAGGGAAGACCTCAAATTGGGAAAACAGATGGTCGGAGGATTAGAGGGCGTCGTTGTGTTCAGAGGATTAGAAGATTTGGGGGGAGAGCCGCCATTGAGCTTTGTGGGGGAGTCGACAAGAGGGATTGGAAGGGAGAGAAGGGATTGGAAGAGACTGCTGGAGGTCACAGAGGAGGAGGAGAGCAGCGCCAAGGCCGTGATGGTGGCATGCGGGGATGGTAGGCAGCGGCGACAGTGGTGGGAAGGTGGGTGGGGTCTGGTAGGTTCGAGTAGGGTTGTGTTAGGGGTTGAATAGGGTTAAGTTATGCAGAGGGTCTGACGTGGCGGGTTAAAATTTGGTGAATCAGTGTGTTTCTGTTAGTAATTAAATACTTCATAGACGTTACTAACAGAAACGCATGATCGATCTTATGATTTATTTTATGCATAAAGGGTTCTCGAAAAGTAATGAAGTCACTCACCCGTTGTATATATGTTGATCATACAATCGTCTTTTGTGATGTCTCATAAGATCACGTGATGAATCACAACCCAATATTTGATCTCACGCACACATACTGAATTTGACACTTGATTAATTAGGTACTTCATATATCAGTCTTTAACTAGTTAAGGCCTTTGTTGAGTGAAGCTCGTCAATGGGAAAGAATCAACAAATCAATTAAGACCGAAATGGAAAGTTTCGGAAATGGAAAGCTGAAGCAGATTTGTGGGAAATCAAAATCAATACCTTGCAACGGCTAACTTGAATAGAAGCAATAAAAAGGACGAAGGCGATCAACCGGTGAGTGTAGGGTTTTTTAGCAGATTCAAAAGCAGAGTACTGTGTTGAGAAGTTAGTTGCTTTTGAGTGAAAAACCAGACGAGCTAATCAGGGAGAATAGCAATTGGTACTGAGTGTAATCGGGGAGGTTATACATCAGTAGAATAGTTAGATTGATAGGCAGGGAGCTATTCGATCTAAACTGAATTCTATAAAACTATAACAGGGATAGTGTTCTAGTGGTTACGTAGGAATCCTCAAGAAGAGAAACTCCTACCGTGGATTAGTCGATATTGGGATCCTTCTTCTCCCAGTATCGGATACCACGTAAAAAGATCGGTGCAGTGTGTGTGATTTTTGTTTCGTGCTAATTCTAGTACTCTTCCTCTATTAGTGTTGATCAGGTACAGGGAAGCTTCGACTCAGCAAACAACATCAGCCAGATCAAAGGAAGAAGAAGGCAAAACCGGGCCGACCTGGTGAAAGCAGGCCTAACCCAAAACCTTGCCAGAGTAGTTATCTGGGCCCGAGCCCAGTGGTATCGTCAGTCAAACGAAAGTCCATTTTACGCTTTTTATTTTATTAAAACTCTTCTTCGTTATTCAATTACAAAAAGAAAAAGAAAAAGAAACACGAACGATCTGAATCTTCACTTGTTCGATCAAATCGCCGATTAGGGTTCTTGCAGGAGTTCCATCTGGTTTTCACAGGAGAAGAACTGGTCTCGCGCTCGACCATCAATCTACAGCCTTAAGGGTAGACTTGGATGAGAACACGTAGCCCGCCCACCGGAGTGATCGTGTATCTGGTGAAGCCAGCACCATAGAAGAGCTTCGCCCACTGTTTCTCACTTCTCAAACAACCCTCGAGAAACGACATGAATAACATGTCCAACACCAACGACGTTCCCATGGAGCTCTTGTCGTTGCAGCTCTCATGCCCTAGTACATGGTCTGCGATCATCAGCTTCCCCTTCCCGCCGTTTCTGGTCAACGCATCCTTGCAGTGCTTCAACACTTTCGAGACGGCTTCATCCCCCCAGTCAACTAGCACCCACTGGTGAACAGAAAACACGACGATAATGATGAGAAAAATATGGAGTACTGTCCGAACGTGGAGGGTGTATGTATCAATTATGAGCACAGTCTACTGTGCTTTAAAATACAACTTGAAGTTGTAAAGTTGTGTTGTACCATAAGAGAATTTGACCTTAATGTTATGGTACAACTTGAAGCCGTAAAGTTGTGTTGTACCATAACATAAAAGTACAACTTTAATTTGTACCATAAAGAGGTTTTATAAAAGAGAGTATAGGTACAACCCAAAGTTGTACCGTAACGTTAAAGGCAAAAACTAAAGCACCAATGCTTTAAAGCATAGTGAAATTCCCCATGTATCAATACCTTGAAGAGCACGGCATCGGCATGAGGAATATCGTCGGCAAACATGTCGCCGCTAACATAGTTCAGGTTGGGATGGGTTTGTTTCGACCCATCCGCGACCACATGAGGGAGATCAAACACGGTGCAGCGAGTGTCGGGGAAGGCCTCGGCGATGACCTTAGCCGTGTTGCCTGTACCGCCCCCGACATCGACAAGCGATCTCACGCCTTCGAATGCTTCCTTGCACTTGGCCACTAGGGCTCTGCTGAACAGCCAGCTGTCCCCCGCCATCGCCTCGGAGAATAGTCGGGCGAACGGCGGGTCCTCGGAACAAACCTCGTAGATCTTCTTGCCACCGTGAGCGAAAGCGAACGGTGGTTGTGGCGGTTGTTTATCAACCGCATCGTCGTCGTCGTCGTTGGCTCGAAACCAAGCGCTCATGTGGCGCCAAGGATCCACCACGTTGGGGTGGTTGGAGCATAAGATGATCGACCTGGTGCTGAAGGGATTGTCCTTCAGCAGCAGTCGAGACAGGGGCGCCACCCAGTAACCGCAGGGGTGGCGGCCCCCACCACCATCTTTGTCATCTTCTCCTTCGAGCCCTGATTGTGGTTTATCCTCTTGCTCCACCCGGACGAAGTAGCCCAGGTGGACCAGCATGCGCATGAGGCGCGAGAGGAACGGAGCCTTGGCTCGAGAGATGTTGAGGGCCGCGGCCAGCTCTTCCAGAGGGATGGGCTGGCCATGGCTGTGGATCGCGTCTGCGATCTCCAGCTCGATTGCGCAGTGGACGGTCATCGAGTTGATGTAGCCTAGGCAGTGATCCCAAACTCTGGACTGGGAGTCAAGAAGCTCAATTGCAGTTGTTGCATCCATTTCCATGTTCGTGCCCCTGAGCCTTTTGGGCTATATATAGCTTCCTTTGAGTTTCTGATGATCGGTTATATGGCTAGTGAGTAGTGAATCTGTTTTCGTCGTCGCTAATATATTCGTTGCTAAAAAAGTCTGTGACTATACATGGATTAGCTACGTACACTAATTTGACTATGAATAGCCGCCTGCCTGACAGAGGAGTATATTCGCTGGTGGACGTACGTAATATCGTTGACATTTGATAACTGGGAACTCTTCAATCTTGTCCTACGCCACACTTGATAGGCTACTGTTAGCGTTAGGGTTGCGTTAATTTACTTAATTGGGAATTATTGTTGGGAAGCGTCGTAGCAGTAGGTACGTATTTGGTGGGAAAGGGATTTGTTTGGACACTCACATTTAGAAATTGCTTCCTATAAAAAAAAAAACATTTAGAAATTGCTAACATAGTTTAGAGATATTAATGACTTTTTTTTTGGCAAAAGATAATCTTGTATTAAAGATAAGGAAAGATAGTTACACCCTGGTTCTCAACCAGGCCTGAAAATCAAACAAACGACTCATAGTCGGGTACAGAGAAAGGGTCTTTCTAGCCACCATATGGGCTACCCTATTACTACACCGACCTATAAATCGTATACTAAACCCATGATTACTAACAAAATAACGAAGCACTTCGTCAAGCACCGCTCCAACCTTGTTGTCCCTTGTATCCGCCCGCCTGATTTTCTCAATGATGACTCGGGCATCTCCTTCAAACCTCGCGCTATTGAAATCCTGGCCCAAACACCAGCGGACTGCCTCTCGCAGGGTAAGCACCTCAGCCACCAGGGGATCATCAATACCCGGGAACTGGACCCCTATAGCTCTAAGGATGGCCCGATCCGGGGACATAAGTACAACCCCTCCTGCTGCATGAGAGCCCCTCCGAGTGGCCCCGTCCCACCCACAGACTACCACAGCCGGGTCACCCTGGACAGGCGGGCGCTCCACAGAGGCCGGGCCCTGGACCAGTTTAACCGCCGGGAGCCTGACCCACTCCTCATACTGTTGCCTAAACTGGCGCAACAACGCATTAGTTCCATACTGTTTCCCTTCAAAAACCACCCAGTTTCGAGAACGCCAGATTCTCCACAAGATTGCCACTACTGCCATAAACAGTGAAGGCTGCTCGATTAATGCCAGCAATTTTTTGAGAAAAAGAGGAAACGTATGCCTCGGAAGTCCCTCCCCAACGTGCTCCAGCCCGGCCGCCACCCATAGGCTTCGTGCCACACGGCAATCCAGGAACAAATGTTCCAAAGTCTCCGCACTATCCCAACAAACTGGACAGCGAGGGTGCACAAGGACCTTACGACCAATGAGTGCTTCTGTAGTTGGAAGGATCCGATTGAAAATCTGCCAAACAAACACCTTTAATTTCGGGGGGATATTGGCATTCCACAACCGAATCCAACTCGCCCGATCCATCCATCCCGCGGTACTTTTCCAACGACCTCTCCTCCTCTCGAGGGAAACAGCCAGATGGTATGCTGATTTCACCGAGAAATCCCCATCCACCGTGTCATACCAAATGAGCTTATCCTCCACATTCTCTCGTGGTAATGGAATAGCCTTAATAGCTCGACAGGTACCCGGATCAAACCATTGGCTGAGTTTCAAGTCGCACCATCTGCCCTCTCCCGGACAAATCAACTCAGAAACCGGAGGGTCCCCCCCAACCGGTAAAACCATCGGGTTATACCGCAGGGGCTCAAACTGGTGTTGAGGTACCCAGGTAGAGCGAAGCATGGAGGCGGAACGACCATTACCAATTTGCCAACGCAACCCCATTTCTAACAGCTGCCGTCCATATAGAATACTTTGCCAACCCCAGGACGGACGAGAGCGAGCCGTAGCACTCAGGAAGTGGCCATTCGGGAAGTATTTCCCTTTATAGACTTGGGCAAGAAGGGACTGAGGCTCACAGAGAATGCGCCATCCAATCTTAGAAAGGAGAGCCTGATTAAAGTGCTCAAACCGGCGAAACCCCATTCCCCCATCATGCTTGCTTCTGCACATGTCCCTCCAGGACATCCACCTCACCTTAGAGTGATTCTCCGTAAATCCCCACCAAAAACACGCAACATGCCCATCCAACAGACGACACAGAGAAAGCGGCAACTTGAAACATGGCATCACATGCAAAGGCAGCGCCAGAGCAATAGATTGATCAGAATCTCCTTAGCCGCCCAAGACAGAGTTCTCTGTTTCCATCCCTGCAGCCGCTCTAATAGCTTCTCCTCCAAGTACCGAAAAGTCTCCAATTTAGATCTGGCAATCAGGGTTGGAAGCCCCAGATACTTATCATGGACCCCCACTGTCCCTACACCCATAACTGCAGCTAGGAACTCCTGGTCCGGCTGAGTAATATTCTTACTGAAGCAGACTGCTGACTTTGCCAAATTCACTCGTTGACCACTAAGCTCCTGATACTCATTCAAAACCTCCATTAAATTTTCACATTCCTGGAGCGTCCCACGCAGAAAAAGATACGAATCGTCCGCAAAGAATAGATGCGAGATACGTGGAGCCCTCGGGGCAACCCTTACGCCCGCCAGCTTTTTCTCCGAAATTGCCTTCCGAAGGAGGGCCGCAAACCCTTCAGTACAGAGGACAAACAACAGAGGAGAGAGGGGGTCCCCCTGCCGAAGCCCCCTAGTAGGTGTAAAAAAACCTGACGGCGTCCCATTCATCATGACCGAGAAAGACGAAGAATGGAGGCATTCCTGTATCCAGCCGAGCCAGATCGGACTAAAACCCAACTTTTCCAACACGGTGAGTAAAAAAGACCACTCGACTCTATCATAGGCCTTTTCCATATCAACCTTTAGAGATATTAATAACTAGAGATTGCTAAGTTAAAATTTGCTAAACTTAATGGTATAATTATATGGACCATATTTGAAAATTGCTAAATAATGGAGATTGTATTATTACTAATTTACTATTGAAAGATGAATATGGATTATACAGATTACTAATATATAATTAACTACTATGAATAAATACAAATGGCCGGCCACTATGCTGTCGCCAAAGATACCCGACAACAAACAACTACCAACTAATTCATCCAATTCTTGAAATTAAATTAGTAGGTTATAGGTATAATATACCCCTATACTATGACGTTTTATCAAACATGCCCCTCTACTATTTTTTACATCAAATATGCCCCTGTACTTTGAAAAAATTATCAAATATGCCCTTCTGTTAAAATTTCCAATGAAAAATCATCAATTATGGTTGAACCGAGATTTAAACGACCCGATATCGACAAATGGGAGCGATGATGTTAGTTTTGTCTTTCGTTTTATTTCTCTGGGTCTCTTCAAAGTGAAATTATTTGAATTATTTGGCTATACAAAAGAACAAAAAAAAATTCTAAAGTGAAATTATTAGGGATATTTTAGACATTTGTGCCGCCCAGACCAAAATTCGATCTTGGTTAATGGTTTTTGGATGAAAATTAAAACCAAAGGGCATGTTTGATCATTTTTACAAAGTAAGGGGCATGTTTGATGTAAAAAATAATAGAAGGACATGTTTGATAAAACGTCATAGTAGATGAGCATATTATACCTATAACCCTAAATTATGTGATGTAACACCAATCGATTTGTCCTACTTAGACTATGCATTAATCAGAGTTTGGAGTTAGACTATTCTCTAACTTCTAATGAATCCTGATTAATAAATAAATCTTAGTTTCTAATTTTTAAAAACAACTAAAAAGATTCATTTAATTTAAAAATTAAAACAAATGGTTCTGATTTGTCGAAAAATATCAAAATACAATTAATAAATGTGAACGCAAACATATATTATATGACAGACAAACGCTAGCATTTACCATATATATTAGAACCACAATTGAGTGGAACCATAAGAATAATAATATACATTTTTAATGGAATCTTCACCCATATCACTATTATTATTATAATCAAGACAGCCGAGATTAATTTTATTTCAAATTAAAAAAAAATAGCACGACATCACAATTTCAGAAGAGGGGAATCCACGAACCACGATCTCGATGAATTACTTGGTGTTTGATTGAGGTACTTAATTCGTTTACAATAAGCTTTGCTAAATCAAGGGTAGACTTGGATGAGGAGTCGGAGCCCGGCCACCGGCGTTATTGTGTAGTCGGAGAAGCCGGCATCGGAGAAGAGCTTTGCCCACTGTTCCTCGGTCCTTACGTAACCCTCGAGACACGCCATGACTCCGAGGTCGAAGAGCAACGATGTTCCCATGGAGCTCTTGTCGCTGCAACTCTCATGTCCCATCACGTGGTCGACGATCATCACCTTCCCCTTCCCGCCATTGCTGTTACTCAAAGCTTTCTTGCACTGCTTCAACACTTTCAGGCAAGGTTCGTCCGGCCAGTCAATTAACACCCACTGGTCACAAGAACGATGATCCACAATGTGAGAAAAGTACTTTATAGCATGAATATGTATATGGTACTGAGTGATTACGCTTGTGGGATGCCGGTCGCTTGAATTTGGTATAACAAGTGTCGGTCATGAAATCGGCTGGAATACCATGACATTGATTGGTATGATCGATTTTTGGCCTCTAAATAAAATGACCGTTATTTTTTCAATTTAATTTAAAAAAAAATTAATTTGTGATTTATTTCGAGAATTTGAAAGTTAAATGTTGGACATTGATTTTCAATTTTTTTTTTACAAAACCTATTATGGGAGTGCTACTAGAGGGGTGGGGAAGGGGGAAATGAGCGTCGTCTATGGGATTTAAATATGGAAACTCTAGGCTGAAGATCACTGACACGATCACCCCGTCACAACCTGGTTCGTATTATTTGTTGAATTCAAGTATAAATGTTTAAATGTTGATTATAAATTTTGTAATTAAATATGAGTAATAGTTATTTTGTTTGGAATGTTGTATTTTATTTAAATATGAAAGTAAATTATTTTCAAATATGTTTTATATATGCTTAAATTGTTTTGATATTAATGGATTTTTTCATTTTTCTAAATATTTTATTAAATCAACATGAACCAGCAAAATTGATTATAACAACATGTAAAACCATATCGCTTTTTAAACCAGCGCAACAATATAAACCATTTTGACAACCTTCGATATAAGTGTGGAGGTATATATATATATACCTTGAAGAACAGTGCATCAGCTTGAGGAATATCGTCGGTAAGCATGTCGCCGGCCACGTAGCTCAGATTACTACCAAGCGTTTCTTCTGTGGACGCAGCGGCAGCGGCGACCACATGAGGGAGATCAAACACGGTGCAATGAATCCCCGGGAAGGCCTCGGCGATAACTTTCGCGGTGTCTCCGGTGCTTCCGCCGACGTCCACAAGCGAGCTCAACCCTTCGAACGCCTCTCTACACTTGGCCACCAAGGCTCTGCTGAACATCCAGCTGTCGCCACCCATCGCTTCATCGAACATTTTCCCGAACGGCGGGTCCGACGAGCACACTTCATACACCTTCTTCCCACCGTGAGCTAACGTGAACGGCGGCGGAGGACCACCGCCACCAGCTGTTGGTACGACGTCGTTTTCGCAGGTTCGAAACAAGCGCTCATGTGGCGCCAGGGGTCCACCATGTTAGGATGGTTCATGCAAACGATGTACGCCCTAGCGTTGAACGGCTTGTCCTTCAACAGGAATTGACACAGTGGCGCCACGGTGTACCTGTTGGGCGCACAGCGGAAATATGGTGAGATTTTTTTCGTATTAAAAAAATAGAGGAAATTATTTCACTCTAATATTAATTGACGGATTATCATTTTACCGTACCGCCCCTCTCCCTCTTCTTCTACAAAGTAGCCCAAGTGGACGAGCATGCGCATGAGGCGCGAGAGGAACGGAGCTTTCTCCGGAGAGATTTCGAGGGCCGCGGCCAGCTCGCCCAACGAGATGGGCTGGCCGTAGCCGTGAACCACGTCCGCGATCTCCAGCTCGACTGCGCACTGGACGGTCATGGCGTTGATGTAGCCTAAGCAGTGATCCCAGACCCGGGGCTGGGCGTCGAGAAGCTCGATCGCAGTGGCTGCATCCATTTCCATATCGATCTAGCTGTTCTACTTGCTTTGCTTCCTTCCTGAGCTTTTCACTGTGTACTTAAAGAGCCAGGCAGAGGAACGATGTACAGTACTAGAGCATGCTTAGTTAGAATCATTACTGTTCACATGTGAATGCTACAGATGACAAAGACAATTAACTGAAAAGAATATTAACATTATACAGATAAATTACGCCTCACCCCACCGGCCGGCGCCAACCACTCCCTCTCCTAGTGAAAGCAACCCACTTTGTACACTTCCAGCAACTTGTAATGCTAGTTTCCAAAAACAAAAGCAACTTGCAAAAAATCTTACAGATTTTGGTTCTTCAGTCCAGGTAAAACAGAGTCACGATTTTCCTGAGGGCTTTTGGCCTCTTCACACGTCTCCATCAGCAATCGGCTGTCGTGAAATGCAAAGCAAATCACTTGCTGTACATGCGAAATTATGTCCATATTACACAGCCTGCAATTTTCCAACATCAAACAAACCTGCTGAGTTGCTGACGTTTTCGCAGCTGTTTAGGGATGATGTTGTGTCAAACTAATCCATGATGTTTATACTCTAATCTTATCTAGATAGTGAGATTCCACCCCTGAAGTTTGAAGGCATAATATGGGCAAAAAAGAAGGGAGGGAAACCACGAGGACTTAGTGAATACCTGCTGGCTTCGATCAAAGACAGATGATCGTTGTAAGGCTTTTCTACCACGTTTTTTTTACCTGTAAGCCAAAGATGAAACAAGTTATTAGCACAAAGAAGAACTCTGCCAGCTAGAATTTTCAGTTTAGATAGCCACATGCATATCGATGACGAATCTGCACTCCACTAGCTGGGTTAAAAGCATATCACAAGCATTTACGCAGAAGTTGGGACTATAAAACAATGATAGAGATAACCTTTCAATTCAAGTCCTCGCTCAATCAATGACGGACCTTTTCAACCAAGAAATCCGCCCTGTTCAAAGGATACGACGTCGTATGCGAGGTAGGCTATTTGGGCCTGAGGGCCGGGCCCAACCCGGACAAACACTAAACGGAATTCTCATCGTCTAAACTTAATAGGGCCAAATCGCCGGCGATGGGAAGCCGGTGGCCCATTCAGATATTCCGGAGAAGGCACAGGTCGACACGTTGAAGGAGATTCCACGTCGTTTTCGTTTGTTAATTCGCACTTATTTCATTCGTAAGATGTCAGCAGAAGAAACCACATAAACAAGGGGGATTGCTTGCAGCCCCAAATTAGCTTGGCGTTCACAGCGACTTGAACAATGCTGCTGCTACTGCTCTTCCTCTGTAGTTCCCTCCTCTTTTCTGCTCTGCTCTACAAATTCATCACCGCCGAAGGTATGGGGGATCATTTGCTTTGTTACCCATTTCAGCCCTTTTGTCTTCTTTTGCCTAACCTCGGCGCGATTGCCCACCTCTTGACAATGGCCTCGTCTTTGGTTCTCTTATTGTGTCCTAGGGGATTTCACCTTGACTTCAAAGAGAGGCGTCAAGCGCGAAGAAATTGAAGATAAGGTATGCTGTTTCTTCTTCGCTTTTCCTTGGCAATTGGGCTTACACTCTTCATTCGTGGCAATAGGTTGTCTGGATTACTGGGGCTAGCCGTGGTATAGGTAATTCCATTTCTCCGATTCTTCTTTACCTTCCTCACTGAATTGCCAAACGGGATTTTTCTCAATTAACCCTTATGCCAGTCACTTTCTTTGTTGGTATTCATTTTCAGGTGAGGTTCTGGCCAAACAATTTGCGAGTTTGGGTGCCAAGCTTATTCTGTCAGCTCGAAATGAGGCTGAACTGGAGCGAGTTAAGAGGCAACTTACGGGTGTGTGTCACTTCCTCTGTAGCTATGATAGCCCTGCTCTATCTTGCCTTTTCATCCCACTAATGCTCATCCTTTTGATATGTTTGCCTCGGGTTACAGGCAAGTATGCTCCCAACGAGGTAAAGATTCTGCCTTTGGATTTGGCGTCCGGTGAAGCCTCACTGAAGGAGGCTGTGGAAAAGGCAGAAGCCTTTTTCCCTGGTACTGGTGTTCACTATATGATCCACAATGCAGCTTATGAACGACCTGTAAGTTTAAAGTTTTCCCCTGTATGGATTATGGAATTGCTAGACCTTATCAGTAGTGTACTCAATCACTGGCAAATGTCAGACTAGGAAATAGATGCACTAAACTGAAATGTTTTCGAGCGATCCAAGCAAAACGAACTTCCCCTCTTTTATTTGAACCATTCTGTATTGCTTTCTGTAAGTGGATTTGCCACCTTCATGTACCTTTGTTAAGGCGATATTTTGTCTGGATGGAGAAGGTAAATAAGAAATCTTTTCAAGCTGCAAATTGAATTTTGATGTATCAAAGTTCTTATTATGCTTTTAAATGGTTTGCACAAGTATAATCAGGGTGGCCTTTATTTTCGCTCATTTTGTTTTATGTTTTCTCACCTTTTGGCAGAAAACGACAGTTTTGGATGTAGATGAAGAAAGCCTCAAGGTATCAAATGAAAGGCACTTCTTAGGTTTTATGTAGTTATTATATGGCATTGGTTCCTTTGAGGGGTAAAAAAGAGACCAAGGTTTATCCAGCTTGCTACTGTGCAATTGATGATTTGCGCATGACATATACATTTATGAGGTACACAGTTTTGAGCTTCCATTTTATGCTTACTGAAGGAAGTTTTTTTCTTCTTCTTTTTCTTCTGGAAGTAGATGACATTCAACGTCAATGTTCTGGGGACAATATCTCTCACACGGCTGCTAGCGCCATTCATGCTGAGACGAGGTGGCGGCCATTTCGTTGTGGTGGGTAGAGGTTAATGGTTCCTAGTTTCATTACTCTACTTAAATCTAGTTTTAGCGAATATTTAGCTGATGCCTTTTTTATAATGGTTAGATGATGTTCTTCTTGCTTGATTGACTACATTTATGTAGATGAGCAGTGCTGCAGGCAAGACGCCTGCGCCTGGTCAGGCTGTATACTCCGGTTCCAAGTTTGCTCTGAACGGATACTTCCATTCCTTGCGTTCTGAGGTATAGGGCAACCATGTCTCTATCCTACAATCTTGTACTAACTACGGCCATTTCTTAGTTGGTTCTCAATTCATATGTAGGAATGTACCTCCGTAAATACTGATGCAGCTATAGAAACTGTCTGTACTCTGGTTGCACACTAATTTTTACAGAAGGGACATTCATCAGGACTTCTGGACAGCCTAGTTTTGTTTTCTTAGCATGTTTTATCCGAGAAACGCTTGGCCACAAGCAATGATGTGAATTATTTATTTATAAACTCATGACTCCTGCAATAAAGTGAACTGTATTCTTCTACGCCTGCATCTAATAGTGGGGTTTCAATTTTGTCTCCATTGTAGCTGTATCCAAAAGGTATAAAGGTGACCATTGTTTGTCCTGGGCCAATAGAGACGGGGTCTGGAACATCAAACTCAGAAAAGGTCGACTCTTGTTCTTTCCAGATGAACTCCGTTTTCGCTAGTTATTAGCTTTCGGAACTCTAGCCCCTTCCCCAACTATGCAGCAAGTCCTTTTTCCCTGTCCATGTTTCATTTCTACTATCTCACTAGTACTGTTACTTTTTACAGAGGCGTTTGTCATCTGAAAGATGTGCAGAGCTGACAATAATTGCTGCAAGCCACAATCTAAAGGAAGTTTGGATATCGAACCAGGTGCTACCATTCGTGGCCTTCACTCAATCACAGTATTCTCTCTGTTACGCATTATGGATGTTTCTCAAGTCTTAACAACTTATCAACTCCTCTCATATCTTGCAGCCTGTGTTAGCCGTGATGTATCTGGTGCAGTACATGCCAGCAATTGGCTTCTGGCTTATGGATAAGGTATCTTCTTTACCCTCAGACATTTTCCCTTCACTTTTAGACACCATTTGTAGCATTGGCTTCCTTGCAATGGGGGTTTCTAGAATGCATTCTCAGTCAAATTCAATGCATGACCTATCTTCAACTATTCCACGTCGAAATTTGTGTTCAGGTTGGTGCAAATCGGGTGGAAGCTGCTAAGCAAAAGGGCGATACCTACTCTGTAGGGCTACTGTTCGGGAAGAAGAAGGTAACCTGAGGTCATCAAGGCGCAACCCAACATCAGAATAATCCTCTCGATTCGAGAGGAACACCCAATACCGTGCGCGACTGTACATACTTTCGGAAAAGAAAAATCATCTACAATGCAGATGTGCATGCATTATTGCTATTCTAGCTGGTATCTCTCTATCTGCTGAATAAAACTGTGTTTGGTAACTGTCATAAATGGCAAACTGTTGAGTTCCTGGATTTGGCTGTATTTTGCTTCCATGATCCTCTAATTTCTGCTGCTCCAACTTGCTACACATTATTTTGATCTCAGCAACTGCAAACAGGAAGGATAAACTACCGTAACTCACAAGTAAGCAAATCAGACATACAAAGTACAAACTTAATTAACAACTAAGCTCCAAGCTTCAAAAATGCATGTAGAGCAGAGTTTTGGATTTGTAACAATATTTTAGACCGGACCCAGGTAACTTTAGGGCTGCCTACGTACCTCCGTTTTACATAGTTCAACACGGAGGATCAGGTCTACGTAGTTCTATTACATTACATCAAATTAATTAATTACAGTTCATCAATAATGACAAAAAGAATCCTTCTCGTCTATCTATCTAGCTATCTCCTTGAGTCCTTTCTTCTTCTTCTTCGGGACGTCGAACGATGAAACGGTGGCCGAGCAGCTGCTGAACGGTCCACCTCTTGCAAGGATCCTTCTCCAAGCAACACCCAATAAACTCCTTAAACTCCTCGGAAGCTTCCTCGGGAATCTTCGGCGGCATCTCGCCGAAGCAAATGGCGCACATCAGCGCCGGCCAGTCCGGCTTCTGCCCTGGTTCAAGCAGCGGGTACCTCCCCAAGTAAAGCTCCAAGAACACGAGCCCCAGGCTCCAGACGTCGGCGGCGAACCCGTCGTAGGTCGAACCGTGGGCCGCCATGTCGAACCGCTCGGGGCTGAGGTAGGCGGCGGTGCCGACGTAGGAGTCGCAGCGGGCGAGGCGGGTGGGGAGCCGCTTGCTGACGCCGAAGTCAGCGATCTTGACCTCGTTGTTGTTGTTGTTGTTGACCAGGAAGTTGGACGGTTTGACGTCCCTGTGGACGATGTTGTTGGCGTGGAGGTGGCTGAACCCTTGGAGGATTTGTCGCGCCACGTCGGCGATTGCGTGCTCCGGGAGGCGGGCGTCGTGGTAGCTGGCTTTCGCGTGGTCGGAGAGGGAGCCGGATTCCATGTAGTCCATGAGGATCGAAACGTCGCCGTTTGGGGTTTGGAAGGAGCCCTGGAATTTGACCACGTGTGGGGAGGAGGACGCGATTCGGTGGATGGAGACCTCTTCTTGGGTTTCGGCGGCGGCGGCGGAGGATGAGATCTTCTTGAGAGCGTAGATCGCGCGGGTGGGTTTGTGGCGGACCTTGAAGACTGCGCCGCCGCTTCCTTGGCCGAGTGGGTGGAGCTTCTCTAACTCGGTCAGGCTCTTGACTTCTTGATGGTGAGTGGTAAGAGAAGAAGAGGTTGCGGGGTAAGGTGAGAAGCGGTGGTGAATGGCCGGAGTAGTAGGGTTGAGATGGAGAGCGAGATGGCGATTCAACTTCCGGCTCGCGATCGCCATTCTTGATCTCCCTTCTACGAACTTCGCAGCCCTAGCTTTTCGTACTGTGTTTAGGATCACTGATCAGTGATGGAAGGAAGGCTCATTTTTAAAGCAGGGGGGGGCGGAAATGGGAAGAGCGGCGGTGGTGAATAACAGAGTCCGAGTTGGAAAAGGAATGGCTTTTCCTTCCCGCCCCAGGAAAGGAATCCTGGTGAAGAACGGACAAGGATTTAGAAAGCAAGCTTTGTCATCCCATCACTCTGTCTCTGGTTTTACTCTCTCGCAAAGCAAGCTTTTTCCGCCACCACGGTTTATACTCTGAACAGATATAGCAGTGATGTCGACGGCGGCGGCGGCGGCGAATGCATCAACAGGAGCAGCGGCAGGCTATGATTCGCGTATCGGCGCGGCCATCAGAATCGGCATTGTTAAGCAAGAGGACGACTACGAGATATTGGTTTCTCTCCTGCCAAGTGGCGGTCCCCGTCTGAACAATCACTCCGGCAGGCAGTTCTGATCGGATTCTGTTCGACACCACGGTCGAGCGGATCTACCAATCCCGCCGCACCACGTCGGCGAAACCTGCCTCCGTCGCAGTTGGTTGTAACCCGGATCAGGACCCTGCCCGAACAGCCTCGGCCCCGCGTTACACATCATCAACGTCGTCGTTGCCGGGGCAGATAGTGGTGGAATCTCACCGCTCCAAATTCAGAATCCCCATAGCCGATGATGATGAAGACTCCTCGTTTGGTATTGAATCGGTGTCCAGTATGGTGTCGAGGATGAATATCCCATTCCACTTCGAGAAGAACGTCTACTGGAGGAGACTATCGCGATCACCGCCGTGGATTGCAGTGGAGAGCAGAGCAGAGTTGGCCTCCCTCTTCGTCGACGCCGTTCGTAGAGAAACGGCGAGGATCAGATCGAATGGTGGGAAGAAAGTAGAGGTGAGGATGGTGCTGAATATTGGGAAGAAAAGCAGAGTGGGAGAGGCAGAGTATCAGGGGATCTGCAGGGCTGTGGAAGAGGGACGGATCATTGATGACCTGGAGAAGTTTCTAATCGATGAACAAGATCGTCGAGCTGCTTCTACTACGAGATCGGGAAGTGGGTTGGAGAGACTGTCAGTGGATGAACTGAAGCTCATGGTTGAGGAGCATGTGATGAGGACTAACAGCGGTGTTCTGATGACTCTACTGGACTCTGGCACGATCGATACAGTGGCTCGGAGAGCGTCTGAGGAGTGGGAACGATCACTGGTTTCCAAGCTGAGCAAAGCTCTTGTGATGGTGAATCTAGGCGAAGAACAAGAGGAACGAGAAGAAGCTAATCCCAGGAAGAAGAAACCAAGGATAGAGAAAGGGACACATGGGGAGTGCAGCATCTGCTTAGCTCCCAAACTTCCATCGACGACGAATCCAGTGGTTCGATTGCCGAACTGCATCCACACATTCCACAGGGACTGCCTTCTCCAATGGCTCCTCCACACTCCCAACTGTCCTCTGTGTCGATCCTCTCCTTTACCTTCCCTGTACAACAGTTGATTTGCATTTATCTGACAATGTACCAGAAAACAGTATACCATCTTGCTGTCTTGTTTTCTTTACCCTTTCTACTGTAACTAGACACCTCATGGTGTCGAGATATAAAAGGATATGACTTTAGTAATTTTAACTAATCATAACGCTGACTATACTAGATTCTCAAAATCAACTTAGTTGAGTGCATTAATTTTCCTCATAGCAAAGTAAACTACTTATACTACTGCTGCTACTTGTACATTTTCAGAAACCATCAAAAGAATAGATGATATAAACAACCCCTTTTTCTTCATTGAGTTAGTCTCTGCATCTCATTCTGATCATTCAACGTCTCCATGAGAAGAGGAGGGGCGTACTGCGCCGTCCCCTGGTGCTCCTCCGTGTCCTGGCAGAAGGATAGGATTATAGTATCAATCGACATCTCGACCACTGCAAAGAATAGTGTCGCCACCACGTAACCTAGTCCCCAGCACACCTGCCATATTTGGACAAGAACATTATCAGCCCCGCCAAAGTTGTCGTCGAGCAAGTGATTTAGTATCTCACAATTACACAATCAAACAACCACTGATGGTCTAAGTTCTTACCACCACAGGGAAGAGCGGGGAAGAGATCTTGTTATGCGAAGATCTATACTTGTGCGTGTCCAGCATCAAGAACGCAAACACAGCACTCGAAAGGCTCACACACAACTTCCCCAGAAACAGAATTATGTCCCCAATCACATTCACCTTCCCTATCCTCAAAATGTTGTTCATGATCAACTCAGTTGCAATCCCAGAAGCCCTGCAGAAGCTCTTCCCAGTAATAGCTATCTGCATACCATCAAAATTAAGACTTGTGTCAAAGTTCCAAACAAACAGCAGTTGATTGAACACAGTTAGAAGAAAATGTTATTATTCTCCTGCTTTCTTTAAAGCACCTACCATTATATAAGCATTGCGGTTAATCGACTTTATGGTCCATTCAACGCACCGGAGACAAAATCCAGAGCTATGGTGCAGCACCTTCCCAATCCAGCCGTCCGGAGTTATATCAGTGACTTTCAGTTTGCGGCGAATCGATTCTAGGAGGAAGCGTATGGATTCCACAAATGAGACCACCAGAGAGCCCAAGGCAACTGACCCAAGGCTGTATCTTGCGAGCCTTTTCATAGAGCCGAAAACTGGGAGGAACGGAATCTCTGGCTGCATAGCATTTGGCAATAGTGTGCTTAGAGCTAGTCCACTAATCTACAAGATAATGTGCTCTGTATGTTAGTAATGCCAGAAACAAAAGAGGAGCGAGCAGCTTACCGAGGTATCACCACGAGCCCAATAATAGGATGCAACAGAACCAGCGATGACAGTTGCAGAAGAAGCTATGAAGAATTGGGTGGCCCAGTAACATCCAAATAGGTGGAAGAAGATGGCAATAGCAATATGAGGAGTGTAACGAACGCCATAACCACAGCACCGGTCACAGTTCACCCGTTTCGATACAAGATCATAGGCGCAGCAGTTTGAATTGTCGCAGTTGTTCTGGACAATCTGGCCAGAACTGAACAGATGCAAAGCAGCTGACAACCAGAACATGTAGAATATTGCAAGCATGGCATATGGTATGACTGGGAAAATTATGAGTGCTTGAACTTCTCCAATCACCTTAGCAGCCACCTGCATTAACAATCAAAACCAATTATTTCATTCAACCAGGTTTTGATCACTTGAGTAATAAAATGTCAACCCCTGAAGCAACCTAGGAGGAAGTTCACAGTCTACAACATGTCCACACATGGCCCACTTGCCTTGAGTACGGATGTGGCCATTAGGATGCGTCGCGCTATGGCAATTGATGTAAGGACAGAGACCACCATGATTAAGGTCATGAGAATAGCAACAGCGCGGATGTGATTAAGTTCCTGAAAGAAAAATAAATAGGAGTAAGAAACAGATAACAGAGATATCGAAAGGCCAAGGAGACTATCTAGCACTGCAGCTGATATAATAACCTACTCGGCCAAACACATGATAGTATGGATCAGGGGGGCCAATGACTGGGGATATAGCATCATTTCCAATCCATCCAGCTGCAAAGTGATCAAAGTCAGAAAAGGAATAGTGTCATTAGAGGGGGGAATCATGAAGACTCTCAATTGGGAACTAAAAAGCATTTGCAGTTAAACTGGTAACCAGTAGCAGATGAATGAATAAAATAGGCGGGAGAAGGGACTGCTATCAATCATATTCAGGAAGAAGCACTTGATTATGAAAATAATCTTCCAATGCCTCGTTTCTTATCAATGCTAAGAAATACTATCAAAGTCAGACAAGACGTCCAATGAAGCTTCCTTGAGACACAATGAGATCCAACAACTAGAAAAAGTCACAGTACTGAAGTCACTTCCAAGTTTGGCCTATAATCTAAAACCATGTCAGCTCAGCAGTGAAAAGTAAAAGGAAACCTTCTGAGTTACTGACCTTTGAGGTAGTAGAACATTGTCACTGAAATTATGAGTACATTAAAGAGGGCAACTGTAACCCATGGCATGGCAGCAACTAAGTGTCGAATCATCAGCAGCCAAATCACCGACAAAAATAGAGGTAATAGTCCTCCACAGACGATTAATACTGGCCATGACTTCCCGATATCTGCCACATATCTCTGCCAGACAAAATTACGCTTATTAACTTCCAAATGCAGAGAAAATATGATGTAGCTCGTACAATTGGCTTCACGAAAAGACAAGAAACGCTTTTCGCATACAGAAACACCGTGAAAATACATACTCCGGCCACTTAAATCAACTATGCAACAGCTCTGGCATGCAAATGCACGAAGTGATGCCTCTATAAACCCATTTAGACCATCATGTAATGCAAGTTCTATTCATAATCCACGCCGAGGAAATTAAATCAAAACGGAAGACAAAGTTACTTAGAAAAAGATTACAGTCATAACCAATATTCATCAATCCAGGAACACAACATTCATAACAGGAGATGGGGGAACTCAAACCTTCAGCACAGACGAACGAGCATTGACTGACTTGTGAATAGTCTTGTCAATTATAATATCTTCGTCGATGTTCAATCCACCCATTACTTGCCAATGTCTCAAAGACGCATTTGATGCACGAGCAACAAATTCACACCTCCAGTGAACTGGGAATAAAGAGACACGAAACAGTGACTTTAGATTACAAATTTGCATTTAACATAACACATCAACAGAAAAGGATGGAACTGATTGGAATGCTTCCACAAATTCAGCAAACTGAGTAAAGAAGTCTCCTATGGGCTTGACATTGGTAAGAGCCAGACACATATAATGAGTTGAAACCATCAAACAAATGCAGCTCGCGTACCGTTTACACTAGGGAAAATGACAGGGTAACAAGGACCCTGGAGTTGAAGCGAGGAGTTTCTCATCTCAGGAGTAAGGAACTCGTAATAGTCATAATTCCTGTCGATCCAATCATCCATTGATATGCGGATATCACCCTCTGGGTAATCACAGACCCAATTCAGACCGTCATCTGTTGGTCTAGGACAATCCAACAAGCATATACTCCTAGCATTGGCCAACTTGAATTGGCTGTTCTTGGAGCCACTAAGATAGACCTGATTGGGATTGACCCAGTATGTGAGCTCCAATTCTCGCAGATTTGGATGCGCATGCTTGTCACCACAAACATTTCCTTTGTAGTCCAGCCCATATGTAAGCCTAGCAACACCCAAACCGTAACTAAATCAACAAATAGAAAGTACACCAAAAAAAGGCGAGCAAGAGACACACTTTGACAGGAATAAGTGCAGCAAAGGAAACTCATTTCTCACACAAAATCTATCTAACCGGAGAAAGTTGCATGAAGAACCAAACTTTCCATACTGAAACACTAGTTAGACATGCCAAAAACAGCAGGAGAAGGGTTTTGGAGCGAGCCGCGAACAGAAAAGCCCGTCGCTTTTGTGAATTACTTACCTTAATGGATTTCCCTGGTTGAATCCAAAGCTGGAGTTGACAATCATAGCAACCCAGAAGGCTACGAACACTACCAGAAACGCCAAATCTCTGCATTTCCTGTTGCGCTTAATGATTCCATCAATCTGGGTGCTGCCATCACTTGATGGGTACCTCCCAATCACTGCCCCCAGGGGCCGACTCATGTTCTCTCTCTGCCTCAACTGTGTCTCTCCCTTCGATCTTCCTCCGCAGCTCAACTATGGAAAGGCACAGAGAGAGAGTGTGAGAGGGAGGGTACTGGGTAGAACTGGGGAATGTTTCTGGAGAAAGGGAAAGTTGTGTTCTTTTCATTTCATTTTTATTATTTGTTTTTTTTTTTTTTTGAATGAAGGACAGTGGCTGCAAGTTGTAGACTGTAGAGTGTAGAGTGAGAACAGAGTGTAGAGGAAAAAACAAGAAATACGGATGGGAAAGCAGAAAACTTGAACGGGTTTAAGATTTGGAATTGAATGACAAGAGAAAAGTGTGGATTTGGGACTTGTTTAAGGTCTTCATTAACGGTTAAATGCTTGATTAGCTGTTAAGTATGGTGTATGGAGTATGGCCCTCACTCACTCTGGATTTTAAGACAAAGATCTTTCTCTATCCCGTGGGTAGTCTGCTACTTTGCTTGGTCTGATTTTATATAGTAAAATGGTCTGTCTTTTTTTTTTTTTTCTCCAAAAGAGAAGCCATGAAATATAAATCAGAATTCGATTTGATCTGATTGGGACCAAGTAATTGTTCTCTAATAATTTTGTAAGTGTATAAACTATCTAGTAGTTTAAGTATGGTCCCCAATAGGATTCTGTCATATCATATTAGTTTATTCTTGTGTTGTTTTTAGATTTACCATTTTAAGTAATTTTCCACACTTCAGTATATGTTATTAAATTGACAATGTCAAAGAAAACAGTCAAAACAGAGTATTATTGTTCATTTAAGAAAAAAATGATGAGAAAAGGGATTAAATAGAGGGCATGGTAGGATTGTAGGGGGAGAAGAAGGGAGAAGACTGGAATGAACTGTAATTAGAAGTTGTAAATGCAGTCAAAAGCGCGATTTTATCTAGAAGCGGTTGGGTGACCTAGAAGCGTAAAACCGTAAGCTTTTAAGTTTTAAAGCGTAGATTTTGACTACATTTGTAAGGAAAAATCACGATTCTACGTAAAAGCGTTTTGGTGACCCAAAAAAGTAAAAGCGTAAGTTTTTAAGTTTTAAAGCATGATTTTAACTGCATTGTAAGCCACAAGAGCACATAACCATTAGCTAGAGTGATTCAATTCTTCATCTTTATTTGACACTCCACCATCATAAAAACAAACACAAAGGATGAGGAATCTAACACTAGCACGAGGAAGTCTTGAATCTCGATCATCACTCATTTGTCACCGGTGTCCTCGGTTTCATCATCAACCATCATCCATTGTCACCGTAGTCATCCTTGGTATGATTATCGTCACTAGTGTCGATCTTGTCCCCTAACTCGTTGGCCTCATCGATGATATTGAAGGCATCATCCTCATCCACCCATCTCGACGGACTCACTAGTGGTATCACAGTCGTGATGATCATCGGGGTAAAACTTAAAATCCGTGCTGGCAAATACAATCATCATGATATAAGTGGGACTAATAAGTCCTCATTAATTTTCAAAAGTAAAAGATGATCAGCTTGACAAGAGGTTACACCTCTTGACACTTTTAATAGGGATACAAGTTCTTTGTGCGCTTGTATGTCGAAATTATCGTCACCTAAATGTATATTCTCTTTCTTTTGCACAACTCCGAACATGAGTAAATATGTTGTCATTTTCATCTCACCTTCTTAGTAGACTTATGAATGATAGTTTGAATAAAAGTTGTCGATATTGTAACTATTTTTCAACTTCATAATTTGCATATGAGTCCTGTGAAGAAGACAATATTTGTTTCACTTTTTGGACCAATTTGTCAAGAAATAGAAGTTAAATGTTAACTTGACGGAATATTTTAGAGTATATTGACATAAATCTGAATTTAGTATCTAGCGATGTTATATGGATTAGTACAGTGACCATATTGATAATTTAGCCAGCGAGAATCAAAGGAAGAAAGGGGCTACTGCGAAGTGAGAAAGCGAGGGTTCAGAGGAACAGGGGACGACGGTGTGTCTCCCGCCGCCGGTCAGTCTTAGAGTGTAATCGCAATCGGCGCTCACCGCCACTTGACGTGGAGAGAGAGAGAGAGATCGTGTTACTCCTGCAAAAGCCTTTCCAGATCGAGAAGCAAAGAGAAGCAACAGCCAAGGTCCCATTTGTCTGCTTGCCCATCAGCTCGCCGCGTGCAGTGGCTCTTTGTTCACTGTTCTGCGGTGAGATCATTATTCATCGGGTTATTAGAGGTTTGTTTCGTTGCACTTCTTAGTGGGACTGGGGTGGGGAATCCTCTACAATTTGGATAATCTCAATAGGGTTAAGTCCCGCAAGAACACATCGTGTTATCTTTGGTTTAAAGGAAATGAATTTCCAGTTTCAGCCCAATGCATCATTCTGTTCTTTACAAATTAGTAGACTGCTAGTGTTTCTTATGTGTGCATACAACTGTTAAAGAGAGAAAGTTTCAGCCTTTAAATTTTAGGTCCTGGGAGCTATTGGCATCATTCTGAGTCTTCTCTGATTGTGTGTGAAAGCCTTGGCATCATTCTTGAATTGGGCAAGCGAGATTCATGACTTAAATTCTTGTTTCCACATCATTATATTTATAACTTATGCGAAAGTCAGAATTCAGCGAATTTAAGCCGGCTTACCAGAGTTCAAGCTTGGATCAAGCTCATCGTCTAGTCTGATTCGGCCTTTCTGAAACCTAGATTTGACTGTGAATTGAGTGCAGGTTCATGCTACAATTGAGCTCAAGATTGTCTTTGTTAATGTGCTTCTGCTGAGCCTAGCTCAGGCCTAGTGATCTCCAACGCGGTTGCAGTTTTCTTTTATTCATTCTGTTGTGTTTTCCTGCCATTAGTTGGGGGTGCAGGTTCTACATGTAAATGAATACAGATTTCTGTTGTTGTGCATGATGAATCTATGCCGAACTAAGCGAATCATGAATCCATTGACAATGTGCCCTTTGGCTGATAGAGGACTGGCAATTTTGCAGCAAAGCATGGGAGGTAGAGGTGTTATTGGGGATAAATGGTCCATGAGGATTCTCTGGATGTGTGCTCTCGGAAGTGCAGTCGGTAAGTATTCCAGAATGAACATTACATACTAGCACTATTCTGCAACTGGTTTTCTAAATCGACGGATGCCAGTTATAAAATGAGCACTAAGTGGCTCTCTTTTTCCCATGCATTTCCTCTTCTCTCTATCTGACAAATTTTCTCTGTATTCTTGCTTGGCCAGGTTTGTACATGGTTGCAGTAGAAAGACAAGCACAAAACAGAAAAAAGATGATGGCCGAAGGCTTCACGGGTCTGGATGACGATGGGGGCGAAGAGGACGATGTCTAAGCTCTAGTTCTTCTGGTTTGCTATAGCAACTTTTATCACAGTCCTGTATTTTAGCTGTCTTTCATCGTTTCTCAGTCGAAGCTAGCAGTTCCAAATAATAGCAGGGATTGACACATCTGGAAACTAGTACCATGTTGCAACTTTGCCAAGTCTGACACAATGATGTTGGACTTTCCATTGCCCTCGAAACCTCGTCGAAATAGCTACTTCAGAAGGTAAAATGTTGACATAGGTTTTGCTTCCGACTGTGGTTACACGGCCATGGCAGGCTTTCGTGGATTCGGGTTTATCTATGGTGACTTTAACGGCTAGCAGTGGATCAAATGCAGTCGCGGATTCCATAGGTCATCAAGAAATAGTCTTGCAGCACTTGCGATGACAAACTAAGATACTGATCTAAATTGTGTAATCTTTTCTTAAAACCCTTCTACTCTGCATTGGATTAGCTTCAGTTTCACTCCACTAAAGCTACAGATCTCGCCCCAGTAAATTTCCTTCGTTCATCGATCCAAAATTACATAAACGTGTTTAAAATAAATTGATTAATAAATAACTCATCGTCTAACAGAGCTCAACCCAGCAACGAGGCCAGTGTGTTATACGCATGAGCCGCGGCAAAAAAGCAGAAAAACAGGGGAGGGACGTTTGAAGTTCCGGCGGGAAACTGGCATTCTTGGATGCAACCGAACAGCAAAGCACGTAAATTGAATTCTGAAACAGTCCCATAATTCATGGAGAATCACGCACACTTCACTTCCACCATTGCCCGGCCGACTGCTCTGATCCCTTCCCTTCCCTTCGTCTCTACTATATATAAAATCGGAGGTAGCAGCACCACCACCATGATCATCACCATTTCCTCCTACTAGCTAATTTGCAATATATATAAGCTCTACCAGCGATGAAGAGCTCACCACTCCCGCTGCTGATTCCTTGTCTGATTCTGCTATTGATATGCTCGAGCTGCTCTGCTTCGTCTCACCGCCTCCTGGCTTCCACCGCCGCTAGCTTCGACGGCGGAAGCAGCAGAGTTTATGCACTCAGTGTTCCGTTGAGTAACGATCAAGAATTGGCGTCCGGGGTTGGGTATGGTGCTGGCACCGGTGACGGATCCGGGGTGGGGTACGGCTCTGGCTCTGGCACCGGCAGCGGTGGCGGAACTGGAATTGGAGTCGGGAGCGGCGGCGGCGGAGGAGGTGGCGGGACGGGAGTCGGCGTTGGGTATGGCGGCGGATCATCGTACGGGTCTGGATGGGGGAGCGGGTCTGGAGGTGGATTGGGGTATGGGATGGGCGGTTGGCCCGGTGGTTTTGGGTATGGAGTCGGAATCGGGACCGGGCCTGGCGGTGGCATTCCATTTATTCCCTTTCCTGTCAACGGAGGCGGCGCTGGTGGTGGGAGTGGCAGCGGTGGCGGTGGCGGGGAGGGATTCGGCGGGGGAAGTGGGAGTGGAAGCGGTGGGGGTGGCTCTGGCGGCGGAGGTGGTAGCAGTGGTGGCGGTAGCGGTGAAGGGTTTGGCAGCGGCAGCGGTGGGAGTGGATTTGGCGGTGGAGCTGGGAGTGGTAGTGGGAACGGTAACGGTAACGGTAACGGTAACGACCAAGGGTCTGGCTCAGGAGCTGGTAGCGGCGGCAGCGGTGGTGGAGGATTTGGTGCTGGAAGTGGGAGCGGAAGTGGTAACGGTGAAGGATCTGGTTGGGGAGCTGGGAGCGGCAGTGGTGGTGGATCTGGCTGGGGAGGTGGCAGCGGAAGTGGTAGCGGCGGTGGATCTGGTGGCGGAGGAGAAAGCGGCGGTGGTAACAGTGAAGGGTCTGGTTCGGGAATTGGGGGCGGCAGCGGTGGTGGCAATAGTGGCGAGTCTGGAAGTGCTGGTGGTGGGGAAGGAAATGGCAGCGGCAACGGCAGTGGTGGCGGATCTAGCGGTGGTGGTGGAGAAGGGAATGGTAACGGTAATGGCAGCTCTGGCGGCGGTGGCAGCAGCAGTGGCGGCGTTTCTGGCGGCAGTGGTGGAGGATCTAGCGGTGGTGGTGGAGAAGGGAACGGCAACGGTGGCGGGTCTGGCAGTGGAGGTGGGGGCGGCACCGGTAGCGGCGGTGGTAGTGGAGATTATAATGGCGGTGGAGTTGGAAATGGAGGAGGCGGGTCCGGCGGTGGATCTGGAAGCAGTAGCGGTGGTAATATCGGTGGTGGGTCTGGCGGTGAAGGTGGGAGCGGCGGCAACAATGGAGGCGTTAATAATGGTGGTGGAGCTGGTAATGGAGGGGGTGGGTCCGGGGGCGGCACCGGCGCCGGGGCCGGGAGCGGAGGCGGCAGTGGTGGTGGAACTGGAAGCGGAGGTGGATCCGGTGGTGGAACTGGGAGCGGAAGCGGCGGTAATATCGGTGGTGGGGGCGACAACGGTGGTGGGTCTGGCGGCGAAGGCGGAAGCGGCGGCAACAATGGTGGCGATAATAATGGTGGCGGAGCTGGTAATGAAGGAGGTGGGTCCGGCGGTGGCAATACTGGTGGCGGGGGCGGCAACGGTGCCGGTTCTGGCAGCGGTGGTGGTGGCTCGTACGGTCCTCCTGGCGGCCCAGCATATCCTCCAACAGCTCCTGGGCCTGGTAATAATTGTGGCAGCCCATCAGGGCCTCCTGGTAACGGCCCATGGGCCGGGGGCTGTGTTTGCAGCCAACAGTGTTCTCAGCAATGCGGATGGACCACCAACTTCAACGCGGCAGCTATCAATCACTGAAACAAATTCGCTTCTGCAACCACAAATACAGCAAGACAATAAAGGAAAATATCATATCACTAGCTAATAATAAAACAAAACAATAATGTATGTTGCTTCAGTTTCTGCACATTCTCAACTGTTGTAAGGTTTCCACATTTCCCAGAATGGTTCTATTTACTCTTGTTACTTCAATGAATATGAATCGGCCCAAATGTTTCAGAACGAGAGCTTAGCATTCGCACCATTTTCGTTACATATAGACATGAATGCCACATACAGAGAAACAGGTACAAGATTCATCTACAATCAAGCTCCAAAACCACGAGCACGTATGTACCCATGATAGCGATACAAATTCGGCCAATTTACATCTCTGACTCCTCTACATGATAATGGAGGGAAGAGCAGGTTCGAACGAACTCTCCCTTACTGATCTATAACTAGCTGTCGTACTACAATCCTGCTTGCTTCATTTATCTTCTACTGGCAGGCATAGATGCTGCCCTAGGGAAACTGTCCTCGACCACGACTCTAGAAGCGACTGGGGAAGCAATGTAGGAGGCAGAAGGTCTTAGGAGAGGGGTGCCAGCTCGGGATGAAGTTTCGTTGGGAACAGGACCTAGAGGACTGGTTAGGAGGGAATCAGGAGCAGAAGCTGGCTGCAGCTCTATGTGATGATCATTCCCTCCTGGAATAGGGTTCGTGTCAGCAGGAGGATCGAGAAGCTGATGATTGTCTTCATCCTCGAGCGATATCACTGTGCTTGTGTCGGTGCGTATGGTGGAGTCGTCGGTGAATCCATGTCTTCTCTTCCTTCTCCTAGCAGCTTTGCCCCACCCATGGATTGTGTCCCTTATCCTTTGTGGGATCAATGCTGCTTTGTAATTTGTACCCATCTGCGAATTACACAAGCGGATTATTAGATACTGCAAAGAGCGTCGCCACGAATGTCTAGAATGTTTCTTAAGTGGCTACCAACTAAATGGACATAATTCTCAGTTAGGCTAAGGGAGATTTTGCATTCTGTTCTCAGAGTTGTATTTTCTCGAGCATACCTGAGTGACTAGAGCATACAGGGGTAAGGTACTGTAGCTGCAAAGAAACTGACATGCAAACCTGCAAAGTGCCGTAGGACAATGTCATGTGTCCGATTCGCAAATAATAACTATAACAGACTAAAATTTTCATTTTGTTACCCCAATATGAGTCGTATATAAACGAGAGTATGGTTCGTTATGAAACAAGAATTGTATCCGAATTGCCACTGCATCATGCAAGCCAAAAGCAACAACATATCAGGTGGAGCACATACAACTTGAAACTGCACAGAAGCAAGAGAAACCGATATCAATAAGGAAAAGACAGAGAAAGGTCTTTGTCATGGAAGAGGAAGTACCCAGAACCAAAAGAATGAAGCCAGCTCAAACGCATTCTGCAATCAACCAAAAGAAAAAGAAAAAACAAAGAAAAAATGTGTCAGTTTAGGAAATTTTAGATAGCATACAAAGTCGTCCGGTTCAAAACTCAAGAGAAAAAGGCAGCAACAGCAGCAGCACCAACTCAATGTGAGGAGAATTGATACCTGGAATAGAATAAAGTGGATCAACGATAACAGTAATTCTGGCTTTTTGAACCAGAAAAGATCATCTCGAGGCTTCAGCTCTCTTCCAGCAAAGTAGCCAGAAATGCCCGCATTCTCCAACGTCAGGGTCGCAATCACATGCTGTAGCTTTGCTCCAACTAGAAGCACGAGCTGAATATGATATGGAAGACATAATTAGCCTCTCTATGTAACAGAAACCATGGAGCTATTCAAAACCAAATGCGACTCCCTAAGGAGGCCAAGAATCTAGAAGCAAACACATTTGAAATGGAAGAGAGTAATTACTTACAGTTACAGGAATGATAGCTATCCAGAAATAAAGATTAGAACCTGCAGTGAGGAACAATGCACGTTTAATTAGTCATGCAACCAAGTATACTTTTATCAGTGCAAGTAATAAGGCAAGCAGAGACGACTTTCTCACGGAATTATAAGTCACACTAATGATAGTCACATGTAAGGTATACAGAAAAGGAACCAAGTGCAGTTTCATCAATTTCTCACACCTTTCACAATTGAAGAGCGACTAGAACAGACAATTTCAGCAATCAATTTTTGTATCGGGTATCATACCTTTTATATTGAAAAGCATAAAAGCAACGACAAATCCCCACAAAGGACCACTGGAAGGAATTGCAAAGAAAGCATGTTAGTCTCATTCTCAGTCTAGACCCCCCAAAAGTGGATTCTGGCTTTCTACAATGCGCTCAATGCATCGAAGTAAAACATTACCTAACACCAACTATCCTTTGGAACTCCTCTTCCATGGAGCGAATCATGTAGCCATGAAAATCATATCTGTGAGTAAGGTGGTGATTCTGCCCGCCAGCACCAAAAAGAAAGGAGAGGAAGGAGAGGAAGGAGAGAGGGAGGGAGGGAGAGAAACAAAGATAAAGTATGCGTTAGTAAACGTTGGGAAGATAATGTGGACTATAATATACACATATTAGCAAGAAATGATGCTTATATTATAGATGAGAAAGTCCTGGAAGACACTAGTTTGTTGAATGAATCTAATAACAAGTGATGACTGGTTGGTACCAGCTTGTGAATTTGTCCTTAAGTAAAAATTCAAAAACCCTTTTAGTTACAGATCCCTGTTTTTACATGGAAGTGTTGAAGTGCATGCACAATCATGTTTCTCATAACTTCTTCTATACAATTGGACCACAAAATAAATGCAGTACGGTTTGTTGCTTCACATTTCTCAACCTATCGTTTGCAAACTAGCTCTGTCCAAAAGCACTACACGGTGCAATATTGGGACGGATATGCGAACAGGAAACCAGTACATGTACATATACATACTTAAATTGCTTCCAAGAAACAAAAACATAAATACGTTGTTCAGTTTACAAATATGTGTACCGTGATAAAGCCTCTGCGGAGAATAAGGTAATCTGACCGAACAACTGAATGCCCAAATTGCCGAAAGAAACATGTCTGCAACATAAATAAGTTATCAGCTTCTGGGATTAAAATTGCGATCGTTAGATGTGCAAACCAAACATATAGCCAGGAGGAAAGGAAGGACTTGAAGTATTGCATAAACATATAATCTGCTAGTGAGAAAAAGGAAAAGATATATTCATTAATAATCAATTTACTTCACTTGTTAAAGCGATCTAGCATGAGGTCAATTGACAAGAATACCATTTAATATTATACCGTCTAGATTAGAAGGTGATATTCCAACCCAGGAGAGGTTTCAACAACACGCTGTAATCTTACCATACAAGTTAATTACCACATTTTAAAAAATTCAGTACAATTGGTGTTAGTTCAGATTTCACATGTATATGAAACTTACCACCCACATGAGAACCCTGCTCTTCGCGAAAGGGCTTGATGGAGTATATCCGATGAAACTGGTTTGCCTTTGAAATGTCTTCTCCCTTGTGATTTCTGCAACAAGATAAATAACCAATTCTTTCATTCATCTCTTCTGAACCAGAGCATGTTGGTACTTAATGTACCTATAAGATCTGCTTGGGATTTACCTGTTAAGACATCATGTCGGTCCATATAAGCCTCAAGTTCCCACAGCCTCCACCGATGGATCTGATGAAAATTAGAACTCGTGAGAAATAGAATGACCATAGAAGTACAATGCAAAATTTACTTTTCTTGTTCAAGAGCAAGAATACAGGCTATTAAAGGAACTCCAAACATATTTCTTCACTCATGATTCACTACACAAAAATGAGACCAGAGAAACAGCCTATTTTCATTTCAACATAACTATCAAGCACTTGGAGAAAATTATACGCTAAGATGATTAGAATAGTGCAGGAATGTTAACCTTGACAATAGCCAGCAACATTGTCAGGCAGCTGTAAGATATATGTGTGATAGCCATGACAAAGATGAAGCGATGCAACTGTTCAAGGCCTTGATACGACACAAATGGTTCATGTCCCTGCACGCATGAGTGTTCCAAATTATCACATGCAATTCCTATGTTATCAAAAACACCTGACTCAACAGTTATGTACCAAAAGTAGGCTTCTGGGGCAAACATCTTGTTTCAAGCAGAAAAATGTGCCATGATGTGTACTAGTGCTCAAAATTAGTGCGGCCAGCGGCATCCTTTACAAAATTTTGAGCAGATAGATGAATAACTTACCTCATGGCAAGTATTCCTCTGCAAGCTATTCAGAATCCTACGGAGATGGATGCCAGAAACCGTATTTAGTTTGCGACCCTGTGAAATGGAGTTCTCTTCCATCTCTTCATCAATCTGAGCCGTGGTGCAAGGAGCAAAACGACTATTGTAGAACTTTGATGGGATGCAAATATTAGCAATTAGGCTGGATGATGCAGTGAGAAAAAGTGATATGAATCCAAGCAACATCAACTCTGGAGACATGTGACAATAATTAAACAAGGAGATAAGTATGATGGACAATATGCCACAAGATTACCAAAAAAAAAATACAACTAACAGAAATACTTCATGGAGTTTTAGGCCTTTTGCAAGTAAGAGTTACCTTCTTTCATTTTCTCCACAGCAGCAAGCAGAGGTTTTCGGTTAGTTTTCCGCAACCACTGCAAGGTATAAACTAATTATCAATCTGATGTACATAGAAATGCTCAAGTAAAAGGGTATATCTCGACCAATCTTTTAACAAATGACTGCATACATATAATGGGTGTCATGAGGGTACATGAGTTATGGAGCAAACTGCATCATGTTATAAGAATTTTTAGAATGGTTCACCAAACGAAAAAGTTAAGCAACTCCAGTGCAAGCCGTCATGAAATTCGTTAACGAATTTGTTGATTTCAACTCCTATGGCTACTGTATCCTCTATCATCTACAGTCCACCACACATAACACACAGAGGAACAACTTCAAACAGTACATTATGCCCAGCCAAATCGGCCCAAAACCTCCAGTTTATCATATGAAAATCACAGTTGCTTCAAAAGCTAAATTACTTAGTGTCACTGCAATGAACAGAAACTCCAACTCTGACTGCACAGCTAAAATGTTTTGGTAAGTGAGAAACGAGATACAAGGATGAACTTACATTACTCAGGCGATTGATTAACCGTTCCACGATCAAGGAGACAACCACAAAGATTGTTAACACGGTTGCAACTGACCATGTGGGAGTCAAAGCTAATGAGCGCATTTCTTTTGTATTCTCCAAGGTCCCCTGCTGGTTTTCTTCTGCCATGACGACCACCACCACCACCACCGCAGAGCAACAATCTGACCCTCGCAAATAACCTTCTTTCCTTCAATATCTCAACTTCTTCTTCCGAATCCTCCAGCTTGGCTGAAAACCAGAACCCGCAAATCTCGATGACGAAAAAGAAACCAGCATTTACAGTACTACTACTAATCTGTCTATCTGAGATTTCTTGTGCATCCCCACTCGGCGATGATATACACAAGACCGGAGAATCCTCTGAAAGCGAGCTAACTTTCTTTCTATTTTTGTTCACTGTGGAATGGCGATACCCCCTATGAATGAATACTTTAAATGGAACCCAACTTGGGGAAAGGAGAATGTGGAATAGGGTGGTATCCACAGACCAGAAATCTTTCCTTATCAACCAAAAGCTTCCACCTTTGCTGTCTGACCGCTTTTCTTCCCTCTACCCAGAAAAATCATTCTCCTCACATCTTCACAGACGAACGGGACAGTCGGGCTAAACTACAGAACTAGTCGCATTGAAGAGAAAGATCCAGTTCAGACTCACAGCATCAACCATGGGCACCTTCGCATACTCTTCTGGTCCCAGGATGAAGTGATGAAGTAAACTTTTAAGGAAAGATTTACCAGTCCTTCTCCATTCTTCTTTCTCTGGGTATTTGTAAAGCAGCCGCCTTTCTAGTTTCTACGGACGCCACGAAACACGGCGGGTGACATGATTTTGACGAGGCACATGAAAGAAGGATCTCCGGTCTCTGCTGGGCTTCATTTTGTTGTTCAATTCTGACGGTAGCTTTCTTTGTTTTTTCTCCATTTTCCTTCTCATGGGGTCCATTTTGCCGAGAAATGTAATGGTGATTGATGACTAGGTAAGACACCCGTAGTGGCAGGCAGGTCGATAATTGAAAGCGCTTTTGCGAGGGAAAGAAACTACCAGCACCGATCGTTTTCCATGATTAGTGGGATGGTATGGCCTATTAACACAGACTAAATGAAAATGACACTTTTCTCTCAAAATAGATCCAGAATCCAAATTCTTGAAATATGTCAAATACAGAACTTTCGTAAGAAATGTGCATATGGAGCCGGGGGCAACTCTCCATCTATGAGGAAATTTGATGAGCTCTTCTCCGTATCCATTGTTGCTGCATTCACGTCGACTTCTTTTCCTCACAAGGTGACAAGACAGGAGCAGTGAATAGTAATTATTCGTTTGATATATCCCTCACTGCTTTTGTACATGTTTTTAACTTACATTACAACTCTCAACTCAAGATGCTGCCATGAGTCCATTTGTGGACATCAGATAAAATTGAAACGACACAGAGAAGATGCTGCCATGAAGGGAACAGAACTTTAAAGCACGAGGGTGTTTGTACTTTCCAGAGACCAAAAATAGAGAACAAGGCAGAAGGAGCATGGGTGTTTTGAATCAAAAAGGTAACTCAATCATCCGACTCTTCTTCAGTGTCTTGTTGATCATCATCATCTTCTGCTTCAGAGTCTTGTTGATCGTCATCTTCTTCTGCATCTGTGTCAGGTTGATCATCACCTATATCGTTGGACTCCCCTGACTGCTGCCCGGGCTTGTCACCCTTCAACTCATTCTCGCTAAACAGATCCCTTTGTACTGGCACACTTCGCTGTTGCTGGGTCGAAATGACGTTTGCAATTGCTTTGAAAGCTGCAGATGCCCTGTTCTTGTCCCCAATAGCCTCCTCGTCGATACCATTGACAGTAGGTTCCCCTGATGATGCCTTGCTAGCTTCTTCTTGTTTTGGAGGAGGGACAAAGAAGGGAATTTTACCCCTTTGCCAGTCATGAAGTATCATCTTTGCTGCAGTCGTCAAGTCTGGCTCACCTCCCTACACACCCATCCAACCATCCCAATTCCGTCAGATTTAGATCATATAAAAGGAGGAAAGCATGAGAAGGAATGCAGTAACTGCGACAAATAGACCCACACCATCAACAGCTTGATTGAACATGCATCACGGTTATAATCAAGGGAGATAATAGAACATAAATCGAACCTTCAAAAGTTTGCCAGTAGATTTGCACAGCTGAACCAGAAAGTCATTGTCATCGACCCTAAAAACAGGTTGCCAGAATTAAAGTCAGATGCCACGATCTAGTAGGTAAAGACTCCCATTTCAGCAAATAAAGAATTCGAGGTCTATAAAATTAGTAGTATGGCTGCTGGAATACAAAGGTGAAAGGAGGAGATGCCAATAGCAAATAATGAAACAACGAAATGCCAGGAGCAAATAATGAAACAACGTTGGCCAAAGGCCAAAGACAATTAACATGATCCATATAAGGTTGTACATATAAAATCAGTTACATTACTTACCAGTCTTCTATCTTATAAGCACGTTTCAAATGTTCCTTTTTCACACGTTTCAGAACTTCTCCTATGTGTTCTGTAGCATCTTCCAAATTTGTGACACGGACCTATATGGCACCAATAACATGATCAATCCTTTGTACTAAAGGAAGACTTAAAATGGCGCCTCAAGTCTTCTGATAAGGTCACATAATTTGGGAAAAGCAAGAGAACAAAAACATACCACACCCTTCAGTACAATATCTGTTTCAGAATCTTTGCTCTCATAGACAACTCCAGGACAATCAATCAAGAAAATTCTCTTGGTAAGTGTTATGTACTGCCACACTTTAGTCTCCCCTGGTATGGGAGCAACTTTGCAGACCTAGCCAAGGCAAAAATATTATACATCAATGAGCATATGATGGGAAAAAGAAACGTGATTATTAGAAGCAACAGAATACAGAACAAACATTACATTCTTTGTTCGAAGTGTGTTGATGACAGAAGACTTGCCAACGTTGGGATAGCCAACAAATCCAACTGATATTGCTTGCTTGTCACTTTTTAACCGAGCAAACTGTCTCAGTACTGACAGAAGAGAGCCCTATTGCCAAAAAATTTAAAATGAGAAGATGGAGCAAATATAAATAAATATATATATCAACCGAAACAAAGAAGGGTGCATCTCTCAAAAGCAAAATAGCCACAAAGGATAGAAAACTAGCAGAATCCCGGATGATTGTTCACATTTAGTTCCTAGAAGCTAGTTGTCGTGGAAATCAGCTCAATCGGTGAAAATTAAATACAATATTTCTCAACGAGTACCTTGCCAAATGACTTATTGATGCTTGCATGGAATGCTAGAGTTGGATACTCTTTGGATAACAGCCTGAGCCATCCTTTTGTTGCCCAAGCAGGGACTAGATCACACTGGAATTAGAGAGACCAAATTTATAAAACACTATCCACTGTTTAAAGAAAAAGAATATCATTCACAAAATGAAGAGTGATTAGTTCAGCTAACCTTATTTAGCAGAAACACCATGTGTTTGTGTGTACAGTGCTCTTTCAGGTGTCGTTCTAAATGATAACATCTTGTACCTTGGGGGTCCCTTGCATCCAAAACCTGAAAGGAACAAGGAGGCACAAAGTTATAACTAAACAGCATAAGATGCACTGCAACTTCATCGAACATTGACATTTTAGCAGCCAAAAGATTCGGAATCTCTGGTTGATTACTTCTTTGGATTAAAAAGGGATAACATCAACAAATAACTTACTTGTACAACAACATCAGATGAGTCTATAACCTTGTATAGCTCACCCCAAATACGCTTACTTTGGCCCTTTTCAAACATATTGTGGCGAACAAGGTCTCTAAACCCATCCTCGTCGCCCCCTTCTGCAGTAGCACTACTCCCATACTTCTCCTCGAAAGCATCTGCGATGTCACAAAAGACCAAGTATGAAATTGGTAAGTGACATCAACCCAAAACTGCAGTGATGGCTGATGATGTAAGAAATTGCTCAGCTTGCATACACAAGGAGCAAGCAGAAACAATAAGAGGAAATGACAAGCAAGGGCGGATTATAAAGTTCCAAAATACAGAGAAAACAATCAACAATATACCCTGAGATTCATCAGCTTTCTTGGCCAAAGACTCGTAATCTCCAGCCAAAAGTCTTGGGCGTTTCCTTTTCTTCTTAGGTCCGAATGCATCGCCAAAAGGCTCGGTATCAAGAAGATGAACTCTAGCTTGCTTCACAAAGAAATAACATTTCAGGAAGCGTGAGAACGTCTGGGGTAGATTCAAAAGAAAAGGCCAGCAAAACTACACTAAAAGTTCTAGGCACCAACCAATGATGGGAAGCTGACACAAAAACTAAAATCTACACTATTTGGATTGCAAACCGCGGACCAATGAGAGGAAAGATAAACCCTTTCAGTACGGGAAAAGCTAAGCACGATCAAATAGGTTAACACAAACCTTCTGGTGATCATTCAGAAGAGAAAAGGGCAACTTCTTCCCTCTCAAAATAACATTGTAGTTACTTGACATACGACTCTGCAGCTCTTCCCTGAAAAATTCTAGCTCTTTCTGATCCACAACACGCGTGTTCCCTATTGAAAAAAAAAAAAAAAAAACAAAAGGAGAAAAAATCCTTCACATTCCCATCCTATTACCCGATCAAATCCAGTGTGTCCCAAACGAAACCCCAAAGAGGCAATCAAAGTCCCGGAAGCAACCCAAATGAAAATCTGCAGCGCGCGTTACCAAACCAGCGCCGGTCCGGCTGAATACGAGTGTTGGGGAGTTCTTGCGATTGGAGATCGTGCTTCAGAACTTTTCCCTTGCTGTCACGCTTCGGCCTTGTTTTGTACATCTTGAGTCGGCGGACGGTGGCCGCACTTCGCGAGTTGGTGCTGCTGCTGGCTCCATTGCTCCGATTGGTGTCCAGGGAGTGCTTCGGCTTCCCCGACGTGTTCACCTTCCTCTCCTTCTTCGTCATCTTTCACTACGTCTTCTTTTCCCCTCGGATGACACACAGTTCCGAAGGAAAACTGAAAATGGCTGAGGAAGCTAAAGCTTTGCTCTCGCCGAATACCGAATTCTGAATTCTAACCGGCCGTAGGGTTTTAGGTAGGAGGGAGGTTGAGGTTGGGCTGACGTTATTGGGCCGGTTCTCAAAGCCCAAATAAACGTTAAATGATTCAGGGACATAGTACAAGGACTTGTTTGCCAGAGTCACATAGTACAAGGACTTGTTTGCTAGAGTCACATAGTACAAGGACTGAACATGCTATTAATTGTCTGTAGCAGGCAAGTTCCAGTTCCCCCAACTTTCCGAAGGATCCAAATGTTGAAGAAGCTATCTCCTGCATTTGATTGAGTTCATTTAGAGTTCGACAGATCCATGAGACTGTAACAATGGATCGGGCTCTGAAAGCTGCGAGAGCCTCTGGTTCTCTCAACCTCTCCAATCGCTCTCTCAGGCAAGTTCCCTTCCTTCCTAAGCTTTTACAACCCTTCGTACTGCTTCATTTCCCATGGCTATAATTCGCATTTGGGATTCTAGGGATGTCCCCGACGAGGTGTACAAAATTTCTGATGCTCTCGGCGAGGGCGAGAAATGGTGGGAGGTAATAGTGATTTCCTTCTTCCCGTTACCCGCTTTAGTTTTCACGGGGCTGCATCGAGTTGTAACGCACAAGGTTTGGCCGATTCTTTGTGCTTTGCAGGCGGTTGAGCTCCAAAAGCTGATCTTGGCTCACAATGAGATTGAGTCGTTGAAGGAGGACTTGAGAAATTTGACCCAGTTGACTGTGCTTAATCTTAGCAACAACAAGCTTCAAGAGCTTCCCTCTGCCGTAGGAGAGTGAGCTCTCTTTACCTTGCTTCCCATCTCACCTTCTCCCCATTTACTGTGCTTTCTGGGTTTGGTTCTTTGGCGCCTTCTGCTGTCGATGATACTATTTCAATCGTTTGGCAGGCTTCCTATGCTTAAATCTTTGGATGTGTCGTTCAACTTGATTACGAGAATACCTGAAGAAATCGGATCGGCGGCTTCGCTCGTCAAGTAAGTGTCTTGCATAAATTCCCTCTTCCCATGGTTGTGTGTGTATTACTGGGTGTGGATCATGAACATCATTCTTTAGTGCAGTTGACGTTGAATTCTTAATCCACATCATCTCACTGTCTCTTGGTTTGCTTTAGGCTGGATGCTTCTGGAAATAAGCTTTCAGAACTTCCAAGTTCACTTGGAAGATGTTCAGAGTTATCTGATCTCAAGGTAATGGTGTTTATAATTTGCAGGTTATGGTGGACACTCTGTTGCTATACCTCATCCACCCAAAGCTTGTTGCTTTCTTTTACTTTGTGATTTTTAAGTTTTTGTTGACACTGCAGATATCTAAACCAGATGGGATAGCATTTAATAATGGCATCTATATCTTAAATTAATAATTTTTTTCGCCGTCTTGTAAAGCAATATCATTTTTGTCCACTAAGTTTGTATTGTTTTGATCTATGTCTATGTGGTGTCCGTATTTATTCATATGTCTGGAGGAACCACATATTCATGTTATATACTTCAGTTTTACGTTTTCTCCAGACAAACACTTGCTAGATATTTGTGGACTAGAAAAATGAAAAAGACTTGATGACTGCATTCTGTGGTTGTATCTTCTTGGCTAATGATTATACTTTTTACATTTGTTGTGTCCAAGAGCCTGTATAGTATACATGATGTACTCTTGTTCATGCTGCATCTGGCAGGTATCAAACAACTGTCTCAATAGCTTGCCTGAGGAACTAGCCAGATGTTCAAAACTATCAAAACTGGATGTGGAGGTATGCATCTAAATGTGCAAGTAACTTGAATTGCCTGCTGGTTAGCTCTTTGGGGGAATATCTTTGGAGTTTCCGGATGTGGCCCGTAAGATAAACATACGATATTCATGTTTATACAAGATTGTTGTGATTCTAGAAGTTCTGAGTAAACAATATTGTCAAAAATCAGGGGAACAAGTTACACATTTTGTCTGGCAATCTGGTGGCCTCATGGACCAAGCTTACAGAACTCAATGCATGTAATTGCCCATACCAGTAGTTGGTTTGGTTTTTTGACGGTAATAAGTTCCAAAATTGTGTGTTGATATTCTTAATTTGGTTTCTTCATTCTAATATTTCCAGCAAAGAACTTGCTGAGTGGCCTACCAGACAATTTTGGAAGTCTGTCAAAACTCATCCGTCTGGATCTTCATCAAAACAGTCAGTGAATATATTAATGAACGTGCTTCTCAATGTAGTGATGAAGCCTCTGCTGAAGGCTATTCTAGCTTTCCTGACTACTTGTCATATTCATATATGATATTTTGCAGAAATTGCTTCAATCCCACCGTCAATAGAGGGATGCTCTTCTCTTGCGGAATTCTATATTGGGTCAAAATTTTATCTACTTTGTGAATTTATTTTCAGTAATCAGATTGGATTTACCACATTCTATCTTCTTTCATTTTATGTTGCAGATTTAGCACTTGAGTCTTGAATAACCTTTGGCTCCTTGAATGTTCAGGAACAACTCCTTGTCTACTTTACCTGATGAAATCAGGGCACTTGGTCGCTTAGCCACATTAGATCTCCACTCCAACCAGGTATTTTGTCTCGTGACTTCCTTATAGATCAAGACGGTCTTTGGCTGCTGCAAGCTAGATTGAACTAGAGATAACCTGTAATTGCTTTTTGTTAGTTGGACAGTACACAATAGACATCCACTGAATAGTGTATTACTCCTAGAAGTTACGACTGCTATCAACCAGTTCATAAGGAGTGTGCTACTGAAAATATCCCTGTCATATTTCATGATGCATTTATATGCTGCTTGCATCAGTCAGGTGGAAGAACTTAAAGTGAAACACTAACACTTATAGAATAAAATGTACTTCCAAATAGAAATAGTGATCTCACAGAGCAGATACACGCTATCTAAGTATTATGCTGCACTGCTGTCTTCATTTTTGTTTTATATAGTATTGGACCGAAGAACTTTTGAATTCATGCTAATCATTTGGTACATGTGCAGCTGAAGGAGTTTCCTGTTGAGGCTTGCAAGTTACATCTTTCAGTTCTTGACCTTTCAAATAATTCATTGAGTGGATTGCCTCCAGAGATTGGTAAGGTTAGCGATTGCAGTTTGCAAGAAAATCTATTCGAGTATTGGTCGAGTCTAAATTCATGCATGATTCAGTTATGATAGAACCTCATGCTACTTAGAAGACTTGTTTTAATTTTGGCCGCATAAATAATGTGTTCCAACCAAGTGGCTAAGCTAGGATGTTGCCTGGGCCAATAGTAAAGTTTTTATTGTCAGATCTTTTCCCCCAACAGTAGGTCTGGCCACATGGTTTGTCCGCATCAGAAAGGATATGTTAGGTTGTAAGGACTCGTTGAATACAATATTCAGGTGAGAAAGAAGTTGGAAAATCAGATATTATGTAACTATAAAATGATATTGGGGGTGGAAATTGCCTTGGTAACTCAGCCAACTCTTATTTCTCACATGCTGATCAGTTATTTATCTGTTTGATTTTAGCTGCAATTTTGGTGAACAGTAGGATTGACTGCTTATCGTTCTCTCTGCAATCAGATTGTTTATCATGTGTTATTCTTGTCACTTTTATGGTGCTGTATTTTTCTCACTTTATGTATAACCTTTTGGTTAGTTGATTCTAAAGTGGCTAATGAGTATATATGTTGTCCAGGCAAGATGAACAGTCTGCGGAAAATTTTGCTTAATGGGAATCCAATACGGACAATTAGAAGGTGTGATTTATCATATTTATTTTCTATTTATTTCCCTTTTTGCTCATTAAGTTAATTCGTCCTTCTTTTCACTCTACCAGCTCTTTGATTTCTGGACCTACTCCTGCTTTATTGAAGTTTCTACGCAGTAGACTTCCACAAAACGGGGGTATGTGGGCCTCACCTTGTTTGTGGAATTATGTTTGTCTATTCTCTTTTCCTTCATTTCCTCAGCTGTTAGTGGTCTAACTATTTGATACTCTGCCAAAAATTTGATGATTCCTCTCATTCAGATTCTGAGTCTAGTACTTCATCAAAGGAGGATGTAGTTGCTTCTGCTGCGAGAATGTCCCTTGGTTCAAAGGTCTTTGATTCTCTTTTGTTTTAAGACTTCCTTTTCTGCAGTTCTAGTTCTTGTACTCTAACTTCTACATTCATTGAGGTCCATGAGTCATGACCATTGTTCAATGCAGTCACCTTCTTGCTCTTTTCTCAACTGCTGTAGTATTTTTGCTCACAAGTGTGTTAGCCTATTTGTCATTTGAACTGATTACATTGCAACTTATTGGAAATGCATTGCAACTCTTCAGGTAGTTTGCACTCACTGCAATTCATGTTTTACTTGAAATTCAAATGTTCCGGTCCCGCACATATATCTTGAAGATATTGTTGGCATTGAAAGTTTCAAGCAAGCGAGTTGAAGCCCTAGTATTGGAATATGCATGTCCAGCGAAAGGTTTCATTTGTTGTTGTAGAGTACATATGCCATAGAGTATATTTCTTGTTACATTCCAGTATTTGGAATCAATAAACTTGTTAAAAATCCCATTCTTGCACGACCGTCGACCGGCAAACATTGGCTGTAAAGATAGTTCTTCCGCTCTGTCGGAGCAGCTGCTTCCTTGTCATAAAGATCATAGCAGTAGTTCTTGATACCAGAGTTACTCTTTCCTCGATCTGCTATACTGATCTTTCTGGATCTTAGAAAAAGTGGATAACTGTGTTGTCTCCTATGATTTGTTCCATACCCATCAAGGAAAATTCATCATTTCTGTTTCCATTCAATTTATTTGTCTACTAGACATTTCTTTTAACATTGAGCTTGTTTTGACAGGATCTCTCTCTGGAAGGGCTGGGTTTAAGTGCTGTTCCGTCAAAAGTATGGGAATCAGGTGAAATTGTAAAACTTGATCTTTCCAGGAATTCCATTCAGGAACTGCCAGTAGAACTTTCCTCGTGTGTCTCTGTACAGGTAATCCATTGGGTTAATTTCAGAAAAATTGCTACCTGTGCATCTCTCATTATGGCCTTTCAAGAACCTCTGATTCGGAATGCTTTCCTGAAAGTGAAAAATGCATTTTCCCCCATCCATTTTGCTACTTCTGGACAGTGACGTGAAATAAATACATATTAGATATATAACTAGCATGATTTTCCACAGTTCTTATTCCTGATCCGAAGTAATGTTGACTGGATCTTTAGGGCTTCTGGTTCCTGTTTCATTCACAGAGGAGGCCTATGATTTGTTTGCTTGATCAATTTGTGTATGATTTGTATGCATGCACCTTATCTTCACTACATCTTTGTATTTTTCTGTTTCAGAAGAAAAGATATTTGTTGCTTTTTAGGATAAGTTGGAGTATTGGATCTATTTTGTCTGCTTGGCTTTATGGGTGCAGTGAGGCTGGCAATAAATTATAACGTACTACTAAATTGTTATATTGAATGACCTTACACTGTCACTAAATTGGATATTTTGCTCAATGTGCAGACTTTGATTCTATCGAAAAACAAGATTAAGGAGTGGCCGAGTTCAATTTTGAAAGCACTCTCAAGCCTGACATGCTTGAAGTTGGATAACAATATACTTGGACCTGTAAGCGAGACCTAAATAACATATGCCAGAAAACAATTTTCATTCGGAATATCATGCTCTCAGCCTGTGTTGACATGGAATTGATGTTTAGGAGTTAGCGAATCATAAGTGGATGATCCTCTTAATGAAGCATTTTGGTTCATTTTCCGCTTTAACGCGTGGTTATTTTGCTTGCTTCATAATATTCAATGATCCTCTAAATGAAGAGTGTTACTTTTGATGGACGCCAGCTGTTACCTTCTTGTGTTTTTTTGGGTGCTCGGGCAATTGGTCTACTCTGGAGAACACAACTTATTTCATTTTACTCACCTGTAGATCCCAGCAGATGGATTTCAAGCAGTGCCGATGCTTCAAATACTAGATTTAAGTTGTAATCCATCATCCTTATCCAGGAACCCAGCATTTTCCAGCTTACGGCATTTGCATGAGCTTTATCTGAGGTCAGTCAGCAGCAAATGGCCATGCTACTTGCTTGCATTGGGGGTTCCATTTCTTGTTTATCAGTTCCTTGTCTTACCTCTTGAGTAATGTTGCAGACGTGTACAACTGCGGGAAATTCCATCTGATATATTAAGCTTAAAGCAACTAAAGGTCCTACACTTGAGCCAGAATTCGATCGAATCAATTCCCGAGGTACTGCTGGGTGACCATTTATAATCAAAGACTGTTCCAAGTGTTCCACATGATTATGGCCTCTGTTTCGAATGTTGATCATGTGATACTTTTTGAATGTCAGTAGATTTAGCTGGTTCGCTTCCATTTACTCTCGTCTCCCATGGAAAAGTGGAAGCAAAGATTCGGTGGCCTTGAGTGCTATATTGGGTCCTTGACTTCTTTTGTGCTTTTTTCATGCAGGAATTTAAACATTTTGTTCAGCTCACTGAGTTCGACTTATCTGACAACAATATTTCTGTGCTTCCTCCAGAGCTGGTTAGTACACACTGTCTTCGTGTAATCGTGTTTCTCGCCATGCCCACTTTTTCTGAGTTAGTACAATTCTGCTGGAAGGAGAATTGTAAAATGCGGGGAAAAAACCAACGTTACTTGTTTACTCCCAACTAGAAAATGAACCGAGCCTCAGTTGCCAGCTTCTACTCGTATGATAAAAGACTCAACACTTCACTTAAATTTCACCATGCACATTTTGCACGATCTAGCTGTCTTAAATTAACATCATTCGTTGTTATCAGGGCTTGCTCGAACCAACTCTACAGGTGTTGAGGCTAGATGGCAATCCACTGAGAAGGTATGCATTGCTTCTATTGTCTCAGAGTTACACTAGCGATTTGACAGCAGAAGCATCTTTTTGCCATGCGTAAATTTTGTTTTTACGCCACTGTCTCATCGTTGCTACTATTTGCAGCATCCGGAGGCCGATTCTGGAGAGAGGAACTAAAGCTGTTCTCAGTTATCTGAAGGACAAACTTCCGTCCCAGTAGCTGGTTGAGCCTTCCTCTGTTTTCTGGCAGGCCAGTTCCCCCTGGCACTCCCTTTCACCATTTTACATCTGTTGCTTGCTGAAACTGTTGTAACAGCTTGTATCTTAACTGTCCTGTGAAGTGGGTGTGGTTGTTGTATTCTGAGCCCAAATTGAGAATTGCTGGCGAGCAATAATGTTCCTGTTTGTGCAATTACACAGTTTATGTACTTTAACTGTATTGAATTTTAAGAATCTATGAGTAGTCTAGTACTCTAGTCAGTGTTATAATTATTATTGTTAGATTCGTCGATGCAACTTTGGGAGCTAAGCAGATGCTACACTCCGTTTGCCGTTTTCCCTGTCTTTAGTTTCTTCATGACATGACCTTCTTGTTCTTGTTCTCCGCCTAGATTAACCATCACAAGAGCCTTTGCGAGTTTGGAAGATAGAGCTCGTTCCCGTTGCTTAGAAGTTCTCCAAGCAGCTGAATCAATCGAGTCCCAGTCCTATATAGTCATAATGGCGCTATCACTAAAGCTCGTCACATGCTCCATAGCCATAACCGACAGTTCATCCACAGACGTTCTCTCCAAACCTCCTCCTGAAGCTGTAGTAGAAGGGGCGTGACGATCTTGGCAAGGTGGTTGCCTGACAAGGCTGATTGTATAAGTAAACGGTATATGATTTACGATTGAACCTCTCTCAACAACTCGATTTATTGGGATCAACTAGTTCTTGACATGTTATCCGAGTCTCCTTCTATGAGCAAGAGGTGTTCTGTTCGAATTCCGATGACACCATCTGATCTGTTAAGCACATGGTGTCCGGACCTATGCAAATTTTAAGCTCCTATAATGTGGCTTTCGTTTGAGGGAGTGTGTTAGTAAACGATATATTATCTACGATTGAGCCTCCCCCAACAACTTGGAATCTTGACGAGAGCAAGGCTTTTACCTTTCTATGCAAAATAACAATATGAACAGTTTCTGGATCTCTCATTAACTTTCTTAGGAGTATGAGCAATTTTACTTAACTTGTTTCGAAGGCGAAAAGTATAAAAAAAAAAAAAAGGGATCTTCTACAGTAGCTATAATTTCAAGTTAGGTAACTTACATAGATCTAAACCGTTAAAATTGACCAAACTTATTTTAAATCATTGATTAAAGAAATAATAAATAAAAAATGCCAACATGGGTTGTCGGTCACCACATTCCCAAGTTATCTTTTTTCTTTTTTTTTTCTTTTCCTTTTCACGGGATGAGATACTGTGACAACCCCATTAGGGGGTTGTGAGATTGACAACCCATTTTATAACCACAAAATTCATTCTCTCTCTTGTCTCTTGCTTCTTTTTTTCAAATCAATGGTACAGATTGGATTGATGATATTTTTGGACGAAAAAAATTGACCACACTAGATTATTACCCTTATTAATACCTAAAACCCTACATTCTCTCTTTCCTCTCTCTCTCTCACCATCTTTCTTCTTTATATTCTTCTTCTTCTTCCTCCCATCTCTTCCCTCTCTCTCTATCGGCTGCCACCACCGCCGTCGCAGCCGTCCTACCGACCCGCCGTGCCCTCCGCCTATCATCACTGCCGCAGCCCTCCCGTCGTCGCGCACTCCGCCTCCCAGCACTGTCACGTCCCTCCCACCGCAGCCATCGCGGCCTTCTCCTCCCACCACCGCCGCGCAATCACCCTCTCCCTGTCGCAACCCTTCCGCCGCCCTCTGTCTCCCACTACCTCCGTCGCCACAAGGTCACTGACTCCCCCTTTCCTCATCCCTGACTTTTTTTTTTCCAGATCTGTTATTTTTCATATTTCGGATATGATTTTTTTGTGCTAGTCTCTAGTGGACCGCTACCAGTGGCACCGGTACCACTAGCCCAGGTAGCGTACCACTAGTACTGGTAGAGTACCACTACTGCTGATATCGCTACCAGTGAGTAGTGGTAGCGTAGCACTAGTCGAAAATCACTACCACTAGCGCACTGACGAAGTGGTACTTTTTTGCAGGTGGCCGGAGTGAGTCTGATCGAAGGATTTCACCGAAAAAAAGTCTGCCGATCGGAGAAATTTTGGCGGTCAGAGCGGAGAGGCTGCTATAAAAGAGAGAGATATAAGTGTATTAATTGTAGGGTTTAATTTTTTTTCAAAAAGGCATATATCTAATATGTGTTTTTAATTCTCAATGTGTAATTAATACAAAATAATTAATTAATAAATTTGTTTTTTTCATACCCAAAATACCCTTGGTTGTCAATCTCACAACCCCTCACCGTATCCCCTCCCCCTTTTCACATTTAGTTGTCTTTCCATATTTTAACCTTTCCTTTTTTTTTAATTCTTATTGAATTAAAAGCATTACGTAAGGTTTCCGTAATAACTTAGCTCTTTACGTAACACGAAGTTAATATTCATTGCGTAAAGAGACATTCTATTACGTAAGGCTTCCGTAATGATATTTTACAACTGTTACGTAAAATACACATTGATTACGTAAAGATTACAGAATGATAGTTATTTCTTACGTAACAGTTAAATCGAAAGCGTTACGTAAGGCTTCCGTAATGACTTAGCACTTTACGCAATGCAAGGTTAATACTCATTAAGTAAAATGACCTTCTGTTACGTAAAGGTTACGGAACGACAGTTATTTCTTACGTAACACCTAAATCAGTAGCGTTACGTAAAGCTTCCGTAATGACTTAACATTTTACGTAACGTGAGGTTAATACTCATTACGTAAAGACACATTCTATTACGTAAGGCTTCCGTAACGATCTTTTACAACTGTTACGTAAGATTATCATATGTTACGTAATCATTACGTAATGCCTATTGTATTTTACGTAATACGACATGTGAAACCTGTTATAGCAGGTAAAAAAATTCAAGTTACCTTACTTCAAATTACCGTAGAAAATCTCCAAAAAAACATCAAACACCCTCATCTCATATTTTGTATGGTGAGGTGCGCCGTATAACTAATCGTCTAATCCTTATCCCAAGAAACCAAAGTTCCAATCCATTAATATCAATCCAAGTTTTCTCACCGAAAAACAAACTGCTTTTTCTTTTAACCCTTGATACTCTTCAAGTCAAAAGCAGCACCAAATTGTGGACTATACTCTCTATATGTTGGCCAGCCAACTAATTCTAAGTACCAGACAATTATTAAGGAGTCTTTTCGAATTGATATAAAGATGTTTTCTGGAGATGATGATTACCCATCATATTATGAAACCTATCAGTTGAGAGCTAGCTAGCTATGTTTTAACCTAACAAGTATCATGATGAACTACCCAACCAGAGGATTTTCAGACATGCATGGCCGGAGGAACGAATAATTGATTCCATTCCAGCTCCATCTCAATGTCGTCGTGTCTCACGTTTCCGACATGGACGGTCTTTGGATCCAAAATGAATCAAAGAACAGTATGAAGTCGAAACAAGAAAGAAAGGCGTCTGATGTGATAAAAAAAAAAAAAAGGAATCAAGTTGAATCATGGAGCTGGGACTGAGAGAGTGTGAAGATTCCCTCACGGAAAAGGAAATAAATAGTTATGTCTTTTTTTTTTTTTACAAAAGATAGAGGAAATAAATAGTTATGTCACAATGTCATATACTGATGATTATGCTTTCACACCGGATATGGACCAAACCGTCTCACGACAACGTTCTATTTACTAGGAATGGCAATGAGGCAGGTTCGGGCCGGGTATCTCGATACCCCATATCTGTCCCATAGCAGGTCGGGTTAAGGTTGGGCAATTTATCATGGGCGCGGGTCGGGCAGGTCGACCCAATGGGTATGTAATTTATGTGAAAACATTTAAAATTATTGATTATTTTCATTAAAAGACCAATAAATAAATCATAATATGATAAAATGTAGTTAAAGTATTGAAAAAATTGAGGTTTTCAGTTATTTACAACTTTTGTATAGCTAAAATATGAGGTAATATGAAGAAAATTCTAAGTAATTTGACTAAGATTACATGTAATTTAGGCAAGAACGGGTCGAAAATGGGGCGGGTCGGGACAGGTAGGGTCGACGTGAGGTACCCATGCCCGCCCCAAAACAAGCCAAACAGGTCGGGTAAAACGGGTCAGGTCGAAATTGTCATCCCTACTATTTACCCTCTTTTAACAAGAACAATGCATGAATGGAACCAGGAGATTGTCATATTTTCGTGGGTTGGAGGTCCATAAATCGGTAGACGAGTTACATGTGGAACATAAGAAATATATTATGGACGAGTCGACATAAATGGATGAATGTGAAGGCTGCGCATTATTGGCTAATTACTGTTCGTTATGATAAAATTTTCTTAGTGGCACCAATAATGAACATACAGTTCTTCCTGTGTTCGCAGGAAACTCCATAATTAATCATGCGCGCATTACTGTTCCAATTCCTTAATGTGTGTCGGATCTTTGGACCATCTTTCTTGGATATCTAGCCAACACCATTCCCTTCTTTCCCTCTCCGACCTCCCTAGGTACCTGAGTGGCTTGGTGAGCTGTCGGATGGTGGTGGGTTGGGTCTTCTCCGGTAGTTGCTGTTGGGATTCGGTGTTTTTGTGGAGGTTTGTGGCTACCTTGGGAGCTTCTGCTCTTCTTCGAACCTGATCTCTCTGCCTCGGCCTCCTCCGCCTCTTCAGCTTGGAGCAATCTGGTTATATCCTCTTCCACCGCCATACAGTCTAGTTTCTAGATTCACTGTGATGGATGCCCTTGAGTTTTCCCCAGGAGGCGGCACATGGGGTGATGATGTTCAGCTTCCATGGATTTCGATATGATCGGACAAGCTGATTGTGGTTTTGTTGCACTTTGATTGGTTGTTTGCAAGAGAGTTTCTTGATGATCTGTTTTCGATCAAGGGTTTTGCTCTTTCCGGGTGGTTGCTTGCAGACTGTGTTGTGTTCTTTGTTGCTGCATTTTGTCTTACACAGCTTTGTTTGTAACCGGATGCCTTTGGGCTTCCTCTTGTTGGAACCACATTGTTGGTTTGTTCTAGGGATGGGCATTCGGTCGGTTTGGTTCAAACCGAACCGAAATTATGCATACCGGGTCCCCGAATTCTATCAAACCTCAAACCGAATTTGAACCGAATGATAATTCGGTTCGGTCGATTCAAACCGAATTATAATTCGGTCGGTTCGGTTTTTCATACAAAACCGAATAGTGAGGTTAGCTTGTATTTTCTCTTTTGTAAATTATTTTTCACCCTAATGTAAACAATAAATATGTATCATCAATGATAAAATCAAACATTTCAACACATAAGTCATAAAACACTAATATGATTCAAATATTTAAGTCTCATAATAAGTAGAAACATAAAAATCCACCATTTAGAGCTTGCAATTATAATAATTCGGTTTTTCGGTTCGGAATTCGGAAATTCGGTTCGGTCGAAAGGACCCTGGTTTCCGAAATATGTCCTTTTCTCTTCCGAATTCCGAACCGTATGCCCACCCCTAGTTTATATTCGGTTCGGTTAGGTTAGGTTCGGTTTATATTTGGTTCGGTTTTACCGAACCGTATGCCCACCCCTAGTTTGTTCTCCTCTTTGTAACTGATCAATTTGAAGTGCAATAAATTCCCCTGTAAAAAAAAACAGATTCTTTCAACAAATTAAAGGTTTTCACAAATCTACGTACTTACTCCCTGGAGGCCGTACATCCATGCCCATCACCTGCAGAGAAGAGAATCTACTGATCTAGCGTCACATTTGCTTTGCTAATTAACAGGCGTACGGATAAACACGTACGTACACCCATATCTAATTTGCGAATTTACATACATCTGCAAAAAAATTGTCGTAAAAAAATATCGTTAGCTATGAAAAACATGTTTTCTCAGACATCTTGTATAAATGGCGGTATAACTACGTATTATTCGACTTTTACATTAGACTGACATTTCTCGAAATCTGAACATAGTTGACATGACTAGCTAGTATGCTTGGATTTCAGGATTAAGGACATTATTTTTTTTTTTTTTTTGACAAAGGACAATGAAATTCCAATAAATGAAGCAAACCAGAATGTCATTACAACAAGGGCGCAACCAAATCAATGATCTGCAGCCATTGCGGGGGTAACTGATTTTTAGCACAGGATCTGGCAACCCAATCCGCTTTCGAGTTCAGCTTACGACAAAAGTGTCTAACAATGATCTGCGGGTTGGAGTCCAGGACAAGCTTGATCATTCCAATTCTGGCCGCCGCTCGCCATGGCCACGTTCTGGGTGGTCGCTCCATCGCCTGAACCAGCTGCAGGCAGTCAGTCTTCACTAGGCAAGGAGGTGAGAGAGAGGCAGCCATTCGAGAAGCTTCAAGCAAGGCCATGGCTTCTGCTTCAATAGGGGAAAAACGATGCACGAGCTCAGCCTTCCCGTCGCACACTTGACCATGGCTGTTCGAGACAATGACGCCATATGCCGCCTTCTGGGGCTCATCAAAAAATGAGCTGTCACAGTGTACTTCAAAAACAGGAGTACCTGGCGGTGGTGTAGAGTGATCAGGGGGTGGAATGGGCTGAGTTGGAAGAGACCCGTTGTGATGGGGTCGAGGGCATGTGAACCATTGGAGGTGGTCCGCAGCAGCTTTACTGATGGTGGATGGTGGCCAAAGAGGAGTTCCCCGGAAGATCTTCTCATTTCTTGCTTTCCAAGTTTTCCACATAAGGAAAACAATCTTCTGAACAGAGCAGATCGGGTACACTTGGCTAATAGACTCCAGCCATTCCAGGATAGATGAGAGAGGGGTCGGCCTCGGCATGTTGGGCCATTCCTGGTTCCACCCTTCAGCAGCATGTGGACAAACGAAGAGGCAGTGGAAAATCGTTTCTGACGCGCAGCCGCAGAGCGGACAGGCTTTCGACTGTGAGCATTTTCTGGCGAAGAGGTTCTCCTTGGATGCCAGCGCCCTTCTGACAACATTCCAAATGAAGAATTTCAACTTCGGCGGGATCGAAAGGCTCCAGAGCCACTTCCAACGTTTCTTGCTCACATCAGACAGTGCCTCAGCCTGCCCATTGGGATGCCTAGTGTTGTTATGGAAGTGGATATAGGCTGACTTAACCGTGAAATCACCTTTTTCATTGAACCTCCATGCCCAGAAATCCTCAAGGGAAGCAGGTCCTATAGGAACAGCCGCCACCTGTCTCAACTCATTCGGGCTAAGGAAGTTAGCCAGGATGTCAAACTTCCATTCCCTTGAAACCTCCTCAATCCACGAATCCACAGTCTCATTATCATTCCACTCGAAGGGGAGGAGTCTTCCTGCTCTGTCAAATCTCCAAGGGTCATGAAAAATTCTTGATGACCTCCCATTGCCAATGACTCGAATAATGCCTTGTCTCATCCATGTTTTCGCTTCACATATGCTTGACCAAATCCACGAGGCCTTGCTACCTTTTTTTGCATTCAAGAAATCCGAGTTGGGAAAATAGATGCTTTTCAGAACCCTAACCCACAAAGCATCCTTATTCAAAAGCACTCTCCATGCCTGCTTTGCCAAGAGTGCCATATTGAAAGTATGGAATGGTCGGAATCCGAGCCCTCCCTCATCTTTTGGCGCATATAACACATTGCCAGCCCTCCAATGGATCGTTCTTTTAACCACTGAGCCACCCCAAAAGAAGCTTTTGAGCATAGAGTCCATTTTGCTTGTAGTGCCTTTTGGGAGGAGAAAAAGACTCATAATGTAGGTGGGAACAGCTTGGAACACGGATTTGAGCAAAACCTCTTTTCCACCCGGTGAAAGCAGTAGGCTCTTCCATGGATTAAGGACATTATTACTATATATAAATGTAAAACCATTTAACTGTTCACTAAGCTTTTGGTTTTAAATTGGCTTCATGGCTTGTCATTTGGGTTGTGGTAATATTGGAGTTATGGACTTTTATGATGTGGATTTTTTTTTTTTTTGGACTGGTGTGGAAAATTTTCAACCATATTATTTTCACTAAAATTTTAGTTTTATATATAATAACGCAATTAAATTGGGCTTTGCAATTGGATTGTGCTATTGCTGTTGAAGGATTTTTTTTGGGTTGTGTGCGTATTTTTTTTATATTTTGTTTCACATACGTGTTTAAAATAATGCAATTAAAAAATTAGTTTGTTTCAATATCTAACCCATCCAGGGGCGGAGCCAGGATTTCGAGACCGTGGGCCGAAAATAGTGAATGTAAATAAAAATAAAATAATTATTTTTAAAGTCTATAACGTTATTTGAGATAATTGAAATCTCACAAAAATAGCATCTGAACTAAAAAATTTAGATATCCTTCTTTCAATATAAATAACTAAATCATTAACAAGAAACTCATCATTTATTTTGTTTCGCAATCTATTCTTCACTATCTTTATATCTAAAAACATGCACGATCACATGTAGCTTTAGGAAATTTGGAAGAGTTAGAAGAAGATAAATCAACCTATCAACAAAATAAAATTCCTTTGACACTAATCTTTCTGTTCATTCCGACATAGATAAAAAAAATATATTATATAGTTTGTATAAAGAGCTAAAAATCTCAAGTGAACTAAGATAATAAAGTCCAAAAAGAAGTTAAAGCAAAAATGAGGTTGTTGTGGATCAAACTTGTTTGCTTTAGACTAAATGTTTAGCTTAACTACCAGGAGACTACATGATTGTTATATGATACAATGTATAGGTCGAGCACTACTTGTCTAAATTTTATCTAAATATTCTTACGATCCTAGGGACCGAGACTATTCCGGGTCGACCACTACTTATCTAAGTCTACGTATGCATGGGATGGGCCAACTACGTGGATACATATGTATATATACATGGGCCAAGCCCTATACACTTTAACAAGCACCCTTTCAACCAATCAAGATTTTTCTTAAGATCTAATAGTCTAAAATGAAAGATTAGTTAATTTGTATTTAGTTTTTCTAGTCATCCAATTAGAGCGTTCCACCTAGCATACTTTCTCTTGTTTTTCAATTCTTGTATCATTTGTAATAGACCCGTATTTCTTTCGTTTCAACTCTTAAATATTTTATGCTGAAAAATCCAATTTTATTATGTGATTAAAACAATGAAAATGGTAGACATATACCAAATGGGAATGGAAACATAACAATAAGTCGTTTGGTTTTTTTGTGATTGTTGGTCGGAGATTGTTACAAACTTACAATGGTTGTATTGTTTACAATTCATCGTGATTTTTATACACAGATAATACATATATTATTTGCTTGATCTGACAGAAACAATTATTCATAATGAATGATTGTATAATCTTAGTTTTTAGCTCAGATTTTTTTTCCTTTTTTTCTTCCAACTTTAACCTTTAGAAATTAATTTTTGCATTGACAACGAGTGATACAAATGACATTTTAGTTAAAAAGTTACCTTTTCTTTTAACTATTGAAAATATAATCACAAATAACAAACGTTATAATCTACAATACACATATAATACATGTATTGTTCATAATACATCAATTTAACAATCGAAAAAATCAAAAGGAACGACAAACCTTCCCATGCATTATTGGTTGCTTACTGTTCTTTATGATAGAATTTTTTGTGGCACATAATCGTACACTTCCTGTTCCAGCTGGAATACATCATATGCATTATTGTTCCATTTTTGTTTTGGGTTAATTGTATGGTTGGTCACTGAGATTACAAAAAACGTTCATGTTTGGTCACTGGAAATATTTAAATCCAACCTTGGTCACTCAAATTAGTTAAATGGTTCAAATTTGGTCACTCTCCGTCCAACTCCGTTAAATTTGTCTGATGTGGCAGTCAACCCTCAAAGTTGACCGTTAACTCGGTGACATGGCAATTAAAAAATAATAAATAAAATAAATTTTAATCATCTACCATTTCCAACTCATTTTCACAATAAAATAAAATAAAAATTATTATAATCACAAATCGGGCTCGGCCTTGTCGACGTTCTTTTCTCCGATCCCCTGAAACCTCCATTAATGAAGCGCCAGTACGATTACTCCATGGTCCCTCCAATCTATACAGAAAGTTCGCAGCTTTCGTTTTGCCAGAGTAAACCCCAAAAAACAGAGTGTACCGAGTGAAAGCCTTACTCTGTTTTTTTTTTACATTTTTTTGTTTACAAACAGAGCAATGTCGAGCTCATCAATTACCTTCTCCTCATTTGCCGTTGTGGGTTTGATCCTCCTCTTCGCCGCCGGACCCGCTTCCGCCCGGATTCAAATCCCGGCGAACGAATCCGTGCCGGCGGCTTTAGTGTTCGGCGATTCAATCGTCGATACGGGGAACAACAACAAGATCCTTACTTCCCCTGCCAAGTTCCCTTTGGTCATCATATTCCTTCTGATCATCTTATACGCCGTACCTGCCAGTGCAGCCATTCTGGCGCTGTACGTTCTCATCACTGTTCTGTTTGCCTTACCGTCGTTTCTCATACTCTATTTTGCTTATCCCAGTTTTGATTGGCTTGTCAGAGAAATCATCACTTGATATCATGGTATTTGCCAGCTACTTCATAATTCGATGACTTTACGAGGCTCAAATGTGGATCGCCATTGTGTATCTATGTAGATTATATATGAGCTTTTGTAATGAATCTCTTCTGCTTGCTCCCCATTGGTATAGGGTGTATGTTGGCAGCAGAGGTACTGGAGGCAGAAGCCATCTTCTGCACTGTACTGGTTTCTGGTCATTTAGAGAGATCTCTTTATGTAAGACAAGTTTGTGGTGATAGTGGATTAGGGAAATTGGTTTCGCATATATGTGTAATTAAATGCTACCATGCTAGTGCAGTCAGCTTCAGAATCAGTGGTTTCTCTGTTATACTCATCATTGCTTGGCCTGCTTCCTTTTTCACCATTGTAGTCTGACGCTGTCGAATAGCCTACCGTTACGATCCTGCCTTCGCCTCCTTCAACTTCAAGAATGAAACCGTCGAAGATGCGGGGATGATGAGCCCGACTTCCATCCTAGACAGCAAGTCCTTCTCCTGCCTAACAAAACCCATTCTCCCCTGAACTCGCTTCTCCCGCCGCCGTCGACGCTCCCAAGCAGAGCCAGTACTAGGAAAACCTCGATTCCCCTAAAACCTCAATTTGTGATTATAATAATTTTTTATTTTTTATTTTACTTTATTGTGAAAATGAGTTGGAAATGGTAGAAGATTAAAATTTATTTTATTTATTATTTTTTAATTGCCACGTCACCGAGTTAACGGTCAACTTTGAGGGTTGACTGCCATATCAGAAAAATTTAACGAAGTTGGACGGAGAGTGACCAAATTTGAACCATTTAACTAATTTGAGTGACCAAGGTTGGATTTAAATATTTCCAGTGACCAAACATGAACGTTTTTTGTAATCTCAGTGACCAACCATACAATTAACCCTTTTTGTTTTTGTAGAAACTGTTCCAATTCTTTTGTGTCGCCTCTTAATTGGACCCACTTTCTTGGTCGTTTATTAGCAGCAGATTCTTTCGACAAACGATTTCCGCAACACCACATTCTGCCTAGATCTTACATCCATGCTCAGCTGGCAAGTGGAGAACCGTCCAGACGTGTTAAGCAAAAGTATACACCCCGGGCATCGAGCCGGGTTGTTCAAGAGTTAGCACGACACGAGCATGAGATATATAAGTCAGTTCGGTTCGAACACGAATATTTAATAGGTGTTGTGCCTAAATTTTATGGACATGAACACGAATACAGATACAACATAGTCTATAAATAAGTCGTGTCTGGCCTGATGCTTTTGAGATTCTATCGAGTATAAGTACGAATTGACACGTATAAGTACTTCTTTGATAGAAAATAAATATAAAAAATTATAAGTTCAAATGTTAGAAGTGGCCGTACAGATATTTATGTATTTACTACAGTAATTGGAAAAAGTAGAAGAATTTAAAAAAAAGTCGGATCATGCACACTGGATATACTTCCGGTTAGGAATGACAATGGGGCAGGTTCGGGGCGGATATCACGATACCCATACCAGCCGCATGACAGGTCAGGTAAATTATCATGGATCGCAAGTCGGGGCAGTTCGACCCAATGGGTTTTTCACTAATTTACAACTTTGTTATGGTTAAGGTATTATATAATAATAGAAAAATCCTAAGTAATTTAACTAAGATCACATGTAATTTAGACAAGAATGGGTCGAGAATGGGGCGGGTCGTGTCAATGAGAATACTCATGCCTGCCTCACCGCATAACAGGCCAAACAGGTCGATCGGGTAAAATAGGTCAGGTCGAAATTGTCATCCCTACTTCCGGTGTCCTTCCTCCTAATTTGTCACTTTAAAAAAATCAATTAATAATTTCATTCCCCATCCAATTTTTTCTTTCTTTTTCATTTTCTCTGTTATTTTCATCATACACGAATATATGCACGACACAAGTCAGAGTACACACGAACGATTCAAATCATGCCCGAGCTCTTACCAGGTCCGACAAATTTAAAAAATGAACTGACACAACAAAAAGACTGACAACCTTACAAAACACATTACAAAATAAACGACCTCGAAACGTGCTTGTACCGTGCCGACCAAGCACGGCTGAAGGCTAAGTACATGCAAAACCTTGCAGATTGTTTCCAACTATTATACGAAGCGCTAGCTGCGTAGCTCCCAGTTACTCTATTATTATTCACATAGTTTTTGGCAAGAATTCATCTACACAATAAATAGAGATAAGATCCTATCAAGTCTAATTTATAATCACATGGTTTGCTGATACCCGATAAAAATCTCAATCCAAACTAGTTTGGCAGGTGAGTTTGTGTTTACCACCATTTTCTAGGGATACAGGAACGGTGGTTAATTCCTATCCCAAATCGTGTTGTTCATTCTTGATTTCTTTAGATTTTTATCATGGCTTGGCAAAAAAAAACCAGAAAGCGCAATGATGAAAATATGAAAGTTTTATAAAGCAAATTAATCTGCCAACGGGCCGAGTAAAAGCTAGCAACGATTGTGAGATGTTCATTTCCCGAAAACCGGCGGGATAGACGATTTTTTATTCGATTTTCTGGAATTCGGTTTCTATAAAACTTACTCCACCTCATCATATTACCAGAAACAATGTTGTTTCACAAGGTAACATGTACTTGATTTTGGTTCATAAGGCTGATTTTTGATTCGATGCATCATTTATTTATTTTTCCTACTAAAATTCACTATTTTTATCACGTGTTTCCAAAAAAAAACTATACAATAAGCTATACACCCCATTATATTATCAAATTTCATAACTACCTTCCTGCGACCAAATGACCGGGGCCACACTAGTTTGCTTTAATAGAACAAAATTCTTTGTGTTTTTTATGATTAGACACAAAGTAGGGAAAGCAGAGCTACTGAGTTAGTGACCATAAGTCCATAACGATATGATATCTGGCGAGAAATCACGAGAAACAGAGCCGGCCCTCGACATGTGGGTGCAGGCCCGCCTCCAATGGCGGAGGCCGGATTTAAAATTACCTATGTTCTCTTTCAAAACATAAATATTTAATTAATATATATAATTAAAACTAATAATAACCAATTAATCCATTTATAAATAATAATAAAAATATCCGACTAATACAATCATTTTATACATATTCGGAAAGAAAAGCAAATGGCATTTGTTGTGTAAAGTTGATTTCAATGTACTATATACTAAACAACCAAATAATCAATAGCAAATTAGCAATCATTGAATTCTACTTGGAAGTTTGTTCTTAATATAGCTAAAAGCTGAAATTTTCTTCCTACACTTGTAACTGTAATGGGTAGAATCAAAACTAGTGAATTGTCGCTGCCGTTGGAGTGCTTCATGGTTGATGGGCAAGAGGGCTAGCTCCGTCTATTGCCCGCCTCTAATTTGTTATGCTCTCCACTCTATTAAGAATGTACGTGTAAGATTAGTTTATTTGATATATAAGTCATGTACCATCATAACTTATGAAACATAAACACATTCATATTCTACATACTTACTAAACAATACATATATGTTTCATTTTGTTCCACTATCTGCACGACTGACTCACGTACCACCATAACTCACAAAACACGGTCATATTCTCTATCTCTAGAGTTACTAATCTATACCAATATGATTCACTCTGTACCACCATCTGCACGATCGACTCACGTACCACCATAATTCATGAAACACGTTCATATTCTACCGAGTTACTAAACTATGCCAATATGGTTCATTTTGTACCATCATAATATACACAAATATCTCAATACAAACCAAAACATGAAGCTCTCATTTCTATCGTCCCCCCACATCCACAAAAATAGAGATAAGATCTGATCCATAGATGCCTACATATCTCAATACAAACGAAAACATGAAGCTCCCATTTCTGTCGTCCCCCCACATTCACAAATAGAGATAAGATCCTGCATATCTCAAATACAAACCAAAACCTGAAGCTCCCATTTATATCTTTCCTTGTCCACAAATCTCATCAATCACCGTAACTCATGAAACACATTCTTAATTTCAAAGTATTTGGCGTTTGCTTCAGCTTTTAAAACGTAAAAGCATTTCTAAAAACCGGAACAAGTAATAGACATGACTTGCTAGTATATATGTTTGAATTTCAGGATTAAGGACAGTGTAATATAATAGTCATGAGTTCCGTCCATAACTGTTAGATCATTCACATTGGTATTGCATTCTCAATTGCAAAATGAAATGACATAGGTGTTTGTAATTGCAAAATCAATTGCATTGATGTGGCTACCAATTGCATATTTGCAAGCTTGCAACAAATCCAATTCCATATGCAAGTCAAAAAAGCCTACAAAAATGGAGATTATTTTATTTTATTTTATTTTCTCTTTTACTTAATTTTCTATAATTTAAACATAATATTTAATTACATTTGAAATTGCAATTTAATTGCATTGATATATGTGAATGAAATGAATGTGATGTGGATTGCAAAAAATTTGAGTTGACAATAAAAAACACAAATGCAATTTATTTTGCAATTGCATTGATGGAGATGTTCCAAAACCTTTGAGAGGGTTTTCCGCTGGGTTAATTGCATGATTGATCACTGTGATTACAAAAAACGTTCATGTTTGGTCACTCGAAATATTTAAATCCATTAATGGTAAAATTAGTAAAACCGTCCAAGTTTGGTCACTCTCCGTTAGTCTCTGTTAACCAAGACCGTTATGTGCTGACAAGGCAGACAGAATCGCCTAGTCAGTCTAATTTAACCCAAAAATAGTGAAATCCGACCCGCCTTGTCATTTTTTTCCATCCCAACCCAACCAAATCCTTGAACCAAAGCGACCCACCCATCCATGAAAAAACCACTCAAACAAAATAAGGGTTTATCCCTGTTTCCTTTACAGATCTGAACTCTAGTTCTTCATTTTTCTTGCATTCCCTTCGAAAACCAGGTCTGAATAGTGCTTGAATCGGTCGCATTTCCTCAAGTTGGACAGAACCGACCAGCCAAGCGTCTAGAATATCATAATCAAAGATGTAGTTGATCCGACGGCAGACCGAAGGGTGGAGAAGGCGAAGAGGTCGAGGCGGGAGTAAGGGGACGCGACGGAGAAGGGCGGTGCGGGGATGTCGGTGAATTCATATATCCTTGGAGCCCGGGCTAAACACCACTTCTCTATTTCTATTCGCCATCACTTACAGCCTCTCTACCTCTGTATATCCACCCAAATACCCAATTAATCAAATTTCTTGTTTCTCCCAGGTGGAATTGATGAAAATCAGAGGTAATTTTTGGGGTGGATGAAATCCCAATAGAGGGGTTGTGAAGGAGAGACTCATAGATGAAGGAAGAAGTCATTGTGATGAAATTGACCACCACCTCCAAAACAGGGTAACTGCCTTTCAATTTCTTCTCCCACCCGTCGCTTAAGATCCTCTACCCAGCACTATTCTTCTCCCTCCGACTCCAGCCGCCTAGCCCCTCTTCTTACCCATCCAGTATCGAAAAGAAGCAAAGGATCCAGCGAGCCAATCATCTTCCTCATTCAGATCTGTTGGCTGCTTCATCTTCTCTAGCGAGCCAATCATCTACCCCAATCAGATCTGTAAAGTTTAGACTCATCGCGTTGGCCGCTTCATCTACTCATGTCTCTTGGGCTCGATTTGGTTCCAATTGAAAGAGGTGATTTTTGAGAAGTGGGTTTAAAAGCAGCGGAGGAAGAAGAATAGAGATTGAGGATGCGGCGGAGCTAGAGGAAGAGGTGCAAAGATGGATTGTTGATGGCGGGTCAATAAGTTAGGTTAGGGTTTGAGTCATTGGTTGGGCTGAATTACCTGATGTGGCAGATAATATTTTTAATTTTTGGGGTTAAATTTGGTGACTAGACTTTTCTGTTAGCCACGTCATCAAAAAGTTGACGTCGTTAACGGAGACTGACGGAGACTAACGGAGAGTGACTAAACTTGGACGATTTTACTAATTTTAGTGACTACGAATGAATTTAAATATTTCAAATGACTAAATTTGAACATTTTTTGTAATCACAATGACCATGCAATTAACCCGTTTTCCGCTCCAACAATTATATACGAAGCGCTTGCTCCTAATAAAAGTAGTTGCTCCATTCACACACTGTTTGGCAAGAATTCATTTGCTTGAAATTTAGTTGAAAACAACAAATATTTGTATACCTACTTTTTAATGATTGGACACAAAGCAGAGCTAGTGACCATAACTGCATGCATGACATCTTAAAAAATATTCCTATTTTGAAAATTTATTCCTAGTAAATGTTGTAGTACTCAAAAAGTTATGCAAAATAAAAAAAAACTTTGCGACGTTCGGATTGCGGAGCACAAAGTTATGATCCTCCAAAGTTTGACAAATTCAAAAATTTGCTCATTTATGGGTAGCAAATGACGTTTTCAAGGAAGATAGCCATCCAAAAATTTCTAGTTTTGAAAACTATTGCTCTTTTGGCAGAAATTTCCTATATATAAAAAAATTTCCTTGTGCATTCGCCCCAAGAAAATGTCATTTGTTACCCCTAAACGAGCAATTTTTCGATTTTGCCAAACTTTAGATGATCATAACTTTGGGATCCGTAATCCAAACGTCACAATGTTTTTTTTTATTTTGCATAATTTTTTGAGTACTACAACATTTACTAGGAATAAATTTTAAAAATAGGAATAAATTTTAATATAAGGGGTTTTGGGAGTAATTTTAACTTTAATTTTCACATTTTCACATATATTCTGAAAATATTTCTATTATAAAAGTTGTAGTCCTCAAAAAGTTATGCGAAATGAAAAAAAAAGTTTGCTACGATCGGATAATCGAGCACAAAGTTAATGGGCCGTTTACTTGTCATTCCATTTCTGTTATCTGCCATAATAGAAAACAAAATTAAAATGAAAACGAAGCTGTCATTTCCTGGAAAACAAAACCTGAAAAAACCTTGTTTAGCTGAGAATTTTGGTGAGTTCTGAAACTGAGTTCTGAAATGAAAACCTTTTTAGTTGCTTCATTCTGTTTTCTGATTCTTGATTCATTTTTACATTGAATATCATACAGGCTACAGCTTTAATTGTGATTATAGTTTTTACTAGTACATTTGCCAATTAAAATACCACTAAAATGCCTAATTAACGTAGCGGGGAGGCAAAAAAATGTTAATCACTAACCCAATCCTCTACTTAGGTAACCAGAACGTGGAGCGGGAGCGAGAGCGTCAGAGCGTCGATTTTACAAGCATTCAATATTAAGAGCGTGAACAGAGCGTCAATAAAATATTATTTTAATTATTATTTCCTCAAATATTAAATAAAATATGAACAATATTATCACAATTAACTGAAACTAATTAAAATTGTAGAAATTTAGGCATATGCTCTTCACACCACGGCCAATTTATTGTGTTATTCATCCCCCATTTCAAATAAACTATTATTATATTCAACCTAGAAAAACCAATATCGCTATCTTATTAATAATATTAATATAATGGCTACCATTTACATAAAAATGATAAAATTGCAATCGTTTCTCTGTTAATTTTTAAGAGGATCTCTTCGCATCCCCTGTCTTGGGTACCGGCCGCAGCCACCGTCCTCATTCCCAATCTCTCCGTTCTCGATCCTCTTCGTCCGCTGCCGCCTTCAATCAAAAGCTCCCTAATTAATCCTTGGCGCCTCTGGGTGCTCCTCAATTCTGCTCGTAATTTCTTTCCATCTTTAACTGCTTTAGCTTGCCGTTACAGCTCTTCCAGTCAGCTGCCGGCCTCTATTCCTCCATCACGGCGACTTCAAGGCTCCAATGCCCTCCCTTGTTCCGTCGACGTCCCTCTCCGCCGAGATTTTCGAAACCCTTAAAGACCAAAGCTAGCAACAACGGTGGCGAGACGAATGCCCACAATCCTCGTAGACCAAACGCAGCGTCGGCGGCAAGGAGGAGTGCTTTTGAATACCAGTTAGTAGTGAAAAAGCTAAAAAAAAAAAAAAGACTCCTGGGTGACTCGAACAGACGACCTCATTAATCTATAGTGTCGTTTTTCCGCTAGGAATGGGGGAAGAATCCGTCCCTCAACTTCCATAAAACAACAATTTATTGTTTCCCCACAGGTACTCAGTTATTGATAAATGGTTTTCTCCAAGAAAAATAAAACACCAAGTGAACATGTTTCTTTGTATTTGTTTCTTAATTTTTGTTGCCCCAACGAAAAACAGGAAACGAAATGGCAAGTGAACGGGGCATAAGGTGGTTGGAAATTTCAAAGGAGTGGTTCGAGTTCACTAAACTCGAACCACTTCAGCCCCACATGGTTCAAAACTTATATCATCAATCTACGAGTAGATCGAGTCTTCTACACTCGAACCGGTTAGTAGTTCGAGTTTCTCAAACTCGAACCACTCAAAACTTAGGTACTTTGGGAAATTTTTTTTAAAAGTGTGGTAGTTTAGGAATTTGTTTTAGTTTTATGTGTATTTAGGGATTTAATCCTATAGTAATTATAGATAATAATTTAGTACAAATAACTGATTTCTTCGGTTCAGATTTGAGTCGGTGTAAAAAAAAAAAAAAAAAAAATTTAGAACTCACTTTCACAAATATTTGTCTCTTAATGCATGTTGTATAATATATTCTACAAAGTTGTTACTAAGCTATACCGAGATAATATCTGTCTAAAAAAGGCACGCCTTTTTTTCCTATAAATAGAGACTGAGATCCACAGAACCTACACATCTCAAACACAAACCACAAACAAAAAGAGAAAATGTCAGACTACGACGACGAGCAGCAGCCGTTGCCGCGATATGTGGTGCTGAGGTCCAAGTACAACAACAAGTACCTGCGCTACACACACGAAGACGTCCAGCTCCACGGCCAGCTCAAGTTCTCCGGGGAGGAAGCCGTGAGCCCTTACGTGAAGTTCGAGATCGAGCACTCGAAAGCCGAGACCGGCCTGATCCACCTCCGGTGCGCCTACAACAACAAGTACTGGGTGAGGACGTCCGACACCCAGAACTGGATCACCGGAGCGGCCAACGTCCCCGAAGAGGACCGGTCCAAGTGGTCATGCACCCTCTTCGAGCCCGTCTTCCTCGACGACACCCACACCACCGTCCGCTTCCGCCACGTCCAGCTCAACCACTACGCCGTCCTCTTCTGCTCGGGCCCTCCGTACGGGGACTTCCTCTACGCCGGGTGGGAGGATCCCAACTCCGACCTCTGCGACGTCTGCGAGATCCTCGACTGGGAGAAGCTCCTCGTCCTGCCCAAGCACGTGGCGTTCAAGGGCGACAACGGCAAGTACCTCCAGGCCCGCTGGGTCGAGGGCCACGAGTACCTCCAGTTCTCCGGGGAGGACTCCGGCCACCCGTCCGTCGGGAACGAGGTGTTCACCAACCCGGACGGGAGCATCCGGATCAAGTCCAACTACTTCGGCAAGTTCTGGCGGCGCAGCCCCAACTGGATCTGGGGCGACAACACCGACAACTCGCCCGACAACCCCGACACCGTGTTCTGGCCCATCAAGGTCAAGGACAACGTCGTCGCCCTGCGCAACTGCGGCAACAACTGGTACTTCTGTTGTTGGCCGAACTAACCACTTGGTCCCCCAATCAATGTAGTCAAAATCGCGCTTTCAATCTCGAAAAAAAAAACTTTCGCATTAAATATTTCTAGGTCACCAATACGCTTCTACACAAAATATATGACTGTTCTTTACGTACGTACCAGGTTCTGCAAGCGGCTGACGACCGAGGGGAAGACGGACTGTCTGAACGCGGGGGTGTCGACCATCAGCAACGACGCCAAGATGGGGCTGGAGGAGCAGGTCATCTCCCGGAGCATCTACGACGTGGAGTACCGGATCATGGACGCCAGGATCTACGACCAGTACGTGCTCGTGATGACCCACGGGGTGGCGTCCAACGGCGGCTCCGAGCCCAGCACGCACACGATGCACCTGTCCTACGAGGAGAAGAAGAGCAGCACGTGGGACAGCAACGTGTCCCTCAAGCTCGGGGTGACGACCAAAATGGAGACCGGGGTCCCGTTCATCGCGGAAGGGAAGATCGAGGTCTCGATGGAGATGTCCGGGAGCTACACGTGGGGGGAGACCAAGGAGAGCTCCACCACGGTGGGGAACGACCACGTGGTCATCGTCCCGCCGGGGACCACCGTCCGGGTCAACCAGCTGGCGACCAGAGGGTCGTGCGACATTCCCTACTCCTACACCCAGAGGGACACGCTCGTTGACGGCCGCCAGGTTTCGCGCCGGATGGACGACGGTGTCTACACCGGGGTTAGCTGCTACAACTTCAAGATCGAGATCAAGGAGGAGAAGATGTGAACGGATCACCTATCTATATCGCCGCCGGTGGCTACTATTAAACTAAATAATCTGCGGGCGGTTCCAATAATCTGCCGGCCGGCTGGCTACTACTATCAATTCGGGACCGCGCGCGACGGTGTGCGAGTGATTTAATTTGCATGTGTGTACGTGTGTTTCTGTGTGTTTTTGCTTAATTTGTCGTGATTTTATGCATGAAGTGTGTTTGTATTTGGTGCATGCGATGTTTTACGTACCAAGGAACTTATGCATGTGAAGGGTTTGTATGTATGGGTTATGATATATATCCCACAAACAAAACCATCACTATATAATTGTCAATTTCTTTTTATTATTGTTATCATTGTACGTCGTCGTAATGTTTGAATGTATTGTTGTGTGAGATGTTTTCCTTTGTTTGATTTTGATACTTCGAGATTTTACTTCCGGTTTGTGATTGAAAGTACAGGAAAACTGATCGAACACATATTCATGCAAGTAATTATCCTAATATTAAAAAAATAACGCAAAAGTTATATAATTACTAAATATGACTTCCATTTGTGAAATTCATTAAATATAACTTTGGGGCTTCAACTTATCAGAAAAAATGTGTGCTCGCGCGTGGGCAATTGATATTTTGAAATATAACGAAATTCCGTGGTAATTCGATCTCATCTCATGAGGTAAAAATGTAAAAGGGAAGATTGGAAAAATGATGAGGAGAAATGCAAAGGAAGGAATTCGATCAATCTCCTCAGAGCTATCCAGATTCTAGACAATGATAGAGGCATGTTAGCAGAAACATCATAGCTGATATTAATTACTTTATTGTGGTGGTAAAAATACATGTGTTTCATGCATGGCAGAGAAATGCGGTTGTACCCCTCCCATTTCTCGTGAATTCATTGGTTGTTCCCTAAACTGACATAATATCTTCATCATCCAAAGAAAGTTTACACAATAAATAAATTATAGAAACAGAGAAAATTTTAAGTTCTCTATCGGTTGAAAAATAGTACATTCCTTTCATCCAGATGAGGGTTATTAGCTAGGTCTTATGCAATATACGGTTTCTCTCTTGCTAGAAGGGCACGGTGGTCCTTCCTTTCATGTAAATATTTGCTACAATTATATATGCTATAGCCTCCCTTCCAGGGTGGGCGTTCGGTCGGTTCGATTTGAATCGAACCGAACAGACATGTGCCGAGGTTCCGAGAGCAGTATTATGGCAACCAATTTCGAACCGAATTATACTTCGGTTTGGTTCATTCGAACGAAATATAAGTTGGTTCGGTTCGATTTTCTGCCCAAAACCGAAAAGGGCTGCTGTTCGCTAGGAAGTGTGGCCAGTAGGGGGCTGCTGCTGTTGCATTTTTTGCCTGCGCGGCAGGGGGCGGTGGAAGAGACGGAGGGAGAGGGAAAGTGCGACACCGGCGAGGCTGGAGTCGACCGTCGAAGTCGGGCTTCGAGGTTGGGGTCTCGGGGAGATGCCGAGATGGGGATTGTTTCGCGTTCGTCGGTGGGATCGCAGCAGGTAGTGCCGCAGTGGTTGTGGGTTGTGGCAGAGAGGGAGGGGCGGCTGTCGGCAGCTGTGCTTCTTGCCTTCTTTCTTTCCCTTTCGTTTTTTTTTGTCAAAGCTTCCTTTCCCTTCCGTTTGATTCCCCAGAAATTGCTAGGGTTGAGAACTCACGATGGAAAATCAACAATAGAATGGAGTTGGGTTGTTGGGATTTGGGCCAAGGGAGTTGTTTTGTTGGGTGTGGGTGGGCTGGGCATTGGGTCAGTGAGGATTGGGCTAGGAGCAGAGAGGGTTGGGCTTGGGCACTAGAGTCTTGGGCTGGGTAGCTAATTTAGATTTGGGAAATTCGGTCGGCAGTTCGATTTTTCGGTTCGGTTCAAACGGACCTGGCTCCCGAAATGTTGCATATTCCCCTCCGAATTCCGAACCTAATAAGGGTTATTTCGGTTTCGATCGGTTTTTGTTCGGTTCGGTAAAACTGAACCGCATGCCCACCCCTACTCCCTTCCAGTCTTCCACAGGTTGTTTTTCAAGTAGTTAAAATCATGCTCTTACGTACCACATCATCTCAGCAATCATTCAAGATCTTGGAACTTCGGCATAACATTTTCCCCTCTCGTGAACGGTGAAAACTTGTTCAGTCTCCATCGTGGAACACAGACTTCGCCCAGTCTTTCCATCCTCTTCGAAGCACTAGCTAGCCGATGTTATAATTAAGCGAACTTGTAGACTACATTTGATATGAGATTTTCTGTAAGTTGGACATATATGATTTTAACTCTCTATTAATATTTTTCTGTACTAGAATTGATTTTGTTGACAAGCGTTAATTTGTCTATTAATATTTTTCTGTACTACAGTTGATTTTGTTGACACATTATGTGCCTCTGCAATAAAATCACACATCATTCATTACAAGGTCTCATGATGGCTCCCATGAGTTCGACTCGAATCAATCTGTTGCCAACCAGAGGTTCTTGTGACGTCCCCTTCTCCTATACCCAAAAGGACACTCACGCGCGTCTCACCAACGGCAACCAAGTTACAGTTACTTACTAAATGGATGATGGTGTCTACACTGGCATCAAATTCCTTCAACTTCAAGTACGAAACCAAGGACGAGAAGCTCGTCATCTGAATGATCAACGACTATCTCAACAATAGGGGTGAAGGCTAGCTGGTCTCTAGACTCTAAACTAAACTAAATAACGTCGCGATGGTCTCAACCGGCAACCGTGATTGTGTGCGTTAAAATTTTGCTTATGTTTCTTTCACTTTGTTTGCTTTGTGTGTTTCGTTTCAATGTGTTGTATGCGTTTGTTGTGTTTAATTCCAGCTTCATGTATGCAAGTTGGCCTATCTCTCAAGTAACGATTATATAACGGTTACTTGAGAGGAAAGTGACGGTGAAGGCGAGACCTTTAGAACATAAAATAAACCATCAACCCAGTTCTATTCACATAAAAGCTCAAAGTTAACAGGTTGTTCTCCACATGATTACCCGTAAGTAGGTTTTGCTGCTGTAATCATATCAACTGCTCGCCTTCAGTTTTGAGCAGCTGTTGATTGGTTCGAAGCATTTCCTTCAGTTGATGGGTGATCTTGTTGAGCATCATCTACACCATCTAGCAACAACCTAAACTTGAGGACCTTTTGAAGACGAGCAACCGGTTTCACTTCCTTGGACGGTACTTGATTTGGATCCACTATGCATCTCCCTGAGAAGAGATTCGCATCCGATGGTCCAGTCTCTTTATGCAGGACAGGGGCCTCTGCAAGAATTTGGCCAAACTTATCAAGTTCAGTTTTCGCCAGGCATCAATCAGTTGATGGGTGATCTTGTTGAGCATCATCTACACCATCTAGCAACAACCTAAACTTGAGGACCTTTTGAAGACGAGCAACCGGTTTCACTTCCTTGGACGGTACTTGATTTGGATCCACTATGCATCTCCCTGAGAAGAGATTCGCATCCGATGGTCCAGTCTCTTTATGCAGGACAGGGGCCTCTGCAAGAATTTGGCCAAACTTATCAAGTTCAGTTTTCGCCAGGCATCAATCAGAACATATGAAAGCATCAAAAAGTAAACATATACGGAATAAGCCCGAGGATAACTAGAATAACTTCACATCTCAGCATAGAATCATTAGGTAAATAAAGGGTCCATGTCGCTTCCAACATGCACATCTTCGATTTCTTGATGTCTATTGAGCATCCAATGTTCGGACTGTTTTCACATAACTGCCTTGTTCTTCTGTTAACGTTGGTTTCTCACACTGTGAATGGAGAAAAGTTTGTCCCCATAGCTATAAACTTTTACACAACCCTGTTGGCTGGATCTAAAAAGAAGTCACTTTTCAGTCAGCTTCATATTTCTCTTTACCAACTACTGTGTGCAGATCAGTAGTTTATGGCTATTTTTCCCTAGAAAAGCGAAGTGATAGCTACTATGCAACGGCGGAACAAATCTAGGCCGAGTTCGCAAAACGGCCAGAGAAACAAGGTGGTAAGCACGCTCACCGTTTTCTGAGAAAACCAAGCAAGTTCCTATTGTCTCTTCATATTCTCCAATCTGTAACAAGCATGACAAAAAAAAAAAAAGGATTTTTCAACAACAGTAATATAATACAAACTTTCACAAAGCACAGTGAACCCCTTACAAGTAGCAACTCACCAGCTTCACTTTGCCATCTATAATCAGCATTGGGTTCAACGTGTCCAGACCCTATCATTGATTCAAACAAAAAAGAACGACTTACTGAAGATTTTGGTAGACAACATCCTAAAAGTGTCTAACTTATGACATGAATGTAGCAAACCAGGGAAGAAGCATATAAATCAAGTACAAAGCTTTGGATGAATCTAAAAGACCATGTATTCTTAACACGCAGGCGAGACGAGGGAGAGAAATGATGGGATACACTAAAATCAAACAGCAAAAAACACATAAGATGCAGGTGATCACAAACAACCAACCTACTGATCTTTGAAAGCTGCAACATAATCCTATCCATGCATCCAATTCGTTGTCTATCGATGATCCCATATTTCTCACGATTACTTGTGAACATATACTATGAATGCCAAACCAAACTTTACATCCACGCCAAAGATTGATTACTAACAAATCAACATTCAAATGAAATGCAAACATAAGTAAAAGGTTATGCAAATTGCAAAGGACATGAGTGAAGCATTACAGTAAGAACATATGGCGTATCTGGCCGAATGCTAACGTGCTCCATGACCGCATCAAGGTCAAGTAGTACATACTCTTCTTCACCCTTCTCGTCACTACGCTCTGTCAATCCTGCCTCCATTTAACTCTGCCCACAGACAAGTCAGCAAAGAAGCAAGGTTAGAATCCAAATAACAAACGGTAACATGCAGATCAAGGAGAGCATTGAACACGGTAGCAGCAAGAAGGAACCAAAAACTACCAACTGTTGTTCCCACGGCAACAACGACTAATTAACATAAACCGCTTATCCAACCAGCAGCCGCGGCAGAATACATCTAATCCAGGCGAAACAGCTTGAGTTATATATATCAGGCAATTGCAATTCATGGTCCGAAACGTTGACCCATTGAATTTCACAGCACAACAAGATAAAAAGCAAAATACTTTCCATTGCCTACTTCAGTTCCAGCTTACCTTCCTGAACCGTCGAGAATGCTGGAAGGAGAGGGAGAGGCATCGACGTCAACTCAGATGCGAAATCTGGCGCCGAAGAGGCCACTAGCAGTTAGTTCCCCCCAGCCACGGCCGCCGATGAGGCAGCGAGAGAGCAAGGGGACGGCGGCAACCAGCCGGTGCTTGCACCACCACTGGACAGGACTGGAGAATGGTGGAGAAGCGACGGGCCGGGAAAGAGAGGTCCGCCGTACCGGTAAAATAAAAACCTAATTTTTTTTCCTTCTTCGTTGTCGATTTACTCTTCTACCCTCCAAACGACACCGTTTTCTTGGTAGTTAAGAAGTTCAGTTGATACGGCAGCGTGTAAATGGCTACTCGCCGGGTAATTATCATAAATGGTGACAAAACTATTCACTTTGTACAAAACGGTCACAAACCTTTAATTTTGCACGTTTCAGTAACATATGTTTGCACTAATAACAAAAATGTAATTCCGTCCAACTCCATCCAAAAGTCTGTTAATTTATTCCAATTAGCATTCCACATTATTAAATAATAATAATAATAATAATAATAATAATAATAATAATAATAACAAATCAATAAACCAAACCAATTATACCCAACGCAACCAAACTCAACCTCACCCAATAAATTACAAACCATCCAAAATATGTTTCCCTCTCTGTAACCCTAATTCGAGAATCATCCTCACTATCCTATCCTCATATCCAATCCAAAATCATCCACTCCGTCCAGGAGAGAAGGCTCACAATCGCCCATATGTTTCCCTCGATCTCAGCCAGAGCATTTTCAAGCTTCTTCGTGGAGCCGCCGCCGCTATTGTATTTCACTTTCAGCTCGTACATGAGCCAGTCAACCTCCTTCTTTGTCAAAACTATCTTCACTTTCGTCCCGACGTCGATTCCGCCGTTGTTCATCGAAATATCCCCTGCCTTCTTGGAACCATTTCTTGTTTGGAGCTAAGCAGTTTCCCATGGCGCGCGGCTGACTTCTCGATCTGGGATGAAGAACAGAAGTTCGAAGGATCGAAAACCCACTTACCGCGAGGGACTGAAAGGAAGAGAGTTTCTACGGGGGAAAAAGAATAAAGGAAAAGAGAGGGAGAAGAAGATATGATGACGAAGGTGAGCAAATTATGTTAAGGGAGTAAATTAACTGAAGGGTTAAAGGTCGTCCTAAAAATTACTAATCGTCGTCCTAACTTAATACGTAAATTACTTAATTACCCTTTTTAAAATTAAAACACAAACCCTAGCCAAACACTCCCCTTCCTCCACTTCCCTTCCCCCGTCCACCAACAGCCGCCGACCTCCCCGTCAGTCACCCGCCGCCGGTTTGACCATCGCCCAGCCGCAGAGAGACCACGGCGGGTCGTCGCCGTCAGTCACCCGCCGGCCCACCTCGCCCTTCCCCCGTCGCCGTGAGTCCTCGTCCGCTGTCGCCGTCGCAGCCCTCCTCCAGTGGCCTGCCGTCCCACGCCGCCACGCACTCGCCGTCGCCGTCAGCCCTCCTCTCGCCTGCCGTCCGTGCTCGCCGGAGAAGAAGGTAAGCTCCGTTCGTTCTGCGGCGCCCTTCACCGAACGAAGACTTCGGTTGAGCCATGGTCAAACCGAAGTCAACATTCGATTGAGCCATGGTCAAACCGAAAGTTGACTTCGGTTTGACCATGGCTCAACCGAATGTTGACTTCGGTTTGACCATGGCTCAACCGAATGTTGACTTCGGTTTGACCATGGACCAACCGAAAATCACATTCGGTCGAGATTTTTTTTTTTTTTTAAAACGAGATTTTTACCTCGTCGGAGTCGCTACTCATTGTTCGGACGTATGCTCGACGATTTCGGCTTCCAAATGTCGATGATGAATTCGAGAGTGTGGGAGAATGAATGTTTTTTGTTTTCTAAGTGAATGTGGTGTTTGTTTGCTAAAGGAAAGGTAAAGATGTCAAAAGGTTAAAAGTGTAACTTTGTTGTTTTTTAGGACGATCATTAGTAATTGTTAGGACGACCTTTATCAACTCCCTAAATTAAACATCATCCAATCCATCCAGAACAGAAGGCTCAGTACAATTTTTTGGATTGAGATATGGATTGGGATTGGATCGTGAGGATGATCCTTAGATTAGGGTTAACAGAGTGAGGGGAAACATATTTTAGATTGGGTTTGGAATTTTATTGGGTATTATTTTTGGGTGGGGTTGAGTTTGGTTGGTTGAGTATAATTGGTTTGGTTTATTGATTTCTTTATTATTATTTTCTGATGACGTGGTGTGCTGACTGGAATAAATTAACAGACTTTTGGATGGAGATGGACGGAATTACTTTTTTGCATGGATTACGAAACCGTACCGGACATCAAACCGGAATCGTTTTTGGCATGGTAAATCGTGGTACAACCATGGTTCAACCGTTTCCTACCGGTAAATACCGTTTTTGGAATAAAAAAATTATTTTTCTGTTAAAAAACCGTACCGATAAAATTAGGGTACCATACCGGGAAAATACCGGAATAATACCGGATTATACCCCCTAAGAAACTGTAAAAGAGTAAATAAGCGGGAACATTCAACAAAGTGGCATGTAAAACCTAAACGAGTATTGGTTTTGGGCATTCATTATCAAATAATTCTAGCCAAGATGGTGAAGGAGATCCTCATATGGAAGTTCAACTCTTACATGAAAGCTCAACTACGGAACATGATTAAAACACCAATTTATGCTATAAGGCACCCAATTGCAACCAAGACTCCGCGATTTAAGATCAACTAATCTATTGAGCCAGTAAATCATGAATACTGGAAACAAACATCACAACAGAACATGGAATCAGAGCAAGGAAATGGACAAGGCAATCAAACTACCAGCAAGGAGAAGGGAATTCGAATTCTGAAAATCTTCCCAACGAATACCCAGCAATTGAAGCGATTTTAGTATGGTGCATGAGAGGAAAAGGAAAGGGGGAAGAGCAGAAGTAAACTCCACCTTAAGGCGATGGTGATCCCGCTGACAGGGTTGTCCCACTGGCGGCACAAGAACGCAGGGTAGGAAATCCTTATCTCTTCCCTTGGCACGACGTCGACGGCGGAGACAACGAAGCTGGTACAGCTACACCACCACCGCCACTAGGGATTTGGAGCCGCGGGAGACGGAAGGAGGAAGAAACCAGCCAGTGAACGACCAACGAAGCTCCTCTTTCTCCTCCGGCGCGGCGCGGCTGTGAACGACCAACGAAGCTCCTCTTTCTCGGTTTCTCCTCCGGCGCGGCGCGGCGCGGCTGTGAACGACGATGCCTTCGATTGCTGGGGAGGACGAGTTGCCGATGGTGTTTGGTTGCTGGGGAGGACGCGGTCGCCGGTGGTGTTGATCGCCGGTTGCTGGGGAGGCAGAGCGGCGCGGCGCGGGGAGACTAGAGGCAGAGCGGCGCTGCTGGGAGAGGGAGACGAGAGGCAGAGAGGGCGTTAGCAGGGCCAGCCAAAGGAAGGTAGGGTTTTTGCGTCTCTGCTTCCCTTGCCTTCCGTTTTTTTTTTTTCATTAAAACGGCGCCGTTTGTGTAAAATGAAGGGACCGCTGGGTTTTTTTAAACCGGCCGAAATTTCGGCCCATTGCGGTCCAACCGCAAATACCGCCCGGCAGGTTATTGAAGGGTACAAAGCTCTATTGTGCCGGTTTACCTCCGGTTTCCGGTTTTTCCGGTTCGACCGGCCGGTCCGGTACGGTATCCCGGTCCTTGCTTTTTTGTTATTAGTGCAAAGATATGTTACTGAAACGTGCAAAATTAAAGGTTTGTAACCGTTTCGTACGAAGTGAATAGTTTTGTTACCATTTATGATAATTACCCCTACTCGCCTGCTCCTTCTGTTTCGCAAGATCTGGAAGAGCATCGGCATTCCATCGTTCCATTTGAAACCCGAATCGAGCCTTGTGAAAAGCAGAAATCGGAGGAGGGATTGAAAGATGGCGGCGGTGACGGGAGGAGCAGTGGCGCTTTGGAAGATGAAAGGAAGCCCGAAGAGAAAATCTGGCGACGAATTGGGAGGAGAAGGCGCCTCGTCATTCCATCGTCGCCGTCTTGATTGCGCCGGTTGCAGCTCTGGAGGCTCGAGTGGTCGATGAGCACGGGAGAAGGGAATTCGGAGCACCGGCGATTCGTCGTCAATTGTCCTCCGGAGAAGGGAGGCCGCGAGAGGCAGAGGAGGCTGGAAAGACTCGAGTTTTCGTCTGCTATCCGCCGCTGTCTGCCGGAGAAGGGAGGTCGCAAATGCAGGGGAAGCTGCGAGTGAGAAGTTCACCCCTGTTTTGGTCGGTTATGCGACGGGAAGAACTCGGGTGGGAATCGGTCCTTTCTATCTCCTTATTTTACCATTCAACTATATCAGCAATTTTTTGGTTTTTGATAACCAAAATGTAGATTCATTGACTCAGCTAACATGTACCAACCCAACCTACTAATTTGAACTTGTTAGCCTAATGACTCTGTGTATACTGACTGATATATTATTTTATGGAAACCTTCTATTCTATTCATCCATGATGTTGATTTTTTTTTACTTTCTTCCTGGCCAGCTGATAATGAAGTTGGCCAATCCTGGAAATGCCCTGAACAACCTGGAATGCAGGACTTGGCTCTTTGGTCTCCTTAGTTTCCGTAGTCGTCATGATCTCGAAAGGTTACTTGTTTCTGTTCCTCAGATCCATTTCTAACAAGTCCTGCAACTCTCAGAAAACTACTACTCAGTCATTCTTACAGCAACACTGCTCAAACGAATGGGTTTTCTGTTTCAGTTTCCCTTCGCAGTATTTCATGTCTTCCTGCTGCTGCCGTGCTCTAGTACTGCGGTGCTTGATGCTGTTACTCCAACCCAGCCTCTGATCGACAGCGATGGACAGACTTTGGTGTCCAAAGATGGAACCTTTGAGCTGGGTTTCTTCACTCCTGGTCCTTCCTCCAACGGGAACCGTTACTTGGGGATTTGGTACAGGAACATACCGGTCAGAAGAGTTGTCTGGGTTGCAAACCGCGACACTCCGGCTACCGATTCAGGCAGCTCTTTGTCGATAGACACAGGTAATAGAAGCTTGGTAATTGTCAGCAGCAACAAGAGTGCCACTTTGTGGTCATCAAATGCGACGGCCAGCAGTAATCACCTGGTGACTAGTCTAGTAGCTGAACTTCTCAACACTGGCAATTTGGTACTAAGAGACCAAAATGACACGAGCAATTCAGAGGAATTTTTGTGGCAGAGCTTTGATTATCCATGTGACACACTTTTACCAGGGATGAAGCTGGGATGGGACTCCAAGTCGGGGCTTAACCGCGGCTTAACATCTTGGAAGAGCCCCGACGATCCATCCACTGGGGACTTCAGATGGGGGATCCAAGTGCAGAACAACCCTGAAGAGTTCATGTGGAAGGGCTCAGAGAGATTTCACAGAAGTGGGCCATGGAACGGGCTGGGGCGCAGCGGGGCACCTGAGTTGAGGGACAATCCAGTGTTCTCCTACAAATTTGTGTGGAATGAAGACGAGGTTTACTACCAATATGAGCTGAAGAACAAGTCGTTGATCTCCATTGTAGTCATGAACCAGACTTCGTACCTGCGCCAGCGTCTCGCTTGGAATGAGGCGAGCCAGAGTTGGGGGTTGTATGCGTCGGTGCCGAGGGATAGGTGTGACAACTATGCCACCTGTGGTGCATATGCGACCTGCATGGTTTCTGAATCCCCAATTTGCGAGTGCATGAAAGGGTTCAAGTCCAAGTCGCCCGAGATGTGGGAAATGGCGGAGTGGTCTCAAGGGTGTGTGAGGGAGAAGCCATTGCCAGAGTGCCCCCCGCGGCAGAAAAATGTTGAAGGTTTTGTCAGGTATAATGGGTTGAAGCTGCCTGATGCCACCCATTCTTGGGTGAACAAGACCATGAGCCTTGGGGAATGCAGAAACAAGTGTTTGCAGAATTGTTCGTGCACGGCGTATACTAGTACAGATATCAGAGGGGCAGGAAGCGGCTGCTCCATTTGGCATGGTGATCTGATTGATATGAAGATGTTCTCAACTGGGGGACAAGAGATTTACATTAGAATGCCTGCTTCAGAATTAGGTACGTTTAACTTTCTCATTGTTACACTTACTTTCAGTTAGCCTAAACGTTTTGAATTTCCCAAGTTGATTAATTTTTGTTTCTAATGAAGAGAGGGGCAATAAGGTGACAAGAAGCAGGGTAGGTGCAATAGTTGGAGCTATTGTTGGGGGTCTTGGGTTGCTTTCACTTGGCTATTTCATTTGTAAGAGATGTATTCCATCTAACTTATTTCATTTTCAGAAAGAATGCATTTCTGTGCGATGATCATTTGATAGCCATCAATTATCAGATTTCAGAGTCAAGCAACAGGGTGATTCAAACACTAGGGGAAAGGGAGATCTAGAGCTACCCTTATTTGAACTACACAAGATAGTTGATGCCACTGCCAACTTTTCAGACTCCAATAAGCTGGGAGAAGGAGGATTCGGACCTGTCTACAAGGTTGAATTTGCGTTATTGTCATCTGCTGATAACCAAAAATGTTTGCAGCTGCATCATCAAAACCCATAAGAGATAAGACTGATTATAGTAAATTCTTTGTACTTATTCAGGGTGTTATGGCAGATGGACAAGAAGTAGCTGTGAAGAGGCTGTCAAGCGATTCCGGGCAAGGATTGAAGGAGTTCAAGACCGAGGTCATACTGATATCTAAGCTTCAGCACAGGAATCTTGTCAAGCTTCTAGGCTGTTGCATTCAAGGAGATGAAAAGATGCTGGTTTATGAATACATGCCACACAGAAGCCTAGACTCTTTCATTTTTGGTCTGTCTATATGTGGATGCCACTTTTATTTCATTCAACATAGTACTTGTTCGAAATCTAGCTGATATATATGGTTACGCACTTACACTATAAGTTAACTTGTTTTTCTTTTGATGCAACCATTCATGGCAGATAAAGGTAGAAGCAGATTGTTGGACTGGGGCAAGCGTTTCGACATAATCTGTGGGATCGCAAGAGGTCTTCTCTATCTTCACCAAGATTCAAGGCTGAGGATTATACACAGGGACCTCAAAGCAAGCAATGTACTCCTCGACCGAGAGCTCAAGCCAAAGATCTCGGATTTCGGCCTCGCTAGAATCTTTGGAGGAGAAAACGGTGAAGGCAACACAAAGAGGGTTGTTGGAACATAGTATGTGACATGTTCTATCTTCCTATATCCTTTGCTTAAAAGCTTGAAAATGAATTAATTTAGCTTCCACGCATATTTATATTCGTTTTGATATGATTCTGCAGTGGGTATATGGCTCCAGAATACGCTGCAGATGGGCTGTTCTCAGTGAAATCCGATGTCTTCAGCTTTGGAATTCTGGTGCTAGAGATCATAAGCGGTAAGAAGAGTCGTGGGTTTTACCATCGGGACGAGAGCTTGAACCTTATTGGATATGTAAGCCCCAGCTGCTAACAAAATCTGCAATCTGCTAGCTTCTCCCTACATTTCCCTATTCTTGCATCACATTGCTAGCGGCTTGTTTTTCACAGGCCTGGAGAATGTGGAACGAAGGCAAGGCTTTGGAGTTGATGGATTCAGCACTCGATAATCAAGATTCGTCGAGTACTGAAAATCTGCCACAAGCTATCCGATGCATCCATACTGGCCTATTATGTGTGCAACACTATGCAGAGGACAGGCCGAGCATGGCAACTGTGGTTGTAATGTTAGGAGGAGGCGACGGTCGTGCGCTACCTCCACCAAAAGAGCCCGGCTTTTTCAAGGACAAAGAGCCATTCAACATGATGGTAGACTCATCCTCAAGCAAGGTGGAATCATCTTCAACGAATGAACTGAGTTTCACACTTCCACAAGGTCGTTGAATTGCCCGCGCCAACGTCAGCCTCCTCTTCTACTGATCGATCCTTTTCGTCTAATAAACTTGTTTAGTGGTTTGCAGTTTGCCGTAATTTTACGTTACCTGTTTAATCCTGTTGTAATTTTATTCTTGGTAATGAATAGAAGAAATATCTGAATTCTGAACAGAGCAAAAGAATACAGTTCCAATTGATTACAGGCCCAGAAATTAATAGACAAAAACTTGTTACAAAGCTAGCAATTTTAATAGAAGCCCTTCAGAGCGGGTATCAGATTGTTGTGGATCGCCCGCCGGAGACGTTTCCCGTCGGTGACCGGTCCCAAATCCTGCTCCGCCTCTTCCTTGGACACTCTGAACGAGAAACCCCGACGCCGCTTACAACTACGCACATACCTCCGGTTTTTGTTATTACTGTGATTGTTCCCGTCGGAGAAGCTTCTCTCCGCCGCCAGTGTCCTGGCCGCCAAGATATCCTCTTCGATCTGTTCTTCCGTCAGCAGAAGCGAGAATTTCCTCTTCTTCTCCTCTTCCTTCTCCTTTTCTTTCCCCTTCTCATTCTCCTTCTCTCCCTGCTGCTGCTTCTTCTTACGCTCCTCGTCCGCCGCGATTTCAGATCTGAAAAAGGCGGCCGTGGGAGAAGATTTCCGGTAGGGCAACTCGAATCCAGCGATTTCTTGCGGCGGAGAGGAGAAATCGCGGTGACAGTTGGGCGCTAATTTGTCGACGATGACGGTGGAAGTGGTTCCGATTTGTCGCGGCGGAGACGGGTAATTAGGAGCGATTTTGCCGACGGTGAAGGCGAAGTCGCCGACGCGGAGGCGCACCACTACATTGGCTGGAGCCGGAGCCACGCCGGCGTTCGAGTCATCCTTCAACCCAGTGATGGTGGTTCTTCCTGGAGGGAGCTTGTTGCAGAAGGTGGATTTTGGAGGAGGTTTTGATGGAGACGAGGCCGAACGGCCTCGGAAGGAACGGCGGCGGGGAGAGATCATGGGCCAGTTCACGGGGAACGTGTAGTTGGAAGGCTGGACGGCCGAGGAAGCCATGTTTATCGAAGGATGGAGTTTCTTCGAGGTAGGGTTTGGTGGGTGATTTTGCATATCCAGTGAGAGAGATGGAATTACAGAGTGACAGTGGCCGGAAAAACAGAGAGCTAACTATATAAAGCAGAGCAAAGAAGCGCCGCAACAGAAAGCTTGGACTGTGACCGAGCTTTGTGTATATATTATTAGGGTTGTGTTTCGCTATTCCATTTTGCATTCGGATTCCAACCCCTTTCCTTTCAGGAAAAGGATACGTTACCCGCCAATTTTATACTTTACAGAAACAGGGGAGGACGAAAAAACAATAATATCAGAAGAAATTGAAGAAGCGAATAGGCTTTTAAACAATTAGGCGGTATTGCACTCTGGAGGGAATCCATGAGGAAACCTCTTGGAATCCTTGCAGTAATCGTAAATCATGTAGTTCCTCCGAACCCATGCCAGCCTCTGCTGATTCGTTGCGTCTAGCTGCTGCGACATCCATGGCGCTGCAGCAGAGGAAGCTTCCGATTTGAAGTTTCTGTAGGAAGCCGTGAATGGAGCTTTCGACCAGTCCGTCTTCACCAGACCGCCACGGGTAGCCCAGTCGTCTGCGTTCCACAGGCTCGAGTAGATCCGCATCGGCTGCCTCTTCGGGAACGGGACGCCTCTGCCCTCCATGTTCTTGAACTCCCTGATCGGAGTGCCGTCCACTGAGAATCTGCACACACAAATCAATTTTTTCAGAAATTGTAATTCAGAGCTCAGTCAGGAATTATAATTGCTAAGTTCTAACTACTGGGTTTAGTTAGGAAAGGTTACATGATGCGCTGTGGGTTCCACAGGATGGAGTAAGTGTGAAAATCGGCGGTCGGGTCGAACCAGAGATAGAACTGTTGCTCTCGGTTCCCTTTGCCCTGTGAGAACACGTTGGTGTGGAGGATGTAAGGATCTCCACTCAAGTTGCCTAAGAACTCGAAGTCGATTTCGTCCCATGTCGATCCTTTCGACGACAACTGCACACACAAAATTCGGAAGAAGAAAAATAATCAATTGATGACAAATGAAGAAGAGGACGCGACAAGGGTTGGGACGCGAATTGAGGTTGTAACTAACGTACGTAATAGGCAGTGACGGTGCCAGCAGAGTTGCCAGCGACGAGCTTGAGCTGCATGTCGATCTTGCCGAACAGGTACTCGTGCTTCGACTGGAACCCCGAACCGGAACCCTTGTCGAGTGAAAGGGTGAGGAGCTGGCCGTTGTTGAGGATCTTGGCTCGGCCATCTCCCCACGTAACGTCGAAGTCCCGGTTGAAGTTTCCTGCTACTGAGCCGATCGCGATTAGCAGGATCGATATCGAGCTAGCTATAGAAGCCGCCATTTTCTCGATTCGGGGGGGTGGGCAGGAATAGTGTATAGAAGATTCGAATGGTTTGAAGGGATGAGAGAAGCAGAAGGGTTTAGGGAGGCTTTTATAGTTGGAACCTGGACGGGAAGAGTCAAACTGGTGCATGAATTTTCATGGCGATGGAGCAAGTGGGTAGGAAAGAGAGGCCAAGTCAAAGTTTTTTCTAATGGAGGAGGAGGAGAGATTGGTACGAAGTTACTTTCAGTGTTAGCTAGGGAAGGGGAAGGAATGGGCTGTGTCCAGTTGGCGTTGGATGGAACCAAACAAGTAGCTAGGTAGTATGATTATGACTCGATTATGGGACCTGAGATTAATAGTTTAGTCTAGACTTAGATAAGATAAGACCATATTAAGGATAATTAAGAAGCTTCGTCGACAAGGCTACTTGGATGAGACCTGAAATTATATGCACTGGGTGATGGTATTTTAGAATTTGCTGACGAGGCAGTCGTTTCGTGTTCGGATAAGCTGGAGGCAGTGGCGGATTTAGGAAGTTTATATAGGGATATCCTTTTCCCAATAAAAAAATTAAATTATTATTAAATATCAAAATGTTAAAATTAATAACTATCCAACTAGTAAAAGTTACAATAAAAATTCGGATGTGGTTCATATTATGAAAAATGGTCGAATGCATACTGTATCTACACTACGCATCAAATATCTCTCGACATATCATACTAGACAAGGGTAGCCCGCAATCGGGTTTAATTTTTGGGTGTTGAAAATAATTGAGGATAAGAATAGCCTTTTACTTTTATATATTTGTATCTAAAACAAAACAATAGAGTCTAATTGAAAATATGTTAACTAATAGTAGCAATACTATTCCAAGTTCAAATCACACAGAGTACCACATAAATATTATTTTGTACTCATACACAAACTACTACGTGAAGTTAAATAATAATTTTCCAAATTTTAAAGGTGTCCCACTACCACTTAGGTATTTTTTTTATCAATCGCAAGCTACTATCGGAGGCTGTACAATCATTTTTCCAAATTTTGGACACCCCTAAACATGCATGTATCGGCCAATGGCTGGAGGACTCGTCACTAATGATCGAAGTTGTCAAAGTCGTAGAAGCACCCTTTTTTTTTGTAATTATGTTTATTTGATTTTAGTCATTCCTCGATCTGGTTTCTTCATAGCATCGGTCGTTTTGGGTCTAGCAATTTATTCGAAAAATTCGCACTTCAATTTAGAAAATTATGTAAATTCGTTTTAGTTTGACTCAACACAACATATAACTCAAATACAATCTCGTCGGTTGACGTAGCTACCTAGTGAATGTCTGATCATGGCACACGAGATCGATCAAATAGGAAGAACAAAATTAGCGATGCCAATTAGAGAAAGAAGAAGAGTAGATGGATAATCGAAAATGATTACTTTTCTTGAAGAAACAAGTAAAGTTACCTTATAAAGACTCTAACCCAAAACGTGAATTCATCCTAACATAACGAAATGACTAAGACACCCTCCTAACCTATTTAGACCCTCATCAGTCATCACTGTCCTAACCAGCAGACACTGAATTAATGGGGTTTGTTGCTCCATCGACGTCCGAACAGAATGCAGAGCAGGCAGCGAGACCCGAATTTTGGAACAGAGAGATCGGAGGCAGGGCAAGACGCGTTTGTTAGCGTCAGGTCTGCTAATTAATTGTAGAGAGAAAAGACGTCAGAGGGAGAATTGAATCCACAAGTGGAAGAACTTGGTCTTGGAGGAAGGAGGTAAGTAACCTATCAGCGCCCATCAGGTGACCCACTCGATTTTGACTGTATGGTCGATCGATCGAACAAACAAACCCAATGCTGCCAAAACAAATATGTTTTTGTTTATTGATTCAAATGACCAATTGGGGTTGTGACTTACGGGATTATCCTCTTTTCATCGGCTTTACAGGCTGTGATCTGCTGGATCAAAGGTCTTACTCTGTTTTTTTAATGGCGTCACTTGCATACTTATATGATTTCTACTGAGCCGGCGAGTACTGGTGCAGAACGCTGCCCTTGAAGACGCCAGAGGATTTGGACCGAGGAAGGAATCTGGAAAGTGATGACGGCAAAGTTGCCAGCTCCAGGATCTCCGAAACCACCTCGGTTTGTCGCCATGTCAAGAAGAAAGAGAGGCCGCGTGCTGACTAAGTTGTTGTCAAGAGAAAGAAAGTTTGCTTAGGATGGCAATTTCGACCTGACCCATTATACCCGACCTGTTTGACCTGTTTTGGGTAAGTCCGACACGCCCCGTAGGTGGGGCGGGCATGGTACTGTCATCGACCCGACCTGCCCTGACCCGCCCCATTCTCGACCCGTTCTTGACTAAATTACATGTAATCTTAGTCAAATTACTTAGGCTGAGTCCAATGCTAGTCCCCAAATTTGGGGACCTTCATCCCCAAATTTGGGGATCATCCCTATTTTCTTCTCTTTTGTTCCAATGCTACATTCTTCAAATATGGGGATCTTCCTTTTTTCAGTTTTTCATTTACTTAAAAATGTATTTATGGAAGCATTAATATAATTTGTTCATATTAATATTTGTGTAGGTAGTCATCATTTTCAAATACAATTTTTTCGATAGAATTTTTTCAAATTCCGAGACCAAATTTTTTTTTGCAAAAAATGATTGACCTAATTAGATTAAAGTTGTATTTCAATTAAAGTTGTAGTAGGTGATAATTTGCTTTGTATTTCAAGAACACATTTTTATTTCAATAATATATTTTCCTTTCTTAGTTCGATCTAGTTTTTGTTTACACACAACCTCAAGATGATAAACATAAATTTTAAATAAAATGAATTCAATTTAAATCATCATATCAAATAAAAGAAATTAAACAAGATATTAAACACAAATGAAATTTTTTTAAAGAAGCTTAAATAATACAAACATTAATTCTCATTCCCTTAATTAATCATAACACCTTCTATTAAACCAAACAAATCAAAATATTCATTAAAGCCATAATTAAACATAACTAAATCCCTAATCAATTACATAATTAAATCATCATTTAAAACCTAATCAACATTAATTAAATTACAAAAAAAAAAGTTGTAGCGGAACAACCGCCAGCCCCGGGACGTGCGGCGCACGCGCGCAGGGGAGTCGCTTTCCCGCGCGCGTGCGCCGCACGTCTCGGGGCTGGCGGTTGTTCCGCTACAACCACTTTTCAGACGCCATAAATGGGGTAATCGTCATTCCCGTCGCCAGATTTGCCGCTCCAAATGCCGAATGCCACCAAAAATGGCGCCGATCGCCATAAATGATGCCGCGTTGGAGCCGAACAGCCGCCATAAATGGGGAATTCGCCAATTATGAGGCTCCCGTTGGACTTGGCCTTAGGATTTTTCTTTTATTACATATATTTTAGCTATAATAAAGTTGTAAATTAGTGAAAACCTCAATTTCTTTAATAATTTAACTACATTATCATAATATTCTTTGTTTTCTTGGTCTTATAATAAAAATAACGAATATTTCTAATATTTTTCATATAAATTGCATACCCATTGGGTCGACCTGCCCCGACCCGCAACCCGTGATAAATTACCCGACCTGTCACGGAGCGGATCTGGGTACCAAAAAACCCGCCCGGACCTGCCCCATTGCCATTCCTAGTTTGGATGCTTGAAGGACCAAAGTAAAGAATGACCTCAAATAATTCTCTAGCTGACTCAGTTCGAGATTAGGGGAAGTTTAGGTGATTGATTTGTTAATTTCGGCCGATTAGTCTGTGCAATATTGTGTATTGTACGATCGAACGTATTAGGAAGAAACCTAAGAAGGAGTTGATGATTTGACCTGTCCATGAAACACATATTAGTGTTGTGTTTCGTGGAGATACGAAACTACAATAAAAACCTCAATGTCGTCTCGTGGATAACAAGGTTAAGTGTTGTGTTGATTTTATAAATTGATACATGATAAATTAATAATTGCGTCGGTCTCGACTTGGATTGTTGTAAAAAAGAGCAAATTTAATTGAATCATAAGATAATAATTATTTTTAGAACCAATACGCAATCTATAAATTAATAATTATAAAATTATAAAAATACAATTCATTACAAAAATTAACAATACAACTAGAAAAATCTAGAAAAATATTAATATCTACTTGTTTGTTTCTTCTTAAGTTCAAGTATGGTAGACGCATGCTTATTTGTGTGTTCTCTTTATTTGTATTTTCTCTCTAAAAAAAAGGATGGTAGACGCGTTCAGTTTGAACTTTCTTCATTGCACTAGAAATCTTTGGTGTTGTCTTCTCTAATTGCAACAAGTAGTTTTAAAGTGTCTACTACGGTTTTAATCATTTCCTTTTGCATGACTTGTTCCAAAGGCGTTGAACATCATCTTCTTCATCCTCAATCGAACTCCCAATGATGTCGTCCCCAATTTCTTCTAAACTTTAATACATTTGTAAGATTGAACTACATGTATTACACATGTATTTGTGTAGGTTGGTTCTGAAAAATACATTGTAATATTGAAAATTATTTTGTTATATGGTACAGCAGAACAACTATACATGTATCATGTATGCCATCAAATACTTAATAGTCATATACTCATATGCACACACGGTGGACCAAGTTTCCTTCTCAGGCGACGCTGCACTCAGGAGGAAATCCCTGAGGAAACCTCCTGGAATCCTTGCAGTAGTCGTAAATCATGTAATTCTTCTGAACCCATTTCAGCCTCTGCTGGCTCGTCGAATCGAGCTGCTGCGACATCCACGCAGCTGCACCAGAGGAACCCTGATAGTTGTTGTTCTTCCCGCAGGACGAGCCTCCATTAGACCACACGCACGCTTCGGCGTTGAAGTTCCTGTAGGAAGCCGTGAATGGAGCTTTCGACCAGTCCGTCTTCACCAGACCGCCACGCGTCGCCCAATCATCCGCGTTCCACAGGCTCGAGTAGATCCGCATCGGCTGGCTCTTCGGGAAAGGGATTCCTCTGCTCTCCAGGTTCTTGTACTCCCTGATCGGGGTGCCGTCCACCGAGAATCTGCACCAAATCATATCGTTAATATACGATATAAGGTTTTGGTTAGAAAAAATGGTTGATTTTAATTAATGCCTTACATGATTCGCTGCGGGTTCCAGAGGATGGAGTAAGTGTGGAAATCTGCTGTGGGGTCGAACCAGAGATAGAACTGTTGCTCTCTGTTTCCTTTGCCCTGTGCGAACACGTTGGTGTGGAGGATGTAAGGATCGCCGCTCAAATTTCCCAGGAACTCGAAGTCGATTTCATCCCAGGCCGATCCTTTCGACGACAACTGCAAACGAAGGAAGGACCCCACGAATTAATTCATGACTAATGAAGCAGAGGAAAAAAAAAAGGGGGGAGATGCAGGGGAATAAAAAAATTAGGCACATACGTAATATGCAGTAACGGTGCCAGCAGAGTTGCCAGAGACGAGTTTGAGCTGCATGTCGATCTTGCCGAACAGGTACTCTTTCCTGGACTGGAATCCCGAGCCAGAGGACTTGTCGAGGGAAAGGGTGAGGAGATTGCCATTGTTGAGGATCTTTCCTCTGCCGTCTCCCCATGTCACATCGAAGTCCTGGTAGAAATTACCTGCAGCAGAGGAGGCCACAGTCGCCAGCATGAACAGCAGGATGGAGGCCGAAGATGTAGCAGCCATGGTGATGTTATGCAGTAAGAAAGAGGTACGTTGTGTGAATTGGTGAGGAGAAATGAAGGGGGGTTCGGCTAGGGTTTTATACTTGAAAAGAAAGAGCTGTGTCCAGTTGTTGTATGGTAATGGAAGGGAAAGTCAGGGGAGTTAAATGGGTGGGTTTGAAAAAGATGGGAGAGTGGAGATATTGGATTGGACCCGTCAGCCATGGGAGAGCATGATAGCATTGCCACCAAATGGCAAGGCTTACAGATGGCGGCAGCAGGTTGCCAGAAAAGCTTGATGTTTGAACCGAAAGCTGCATGGATGAATGGATGGGCAGCAAGACGCGGTTTTCATTATGAAAACCATTTTCCATCAGATGAGTGAGTCAGGGATGGCAATGGGTCGGGTTGGGGCAGGTTTTGTCAAACCCAAACCCAAACCTATGGGTTTATTCGCCAAAAAAACCCGGGTTAAAATCCGTTGGGTTTGAAAAACTCAAACCCAACCCAACCCGTTGGGTATCCGCGGGTTCATGGGTACCCGTGGGTTTTTGTGGTAAAAAATTTACAATAACAAGTTTCTTTCAAAATAAAAGTTTAACATCAATTTTCTCATACAAGTTATTCATACAAAAAACAGCAATATAGAGCATACAAGCAAACCGCAAATGATCAATACAAATTGTTCAAAATTAAAGATAAACATCTATAAACAATAATATTAATTGAAAGCTTCTTCCTCGTCAACTAAGTTTCTTCACTCTCCACTTCATAATATCAACTTCATTCTAAACAATTAGAAAGAACAAATTATGCATGTCTCCACAAACATAAAGAATATTAGTTGTTTAAGGAAATATTATTTAGAATATTAAATGTACGGGGAAAGTAATTATATGTGTGGGCGGGTACCCATGGGGCGGGTTTACCTAAACTCAAACCCAACCCGACCCGGTGAATAGTGTAGCGGGCTTAAACCCGAACCCGGCCCAAAACCCGTCAACACAGGTTTTACCCGCGTTGACCGGGTTGGGTCGGGTGGGTACCCGTGGGTTCGGGTTTTGTTGCCATCCTAGTCATGATCAGAGGTTGAATTGTGGGAAAAGGATAGTTCTAGATATGCATGACTAGTGATGGGTTAAATGTTTGTAATTGACCATTGAAGAAGTCAAATCTTATGTATATTTCTTATGGGGAGTCCTTTTACCCTCATTAAAGAAATAGAAAACTGCAACTCATACAGAAGAGGATGCAAGTTCTTTAATTTCTGTTGTACTGTGGTTCCCCTTCCTCTTTAAAATTTCATACACACAGCACATTTATAGCGGTTCGACTTATCTTGACAAAAAAAAAAGATATCGAGATTGATTACATCAAGAACGAGAGGGCTGATGTTAAGAAATCGATAATAACCTAATTGTCATAAGTCGTCTAAGTCAACTTGTGAGTTTGAGATGAACTGTTAATATTGAGGTTGTAAAGATTTGATATTATGTCATAAATAATATGAAAACCAAGAATCAATTCAGGCAAATTCCGAAAAACCAAAATCAAGACCGTTAAGGGTCTAATCGATTTTCAGTTAACCAATAACCAATAAGGCATTAACGATTTTGGTTTAGATAAACCTAAATATCAAAAGTCAAACTCATAATTTTGGATAAAAAAATAATGGAGTCAGAACACTAGACAACAAGAATAATGAAGATATTAGATATGAAAGAAGTCGACTACACAGAAGATGGTTGTGTTACTTGTTGAGTATGGACCAATAACAACCTAAAATCCCCCCCCCCCCCTCCCCCCACTGTCGCCCTCCAAACTAAGGAACAGGCCCGGCCCAGACCCTGTGCTGGTCAGATCCACAGCACAGGGCCTCAATATTTTGGGGCCTCGGAATGGTTGTGTTGCTTGTTGAGTATGGACCAATAACCACCTAAAATCCCCCCCCCCCCATTGTCGCCCTCCAAACTAAGGAACAGGCCCGGCCCAGACCCTGTGCTGGTCAGATCCACAGCACAGGGCCTCAATATTTTGGGGCCTCGGAATCTAGAAGTCTGTAGGCAGTGTAGGCAGGATTGGGCCAACATAGGGCTCGTAGCGGAGCAACAGCTCCTTGGGATGCAGAGCCCGCACGGAGGTGGGGTAGAGCCCATTTGGGTCTCATAGGGGAGCCGCAAAACAACACTAACTAGCAAGGAAGGGAATCGAACCATGCACCTCTTTCCTATTGAAAAGAGATTCAACCACTAAGCTAGGAGTTGTTTTACAAATTTAGAAGTAATAATTGTAGAATTAACACCTCTCTTCTTCTCTTTCTCCAAAATTTCCCAACTTTCCAACAAATTCAGTTGTAAACATTTACAATCCAAAGATATGATTATTGATGATGCTATTTTAGAAATAAATGGATTAATTTTGTTTTCAAAAGATATAAAGAAGATGAATGGGCTAGTAGAAGATTTTATTTGAAATAATAATAACCATTGTTACTTTTTGAACAATGATAGATAATATTATTACTTTTGTAATCATTTTATAAATTTATGTCATTTTTATTATAATTTAATAATTATTATTTATAATAATTTACGAGAAAAGAGTTCGGAGCCACATTTTAAATTGTCGAACAGGGCCTCCGAATATCATAGGATGGCCATGCTAAGGAAACGATAAGAAGAAGGTGTTGGTGGAGAGCCCGTGGTCGACTTGTCGTCCCCAAAATCTAGTCAACTTTCCACAGAGCCTAGGACAACGAATCTGAAAGCTTCTCTAAAGTCTAAAAAGTACTCATGATGACCACTGAAGAATGAATGGGGCAGTTAGAACTTCACTACTACTGGGACAGGTTGTTTATCCAGACTCCAGAGGAACCTGGCCGCCATGCTACTGCCTACCTGCCACGTCAAGCCTTGCATTCACCACTTTGACATTGTTCATCCCTGATTATTATTGCTGCTGAATCCATCAGGTGGGTATTCTATTGGTTAAAAGATGGGTCACTGCTCATGTGAAGGCCTAGTTTTCCTTTTACTCTGCCCTATCATAAGCCTTGTTATATTAACTGATCTATTATCTATTTCAAGGAACAAAGAAACTCCTTCAATTCAATGATTTTGAATTTTCTGGGCAGCATGGTGCATTAGAACTTCATTGTAATACAGAAGAAAAAAATTGATTGTGTTGATTACACAAAGATAGGGGGAAAAGAATAAAGAATGGTTGTCTTAAGGTTTACAACAATCTGGTTATTAAGAGAGGTTGCATTCCTGGGGAACTCCCTGAGGGAATCTCTTGTTATCAGCGCAATAGTTGTAGATCATGTAGTTCTTCTGCGCCCATTTCAGCCTCTCCTGGCTCGTGGTGTCCAGCTCCTCCGACAACCATTCGGTAGAAGAGGAATCCGGAGTTGATGATGCTGCAGAGCAAGAAGACTTGCCGTTGGTCCACACGCAGGCATTGGCATTGAAGTTGCGGTAGGAAGCTGTGAACGGAGCATTCGACCAATCCGTTTTCACCAGCCCGCCCCTCGTAGCCCAGTCGTCGGCGTTCCACAGGCTGGAGTAAATCCTCATCGGCTGATTCTTTGGGAACGGGACGCCGTTGCTCTCCGCGTTCTTGAACTCTCTGATTGGGGTGCCGTCCACTGAGAATCTGAAAGACCATTGGAAAAAAAACAGAGCAACAAAAGTTAGTGTCAATGACCAATTAGGGTTTAGCAGGAAAATTGATGTGGGTTTATTATTGTTGTCTGTTGTGATTAGGCACTTACATGATGCGCTGTGGGTTCCAGAGGATGGAGTAGGTGTGGAAATCGGCAGTCGGGTCGAACCAGAGATGGAACTGCTGCTCTCTGTTTCCTTTCCCCTGGCTGAAGACGTTAGTGTGGAGGATGTATGGATCACCGCTCAAATTCCCCAGAAACTCGAAATCGATTTCATCCCAGTTTGCTCCTTTCGAGGATAGCTGCAACAACAGAAACAGCATATCTAAATGTGAGCACCCCAGAAATTTAAGGCCCAAAAAGTGGATTCAGTGAGAAGAAAACATAGCAACTTACATAGTATGCAGTGACAGTTCCAGCAGAGTTGCCAGGGACGAGCTTGAGCTGCATGTCAATCTTGCCGAACAAGTACTCGTTCTTGGACTGAAACCCTGACCCTGAAGCCTTGTCAAGGGAGAGAGTGAGGAGATCGCCATTGTTGAGGATCTTGCCTCTGCCGTCTCCCCATGTGACATCGAAGTCCTGGTAGAAGTTGGCAGCTGATGAAGAAGCCACAAGCACGGAAGAGATGGCAAGAAGCAGCACAAGTGAAGAAGAGCGAGCCATAGTGACTAGTGAATACTTTTGAGATTCTAGTAAGGAATGGGTTATGCTTCCTCTGTTGGGCAAATGAGAGTGTGTGGGTGATGATTGAGAAGTGGCAAGTGCAATGGGATATTTATATGCAGGAGGAGGAGGAACTGGTAGCATTGTTGCGGTGAAAGGGATGGACGCGGAAGTGCGAAAATGGGAAGGAACCTTCTTCCTTCTTCTTCCTGCTCCATGGCTAAGCTAAAGCTGTGGACAGCTAAGAAAGTTGAGACAGTGGGGTTGATGAACGGACGGTGGCTTAACTTTTAGCAGCAGCTGGCACTTGGCAGCTTTCTTTTGCACCATTTTTATAAGTGACGCCGCGTATGACTTTGATTGTTTGAAAGTTTTGCTGATGGGCCTGACCGTCGCAAAGGCAGGCCCAATTTCCAGCCTAATTGGCCCATTAGTCCATGTCTAACTGACCCAGCTCTCGCCGGATCTTCTCCTCTCCTTAAAATATTAAAATTAACAAAAACATTAACCAGCTAACATTTTGGCCTTTTGGGGAGATTGCGAAAACTTAACGAGGTAGTTTCCCGACCAATCACAAGCCAATTTGTCATAAATCAAACGTGGCAGTGCTCAGTGCTCTCCACGTGTCCATTACAAGGTGGAGAAAGAAGTGGGTAATAAACTAATAATACAATAACGTAATCTACGGCAGAGCGGCGAATCCACCACCACGAGACGAGACGAGACCTTCTCCTCCTTTCGCCAGACTGTTCGATGTTCTGTCTCCCCCTTCTGATTCTGTTCCAGCTTCTCTGACTCTGAGAAGAGTCATCGATCGAATTTCATTTCACCCTGGTGTCAGAGTTCATACAGAGAGAAACCTCCAGAAAGTAGAGAGAGAGAGAGAGAGAGAGAATCCGAGCTGGGGAAAATGCCGCCATAAAGAGAATATAATTCTTCTTTTCAAAAACCCTAGAATTCCAACACTTTCCTCCCTTTCCTTGTTGTGCTTGCTTTCCCCCCCTTCTCGCTTTCGGTCTCCCTTTTTCGGGGGGGTTCACTTGTAAAACTATTTCTTGGTGGTGGGTTTTCGTTTTGTTGATCGATCTGCATTTCGGGTTATAAAGTTGAGATCGATTACCCCACAAGGCCCTCAGTCGTCGTTGCTTTTTGTTAGGTGACTTCTCATTGTGAAGCTTTTGTTAGTTGAATCGTAATCGCGAGTTCCTGCCGTTCTTTCTCTGTTTGGGCGTTCAATTTTGCAACTTTATGATCAGATTCATTCTGGGTTTCTCTCCGATTTCCCATTTTCTTACTGAATTACGCTCAATTTGCAGGCAAGGTCAAAGTTCGCGATTCTCCGATTGAATCATCAATCGTCTTCCCGGGGGTTCTGCAGCTGTGTGAATTATTCCCTTCTGATGTTTGATTTCCAAGTTCTGAATAAAAACCCTGTAAAATTTTCAGCTGGGCAATTGTTCCTGTACTCCATTCCTTCTGTTTTCCTTCCATCACATGTTGTATACTTTATATGTTGTCTATACTGTCTTAGATTCCGTTTAAAAATTTGATCTTTTTTCTTCAGCAACCTTTTCTTTGAGTGGAAACGGTTGTCCTCGGTTCTTCTCAGTTCATTTTGGGTTGGAACTGTTGAGTATTCAGTTGGGGGGAGTTCGATAGATATGGCGGATAGGTATAGATCGGCTTCGCTGGAGGACCTACCTTCGCACTTGATTCTTGAGATATTGACTACTGGAAGGCTTAGTGCCGCTGATCTTGTTCATTTAGAACTGACCTCTAGCATATTTGGAGGAGGACATGGGTTGTACCCTCAGAAATTCAGGTCCTTGGTGGATTTCGTGGCCTTTCAGCTCTGTTTTTCGAGTAGTGTTTACAAAGGAATGGGATGGAATTCTCAGAAACAGTTGTTTGATCGCTGTGGTGGGAACTGGAAGCGGCTCTTGAGGTTCCTGCAGGCTGTGGAAGAATCTTCGGGCATGGTCGAGACTTCTGCAGGCAATGTACTATTTCTCTATGCAACTTACTGAGTTCTTTTAAGTTTTCAACAAAAAATGATTTAGCACAAGTTTAATGTTTTCATGTCAACTAGGCAGGCTAGCTGAAAGTATTACTTCTTCCTCTTAAGTGAACAATGTTGCTGCAATTCAGGGTCCTGTCCTTAGCATCAAAATCAATTGAACCTTTTGATTCATTGGTTAATACGAGTCAGTAACTTTTTTTTCTTGTTTCTTTATTGTCGAATAAGCAGATGCAGATTACAACAGGGATGTATCACACATTGTTGATCAGCAATTCGTCCATTTATTCTTGTGGTTCCAGTTTGACTGGTGTTCTTGGACATGGACCTGAAACAACACAATGTGTTGCATTCACTCAAATTAGTTTACCACCATTGGCACATGTCGTCCAAGTCTCAGCCTCCCATAATCATGCTGCTTTTGTACTGAATACTGGAGAGGTATGCTGGCGATTGTTTTTCATCCTAATCATGGAATTCATGATAAATATTCAACTATCATCGGCTTAGTTTTGCCTACGTTGAATGCAGGTTTTCACTTGTGGAGGCAATTCGTCATTTTCTTGTGGTCATCGGGATACCAGCCGCCCCATATTTAGGCCTAGACTTGTGGATGCAATGAAGGGAGTTCCTTGCAAGCAGGTGAGCTCAATATTGTTCTTCTCACGAACTGATGCATGCTGCTGTTCTAAGAATGTTTAAGTCATAGTTCTATTGTCCGATTTGAAATCTTTTATGCTCCATCTGCAGTTCAAGTCTTGCAGTTATCATGTGTCTCCTACGATATTTAAGATAGCTTTGTAGTAACTATTGAACGTTTTGTTTTTGGTTGAATCCGTATACTGGCTAACCTAAAAATAAAGACAGTGTATGAAACTCTTAACCTGCAAGCTGCTAGTTGAGCATAGTGTATACAACTATTAAAGTAGAAATCTCTGGTTTGCTTTTCAGGTTGCCACGGGACTCAACTCTACAGTATTCCTTTCTAGACAGGGCAAGGTTTACACCTGTGGAGCTAACACATATGGGCAACTTGGTCACGGTGACACAATAGATCGACCGACACCATCAATTGTTCAATTGCTGGAGACAACTGGCTCCGTGGTTCAAGTTGCTGCTGGTCCCGGTTATGTTCTATCTGTGACAGACAATGGAGTAGTTTACTCTTTTGGTTCTGGTTCTAACTTTTGCCTGGGCCATGGAGAACAGCATAATGAGTTGCTGCCACGTGCAATCCAGACGTTTCAGAGGAAGGGTATTCATGTGGTTCGTGTGTCTGCCGGGGATGAACATGCTGTGGCACTCGACTCAAATGGATTTGTCAGTCTCTGCATCCAAGATTTAACTCAGCCATGCATGTTGAAGATTTTTCTTGCTTTTGACTGGAACTTTCTTTTTTCATGTGGTTTAGGTATACACTTGGGGTAAGGGCTATTGTGGAGCACTAGGCCATGGAGATGAGAGTGATAAGACCCTTCCAGTAATATTGAACAGTCTTAAGAACCACCTAGCTGTTCAGGTTTGGATTACATCTCATCCGCAAACAATAAACTTGGATTGCTGCATCACATAGTAGATTTCACGAGCTTTCATTGATTGTTTATATACCCAATCGAAACCTTATCTATGGTTTTATGTGTTTCTCTTATCTTGTTGGTTTTGCAGGTGTGCGCGAGAAAGAGGAAAACGTTTGTTCTGGTGGATAATGGTTCCGTTTACGGTTTTGGTTGGATGGGGTTTGGCAGTTTGGGGTTTCCAGATAGAGGACCATCTGATAAAGGGACGAAACCCAGGGTTTTGGACAGCTTAAGGGCTCATCGTGTATCTCAGATAAGCACAGGCCTGTACCACACCATTGCAATCACTGACAAGGGCCGCATATTTGGCTTTGGAGACAACGAAAGAGCACAGCTCGGACACGACTCACTGAGAGGATGCCTGGAGCCCATGGAGATCTTCGTTGAAGATGTGGCAGCAGATGAAAATGATGCAGCACAACAGTGAAACATGAACGAAGGACAAAAAAAGAGGCCGCTTTCCAGCCTGAATCTTTAATTAATGCTAGTGTAACCGAAGAACAAGCTGAAGTAATGAGTTGATGTTGTTGTAGACTTGCAGTAGAAACTGAATATGATTATTTGACCAATCAATGGTGTGAGCTTTTCAATTGTTGCTCAAGTACTATGAGTGTCTTTGCGGTCCCTGAAATCGTATATCAGGGTTAGCTTTGGCCCCTCTTTACATAATTGTGTCGGCGGTAGATTTTCATTTTTCATATCCTGATCCTGGAGTCCCCTCGCGGTCCCGGAGACGATACAGGCCACCGGGATTGTTAGGCGCAAGTGGTGGCCGGAGCAGTGGACAGCCAGAAACTGGTTTCTTCGGTAATGCAATGCCAAGATGTCTCCCCTGTTCATTAAAGCTTGAATCTTAACATTCTCTTAGTCTCCATCCATTCTCTACACAATGCAGTCATACAAATTCGAACTTACAATTTCTTTACTGCGTACAAATTGACTACAGAAGTGATCTGCAGAATGCAGTAGTCTGCAGTCTGCACCACCAGATAGCTTGACTATGGCTTTGCCATGGCCATAGACTGGGTGGGAAAAACAAAAGAAAGAAACTACTCAACCTTAGCCTGGTTCTGGAGTTGCTCCTCAATTTCAGAAACTACTCCAAAGCAAAAGCAAAAGAAGAAAACGAACATTAATCTACAAAACCGATTGACAAAAGCAGGCAACATACATACATTTTACAACTTTTTACCGGCCATGGCCTCAAAAATGTTCCCTGAAAACTCTCAAGATGCTAGCAAAAGTCACGATCCCAACCAAGCTACAATCTTCCTCCATAACCCACACGTAGTTCACCCTGTGCGCAATGGCCTGAACCATCACTGCCACAAGCGAGCTCTTCGGATGGCAGACGATCGCCTCCGCTCTCCTCACCATCCTCGCCGAGTAGCTCATCGACCTGTTGTACTGCTTCCTGGACGACATTGACACGGCCCGCGGTGTATCCTCGTCTTCGGACGATGAGGAAGAAGATGAAGAGGATAAACTGGAATTCGACGAAATGACAAAGTTGTTGAACTCATCAAGCATCGCTTCAAGCCCTCTCCGTTTCAGCCCGGCCGTCACCACTCTGGCCAGATCCTCTGGCGGGCGCCCACAGTCAATGTAGGCCATCAACTCCCCAGCCGAAAGCGTCGTGATCGCAGCCGCCACCGTCTCGTCGCACGACGACAGAGCGAAAGGGGAAATCTCCCCCATCAAAATCCCATCGCTGTCGACGACAGCCACGGAAGTCTGGTCGGCGAGAGAGGCAGAGATGGCCTCCAGAGCAGAGGAGGCAGGGGAGTGGTACTCAATAGTGAGGACATCAGTGGTAATCATCCCCAGGGAGTCGATCGAGAGAGCTGGGAGCGGCGAGAAAATGGCGATTGAGCTCAGAAAGAAGCGAATCACGTCTTCTTGCGTCAGCCAGCAGTACTCCCTCCCGTTGTGGAACGTTGACGAGAGCTTCTGCTGCTGCTTCTTCCTCATCCAGCTCTGCCTAGCTTTGATCGGAACCACCAAGTTCTGTGCGCCTTTCAGTATCAGATCTATCGCTTCCCCCAAACTGCACAAAACCCCCCAAATTTCTCTATTCAAACCCAGAACCCAATCAATTCGTAAAATTGAATCCAACCCAGTTACAGAAATTAGTTCTCACCTGCAGGAAGGTTCAACGTGGGAGACGAAATTAGGGCGGGAGTGAGGGAAGAGAAGGGAGAGCGGCGAGAGCAGAGCAGTAGCAGGGGAGAGCAAGCTGTCCTCTCTACAGAGGAAGCAGATCAAATCCACCATGCAAATCTTGCCAATACATTTGCAAGAGTAGGAGGAAGGATCGGAATCAAGACCGTCCTCCTCGTGGTGGCAGGTCCAGAGGCTGAGGAAGGTGTCGTGGTGGTCGGAGGATTGGAGGGCGGAGATAGCTTCAGCGACGGTGGCGGAGAGAGAAAGGGATCTGAGCGCCGGCTTGCCCAGACAGAGGTCGGATACCTCCCGGTGTGCCAAAAACTTAGCTGCTGCCATACAAATGGGATTCTGCCGGTAATGGCGGTAGAAGTGTGTGTGTGTGTTAGGTGGCGAGCAGGAGAATGAAGATGACTACAAGTAAAGTAAGAGTGGCAATGGCGGTGGTGGTGGTGGGGATGGTGTAATGAGTAAATTGAGAGTGAGCTGAAATTTATAAGGGTCCGGAGGGAGAGGGTGGGGTCCACCTGGCCAGGTGGCAAATGGGACTCGTTTGTGAAAAGAGTTTGAAAAAAGTACGGTTCCGGTACAATATAAAAAGACTGTGGGGTCGTATGCCAGAAAAAAGAACTATTAATCTATTATGAAACGATTCAAAACGAAACGAGTATGACGATAGGGATGGCAACAAACCCGAACAAACGGGTACCCACCCGACCTAACTCGGTCAACGCGAATAAAATTCGTATTGACGGGTTTTGAGCCGGGTTTGGGTTTAAACCCGCTACACTATTCACCGGGTCGTGTTGGGTTTGGGTTTAGCTAAACCCGCCCCATGGGTACCCACCCACACACATATAATTACTTTTTCGGTATATTTAATATTCTAAATAATATATCTTCCTTAAATAACTAATATTCTATATGTTTGTGGAGACATGTATAATTTGTTCTTTCTAATTATTTAGAATGAAGTTGATATTATGAAGTGGAGAGTGAAAAAACTTAGTTGACGAGGAAGAAGATTTCAATTAATCTTATTATTTATATATATTTATCTTTAATCTTGAACAATTTGTATTGATCATTTGCGGTTCGCTTGTATGCTCTAGTTTGGCGTTTTTTGTATGATTAATTTATATGAGAAAATTGATGTTAAACTTTTATTTTAAAAGAAACTTGTTATTGTAAATTTTTACCACAAAAACCCACGGGTACCCATGAACCCGCGGATACCCAGTGGGTTGGGTTGGGTTTGAGTTTTTCAAACCCAACGGATTTTAACCCGGATGGGTTTTGTACTTTTGTTTATTTTATTTCGTCCGGGTGGGTTTTTGTAATTTTCCTTGCTGTTCGGAGAGTTTGTTTGTTTGGTATTCTTTTTTTTTTTTTCTGGACTGCTGCGGCCCATACCGTTTCACAGAGTAGATTGTCGTTTTGCAGTGATGCGTAAGTAAGGAGGATGATATACGTGTAAGCTTGCGCGGGTAAATTCATGCACACAGCTCTCTCTGCCATTGTACGTGTGTCGTTTGCTTTGAACTTGATATCGAAATTATTCGAGCCGTGAAATTAATTAAGGATAATTATATAGCAGAAAAATATTTCTGTGTCCATGGCGCGCACCATTGCTGACTTTGAAATGAATGGAACGCTCACAAACAAAACAAAAAAATATTAGTGCGCGCCATGGATTTTTTATTTTTAGTTTTTACTACCGCTGTACTCTCCTAGTGCTGTGATTGGACCGAGTGGGGTGTTTTGGGCTTCAGCGGATAAAGCTGGCATGCATGCACACGTCACATCGGCCCGCCATTATTTTGTCGCAACCCAAAACAGAGAGTGGCCCATAAGGAATGGGCCTTTTTGGTTGATATATCAGACTGCTCGTTACTGTGGCAAAGCAAAGTCACTGTTCCTACTTTCTTCAAGTTATCCCTCAGTCCTCAACCCATTCAAAACGATGGAAAGAATTGGATGGTACGGGAGGGAAATCGTTGAAGATTTGAATCAACACTTTTTTTCTTCTGATCCTTCTTCTCCTTCTCTTCTTATGTTCTTTCTGTTGCATCTCTGGACTCCACAACAACCTGCCATTACGCAGCTGATCCAATAATAATAATTATTGTAGGTCAAATATGCACATCAACTTGCGAGCGAATTGTTAAGTTCAATATACGGTTCTATGTAGTGCAGTTCGACAAAGAAACAAAAATAGGTCAAACATCGACATCAACTTGCGAGTTAGACAGCCTGCAGATCGGCCGTGACGACGATAATGCTACAAACCCACATGGTGGGGAGGAGGAGGAGGAGGAGATCAGGACAGGAGAGATTGAGCTGGCGAGTGTGTCCGTACTTTTCAGGCATGTGCTTTTTGGGAAGAAGAGAAGTGCTGAAATGAAAGACCTTAGCCGCATTGGTGTGAAATGTAAGGTTGCTTATACATCGACCCGCCTAGCCCTAAAAACCTTTGTTTTTGTTTGTCACATTCACGTCCACTATACTTGAGATTTACAGTAATTATCATTATACAATAATTACATTACTTCCCGGCCCTCTCGCTATAGCAATTATTAATTGATCGTGCAAGCTAGCCAGGCCAACTGCTTCCCGTTTGGCGTTATTCGTTCCATGCATTGATCGGTCACCTTCTTATCAATCATTAGCCGTAACAAGCCGAAGAAATGGACGACTTTTCTATTGTTTTATGAAACGAGGAGTTAGTAGTCGCATATAAAATGCTGAGCGACATGCATCCTCCATCGTCCATTCAGCATAGTTATATTTGCGGAATCGACAATTATTGAGCATAATTTGTTATACAATCTAATATGAATCATCTCATTGCACGAAACTTTGTTAAGGACCGTTATAATTATGTGTTATATATAATCGATGTATAAATTACATGGCCCACATTTGAGCTAATTAGTTATTAATCAAGAATTACTATTAGTTAACGAGAAGGTTTAGGAAATAAATAAAAAAAAATTGCAAAATGTGATTCCGCTGCCGGGACTCGAACCCGGAGTTCCCTTTCAAGGAACGATTAATTAGCTTTTCTCATTTTGTTTACCAGCTACAGCGGATTATTGATACAAGTTTTCATATTTATTGAATTAAATAATTTTATTCTCGTTAGTAGTAATAATATTGTGCATTTCTGCATGGTAGGGAAGGCAACTGGTCGGGTGGATAGTACATATCCATTACCCTACTCAAAATAGTTTGTACTTTACTCGCATACCCATACCCATATAGAAATCGGGTAGAAAGTCAAAACCATGTCCAAACTCGTTCGGGTACCGGGTATCCACGGTTATCCATGAATAATAATTTCTCTTTATAACTCCAACCAACATGTTAACATTCACACATATACTCACATTATATAAGTGAAACGGTAAGACAATATAATTCACCAAAACTAATTCCAAACAATACAATTTCATGAAAATGGTATATTTGCACGCTTAGTATAACATATGTTGAGAAAAATAATGATGATTTCTAGATGGACCCCTTTGCCCATTTTGCTTGCTTGAATATATCAAATTCATCCGGAACTAGAGGTCTCGGATTCGAATCCTTTTGACGCGCCTAATACATTTCTGATTCTTGTCCTTTTTTTTTTCTGGCAGGCTTTGTAGCATACTAGTGGCCGTGCGTGATGCATGTTTAATTCGCACCCGGTGACGCGTTTTGTTGTGTTGCAATGGATGGTTGTAATATATTGGCTTGGAGAAAGGCTCTATTTCCCTTAAATGAAAGTATGAGCTGGCTAGCCAGACAAGCTAAAGGGGAGAGACCACCAATAAAGGGGATAGTTATCATAAATGGTCACAATTCTATTAGCTTTGTACAAAACGGTAACAATCCTTTAATTTTGCACGTTTCGGTAAGAAAGGTTTGAGCGAATAACGAAATGGTCAATCCGTCCAATTCCGTCCAAAACTCCGTCCCAAAGCGCCACATCAGCATGCCACGTCATTGTAAATCATAATTAAAAATGGATTAGTCGGCCACTTAACCCGAGACTCCAACCGGTCGAAACCATCCTTTACCCATCACAAACCCAGATCATATCTTCAATTTGTCATATCTCTGGACACCACAACGTATACCATTGCAGCAGCTTGACACATCAACCACTTGCGAGTTGTTTAATTCAATATATGGTTAGGTCGTCCGAGCTAGTGTGCTTCTTGTTATCATATATCAGTAAAACAAACGAGCAAAAATAGGTCAAAAATCAACATCAACTTGGATGAGAATGCTGCTAGAAAGCCACATGCATGGTGGGGAGAAGAGGAAGACTTGGATGGAGACAGGAGAGATTGAGCTGGCAACTACATGCATTTTCCGTACCTTTCAGTTTTTCATGTGCTTTTAGGAGAAGGGAAGTACCAGAAATATGAACGACTTTTGCCTTTGCCGCATTGGTGAAATGTAAGGCTGCTTATACCATCCATCAGCTGAACCACCGTCTCTACCACCAAAACCTTTGTTTTGTCACATTCACTACAATAATAATTAATATAGTACTGATCATGCAGGCTGTAGGCCAACAGCTTTCCTCTCTTTTGAGCCTTTTTTACATGGATCGATCATTGGCCGTAACAGGCCCAAGGAATTGACTTCTTCTTCTTCTTCTTCTTCTTCTATTGTTGTTGTTTATGAAAAGAGCAGTAGTATATAAAAATACTGTGCGACATGCACCCTCCATCGTCCATTCAGCATAAGTACTATTCTGTTTGGTTTCTTTGGATGGGAGTGGCAACTTGGCAACTTGTACATATATATATTCTGGTTTTACACGTTAGTATAGAATTGTCATCTTCAATTTACAAGAAACGGATTTTTGATGGATTAATTTTGTTCCGCATAATAAGATAATTGTTGGAAAAAGCTTACAACAAGCTTATTCAATTTTAACGAAAGCTATAAAGATAAACAAAATAGAAAATTATCTGACCATAGGTTATTGCATGATTTGTGTACAAAAAAACTTTTTCACGGACTGTTATCATCGTATGTTTTCATTAATCGATGTATGATTTGTGTCATAATTAGTCGAGCAAAATTTATCAAAAATCAATATCATTTAAATAAACCAATCACAATCGACGTTTTTAAGTAAACGAATTACATTATTGTAAAATGTAAATTAACTAGTGTAATATATCGGGTGGTTTTGCAGGTTAATGACCCCACCCACCCACCACGTACACATTAAACTTTTATGGACCACAAAATATGGTATGCGCTTATTAATAAAGGTGATAACTTGAATAAAACTAGCCCGTTTATAAATTATTTTTTTATTAAACTCAATCTGTTTACTCGATTCACTAATTCTCGAATAATTCACTGACTAAATGATGAATTTAATTCATTTCCCGCATCTACTTATTAACCAAGAAAATGACATCCAGCTAAAGAGAAACTTTCAATTATAAGCCGCAATTCTTTCATCAACGAATATAGTATAGGCGCACTCGGGAGACTTACAAGCAAATCTCCGTAACAAATCAAAGAGTGAACACAACCAGAAATTTAAAAACAAAAACAAAAAACATCATCTTTTTTTTTGTCACCGGTGCTCGTCCATCATACCAGCTTCTTTTTTTTTTTCTTATATAGGAGAGGACCATACATATTAAACCATTTCATGTGGCTTCTACTGAAATCTTGTGTCGACGTTCCTCATGACTGCAATCTTCTAACACCCAGCAGGGTTCATCGTGCCGGTAATGATCGGTTTCACGTTGAGGCACGTCGCTTTGGCCTTCCCTGTAGGCGATGTAAGATCAATGTTCGACATGCACAGGTTCGCACACGGATGCGCCGGGCTGCAGCTGATCATGATCGCATCGTCTCCCCTCACGGTACCCTTGATGTTCTTGAAGCTCACATCTCTAATCGTCACCTTCGACGGTCCCTTCACACGCGGAAAAAAAAAATATATAATTTGTCGTATGGTCCATGTAGAGATATAATTCGAACTCGAGTAAGGTCATCATGTATGTGACATATACCTTGGACTTGCACTCATTGGAGGGGCAGTAAACCTGATCAATGATGATAGGGTTACACACGTTATCCATAGTGATGTCGTCGAAATGCACGTCGGACACTTCACATGGCTCCATATCGGGCCACGACTTGATCCTGACGCCGTTGTCGGTGCCCTTGAACGTGCACTGCCTGACCCAAATTCCCTGGACCGGGGCCTCGTTCGGGTACCGGCCCAAACTCCCCACGCTGATGCCGTGGCCCGGCCCACAAGTGACCCGCTCGACGGTCAGGTGCTGGAGCCCATCGCCGATGGAGATGCAGTCGTCGCCCGTGGCGATCTTGGTGTCGAGGACCTGGATGTCGCTGGACCGGCCGATGTGGATGCCGTCGGTGTTGGGGCTGTCCGCCGGCGCGATGATCGTCATCTTGCAGAAGATGAGGTTCTTGCAACCCAGGACGTTGATGTGGAACTGCTTGCTGTCTTTGCTGGTGATCCCTTCCACCTTCCCGTTGGTGATGTAGTTGAACCTGATGTTCTGCGCACGAGGATTGTACGAAACAGAAGAGAGAGCGGTATAAGATCTATAATAACTGAACTTTGAGTTACTTGCGATGAATTGATTTATTATACGACCATCATTAATCAATATTCAAAGCGGGGATGTACATGCATGAAATGTAATCAAATAAAACTCGAAAGTTTGCGCTTTTACACTTATACGTCACCAAAACGGTTCTATGTATAAAAAAAAACACTTTTCACTTACGAGCAATGTAGTCAGAAAGCGCATTTCTACGTAGAAACCGTTAGCTTTTCAAGGTTTAAAGCGCAGTTTTTTACTACATTAGTTATAAAAACTGTGATTATGGATAGAAGCATTTCGGTGACCTAAAAGCGTAATTTTTTAAGGTTTAAAGCGTGATTTTGACTACATTTCTTACACGTGTAATCAAAATCTACAGCTTTATAATTTAAAAGAAAAATCATTTTTTTCCTTCTATGTAGAATAGCGATTTTGACTGCAATGCATGGATGACGGATGATTGTTACGTACCACGGTCTTGGATTTGCTTTTACCGTATATGGCGCTCCCCATGCCGTCGAAGGTGCCGCAGCCGGTGATGGAGAAGTGGTCGATGTAGCCGAAAGTGAACCAGGCGTCGCCGGGGGTGTTGACCGGCGCCTTTAGGATTCCCTGCAGCTGGATTTCGACGGGGGCTTTGCACGGCCCTTTCACGTTGACGACGCCGATCTGGTACGTCCCGTCGGGGATCACGACGAAGGCTGCGATCGGGGAGGCGCAGGCATCGGCGAAGGCTTTCAAGAACGCCTTCAAAAATCAAACCACGTATATAAAGATATTTAGTTTACCACAACAAAATGAACGTGTAATGTTTTATGTTACTGTGTTTTTTTTTTTTTTTTTTTTGCCTCCTCGTACCTGGGTGATGTCGGAATTGGGAGATCCGCCGTACTTGGTGACGTCGAATACGTGAGCTTGGACGGTGGTAGTGAGAGTTATGGAGGCAAACAGCGATACTAGTAAGCAAAATCTGATCGTGGCTGCCATGGTATGGCGATTGTTCTTGTGATCTCGATTGATCGATTGGTAAATCGTTTTGTGTTCGTGTTTCGTTGTATTTTGTGATGGATTTCGTGACGAGTGTTGGTAGGTTTTTATAATGAAGTTGTGCGTATTTTGTGGTGTCTAGTTTCGGGGTTACATGGTTACAACTTGCAAGTTATTTTTGGGATTAACAGATGTTCATCGGATGGAGAATTTGGACATTTTTCTTGACTAGTTAGTTACCACTACCTAATTAATTGACACCACTGAAGTTTACATGGAGTTCAAAAGTCATTTTTTTTTATTTTTATCAGAACCTTGTGACGCAAAAATGTGCGGAGGCAAAACTGTCCGCGTGTAAAACAGTAAGTTAATGGTTTACTGAATGAAAAAACGACCCTCCTCTTAAAAAATGAAAAAACTACATATTCATAAAAAAAACATATTGTTTTATGTGGGTAGTTACGATGAACGGTGAGCTGGTTAAGTCATTGTGATGAGTTAAAAAAAAATTGAAATTTATAATCGTGATAGAGCTAATGCTAGGTTTGTCTAGTACCTTGGTTCCCTAAACAAACAACAATTGTGCATATGTATGGAATTCAGATCTCTACATGAACTTTCACACATAATAATCTCATACATTGTGCTTGACAAGTAATGTCTAAGGTTATATAATAGGATTATAAATTTATAACCATAAAAGTGACCGTTCATAAAAATGTTTACTAAGGGGTCGTTTGGAGAATATGAGTTTAAATCTACAGATTGTCAACAATCTAAAGATTCTAACTCTCCAGATTGTTGAAAATAGATTTTAAAATGTTTATTGTTTGTTAACTGTGATTGTTAGCATTCAATTAAAATAAAAAAAATCTAATTTTATATTAAATAAAATTTTATCCTTAATAAACAAATTAGAGTTGTTCAATATATATTAAAAACTTTGTTGATAAATATATTTCATGTGATAAATAAATAAAAGTAAGAGACAAACTAGGAGGAAAAAAATCTCATGAATCAAGATATAGAATCTCTCTGATTATGAGATATTTGATATCCGCAGATTTTAGAGATTTGAAATCTCTAAAGCTAGAATCCACCATACAAAAAGCAACAAAAAAACATAACTTTCTATAAAATCTACGGATTCAGTGAATCCATGTCCTGAATCCTGTTCTCCAAACGACCCCTAAGATTTGATAAACGACTCGTAAACAGGATTTGTCCATATCACGACACATAGTCGTGTCCACGAGATGAAAAAGAGATTTAGTCTACGAGACGGCGCGTGTTCTTGATTAATCAGTTGTGGCTGAATAATTCTGGGTTATAAAACATTTACAGGTTTGCTATAAGAAAAAAGAGAGAACATATGCAAATGTTTTTTTTACTAAAATTTTCAGTCAAGTTCAATCATCTTTTTTCCTGCCAAGAAGCAACTAACCTCCTCCCCTTTGTATTGTACAATGGGGATTGGGGATACATAGAATCAGAAAAATATGTACAACGCTACTGAGGAACCGTCATCTCATCCATAACCTAACTACACAAAATCCACTTCTAGGATGGAACCCATTTAAGTTTAACCTATTCCTTTCTTCCTTCCCTCTCCATGCTTTGGTTTGGGTGATACCATCCTTTTGGCAGATCACTTGATTCCACTGAATTGCCTCGGTTCCTCTTGCTTAGGCCCTGTGATCAACAACTCAGCCCGTCCTCTCTGCCTCCCTATAAGCCCAGAAAAAGCCTGTCACCAAGTCCATGTCCAGCAACTGAGGCTCAACTTTCATCTCTGTGACCGCCCCGGAATTCATCATTTCTCTCTTATTCCCCCATGCATGTCCATCTTTCTTTAGGTTGAGGTTCTCCGCCATTGTTTCTTCCCTTTCTTTGGATTCAGCTTGAAAGGGCTCCAGCTTTTCCTGCGCTTCGAAGTCTCGCAGAACAGTCCGGAAGCCAGCGCCTGTTGTAGCCACAGCTCGAATTCTTCTTCGTCTTCATCCATCATCTCGGCATCCAAGTCCCATGGGTACCTTCCGGAACTCGACTGCTGTTTCTCTAGACCAACCATATTCACGTGGAAACTCGGCCTGTGCGTGTTAGGTCTGCAAGCCATTCCCTGCTCGTGGAGAAAAGAAAACTCGTCATTGTTCAGTGACTTGCGAGTTGCGACTCACCACATCCGCGTTGCATACAAACATAATTGCACGTGATAAAGACAAGTTTTCACCTGGCAGATAGCCCACTCAGAGACGTCAAATATCTTGCTCTCAGCACATACAAACGCACGGGGAATTTCCACCTACATGAATGCAGCAAAGCAAAAAACATGAACACAAACAAATTTCACTAAACAAGAAGCAGCAAGCATGGTATCAGGTATTCCAAAGATGAGAGCTTGTTAAGCCACTAACAACTTGAATATAATTTGAAATGTTAGGGGATTGCAACAAAGAATTCGACATAGAGCTTATGTAGTTTGTACCTTTTCGGATGTAGCAAAACCCAATGAGCCCTTGTACTCAACCCAGCCATCGCCATCTTTGGCTTGATGGTATTGAGAACAATCCTGAGAGTAGATTACCAGTTTAAATCAGCAACACAAAAAATGAGCAACGACCTAACCTGCTACATGATAAGCGGCCACACATTTGGAAGCACTATGTAGCAACATCCAAATCACAGATAACTAGTAACAGAACACTGACCTGGCACCATCTTGCCTTGGTCTTACTCCTATTCGTGCACACCCATACGTGTGAGTTTCCACACTTTGTACACTGGATGCGCCTTGATTCCTCAGAGCAATAGTCTGGAGAATCCTGCTTACATGAGGATTATAGTTAGACAGCACTCCAGTTTTACTTCTCGATGACATCAGCAACCTAACTAAGAACTCATTCCAGCAAAACAATCTCTCAAAAAACAATTCTTTTTCTTTGCTTCAAACAAAGCCGGGGTACACCGTACACCTATTTCACATCAATTCTAAATTGCAAGCAATTCATAAAAACGCCATAGCACAAGGGACTTGTGAAAAACTATATTCAATATCAGTCGGTGACATCTATTATTAAATAGTTACCCTCTACCTGTGTTGAGGTACTATTGGACTTTTGACACACACTTCTAGTCCTCAGTTCATCCTTCCGCAATTGTTCATCATAATCCCGCTTCTTGGTGACATCAGAGAGAACCTAAAGATTATAATGCAAGAATGACATCAACTGACTACAGCATAGCTTGTACTGCAACAACTTTGTAAATTCAACAAAACGAGGTGAGAAAACTTTTCATCACTAATCAGATCCTTACCTCATATGCAGACTGAAGTTTCTTAAATGATTCACTTGCTAACGAGCTCCCCATATTTTTATCAGGATGCACAAGCATGGCCTACATAACCGAAGCATAAATTGTTAAAATGGAAAAGAACTAGGGAACTTGCATATTACTTCTTCTTTTTTTCTTGACTATCAGTTCACTTAAGGGGGCCAAAGGCTCTTGGACTAGAAATACTTAATTCAATCACAGAATAGGAAGTATCAGCCACTGCTTTAAAGTTCAAACACATTATAAGAAAAGTTATAGTAATGTACTCTTGCATTTGCATTAATGATGGTGGTCATTCAAGACATTAGCACTGTTTTCATCCTTCCTCAGAAAGAAGTAAAAACAGGGTTAAGACACAGATAAAAAGAGAGCTGAGTGAGATTCCAAACACCGAAAACAAAACATGTCTAGATCGAGAACATAGATTTCTTGAATCCAACTGACACTCAAGCAAAACAGAAGGTCAAACAGTATCTGGCTGAGTAGCGTAGTTACCTTCTTACGGTACTCCTTTTTTAAAATTGCCACATCAATCCGCTTGTGCCGAGGAAACCCAAGAGCTTCATAATGATCAACACTAGTTAAAATCCTCCTCATCTCATCAACTGAACTCGCTTCAACTCGAACTACCTTTCTAGTAGAAGACTCTGGTTGGTTACTAACAACTGAAGAAGTACCAGCTGGCTTGCTGGAAGATTTACATGACTGCACCTTTTCAGATGAATCAGTTGGAACCGAATAGTCACGATCTGGAGGAAAACCATCCTCTCGAAGTGTTTCAGGTTCTTTCTGCTCCTCCACGGGGACAGTCTCAGTGATATTATCACACCATTGCAGTAACAGATTCAATATGTCATTTGAGAAAAATGTGAGGTGTATTGACAGAAAAACACCATGCCACCCCACTCGAACTTGGACCAAATAGAGAGCATATATAGCCGCCATTAGGACCACCAACCTAGCGTGATTAAGTGAAAACAAATAACCTGCATTTACATAGTGTAAGGGGTTAGAACTTCCCGTGTGCTTCTAACTGGGACTCCAGAATTTCAGAAGTATGCAAAAATTTCATTGCAACAATTCAGTATATGCCATGAAAGAAAGATAGCTATACAAAGAAATGCAATCTTAACACCGGAAGGTTGCAATTAAATCCCAGAAGAGAATTTCAATTTACAGGGAAATATTGATGAAAGTAGAATACAAAGCATAGAACACCACCTAACAATTTCACTCGTCTGCAAGCGCTTATGTCCTTATCTTCTCCTTTCCTACAATTCTGAAATATATTGGCTCTATGCTCAACTAAAAGCTACTAGCCTACTACCTCCTTCAAGTTATATGCACTTTACTCAATGTCACATCTAGCCTCGTAGGGAGAAACTGATTATCCTAGAAACATATTTCTGCAGGTCCTTCCTATGAGAAATGAGCTTTCAAATCTTTGTGATAGCATTGCTTCCTCGGTTAGTTTTGTTGCCCAAAGACTTATTTTACGCAATTATAATACATGTGTTATCATGACAAATGAATGGCTGATTCTCCTCAACTATTTACAAATTACGCTCTAATTGTTCTTACGCATGAGAATACCTGAAAACTAAATCACCTCAAGGGGAGAGTAAATTACAAAAATAAGAAAATCTACTATAATCAATGCACTCGGTAAGCGGAGACACCTAACAATCGCTACCCCAGTTCCTTGACAGGTAGCCAACACAAGGTTTTAGCCCTCATAAAACACCAAATAGAAAATATATGACAGATAAATCAATACACGTGCTGCATTGTAACTCATCAGCTTGGCATTAAAAAAATCGTGATTTGAAAAGAAACCATACCTCCAATTATAAACAACGTTCCTGTTATCCAAAAGCTAGCATACATCCATAGAGTTAATATAGCAACTAGTCCTACGATAAATAGCCCAGGGGTATAACCCAGGTATTGAACAGCAACTCCTGCAGCTCCCTGGAGGAGAACACCAAGTGTCAGTAGTTATCAGCTCAAACGCAACTTTGCCAACAAAATGAAGTGGAAACCAAGAAAAAGCTTACACATACTGACATGTAGAATAACATGCATCATCACTACATGAGACTACATCAAAATACAACACACAGTGGAAATGGAACAACTTAAGGGTTTGCACAGTTAGATGTAGCAGAGCAAGGAAAGGAGGAAGCAAATCAGACTTTCTGACATATTTTCCTCTATACATAGACACCACAAATCCCAAGTACTGAGTACAAAGCTTTGTTCATGCATGTCCAAACACTGAACCGACCAAACAGATTAACGTGGAATGATAGTCATCTCTATCACAAAGAAAGATCACATTGAGAATCACAGACCAAGAGATGCAAAGCCTAGCAACTACTCCTGAAAAGAAAAGCTTTAAGGTCCTCAAGTATCCTCATGTTTTCAGTGAGTTGGATATATTTACCACAGGTGGGCTTAGAAGCACTCACAGCAAGATGCAGAATTTTTGTTGCATATATCGCCTAAATTCTGACAAATCCAACCAGTCCTAGTACTAGTAACTTATCCACAATAAAAGATGTTCTTCACAATTAACATGCCCCAACTCATACAATACTCATTTTCTACAAGTTCAATAATTCATCATCATGGGAAAGCTGGGAAAACTGGGCAGAAGACAAGGAAGAGTGGGCATACCATGCTGAGCAGGACGTAAATCAAGCATGATATTGAAGTGAGACTAAGAAAGCAACTCCACATAATAAGAAGCAGAGCTGCCGAGCCCAGTCGAATAACCGATAGGAAACCCTTGACAGAGCATTCTTTCCAATAGATCAGCAAGAAAGTTATCAACTTCCCAAATCTGGCGAACCCGCCACACACCGTCGGCCAATGGCGGTCTATAAGTACACTAACCCTCTCTCTCACACACCCTGCTCCAGTTCTGACCCTCGAGCAAGTGTGCTTCTGCATTTGCAGCCATTGCCATGCTTGCTGAAACAACCCAATATCCTCCATTACACGCTAAAGTCCCCAAATTCCTCGAATCATAGAAATGCCCAGATCTCAGAGATCAATTTATCATCGATATCCGCCGATAGAAGCCCGAAACATCTCCCACATCTCGCCAGGCTGTGGAGGAAGTAGAAGAAACCGTGAGCCCGAAGCAGCACGCAAATCAGGGAAGATGGGGAATGAACAGGATCACGTTCAACGCAAATTGCTTCACAAGAAAGCTTCCCAATAAAACCCCAAAAAAGCAGGACAATATCCGCCCCCTTTCTCTTTCAGCAAGTTGTCTTTGTCTCTATAGAAAAGCAAAATAAAACAAAAAGGAAACATTCGAATAGAAGAAGAAAAAAAAAGAAGAGAAAACCCACCATCGAGGAGGCGAGAAGTTCGCGGTTGCTGCAGTGTGCTATTAGGTCTTTCGATTCTGGAGAACTTACTTGCTCTCTGAACTCTGGGATGGAAATGACGAAAGGGTAAGCTAAGCAGCAGTAGCAGTCAGAGTAACAGTTGATTAGCATACATTTATCCCAAATACAAGGTGGGGAAATTCGTGCAATGAGCTGCGTGAGCAATGGAATCGCAGACGTAATCCAGGAGGTAAACCTAGTGTCAGGCTTTTAACGCTATCACAGAGAGCTCGTGAGAGAAAAAGAGAGGAGAGACCTCGAAAAAGTTTCAAAAAGTGGATTTAAAGGAGAAGGTGGGACTTGGGAGGAGAAGGACGAAGGTAGAGAAGAAGAAGATACAGAAATACATTATAAAATAATAGAAAAACGTAAATAATAATTTGGAAGGAATTCTTTGGTCTCGTGGCCCATTTGACATAAGCCATTGGAAGGCAATTTTACCTATTAGTACCTAATCTTTCTGATTCCGCCAACGAGGAAAATCCTCATAAATCGTAATTATATTGTTATGGAGCAATTTCATCTGATATTGTTCTCAGTATTAATTTACGACAATTCTCCGAAAATTCTAATTTTCAAGGTCTTGAACAAAATTTTCTCGTTATGTAAAATTAGGATTTCTAATATCAAACAATATGTTGAAGAAGAAAAAGAACAATGAACAGTTGAAAACGATAGTCTCAAGAAACGTCCAATAATCTCTGTTGCATTAGGAAAAACAACTTATTATTACATGCTTAGTAAATAATTAAGAGCCGGAAAGAGACCATTAATCCAAGTGGTAATCTCTTTCAAATCTTGAACATAAATTAATAATTTCATATAGCAAAAATGGAGCTAGCTAGTAGCAGTGAAGCTGCTTAACAGCCAGGAGGATTCATGATGCCAGTGATGATGGGCTTGACATTGGTGCACACAGCTTTGGCTGGGCCAGTGGTGCACTTGATGTCAATGTCGCACATCTCAACGTTGGTGCACGGATGAGCAGAGCTGCAAGTCATAGTTATGGCTTCCGGCAGCTTGCACGTCCCTCTGATGTTCTTGAAGCTCACATTGCTAATTGTCACCTTCGACGCGCCCTGCCGAAAAAGATGGAATTATTTTTTTTAATCATCGTAGTACGAATTCTTGACACGACATCAGAGTCTGTTTGTCACGCGTACGTACCTTGGACTTGCACAGATTGGAGGGGCAGTACATCTGGTCGACGATGATCGGGTTCTCGACGTTGTCCAACACAATGTCCTCAAAGTGGATGTCGGAGACGTCGTTGGCCTCCTGGTCGGGCCACGACTTGATCCTGACGCCGTTCTGGGTGTTCACCAGCGTGCAGTTTCTGACGAAGATCCCCTTCACCGGCATCTCGCCGGCGTACTGCCCCAGGCTGCCGATGCTGATGCCGTGGCCCGGACCGCAGGTCACCCTCTCCACCGTCAACTGCTCCATGCCGTCGCCCACGGAGATGCAGTCGTCGCCGGTGCCGATCTTGGTGTCGAGGATCTGCACGCCGTTGGATCTCCCCAAGTGGATCCCGTCGGTGTTGGGGCTGTCCTCCGGCGCGCAGACGGTGAACTTGCTGATCGTCAGGTTCTTGCAGCCCAAAACGTTGACGTGGAATTCCTTGCTGTCTTTACTCGTCACGCCTTCCACGTGTCCGTTGGTGATAAAGTTGAACCTCAAATTCTACAAAACGACAAAAGATATATATATGGTAATAACAATTCGAGTTACTGGGACCAGTTGGTTTTATGGTAACGAGAGAGACGTACCACGGCCTTTGACTTCTGCTTGCCGTAGATGGCGGAACCCATGCCGTCAAAAGTACCGGTGCCGGTCAAGGCCAAGTTTTCGAAGCTGCAGAAGGTGATCCAGCTGTCGCCGTCGGGGCTGGTCGGAGCCTGGAGGGTGCCGTCGACTTGAAACGTGATTGGGCCCTTGCATGGGCCTTTGAATTCCACCACGCCGCACTTGTAGGTGCCGGCGGGGATCACAATGGTCGCACCGGTTGGCGAGGCACAAGCGTCGGTCCAAGTCTTGGTTAGGATCTGGAAATTAGGGGGGATTAATCAAACCAGGACAGATTAAGAAGTTTGTTAATTATGTAATTAGTGAAGGTAATTAATTAAAGTAGATGTGATCGTGATGAAGGAAGGAGCTTATTACCGCAGTGATGTCGGAATTAGGAGTAGCGCCGCATTTTGAGATGTCGAAGACGGTTTGTGCATTGGCGATGGTGATGAATCCGAGTAGTGCGATTAGTGAGCATAGGGTTATTTCCATGGTTGGAATTCTTGATTTGCTTTTTAGCGATTTATTGATGATGAACACTCGATTTTCCCCCTTTGATTATTCACGATCTTTAATTGTTGGTGTTTTTTTTATTGATGATGAAATGTATCTCTATGGTGAGTTCTTTTTATACTACTTGTGTTGGAGTACTAGCTAGCTAGAATGTGCTCGTTTTCATGTGGTTGTAAGACATTTTCGGGAAATCGAAGATCGGGGTTTAAAAATAGAGAGGTTGATGATTTCTTTGGCTATTGTTTAGCTTAATTTTCGCCTCGTGTTTATTTCGGAGTTTTTGGAATTTTTTATTCAATTCAATTGTTTCGGTGTAGATCGACTTCCTACATTTATTTTACATGTGTCTTCTTGGAATTATGTCGGAGTGAGTTGTAAGGATATCAATTTTACATCTATTTATGACAATTAAAATCAAACAACTCGAATTATGAAGCTAAAAAGGTATTATTGATATATGACAAATAATAAACCATCTATATCAAAGACACTAACGTGGGTCCCGGCCATTTGGGCGGAGAAAGGTGAGGTATGAAATTAGATAATGCAATGGGGTGTATAGCTTATTGTTAGGGGTGTTCAAATGGTTGCCATGGTTATAACCAAACCAAATCAGGCTAAATTCCATTAACTATGGAATACAATATCATAACCAAATCGTCCAAACTAATACAACAACCAAATTAACCAAACTAAAGTTGAATCGGTTTGGTTAATTGGTTAACCAGATTAACCAATATAAAATCACATTATCATTGACGATGAAAATTTTCCGGTTAATGCAACAATTTGCAATTTATATAATGAATAAAACGTAACAATCAACACGTAGTTATAGTTGACCCTTAACAAAAATACATGCAACTAAGACAATTATCTTACGATTAGTATATAAGTATTCACCTAACAAAAAATTATGACAATGGTATGGGTTAATGAATTATTTTGTTTGTGTAAATTGACTTAGTCTCTTAGCAATTATCATAGGCTGGAAATGACCTTCCTTTCAAGTTTTCATTCATCATAATGTATGAAATTTATCTAAATTAGGCGTCCATATGTTGTGGTCTAGACTTTACATATACAAATATACACTATATGAGCAATATTGAGCTTTATATTTGATGAGTCTAAAAGGGATGAACGTTAACTCTTGAGTGGTTATGCAAAGTATTATGTGTATATAATATATGTTAGATATATGACTAATTACCTAACTGGTTAATTTGGTTTGACTGGTTAGGAGTGTCTGAAACCAAACCAAACCACCTAAACCAAACAAGCTAAAAACTTTAACCAAACCAAACCAATTATCCAAATTAACCAAACCAAATTATCCAAATAGTACCGGTTAAAACGGTTATCACGGTAACCAAACCGTTTGAACACCCCTACTTATTGTTGTATAGTTTTTTTTTGGAAACACGTGATAAAAATAGTGAATTTTAGTAGGAAAGAGACATGAATGATGCAACGAATCAAAAATAAGTCTTATGAACCCAAATCAAGTACATGTTACCTTGTGAAACAATATTGTTTCTGGTAATATGATGAGGTGGAGTAAGTTTTATAGAAACTGAATCCAGAAAATCGAATAAAAAATTGCCTATCCCGCCGGTTTTCGGGAAATGAGCATCTCACAATCGTTGCTAGCTTTTATTCGGTCCGTTGACCGATTAATTTGCTTTATAAAACTTTCATCTTGTCATCATTGTGCTTTCTGGTTTTTTGCCAAGCCATGATAAAATCTAAAGAAATCAAGAATGAACAACACGATTTGGGATAGGAACCACCATTTCTGTATCCCTAGAAAATGGTGGTAAACACGGACTCACCTGCCAAACTGGTTTGGATTGAGATTTTTATCGGGTATCAGGTAACCATGTGATTATAAATTAGACTTGATCAAAACGGGCCAAAACTTGAAATTCAGCTTAATTGACCACCCATGCCAAACCCTAATTATTCTTTATTTTTAAACTTTCTATTTGAAAATAAAAAATAATGAAAGAAAAGAGATGAGTGCAATTCACCATTTGCACATCACTGATTCGGGAATAAAACTATAGAATTTCGAAAGAAAACTGAAAATGTTTAGGAACGTTTTAATGTTAAAAATAACCAAATAGATCTTTCTGTTTAGTTTTTTACTAACAAATACCAAACGATTCCCTATAATATACACTATAATTTAATCATTATGATATCAAATAATTACATAATATATATTTGAAATGATAAAAATTGAACTAATTGGGATGGTCGAGGTTGAAACATTGAATAACTTTAAAATACATTATATTTTAGCCACTAAGATATAAAATAATAGCATAATATATATTATACTAGAAATATCTTGTTTTAGAATGGCAAACCCATGATGTTCATTTGTTTACTTGATGGGCAAATCCCGTGTAGGTCAGGCCCATTCAACTCTTTTATTTTATGATTAGCGGTTAGCCCATTAGAATCCATGCATTAGTTTATTGTTAAATTTTTTTTTCTTTTTAGCAATAAAAATGAGTATTGTTTTTGCCTTTTCATATATATTTTATCATCACGGAGAAATAAAAGGACTTAAAGAAAAAAATTGACACTCCTGCACCCGTTTAAATCCGCATGTGTACGGTAAGTTGGCCCGTTCCACAGAGGAAAAAGAAAAAAAATTGACACTCCATATTCTACCCTTCCTACAAACGCTCCTGGAGCAGGGAATTTGAAATGGGGAAAGAGTTTTTTCCTCTCTGCGATTATATGTTTTTAATTTAAAAAGATACAATAAATGAACTTAGTGTGATTGGTTATGATCTTTGCTTTTTTATAAAGTGATCATAGTTCGAATCCTAGTAAGTGTCTTTTTAATGAATAAAAAAAAGTATTTGTGAAGACCAAAATGTCATTCCTACTTTCACTCTGGATGTAGGAAATTTGAAATGGGGCTTCAAGTTTTCTCATTTGGTTTTTATTTATTACTAGCTTATAACCCGGCCCTTTGGCCGGAATGCTCATATTTGATTATTTGTATTTTTATGTTACTTTTAAGTCTATTAACCCGTTTAATTTTATTGATAATTATTCGATCGAGATGATACATAAAGAAATAATATATAGGTCGAACATTCGGAGAAATATCATAATCAGTTAAGAATATAAAATATAAAAATGTATCATTGAGCCCATTTTCACAATGCTAATTAAGTCCCTGTTAAAATGCTATTGGTTAGTTTTCTTTGACAATCAAGAAATATAGAGTATAAAAGCTCACTGAAATTCTCACACAACCCATAGATAGTTTGAAACTAAATCTTAAACCTCACAATCCTATATAAAGGTTTCAATGCTCTCCTTTTAGTAACAATATGTCACTAATCAAAAAGAAATAGAGAGTTGTTGATTCAAGTCATCTATATACTAAAAACTCAGCTAAGAGGGGACCCTCACAACTTGAGAGCAAACGAAAAAATCAGGGTTATCTCCAATATACGAATAGACTCGATCAAAGTAATAAGACGCAAAATTAGACACTCCTTATCTATTAGTTCCAGTAGGTTGAATAAAGAATTCAAACAATCAATCAATGATTCCTCGTTTTAAGATAGAAATAGGTTATGACAGTTGCAAAAACCATAAACCTAAAGATCCAATAGCCACCACTCTCCGTTGTACAACCAAATTTCTATCTCAAGAGGCATATATTCAACCAAAAATTCAATTTCTAATCTTTCTTCTACAACTTCAGTTATTGATGAATGCCATTCTATTCGCCATGAATTGATATCGGAGTTGAAATCTTCTACTCGCCCAGCTTAAAATCCCCAACAATAAAACCGTAGTGCCAAGAGATACCTGAAGATGGATTTTCAATAATAGTCTTGTACTGGGACGTGAAAGGCGCAAACTATTGCACGATGGATGAAATTTCGGAGGAAGTTAGAAAGAGAAAAGAACAAAGATAAAAAAACACAAAATTTAAATTGAAAAATGCGAGGATACAACAGTAGTTACATAATTAGTTTCTTCCATGTTGGCCAATTACCCATTTACCTTTAGCAAAAATTAAGGAGAGAGCGGGAATTTAAAATTGAGAAAATTACATGAAACTCTACTATGAAAATAGAAGTATCAAGCTCGATAAAAATACATACGGTAGACTTAGCGAGCTTGCTAATTATGATGAAAAAGTCCTCTGATTTTCAGAGATTAACTTTGTCTATTTTTTGTATATAAAGGATGCAATAAATTTGTTTAGTGTAACTGGTTGTGCTTGTTATCTTTGTTTGAAGAGACCCGGGTTCAAATCTTGATATTGCTATTTTTATATGAAATAAATAATAAATGTGTAAAGACAAAAATGACCTTCCTACTTTCACTCTCGTTGCAGGAAATTTGAACACTCTCGTTGCAGGAAATTTGAAATGGAGAAAAGTACACAAAACTCTACCATATATTAATGGAGGATGTAGATTTACCAACAACATTATATATAATAACCTCTCGTTAGCCTATTTTTATCGGTAAATCTAGATGTGCAATGGATTGTATTAACACGATTTTTAGTCGAGTGAAAGGTATGCACCTGAATACGTTGGACTGTGTCCCCAACGAAACTTTTATGCTTCCAGCTTCCCTGATGTATGTTGCTGGCTCGGTTCTTAAACAAAGAATACCTCCCTTCCCCGCCGGCTGCCACAAGTTTGCGGGCAAAAAGAAATTCCGCTGCCGGGACTCGAACCCGGAGTTCCCGGATGAGGAACGTTTGGTTTCTCATTGATTTTTACCAGCTACAGCGGATTGTTGATACATTTTTGTAATCAAGTAATTATATTATGAAAAATCGTTAGCATTTATGTATTATTTTATTTACACCGTACTTTCATTTCGTTCCGCCATATTTACCGGCGGATTAGATCAAGTAAGCAATTGTGAGCTTTCTCTATCATAATTTGAGGTAAAAAAAAACACTTGGAAGAGATTTGAGTAAATGGACATTAGATTGGGAAAATATTATGGACAAAAGTTGAAACAAATCTTATGAAATGGGACTGTGGGAGAGTGTGGTAATTGGAGGTTCTTCAGAGTTTAGAAATTTAGGAGAATGATATATGAGTGAAGAAAAGCAAACAAATAAAGATTGCCAATGGATTCTAGTGGTGGGTAACGGTTGGGTTCGGTGGGTTTTGGTTTCAAATTGATCCATACGCTTATCTCAACTTTATTTAATTTTGACGTGTTAGTCATCCACATTTTTCTTCGATTTGGATGGATGACGGATGCGTGCGGTTGGTTTGTGGGTTAACTCGCAAAACAATTCTCCAACTACGTACGGACTACCCATTAATTAATTCAACAAATCTGGTAATTAATTACTTAATAATCTCAAGTCATTAAGAAAGTTTACAAATTTGTTGAATCAATTTGTGGTTCCCTAGCTAGTGTTACCAATCAGTTTTCCTACTATCGAACCACAACCAATTACCCTTGTGAATTGATTTCACCTTTTAATTTCTCAAGATTACTATAGTTAGCGAGAAGTTTTGGGAAATAAAAAATGCAAAAGAAATTACCCTGCCGAGACTCGAACCCGGAGCTCCCTTTTGAGGAAGGATTAACATCTCAATTTATAAGCTACAGCGGATTGTTGTTACGAATCGATTGCGCAGTCAAGTACTTTTATATTATTGTTTAATCTCGCTTCTATAAGCTACAGTAACACACTCTGCTCATATAATGAGTTCACAAAAACATATTACAACTATGTACCAGCTTCTATTACTATATGTATGTAGTAGTACTATGAGAAAGGAGGAAATAGAGAGGTTCTCAAAACAAGCAATTGACACATCTCGTCAAGTCTCGTATTTTTTTTCCTATAGTAATAGTTGCAGAGCTCTCCTTTTTGTTAGAGCTTGTTACTGTGCAACCCACGTGGGTTGTCACGTGAGCTCTTTTAAGTCTGAACTGTGTCGTATTTGTTGATAGAGTTTGCTGTCCAGTAGAAGTACTTCTGGGCTGCTGATTAGTCGTTGCTGCATTATAGGACTAGTGGGTTAGTGAGTTAGATTAGTGGCCGGATTTGGTGCAAGTTGTTGGGTCATTGATTGTACTTAAGACCTGTTTTCATTCCAATAAAAAAGGATGAAGTTTGATCGACATTTTCAGTTTACATTGTGGTATCAGAGCCTCGGCAAAACCTAAAGAGATTTCTGTCTTCGGTGGCGGTGGTCGCCTGTGGCCACCGCCCGCCTATGTGTGTGAGAAGGAAAAGAGAGAAATAAGTGATGCTAGCGGTGGCAATACGTATCGGCTCGCAGCTCGTTGCTGAAGCAGAGAGCGAGACAATAAAGTACAAGGCCAGGTAGACCTGTACGAGGATGAAAGATTGAGTTTCAGAGAAAGTGAGTTTGAACGAGAATGAGGTAGAGAAATGGAGAGAAGCTCATTGAGAAGATGGAGAAAATCGATCGGTCATGAGCGTTGCCCTTGATGACGACTCTGCCTACGAATTCACGATTCTGCAGTCAAAGCCCGGACATGGAGGAATCAAATTCTTGATTGGGCGGAGATTCTGATGGGATGATTATTACGACGAAGGGAGTGCTTCCGCCAGTGGCTAAAAGAAGAAGACGAAGATGAGAACTGACGTGACGTGAGCGATCAAGAACCACAATCGCAGTCGGAGTCTGAGTCCCATTCGTTGCCATCGTCTATGTCGGAGGATGGAGATTTTTGGGGAGCCAGTGGAGCCTAAGTTCGATCTTATGAGATGGATGTTGCAGTGACACTACGGATAAGAACATTGAGGTTGTGACCGCCAGTATTTCTGAAGACACCCGTGACAAAGGGAGGTAAAGGGAAAGGAGCAAGGTGGAGATTGAAGCCTGATTTGTTTGCTTGGAGGGCTTTTTAACAAAGGATTGAAGCCTGATTTGGGTGGAGATTGAGTTGGGAGAAGATGGTTTCAAGCTCACCGAAGCTTTGGTCTAACAAGGGAAGCTGCTAGTCCACATAGCAGAGACTGTTATTGATTTGAGCTCGATGGCGATCAAACCACCCATGTGGAAGCTATACTCTGCGGTCTTAGTCGGGCGAGGTGCAAAAGGCTCACTTTGAAGGAAGAAGGTTTGGGAGGAGAGAATTGGAAGGGCTAATTGATGGCATGAACTGATGAATGATTGGAGGAAGATGGATTTGGTGAAGTCAGAATAGCAGCATCTGACAAGTCTGTGAGGTAACTTTTGTTCTCCGAATGTTTCTGTTTCTCAAAGAGCATGACTAGGGAAATGGAAATGAAGATGGTGGAGTTGCAGAACTATAAGATTTAGCTGATGCAGTGAACTGAAGTTTGTTTCAGTAGGCTTTAGTTCAGGGGAGGAAATTGCTCTTTTTGTGCATGGTCAGCAACTCAAGAGCAGTTATCCTGGATATGATAGCTTTGTGATTATAGGAGGGAGAGCTAAACTAAGCCATGGATGGAAAGCAGTGGCGTGTTGAATTCGACAGCAGATCAACGAAGGAAGCAATGAGATAATGGGCAGCAGCTTGTGGTTGCAGGATGGGTAGTGTATATTCTTTTATGCTGCTATGAAAGTTGTGAGTGAGATTGTAGCATTGTTTCAATTGGAGGCTTTCAAAGAAGTATATGATGAGTAATGATGATTGGATTAAGTGAATCCATGGTTGTGCAGGCTGCTCGGGGAATTGTTTAAGGAAATGTCAGCTAGACATACCTACAAGTGCAGTAGGTGGTATAATCTGTAAGTGAAGCAGGTTGGGTGTAAGTGTCAGCTAGACGTACCTACGAGTGAAGTAGGTGGTGTAACCTGTGAGTGAAGCAGGTTTGGTTTCAATGTCATTCGACGATTAGGCAGCAGAGTGGCTGGTCCTTATTTGGTGGGCGAATGACTGGTTTAAAAGTACTCGGTTGCTATGTCATGCAACAAGTAACAATTTGAGAGCGTGCAAATTACTCTTTGAGTTGCAGTTCTCGCTTGTTGGCAGATGACAGAGAAGGAGAGATTTGAAAGGACAGGTCTAGAGAGTACTGTGAAGAAACCGAAAATGAAAACAGTTGAGCATGCCTTGCCAGGAAGAAGATAGAAGAAAGTGAAGTTGAACTGAAGCCAATCTCGTTGGAGGCTAGCATAAAATGATTGAGTTGATTGAAGGACTGCCACAAACTCTCAAGTTGCTGAAAGTTATGCGGTTGCAATTGATTGAAGGTGTGAAGTTGTTGTTTATGTGTGTCGAATGGTGATGCTGCAGAAAGTTAAAGCTCATGAAAGTGGTAGAGATGAGTTCTTTTTTTAAAAAGCAAGTTGGTTGGAATGAAATGGGCTTGAAGGTGACAACAGTTCAAGCATCAAGATGTTCACAGCTCTAGTTTGTTATCAATGAAGAGTTTATGGTGTTGGAGTGTCCTGAGATAGAAGATCAATTGAGTAAAGCTATGAAGACGATGATGTTTGTTTAAATGAGTGGAATACATGGAGTGTGTGAAGTTTCAAAAGTTGTTGCTGCAAGCATTTGAGTTTGCTGTGGATTGCAGAGCTGTTGCTGCTTTGGAGTAAACTCAGTTTAGGAGGGGCTTAGTGTTAGAATATTATCAGTTGGCTGGAAAGGGGTCCTCACTGCTCAACCAGACCTTGTTGCTGCTATTTTAGAGTGAAGTTGCTGCTGTATTTAAGTAAACCGGGGAAAGTTGCTACTGGTTTCATGTCTACATGGGTGAGGCTATGTTTCCACAGGGTGCTGATGCATACATCGAGGGTCTAGTTCCAGTTATACCGATAGCAGATGGCTTGGTTAAGAAGTGGTGAAGCTCAACTATTGTGGCGGTAAAGACGAAGTTGCAGACATTGTGACAAAAGCAGTGAAGTTGGAGATATTTGAGAAGCTTATTTGGTGGAACCAAGTCTGAAGTGTGAAGATGCTACTGTTGAATTATGCTGCTATTTGCTGGTGTGATTTTTTTCAGAACATGGTTGCCCGCTGAGTTTATGTTTGTTATGGAAGTTCCTTTTTAAACTGAAACGTTTGAAACGTTTTCAGTTTAGGGGAGGATTTGTTAGAGCTTGTTACTGTGCAACCCACGTGGTTTGTCACGTGAGCTCTTTTAAGTCTGGACTGTGTCGTATTTGTTGATAGAGTTTGCTGTCCAGTAGAAGTACTTCTGGGCTGCTGATTAGTCGTTGCTGCATTATAGGACTAGTGGGTTAGTGAGTTAGATTAGTGGCCGGATTTGGTGCAAGTTGTTGGGTCATTGATTGTACTTAAGACCTGTTTTCATTCCAATAAAAAAGGATGAAGTTTGATCGACATTTTCAGTTTACACTTTTGTGATTGATTTTCCATAGAAATAGAGTAGCTTAGTTGTGGAGCTCTCAACAAAATTTTATATAACTACGTATAATTTGGTTCAGATCTCATCTTATCAAACACTCTTGTTCAAATTGTATGAACCATGATTTGTAATAAAATTGAGCATAGATTAATCTCATTGCTTCAACAAGGATGGAGATAACCTCCTCTAGGGCTGGGAAATGGTGCGGTCTGGTCCAGACCAGACCATATATACGGTCTATGGTTCAGACCGAGAGGCTAAAGTATAGACCACAGACCAGACCAGACCACAGACTATACGGTCCGGTCCAGACCACGCCTGTGCGGTCTGGTTCGGTCTGGTCTAGTCTAGATAGACCACACTCAATGAGAAACGAATAATTTGTTTAGTCAACCACACAAAAAATTGAACCAATAACCAGGAAAAATAATTGTTATTTGTCTTAAATCATTAATCCTAACATGCATGAATAGTTTTGATACTCTAAATCTTAGTACATAACAAAGATACAAAGTAAAAACATCCCAACTTGCACCATAACGTCATAAGCATTAACATAATGTCATATGGAGACACGATTATCTATACTCTCTGGTTAAATGTGGTTGTGAATGAAGGAGGGACGAGATTCACCAAACTAAGGTTGAGACTTGGGTGTCGTTGTGGGAGTTGGGAGCTAGAGTGGTCGAATGGGCTGTTAACACGTATTGACAAGTAGTTGGGTCCACGGTTTGGTCCGGTAAACCGCGGTCTAGACCAGACCAGACCAAGAGATCAAAACATAAAATAATACAGACCATGGACCAGACCATACTTAACACTCTACGGTCCGGACCAAACTGTGCGGTACGGTTTGGACCACAATTTTTCTAACAGTTTGGTCTATTTTCCAAGCCCTAAGTCCTCCTCCTCCCCGGTGGCCACAAGTAAAGTTTGCAGGCATGGCCATTGACCTGACCATATCCATGCATGCAAGTCAACTTATCTAGTCAATAACTAAAACGTTTGTCCGGAAATAAAACAAAAAAGGAATTCCGCTGCCGGGACTCGAACCGGGAGTTCCCTTTTGAGGAACGATTGGTTTGTATTAATCAATTTTTACCAGCTACAGCGGATTGTTGATGAAAATTTGCAATCAATGACTAATATAAATTTTTAAGCAGTAATAAATGTTTTTGGGTTTCAAGTAACAATTTTTTCGCTTTTATTATTCACAACAATTATCATCTCATAAATCTAAAATATGAATTCCGCTCAGCAGAGTAAATTTTGTTTTTTTTTCTAGTTTATTTTCGTTGATTTCCGAGCACATCATCATGATGAAAAGGGAGAATAGCAGTTATCCAAAAAAAGGGAGTATATCAACATTTTTTTTTTGCAAAAATAATAAAGTAAAATAAAACTTTATTACCAATTATAAAGCAAATAGCCATTAAAAATTTTAAAAGTATTATTTGTAATTGTAATTTGGATTAAGAAATACAATAGTCACTTTCATTTTAAACAAAGTAACAACCAAACCTTTCAAAAAAAAATGATAGTAAAATTGTTAAATTTCCATCCAGTCATGTAAGCTTCAGTTGACTCAGTTGAAGTGACAAATTATGCTGATGTGCACGATGATATGGATATTGCATTTTGACATGTCAGCAAAAATATAGAACCAAAACAATTTGAAAACCAATTCCTTTTATCTAATTCAAAATAATAGCCATATATTTTATTTTTGTGCAGAATAATATCAAAAGATTTTTGAAGTACAACTTAATACCCATTTTTCTGCTAAATTTAGCATTCGGAGTTAACAAAATCAACACAAGTCCAACTATTTCGATACCTCAACACAAAATCAAATAAAACATTTTTTTTATTTAATTTACACTATAGGTCCAAAATCTAGGATTCATAAAAAAAAACCAACCTATGTAAAATTTTTCTTTGAAATTCTACTTTTAATCCTTTCTAAGTCTCGTACCATTAATCTCTCTCTACATTTTTATCGTCTATTCCTACTACCCGACACCGAAAACCAGTCATATTCCGATTGCATTCAATATTTAAATTATTCGAAATTCGAAACACTTATTAAATCAAATCCGACATGTGGATATTCATATCACTCCTCATGATAACCAAATTTTTTTTTGGATAAGATTGGTACGAAACTTGAGTCACCTTTATTTAATTGTGGATGCCCATGACTATTTCAACAAGGTACGTATCAGCATCGCAGTAGTACAAATAACTATACCTACGTCCATGGTTTTTCTTCAACCTAGAAGACAAGTCCATGGTATTTATTAATTGGCGGTTCCTGCAGCCTGCAGGTTGATCCATCCAGTTCCAGCCCCTTAGAGAAGGCATTATAAACCCACAGAAACGGATCAGAAGGTGGAAAAGGTGGCCGGCGGCTGGAATCCGATGGCTCAACTCAAACCAAAAAAAAATTATACATATTACTATATTGTCTCTGAAACTAACGAAAAGAAAGAAGAAAACAACAACAACAAACCAACTCCAAATTCGAAGGGATAAGGCTCCTGCAGTTAGCTACTGTGCATAGAAAGACGAGAAACCTTATCCTCGACAACATCAACATCATTAACCCAACCTTATCATTAGTTGTTTTTTTTTTCTCTTCCAAAATACCATATGAAAAGTTATAATTGGTTAAGGCTACATACTATTTTGTTTTTAATGATTAATGCTACATAGTACATACTATGGCAAAAAAGAATCCTATGGCAAAACAGGAAAATGTTAAATCATATAATCATAATTTGTGAAATCGTACCAGATTTATTGTTACGTAGTGATACAATCGTGATTTGATCAATAATGATATTAAATAATTAATAAATATATGTACAATCGTACCAGATTTATTGTTATACAATCGTGATTTGATCAGTACTAACATTAAACATTTGATCACAATATATTGATATACTATCAACAGAAATCAACAAAAAAATGTTCGATAACATCGGATAAATAGTTTCGTCGGTAAAATAGTTGTATGTATATCAGATGATTTGATCACCAATACAATAAAATACAAGTATCTATATATCCATTATACATAAAAAAAAATTATTATCAATCTGATATAGGCATTTTTTTTGTCTTGATTTGGTATGGTGGTAATAGTATAAATCAGAAGACAAGTATAAATATTAGTTTAATTCAATGGAAGAAATGTAAAAAATGCAATAAAAAATATAAATTAGCATTATCCATATACATAGTTGGCCAAATTGGGCTAAAATTCTATCAGAAAAAATTGTAATTGAAGTGTTACCAATTTTGATGACATCCACTACTATCACTTTTCACCATCCTTGATCCTTTTCCATTCCCATTATTACTCCCCTATACAACCTTATAAATAGCCCAAAAATGTCCACTTCTTACTTCTCCCTTTCACACTTCCCCCTACCAACCCACCAAAACAACCATCATTTTTCACTTTTGGCCTTAAATTTACCACAAACACACAGTCATGTTGGCCATATTCCACAAAGCCTGCGCCCACCCGCCGGAGGAACTCAACTCCCCGTCGTCGATCAAAAATAAGGCCAAGAAGCTGCCGGAGGAGACGCTGACCGACTTCCTCTCCCGCAACCCGCACAACTCCTCCTCCATCTCCTTCGGCAAGTCGGCCGCCGCACTCGCCTACGTCCGGCCCGACAGCGTCCTGTCCCTCCGCCAGCAGCGGCTGTTCTGCGGCGTCGACGACATCTACTGCCTCTTCCTCGGAAGCTTGAACAACCTGTGCAGCCTCAACCGCCAGTACGGACTCGCCAGCAAGTGCAGCAACGAGGCCATGCTCGTCATCGAGGCCTACCGCACCCTCCGCGACCGTGGGCCTTACCCCGCCGACCAGGTCGTCAAGGATCTCGACGGCACCTTCGCCTTCGTCATCTACGACAGCAAAAACGGCACCGTCTTCGTCGCCCTGGTGAGTGAAAATACTCCTAATTATATATCCAACAACCGCTATAAGAAATTTTACTTTTTGCGACGAACAAGTAGTAGATAGTCGCTAAAAACCTACGCATACGTCTCAAAACAAATGGCGGCGCATTTATAGGTTTCTTATGACAAAACATGATGTATTCGTCGCAAAAACATACAGCGACGCATATGACAATAAATTTCACATTTTGCAACAAAATATATTCGTCGCTGAAAAGTAAAAACATATTCATACGTCTCAAAACATACGGCGACTCATTTATAGGTTTTTTTTAGTGACGATCGAATTTCGCGACAACCACATTATTCGCTAAAAACCTATGCATACGTCCTCATATGTTTTTTAGACGAATGTCTCGTTATTTCGTCACTAAAAAATTATAGATTCGTCGCCATATACCAAGTCTGATCGCCAAAGCCGAATACATGCCGTCGCAAAGATTAAACCTTTAGCACCGAGACAATTCGTCGCCATAGACTAAGTCTGGTCGCCAAAGCCAATTACATGCCGTCGCAAAAGATTAAAACTTTAGCAACGGCTCAATTCGTCGCCAAAACCAAATTCATATCGTCGCAAATGATATAAAACCTTTAGCAACGACATAATTTGTCGCAAAAGATATAAACCTTTAGCAACGACATAATTCATCGCAAAAGATATAAACCATTAGCGACGCTATGTATCGTCGGAATTGGTCATTATCTTGGCCGCAACTGGTGGTTAATCGTTTGTTTGTGCTGTGGCAGGGCTCGGACGGCGGGGTGAAGCTGTACTGGGGAATCGCGGCGGACGGGTCGGTCGTTATCTGCGACGACTTGGAGGTGATCAAAGCCGGGTGCGCGAAGTCGTTCGCGCCGTTCCCGTCGGGGTTCATGTTCCACAGCGAAGGCGGGCTGATGAGCTTCGAGCATCCGATGCACAAGGTAAGGGCGATGCCGAGGACGGACAGCGAAGGAGTGCTGTGCGGTGCCACTTTCAAAGTGGATTTGTATCAGCGGATCAACAGCCTGCCCAGAAACGGCAGTGCCGCTAATTGGACCGAATGGGACTCCCACTCCTGATAATTGAGATCAGACCGCCGCTTCCCCGATTCCCGCCGCTTGCCTCCAATAATTGATTTCCTCGGCTGCTTGTGCTGTCTTTTACCTTTCTCCTGATAATAAATTGGTTTTGGCCTGTGACGTGTGAATATTGACAAACCGATTTGTGAAATTACTGATGAGAAGTTTTGTTTTATCTTTGGTAGATTATGTGCTCTTTTCAAAGATGTGCTAATGGATTGGTTCATCAATATATGATGGTGGCAATTTGAATCGGTTCGTCGAGTACTATTGATTCGTAATATCTTGAATAAGGGTGGGCAATGGGTTGGTTAATATGGATCACTTTGGACGTACCGATGTTTGCGGACCACTCCGAATCGAATATAATGTTCATGGTTTCATCCCATGTATTTTATAAATACTGAAAAAAATAGATTCAATTGACATTTGAGTCGGACCAAAGTGGACCAAAACGAACCAAATGCCCTATTGACTCGATCTTTGATCATAAGATATATTTCACTATTGAGTCGTGGTTCCCCTAAATTTGGCATGATTTGGTTCGGAGTTAGCACTCATTAATGTATATTTATGACTTAATCACTAATCATAAAAATTATTATTTTACTAACCACACTCAATATTGTGTGACTCGTATGATTAACCACAATATTTAAGAATTTCATCCACAAACTACAAATCAAACTTCCACCCTAATTCCAGCCATAGCTCCTTTGAGACGAAACTATTCACCTAAGGGTAAAAACTAAAAAGTTAAAACAAACCAAGAGTGACAGAATATTCTACAGAGTATACAGACTAATGTATTAGGAGACAAGAAACGGCGTCGTCTAAGAGCATGTTCGAGAATCGCGATTCGGTGGCCCGAGTTCCAAAGGCGCGAGTCGTCACCGGCAGACCGCTGACGGAATGTCACAAATTCCGGACAAAGCAAAGGCGAAAAACAGAACGAGGCCAGGCGGGGGGAAAACCGCGAAAATGTCCGACCGTTTCTTTCCCAATCAATTCCCGGACTACGTACCACCATCAGAAGCAGCTGTGGCGGGAGAAGAAGCTTCCTTTTCCAGAGGGGAGGACTCCATCACCATGCTGCTCTCTCTTCCGCACCCAGCCCTCTCTGAAAGACTCAAGCGATCAGCCTTAGACCTCAAAGATTCTGTAAGCTTTGTGCTTCTTCTTCCAACTTGGTCCTTCCTTCTCTTTTCTCTTTCGTTGTGACTCGAAAGATTCACCATTTCGGCACTCCCCGAGTATTAGTTTTTTTGGGTCTTCCTCAATTTTGAAGGATATTTTCCAAGACTTGTAATAAAGGTTCAGATGCTGATTGATTGGGTCGTTTGTGATTATGGTTCAGTTAGTGAGGGAAACTTGGGAATTGAGTGGAAGGCGTGTCAAAGATCACACTTTGTACACGGGTGTGTTAGGGACTGCTTACCTACTGTTTAAGGCTTACCAAGCTACCAACAACTCCAATGATCTTAAGTTATGCTCTCAGATTATTGAGGCCTGTGACTCTGCCTCTGCTGATTCAAGGTATACAGCTAAAAGATGAAATGATGCCCTTTGTCCTGTTCTCCTGATTGCTTCTTGAGGGTGGCTCAATTGTTGATAGTTGCAATTAAAGCTTATAATCGAACTGAAATGTACTTAGCTGCTTGTGTACAAGTGGTTTAGATTCAATTTGTTTTAATGCTGACTCAGTTTGGAACTACACAGCCGTGTGACATTTATATGTGGGCGAGCTGGTGTTTGTGCTCTTGGTGCTGTCACTGCAAAACATGCTGGTGATGAGAGGCTGTTGAACCATTACCTTACACAGTTCAAACAGGTAGCTCAATACTTGCAATGTATCATTTCAAGTGGGAGCTAGTTGATTCAGTACTACCTGAGTTGTTAATTCACTTGATCTACATGAGGAACAGATCAGACTTCCTACTGATTTGCCATACGAGCTACTGTATGGGAGAGCTGGCTACTTGTGGGCATGTTCATTTATAAACCGGCATATCGGTGGAGAAACAATATCTGCCAGCCGCATGGTGAGGCATGACTAACTTGCCCCACTTGTCTACTTACGATGTGAAATTTGTCAGCTGACTTTGTTCTGTAAACTTTCTGCAGAGGGCAGTTGTCGATGAGATCATTATGGGCGGGAGAAGAATGGCTCAAAAGCGGTGTCCTTTGATGTATGAGTGGCATGGAAAGAAGTACTGGGGTGCTGCCCATGGGGTGGCTGGGATCATGCACGTGCTAATGGATATGCAACTGAAACAAGATGAAATAGAGGATGTCAAGTCCACACTACGTTACATGATCATGAATCGTTTCCCCAGTGGTAACTACCCGTCGAGTCAAGGAAGTAACTCTGACCGTCTCGTACATTGGTGTCATGGTGCCCCTGGAGTTGCCCTTACCTTTGTCAAGGCAGCTGAGGTAATTTCTGGATCCCTTTTCCATGTTGTTACTCATAGCATAAAACACACATTTGATTCCACCAGTTGGCATGATTTGGTGACGCCAGTTGATAAAACAACCTTTCTCAATCAAATATATTCTTCCAACTTTATAATAATTCGGTGCATCACTTCAGGTGTTTGGGGACCAGGAGTTTGTGCAAGCTGCAATCGATGCAGGGGAGGTTGTTTGGAGTCGAGGTCTGCTTAAGAGAGTTGGTATATGCCATGGAATCAGTGGGAACACCTACGTCTTCCTTTCACTGTACCGATTAACCGGGGATCAAAAGTATCTACATCGAGCAAAGGCTTTTCTGTGCTTTCTATATGACAGAGGTCAGAGACTGATATCAGAGGGCAAGATGCACGGAGGTGATCGTCCATATTCGCTCTTTGAGGGCATTGGTGGAATGGCTCACCTGTTTCTGGACGCGGTTGACCCATCTCAAGCTAAGTTCCCTGCTTATGAACTCTGAAGTGTGCTGTAATGTGATGCCATGTTATGAAAGGACTTAGCATATAGCAGCCGTATGTATATACCGAGACCAATGAAAGCTTTTGTCCTGTTATTTCATATCAGGTATCGCTTTCTGTTAATGTGATGGGGATTTTGGAATAAAGGTAAACAGAGTCATTTTTATTAACTATCCATTCCTGGTTCCTGATTCATGCCTACTAATCTACAATGAGAAAGCCTTGTTTACAAGAACAAAAGCATCATAACTCTGACTCGCAAGAAATGACAATGCCGGGTGGTTGATGACACATTCATAAGCTGCTTAGCTCACTAGTCCATCTCTAGGCCAAACCAACGAGCTTCTCGCTGACCTCCCACACTTTACGAGCCTTGTCAGCGTCACTAGCTTCCTGAGACAACTGGTTCTCAAACGAGGCTGAGTCCTTGTTCCAGCTCCAGTACACTCCTGATTTCGTCAAGCTAGGATCTGCAGCAACCTGAACCCAAGCAAGCCAGAAAAAAAACATGTCAAGTAATTTCCTACACATCGGGACTCCATGTCAGGTAACTATTGTTTCTTATAGTTTACCTGAGCAAGTCGCTTTCCAGCTTCATCTTCAGAGACATAGCCCTTGGTGATGTACTTCTGGAATGGAGGGAAGAGAAGCCTGAAGAGTGGAATGTGCTCCCTGAACAACCCAGTGGTCGCAATGCAGCCTGGATAGAGTGAAGCAAATGTGATCCCAGTTTCCTCATGGTACCGCCTGTGGAACTCCTGCATTGTCAGCATGTTGCAGACCTTGCTGTCTTTGTAAGCTTTCGCACCATCGAAGTCTCCACCATCGATCATAGCCGAGCTGTTGAGCCCGTTCAGTCCCCCAGCGAGCCCCCTCATGTCCCCCAAGTTGGCCTTTGGTGGTACATTTCCAGCCAGTGTATTTGTGTTTCCTGTAATTGATCCAACAGCAGAATTTAGCGTGTCAAGAACCACTTTGCAAAGTTATCATTCTCACATATTCATTCTAAGCTTGTGTCCTTTCCACACCTGTAATTGAGCCAACGATGATGAGGCGTTTGGAGGGGTAATCAGACTTCTGCAAGTCGTCCATCAGCAGCCTCGAGAGCAGGAAGTGGCCGAGATGGTTAGTTCCAACGCTGAGCTCGAACCCGTCGGCTGTGAAAGTCGGCTCCTTGGCTGTTGGCTGGTACACAGCAGCATTGCAAACCAGAACATCAAGCGGCCTGCCCGACCTCCTGAAGCTCTCGACGAACTGGCGGACGCTGTCAAGCGATGCAAGGTCCAGATGCATGACGGTGTAGCTGCCCTTGGCCATGCCGGCGGATTTGGCAGCCCGTTCGGCCTTGAGGAAGTCCCTGCAGGCCATGATTACGTGCCATTTCCCTGTCTCGGCTAGTGCCTTGGCCGTGGCTAGTCCAAGCCCAGAAGAAGCTCCAGTCACCACGACGCATCCCTGCCTCAATGTTTTCTTCCCCTCTGGTGCTGACCTGTTCACTGCTGGGCTCGCTGTCGCCGTCGTCTGTGCCCTCACCGCCCCGATTCTGGCGTTGAATTCCCTCTGCTTTGTGGAAAGCACTCACAAACGATCAACATATGGACTAAAAGCAAGATTGTTGGGCTCAAGATGAAAACTTGATGCGAGCGAGAGACTATTTACCTTGCATCTGAGTGCAGAGGAGGTGAAGTCAGCTTTGACGTGGTCAGAAAGTGACACTCCGAACAAGCTCGAGTCTTTGAATGAAGCAGCAGCGCTTGATTTCCCCTGCAAATTAATGTCGTCACAATCGTCAGCCACTGCGAAATGGGAATGGTGGGGGGGTTGTGTTGATTCAATGAGAAAGAAGAAGAAGAGACTAACTGACCTCCTTGTGGACGATGAAAGCCGAGGAAACCAGGGATGCAGACTGGAGCGCCATTTCTCTGTGACCTGCAACTTAGTCAGTGGCAGCAAGAGGCAGTGAAGAGATGGAAGTAGATTGTTTTGGGAGGGATGGATGATATTTGTTTATATAGGTGGAGTGTTCTTGTCAGATATTCGACAAAGCGGCCATCAAAATATCGTTATCTTGTAAAACCCAGAATCGTGAAACTGGATAAGATAATCAGCCATGCTCGCGTGGCAGCCACGTCGGATCCCGGTTGGCCAATCAGGTTTCAGAGGACTGGATTTCCCCCTATCCTACGTGTTTTGGATTGATTGGGCTTTTTGAAATCCTATTGGGAGAAGGTTGGCCCGCTTCCCAAAGAGGAATGGGCAGACTGGAATCATGGGATGGGATGTGGGGAGCGAATGCCAGAAACGGGATGTACAGAGCACTGGCAGATGCATCCTTTCCAGGATTATGGGTTGACATTATGCCTTGGCTCCATCGCACCGAATTTGGCTTCGGTGATATCGTTTATTTTGAGCTCTACCTTGTTCGGCTCGTGAAACTCGTGAACTAGTTTAATTTGGTAGTTCGTTTAATACAACTCATGAACTGTTTCGTTTTGAGCTTATGAGATGTCCCAACATTGTGACTAGAGAGCTAACTCGACTACAGCTTATGAAGAAAATCAATCTATATTTTATGAGTTGGTTCGTTAATGATGCATATAATTATTAAATTGTATATATCACCTCATATGGTGTTTAATACATTGAGTATATGTAAGCAAATACGTCTCATATATGACATAACATTAGGTAATCACTTGTATCACATATGACATATAAATATTAGGGTATTTATATTATAAATTATCTTAGAGTTGAGCTCGAGCCGAACTTTCGATCTTAACGATGTGTCAAGATTTAATAAATGAGCTGGCTCGTGTTCGACTCGACTCGGCTCGTTAATAAACGAATCTGGCTCGAGCTCGACCCGTTTATAAACGAGCCGAACATGAACAATGCAAAACTCGACTCGACTCGACTCATTAACCGCCCTACCACGCTAACCGAATTGCACAGCTTTCATTTTCCACAGCAGCATATGGCAAGCAAGTGCTAACCCTTTAATGGGTTTAGGATGCTTAAGTTGACAATTACTGTGGAATGATGACTGTGCATTACTGTGCATCTGCTTAGATTACAGAGAGTTAATATAATCACGTGATGATATTCTCTTAGCCATGATGATTTCAACGGGACAGGTAGGCTGAGAGGGAATTTTGTCTGCCTGGATACCTTCAATTAGTTAGTGGATTGTACGATTTAGGAGGATTACAGAGAGCCCTATGCTTATTTATGAACATGGTCCACCGACTAACTTTGAGAAAGCCAGTCCATAATGTAGCATTGGATGCCAAAAAGCTGTGTTTTTGGGTTATTTCAATAACCCATTTCCATTTCAGCTAATCTTTTGTATACTATAATCTAGTTGTTCGATTGCTTCTAAGCTTTATAAACTGTGGCTTTACTCAGCATCATCCTAACGACTAAATACGAGAGGGCGATTCAATGATATCAACACAAGCTCATACACCTCTCAATATCCTTGAACCAAAAACACCATATCCAGAAAAAAGAATGTGAAAGAATTTTCATTTTGTAATGAACTCAACTCTACAAATTCCCGACAATTACAATTTTTGTTTGGTTTCTAACAATTCACGGTGTAGTTCCTGACTTTTTCTTTTCCACCTCTATGTTGTTTTTTTGCCCTCCTCTTCTAACCCCGAAAGGCAAAACTCTATTAGCTTTCCCTTTCCATTCCCTTCTTTTCCCTGTGCTCGATCGGAAATGGATACCTAAATCTTGTACCCATCTCCAACTTCAAACAAGCACCAAAATCAGTAACAAAAAGAAAAAGAACAATAACCCACCAAGGGAAAAAAAAAAATGAAACAATCGACCACCACCCGCCTAAAAATATTACACAAATCTCATCAAAATGATCCCCACCCTCCCTCCCTGTACACAACTTCACCTGCTGCCTTGTGGCAAACTGGACTGTACTTTGGTTCTTCGGCTGCTCTTCCTTCACTTCACTTCCATCAGATTCGAACGGGCAAGCCGAAGTTCTGGTAAGTTCGGATCTCCCCTCTGAGGCCAGCAGTAACAATCACCATCCCGTAAGCTGCTGACATGTTCTGGTTGATCAGCCCGTTGCTCACGTCCACGCTAGTCCGAGGGCTCCGTGCTCTAGCAGCAGCTGCATTCAACTTCTCTTCAGGCCACGTAGCCGAGATCCTGTCGAAGAAGTATCCGTTCGTTGCACTGGAGATGATTCCGTTCAGTGGGCTGCTGCTGATGGCAGCACCACCTGGCAATGATTGAGAGCGATCGTCGCTCCCTCTGATTGCTTCCTCCACGGGCGTGGGAGGATGGTTGTTGGTGATGGTGGTGGAGACTTCTTCGATATGGATATCGCCAGGTGTTGTTGCTAGGTGTTCTCCTCCTCCCCAGGTGTCGCTGACGGCTACTCCAGGCCAGGGGATGGCTACAGAAACATCTTGGCAGTGGAAATGCTCGTACGATCGAGTGACGGTAACTCCTTTGCTTCTGGTCAGTCGTGAATCGGCCTCGTGCTTCCAGACGTAAACGCAGGAGTCCTCGCTTGCTGAGACGACGAATTTGCCATTTGCTGCGAGGGAGGCTGAGATTTGACTGTTTGTGTTCCGAAACCCTGCAGAGCAAGTAATTTAAGTCTCAAAATCAATAATTAGAGTAGGCAACAAGAAAAAGGCCAACTATTTAGCCTAATATCATCTACAGTAAGCTGACAAAGTGACCGTTCTTAAGGGATGAACATAATTTCACTACCTCAGGCTCAGGTTGCTTGGCAACTATTCTTCCGTACATCAGTAATTGTAAACAGACAATTTCAGTTTCCAGATCACCCCATGTTTTCTTTACTACAAACAGAACCCTTAGCAGTTGGATTCCTACTTCATAAGGAAAGCCAAAGAGGGAACACAACTGAATGCATGACAGTCCAGACAACAACTGCTAAATTACTGAAGAAACCGCAAATCTGTAGAACACTTATTAGCCATGTTACCGGAAACAACTCTCCAATCCATTGAATGTTGAATGTTATAGCTTCTTTTCATCAAATAAAATCTACCAAGTTTTTTTTTTCTTTCTTTTTTTGAAACAGCACTACCCATCTTCTCTGGGTACGTCTTATGTAGTGACACATTAGCTGCATTCTGTCGCTATTGCTGCAAGAGACATGTGTTTTGCGCACCTAGACAAGAGCTGCAAGTCACAGCACTAATGGTACAGATGGTCTAGGTACGTGGACAATCTTTGACAACAGATCTAACAAATTAGATCTTAGTATGCTCATCACAAGGTGATGGAAAATAAGAAGATACTGTTCAAGAATGGTCTAGCACCTAATTATTCATTGTGTTAATTACTACAAATGTATTCTACTAATGTTATACTTTTATGTTTGGTTTAGAAATACTTGTCCTAGTAGGATCTTTGTAGGCCAAATCTGTAGTTTTTTCTAACAATACTCCAGTTTCATAGGCAGAAAGGCAAGGATTACTTGAATGTGAAACTTAGCTTTATGCTACTGAGTTATATGATGCCATTCTCCTTCAGGGTGATACCTAAAATCCTGTTACCTGGAATGTGTAACACGACTTCAAGCAACTCAAAAGTTAGTTTTTATGTTTGCTTAAACCCTAAGTCATAAATACTTAACGTCTAGCCTGACAGAATCAGCCTCTCAAGAACCAAAAAACCCCAGTCAATAGAAGTTGGCCTAGTGCAGTAGGGGAACTAAAAATTATCGACCCAATTTATATTCAAATCTCAAAAAGAACATTGCCTATTGAACAAAACAAATACCAAAAACCCCTGATCACACATCACTTGGTTCATACCATACAAAAAGTCTAATACTGCATCAAATCAATAAAAAATAATTATCGGTTAAAATGATTCCTTCAGAAAAGAAACTACAACTATTTACCTTTGAACTTGTGAACCAAATCAGTGCGATCAATGACTCGTATCCGAGAATCTGCTGAGGTGATGAGCACTTCAGATGAGCTTCCAGGCACAAACTGTTCAAAAGAAACAAGCCACAAATTAGTGGTTGAAATTTGAAGATTACTGGTCCTGACTTGCCGCAATCAGGTATGCACTTAGCCTCAAACATAATAACAAAACAAGAGGAAATCAGCCAGTAAAAGAACAATGGTCCATCATCTGGTCAAATTGTCATTAACTAAGGAGTTATACAAAATGACGAACATTACCTGAAACCCAGTAATTTTCTTCAGATGAGATTTCTTCTTTTTGTTTTGCAGATTTACTTGAGATTTTTGCTGCAACTTATTCTCTGGAGAGGAAGGCCATATAAGTATTAGCAGTTAGCAGGACTAGCTCTCAGCAAAGACATTAAGTAAAATCAAGTTGTACCAGATGTATTGTATAGCCGACAGCCTCCCTTATAGGAACCAACAAGTGCACCCTTCATATGCCAAGAGAAACTTTCCATTTAGAATCACTAATGCTGATGAATTCTACACAAAGTATACATTAGATCTGGTCCTACCTGACCATCTGGAGTGTAGCAAGCCGCAGTGACCATCTCATGTACGTCATTCCAGTCAACGACTTGACGATCAGGAATACTCCATATGCGAACCTTTGAGTCTAGGGACCCACTAATGAAGTAGCTATCATCAACCGGATTGAATTGGATGCAAGTAACTGGCAATTAAAAATCCAGCGTAGCATAATATGAGACATGGCTAATAAGTTCATTGAAAGAAACGAAATGGTTCCATAAATTAACAAAATCAAAACATTCCTTCCTTGGTTTCAGCTTCCACATGGAAACTATTTGCAAAAGCCCATCCTTAATCTCATCACACCATTATCACTCTAACAGAAAATGGTAACCTTCAACCCTTTTTTGCTTGGATAGAAATTAAAGCCATCTCAGACCTCGAATACGTTGGCATTAAAGATGTATAAAATCTGTATTACCCATCAATGAAACGAAGGGGAAAAATATTTACCATAGTCACTGTGTGAGAATATCTTCAAACAAGTCTTGCTAGACAAGTGCCAGAGGCGCACTGTTTTGTCCATTGAAGAAGAAAGCAGGTGCTGGAGTGCATAAAACAGAACTATATCAGCATCTTTCAGAGGAATCTCTTGTAGTTATATCCTTCAGTCCTAAACTTAGAAACTCAAAGTTCACAGCACCAAGACGTGCTAAATAAACCAATTTGCGGGCAAATGGACATTGGAACTCAAGCAAAAAAAAGGTCCCCCGGATTGAAGCTGAACCCATATCTTGTACAACTTTAGAGTTTTAGCATATGGTTTTCATGCAAGGAATAATACTAAACCCTAACTGACATAAATGCTGCTGAGCAATGAAGAAAATTTATATACTAAATCTTTCTTCTCCTGAAATTTGGAAACATGAAGGGTGCAAGAGTCATTAACTCTGATATAATAAATCAAACAAGACAGCAATACAGGAACATCCTAACTGGCCTAAACTTCACATAGAACAGAAGTGCCAATGATGACTGATTTTAAGGCAGTATCAGTAAGAATGAGCTCTAAGAAAGAAACTTCTCCTGGACACACACAGACACACTATAATAGATGTTCACAATTCAAAATAGGGCTGACATGAACAGATAGCATTGCTAGAGAGTAGAAGCGAAACACTGTTCTTGACCCTATGGAACCAGAGAAGAGATAGCCATGCAAGATATTTAATGTAGAATGATCAAATGTGAATGCTAGAAGAGAACAAGAAAGTTTCATTTCATGGGATAGTTACCAACCTGAGACTTGGACCATGATAAGTCGAGGACATCAGCAAGATGTCCTTCAAATGAGCAAAAAGGTTTATCTGCAAGTGCAAACACAGTTTCGGGAACGATGATGTGCTCCAAGCTCACAGATTTCCTGCTTATAGATGACCTCGCCCTTCTCCTCCTTTCATTATGACCATCAGCAGAAGTTGACAAGAACATAGGTTCAGGAGACCCATTTACTGTTACTAAAAGATTAAAGTTCCCATCCTCTGGCTTTTCAAGCAACAACTCCCCTTTCCTTTCTGTTTCCACCACCTGCCAAACATGGATCACACAGTCCTCACCTGCACTTGCCAAATATCTACCATCCAAACTAAACTTAATAGCCCAAATTGAACCAGTATGCCCCTGAATCTCCTGGCTCTTGTAAACTGCAGTCAGCTCTTTAAATGACTTGCCGTATTGCTTTACTCGCACTCTTTCTGGCCCGTGGAATGAAACATCCTGGCTATCATCTGTAGCAGAACTTGACCTCCTGCCTCCTCTCTCTGATCCAGTATCCTTCTCATCACTACTTCTTCGCTCCTTATGACCTTTCACACTGCTAGCCACATTTTTTATGCTCCTGAACCAACTACCTTTCTTTTTCGGCTTTGACCCTCCAGCTCCAATACCCCCATTGGCATTGGAGTCATGATTTTCCCTAGCACCATCCTCAACATTCTGTCTCCTCATTAATTCCTGCACGATTGGTGAATGACCCACAGTCATTTCAAATTCCTCCATCGTCAGCTGCCTCCCCGTCCCAACTTCTTTCAACTTGTTGCACGCTCCATCTTCCCTAACTTCATTAACAACAAATTCTTTCCCAGTATCAAGATTCTTGATTGTACAAGCTTGGGTTAGCTCTGCTGCTCCATTATCATTCCCATTGCTAACTAAACCCTCCATGAGCTCCGCAATGCTTGTGTTTGACCAACTCCTATTCACATCCATGCTCCTACCATGTTTACCAGAAGGAGGCTTACTAGGGGAAACATCAGAAGGCTGCGGGGAGCAAAGATTTAAGTGCTTTGTGCCACTGCCGAGAACAAAGCCATTCTTCTTCTTCTTGCCGTTGGCAACTACTACTGTCTTGTCATTGTGATCGTTGTCGTTGTTACATCTATTTACATCAATCACATCGCCGGAAAGAATTGAAGTAGAATAAACAGACACCAAAGAAGAATAAGAAGAAGAGGAGGAGGAAAAGGACGAGCAGGAATTGAAATCATCATTACAGGTTGTGCCAGCCCCGTCACTGTCGCCCTCACCGTCACCATCCCGGCGATCCGCACCTCCGTCAGATTTCGATCGGGAAACCCCAGCAGCAGCAGCAGCAGCATTCCTGGAAGCCAAGCGGCGGGGAGGGAAATGATCGGAGTAGACAGAACGAGCAAAGCTCAAATCAACAGACCTGTCAGGCTGGCGGCGGGACAAGGAAGAAGATTCCTCCGAGGATAGCCCCATCTGGCTGAAGAGACGGTGCCGGCGCTCGGAGACGGAGGAGGGCTCGGAGATCCAAACGTCGTAGCTGGAGGAGAATCCGAATTGCGACTGAGACTGAGGAGGCGGATTGGCAGCGGCGGAATCGTTGGAGCCGGTGGCGGAGGGAGGGTCGGGATCGGAGTCGGAATTGGAAGTGGAGCAAGAGCAGGATGAGGAAGCAATGCGATCCAGCGACTCGTAGAATCGCTCGTCCTCCTCATCTTCTCTGCCGCCGGCTTCCCTACCGCTGCTGCTGATTCTGTTGTTGTCTCTGCCGTCGCGTTTCTCGTTCATCGCCTAATCTGGCGGCGGGTGGCGGGCGGCGGCGGCGGAAGAGGGGGAGTGAAGACGTGAGTCATCTATCTTTCTCCGCCGGTCATTTCGGTTTCACTTCGCTTCCCCCGCTCACGGGGAAAACGAAATGCCCCAATCCCGAATCCGAGCCCGAGAATCTCGTTTTCGGGGGTGGAAGTTTCCTTTCCTTTGTGAGGATCTGTGAGAAGTCGGAGAGAAGAAACGAGATAGAGATCCGGTGAGAGAAAGTGGGGAAAAGGGGAAAGGATTGCTAGGCTGAATGGGGGGAGATTACAGATAATGGCGCTGCTGGCTGCCGCCTGCCGGTGGGGGAAGAAGAAGAAGAAGAAGAAGAAGAAGGAAGAAGGACGAGAGAGGAGAAAGAGGGATCGTGTGTGGGAGTCTGGTCTGTTTTTTTGTTTTCTTTTTCTTTAATTTGATTAATTATTTTTATTTTTAATTTTGTTTGCTGTGTGTGTTGAGCTGGAGAGAAAGAGGGAAATAAATATGTTCTTTCTCTTTGGGGCTGGTTCTGTCTTAAGTATATGATGATTGTGATTTCTTCTTGGGACGTTGCCGGCTTTACCTTCTTCCCTTCTTTCTCTTTTCCTTGCCCTCTTGTTCTTCTTTCCCTTTTTATTTCCCACTTTCAGTTAGTTAAATTTCATATTGCAAAATGAGGAAACCACTCACAAATTGGACTTGTAAAATAATTAGGGGTAATACTTTCGTCTTCTTTCCTACTTTTGTGGTCGTGTTTATGTATTTCTTTATTTATTTACATGGTCTCGAAATATTTTTATGGAGCGAAGATTTATTGATTTGGATGAAGCATCGTGCTTATCATTTAGTGAAAATATGAGCTAAGCTAAATCAAAATAACTATTAAGACAGATCCAGGTAAAACGGATGACGAACGGAACGAGATATATTAAAAGTAACACTCACTTTTCATAACACTGTAATACCGAACGAGACGGGTTAAAATTATCATCGAGTTGATTAGATTCATTCCGTCAAATGATGGGCATCATCATTTGTAGTTAAGCCATTCTTCGTTGTAATTAGGCCCTCGGATCAGGCTGTGCTAGTGGCCCATGGGCCTAGGCTTTTTTGCTAGCCACTCGAATCATGAGACCGCCGGGCCCACGGCCCACCTCTCAATAAAATTAATCTCGTCATTGGTTGGCCTACGTATCATTATACGCCTTTCTCCACCAGGAAAATAATTATTAAGGAGTTAATAGTCGTTAATTTCTATTTTAAGAATTAAAAAAAAACTGCGTTGCAGTTACATATAACGTGGAGCCGCATAGAAGAGAAAAAGCAAGTAATTAGGAACGTGAAAACCAATTAGGAGTCAACACGGCAGCATCATCATTTCGAATCAATTCAAGAATTTCTTAATCCAACTCGAGAGGGAAGGGGAACGTGCACTTCATCACTAATTCATACGTTACAGCTGGACGATTACACATAAAACGCAGTGTACAGAAACAAAACTCAGATCGGAGTATAGGCTCCCAAATCGCCGCCGGCTCCGGCGCCTTCCTCCTCCTCCAACTCCGACCAGCAGGTATTCAACTTGGAAGCAAAGCTGGAGACCATAATGAAAGCCGCTCCACCCTGAAAAACCCCAAATCTCAGGGTCTCACAACGAGCATCTTCCGTGAATATGAACCTGTAATCGGTCCGCTGCGCATTCTTCACCGAACCCACCAGCAAACAAGCCTCTGCTCCCAGAAATGCAGTCCTGCGTTCGGTGAAGAATGCGCAGCGGACCGATTACAGGTTCATATTCACGGAAGATGCTCGTTGTGAGACCCTGAGATTTGGGGTTTTTCAGGGTGGAGCGGCTTTCATTATGGTCTCCAGCTTTGCTTCCATTAGTTTATGGATGAATTAATCATCAAAAAAACATCCCAATTTTTCACAACTCACCAGCAGATCGCGGCGGAAAGGACTGCACGGCGGCGGTGTTTGTTGGAAGCGTTTCTGTTGAGGAAGAAGCAGGTGAGGAACTGACCGGCGAGTAGCAGGCCGAAGGCGGCAGCTCCCAAGATCGTTGCCGATGTTGGAATCGTAGAAGCAGTAGTAGTAGTCGTACTTGCTGTCAATCACAACCTTAGCCTGAAATTGTCTGAAAGGAGTTTTAAGGAAAGCGAGAAAGAGTCAAGAGAGTTTGGGGATGAAGACGATTGAAGAAGGGAGGAGGCGGCGGCGCTTACGGTACTTCGGGTCTGCTCTGCAGCGAGAGCAAGCAGGAAAGCTACGAAATCCAGAACAAACACCGCCGTGAACAGCATCGTGGACGCCATGATCTGATTTCTCTTTGTAGTGGGCTAGACTGGATGATGGTGGTGTACTAATTTTGATCCAATTTCTATTTGTTTATCTTTTCCTTTGCTCTAAATGCCCAAACTTTGTCTTTCAGTCTTTCTGCATAAATCCCCCTAAGTTTCATCCTTTGTGTTCAATTCATGAGTCCCATTCCAGCAGTGTGATTTCGAAGGTGAAACAGCCCAACATAAGTTGGTGAAACATCAGTTGCTAGTCATATTTGCAGCTTTACCCACCAGCACCCTGGCGAGAAACCACTTGATATAGAAAGAAAGGCGTTGCTGAATAGTAGTCATCAGTTCTTTGCAATACAGAGCACAAAAAGGATTTTGCAAATCACAGTAGTGGAGGAGAAACAAACCATGAATAAGACTTAGAATGGACAACCTACCAACAACTAAATCAACACATCAATGCAATCTGAAAGCCCATATAGCAGAGCAGAGTCATACGTGAACATCATATATTTAAGGTATCAGGGGAAGGGTTTTAAGCAAATCCCAACATTGCAGCAGCTAAACTCATTTGTAGGTTCCCATCCCAACTCCAGTTTCTCTGCCATACTGGTTGGAGCCACCACCTCTCGCCTTGGAGTAGGAAACGTAGTAGAACTCGGAGACGATGGCTGTAAAGAGAGTGAAAGCTGCTCCAGCTGCAAAAACTCCCTTCCTCAGGGTCTGGCAAGTCGGAGGGTCGGCACCAAAGATTGCCCTATTGTTCCTGTACTTGGTGTGGTAGGCATTCCTCACCGAACCCGCCAGCAAGCAGGCCTCCGCCACAAGGAAGAACAACCTGCGAAATAGGAACGAGTTTTCAGACCGCGTTCAGCAGAATAAATGGATAGCCATAAGTTTGCAACTTAAGGAGGAATAGGTGAACACACCAGCAGATTAGGAAGAGCATGACTGCACAAGCCCTGGAGCCACTAGGGTTCATGGCCCTTCCGCAGCAGAAGCATTTGCTTGCTACCATTATAATGACCTGGCTGGCCAAAAGGAACAAGAATGCTCCCACGCCAAAACCGGTTGAGATGTCAGAGTCATATACACAGTAGTTGTAGTCCTTCTCTTGATCTGCTGTAATTTTAGCCTGTAAACAAACCCATCAACAACTTTGTTAATAACTCAACAGGGCAAGCTAGAGAGTATGCTTTCAGACACTTGATGATAAAAACCAATACCAATCAACAACTCATTATTCCTGTCATCCAAATCAATCAACGTGGCTGATTGTCTAAGTTAAGCAACTGAGTCCTCAAAATTTACTATTGAGTATTGACATCAGGCAAACGCATCCAAGCAAGACAAGTTTGATAACACATTTCCATGCCTGCAGAACAAAGGAGGGAATCCCCTTCCTTAGATTCGTTACATATGACAGTTGACTAACCATTAGCCAGCCCGGAAAACTGATTCTAATGCCAATTACTAGTTGACCTTACAGAAATCCTTGCCATCGACAAGGGTCTCAGTCTCTCAGAGGTCAAAACATGAGTTCCATTTTTAGTAACATGGGTTCGTTTGCCAGATGCAGAGATCATGAGTACAGATCTGGCGTCTCAGGCCGTAGATCAGGCAATCTATTTTCCTACACACACCCAAATTTACTTGCTTGCCATCTGTTACACTGAAAAGGCCGGAAAGACACAAAATGCCTCGAGATCTGAGTGTCCAATGACCAGCCATTGTAATTTGTAACCAAGAAAACTCAGACAAAGTTCGACTCCAAGTCACCAATCTCCTCAATGCAGAGGGCAGAAAGAATAACACAGACCTAGAAAAAGAACTAAAAAGGGTAATGAGGTTTCACTACCCCATCTGCAAAAGGGGGAAAACATTGAACCTCCAACTTTCCAGTTTTCTATCGGTTTCTCAAACCACGAAGCCAAACTTTCAGCTCCCAAACAAATTTTCCATTTCCAGCTACGGGAACCGAAACCCAGATGCCATAAATGCATACACAACGCGTATAGATAAAATGAAGATCGAAATAGGGAAATAAGCAAGGTTTAAACTTTAAAGGGTTCAGAAGGGCGAAGAGTGGAGCTCACTCACAGTGGTTCGCCTCTGTTCTGCAGCTACAGCAAGGCCGAAGGCAATGAGATCAAGGATGAAAACGATGACCAGCACAAGTTTAGAAGCCATTGCTGCAGAAGAGACGAGCTTCAGCAACAACCCAAGATCTTGCCCTCTCCCTTCTCTCTCTCCTCTCTCTATGAACCCACCGACTCTACCTCCCTTTTTAACCAGGCGCAGTTAAAATAAACAGGGGGATGGCAGGTGCAAGTGCAACGAACGATTTTGCATATCTACGTCAGTAAAGATGAATAAATAGAGTAAAACAGAAGAAAGATGGAAGAATTATTCCCTTCTTTTTTCGTTCTCCTCTTGTTGGAAATTTTGTTGTGGTGAAGTCTTTGATTATTATCTTAGGGCTCACCTAAATAGAGAAGGACGGGTTACCAATTCATTTCATAGGGTCTTGGTTGAAAATGGGGTGTCCACCTTGTGGCTTGTAAGCAGCAAGCAAGCACTCACAAACACAATAGTCAATTCTCAATGTTTGAAAGAGGGAGGATTAACAAGCAAATTGATTACTCAACTTATTTACACGTAAGATATTTTTCAGGGGATATCGTTTATTTTTTCATTGATAACTCGATTCTCATCATTTTGGGTTAATGTTTTTATAGTGTGAAATGACATGAAAGTAATTATTTTTCTTTTCTACAACTCTTAGAATTATATACCAGTTCAAATGAGTCAACTTTTGTCAATAATAATAGTCGGGAGACCTTTAGGAATATAGTATTTTGGTTAAAACTCTCGATTCCAAAAGCATATGAGAATGAGTAGTAAATCTAAGTATGGATCTATCCTTGAAAAACATGTTTACAAAAATGAGTCTCTTGCAAATAACCGACCAATTCTAACATGTTATGTCTAGTATGACATGATCACCATCGACCTTTAATCCAGTGAACAATGCAATGTCCTTTACAGTCATCAAACTCTTACCAACCATCAAGTGGGAAGTCGATGTCTCAGATCGCTAATGCTCAACCAGCGCAACGACGATCAAATTAGCATCAATCTTCATAGTCGCCAATGGTATAACACCTTGTAATCCTACATCTAAGAAAGTTGAGCATCACCTATATTGCCATTAAATTATGGGTGACTTAAAATTGCCTCTAATTTATACTAATTTACTCCAATACTTGACTCTAATTAGTTGAAATATAACTGTATATGTAATTTACTCATTAATACTAACTCTTCCAATTATCCAACTTTATGGAGATGTAGATATAATTTAAGAATTAAGCATTTACATATATTTCAACGAATCAATTTTACATATATTTCAACTAGTCAAATTTATGGAAAAAAATGATCTTACTTCAAAAACTATATCACTATATTCTAGTACAATACAACATATAATTTAAACAATGTGTAACACTCAACTAAAAGCACAAACATTTGCTAACATTTGGTTAATTTTATGCAAACCAAGTCATTATCCAACTCAATCACAAACAATAATAAATTCCAACCCTACTATCTAACTCAATTAAATTGCAATGCATCTAATTTACTGATAAATTAATTAAAATTATGAAAGAGTTACATCATTTTTCCAAACAGAGTCGTTACGATACTAATTAACCGTGTGCTCAAAATACTTTCGAACCTAATGATGCTGGACGTCTCTTTGCATCACAAAAATGTCATCAATTGCTCCCTACTACGTGATTGCCATGGAATCAAAGATGTTAATCATATGAAGAACATATGTCATTTTATTTTGATTTAAGGAAGAAAGAAAAAAAAAACAGTTTGTGCCGATCGATTATTTATAACACAAATTGGCATCGATAACATTTCGCTCTCCAAACGAAAACAAAAAAAATTCAGAAAGGAGGAGTCGATGTCTAGACAGCTTATATGCCTACTACTCAGTCTCATATGCCGCTGCAACTAACCTCCAAAACCCAAATGACAATTCAAGAACTTGACCCAAACCGTCTAATCTTTTCTGTTAGGAATCTGTTAGAATCCGCGTCTGTCTGGCTGGCTGGCCTGCCCATCTTTCTGCTCATGTAATCATGTTCAGCCTCCAAACTTGAGAAGAAGATCGAAGAAGAAGTTAATGCAGGAGGAACCGTTCATGGGTCTGCTAAGTCGGCCTTAATTAATGTGGTTTAAGTCCATATCACTTCATTTAATTACCCAAAACAAGATCCCAATGTTAAACCATGCATTCCAACTGGATACAGCCGATTCCCTGACCAAAACTTTCCCACCAAATCCCCACCTTCCTTGTTCAAAATCACACTATAAAGACCTTTGCGACTTCTCTTCACCACAACCATCCCTTCAATACAATCCACCACGACCAAGTCATATCATGGCTGCTTCTTCTCTTGTATCCTCGAGGGTATCAATTAGCCTGCTACTGTTCGTTGCAATCAGCTCTGCAGCTCTGCTAGCAACTGCATCAGCCAACTTCTACAAGGACTTCGACGTCACGTGGGGAGACGGTCGAGGCAAGATCCTCGAAGATGGCGATCTCCTCACCCTCTCCCTCGACAAGGCTTCGGGGTCGGGGTTCCAGTCGAGGAACGAGTACTTGTTCGGCAAGATCAACATGGAGCTCAAGCTCGTCCCTGGCAACTCTGCTGGCACCGTTACTGCCTATTACGTATGTATATCCTTTTTCTCTCTTTGTTCTCCGTTCCATAATTTAGTTATGGACTAATCCCTAGTCGTCCATATGTCGCGCGCGCACAGTTGTCATCGAATGGATCGACCTGGGACGAAATCGACTTCGAGTTTCTAGGCAACTTGAGCGGCGACCCTTACATCCTCCACACAAACGTGTTCTCACAAGGGAAAGGGAACAGAGAACAACAATTCTATCTCTGGTTCGACCCTACAGCGGATTTCCACACTTACTCCATCCTCTGGAACCCACAACGCATCATGTAACCATTCATTTTTAGTCCTAACTTCCTAACCATACCACAATCATAAATCCTGTCTATGCTCCCGAGATAAACACATTTTAAACAATTTTTACAATTTTCGTTGCTTCAGATTCTCGGTGGACGGCACCCCAATCAGGGAGTTCGAGAACCTGGAGGGCAGGGGAGTGGCGTTCCCGAAGAACCAGCCGATGCGGATCTACTCGAGCCTGTGGAACGCAGATGACTGGGCGACCCGCGGCGGTCGGGTGAAGACGGACTGGTCGAACGCTCCGTTCACGGCTTCCTACAGGAACTTCAGCGCCGATGCGTGCGTGTGGTCCAATGGAGGCTCGTCCTGCAGCAGCAGTAACAGCACGGCTTCCCCTGCATCATGGATGTCAGAGGCGCTCGATGCGACGAGCCAGGAGAGGCTGGAATGGGCGAGGAAGAACTACATGATCTATGACTATTGCAAGGATGGCAAGAGGTTCCCTCTGGGATTCCCTGCAGAGTGCAACCTGGGCTAAGTTATTGTACTTCTTTGTGGATATTTTTGTATCGGTACAGAGTAAATTGCAATTCATACATACAATTTTTATATCATGGAGGACAATAAAGGTAAATTGCACTTTAAACATACAATTTTAATTAACTAAATCCATAATGAAAGCCATAAGAACTCAAAACTCTCATATATTCACGATTTTTCAAAACTCAAGTTATACCAAAATCTTCATTTTTCAAATTCACGAAGAAACAACACCTCGGTTTCTTTGAAACATGGTCCATGAAATCGTACCAAATATCGTATCGGAAAAGTCAGCAGTATGATATTTTATGATAAAATCATGGTTTAACCGCAGTTCAACCGTTAGACCATTAAATATCGCCTACCGATTTAGCTTCTGATACTGATATTTCGTGGTTGAACCACCGCTACGGTACGGTTTCATGAACCATGTTTTGAATGTCCAACCGCGAATTAGCCACCCACAGGCGTCACAGCTAGGGATGGCAACAAAACCCGAACCCACGGGTACCCACCCGACCCAACCCGGTCAACGCCGGTAAAATCCGTGTTGACGGGTTTTGGGCCGGGTTTGGGTTTAAACCCGCTACACTATTTATCGGGTCGGGTTGGGTTTGGGTTTAGGTAAACCCGCCCCATGAGTACCCGCTCATACACATATAATTACCTTCCCGGTATATTTATTATTCTAAATAATATATCTTCATTAAACAACTAATATTCTTTATGTTTGTGGAGACATTTATGTTCGTGGAGACATGTATAATTTGTTCTTTCTAATTGTTTAGAATGAAGTTGATATTATGAAGTGGAGAGTGAAGAAACTTAGTTGACGAGGAAGAAGTTTTCAATTAATCTTATTGTTTATCTTTAATTTTGAACAATTTGTATTGATCATTTGCGATTTGCTTGTAATTTGTATGAATAATTTGTATGAGAAAATTGAATATAAACTTTTATTTTGAAAGAAACTTGTTATTGTAAATTTTTTACCACAAAAACCCACGGGTACCCATGAACCCGCGGATACCCAGCGGGTTGGGTTGGGTTTGAGTTTTTCAAACCCAACGGGTTTTACCCCGGGTTTTTTTGCCGGATGAACCCATGGGTTTGGGTTTGACAAAACCCGCCCAACCCGACCCATTGCCATCCCTAGTCACAGCCACGATAAGGGAGGGCCAGCCATTTGGCTGCAACAATAGGCCCATTGTTCTTTTTTCTTACGGCAAGGCCCATCATAATATTGTTTTTGACAGGAAGGCCCATCATTTTCAAGTACAGCAAGCATGCTGCTTCATTCCCAACACGAGAAACAGTCAGACGCGTCAGAGTATAAAAATGGTGTGAAAGGATTGGATACGCTTTAATCAAAGCTCCCACTGTAAATAAAAAGAAAGCTGCCAGCCAGCCAGGCAGAAGTTAAGCCACCGTCCCTCGGCCCACTTTCACTACTTTTACTCTGTTAGCTGTCCACAGCTTAACATTAGCCGAGCGGATTGAACAAGAAGAAGAAGTTTCCTTACCCACTTCCCAGTTCCGCGTCCATTCCATTTATTGCTCTCAGTTAGTTGATTCTCCTCCTGCATATAAATAGACAGATTACACTCCCCACTTCTCCATCACCACCTAAACCATCACTAGCCTCTCTTCTTCTACTTCTCGTCTGCCCAACAGAGAAAAGCATAACCCAGATACTCAAAAGCACTCACTATGGCTCGCTCTTCTTCACTTGTGCTGCTTCTTGCCGTCTCTTCCGTGCTTGTGGCTTCTTCCTCAGCTGCCAACTTCTACCGGGACTTCGATGTCACATGGGGAGACGGCAGAGGCAAGATCCTCAACAATGGCGATCTCCTCACTCTTTCCCTTGACAAGTCCTCTGGCTCGGGATTCCAGTCCAAGAACGAGTACTTGTTCGGCAAGATTGACATGCAGCTCAAGCTCGTCCCTGGCAACTCTGCTGGAACTGTCACTGCGTACTATGTATGTAGCTGCTCTGTTTTCTTCTCGCTGAATCCACTTTTGGGCCTTAACTTTTCTGGGGTGCTCACATTTAGATATGCTGTTTCTGTTTGCAGCTATCCTCGAAAGGAGCAAACTGGGATGAAATCGATTTCGAGTTCCTGGGGAATTTAAGCGGCGACCCGTACATCCTCCACACTAACGTCTTCAGCCAGGGGAAAGGAAACAGAGAGCAGCAGTTTCATCTGTGGTTCGACCCGACTGCCGATTTCCACACTTACTCCATCCTCTGGAACCCACAGCGCATCATGTAAGTGCCTAATCACAATAGACAACAATAATAAACCCACATCAATTTTCCTGCTGAATCATTATTGGTTACTGACATAAATTGTTATTGCTCTGTTTTTCTCTTCAGATTCTCAGTGGATGGCACCCCAATCAGAGAGTTCAAGAACGCGGAGAGCAACGGCGTCCCGTTCCCAAAGAATCAGCCGATGAGGATTTACTCCAGCCTGTGGAACGCCGACGACTGGGCTACGAGGGGCGGGCTGGTGAAAACGGATTGGTCGAATGCTCCGTTCACAGCTTCCTACCGCAACTTCAATGCCAATGCCTGCGTGTGGACCAACGGCAAATCTTCTTGCTCTGCAACAGGATCAACTTCGGATTCCTCTTCTGCCGAGTGGCTGTCGGAGGAGCTGGACACCACGAGCCAGGAGAGGCTGAAATGGGCGCAGAAGAACTACATGATCTACAATTACTGCGCTGATAACAAGAGATTCCCTCAGGGGCTTCCCCAGGAATGCAACCTCTCTTAATAACCAGATTGTTTGTAACCTTAGACAGCCATTCTTTTATTCTTTCCCCTATCTTTGTGTAATCAATGCAATCCATTTGCTGTGTATTAACTATCAAATATTAAGATTGCAAAAAAAAAAAAAAGTTTTCCGCTGCCGGGATTTGAACCCGGAATTCGATTCAATTGAATTTGCCAGATTGCTACAGCGGATTTAATTGTTCAGATATCACCTACAAAACTATATAATAAATGCCTTTATTATACTCTTTTTAGTTAGCAATGTGCCATTGCCCCCATCCAACGGCTCCGCGAAGTACACATCCATCCCTACCCAACGATCCAACGGACCACACTCGTCCTGCGGCAGACAAAGCGAATTCGTGCGCTGTCCCCTCGACCTCGGGCCGATCCCTTCATCAAGTGTCATATCATATCAGCCCTCATTGACATTTGCCATTAGCTTTACCATCGTCTTAGCCATTACCGTCCCTCACAGCCACTTGGCCTTAGAATAAGCTCGAAATCATAGTGGCAGAAGCAGTCCAAGAGAGGAACGAAATAAAACAGCAAGGAATGAAAAGATGAAAGGCATGATATTGGAAGGAAGAGTCTCACTGGGAAATCCAATAACATAATATTATCTATGGCTTCTCTGTTTGGGTTTCATTTTGTCAGTAACCAATGAACACCCGGACTCTATAATCATCTTCTCATAGAAATGTTTCTTCCAAAGGCAAGAAACGATTGAGAAGCGATACAAACGAGGGGGAAGACGAGAATCCAGAAGAGGAAAGAAACGGAAGGAAACAAATCGTGTGGTGGGATGTTGAAGCAACCACTGTCAGATAGGCGGACCGTAGAGCAGAAGATGGAGTTGCAGGAGAATGACGGAGAAGAAGGTTCAAGTTATCCCTCACAGCAACTGGTGGACAAAGGAATTGGCGATGGCAGCAGCTCGAAAAGTCTCGGAGGTTTCAGAACGATGCCGTTCATCTTTGGTCAGACTGACTTCCACTTTTCACTTCCTTCTCTGTTTCTGCTATGGAATTCTTCTAGGATGTTTTTTTTTTTTTTTTTGAAGTTTCTTTCTTTGCCCATAACGCAGCTACTGAAATTGGGGAGAGATTCTCCTACATCGGCTTCCATTCCAACTTGATCACTTACCTGACTCAGCAGCTCAACCTGCCGCTCGTCTCCGCTTCCAACATCATCACCAATTTCAACGGTACCACAAACTTCACCCCCTTGATCGGAGCTCTGATCGCCGACTCTTTCGCCGGGAATTTCTGGACGCTCATCGTCGGCATCCTCATCTTCCAGCTGGTTCTCAAATTCCTTCCTCTTCAGCTGAATCTATAACAGTACAATCACAACCCAGTTCTCAGAAGTACTAATCATACTCTGTTTCTTTTCTCTCTCTGTCACAGGGCATGATCAGCGTAACCACTACCGCAGTAGTGAAGTCACTCCATCCTCCACCATGTCCAAGTCAGGTCGATTGCAAACAACCTTCGGTGACGCAAATGGGTTCCCTATACTTTTCCCTCTTTCTGATAGCTTGCGGGTTGGGCGGGATTAGGCCTTGTGTGGTGACTTTTGCAGCGGATCAACTGGACATGAAGAAGAAACCAGGATCGCCTCGAGAAGATAAGAGCAGTGGCTGGAACTTGTTCAATTGGTACTATATCATGGATGGGCTAGCAAGATTGGCTGCGTTTACAGTCGTGGTTTACGTTCAGGACAACATTGGTTGGGGTTGGGGTCTTGGGCTGCCCACTATTGCCATGGCGGTATCAATTGGGATCTTCTTCTTCGGCTCCCCATGGTATAACAGAGTGAAACCAAAGGGGAGCCCCATGATCAGATTGGCTCAGGTGATTGTTGCAGCTGTAAAGAAGAGAACTTTCGATGTCCCCAACAACTCCGAGCTTCTGTACCGTAACGACGAGCTGGATGCTGCCATCTCCGTACACGGAAGGCTCTTGCACACCAGTCAGTTCAAGTAAGATCAATACGTAGTCAAAGTGTTCGACAATATGCCTCAATGAGGAGAAAAATAAAAACTTCGTTTCAAGACATTTTTTTCCTCGACACAGGTGGCTGGATAAGGCGGCGACAGTGAAACCAGGGGAGCTTTCAAATGGCAACCCACCAAATCCATGGAAGCTAGCTACGGTCCACCGAGTAGAAGAGCTGAAAGCATTCATCAGAATCCTCCCCATATGGGCAGCTTCCATTTTACTCGTGATGGCCACTTCACACAACCACAGCTTCCTTATCCAACAGGGTCGAACCATGGACCGTCACCTTTGGTCATCCTTCCAAATCCCACCGGCCAGCTTGTCCGTCTTCAGCATCTTCACATTAGTAATTGGCCTCATTGCGTACGAGCGTCTCTTCGTCCCGATCATCAAACACTTCACAGGGAACCCTTCAGGCCTCACAGCACTACAGAGACTAGGAGTAGGCCTTTGCTTCCACGTTCTGCAAACTGCAGTATCAGCATTGGTTGAAATCAAGAGGAAAGCTGTGGCGGCAGAGTACGGGCTGTTAGATCATCCGGAAGCTACGATACCCATGACCGTGTTCTGGCTTGTTCCCCAGCTTTCACTGCAGGGAGTTGCTGAAGTGTTTACAAATGTGGGTCAGTTGGAGTTCATGTATGAACAGGCGCCGGAGAGCATGAAGAGCATAGCTGTAGGGTTGAACTGGATCGGAAGTTCTGTGGGCGACTATTTGGGTTCGACTCTAGTGCTGTTGGTTCATAAGTACAGTGGTGAAGAACACAATTGGTTGCCTGATAGGAATCTCAATAGAGGGAGACTGGATTACTATTACTGGCTCATCTCTGCTATTCAAGTTGGGAATCTCGTCTACTTTTCTATCTGTGCTGCTTCCTTTACAAGTAATCCAGCGGCTAAAGCTGCAGAGGAAGATGGTGACAGAACTAGGGATGAACAACTTGTGACACATTTGGCGTGAGAAGTTAACAATGCAGTCTTGGTAGTTAGTTACTGCTGTAACTAGTGGATTAACTATACCTAATTTTGCCTTGGAGGTAAACAACATAACTACTCTGTGAACCGCTAACTTGTTGAAGGTGATCATCTGTTGCTTAACAACAAAATTGGTATATAAAAGCCTTGGTTGCCACTACTGTTCATTAGTGGCCCCCCCACTCTCTCTTCTGCGACTGGGCAATCTCCAAATGCTTCCCCTTCGTTCGCCCATGTGGCACTCTGCTCCTCTCACACAAAAAACCAACTCATCTTCTTACCCAACTCGCCATCGATGAACCATTGGATATTTCATTTATCCACTGGTTTCTCCTCCGAAACTCTTACAACGCCATTTTGCTTTTATCTCTAACTCTTTCTTCCCTCTTCCACTTTGCACGCCATCTCTGCAATTCTCACAGAACCCTCTTCCAACCCTTCTTCTCTTTCTTTGCTTTTCTTCCCACACGCAACACTTTTCTTCTTCCAACCATTCTTCTGACATCTTCTACTTCCAATCCTTCATCTATTAGCATCTCCTCTTTCTCATTGTCAATCAACACTATGGTTAAGGGTTGCAGCAGCAGATTCAACTTCATCTGCTAGATCTTCAATCACCCTTTTACTACCATTCATCTTTTGCTTAATGTTTTCCTTTGTCTTTGCTGGTCGTACCTTTTCGGCGGAATCCCAAGTCCCGATCTCTCCTTCTCTCCCGATGTCGAAGAAGAACAATAAGAACAAGAGATGAATGGTAGCTTTGCTCGGTGGAATACTAGCTTCTGATCCCGTTGTTATTCATTCCCCTTATATCTTGCCTGCTGCATTCCATGTAGCTTCTTTTTGTTTTTGTTTTGATCTTTGTTCCCTCATTGGTTTCCAGTGAAGTAAAAACACATACGATAGCGTGGGAAAGAGATGGCGGGTGACGGGTGAAGTAGCGTGGATTAAAGAAGTCCAGAGAGAGGAGAGGGAAAGCCTCCTGTTGAAGCGTGAAGATCTGCTATAGATGGGATTCCGTCGAGGCCGGCGCAGGTGGAAACGGATGCAGGGGAGGGCGTATCGGGTGGGATTCCACCGAGGCCCTTCTGTGTGGCTGAAACATGATGTGGAAAGTTGAGATTATGTTGCCAAAAACAGGAAAAACACACTGGTTTCCAGAGAAGGCATGCCACCCCCACCGCACACGCATCCAGGAAATTGTCCATGCCGCGGCGTATTTAGGGGATGAGAGGGGAACCCTATCTCCTCCAGAATTAACTTCACCCAGCAATTCGCAAACCTCCTTCAAGCACAGATGGCGGAAACCTTAATTGCCGCCCCTTAATCATTTTCCCAAATCGCTCCCGACGAATCGTCCCTGATCTCCGACTTGGCAGCAGTCCCGAATCTCCTCTTCTAGCCTTCCAACTTCACCACCACACCCCCTACTTCCGGTTCCACCTCAAATGGCTTCGGTGGAATCCCAACTTCTGCAGATCTTCACGCTTCTGCCTCGGCGAAATCCCAACCTTGAAGATCTCCCCTCTTACATTGCATGACTTTCCCTCTTTGCTCTCCTCTCTCAACTTTACCATACTACTAGGTCTCTCTCCTTGCAATCGTTAATGCTTCCTACAGTACCACACATAGAACAGGACAAAAGCGGTGCCGGACCTGCCGCCGTTGACTTGGTTTGACGACAGGATGGGAGCGCCATAAAAGACAATTGATTCAACGTGTTTGGAAATTTTCGATTCAGGTTTAGTCTGGTTTGGAATAACCTTCTACTCGCTTTCGGTGCTTTTAATTAGCCAAAAAAGTCTCAAGTTTTCCTTCCGCTTTTGTTGTGTTGTGTTACTGACAGGTCATTTCCCAAAAAAAACCATCCATTTGAGTCGCTTGTGGAGTTTTGGGTGTGTTTTCTTTTGTGAATTATGTTTCAAATTTTCACTCTCATTTCCTTTGGTTGTGGACTCTGCAGGTGTTCATTAATTTTCAGTTCTTGGTATTGTAGGAGACCAGCAAGTTCTCAATCCTCATGAGTTGAGTTTCCAGCTACTATACCTCTCCCCTCAAGTTCTTGGTTTAGTTTTTATTTTATTTTTTTCATGTCTTTGTGGTTCTGAATTAGTGAATTTTACAGTGTAGAAAGTAGAAACAGCAGAGAAGGACATACAAACTGTCAATGTGCTGTCATGAGGTTGAACCAAGGAGTCTAGACATTAATCTCATCAACATGACATATGAGCATCTCAAGTGGTGGTAATTTGTTTATTATATGATGTACTCATTCTGGAATGGAAAAAATATTTGGATTTAGTATTTGCTGATTCTTTCCAGGTTTTGTGCAGTTTTCAAAGAAACTACAGTAGATACACAAACCCTACAACTCCTAGAAGTGCCAAGTTCATGGTTTGCTCTCTGCCCACAATTTTCGTTAATCATCATTTCCATTGCTTCTCTACCTTTCTCATCATTGTGTTGTACAATCCAAATCACTACAGCATTGCACATTGAATTTCACTGCTGTTGCAATCTGGCATCCTTCTTAACAATGTTAATACGATCATGTCTATAAGATGTAAGGCTTATATTGAAGTTCATGCTTGGCTGCTATGACATAATCATGCACCCTACTACTTCGTTAACCCTTGAGAGCAAGTAAACTTTTCAGTCTGATCATTTTTGTTCTAAGATGTCTAAATCGAGCATTGGCCGTTTCCATTTTAGCTTACATTATGTTCAGTTTTTCCTTTTTACCTTGTGATGTATGCATCTTCTGAGTTCTGGTTTACCTTCAGCTGCAACCTTCTGATTGCATTGAACTTTCCCAGTCTACGGGCAGTTGCTGCTTTCGCAACACCAGCAACACATTTTATAAATTCATCTCCCCTCAGATCTTAATCTTTTCCAACTCCTTTCTCAGCATCACAAACGACGGTGCCTTCTTATATGCTGCAAATGGTTAAAATATGCAGTTTGTGGTGGTAAGATGACACGAGAATGATTTTGGATGTCCCAAGTGCAGCTTTACTTTACATGAAGGGTAAATATTGCTGATTGAACGCAGTCATATATTTTGCTTCAGTTAGTGTGAAAAAAGTAGTTGGGTAATTTGCATTTTGCCTCAAGTCATGAATCACCCATTTGAATTGTAAGCTCCTTTCCAAGAGGGATCTTTATGATCAACATGTATGGACCATAGGTAAAAAGCGTATGAAATCATCTAGATTCTTACTTAAGATGGATAGAATGCAATAGCCATATTGAGATTCCCATATGAGGAAATTTTATCTTATTTCTTTAAGTTCAATTTCATTTCACGAGTCCTATGTTGTTATATAGTGCACCTGTAATGTCATTCTTTCGAGAATCTCCCTGTTTTGAACTGTTGTTTCTGGCATTATTGACTATAGAACCAAGTCCTTCACTAATTACTTGGTTTTCAGGTTACTTGAACATGTTCTTTGAATCGATAGGATCTTACAGGTTTCTTCGTGTTGCCTCTCATGTCGATATCTTTCATTCTCCATGTGACAACAATTAATTCTCTCATCATTTTGGTTTACGTCCTGGCAAATGTGATGTATATACTTTATCATATTTTTCTCAGCAGCAATAGGCAAAAACATATCCGTAGAGCTCTTAACTGTGCCTATGTCAGCTTGTGGAGGAGGATTACAACTGTGGATTTCTGCTCTACCTGAAGGACATTGCATGGTACAAATTCTTTCGCCTCGCTCATTCGTTTGCCTCTTCCATTTTAATGCACCTTGGGAATTACAATTCATCTTTGTGGAGCTTCCTTTCACCCTTGGCGATTACTTCAGCTCTTTGGATAGGGGTTAATTTGTTCAAATTTATAGTTCTGCAACACATATATCATCTTATATGTAGTATAGGAAGTTGAATCCATCCAAAAGCCTGCCCTCGAATGTAGTTCATGTGAGTTCTACAGAATATCGTACTATTAAATTGATGGGTATGAGGCTAGGTTTTGAGTTAAATTTAAGTGTCTCGATGTGCTATTCACTTCCCTATCACAGTCTGAAACTAGGTCTAATTTAGTTGCTGATATTATATTATTATTCCTCCTATTACTGAGTTGTTTTAATTTACAGTATGCATCAATTTATGCTTCATTCATATGTATGTTTAATCACTTTGCTATTGCTGCCCTCACCCAATTTATTGGTCATTTCGTAGTGTCTCCAATCACACAAACAATAGCAACATCTAGGAACTCTTAAAACAGCCACTGCTGCACTTTATCACCTGCTACCCCAGGTTTACCGTTCGATAAACTGTCCAATTATTTGTCTCATGGAGGTATTCTATTTTTTGCTCCACTCATAAACATGCTCGATGAAATGATGAGGAAATCATTCAAGACCTCTCATTATATATTTGAATTCATAGACCAAGTGGCCAAGCTTGCATCTTTACATGGTTGTCATTGGTTGATCTGATTTGGATAGCCTGTCAAATTAACCTGGAACCAGCACAGCAGTGATCGGTTTGAAGTTTTTGCTCATTGAGCGATCGGCACGGCAGCAGAGTTCCTGGGTAAATGTTGTACAACTGTGATTTGGGGAAGCAAGGGTTCAGAGGGTGGCGATAGGAGAAGCGGCAGGTGGGTTGGAGCTGTCGAGTTTCGTGGGGAAATGCACCGGCCTCCTCTGCGAGCAAGCAAGGTTCACCAAACATGGATAGATTTGAGCGGCACAATACAGTAAGAAAGCTGCGACCAGTTAGTTATTTCCCATCCTCTGTAATTTCAGTTCTCCCAATTCTGGGTTTTACAGATTTATGAGCTTGACAGACTGGAGAAGCCCTTATATATGGTGGATCAATTCGAATTGGGTTTTTGGTTTCTTAGTTCGTAGAGGACCACTGAATAAAGTTGTTTCATTTCTTGGTTTTTGGTTGTTTAAATTTATGTTTGATTGCTGCTGATACTACCAAGTTGTGCACTATTTTTTATAGTGAACTGTTTGCCATCGCCATGTTGCCAATCTTTACTAGGAATCCAACTCTAACAGCAGACCGTCTCCTCATTTCCACTGCCTTTCTATCCCAGCTCATGATCCTCTATGGCAAGACTTATATATGTGTGATCTTTTTGGCTGTGTTTTGTACAGGTAGCATTATGATATTTGGTCGTTCTGTTGCCCTTTATTATTGTCTATTACTAATTTCTAATAATTATGTACTAATTCAAACCTGATATGATCTCACATATATGTGCGAAGCGTAGCGAGCGGATCTTTGCTAGTGTACATAAATAAATCATTGTAAAAAACGATTAGCAAGTAACAAATCATTATAAAGGTGTTTACAGTACATAACATGAAAAAAGCTGAATGACAATTACATCACAATGCACCTCAAATCAATGTCCGAAACCCAAAACAAACGATCAGGAAAGCCCTTCCTGGAAGCAAAAACCTTTACCCCATGAAAACTTATGACTTGGAATAGAAGCCACTTAACTTAAAACTTGCAAGAGATTTTTATCTTCAAACATGGCAGCAAAGCCCCAATCCTTATTTCCCAATAAAACCAATACAAAATCATCTACCACTCGCTCTTCTATTTACAGTGTCATTTACTTGCTCTGTTTTCCTCATATGGTGGGACTGGAGAGGAAATTACCTGGATTTTTTTCGAGCCCCGGCAACTGAGTTTCGCCATTAAGTGCTTATTAAATCCCAGTCATCCCTCTAACCTTTCTTTGCAAAAAAGAGGAGTTTTCGGAATCCTTTTGCGCCTTTCGGAGAGGTTTCGCCACTGTTCCATTTCTTTCTTGTGTGAATAGATTCTGGATTTACTTCGTTAGGTGGGGGAGTGGATTTCTCTATCTCGGAGCGCTGTGGCAAAGCTAGATGCACATTTCTCTTCTCATCCTCGACTACATTAGCCGCATACTGGTTCGGCTGTTTATCAGGTGACTCTGGCGTAGGATGTATCATGACTCCAGAAATATCCTCCATAAGATCATCAGAAGAAGCCAGTCCACCTTTAGCAAGAGTTGGAGCTGCTGGAGTGTCGCCCTTTAAGGGAGTCGTGTCAGCAGAGGGTTCAATTAGAATTGAAGCACCATTGCAGCCTTTTCCATCAGTACCATTACTAAGATTCACAGTGCTTTCTTCATTCTTCTCCACCGGTAATCTTTCCAACTCCTTGATCTCAATCAAGTCAGCAGTATCATTAGATGGTGGAGTAGCTTGTGCAGCAAGTAATAATTCTGTTGATTTCTGTGCAGTGATTTTCTTTTGCGTGACATCAGATTTCATAGGTTTCGCACTTGGATTCTTATTCTTATCTCCAGCAGCACCCTTCTGCTGAAGGACATTTGCTTTCGACACTGCACTTTTTGATTTTGATTGAGTTGTTGATTCCACCTTTGGTGTTGTCCGAGCAGCAGCAAGGCGATCAATTGTAGAACTTCTGAAAACCGTCTTCTTACCATCTTGGCTTGAACTTGGAGACTGTATTTTGGGCTTCCTGTCTTTTGATGTTCCAGTAGAGTTTCTCCTAGATGCTGTCAGTGGACTGCTACTGCTGGCAGAACCCCTCGCTGCAATTCTCTTCTGACGTTCGAGCTTTAATGCCTCCACTCTTTTCCTACTCTCTTCTTCCTGCTTATGAGCAGACAAAAAGAATTGTCAGAAAAAGATGCACAAGGTGAGCATATTGGGAAAATGAAATGTATTTTTATAATAAGTGAGCATGCGTCTTTAAGGAAATAAAATTGGAAAATGCATTCCATTTCCTAGAGTTTCTAGGCTATCCAAACTTGTTATAATTACGATAATAAAGCAAACAGAACGCAGTAGCTTCATCTTCACTTACCCTCTCGGATTTGCTCTTTGGAATTGTGGTTCTGCTTCCAAGAGGTGGTTTCTTAGTCCTTGATGGAATTTCCGATTTGCTTCTTCCAAGAGGTCCATTGGAAACTTTTGACTTACCATTAGTCTTCTTACTGACAGGAACAACTTCATCCTCAGTGGCACTTTTCTCCACAGGGGATCTCTTTCGGTTGGCTTCTGCAGATAAAATGTCATTTTGATAATCTATCTCCGGGGTCCAAGAAGGGATGGTATGCTGATCAGCTGCCGAATCACGCCCAAGCACCATAAAAAGGTCGTCTGGCTCACAGGAATTACTAAATCCTTTAGCTTTATCTACAGTACCATTATCACATTGAACAACTTCAGACACATCTCCCACCATGCTTATGTCGGTTCTTAATACAGAATCAGAAGCTTCATTTCCGAAGGATCGGGCTTGGATCATAAATGAATCATCAGCCATAACATCCTTGTTATTTTTTTTCTCATCTCGAAAATGATCACCATCAAACAGGCTGATGTCCCCACTGCCATTCTTGTTGACTGATTTGTCAATCTGGTTTCCAACAAGCCAATCTCCTTCTTTCTGAACTTTGATTAATCGTGATTCGGAAGAGTAATCAGAAACTGCAGCTTGTCTCTGATTTATCTTTTCTTTGAGAAAATAACAGCTCATCATACGAGTCATCCCCCTTCTTGAGCAATAAGCCACGACCATTTGCACCACCTTCAAAGTTCCGTATCTGAGATTGAACATCACTTACAGTATACCTGTTTGTACTCATAAAGGAATCATCAGCCAGCATTCCCTGCTTCCTTACATTCTCAGATTCCATGTTAAATTCCGATGAGTCTGCATCATTGTCCTTCAAGAGAAGGCTCTGGAAGGCACCCCACTGGTCCTTTCCTTGCCCATCTAGATTCTTTGCGTTCATGTTGGTGTTTTCTTGATCAGAGGCATTATTGTTATGTTGTGATTTCTTATGGCGACGTGAAGAAGTTGACTTACTTCGTCTCTCCAAAGAACCTACAGCATCTTCCACCTGCTGCTTCAGAGCTTCTCCATCAATGAACTCATCATCTTCATCATCAGATGTTTCCCCAGTACTCTTTTCCCCATCCCTCTTGGAAGTAATGTAGTTAATGTTACGGATGACAACTGTTCTTCTTGACGACTTCTTCTTGCCATGCTTTTTCCTCCGGACATTCTCATCAGAGGACAACTGTCTACCATTGTGCTCGTTACCATCTGACTCGTTGTTCGAGCTAGAACCAGTGCCAGGGGAGTCATCTTCTCGGTTTGAATCTGCACGTGAAGAAGACTTCTTCCTGTTCCTTGAAGATGAAAAGTTGGAGTCATCTGCAGTTGGAGGCCATTGCATGTTCCCTGGAAAATATGGAGATGGAAACTGTGCACCAGGGAAGCCGTAGCCTTGATATGGGCCCATCTGCTGGTAGACTGGTCCTTGGAAATTGTGCACATAGTGAGGATGATGATTTGGCCAAGGCACTGGCACTTGACCCCTGCCATCTGCTGATGGTGGCAAACTACAATCTGCAACAACCGATTGGTCAACAGTAAATTTGAAATAGCCATCTACAGGTTTACATGTTTCACAGCAAGAATACTTCCATCAACAAAAGCACAAATAAGGGTAAAGTAATCCTCATAGCTTAAGTAGAAGTTTTATACCTTGGCTGAGGTCAACACTTCCTAGACTAGTTGCTGTCTCAGATGCATCATTTGAGCCATTGAGTCTCCCACCGGACAACTGGCCGCCAGGGTAGCTTTCCTCTCCTGCAAGTATAATTCCGGAACTTCTTAGAGAAGGCAACTCCAGCTGAGCGGCTTGCATAGCCACAACTTCGTCCATCCAAAATCGATCTTGATTCTTCTTCTTGCATAACTCCATGAAGTTTATGCATGCTTCCCTGAAAGGGTGAATATTGTCTGTTTATGTGAAATCATTGTCTCTAAATTCTAAAAAGAAACCAAGGTATTGAAGGTTAACGTTAGAGGCCAAATGCACGCAAAGACTGCAGAAATCATACCTTAACCGTGAAGCTCCAAAAGCATCAGCAAAAGATATAAGATCATAAATACAGTCAAGCTCGAATCCTGTGACCAAAGCACGAGCATAGGCCATTGCTTGCTCTTTGCGTATGATAGATTTCCTAGATTCCAAAGCACGCTGAAGATGCACTCTGTTAATAAACCACAAGTTGAACAGTCAAATGACAAGGTTGATTTCATTTCACATATTATTGCAGATGATGGCAAGTTCAAATGACTAACTTTGAATTCTCCTCTGATGCAGCATCACCAACTGAATTCTGAAATATGCAATATCAGTGGTGTAAAGTTTACAGATATGAAGACTGAGCAAACCATTATCAAGCAATTCCCTAACCCTTGGATTAACACTGATGACATACCTTAGACGAGGCAGTCGGCTTGTAATTTCCTACAATGTCAAATAGGTCCAAGTCAGCAACTTTCATTCAAGTGACCAAAATCTAGAGACAAACAAAGTAAACTTGGTTCACATTCCACAATGTCCAGTTTATGTAAGTGCAATCAACATCTAGTATCAGCACACGGACATTAAAAAAAATGGAGTTTGTTTTATCCGAATTCGCTACTCACCATCTGCATCAACATTGGAGAGCTCATTGGACTGAACTGAACTCTCAATCTGGTCAAGTTCCCTTTCAATAGTTACGAATCTCTCAAGAACTTCTGGGGTGTTCACAAACCGAACGAATCTGTTTGGCACCATTGCAGAATACAAATTAATCACCACACGACAAAAGCACACAAGATCACAAGATTGATAACAGTAGTAAGTTCCAGCCAAGGGGAATCAAGACAACATCTACAATCCTTATCAGAATCTTAGGAAAAAGGAATCAGTTTGGACAGACTAAGATTCCGACTGAGAACACTATAGACTTGCTCGGGAAACGGTTTCAATTAGGCTTTTGAGGAATTGGGCATATAACAGAATGAAAGCAAAGCTCACCTCTGCAGAGTTGCCTTAGTGAACCAGGACGAATTGGGGGAGGAAGAAGGACGGAGAATAATGGAGTAGCCTCCTTTAGAAATCTGATCTCTGGCTGTTTTCAAGTGACAGACGAATGGCTCCAGAAGCCCAGATGCCAATTTCTCGCTCCCGCCGCCACCGGCGACAGCAAATATCACCAAATCACATCTGAATCAAAACCCGAAGGTGTAAAAGTCGGAAACTTTTTAACTACCCAGATGAGAAAGTAACCGTAGAAGAGTGGGATTGGATTCTAAAGGAACAATAATGTACCTGGTTCTTGTTGGAGTGAGCTGGAACAGAGCGTGATCAAGCAGAGTTCTGGGATCCATTTGTTGCCTCCTTTTCTGGTGAAGAAAAACAAAGGAAGATCAGGGTTTCAAATTGACAGCGTAATGTCGTTTGGGGACGGCGGATTCACAGTTCAGGTATCGCTGGCGGAAACGGCACAGGCGGAAGAAGAAGGAGGAGGCAGAGAGTGAGAGAATGTGTGGCACATGGAAACAGGGGAAGAAGAAAGATGAGGAGAGAGGGCGAGAAGGAGAGTGGTGTGTTTTCTTTTCGTTTCGCTGCTGCTGATCACTGTTCTGGTGAAACGAAAGCCGGGGGTCCGATTTGGGGCGAAACGGGTCCCATGTGAAATTGCCCGGCCGACAAGCTGATCAGAACGATCACTGAGCTTTCTCTCTCTATCTCTGCTAGTTGTGCACAGAACCTGTGAATGAAGCGAAGAAACTGACAAGTGTACAACGGAAGCAAGAATATAAACCCAATCTAAGGTGGGAAGTTCTAACGTGACCATTTCCTTTTCCATTCTTATTTTTCCTCCCAAATTCCCTTTTCTGTTGGCTGTTGTATCTCTAAAGCCCACTTGAAGCCAAATCATCCATCATTATGAGGTGCAATATAGAAGGAAAAAAATGTACCATCCATAATGATGGAGACCCAACACCCTCTCTCTCTCTCTCTGAAATGATCGTGTAAATCTGAATGCGGTAAAATAGTGGCGCAGTTTCAAGGTGGTCGAGATAACGAAGGGCGAGTTACAAATATTGTCAAGAACGAGTTGGCATTGTAGAAACTCGAAAGTGCTTGAGAGATTTGTTTTGGTGGCGGGATATCACGTCAAAATGCCTACTGAATTCATCATGGTCAAAAACTCTGCGGCTACTCATGGCTGAAACCAAGGACCGTATCAAATATAATTCAACATCTCTTGTCATTGCTTGAACTAAAGCTAATTTGGTTGTCGAGCTGGGTTGAGCGCTAGGAACGAAAAAGACACCAACTCGTGCTCGAGCGTATAAGCTTTGATATATAGCTTGTTAGAAGGAGATGTCTTTCGTTATAGCACAACCATATCTAAAATCGCATATGTCGGTTTGAACCCTTAATTTTGCATCATCGAGAAATAAAAAAATATGATGCAAAATGTCATTAAAAAAGATAGCTCACGGGATCAAATCCCTCTTCTGAAATATGGACATTAACATCTTTCTACAAACCGACCCACATTTTAGACAAAATGTTCGTTGTTTGTAACTACTAAATTTGGTTGTAACTAACCTTTTCCAGCATATTTATAGAGGATTGCTTAAGATTTTGCCTGCTTGAGTGCTGAGGTAAAATCCTAGCCAAAAAAGAAATTTGTCCTGTGAGAGGCTAAAAGCAGTGGGGAAGGAGTACCTTGGAGGTAAAGAATTTCCACCTTTACTGGTAAGGTAAAGAACGGATCAATTACAGGAATGGTCCCTGGACTTTGTGATTACAAACAACGAGTCTCTTAACTTTGATTTCTAACAAACTTGTCACTAAAATAGTAAAATCTGGAAATATCCAACATATAATGATCAACTTCAACAGCATGCATCATCCAATATACTTTATTACTATACCAGTTTCGACACTATTTGACGTCAACATCGCTTTTCAATTAGCAAGCATCTTGAACTTAACAAACTTTTCTTCTGTATTCGAAGAGCCTTCGAGAAAATAGCGAATCACTTGATAAGGTACGTTTGGTGGGTGTCGTTGATGTGCACATTGTATCGTCAAGGTCTTCAATCTATTTAAGGGAGAAGCTTCGTGCTCGACTAATGCCTTAATTCTGTTAAGAGGAAAGGGTTGCTCTTCCCAATCATTTTTCCATCTCTGTTCCTGATATGGAAACACAATAACATATCAATTAAAAAAACTAGGTGCATTGACAAATTAAGGCTTGCAAGATCTTTGAATAAAACCAACAATTTACATAACTTGCTATCATCATATCCCTCCTGACATTTGCAATAGTGAAAGTATGAATAAGTATGGCTTCTAAAAGAACAGAGAATTCTTACCTTGTCGAAACATAGCTTGAGAGATTCTACATTATGCAGACCACACAAGTAATTCACAAATGCAGAATTCTGCTCAATGAAAACTGGGTCATCATCCTCCCAACGTTCTGGTTCCCACTTGAGGCGGATATTTGCATGATCCAGGCTGGGGAGATCCAACTTGGGTAGATATTCATCAATGTATTCACCCCACAACCGTAAAGATTTGAGCTTTGGGGCAATCATCAGTTCATAAAAGCGGTAGTGATTTGTAAACTCAACTTCAAGATCAAGCAGTTGAGGTCCAGATATTAGTAACCAACAGTCAGGAGCTGCTATAAAGCAGCGGATTAACTTCAGGTACTTCAAACAAGGTAGATCACCAATCAAATCAAAGGGCAGAATTGGACAATAAGGTGACAGAGGGCATTCACGCAGTTCCAGAGTTGTAAGCAAACATCTCCATCTCCTTGACAGAATGCTGGTTCCAACTGCAGACTTGGTGTCGAGGAAGGACAGAATGTAATGGAGAATTTCGTCAGGAAAATCGCTCAGCGTAGCAACTTCTTTAACTACATGGCTCCTCTTTGGTCTCTTGGACTTCCTTGAACTCCCAGCCATTGTCTTCCTCCCTTCACCAAAACAATTGAAATTATGAGAGATTCCATTCAAATGTACTTAGTTTAAAGCAGAGAGTGGCTACTGGCTACTTGTGAATCGTCGGAATCAAACACAAGAAGTACACTAAACCGAAAGAGATATGGATAGATTCCCCTGTAATTTGGCATATGATCAGAGGAACAATTAGTTGCATTCACAGTAGTAGCCATAATATAACAAAATATTGACGAACTCCTGCCCATATTTTCCAGGAACAGACATTAGATAGGTCCCTATTTGTGAATCCAACCGTCGCGAACAAACATGCAATTCCAGGGCTACACAATCTGAGCCTTAAAGTGACAAGAAAAATTTACAATCATCGTACCAAGAAACCCAGAAATATGAGTTACGGAATCGAACTAAAAGAAGCCCAATGACATTCACCTATGGTGAAGACTGAAGAAGACCCAATTGAGAAATCGTCGGCTACTGCTTTTTTTACTGGAGGCGGACTGCTACTGAAACCGTCGGCTTCGGAGAATGCGTGTGGTTAAGTATAGAAGATGAGCCTGGGGAAATCGGAATTGGGAAGTGAGACTGCGCGTGTAGAGCCGAGGTACGGTTACCAGTGAGTGGGCGAACGTGGGAAGTTGGCGCTACTTTGAATTGGCGAAGCGGCGGTTTTATATTTGTTCTCCACTCTCTGCAGTATTTAAAAGAGTTCTCTGCTCCATATTTGATATTTCCCCTTTTCTCGAAGCAGTGAAAATGGCGAAGGAGAGCCAAACTACAAAACAGTCACTGAACTTAACAGCCTGTTTCACGCGAGTCAGCAAACTTTAATTACATATTGAAATTTGGAATATCCAATGTAACAATGCTGACACGATCCGGTCCCTAAAATTACTTTAAAATCAACAAGTTCAACACAATTATTGATATAAATTTTCAAAATCTACAAATTGATGATAAACAACAATGCAGTTAAAAGTGAGATTTTACCTAGAAACAGAAAAAGGATAAATCTTAAAACTTAGAATTCAAGCGTAAAAGAGTAAGTTTTTGACGCATGCTCTAAAATAATTAAAAATATGTTAAGTACGACATATACTATGTAAAATATGAGTGCACAGAAATTTATAAAAGTTAATAATTACTTGCAATTCATGCATAAAGTAGAGCAACTTATAGCCTCTTAATAATAAGTTCATAAACATAAATCTTAACAATAAGCCACATTCTCTTTTACACTAATGAATTTGGGAAGAGCCTAGCTGGTAAAATAGATTACTCTATCGAAGCTGAGAATGCATCCAAATACCCCAGTATGTATCTTTTAATCTCAAATGTATCATATTGTTGGTAAATTGTCATTAAAATATACTTTTTATAATTAATGTCACGAAAAGAATATCCATTTAGTGAATTAAAAGCGTAAAGCTTTTTAGTGAACTATAAGCGTAAAAGCGTAAGCTTTTTAGTGAACTAGAAGCGTAAAAGCGTAAGCTTTTAAGCTTTAAAAAGCAATTTAGTCCGATTTTGTACACTAAAGTTTTATATGTGGAAACGAAAGCTTCTAGTTCCATATTTTGTACACTAAAGTCCGATTTTGTACACTAAAGATTTTGTACACTCTGTTTCTTATCGATCTTTCTTAGGGATACTCGTGATTACCTTCTGAATCCAGCTTAATCGGGTAGGACAAAACCCAACCCGAAAGACTTTCAATGGGAATGAGTAAAATCGAATCCGTACACTCCATTTCGATTGTTTTTCAGTTTGTCCATTTCCATATTACTTACTGTACGATTTCACAAACCATGTTTTTTACTGCTGCCAATATCCGTATTTATAAAAGAATTCTCCTATTGTAGAAATTCGTGGCCAAGATATGGTGACCAAGATTGCTAATCTGGTTCTCAAATGGTAATTATTGACCAGCACTCCGCTTTTAGCGACCATCTTACATTCGCAGTAGGCAAAAACAACGAAGCCATAACCTGCAATATATCGTCAAAGCGACGCATAGCAAGCATGACAAATATGCAAACCAAGATGGATGAGCTGTGCAAAAACTCGAGACTCTAAGACAACCCTTCTAATCTTCTGATAAAATTCAGGACCAGTTTGCGATTCAGGAGAGATTAAGACCTGAACAAAAACCATTAATTCCACTTTACAAACAACGGGGAAAAGAAAGAACAACAATAATGGATTGATTGCAACGTGATAACAAACATCTTACCCCTACACTAATTTTAGACAAAATTTCACGAGAAATCGATACATACCAGCATGTCATTATTTTACCTTCCTCTCGAACTTAACAAACTTGTCTTCCGTATTAGGAGAGCCTTCCATAAAGTAACGAATCACTTGATAAGGTGTGTCAGGAGGCTCTTGTGGATACTGCACCCTCAGAGTTCTCAATCTGGAAAAAGGAGAGGCTTCACGCTCCATTAACGGCTTCATGCGAGTAAAAGGAAATAGGTTTTTGTCCCAAGAATACCGGCCGCCCAGCTAATTATATGGAGACAAGATCATCATCAATGGTGAGTTAGTTTCTACTTTCAGTGGTTTGTATATGAATTATGATCGTATGAAGTAAACATATTACATACCTTGTCAAAACGTAGGTTGAGAGATGTTGCATTATGCAGCTCACGCAACAACTTCATATATCTCTGCTCCTCCTGTTTTGCAATGGATTGCTCCCTCCAACGCTGGATTCCACACCACCCCATGCGGATATTCGCGCAATCCAAAGTAGGAAGGCTCAGCTTGACGAGCTGTAGGATCCAACCTTTATAAGAGAAAGATTCCAGCTTTGGAGCAAAAACTTCGATTTCCTCGTCGTCCCAAGTCTTCTTTTGAATCTCGAAGCAGCTGGAGTCCCGATACTTTCAACAAGTGTCGTCTCGACGATTTGCATTCAATGAGTTTGAGGTTGTTCAAACAAGGGATATCTCTGAAAGGGTCAACTGTTTCCCCCCAAGAACGAGAAAACCAACAGACACGCAGTTCAAGAGTCGTCAGTGAGTTGAATCCCAAAGCAAGTGCTTCTCTCCGGAGTACTGTTGATTTCAGCTCAATAGTTTTGAGAGACTTGTGATGGTGAGCCGTGATGCATGGTGCCAGTTTGCTGAATTTGATGTCGTGGTACGCATGGGCAATGGACAAACGGCGAAGATTGTGGCCTGTAGTAGTAGAACCATGAGAGGCAGCAGAACTCATGATGCTGTCAAAAACCTGCAATCCCGTTTGAGGTTGTCCTCCAGCTGAACACCCCCAAAAGTTAATGGAAATGTCTGTAATAGCTGCAGAGTTGGAGCGGAGAGTCAAAAACTTGTTGACTTGTTCAGAGAAAGAGGACATGTTGCAGGAGGAGGATTTTCTGAAACTGAGAACGGGAACATCTTTCCACAAGGACCTCCACCTCTTGGACAGGAGGCTGGTTCGAATTAACGATCTGGTGTCGGCGACGAACGAGAGGATGTGGTGCACAATGTGGTCAGGAACATCACGGAATCTGTCGATTTCTTCTCGGATGCCATGGCTTCTTTTGGGTTTTTTCTTGGAGCCCTTTGAGTTCCCAGCTGCCATATCCTCTCTTACGCTATCTTGTGCAAAAAGGAATGATAACAATCAAGTAGTCTATGAGAAACTGAAAAATGCCAATGCAATCTATTATTATCATTCATATATAGCTGTTGTTGCTGCAGAAAAAAAAAAAAAACAATCAAGCGAAGTGAATGCATATAGAAAATCCTCATCAGTCATCCCTGAGAGCTACACTCTGTTTTCTCAAAGTGACCACCATGGGAAAAGGAGGAAGGCTTAATGGCACCACCAAACCAGAAAATGAGAGAGCAAAAACAGTTGCTGCAATTCCATCACACTAGTTAGAACACTAATGGAAAACCCAAGATGGGAAACAGAGAGAGCAAGAACACACATCATAAGGTATAAGGGGTCATTTCAGTTCATCGAACCAACTTGAACACTAATTGACATCTCCCAATCTACCTCAGCGATCGCCCACAAGAACAACAAAGGTGGAGACTTTTCTTCACCAATAATCCATGAATGGATCTAATACAGTACTAGATATGGAGAAAGGATGCAGACGAGAAAAAGAAAACCCTAACAAGAATCCAATCCTGCATTACTTGTTTGGAGCGGCAGTGGGTCGATTCAAAGATATCATGGGAGCGGAAACCTTTGAGTTCCCAGAGCCAGGGGATTGATTGTACACTCTGGCAAACCCTAACTGCGGGGTTAAGTTAACTGTGAAGCCTAGAACGACGTGATTTGTATACACTAGAATCAGGAAGAAATCAGAACTCTTTCCTTTTCCGACTAAAAATGACATACCGGTCTGCCAAGCTTAACCGACTTTCAACCGGCGGTGACCGTCGGCTTGGCGCTAAAGTTTCAAGTGTCACACTCCTCGGCTCACCGGAGGCGAAGAAGCAAGTGGCCGATGAGGAAGAAGCAAATGGCAGATGAGGCGACACTATTCTCTGTTACCTCAAAACGACGGGTAGCGATTCGGCAAGTACTTGGAGGATGCAGCACAGGGGAAAGCCAAGTTCGCAGCAGGAGCGCGACTTCCCAACGAGATCATCGGTTCCCTGCGGGAGGTAAAATGGCGGAGCTCCAATGGGCGAGAATGGTGGAGAATATGGTTAAGCAAGATTGGGATATTAAAAGACTGCATTGCCGTAGAAGTCCGAGTGGCTTTAGCCTTTAGGGTTGTTGATTTTGAGCTGATCAAGGATCCATGGAAAGCAAAGGTGATCACGTTTGACAATCAATTAAAATGAATGGTTTTGTGACCCTATAAAAGGACAATTTTGATAAAAATCAATCAATTCTGAACAATTTCGTTCCAAGATATAGTCGTGCGAGAAAGTGAATGTAGTGAAGAACTCGGCGCATGTGGAAATGACTCTGTTTCCCTCGATAGCTCTGGTGTCCGGGTTAAGACTTCAGTTCATCCTTCTGGGGTTCCAATTTCACCAGCTAAGAATGCAGCAACATCACCAGAATAAACCAACCATTTTCCAAAGCTAACAAGAATAGAGCCGCACTTCTCAGCTTGAAGGGAAAATATAAAACAAAACAAAAGGATCCCGCTGAATCATATGCTAACATGAGTTCCTTACTCATAATCAGAAAGGAAGTAGCAGCATAGTTGGTCTACACATTAGAGCACTGCCCCATCTAATTTCCTCTGCATCCTGGGTCAATAATGCAGAAGCAACTACACAGAAGTAGCAGAAGTTCTTTACGTGGCTGCTATTTCAGCATGGTTGTGTCTGGTTAATGAACAAAATGCAAAAAATAAGCATGCCACCATCAAACATCCCTAGATTCCTAAGTCAATGCCTTACCTACACAGTATCAGCCTACGTGAACACAAACTAGCACATAGTCAGCCACTCTATGCATTCTTTCCAGCCAACAGGAAAGTCGCAAAATAAACATTTCGGGATGACCAGATGAACAGCAACATATCTCATCATCCAATTTCTCTCCTCCTGGGATCATGGTTGCCATGCATTCAACTTGAGAGTATGACTAGTACTAGTTTTGATACCATTTGAAGCATTAGTACTGCTTGTCAGTAACCAGCTCAAGCTGAAATAACTTTTCTTCCGTACTAAGAGAGCCTTCAAAAAAATAGCGAATCACTTCATAATGTATGTTCGGCAGTTTCTCTAGACCCACAAATTGCATCTTCAAGGTCTTCAACCTGGTAAAAGGAGGGGTCTCAGGCTTTATTAAGGCCTTGATTCTGTTAAGAGGAAAGTCGCCTTCTTCATCAAGACCATATATGGCCTGATATGAAAACACAATAATGTATCAAAATCACACTAAAGGCATTGACTAATTAGAATTGCAAGCACTTAATTAAACACTAAAATAAAGACTGGGTATGCATAAGTCACTATCACCATGAAACTGTAAACTGACATTGGCTTTATTGAAATGCTAAAGTGTCCTTGCAAAAAGCAGCCAGTTCGTACCTCGTCGAAACGTAGCAGGAGACACTCTACATTCCGAAGAGCACCCAAAAAATCCATATATCTACGATGCTCCTCTTTCAGTTCTGCATAACCATATGGTATGTCCGAAACAAGACGGATATTCGCATGATCAAGAGCTGGTAGATTCAATTTGGGAACATATGGATCATAGTCATCACCAAGTAGATATAAAGATTTTAGCTTTGGAGCAATCACTTCATAAATGCCGAAGCTTGAACGCTTAATTTGAAGGTCAAGCAACTCAAGTCCCGATATTATCAATCCAATTCCAGTGCCTTGACCAGATACACTACAGCAGACTAACTTCAGGTAGTTTAGACAAGGCAGATTAGCAAACGGATCAAAGGGCTCTCCTGTAGAACAAGGCTTCAGGAGACAATCAGACAGTTCAAGAGCGGTAAGCAATTTGAAGTGCGAATCAAATTCCCTCTCGAAAGTGAATGTCCCCAGCTTGAGTGTCTTGAGAGATTCTTGATGATGAGAAGCGGATACGACATTGGTCACGTCTCTGATGCTGAACTGCAATTTGTTATGGATGAAAGACAAATGGCGAAGACCACCACCACCACCATGAGAATAGGCATATTTCACGATCTTTTCAAATGTTTTCATAGCACCTGCCCACTTATCCTCGCGTATTTTGAAGGTAATGCTGCTAACAGGGACACTACGGTATCGGGTAGACAAGATCCTGTGTACGTGCTTTGTGAAACTCAACAAGTTAGGGAAGGAACTCTGGACAAAGTTGAGGACGGGAACATGTTTCCACAAAGATCTCCACTTCCTCGAGAGAAGGCTAGTTCGGACCAAGGATTTGGTGTCAAGGAATGAGAGAATGTGATGGATAACATTGTCAGGAAGATGGCTTAGCCTGTCAACTGCATGGCTCCTCTTGAGTTTCTTGGACTCCCCAGAATTCTCATCCATTGTCGTCCTCCTTTTTTCCAAAACAATTGAAATCACAAGAATCATAACCAGGGAATAGTAAAGTTCAATCATTTATAAATTGTGAAATCACGAAAGATAGGCATGCTACAATCTACATACTGGGTTATGCTCAGCAACCCGCCTCTTCTAAGGAATCGAAGTAAACAATGGCATGGTAAAGAAGCGCGATATGAAGAAATCCAGGTGAGAAACTAGGGCTTACAGGACAGTACTACGACAGTAAGCTATAGCGCTAATTAGAAGACAACGATGAGTTCGTACCTGGAGCTCCTTAGCAATGTCCGGAGAAACAGGAATCGGGAATTGTTTCTTGGCATCGAACCATGCACAAGTAACGATCACAATTTGGGGAAACAGCGACGGTGTGAAACTGTGGAGACTGGAGAGGGTTCTTCTGCGGTCTGCCCTTCCTCGCTTGTCTTCTTATAGTTAGGGTCAAATGTATAAATGGTCACTTAACTTTTGGGTGACAAAATTACGATTATTAACAAAGTAGTCATTCAACTTTTCACTACCCTGCACAGATTGTCATTCGAACAAATTCTCGTAACTTGTACAATAAAAAAAGTCTACTGTTATTTATGTTTGTGATACCATACTATATGATCATATATTGTTGTATAGATAAAACCATAAATCAATTTTATCACGATTTTATAATAACCTCTGCTACTGGTTAAATCGCCAGAAAACTACTTTGGCCACTGCCATATATGCAACTAAAGACACTATCACGCATTCTTAATCAGCAAGCATCTCGAATTTTGACAAACTTTTCTTCCATATTTGGAGAGCCCTCGAGAAAATAACGAAGCACTTGATATGGTACATTTGGCGGGCGCTGCTGATGTGCACATTGTATCCTCAAGTTCTTCAATTTGGTAAAGGAGAGGCTTCATGCTCGATATTTGACTTGATTCTGTTGAGAGGAAAGTAGGGATGGCAAATTACCTACCTATGGGTAATTATACCCAAACCCAAGTAGATCCATTGATAATGGGTTGGGTATGGGTGAAGTGCATATGGATTTGGGGGTTTATAGATGGGTTTGGGTAAGGTATGAATATTGCTTCCATAATCTAAATCGGTATGGGTTGGATATGGATATCCATTTACTTGAGGGTGTTTTAACTACACATGCAAAAATTGGACCTATTTGTAAAACTTAAAAATTTTAGGTACCAAAATGTAAGACCAAAAAAAATTAGGTATCAAAACGTAATTTTCCATCGATATTTTGAGGACTTATATGCAAAAAAAAAATTTAGGTACTAATTATGCATATCTATTAAGTTTGAGTACCAAACTGTAATTTGTATTTGGGCATGGGTACAAACCCAAATCCATTTTATATAAACCCAACTCAACCCAAAGTAAATGGGTATGGGTACAAACCCATCAAACTCTACTCATATCCATCTATTTGGATTTCATATCCAACCCAATTGGGTTGGATAGTTAGAAACCCATGGGTATGGGCAAAGTTGTCATCCCTAAGCTGAAGTCCTGATATCTTCAACCAATCTATCTGGCAGTGGAGTAACTTCAGGTGCTTCACACAAGGTAGTCCGCCAATCAGACAGTGGCGGATCCAGGGGGTGGCCACCCCGGGCCCCGGCCCAGCCCTCCTCTGGATCCATAGTTAATATAGACCTTATGAATTTTTCGATTTTAGATATCCGGGTCGTTGTTATTTTACAATAAGATTGGGTATAATTAGAAAAATGATTCAGATGAACATATTCAAAATCACTACTCTAAATCTAGCTTATAAATTCTAACCCCAAAGGTTATTCGTCTAAAAAACAACGAAACCTAAAAATTCAAAAAGTATAAAACGTAAAAGACTAAAACATATATGAGGTTTGTTACCTTGAAAATTTACTAAAGCAGCTGGTGGATATAGGGATGGAAACACAATGCAAATTGATTAGTAGATTGATTTGTCTAGTGTTGATGCTGCTCGTTTCAACAGCTAATACGAAGAGAACCTTTTCAACAATGAAACATGTGAAAATTGATTTGCGCAACAAAATGAGCGATGAATTTCTAGTCGATTGCTCAAGTATTTTATTTGAAACAGTGTATACTATTGGTATGGATGTGGACTCTTTTGTTAATGCATTCGCTAAATTAAAATACCGTTGTGTACAATTTACATTGTAAAAAAATTATAATCATAATATTTTTTACTATTCTAATTTTCTAATAAAATACGGCCCAGTGCACTTCTGTGTTCTGGATCCGCCGCTGCAATCAGATCAAAAGGCAACAATGGACAGTAAGAGTGTAGAGCACATTGGCGCAGTTCCAGAGTTGTAAGCAATTTGTAGCCTGGACGAGGTTCCATACTCCAGACGAGACTGCATTGCTCCAATTTCATAGACTTTGAGAGATGCATGATGTTGACCAGCTGGGATGTAGTCATCAAAGCAGCTGAAGCACAAATTCTTGTTGTCACCGGCAATAGATAAATGTTGACCATACTCGTTCGGGTTTCGAGTATCCACGGTTATCCATGGGTAATAATTTATTTTCATAATTGCAAAGAATATGTTAACATTCACACGTATTCTCACATTACATAAGAAGAAAAGTACGATAATATTTCACTAGAATGAAGAAAATTAATTAAAACAACACAATTTCATGAAAATATTATATTTATATGTTAAATATAAAATATGTTAGAGAAAAATAATGATTATTTCTAGAATATATATATATATATATATATGCATGTGTATAATCTGGCGGGTTCGGATTGGATAGTGAGAAAACCATGTCCACCCATTACCCGCAATATTTGGGTTCGGATTTTACCCGTATCTACTAAAAATTCTTTGGATTCGAGTTTTATCCTATCCAATTATGTCGGATTCGGACGGATATTCACAATTATGATTACGATTTACGATTACGGATATGTTTGTTTTGTTACCTTTGCTTTCCCTGTTATTTTCCTTTTATTTTATGGAAATCTGGATCTGTTTCGTTAAATAGGTTCAAGCGCCCAAACGGCCAAACCATCACAAAAGGCGGTCTTTCGGTCCACACTAGAGAAGCCCGGGAAATATATGGGCTAATTGGTGAGCCACAGAATTAGGTTGCTCTTATGGGTGTTCAAACAGTGTGGTTATCATGGTAACCGTTTTAACCAGTACTATTTGGATATTTTGGTTTGGTTAATTTGGATAATTGGTTTGGTTTGGTTAAAATTTTTAGCTTGTTTGGTTTAGGTGGTTTGGTTTGGTTTCAAACACTCCTAACCACAAATTAACCAGATAAATAATTAGCCATATATCTAATATATACACATACTTAATACTTTGAATAACCACTCAAGACTTAAACGTTCATCCTTTTAGACTCATAAAATATAAAGCTTGATATTGTTCCTATAATGTATATTTGTATATGTAGAGTGTAGACCACAACATATGAACGCCTAATTTAGATAAATCTCACACATTATGTTGGATGAAAACTTGAAAGCAATGTCATTTTCAGCCTATGAAAATTGCTAAAAGACTAAGTCAATTCAAACAAACACAACAATTCGTTAACCCATACCATTGTGATAATTTTTTGTTAGGTGAATACTTCTATACTAACCGTAAGATAATTTTCTTAGTTGCATGTATTTATTTTAAGGGTCAATTGTAACTATGTGTTGATTGTTATGTTTTATTCATTATATAAATTGTGAAAGATAAATTAACCAAAAAATTTCTCACTTAATGATAATAAGATTTTATATTGGTTAATCTGGTTAACCAATTAACCAAACCGATTAAACTTTAGTTTGGTTAATTTGGTTGTTGTATTAGTTTGGACGGTTTGGTTATGATATTGTATTCCATGAAATTTACCCTTATTTGGTTAATGAAATTTACCCTTATTTGGTTAATGAAATTTACCGTTATTTGGTTTGGTAATAACCATGGTAACCATTTGACCACCCCTATCTGCTCTATCCTCTAGGGACTCGCGTCGCCTACACGTAATAGATTCGGTGAGTAACTATGAGTAATTTGTACACATCAGCATAACATCAACATTCCTCTCTTTCCTGGAAAGCCTTTTATCTTTTCCTCTTTAATCTTTAAAGGATGATTTTTCTTTCGTATTAAGTCAAAATTTAAATTTGTTTGCATAGATAAATCAGATTAAATATGCTCTTCAAAATTATATCCATTTTGATATATTTTTGGAACAAAAAAAATTGAGGCATTTTTTACCAGTCTATACCATATGGTATTGACTGGTAGGGCTGGAAGTTTGGTACCGGTATTTGGGATATACCAAATACCGTACCAAATTTGTTTATATTTGGTATTACCGAATACACGTATTATTTTGTGGGATTGAGATTGAATTTCAATTGTTATTCCGTATTAGGGATTACGGGATTGAGATCGGGATATACCAAAATACCGATCAATACCGAAATATAAGCTAGTGCATAATTTATCCTTTGAACTAGACTCTCTCATTCACTACTAGGCGTCCCTCAACTACCAAGAGTGTCATTTAATTATACATAGATCATTCCATCACTATTTCACACTAGTATTAGTCGTCTCTCAACCTCAAATTCGTCAAATTAAAGATTACCAATTACAAGAACTTTAGATATTAGCTCTAGGCAACTCAAGACTCTTTGCTTAGTCTCTTTTCCCTAAATCAAACAATAAAATCTAATTTATATATTTAATTATTAATTACAAAGGTAATTAAGTTTGTATTTGATAATACCAATTGGGATACCGAGGTACCGATTGGGATACCAAAATATTTAGAGATTGGGATTGGGATACCGAAATTATATAGGGATTGGGATTGGGATTGATTTTAGGGTGTAATTCGGTATTCGGGATTTCGGTATTTGGTATTGGGATACCGATACCGTACCGATTTCCACCCCTATTGACTGGTATTGAAATAAGACCATACCTATGGTTTGAAAAGCGTACCATGGTGGTATGTGCAAACCAAGACTGTATGATGGTTGAATACATGATAGTAGAAGTATATTAACTGTCATTTACGACTTTTAACATTGTGTACCACAAGATACCACCTCGTACCAGGGTGGTATTGTGTGGTATTTTTTGGTCCTGTAATTTGTTCACCCAGAAATTTGTAGATCCAATAGATCATGATGAACTCGTTCCTTCTGTGCAAACGTTTTAAAAAACGAATTAAAAACGAAGAAGATACCATATGGTATGCAGTTGGTACCAAGAGGCAATAAATTAAAAAAATATATTGAATATGGATCTCATTTTGTAGAGCACAACGAACTCGTTCTATCTATGCGAAAAAATTGAAATTCGAGTTAAAACGAAGTGTATTTTCATGGGAAGAAGAGGAATAGTTCCTAGTCCTAGGCTCCTAGCTAACTAGTCAAAACAACCAACCTTCAAAATGTGCCTAACATTCCCCGATGACGAGTCACCCAGACAAGTGTGCTTTTGGTTCATACCCAGCCCGGCCCGTGTATTTTGTTTTCCACAAATCATATTGTTTTGTACTGTACATAGGTGCTTTTTTGAATCAAACATTAACAAGACAATACGTTTTTGTGGAAGTCCTTGCTTGCTGTCTCCGACACTAGCGTATTTGAAGGGTTCAATCCCAAATCCCCCCCAAATCGTACACAGACAATACTGGCAGGTCAAACCCTCCTCTTCTTCCATCTCCTCCCAACTATCAACATCACCATACACGGCTGATCTTGATTGATAGCTTTGAGCTCCATCTTCATTAATACTTTTTATCAGTCTGTCAGCCTTGATTTTCACTTCCCTTTCAATTCCCTATAACAATTCAAACTCTCATGCACGATGAGTCCGAAGTATGATCTCTATGCAACCGGGTTTACCGAAGTGAAAAAAATGGTTTTCCTTAGAACGAACAATAACATATTTGCGTGGAAAAAAACTGAGCTTGCTCATACAATAAGTAAGATTGCACACACCGCATGAATGTTGATATGTCATCGTTAAACTATAATTTCCAATAACTTGAGTTATCGGGATCAACTGCCAATTGGTTTATAAAATGGGGTATCAGAGCATTGTTCAAGTGCTCACCGTTCGAAATATCAACTGTCCTTATACCACATGCGATATGGTGGACTTATGTAAACTTCACTCCCATGAGCTGGCTTTTGTTAATTCGGGGAGACGTATAAGAAAGTTGTTAAGTATCATACACACAAACATCTCTTAACAACTCGGAGTTATTGAAACCAGATCGTACGACATTTTCCGTAGGGTTACAAGTTGTTTCTCTCTATTTGTAATCTTCCAATGAAACTTACCGAAAATTACACAAGAAGAAGCAGTCTAGAGACTCAAAGAGTCAGCACAAATCAAACAGAACCCAACCAACAGTCATTCAACTCTAAGACCAGCATCGATCTTTGTCTGACCTCCCAATATTTGGTCCCTTATTCGAATGTTTTTTTTTGTCATACAAAGACAAAAACTTTCAACCTAGTATTCCTTCCTTTCCTGCCGACTCCTATTATATAATCCCACTCACAACACGAACACACACAACACAAACAAAAACACCTACCTACGATTACCTAACCAGCAAAAAAAAAAAAAGACACAACCACCCGCCGCCACTCGCCAACTTACACACGACACTCCTCCTCACCAAAACCATGAACCGCCTCCCAATCCAGTCCATGCAGCGCAAGCTCCTGGCCCAAATCCAGCACGAATCCGGGCCCAACGCCGCCGCGGCGGTGAGGCGGGCCGCGCTGAGGAGTCCCCACGCGCGGCCGGCGTGCGACGTGTTCATCAACCACCGAGGGATCGACACGAAGCGGACGGTGGTGACGTTGCTGTACGACCAGCTGGCGAGGCTGCGGCTGCGTCCCTTCCTCGACAACAAGAGCATGAAGCCTGGGGACAAGCTGTTCGACAGCATCAACCGCGCCATCCGCCAGTGCAAGGTCGGCGTCGCCGTGTTCTCGCCGCGCTACTGCGAGTCCTACTTCTGCCTCCACGAGCTCGCCCTCATGATGGAGTCGCGGAAGAAGGTGATCCCCATCTTCTGCGACGTCAAGCCGTCCGAGCTCCGTGTGCCGCCGACGGTGGCCGGGCGGCAGGGGATGCTGTACTCCGAGGAGGAGATGAGGAGGTTCAGTTTGGCTCTTGAGCAGGCCAAGTACACCGTGGGCCTTGATTTCGACTCCACCAAAGGGTACGTAACATTAATCCTGGTTCAAAAAGACACGCATTAATATTAGGCTTAGGCAAAACGCCTTGTCTAGCATTTTCGTGTCTAATTAGATACGGGAATACGTCAATGGAATAAGTCGACATATAAGTATCTCCTAACCATTAATAGATGGAGATAGGAAGTCAATATTAAAGGAGAAAAATTAACAATCAACTACGAAATCAATTTTCTATATCAATATTTTCAATAGCCGAAGAACTTTGTGAGCTATTGAGCTATGATTCTATGAGTTTGTGAGCTATGTTCTTGTCATTAAGTGTGGAGTAAGTTATCAATCATTTTAACTAAAGTGAGGTAGTTTTGTAGATTATTATTTCATTTATCATGTAGTACGAATAACTATTTTTCTTCCAACGTCTAGGCACGCTTAGTCTACGCCTAAATGAGTTAGGCGCTAGGCAAACGCTCAACAGCCGCCTTAGCGCTAGCGCCTTTTTGAACCTTAATATTAATAATGAAACTCACTAAATTATAAATGAATTTTTAATATCATTCTATTGCATACAATATTCTTAATTATCTCATTTGTTTATTGGAGCAGGAATTGGTCGGATGTGGTGACGAATGCGACGGATATCGTAATCGATAGTTTGATTGAGATCGAGAATGAGAAGCAGATGTTTATACGTAGAAACTGATGTCCTATATAGTTAAACGATAACTTACTTTGCATAATTGCTTGTTTAATTGTTTGAGGATTTTATTCTTTGATTGTATAATAAGTGTTGATTTAGGAGCATGGTTAGCTTAGCTCCATGCTGGCGGGGCAACAAAAGGCAAAAAGGCCAAGCTTCTGTTTTTTTTTTTTTTCTTCTTCGTTCTATAGTTGTGTTGGCTTCTGATTTGGAAATCATATATACTCAGTTAACAATTATTTTGTGATGTGAAATAATTTTCAATGAAAATTACATGAAAAAAGTGATATACTATTTCCTTTAACATTCTCGTAACTTATATATACACTATTATCGGTCCACTCAATATGATGATTGACGCTAATTCTTAATCTGATGATGGACGTAAATTAAGAATTTGCGAGTTCGAATGCTGATCAACACTCATTTTTTACTTGAGATTCATATAAACAATGTTTTGGGTGGCAAAATTTACTCATTACCGTGAGTACCTATTCGAATCCGAATCGATCTTTTCGGGAAAAAATCAAACTATATTATATTTGGGTAGATTTTCCCCGAACACGACAAAGAGAGTAACATATATTTTTTAGATCTCAAATCTTGCATATTTTCTCACAGTTTTACAAACACTGTGACTAGCGGCGAAGTCAGGATTCGAAAGTACATGTGTCAGGATTTCACCCGGGTTACTGTATAAGGCACCATATATATAGAGATGGTTCTATCGTACCTTGAGTAAAATCAAAGGTATATCATAACTTGAGTAAGAAAAACGCTATCTAGATCTCGAATTAATCGGAGTTTGCGATATGGTAGTATACCCTAATCCTTATAGATTAAAATCTAGGTCTTAATTCTAAAAAAATTATACACCAAAATTAATTTAATTAGAAACAAAAATCGACGGTCATGATTCGTCAAAATATATGCAACAAATTACATGCACAATCTTGGGGTTTAGGGTCTATGATTTAGATAACTAAGACCTAAGGTTCACTCATCAAAGGTTAGGGTATAGTATCATGCCTGAAATTCGGTTAATTCGAGGTCTAGATAGCATTTTCTTACTCAAGGTATGTCGTACCCTAGATTTCACTCAAGGTACGATAGAAGGCACCATATATATATATATATATATATATATATATATATATATAATTATTTAATATTATTATTAAGGATTGAAATACCGTACCGGAAGTTGTATAGGAAATTTCGGTGATAGGATATTTTATGCTAAAATCGTGGTTTAACTATGGTTCAATCGCTTCATAACCGCTAAATAACGAGTACTGGTTTAACTTACAGTAAAGGTTTTTCTGGTTGAACTGCTAGTATGGTACGATATTTCAATCCTTATTTACAACTAATAATATCCAAATAATGCATTCAAAGATAATCAAAAATATCCGACTAATACAATTACTGATTTCATAAACAACCTCTAATCTTTTTCATATTATGAAAGAAACACAAAATGCATCTGTTGTCCAAACTTAAGTACTATTTTTCAATAACTAAACAAGCACATTAGCAAACAGGTCGACAATTCAACTTCAAAGTTGTTCTTAATATAGCTCAACCTCAAAGTGTTATTTCTACACTTGCAGTTGCAACACATAACGTCAAACTAGGTTCACAAGAAAATAAACCGACGGATATTGACTCATGCACTTCTATCTTCAACATTGCTTGATATAATTTATCAATTCCTTTCAATCCAACAAATATCACATCAACCATAGCATTATTGATAATACCCAACAAACTGTTGTCGAATAATAATGACATGAGATATCAACTTTTTTGTGTGTATTTTAATTGAAATTTTTGTTTATAGTGTAATAAACCAACTTATGTTTTCTTTTAAACTTGAAATAGGTGTAGTAGTGTATTGGTAGAACACTAATATAACAATGAGTTCGACCCTTTGCTTTATACATAGATGGAGGTACGTGACACCTTCCTCCGCCTATGAACGTGACAAAGAGATTTCAATTTACATTGATATTCGGAACAAATTTTATAAGGCAAAATTCATCTTTATAGCCAAAACTTTGACGGTTGTGGCAATAATAGTCACTTTTGGGAAAATACCAATAACAGCCAGAAATTTGAATGTTTGATGATAATAATAGCCATTTCCGTTACATAGTTTGACGGCGTCAGTGACACCGTTAGTCAAATTAACAAAACGATGATCTAGCTGCCAACTCAACTGACACATCATTGATAACTCACCGACACTTCCTCATATGCGTGACACGTCAGATTTTATTTAAAAATATTTAATTAATTCATTAACAATAAAAATCATTTATAAACAAAAAAAAAATCCAAAGAAGTGCCCCACTTCCCCTCACCGTCCTCCATTCTTCCCCTCACCGTCGACCTCAATTTTTCATCTTCAAGCTAGGTGCAAAACCATCTCTACTCCACCCCACCTTTCCTCTTCCCTCCTCCTTTTCTTTGCGATTCTGTAGGGTTGTGAATTTAAGGTCCAAGCCAGGTGCAAAACCATCTCCACTCCACCCCAGCCTCTCCTGCCACAACATCTTCCTCAGATTTACCCCAACATCATAAATCCCTAAATCTCCAAATCGATTTCCCTGAAAAAGATAGAATCGAGACGGATCTCGTCTCACAATCTGAAACGCTGGAATAGGGAGAAGATGAGAATGGAGTCTGCCTTGGAGATAGACTGCGAAGAGGAAGAAGAGCCTTGGAGAGAGAATGAGATGGGAACGATTAGGATATGGAGCGGTTGATTGAGAGATGGCGACAGCAACTGCCAGCTACGGAATCGTCTTGGCGGGCTGGCGGATTTCCCTAGTTGCCTCAACCTTGGATTCTGAATTTTCATATTCGAGCAGAGGCAAAGTGAGAAGTATCGCGGCCGGAAAGAGAGGCGGGGGAAGCCGGAAGCGATTTCCCAAATCTCTTCCCAAGGCGTTCCGGGAACATGCTTGGATCCGCTACATCAACATGTCGGTTCTGTTGTGCCCATGTCAGTGATGCCCCCTGCTTCGGAGGTCAACTACACGAGCTAGATCGTCGTCGGGTTTATCTCTGAGTTCGTGATTTACGGGTGGCGACCGCAACCGTGAAATCGCTACAATTATGTGTGCTCCGGCGAGCTTGTTGACCGTTAAATGAATGATGCGGAATTAAAAAATATTTAAAAAACTACAATATAATTCTTTACATTTTCCACCTCATTATCACAATTATTAAAAAAACAAAAAAAAACTAACGTAAGTTATATCGTCAATTGGGGGAGGGAGATTATATTACTGAAAGAGTTTTGGTACCTAAGAGTTTGAGGCTAGATCAGGATCCAAAGGGACAACGATCTTCAGTTTGGGAGAGGCAACAATAGCAGCAAGTGAAGTCGGTTGCATGGAAGAAGCTTCGTCGCCGTTGCCGCAGATCTTGTGCGGCAAGGGCGGTGGCGATGTGTATGATAGTAGGTACGCCCGCCGTCTCTGACTCGAGCTAGTCTTGTTGGCCTCCCCTTTAATTGAATCGCTCCCAATACCAGCAAACTCAGATGGCGGCGAGCTCGAATTTGGGAACAAGGGAGGCTCCGACATCACCGTAACTGCCGCTCTCCCCAACAAGGTTGGATTCTTGACTTGAGTTTGTGGTGAAACCCATATTGGTTTCCGACTTCTTCGCTTCAATTGAAGCTTGAATCCGAGTTGTTTAAACTCATATTCGACCGGTGAATCTTTCTAGTGGTTAACGGCAGAGTCGATTATGAGAAGGAGGGAAACAAAACCCCATTGAGAGGAGACAGTCAACGATGAAGCCTAAGCCGATTTGGTGGTGAGGTTGCGAAGTGCGATTCAGACCTCCTTCAGGATAGCCACGGTCTCCCTCGCCGCCACTTCTTCTTCCCTTGAATCGATGGCGCCACCTCAGTATCGTCCTCCTCCTCTTCCTCCTCCAGCTCGCCCCTTCATCCATCGAATCCCGACAGTTTTTCCCGCTCTCCTACCCCAGCTTCACCATTCGGAAGTGAATCCCCCTCCGCCGCCCCTGATCGAATTCCCATCGGGGGAATTCGACTGCAGGACAATCGGCAGTGAATCCCAAACCTGTTTTGGATTGCAGAAAATTATTTTTATTTTTTTATATTTTTAAAATGATGTGGAAACTGTAAAAGTTTAAATTTTATTTATTATTTATTTTTTAATCGTCACGTCATTCATTTCATTTAACGATCAACTATCAATTATTCACTTCCCTTTCCCCATTTCTCTTCCCACATCCCTCCTTCTCGGCTTCCCAAAGTTCTAATCCATGGCAGAAGAAGAAGCTAAGAAGGCCGAGCCCGAATGCCCTGCTCCTCCCGCCGCCGATCCTCCGGCGGCTGCTGCTGCTCCTGCCGACGAACCTCCAAAGGACGTCGCCGAGGAGAAATCCGTAATTCCGGCCACTCCTCCACCGGAAGAAAAACCTGACGACTCCAAGGCCATCGGCGCAAACCTAAAGGATAAAGACTCCGAGTCGACAACGACGATTCGTAATCAGACTCCGAGTCGTCAGACGACGAGGCTGTCGATATCGCTGGTGCCAACAAGAAGAAGGACATCAAGTTCTTTGAGAATCTGCTCAAGATAAGGAAGCAAGACCCTTATGATGGCGACAAATTTGGAGTCACCTTTCTATTTGTCGCAGTTGGCATATCCTATGTTGAAAGCATCTGGAAATGGAAGCATTGTGTTTATCTCTTCCATTGCCGGGCTGGTGGCTCTTCCTTTTCTATCGGGTTACGCAACTACCAAAGGTAACCAACATATAACCATCTTCCTGGGTTCGTTGGCGTTTGGGTATTTGCGAATTTATCTCGGTAAAGCCTGGATTTTTTACTTTTCCGAATGATACGATGGTTTTGGATCGATATGATCATTGTGAAATAATAAGCGATTCAGCTGACATCTATATCCTCTTCGGATATGGCAAGACGCTAGTCGTCAATTTGCTCTCCTTGTGGAGCCTGCTTATTTTGGTGTTCTCTATCAAATTCATATCTCGACCGAGAAGGATCACTGGAGATATATTGTGCTTTTGATACTTGTGTTGCTTCTTGGCCGGAGCTCCTTGGGGTCTTTGCCGGATCCGTCCCTTCATTGGTCGGCGAAGGTAAGGTTTCTCCTATCTTAACTCCGGCGACATTTTTGATTCCATCCATCATTAATTGAGTTTTTGGATTCCGCTGTTCTCAAAGCTGACTGATTAAGCATCGATTTTGATTACCTTTTATGCTCCAATGAAATCTTATTACTTTATGGTTTTGGGACAGATTAGAGTCTTAATTTCCTTTTGTCTCTAACTAAATTTATTGGTAATCATTCATTTGCTAGTTGTGTAACTTGCCAATTGTCATTACTCTTTTATTATTTGTAGTAACTACCCCGAATACGGTAGTTTTTTTTTCTTTCACTTTTGATTTGAATTCTATATTATATACATAAATTGTGATTAATGGTGTTAATTATTTGTTTAATTCCATTTACTGGCAACGCATATACAGGGAGGTATGCATTAATTATTCTAAATTAATTTATTTATTTCTCAATTTCAATGACATCATTGATTTTCTTGTAGATTTACGGTTTATTTTCACTAGTTTAGGGTTTCAATATATTTCTTGAATTTAAACGACTTTCTTGAATTTAATATCTTGTAGCACAATAGTCGTGTATTTTTGGTTGGCCATTTTGCAGATGCTCATATGATATGAAAGTAATGAAGTAAATGAAATAAAGTTCATCAATATATCAGGTGATAGTTCGATTTCATTCTCTTTTATAAATTTACGAGAGTAATTAAGTAATGTTTTGTCGAAGATTGTTAATGTAATTTTCTTTTCTTTGTTGTGGCTTTTGTGATAACTCGTTACCGGTCATCCGACATACTCCGTCGAAGGAAACTACACTCGCTGGCGGGACTATCTTGGAGATGTTGTATTTTTGTTTTTTTCCCCGTCAGTGTCGTGTCTTTGCTCCTCGGAGCTTCTTCAGAGCTGCCCAAGTAGTGGCTTAACAGGCTCTTTCATCTGTAGTCTGGTTGCATACGGACTAACGTCCAGTATTTGAGTTGGTCTTGTAATTGTGTCGAGTCTTTGTCCCATGCCCTTTGGGCTTGCCTTGGAAAAAAAAACATCAGCTAAATTTAACGGAGACTAACGGAGAGTGACCAAACTTGAACGGAATACCTAATTTTAGTGACTAGGAATAGAATAAAATACTTTTAGTGACCAAGCGTGAATTTTTAGTACTTCCAGTGACCAACCTTGCAATTTACCCGCGGAAGAAGGTACACGAGGTCGGGAGAGCAAGATTGATATGGTACTTTTCTTCTTTGTACCCTTCTTCTCTTCTTCCTCCTTTTTTTTCTCCTTTCTTCCCTTCTTCTTCTTCTTCTTCTTCCTTTGTTTCTCCTTTCCTTGTTTTCTTCCATCACAGAGCCACACTACCATCTCCATCGCTGCCATCATGATCCCCCATCAGCGTTGGGCTCTCGCCGCCCGCCTCTGTTCGGTGTTGCCGGGTGCACCCCTAACCAACTCCATCACCTCACCATTGTCATAATATGATAGAAACCCGGGTCTCCGGGTTCTACCTGACGTTGATAAAAGGGGAAGTTGTAGTGGAAATGGTGATTTGATGATTGTTATTGGTGGGGGAAAAGATGAACAGGAGGGAAAAGGAAGAAGGAGGCTCGAAATGAGCAGAAGAAGGAAGGAGAGGGTTGGCGGCCGAGGCTGCCAGGGAAGAAGAGGAAGTTGGGATTCGGCCAGAGAGAAGGAGGAAGGGAGAGGGAGATTGCTAGTAGGTTTAGGTTTAATTCTTTCTTAATCTCAATTAACGTAGAAAAATAGTTTAAATAACAATTCCCAATTACCAACAACTACCCTAACTTATTAAACCCCCCAATCAAATCCCCAAATAGCCAATAAATCCCTAAACATACATAAACTATCAAATAAGTGCAATTGCTAATTAAATAGAAATGCGGGTTTCTATCATCCCCGCCTTCTTCGAATCAACCTTGTCCTCAAGGTTTTCAGTCCTCCACCTGCCCTTCACCTCTGTCGTTCGCTGCTTCTTCCTCGGCCTCATCCTCCCATCTTCCCACCAACATCATTAACTCCGGCTTTGCGCACTTGTGCCCGATGGTGAACCGCTCATCGCAGTTGAAGCATTTGCCTTCCCTCCTCTTCTGATCTATCTCCGCTGAACTCAGCCTGACGAAGCCCTTCGGTGGTGCCCTCGGCCCAAGCCGTGCTGCCGGGGCCACTGCTCCAGGTGTCGCGCCCGCCCCGCCGCTAGCAGTGATAGCGGTGCTGCCACCCCCGCTACTTCCCGCACCGGCCTGGCCTCCTCCCCAGTCTTGGGGTAACGTCCTATGACGTTCCTCCAGCTTGCCAGCTCCTCTTCTTTATGACCTGCAAGACGAAAAACAGCCCGCAAGGTATCTGGTTCGAAAATCTTGACTGCATCAGCAATCTCTGGTTTAAGACCTGCCATGCACAGGCCCACCAGGGTCTCCTCTGGAACTCCCTTACACTGGTTTCCCAGTTTAAGGAACTCTGCCCGATAATCAGCTACTGAGCCGGTCTGTCTGAGTTTGGCTAACTGCTCCGGCGCCCATCCTTCAGATTTGCCGAACTGGTAGCGAAGCTCCTCCTGGAATATCGGCCAAGTAATCAGCGTCTGCGCGGCAGCATAGGATCGCTCTAACCATTCCCACCAATGCAGCGCGTCTCCCTCCAGATAAAAGGACGCTAGTTGCGCCTTCTTTTCCTCCCGGGTCGGGTGGTTTTTAAACCACCTGTCAGCTGCATACAACCACAACCCTGCATCCTCCTAACCATTGAATTTCGGAAACTCAATGGTCGGGGGCTTGGCCCTAAACACCAATCCATACTCATCATCATAACGATCATAGCTGCCATACCTGCCCGCACTGGGGTAGCCCCTGTAATAGCCCCGGGGTCCGCGCGCGTCGTCCCCTGCGCTCCAGCCCGGTCCATTTCCACCTGGGTAGTCTTCATACCCACCCAGCTGACCCCCTGGGTCTCCTGCTGCTGCCAATGGGGGCCCGTATGCACTTGAACCCTCCAGCTGTGCACGCCATTCAGCCACTGGTCGGCCATCCGGAGTCAACCCGAACCGGTGAGGTTCGCTTGCAAATCGACCCACCCCGGTTCGGCCATTGGTGGTCCACCCGGCCCTGGTTCGGCCATTGTCGGTCCACCCAGCTCCGGTCCGACCGGCCTCGGTCATCCCAGGCTCGGTCCGACCGCCGTCGACCCAGCCCGGTCCGGTCCGGCTTTCTGGGCCCGGTCGGTTCACCATGGCCCGCTCTGCTCCACTTGCTCGATCGGGCCCATCTCCGGTCCGCGGTCCCCGACCCGTCTCACCCTCCATTGGGCTCGGGCCCATGGGCTTGAAGCATGGATTTTGGACCACATTGTCGTAGCCCGGCATCTTTGCCTTTCCGCGTAGGGCCGCGATCTCCTCCGCCGTTGGGGTCGGTAGCAGCCCGGGTCCGCCCCGAGGCCCATCAGCCACTAGGTCCACCCGATCAGTCCCCGCCTGCCCTAGGGTTGCCGCCGTCGCCGTCGCCTCTCCTCCAGACCCAGCCACCGCGTCGACAGCAGCGGAAACAGCCGCCGCTGCGCCCGCCGCAGAAGCTGCCGGCGGCTTCCCTCCTCCGACGCCCGCGAGCTGGTCAGCCACCGCCGCGTTGCTCGCCTTGGCCGCCGCCTCCTCGCACCGGTCACCTCCGCCGAGGCCCAACGCCGCCACCAACCGCCTCTGCACCTCCTGCATGCCGGTGAGGATCTGCATGATCATTTCACGATCACGCTTGGCCTCATCAACCTCCGCCCTCACCTCTTCCATGTTGGTGTCGGTCCTTAGTTGCATTGCCATGATGGTGCGCATCGAGGCTTGGAGATCGTCGCTCTCAGTCTCGCCCACCACGACTCCTTCACGCCGATGGTCTGCCTGCGGCGAGGGAACCCTGGTCTGGGCTGCCTTGGATCCCGCATCAGACTTCTCTGCCGGTGATTTAGTGATCGCCATAGCTCCGCTGTCCGTCCCGGTGTAGAGTTGCGATAAACTCGATAGTCAGAACCTGAGCTCTGATACCAGATGATAGAAACCCGGGTCTCCGGGTTCTACCTGACGTTGATAAAAGGGGAAGTTGTAGTGGAAATGGTGATTTGATGATTGTTATTGGTGGGGGAAAAGATGAACAGGAGGGAAAAGGAAGAAGGAGGCTCGAAATGAGCAGAAGAAGGAAGGAGAGGGTTGGCGGCCGAGGCTGCCAGGGAAGAAGAGGAAGTTGGGATTCGGCCAGAGAGAAGGAGGAAGGGAGAGGGAGATTGCTAGTAGGTTTAGGTTTAATTCTTTCTTAATCTCAATTAACGTAGAAAAATAGTTTAAATAACAATTCCCAATTACCGACAACTACCCTAACTTATTAAACCCCCCAATCAAATCCCCAAATAGCCAATAAATCCCTAAACATTCATAAACTATCAAATAAGTGCAATTGCTAATTAAATAGAAATGCGGGTTTCTATCATAATACCGAAACGACCCTACAAACCACCATCGCTACACTGGTAGTCGACACTAATTGCTGTGGAAGGAGGAGAATAAGAAAAGGAAGGTTGGTTGTTTCCAGTTTTTTCTTTTTCTTCTTTGTGTTGTAGGGAGAGCTAGGTCAGTGAGGAGATCAGAGAAAGAAGAAAATAGAAGAGAGAGAAGTTTGTGTGGCTGGGAAGAGGAGGGAAGAATGAAAAGTAACCAAAATTGCAAAAAAGATCCTCAAAGTTTCCCCAAACACCAAAATGGTCACCCTTGTTATATGATTTAAGTGTGCAAAACTCGTCCTCACCCAAAAATTCGCCAACACGGAAGCAAAGGCAAGCGAGGCGAGTACTGAACAAATTCACATCGACACAAACCGTCAATTAGAAAAGCCTGTAGAACTTGTTGTTGAGCCAAAATTTGTAAACACCGGGTTCAACTCGCTTAAACCATATCAAAGTAGGACGAATACCCATTGATTTGTGTTCAATTTGGGTTCAACTGTCATAAGTTAATTTATTATAACCTTAATGACACAAAAACTCCTCCAAGATTTGGTTAAGTATAAAAAGAACCCCATCAATTACAAAATCGGGTAAAACTCGTCCCCGACCCTGAATCTGTTAACACTGGATTCAACTCGTTTTGACTGGCTTGATAAACCGGGGCGAGTTTTTAACAAAATCCACACCCGACCCAATTCGTTAATTATAGAAGCGAGTAAAATTTGTTCGACCATAATTCGTCAACACCGTTTTGACCGGGTAGAAATACACATGGGTTTAGGTTCGATTGTGATAAGAGGAAATAATCAAATGTTGCTTTGATTGGCTTGATAAAGCGAAGCGAGTTTTTAACAAAATTCACACCTGACCGAATTGGTTAATTATAAAAGCGGATAAAATTTATTCCCGGCCCATAATTCGTCAACACCGGGTTCAAATTGTTTTGACCAGGTAGAAATACACATGGGTTGTGATAAAGAGGAAATAATCAAATGTCGCTTTGACAGGCTTGATAAAGCGTGACAAGTTTTAAACATAATCCACACCCAACTCAATTCTTTAATTACCAAAGCGAGTAAGACGTCAACATTAGGTTTAACTCGTTTTGATCGGATCAAATTAGGTTAAATACATATGGAGTTGGGTTAGATTGTGATAAGAGGAATTTGTTCCCGACCCATAATTCATGAACATTGGGTTCAACTCGTTTTAACCGGGTCAAATTAGGTTAAATATACATGGATTTGGGTTAGATTGTGATAAGAGAAAATGATGAAAACATTTGATTATTTAATAAAAAATTAAAACAATAAAATAATTCTAGTTGATGTACTCTAAGTAATAGTGTCATTGTTGGGGTAGAGCGGGCCAGTTTTCTTCGAACCGCATATTAATTGATTTTGATATGACATATTACACCCGTACAATTCTGATTACTAAACAATTAGTAATTTAAAATCACGATTTAAGAATGATTTAAGAATGATATATATGAAAACCAACCCGTTGTGATTTGTCACCACTCTAAACATGCGAACACTTATCAAGTTACGTTCTTTCTCCTCCTCTAAGACCTTTCCTTCCATCCCCTGTCATCACCACGATCCACGGTCGAGATGATTGTCCTTTACCAAACCATCGATGTTGCATTGCACGCTACAATACCACCGGAACAACCATCATAAGCGAATCACCGGTGGATCCGTCATCGCCAAAGGAATTCCATATTTTGGTGTCCAGAAATAGTAACTAATTAACCTTGGTTCAGATCAGACCCCTTTTTTTTCCGTTGTCACTGTTAGCTGGATTTGTGAGTTCTTAGCTTCAAACCCGAACAGAGTACTCTGTTTCTTCTGCAATTACGGTGACGGAAGATTTCCCATTTTATGATCACCCACAAACCAATCACCATCACCAACGAAGTGAAAGAGACAACTACTTAAAAGAGTAGAGTAAAGCCCGCATATATTAACTCAACAGGAAATCACACACACAGGATACCAGCATTAGTACAAAACCAGAAGAAAAAACAGAGACAAACTCCACGAACTCGGAAAACAGAGACCAACCAACCAACAAACAAACCACACACATCAGCGCTCGATCCATCACCAAACCCACATCCCCTTACGCGATCTTGACCTCGATGGTCTTGGGCTTCTTGGGCTCCGGAGGCGGCACCTTCTCCACCGTCACCGTCAGCACCCCGTCCTTGCAAACCGCCGAGATACCATCCGTGTTCGCATTCTCCGGCAGGACGAACTTCCTCATCAGCTTCCCGACCCTCCTCTCCATCCGCACGTACTTCGCCCCTTCCTCCTTCTCCTCCTCCCGCTTTCGCTCCCCGCTGATGATCAAAACGTTGTCGTCCTCCACCTGCACCTTGATGTCCCCTGACTTCAGCCCCGGCATGTCGATTATGAACGCGTACGAATTCGGGTACTCCTTCACGTCCGCAGGCGTCGCCGCCATCGCCTTGGCGTCCCTCACGTACGTCCTCGTCGGCGCGGTGGCTGCAGAGGGCGAGGACTTGTTGGCGGTCGCGTCCGGCTCGTCTCCCACGGTGTCCATCATGTGCTGCAGGGTCTGGAGGACTGGGTAATCGAACCCAACGAATCGGAGATCCATTTGCTCTGTTTTGATGATTTGCTTCTTTTGATTATGAGATTGCTAGCTGCTGAGATTTTTTTGCTTGGGTCTGATCTGGAATTCTTTAATCTTGATGGATGGATAATTGTGGAGAGTGGTTTAAATAGGGATGAGAACAAGATGTTTAGGAATTCTCAGGATATTTCTGGATGAGGTTACAGAGTGTTCTAGGAGGTTCTATGTAACTTTTAGCCAGGGAGAACTAGAACTTTGTGGAAGGCATTTTTCCCCCCTTTCTTTTGCTGTTGACTTGTCAATGCTTCTACTGAAGGAAAGGAAATCTCTCTCCTTTTTAAGGAAAAAAAAAGAGCGGCAAATATGAAGTGACGAAGATTTCTCTGTTTAATTTTTTTGGTGAATATTTCTCCGTTTGTTACTTGCTATAATTTACCCGCATTTTCTAACGAGTAAATTTAGGGGTGGCATTTCGGTTATAACCGATAACCGATCGGCCGGTCATCGATTAACCGAAATAATCACTCTTCCTACCGAAATAGGCTTCGATTTCTCGATTATCGGTTAACCGACCCACTTTTAAGACCAAAAACCATGTCGTCGAGCCTCCGATAACTAACCGAAGTTCGGTTACTTCGATTACCGGTTAGTCGATAACCGGCCGGTTATCGGTTTAACCGGCCGTTTAACCGGTAACCGAACGGCCACCCCTGAGTAAATTACAGTGTTGGTCACTGGATAAGTAAATAAATTTAATTAGCTTTAATCACTAAAAGTATTTATTCCTAGTCTCCAAAAATTAGGATTGCAAATGAGCAGAATGGAGTCGAGATCTAATTCAGTTTTAGCTCGACTCATCAATAAAAAGTATGAAGTGACGAAGATTTCTCCGCGTATTTTTTTTCTTCCGTTAATATTTCTCTATTTATTATTAGCTATAATTACCAGTAATTTTTAAACATTAAATTACGAGAAATGATAGGGAGACAAAATAATTTTCAATCAGAATTACCAGTATTTTTTAACATTGGTCCTCTGTAATTTGTATCTCCTTGAAGTATATTGATACTAGCTCTCTCATGTCCGTAGACTAGCTAACACACATTATGTTAGTGAATCATATAAATCCGTGTATCTTATATTTCATTTTCTTGATTTGTCGAATCCTCCAATTTCTTGATCCACAGACAAACAATAGTGGCACCAAACTTGGATCGGTCAAGAGTCGTTTTTTGAGCAACATGGTTGTACGATTTTGTATACAACCACACTATATAATTGCAACGCTGGTCTCGGAGAACACTAAATTAATTATAAGACCATACTAAAAATCAAATCGATTCAACCAATAGTTTATATAGTTTTGTTAAGGTATTAATAGGCCAATCTTGTAACAAAAGAATGATGAAGGATTGTCATATAACCACTTTGCCAGTTATTTAAATTAAGAAAATTCTTAAGCAAGCACACCAAATGGGTCCATAGCTCAGTGGTAGAGCATTTGACTGCAGATCAAGAGGTCACCGGTTCGAACCCGGTTGGGCCCTCTAAATTTTTGTTTTGTTTTGAGTGTGTAGAAATTGCAGCATGCACTTATTTATGCGTGGTTTGGTATCCATCGCTGCCATTTTTTTGTTTGTGTTGTTTCACACATGGAATGAAGTACATTTAGCAAATGTTTACCTTATGGAACTGGCAACAGCAGCAAGTTGGTAGTCGATTCTTTTGACATCGTCCAGTATTTGCTTCAGCTTCATCTGGTGGAGGCCCATATGATCAGTTTCAGTAACATACATTGGCATGTTATTGTATCTTAGTGGCTCATACCACATTGCATGCAGAACTATCCCAATGGAACCATCTTGCTTTCCCCTACACAAGACAACATTAATTACCTCTGTTGATCTACTTTGCAGAAACAGCAAACCCTATTTGCCTACTTGGCATTTGCAAGCAATGGAGTTTAGCAAGTTCTCAAAGCTGAAATCTTTAGCTGCTTTGCCATGGGCCAATATCATGTTTATGCAAAGCAATGAGAGGCATGTTATGCCTATTTGACTTATCAATAAGTATTTTGATTATAAGATGTACTCATTCAAAAAAATCATTGGCATGTGTGTAAATGAGGTGTTTTACCTAACTTAGCTATAGTCCTTGTGCTTGTGATACAAATTTTATCATGTTGCTAATTTATCGTGAAGATAAATATGAGATGCTCTTCAACCTTATTTCTTTGATTTGTTGATCAGTATTATTTTGAAACTCTTGGCAATAAATCTTAAGCACGGCTTTGCCATGGGCCAATATCATGTTATGCCTATCTGACTTCTCAATAAGTATCTTGATTGAATAATGTACTCCTCGAAAAGTTCATTGGCGCGTGTGTAAATGATGTGCTCTACCTAACTTATCATCCTTGTGCTTGTGATACACATTTTATCATGTGAAAAATTTACCGTCAATAAGATGAATATTAGATGATCTTCTACTTTAATTTTTTGATTTATTTGATCGATATTGCTTCAGAACCATCTACTACCACAAGTACATGCTCCAACTTTGCAAGAACTATGTGGAATTAATTACTTTCGCACTAAACATCAGAAGACCTATATGTTCTAAGTTCTAACTATGTACAATTAATTTCTTTCGCACTAAACATTAGAAGACTTATATGTTCTAACTATGTTGAGACTTGAGATATGAAACAAATTGTAACTAATAATTGCACGTAAATTTACATATTTTCTTATATATTATTATACAATCGAATACTGAATCGATTTGAGACAAACTGAATGATTTTGAGGTTACTGCAACTTATACACCCACAATTATTTGTGTGTTGCTTTCAAGTTTCAACACAATATCGATAATCATGAAGAAATTATGTGAAAAAACACTTAGTATTCTTACACATATAACAAATTTTTCTTACAACCACGCATACAAAATACATTATTTTTTTAACATGTATTCCGTTTTTCTTAGATTCAACATATATAATCTTAAATACATGGTTTCTTAACATCGTTAACAAACCATCAGTAAATCACCCATTGATCAGTAGAGATCCGCCGGCAGCCGGGGCGACACGTGGACGTCGAGCGGCGTCGCCTTGGCGTTGGTCAGCCCAAAGCTCTCCGTCATATCCACGTCCGCACCATCCTTAGTCGAGACATCGAACGCGTGCAGCACACTCGCCAGGATCTGGTGGACCATCTGGAGCCCGAAGTTCACGCCTGGACACCCTCTCCTCCCGCTGCCGAACGGCATGAGGTGGAAGTCGCTTCCCCTCACGTCCACGTCACGGTGGGCCGCCGTCAGGAACCTCTCGGGCCGGAACTCCGTCGGGTCGGGGCCCCACACCTGGGGATCCGTGTGGATCTTCCACAGGTTCACTATCAGCCACGTGCCCTCCGGGGCCGGGTACCCGCCCACGTGGCAGTCGCGCGTGAACTGGCGGGGAGACGAGAGCGGCGTCGCCGGGTAGAGCCTCAGTGTCTCTTTGACGATGGCTTTGAGGTAGACGAGGTTGTTGAGCTCGTCGTCGGTGGGTGAGATCCTGTCCTTGGAAACGACGTCGTCGAGTTCCTTCTGTGCGCGGAGCAGGGCGTGGCGGTTGTTGAGCAGGAGGGAGATGGCCCATGTTACGGTGACCGTGGCGGTGTCGGTACCGGCGGCGATCATAGCCTGTTATTTAATTTAGTGCGTCATTAACCGGTAATGTATCGAAATAATATCGATCAAAAACAGAGAAATCGATTAGTATATCATTTTATCATGTTGAATTGATCGGTACAATATATATATATCATATCAGTTTATAATGATAGTACGCTATTTTGTTACAAGCCATGAAGACTTTTAGAGGACCAATTATAATTAAGCCATGAAGACTTTTAGAGAACCAATTATAATTATAGATGAGACCATACTGGCTAGGTGAATAACCTAATCTGCACATATAACGTCATTTACTATCTCTCATTTCAAATAAATTTCAGTCGGTAAAAGAATGTCAATAATTCACTTGCTCATTTCATTTTAACCAATTAGATTTCATGAGTTTTTAAATTTGATATTCATTTTGAAACGTCTTACTATCGACATGGAAAGCTAAAGGAGACAATTGGAGGGATTGACGCAACCTTTTTGCTTTGTCTTAATTATGAGGTTGTCACAACCTTGTCCTATTATAATAGTCAAATTAATTGTGTCAAAAGTCCAAACTATAGTATCAATTTTTATGGATTATTTAAAATTTTCGTCTACCAAATTTTGATGTCCCGTAGGTTAATCAATAGAGTTACTCAACCGACAACTGATCTCTCTGCACCCTTTCAAATACATTATTTTCATACACAAAATTTAAATTCAAATTAAAAAAAACCCATTATATTGCAATTCCTACTGTAGCTAGATGTAGTCTAAATTAAATTACAATATCACGTCCGCTTTCGAGATTAATAAACATGTGGTTGATAGCCTACTCGAACCGTCATTGATTGAGAATTACTCTTGTAATCTCAAATGCTCTAACCAACTTTTGTTCCACACAAACAAATTTAACGCTGTTAATGTACTAGATAAATTTTTGAAAATAAAAACAATAGTAATTTATTGAAAAACCTAGATTCAATCTTGATTAGTTAGTAATCAGCATTATTTAATGACATTTACCAATGGGGAAAAAATCACATCTAGTTTCTCACAAAGCAAAAAAAAAAAAAAAACTAAATAGTTAGAAACGTTTACCAAGACTGTGGATTTGATGACGGCGTCGGAATCATACCCACCAACCTCATCCGCTCCGTCGAGAAGAGAAAGCAAAACATCCATGAAATCTCGCTGATCGTCGCCGCCGCTCGAAGCCGTCCTCTTCTGCTTGTGCTCATCCAGCAATCCCTGAAGTATACCGTCCATATCCGCCGCGATCCTCTTCATTACCTTCTCATAACCGCCGATGTCAGCCCACCCAAGTGACGGGAAAACATCCCTCACTACAAACATCGCCAGATACTTATAAAGCTCCCTCACCGCATTCTGCATCCGCCGCGCGGTGGCTATTCCTTCCTCGCCGCCGTCCATCGCGCCCGACCCGAAGTACCTGTAAAGAAATGATTAAGTACTATATATACACGGACCTCTTTCAACCTTTTGAGTTGTTAGAAGTGAATAAA